TGGAGGGGAAGAGGTGTTTGGAGAAGGTGCTGGGGGTGGGAGGGTGGGAGACGTGAAATGACAGATGACTAGAGAGAGAGTGTGTTGGTTCGCGTTTGTGGGTGTGTTCCGAGAGACAACTTTGAGCGAAGACGCTTTCATTGCGCCATGAACAAACACATCCACATGTTGCAAAACTCATACCTGATCATATGAGAGCTCTTCGCATTGCAGAAAGACCCAACTACACATCATCGATCCATTTAACATCCAAAACCCCGACGAACGATCATTCACCCGCCATCGGCCATGTTACTATCGCTGTTGTTGGTCGTTACTTTTTCCCACCATCGACGTTCTGGTCCTCTCCACCTTCACCTGCCTCTTCTGCCATGCTGAAGTAGCTCCACTGTCCTGGAGCTGGAGGATGTTCGAGTGGTTCCCAACTGTATTTTATCAAAAGTTCCAGAGGTCATGTCAGTAATCTCTTCTTCTCTTGTCATACACGCCGAGGGGTTGGAGGTTACAACTTACGCTTTCCAATCGACCATCTTCGCGGCCAACCTGTACTCAGCCACTGCCTGCTCCAAAACCTGTTCCAGCTGTCCCGCGTCCAACTCCTGCTCCGCCTGCTCGTAGAGCTCCTCCAGTTGATCCGGTTTGCTGCTCACGGCTTTAGCCTGACCGTTGAATTTAGCGACAATGTCGAGGCGCTGCTGGGTGAGTGCGGACGTGGCCTGTCGGTATACCGATTGCTCGGGAAGGGTGGAGAGGAGGGAGAGAGTCTTAGTGTAGCGAGATTCGAGTTCGGAAAGGGGGGAGGTGGAGACGTCGAGACCGGTGATGTTGGTGGACTTCTTGAGACGTGCGGCGAAGGCGGTGGCGCTAGGGGCGGTGGAGGGAGAGGGTGTGACGGCGGATCGCAGTAGGGTGCGCATGAGAGATACGGGTCGTGTGACGAACATGATGAGAGTTTGCACCGAGTGTGTGTATAAAAGGTATGGTGTGGTAGTGAGGAAGGGGAGAGCGGTAGTGGAGTAGCGGTGATTACCAATTGGTGAGCCTCGAATTGACGCTGCGAAACCTCGGATCCGCCGATCGGAAGATATTCGTGGTCGTATTGTTTTCCATTTGTAAATTACAGAAAGCGTAACATTCACTTGATTTTCGGAAAGCGTAGCTCAACATCTCACTGCAGCCTTAGATGGCCGTGGTCCACACACTGCTCTCGCCATCACACTCGCTGAATCACTTTCAGCAATAAAACCCGTGGCCACGTATAGAGAGAGAGAGAGTGCGAGTATGTACAAGATTGGTGATGAGAACAGGATATCGACATTGAAGAAAGTATGTACAAGCAAATGCAAGCCATGGATCTCAATGACCAGGCCCTTACGCACCCGTGGCGAAGCTTTTGCAAGGCAGCAATGCACCGCTTCAGAAGTCGCCACCGCCGACATCGTCTCCGCCGCCGTAATCTCCGCCGTAGTCGTCTCCTCCACCACCATCCTGGTATCCATCCTGATACGCATCGTTCATCTCGTGCGAGATCAAGGCACCACCCAACATACCGGCACCCAAACCCAACGCTGCGCCTCCTGCCATACCCATACCAGCACCGCCTCCACCGAACCTGCCACCGCCCATGCCACCCATCCTTCCCCCGCCCATCATGGGCTGCTGAGCGTACATGGGTTGCTGCTGCGGATAACCACCGTAGGCGCCCTGCTGCGGGTACCCGCCGCCGTACTGGGGTTGCTGGTAGTTCTGCTGCGGTGGTGGCTGTCCGTAGCCGCGGTTATCTTGGGGAGGACCGGAGGGGGGAGCGTAGGCACCGGTGCTGCTCTTGTTCTCGTCGTTCGGGTGGACCCAGATGGATCGTGGAGGAGTGGCTTTGGTGTCGACGTAGAAGTAGCGCGAGTAGTTGTTGTCCCACTGCTTGACCCATCCGTCCGGCAGCGGACGATCGTCGTCCTTGGGCTTTTCCGACGGAGGTTGTGGCGTGGACGAGTGTTGCTGCTGCTGCTGCGGTGGAGGCTGTCCGTAGCTGTTGTTCTGACCGCCGTAACCGCCGTTGCCGTACGAGTTTTGCTGGTGGTAGGGAGGTTGCTGCTGACCGTAGCCTCCACCTCCGTAGCCACCGCCACCGTACTGCTGCGAGTTGGGTCGACCGGAGTTGCCCACCTTGCTGGCGAGCTTGTCCAAGAGACCCATTGTGCTGAAAGGATGCTAGATGAGGGATGAGGTGTTCGTGTGCGCGCCGAGAAGGGCAGAGATGGAATGCTAAGCGCGCCCGAGTGTGGCGGAGCGTGGATGTGGTGGGGAAGAGGAAGGAGGAGGGAGAGAGGGAGAGCGGGCGGGAGGGAGAGAGGGAGACGACGTGGAACGATGATGATGGACCGAGGGCAAAGAACAAAAAGGCTTGGCGTTTGATAGGCACACGCAGAGCAGGCAGTTCATTTCACCGACCTTTGCCGGGTCTGCGATCTGCAGTGTGCGACTCCTCAAAAAGGTGGGGGAGAGCGAGACACAGAGTCAACGGTGGAGGCCGCGCTTCTCGGCTGTGCTCGAGTCTCTCGCAGAGCTAACAGACGCGGACGGGCCACAGGCGAGAGAGATTTCGTCGATTTCACTCTTCTTTCTCACCACGTGTGTGTCTGAAGCTGAATCTGAGCCAGATGCACACAGCCTCGACTTCATTTTCGGTTTCGATTCCAGCTTCGCTAATTCTTTTCAACGGTTTCAAAATGAGCTCTAACAAACCTCGATCGCCACGCAAAAGGGGCGGTTGGCGGTTGGCTTTCCTCGTGTGAGTGCGATTGTGCGTGTGTTGGACAGCCAAACTCCGACAGAGCAGCGCAGCATCAACAGCGGCATCGACCACGAGAGTGTGCTTCTCGTACAAATACTTTCGTCTTGCAAGCATCACATCGCTTTCGATCACCCGCACAACCAGCGGAATAGACAAGCAGTTGCACAGATCGATCCAATCGCCGTCTATCTGTCTTGCCATCGTCCGCTCAAACACCCCGCACTGCGCTGTCCAAGCTCGACCAGCTGCCAACGATTCGGTGCTAGATCACTCCTATCGAGATGACGAGGTCTGTGCTTTGATCCATCAAATCCAGCTTCTTCGCTCTTCTGCCATCTCGCAGTCTCTCGACACGCGATAATAGCGTTACTGCCCCTGTCGCACACCCAGGCGCGGTCTCGCAGGCTTGCTGCCCGGCTGGCTCGAGCGCTACTTCTTCCAATATGTCGATGCCCACAGCTGAATCCAGCGAGTCGCTCTCGGCTGCCTACGCTCAAAACTACGACCATGCCTACTCGAGCCCGCAGTACAACCAGCAGCAGCACTACAATCATCCCACTCAAAACCACGACTCGCATCTTCATCATCACAACTCCACCTCCTCCTCAAACTCTACCGCTCCTGCCTCTTCCTCGGCCTCGGGATCCCACCCCGGCCTGTCTCGGGCAGGCGGCAGCGTAGGCTCTTCGGGCTCCCAGTCATACTACTCTTCCACAACAACAATCCCGCAACAGGCTGGAAACACCTACATGCAGCATTACAACAACTATCACCCGCAGCAACACTATCCTTCCCCTCCCACCGGTCCATATCGTCCTCCTCGTCATATCAGCAGCAACTATCCAGAGCAGTCCCAGTCTGCTGCTTTGAATCCTGCTAGAGCTGCTGCTGCCGGTCATCTCGCTCCAGCCCCTCCCATCTCATCCAACATGTACGCACAGTCCAACATCTCCATGCCCGCCCTCGGTCCCGTCGCCACCGATTCTTCGTCCAGAGCGCCTCCGCTCGCAGACGACTTTGGCGACTCGTTCGCCAACATGAACCTCTACGGCACACCCAAGCTCGGCCCACAGCGCTCAAAGTCGCCCGCCTACCAGACTACGCCAGGAGGCTCTAGCAACGACACTGCGTCAACAAAGGGCGTACCCAGCGCCGCGTCCGTTCGAGCCAATGCCATGTTTGCCAACCAGGAGATCCATCAGTCTGCGTCAGAAGTGCAGCCCGAAAACTCGCTAGCTGCCATCGCGGACCAAGTCGATCAGGCTGCGGCCGACCTTGATCCCAACGTTGCCGGTGTCTCGGCGATGGCGCCTTCACAGAACGATCACTCGAGCAGCCACCATACCATGGGCAGCAGCGCTTACCATGCAACTCAAGCCGCAAGCGCAGCACACCCTGACTGGAACCCACAACATGGCGCTGTCAATCCAAATTCGAACGAGCCAACCTACGCCGGTCAGTATGCATCGGGCGCTCGACAGCATTCGGCTCCCGGCGAGTATCCAGGTGGACAGTATGTGGCCAGCTCGACGGATGGTCATGGTGCCGGCGCTGCCGACGGTGGTCAGATGGCATGGGATCCAAGCGCCGCAGCTGCTGCAGGCTACTACGCTACCAACGGAGGCGCGCAGGGCGTCGGGCAGCCCTACCATGCATTTCAGCCACAAGCGCTCCACTCTGCAGGCTACCCTTTCTCTGCTCAGGGCGGTCACGCAGCCTATCCAGGCGCGGGCACACCTTCGGGCTACGAGTCGAATCCTTACTTTGCTGCTGCTTCTGGCTACCTCGGCTTTCCCGAAGGCGCCGCTCCCGGTTTCCCTCCCGGTTCCGCCGATCCCTATGGTGCTGCTGCGGGTAACGGTACGCCTGGTATGATGGGCATGGCTGCTCCCGGTGGCGTTCGACCCAACATGCTCTCGCGCCAGGGAACCCAGCTCTCAATGATGTCGACCAACTCGAACTCATTCGCAGGCATGGCTTCCACCAACCCACGTCGCAAATCCAAAGATGCGGCTCCTCAACAGACGCTGCCCTTCAACAAGTCGTTCGTCACCGAATACCGACAGCGCATGAAGGGCGACCCCGACCCGGAAGCACAATTCGCCTATGCAAAGTACCTCATCGAGGCGGCCAAAAAGGTGCACGATCCATCCGACGGCCCCAAGCAGCAACGCAAGTACCGCGATACGCTGCTCTCGGAGAGTCTCAAGCTCATCAAACGTCTCGCTACCACAGGTATGGGGCTGGGCAAGCCTCCGTACGCCGAAGCGCAGTTCTTCCTCGCCAACTGCTTCGGCAACGGCAGCCTAGGTCTGCAGGTAGACCACGAAAAGGCGTACAACCTGTACGTGCAAGCGTCCAAGCAGAACCATCCCGCCGCCACCTACCGCACCGCCGTGTGCAACGAGGTCGGCGCCGGAACGCGACGCGATCACCACCGAGCGGTGCTCTTCTACCGCAAAGCATCCGCGCTGGGCGACACCGCGGGCATGTACAAGCTCGGCATGGTTCTGCTCAACGGAATGCTGGGTCAGCCACGCAACGTGCGCGAGGCCATCGTCTGGCTCAAACGCGCTGCAGCGCAGGCGGACGAAGACAACCCGCATGCGCTCCACGAGCTCGGCCTGCTGCACGAAAAGGCGACCAACGGCGTCGTGCTGCACGACGAGGCGTACGCGCGCGAGCTGTTCACCCAAGCTGCGCAGCTCGGCTACTCTCCGTCGCAGTTCAAGCTCGGTTCTGCGTACGAGTACGGCAACCTGACGTGTCCCGTCGATCCACGCCGGAGTATCGCGTGGTACACCAAAGCGGCGCAGCGCGGCGACGGCGAGTCCGAACTCGCGCTCTCCGGCTGGTACCTGACCGGATCAGAGGGCGTGTTGAAGCAAAGCGATAGCGAGGCGTACCTCTGGGCGAGGAGGGCTGCTAGCAAGGGGATCCCCAAGGCGGAGTATGCGGTGGGGTACTATTCCGAAGTGGGCATTGGGGTGGCGGCGAACCTGGATGAGGCCAAGAGGTGGTACATGCGCGCAGCGGCTCAGGGGAACAAGCGCGCGATGCAGAGGTTGACGGAACTCAAAAAGATGAAGGGAGGGATGGGGAAGAAGGGCGCTAGACCGACGAGAAAGGATGCCGAGAAGGAGTGTGTCGTTATGTAAAACCGTAATCACATTCTGCAATGGAGAAGACACTTAGCATAGCTTTTTCACAGGAAATCTTTATTGCTTGCAGACCACTGTTTTAGGGCGGGTGAGAGAGCGTCGACGTGACTTGCTGCCAGCTGTAGCAGCCCTTACAATCTAGCTCTGGCGTTCAACCCCTCTACCTGCTCGGCGACGAACCTGTTGCTATCGGCACTCGTCACTTTTCCACCCTGCTGCTTGATCTTGTGCAGGGACTGCTGATGGTTCCACGTGAATCGCTTGAGGTCCACGCCCCAGTTGTTGCGCTGAAGACCTTTTACGGTGGCCCAGAGTTCGCCGATGACGGGGAGGAACTTGAATGCGTGACCGGAGTCACCCGATACCACCCAGACATTGCTCGCTTCTACCCCCGCGTTTTGGAGGGCTGGGTGGTGATCCAGCGTATCGAGGATCCAGTTCTCATCCAGGGTATCGGAGTACCAGCAGATGCGCGTTCCCACCACCCTTTCCTTTTGAGCGAGAGAGGGGTAGACCTTGTGGAGTTCGTCGAGCATGATATCGAGATGGGTAGGGGGGATGCAGGATTCTGCTGTACCGAAGTGATCCGTCGCAGGGGAGTGAGAGTGTTCGAGGGCGGAGGCTTCGAATCCGGGGTAGGCACCGGTGTCGGTACCGGAAGGTGGGCGGGGGTGGACAAATCCGTTCGAGTGGTAGGCGATCTTCATCTGCCACTCCCCACCCTCCAGGACTGGTTCGAAGAGGTAGAATCCGGAGGAAAAATTGATCACCACCGGTGTTCCTTTGAACTTCTCCGCTTCAGCAGCTGTCAATCGCAGGATCGCTACGCATTGTGCTGAGGGTCGAGTCAACCACCCTCCTGCAGCGGAGAAGGAGGGGGAAAAAGGTTTAGTGAGAGTGGTCAGGAGATCGCTCGTCCAAGCACCCGTGGCGATGACAATGTTCTTAGCGAAAAGGGTGGTTCCGGAAGACGTCTTGACTCCGACCACCTTGGTTCCTTCGAGAACGAACTCGGTGACGAGGCAGTTTCCGACGACCTTGACACCGCGAGTGATGGCGTGCGAGAGCATAGCACGGGTGGCATTGTTCGCTTCAGCCCACCCACCTCTCGGATTAAAGTAACCCGTCTGGGTGCTACCGAACCCCTTCAACCCTTCACCCAATCCACTCTTCTCCACCCCCGATAGGATCTGCTCCACCTGTGAATCTTCCGTCAATCTGTACGCTCTCTTCTTCCCCTCCACTCCCACCTCGAGCTGCACATCCTTGGGTTCCCAAGCGTGTTTGATTCCAGCATCAACGTACTCCCCCACTCCCTTTCCACTCTGACTACGAAACAACACCCCCACCTCATGATAGAATTTGCGCAAAACATCATCCGCTCTCCATTTTGATATAGCGGTCTTGGCAAGACTGCAGTACGTCGGGTCGGTGTAGTCGGCACGGATGATCTTGTTGAGATCATTCGATGCACCGGAGGCGGAAACGAAGCCGTCCGGTGAACGATCGATGACCGTGATGCTGGGAGAAGGGGAGAGGTGGGAGAGGTAGGAGGCGATCGAGGTTCCGCAGACGCCAGAGCCGATGATCAGGTAGTCCGATGTCGAGGTCATGATGGATCTGGCTGGAGAAATGGTGGTGGTGATGGTGGTGGCAGGAAGGACAGAACGAGAGAAAGAATTGTCATACCCTCCTCCCGTGATCAACCGCTATCCGCCAAGTATCTTTCCCTTGCTATCCAATCATGTACTAGTCCGCAAAACCCCACGTCCTTGTCAAGGTACGATAAGGCAGACTCACACACCCAATCCACTACAGAAGCTTGCATCGTTCGGCCTGCATCTGCCGAACGGAGCCTCACCGAACACACACACACACGAGTGCGCTTCCCATACAGTTTTTCTTCGGGCGTCTGCCGAGGTTCAACTCTCTTTTCAAGAAAGTCCGGGTTTTTCACCGCTGTCCCCGCGCGTCCAAAAAAGATAAGATTGCTTCCACGCATACTTCGGCGATTTACCGAACCCCTCTCGTCCCTCCTTGACACCTTTAATCTCACACACACGCGATTTCCTTCTCCAATGTGTTTGCCATTGCGCTTGCCTCATCCAAACGTCTGACTGCTCTTGCCTACGCGCTTAACCTTGCTCAAGCGCCACTCATCCTGATGCTTGGCAAACCTGTCGTAGAGCGGCGCCACCTTCTCCTCCCTCTTCCTCTTGCTCAACCCCACCTCCGCCTGCCGGAAGAACCTCGGTGCCACCTCCACCAACCATTTCGGCTCCACCGCCGTCACCTCGCGCATATACTCGCGCGTCGTCAACACCACCTCGTGGTACACGCAGTACTCCGGCGCCCGATTGAACAGCGAAGAACTCGGATGGATGTACACGCTACCCCCCGATTCCGCCAAACTCTTATACCCTTCCTGTGGATCCTTCTTCGCTGCATTCCTGAAATACCCAGAACAAATCGCTTTCCTCACCCGGTTGTAGTTCTTCCCGCACGACACGACATCGTGCGAGTAGCGGTCCATGATCCCCACCAGCTGCTTCCGAACATCCTGCGCCCGCTTGAGACTTCTCCCCTGCACAAAGTTCTCCATACACCATCCCATGGAAAACTTGCTCGCCGCCCACCCGTTGTACACGCTCAACAGCGTCAAATGGTCCCCCTCCGGTTGGAAGAACTTGGCCTTCTTGGCGTCCGCAACCGCCTGCTTGTCCTTCGGTCGGTAGAACACGTTCTGCACGCTCAGCATCGCTACGATCGACAGCATCTCCTCGCTGCACCCCAGATCGACCGACGCGATGAGCATCTTGGACATCATCGGTTCCATTGGGAAGTCGGCCATCTTGCGACCGAGGCGTGTGAGCAGCCCTTCGTCGTCCAGCGCAGAGAGCGCGTAGAGCGACTCGAGCGCCGTGAGCAGCGTCTGCGCAGGAGGCGGGTCCATAAAGTCAAAGTTGACCAGGTCGTTGATGCCCATCGCTTTCAGAGCCAGGATCGTAGATGCGAGGTTCTGCCGTTGGATATCGGGGATCGAATTGGGCAGCATCTCGTTTCGATACGCCGCTTCCGTGTACAGGCGGTAGCATTTTCCAGGTCCTGTACGTCCCGCTCGTCCGGCACGTTGCCGAGCTTGCGCTTGTGAGATGGGCGTCACCACCAGGGAGTCCATTCCGAGTCGTGGGTCGTACGCGTTCTGCTTGACGAACCCGGGGTCGATCACGTAGAAGATGCCGTCGATCGTGATGCTCGTCTCGGCGATGTTGGTCGCCAAGATCACCTTTCTCGATCCGGCAGGTGTCGGTTCGAAGATCTTGGTCTGCATCTCGGACGGCAACGCCGAGTACACCGGCAGAATGATGAGTTCCGGAACGCTGGGTCCCAACGCCTTCATGCGCTCAAAGAGGATCTCGCAGCTGGTATCGATCTCCTCCTGACCCGTCAGGAACACAAGGATGTCTCCCGTGGGCTCGGAAAGGTGGATCTGCATCACCGTGATCAGACTCGCATCCAGGTAGTCCGGCTCCGGCTCCTTGGTGTACATGATCTCCACCGGAAATGTCCTGCCCGGAATCGTAAAGATCGGACAGCCGAAAAAGTACCTCGAAAACTTCTCGGCATCCAGCGTCGCGCTCGTCACGATCAACTTGAGATCCTTCCTCCTCTTCAACGCCTTCTTCAGCAGTCCGAACAGAACGTCGGTCGCAATCGTCCTCTCATGCGCCTCGTCCAACATGATCACCGAGTAGTTGGTCACGTCCGGATCCACCAAGCACTCCCTCTGCAGCATTCCATCCGTCATGTACTTGATCTTGGTCTCGGGACTCGTGCAGTCCTCGAATCGGATCGTATACCCCACCTCCTGTCCAACCCTGCACCCGACCTCCTCCGCAACACGCTTGGCGACGCTGACAGCCGCCACACGTCTTGGCTGCGTACAGCCGATCTTGCCGCGATCCGCAAAGCCTTCTTCCGCCAGATACTGCGTCATCTGCGTCGTCTTTCCCGATCCTGTATCTCCTACCACGATCAGCACTTGGTTGTCCCTGATCGCTTGCACCAGCTGTGAGCGCAGCTTGAAGATGGGCAGACTCTGTCTTTGCTCCTGCATGGAAAGGTTGGTGATCCTGCCAAAGGTGGTCGCCTTGTTGAACGTCTCCTTCTTCCACGCGGGTTGGTCCTGCGCCTTGGCACCGAGAATGTTGCCACGTCGATCTTGCGCAAACGTGCGATCTCCTTGCTGGGCCATAGGGTCGAGCCATCCGGACGTCATATCGGCTGCTTCGGCATCCGCTTCTTCCTCGGCTTCTTGCTTGCGTAGCTCTCTGCGTTCTTTTGCCAAGGAAGCACCAGCCATGGCGGCGCGATTGAGCGTACCATCGGGCGCCTTGACGATCTTGACGGGTGACATTTCGATCGACGAGCTCGTCTGCCCTTTGAGGAACGGTGCTTCCTTTTCATTCACTTCAATGTCGATCTCTTCGTCATCTTCATCGGCGCCGGGTCGGGTGTTGGGCGTGCGAAGATCTTCTTCGATGAGTTCGGGATAGTCGCTCGCTTTGGCAACACCACTGGCGATGAGTTGACGCAGCTCCCATCGTTCGGGACTCGTGAGTCGTTTGATGCTTCGACCGCGTCCGTCTTCTTTGACGGTGATACCGCTTCCGGCTCCATTGCCGTTGGATGACCTTGCGCCACCCAGAGGCGCACTGTTGGCACCGCTGGCGGAACGCGCGGCGTGACGCTCGCGTTCTTCTTCCATCTCGGCTTCGCTCTTGATGCGGAGATGTGGGGTCAGATCGCGTCCGGAAGCTTGATCGACGTCCTTCATCGACAAACCGATGCGATCACCGACGACCGACATGACTTTGACTTTTACCTTCTGCCCTCGAGAGAGAAGGTCAGAGGGATGGTTGACACGGGTACCGGCTGCGATCGAGCCGATGTGTACCATGCCCTCGAAACGACCACGGAGGCCTTCGAGAGCGACAAAGGCGCCAAAGTCGCGCATATTGCTGACCTTGCCGTCGTAGATCTTGTAGAGCTGGGGTCGGTCGTCGGGTGGCGGACGGGAGAGATGTTGTGGTGGTCGGTCGTCGCGACCTCTGCGGGACGAGGAGGAGGATGAAACTGCGCGATCGTTGTGGTCTAGCCTGCTCGGTTTGCTGGATGATGGCGAGCGATCGTCTCTTGATGAGCGATCTCCATTGGAGCGTGTGGATGACTTGGAGGCAGCCATGTCCTCAAACTCCTTCATGAAGTCGTCCACGGCGTTGCGACCTTTCTCCTCGGAGGGTTGCCAGTCCTGATCCTTGATGGCGAGGCCAGGGAACATGCGTGCCTTTCGCTCGCGTTGCTCATCATCCGGAGTTGCCTTCTCTTTGCCCTTTGCGCTGGGTGAAGCAGAGCCTGGTTTGCCGTTTGTTTCCTTTTTGGAGGAGGAAGCCTTCTTGTGCTTAGGATGCAGGCGAAGAATGAGGCGATCGAGGTTAGTGACAAAGCTGTCTGGGAAATCGGCGCCCACCTCGGAGAGCTTCGATTTGAAGTCGGCGACAGAGGTGGCTTGATCGTGCAACGACAGGATGAACTCTGCAAGGACGCGATCGTTGATGCCGGTGTGGTTGAGCAGTTCTGTCGCGATCTTGCCTGTCAGGGAGAGGAGCTCGAGCTGATAGAGCTCGTCCTTCTGCTTTGACGCCATGATGAAGGACAGACGCGTTGCGCATGCGCGCTGACCAGCCTGAGATGCCAAGGGCGGTGCTGGCAGTTAGCAGCAGAGATGACAGAGACAGAAGATGGGTGGAGAGTGTTGATGTCGGAATGCGCAGCAGCTCGAACCCTTAGAAAGAGAGCACTCAAAATTGGCTGCTCGGAATTCGGCGTTGAGATCGAAAATCATTGTTGTCACGGAAGACCCGATGTGACAAGATGAGAATTTCGAACATGCAAGGCCCAAGCCTGTTGCGTGAAAGTGGGCCGAGTCGAAAGTATAAGCGCCACAACCTCGCTCGCGCACGCTTCACAGTGACCAGGCGGCGGAAGAGCACGAGCCAACGCTGCGGATCCACTGTCGAATAACGCTCACACCTCGCCTTTCCCCGTTCAGTCCTCTCTCTCTCTCTTCCTCATCCTTCCCCCATCAGTCGCCTCCCGAAGCTCGACTCAGCAGCTTGATCATCGCAGCGACGGCGCAAATGGTCCATTGAAAGGAGCAACGAGATCGGGAACCACTTGTCTCAAACGCAGACAGGCGACTTTCAATCAGCGCATTCACGGACTCGAGTTCGCGACAACATTCAACATGGGACCACACCACCCGGCTTCAGAGACGGCGGGAGAGAGAGCACCACCACACGACCTCGACGACAAGCCGCTTCGAGATGCAGCGCCTGGTGAAAAGCCGACAGACTCGTCCAAGTCCAACATCGATCCCAAGAGCAAGGAGAATGCCATTCGGTAGGTAGCCTTTCTCCCCTCCTCGCCGCTATTACCGCGAAGAATACTGATCATCTTTCCTTCTTGCGTCAACAGCTTTGCTCCGGTCTCGATCCCACGCAGTCGTCGACTGCAAACGCTCGGCGTGCTCTTCTGGGCGTTGCTGCTCCCCATCTGTCTCAGCATCTTCTTCCTCCTCCTCTCCTTCCCCATCTTTTGGCCCATCCTCGTCCCCTACCTCATCTGGATCAACTTTATCGATCAAGCCGCGGAAAATGGCGGACGACGTTTCTCCTGGGTCCGGAAACTCCCCGTGTTTCGCTACTTTGCCGAATACTTCCCCATCTCCATGATCAAGACGACCAACCTTCCGGCCGATCGTCCGTACATCTTTGGCTACCATCCTCACGGCATCCTCGGCGTCGCTGCTGTCGCCAACCTCGCCACAGACGCTACTGAGTTTCCGGAGAGTTTCCCGGGAATCACACCGCATCTCTTGACGCTAGCGACGAATTTCACGATTCCGCTGTTCAGGGACTGCCTGATGGCGATGGGTATCTGCAGCGTTTCCAAGCGAAGTTGCGAGGCGATTTTGAGGAAGGGAAAGGGAAGTGCTATAGCGATCGTTGTGGGTGGAGCGAGTGAGAGTTTAGCGGCTCATCCGGGAACGGCGGATTTGACGTTGAAGAGAAGGTTGGGTTTCATCAAGATCGCGATACGAAACGGGGCGGATCTGGTGCCGGTGTTTTCGTTTGGAGAGAACGACGTTTACGAGCAGCTGAGCAATGAAGAGGGTACGAGGATCTATTGGGTGCAGAAGAAGTTCCAGGCGCTGTTTGGATTTACACTGCCGTTCTTCCATGGCAGGGGGTTGTTCAATTATAGCGTTGGGTTGATGCCGTATAGACATCCGATTGTTAGCGTTGGTAAGTACACTTCTCAAGGAAAGAGAGAGGGGAAAGGGAGAGGATGACTGACGACTTTTGTTGCAACGCGCGTTGGATGTGGGAAACACAGTGGGCAAACCAATACACGTCAAGCAAAACCCAAATCCTAGCAAGGAGGAGATCGAAGAAGTACAGGAGAGGTACATTGAAGAACTCATGAAGTAAGTATCACCCGACCGAAGAGCGGGATGGAAGAGAACTGGTTTTTGCTGACACTGTGGTGCTTCATTGTTGTGGTTGCGGGGGAACAACAGTATCTGGGAGACTTGGAAGGATGCGTATGCTGCCAATAGGACCAAGGAGTTGACGATTGTAGCTTAGCTTGGTTTGAGGATCTGACTTGCAATTGGACATGTTGGGTTTTTGTCTGCGCTGCATAAATGTGTGCGGGTTGGCAAAGGTGTTTGTTGGCGTGCGACGCACGATAAGTGGATTGACGAGCGTCTTCACGGATTGTGTGTGCGAGAGTGTGTGATAGCATACGCGTAGAGCAGTTGCGAAGCGGTGTCAAGAGTTTTGAAAAGTGTATTACAGTGTTACAGCATGGGTCGTTGAGTGATCATGTGCAGCGACTATTCGCGCACTATACGCTTTCCGGCTTTTGTTACTTTGCCTCGTCCGAAGCCACCTCGGCAGCCGGAGCGTCCTCGACATCGCCATCATCCTCATCGTCGTCGTCCTCGGCGCCAAAGTCGGGCATTCCACCCATACCGGGCATGCCTCCCATACCTCCTCCGCCCATCTGAGCCATCATGCTCTGCAGATCCAACCCTCCCGCACCGCCCATCCCCATCATCGCCGGGTCCATACCGCCCATTCCACCCATACCACCCATACCGCCCATTCCGCCGCTGAGATCCTCCTCGGCATCGTCCTGCTCGTCCTCGTCGACCCACTTGTCGAAATCGGTCTTGACGTTGTGCAGCCTGACCTTGTCCTTTGTCAACCTGGGCCAGTACTCCTCCTTGGGCGTCTTCTTGCGGAGGACGGCGTAGAGGCACTTGGAGTTGAGGTGGGTTTTGGAGGATTCGACGTCGATCTCGTCGAAAAAGTCGAGCGAGAAGGAGTAGGTCTTGTTTGGGATGTTTTTGGATTCGTCGCCGACCGAGGCGTTGAAGGTGAAGCCGGTGGAGGTGAGGTCGAACTTGGTTGATGAGGGGAGGTTGGGCACGTTGATGGTCAACATCACCACGTTCTGAGCAGAAAGAGAGTTAGAATCAGAGTGAAACGAGTCAGTGTGAGTGGTTCGAAGGCAAGTATGGGCAGTGGTGGCTAGAGAGTTGGACTTACCTTTTCTGGTTCGTCAGCGGAGGAGCGCTGAGCCCAAAGGATCTCTGGTACTACGGTCGACATGATGTGTGTTGTCTTTGTACTCGAGAATGTGAGTGTGTGTCTAGGACAGAGTTGGTGGAAAGGAAAGGAGAAGCTAAGCTGCTCAGTTTGTGCGTTTCTCTCCACTTTGAGAAGAACCGCAGCGGAACGGGACCAAAAGGCTTTTGACAGTCACTCGTCAGTCTGTGCGCAGTTGCTCGAAACAGAGTCGCGTGTCGTCGTAGGCTTCCAGCGACTTCGATGAACAACAGGCGAGCAGCTCGATTGATCGAATCTAACAGTCACGGTCTATCGTGCGAAAAGAAGATTTCCGGCAAGGACCCTGAACGAAATTTCAGCTTTTTTGGCTGCAACCAAACCGAAATCTTTGGTTGTGACTTTTTTCTTCGCTGGTGTCGCTGCGTTGGTGTGTGGAGAAGCAGCTGCTCTTTCCACCCTCTCCATCATCTCCTCACCCGTTCCATCGATACACACATAACGAGATGGCGCCGAAGAAGACAACAGCAACAGCCACCCCCGCTGCCAAGACAAGACCCGCCCGGGCGGCAGCTGCACCTGCAGCAACAGCCACAGCTTCCGCTAGCAAGCCAAACACAAAGAAGCGTGCAGCCGCCGCCGCCGTGGAAGAGGTTCCCTCCAAGAAAGCGACTCGATCCAAAAAGCCAAACGCTGCTGCTGCTGCTGTTCCGGAAGAGCAGGACGCAACGGACGTCAACGAACGCGAGATTATCGCTTCGCTCTCGGACGTCTCTGCCGACTCCTCCGACTCTTCCGACATCGAAGTCGACGAGGCCAACTCATCCGATGAAGACGACGAAGACGACCGTCTCGCCCAGACCACCCAACCACGATCCTCGCTCGCCTCCGTCAAGCTGCCCAACTCCAAAGACGATGTCGTCGTCAAAGCGCGTCTCGACAAGCTCCGAAAATCCAAACCTACCGCTTCCTCCACCACTCCCGGTGTACTCTACATCGGTCGTCTTCCCAAGGGATTCTTTGAAAAACAACTCAAGTCCTACTTCTCCCAATTCGGCGATGTAACTCGTCTTCGTGTTTCGCGAAACAAAAAAACAGGTGCGAGCAAACACTACGCCTTTGTCGAGTTCGCCGACAGGGATGTGGCAAAGATCGTAGAGGAGACGATGCACAACTACCTGATCGATGGGAGGTTGTTGCAGGTGAAAGAGGTGAGCAAGGATAAAGTGCACCCGGAGTTGTGGGTGGGAGCCAATCAGAAGTTCAACCGGGTCCCGGGCGATAGGATCGAGAGGGTGGTGAGGGGGAGGGAGAAGTCGGAGCAGCAGCAGAGGACCTCGAACCAGAGGTTGATGGATAGGCAGCAGAGGAGGAGGGAGAAGCTGGAGAAGTTGGGCATCGAGTACGACTTCGAAGGGTATACGCAGGAGGGGGAGGGTGAGGGGGAGGCGAAGAAGGAGAGCAAGGCGAAGGCGACACCGGTCAAGAAGACGACCAAGGCGAAGACGGCGAAGGCTTGAAGAGGATGTGAGGGTCAACACATCGCACAGGCCATTGCCTTCCATCTCTGTACACACAATTCGTTCTCACTTTTACGCTTTCTCTTTTTCAGCAACACGGCATCATTTCTTCCCGTTTCACGTTCCTCCGCTTGACGCAGTGCAACGGATCTTCCGCCCTTTCCCTCCCTCAAACACTGACATCCTGCTCCATCTGCTCCACCATCTCCTCCTCATCCACTCCCAATTCCGTCCTGAACTTCTCACTACTCCCTTGAGCATCTCCACTCTCACCATCGCCCCACCTGCCCTCGACCCTCGTCTCTATATACCTCTCCACGACCAACTCTACCATCTCCTTCCAACTCTTCTGCCCCGGCGCTTCGACCTTGAACCTCGCTTTCTGCCCGAACGTCTTTTGCGCCACACCGATCAGCACGTCTGCCGTGAGACCCTTGATCAGCTGTCGGCTGGAGCGGAAGCGGTGTAGACGATACTCGCCGCCGAGCCAGGGGATATCTGTGTATGTGCGGAAGGCGTGTTGCGGAGGTCTGTGCTTATCCACACTCGCTGGGTCCGACAGCGTCTCCTCGCGTGGTGCGGTGGAGGAGAGGAACGAAGATAGCGGTGTAGACCAGATATCGGCTACTTCGGAGGGGTTTGGTCTGAGCTTCGCTATCGTTGAAGCCGCATTTGGGAGGAAGAAGATCACTGGATGCACCAGTAAACCCATCTTGCTGAGATACGGGTAGCCGGTGTGAAGGTGGACTACGGAGTCAGGAGGAAGGGAAATCTCTTCAATGGATTCTCGCAGCGCAGTGGTGACGACGGACGAGTCGGTGGAGTCGACCTTGCCGCCAGGGAGGGAGGCTTGTCCGGGATGAGAGCGGAGGTGGAGCGCTCGTGTGGACATGATCACGCGTATTTGCGGGGTTGAAGAGGAGGTTGTGGTAGATTCGTAGAGTATGGCTGCAACGGCGGCCTGTTTGCGTTTGGGTACGTGGTCGAGTGGTGGGGCGGAGGGGAGGAGGAGCAGGCGACGGATGTGGGAGGCGGTGGTGGGATGGAGCGATGATAGCCATGATGGGTCCGAAGCGGGGACGCCGTTTTTAGTCGTGGTTGACATCGTCGCTGAGACAGCAGCGTGGGTGCTGTGATGGTACGAAAGTAAAGCAGTGCTGAGTAGCAGGATGATGATGATGTTGTTGATCAAGAAGTAAGAGTCAAGTCGAGTCGGCTCTGGTTGAATTGGCGTGTGCGTCTCGGAATTTGCTCCGACTTCCGTGAATGTGGAGGCGGAAACACAAGGAGAAAAAGTGTTACTTTTGGCTCCTTCTCCTCCTCGTACACTTTCCACCATCCTACCATCGCCTCCCTCCCTCACCGCTGTCTCTTCGCCGGACAGCCACCTTCTATCCCGACCATGACCTCGCAATACGTCACCGAACCACCCACCTCCGGGCTCGTCCACCTCGTCACCTCCAAAGGCACCATCCCCATCACCCTCTTCTCCCACGAAACCCCGCTCGCCTCCCGAAACTTCCTCACCCTCGCCCTCGAAGGCTTCTACGACAACCTCCTCTTCCACCGTCTCATCCCCAACTTCATCCTCCAAACCGGCGATCCCTCCGCCACCGGTCTCGGCGGCGAATCCATCTACGGCGAACCTTTCCCCGTCGAATCGCACTCCCGCTTGAAGTTCAACCGCAGAGGCCTGCTCGGTATGGCTGCGAGCGATGAAAAGACCAACGAGAGTCAGTTCTTCCTGACGCTGGACGCTACACCGGAGCTGCAGGGAAAACATACGTTGATGGGCAAGGTGGAGGGAAAGGGCATCTATACGTTGATGGAGTTGGCCGAAGGGGTGGAGTTGGTGGAAGGGGATCGACCGAGGTATCCGATCAGGTTGAAGGAGGTGAGGGTTGTGGAGAATCCGTTTGATGATTTGAAGCCGAGAGTGACAAAGCAGCAGAGGAAGGAGGAGGAGAGGGCGAGAAAGGAGGAGGAGCAGAAGAGGAGGGAGGAGGAAGAAAAGAGCAAGAGGGGAAAGGTCAAGAAGAATACGGCGTTGTTGTCGTTCGGTGCCGAGGAGGATGGAGAGGAGATGGCGTTGAAGGGTCCGAAGAGCTCACATGATCTGTTGCAGGATCAGAGGCTGTCGAAGGACACGATCGCAGCCAAGGGGAAGAAGGCGAGGAAGGCTGATGAGGGATCGACATCAGCACATGTCGCTGCGAGCGAGATCCGATCCAAAGACGCTTCGTCTTCTTCTTCTTTAGCCGCGCTACCGCCAGCAGCAGCAGCACATACCAACGGTACATCCCGCTCATCCTCAAAGTCGTCCTCTGACGCCACCTCCAAACCCAACTCCAAATCCGCCAATCACTCCTCCTCGGCCCGCGACTTCCTCACCTCACAACGTGCCAAGTACCTCTCCCCTTCCTCCTCCTCCTCCTCCGCCAACAAACAAGATTCCTCCTATTCAGCCCTTCTCTCGTTCCAATCGCGTCTTCGTACCCAATCCACCTCCTCCTCCTCCTCTTCCAGCACGCTCAAACCCACTCCCACTGACAACGACGACGACGAAGAGGAAGCAAAGGAATACGGTGCGAGCGACGACGACGACGACTGGCGATCGCATCGCCTCGACGCTGGTGGACGACCTTTACAGCAAGGTAGCGGAGGAGGAAAAGATAGGATCGAGGATTACGAAGTGCTCGATCCTCGAGATCACGCCAACAAGCTCGAAGAAAAGCGAAGGAGGGAGGGGAAGAGAGGGAGAGATTGGGTCGAGGATGAAAGACGATATCGCGGGGACGATCGACGTAGTTTTCACGATGACAGGAATAGAGGGGGTGGTAGGACAGCGAGACGTGGTGAGGATGGAAGGAGATATCGCAGCAACGGTGACGGTGATAGACGTGACAGGTCCGATAGAGATCGAAGTCATCCCAGGCGGGGTTAGCCGTCTACGTCACACCTCGTCATCATCACCACCACTTCGACCTCTCAACATCGGTGCCACCATCCCATCCTCACGCAACGCAGCGCACACCCACACACACACACTAGTCATTCCAAATCAATTCATCATTTACAAACCAAAAGCTACACAAAGGATTCAACCTACAACTCATCCGGCGAAGGAGGCCTCGAGTACGCCGTCGAATACGGCACGCTCCCAGCCTCGGACCTACCATCCTCGGTCAGGTGCTCGTCAAAGTAGTGCGCCGCGGTCGACTTTGGCGTCCTCGGCGTCTGCGCCAACCCGTAGCTCGCGCCCGTCGAGTAGATCGTGTACGCAATGAGTCCCGTCCATCCGCACTGGTGCGACGCGCCCAGACCTTTACCCGTGTCGCCGTGGAAGAACTCGTAGAAGTGCACCAGATCTCTAAACTCGGGAGCATAGTCGAGCATGGGGATACCGCCGTTGTTGGCCCTCCTGCCCTGATCGTCCCGCAGGAAGATGCCGAGCAGACGATGTGACAGCTCCTCGGCGACGTGGCCCAGATGCATGTAGTCTCCACTGCCTGTGGGGCACTCCACCTTGAAGCTGTCTCCGTAGTACTGGTAGAACCTCTGCAGCGACTCGATGAGCAAAAAGTTGACGCAGATCCAGATCGGACCGCGCCAGTTCGAGTTACCACCAAACATGGGGCTGTGCGAGTCACCGGGCCAGTAGCCGACACCAAAGTCTTCGCCTCCAACGTTGACGTGGAACGGGTTCTTCTGATGATCCTTGCTGAGCGAACGCACACCGTGAGGCGACAGGAACTCGCTCTCGTCCAGCATACGCTTGAGGATCAGCTCGAGACGCTCGCGGCTCACCATGGACAGCAGACGCCGATCGCCTCGACCGCCCACCTTCATGTTGGCGATGTTGCGATCCGCCATCTCGGGTCGGTTGTCCAGGAACCACTGCATGCGCTTGGCGAAGCTCGGGAACCTCTTGAGCGCCGACGGCTCGATGGTCAGCGTGGCGTACAGCGGGATCAGGCCTACCAGACTCTTGACGGGGATCACCTGGCTGTTTCCGGGGCCCCACTGGATGGCGTCGTAGTAGAAACCGTCCTTGTCCGACCACAGGCTGGTGCTCTCGTCGTCAAACGTGTCGTGGAACGACATGGCGTCCGAGATGAAGATGAAGTGCTCGAAGAACTTGGAGGCGATGTCCTCGTAGGTCGGGTTGTGCTTGGCCAGCTCGAGCGCCATGTTGAGCATGTTAAGCGCGTAGAACGCCATCCAGGCGGTTCCGTCGGCCTGACGAAGCGTACCACCAGTGGGGAGAGGCTCGGAACGATTGAAGGGGCCGATGTTGTCGAGACCAAGGAAACCTCCCTCAAAGACGTTGGAACCGCTCGAATCCTTTCGGTTGACCCACCAGGTGAAGTTGATGAGCAGCTTCTGGAAGACACGCTCGAGGAAGTCGAGATCCTCACGGCCGTACATCTTTCGCTCGATCTTGAACACGCGGAAGGTGGCCCAGGCGTGCACGGGCGGGTTGACGTCCGAAAAGTTCCACTCGTAGGCGGGGAGCGCACCATCGGGCTTCATGTACCACTCGCGGGTGAACAGATCGAGCTGCTTCTTGGCAAAGGCAGGGTCGACCATGGCGAGCGGGATGCAGTGGAAGGCGCTGTCCCACACGGCGCTGAAGGGATACTCCCACTTGTCGGGCATCGAGAGGATGTCTTCCATGTGCAAGTGACGCCAATCGTGGTTGCGGATGCGCTTGCGTTCGGGCGGCGGCGCAGGCTGGCCGGGGTCACCTCGCAGCCACTCGGGCTGCACAAACATGTAGAACTGCTTGTTCCAGAGCATACCGGCGAGAGCCTGACGCATGACGTTCTTCATGTCATCGGACATGGGGCCGCTGATGAGCTTGGCGTAGAACTCGTCGGCCTCGGAACGGCGAGCCTCGACGGTGGTGTCGAACTGCTCGTCGTCGTCGATGGCAGGGTCCTGCGCGGGCGTCTTGGGAGTCAGCTTCATCCTGACGACGGCACATCCTCCGAAGGGAGGCACCTGGCGGAAGACGTAGTGGGCACCGGCCTTGGTACCTTCCTTGTTGGGGTTGACGTAGTCGCGAGGAGGCTTGGACTCGTCGGGCGCCTCGTAGTAGGTCTCGTCCTCGACAACCTCCTCCTCGATCTCGACGATCTCGTACTCCTGCTCGGCGGTTGGGCCGATGCTGCCAAATTGCTTCTCGGCAGCAGCAGCTTCGGGCTCAGCCTCGGCGGAAGCGCCGTTGGCCTTGGGTGCAGCGGTCTCGGGATCGCGCTGAATGGGACGCTTCTCTTCGCGAACGACTGTCTTTTTGATCTTGCGCGTCTTTTCGACAGACTTGGGACGGTCCTTCTCCTGTCGGTGCCAGGGGACAATGTGGTCGTGGAAGGCGTCCTTTGCATAGACGTTGCGGTTGTTGCCGTTGTACAGGCGTTCGAAGTTGGTCTCGTTCTCGGTGAAAAGGAGGTCGGGAATCACCTCGTCGTCCGAGACAGGCTCGGGGGCCTGGCCACGCTTGGCGGGAGGAGCGCTGGGAGCGGGACTGGTCGAGCAGTAGAGGTGGTAGCGGCCGAGCTCAGGATGGTCTGCCTGGATGACGTAGTCGCCGGTCTGCTTCATCTTGGGCTTGGGCGGCTCCTCCTTGGGCCAGAACCAGTAGTTGCGGAAGACGAGCTGGGGGATGATGTGAAGGTCGGCGGGCTCGTTGCCACGGTTGTAGGCGCTGATGCGGATCGAGATGGCGTTCTCCTCATCCTTGTCCTTTGCGTACTCGACAAAGACGTCCCAGTACTTGTCGTCGTCGAAGAGGTCGGTGTCGGTGATCTCGAACTCGGCCACGTCGCGGCTGCGGTTGCGCGACTCGCGCACAAAGAGCTCGTAGGGGTACGACTCTTGCGGATACTTGTAGAGCATCTTCATGTAGCTGTGAGTGGGCGTGCTGTCGAGGTACCAGTAGAGCTCCTTGACGTCTTCACCGTGATTGCCCTCGTTGTTGGCGAGACCGAAGAGACGCTCCTTGAGCATGCGGTCCTTCCCGTTCCAGAGAGCCAGACTCAAGCCCATCCTACAGTGGTTGTCCGAGAGACCAGCGAGACCATCCTCGCCCCAGCGGTAGGTGCGGCTACGAGCCGACTCGTGGGGGAAGTGGGACCAGGCATCTCCGTTGGACGAGTAGTCCTCTCGAACGGTACCCCACTGACGCTCGCTGAGGTAGGGACCCCAACGCTTCCAGTGACGCTTCTTCTCGGCGTCCTCCTGGAGACGCTGGTCTTCGGTGGAGATCCAGTGGTTGGAGCTGGCGCGAGCCTCGACGGCGTTGTTAAGGTTGCCGGTAGGACCGCGTGCGTGGCCGATGTCCTCCCCGCTGGCAGACTGACGACGCGAGTGAGCGGGAGTCTGTTCGCCTACGGAAGGAGCACCCTGGCTGAACGACTTGCGATGGTAGGTCTCGGGACGAGCCGAGTAGTGGTTCGGATTGGCGTACTTGGAAGCGTTGTCGGGATGGTAGTCTGCGCGGAATTGGTCAGCGTTGGTGCGCGAGTGGAAGGACTTTTTGTCGGAGATACCGACAGGGGTGAGATCGTCCTTGTCCTGGACAGAGCCGTTGATGGACTTTGCCTCGCTCTTGGGCTGCTTCTTGGGGAGCTCAGTGGCGGACGGGGCGGAAGCTTCCTGCTTGTTAGCCGGAATGTTGATGCTCAGAGGCTTGACGGATTGCGTTGCTTTAGACTCAGCAACCGGAGCGGCAGCAGCGCTGTCTGGCGTAGGAGTGTTGTCGCCGCTCTGAGCAGATTTGCTGCCGTTGGAAGACGTGACAGCTGCGGCGGTGGCAGCAGCGGCAGCCGAACCCGCAGCCGCTGCTGCAGCTACGGGGACACTTTTGTCGGAAGGCATGCGTTCAGCAGCTACCTGGGGCTTAGGAGCAGCCGACTCGGCCGTGGGAGTAGTTGCGGAAGAAGCCGATTGAGCGGGCGCAGGAGCAGGAGTGCTCTGCTGCGTTTCGGCCTTGGCGGCAGGAGCAGGCTGCGACTTTGCTTGGGAAGAAGCAGGCTTGGACGCGGTACGAGGAGCAGAAGAGGGAAGCGGCGAAGCACCGGCGGAAGGCGACAACGAGGAAGCGGTGGTTGTGGTGGTGGTGGAAGCCGCCGGGGTGGTGTTCTTGGAAGGAGTGGTGGGAGGGAACGGCGAGGAAGGGGTGGAAGGACTGGGTGAGGCGCCGCGGTCGGATCGACCAAAGATCCTCGAAGAGGCTTTACCTAGGGAGGCGGCCGGCGAGCTCGGGTTCGAGTTGGAGCTGGCCTGGTCCTCCTCGGATCGGACACGGCCGTGGCTGGAGGAGGAGGCGGACGACTTTGTGCGGCTAGAGCCAAACACCTTGCGTAGCTGCGAAGCCATGATTTTGTCACTTTCTCTGCAGCCAGAGGATCAGCCACGAAGGGAGGGGACAAAGGGGCGGAAAGCGATGCAACGATGGAGGGATGAGGTCGAGGAGAGGAAGGAAGGAAACAAGGCAGCGGAGGGCTAATCTGCAATCTGTCTCTCGTCGTGTGCCGAGCTCTGTCAATCAGGGTTTTGCTCGAAAAGCGATGCACGCCTGGGCGCGTGTGATTTTCGGAGAGGAAGAACGAGACAAGAGTGTCATCCGATGGAAGGGTGCAGAGCGCGATGGCGAGGGTTCAGCAAGCGAGACTCTACGGGATCATGGTCGATCCAGAATGGATCCGTGTACCAGTAGCCAAGACGATGCAGGATGACTCAACGGAAACCGAGGCTTGCCATTGCAGTCAAGGGCAACGAGACCAAACGAGGAAAAACCGGATGTGTTCGAAGAGTTGCAAGCTGCTGCCACCTCCCTGAGAAGTATACACACACCAAAGACGACCACGATTTATTATACAACTGTGATGGGAAGGCTTGACGCTCGCTCTGCCTCGAGACCGGCGACAAGCATCAGCGGAATACTGTGTCTGCAATCGCGAAGGGTGTGCAAGAGAGTCGTCAACAGCAGCCGGAACGGGCGAGAGAGCGGGCGGGATCGATATTGGACAGGCAGGAAGATCGGCGCGCTCGGGCCTACTGAACACTGTACCTGGCTGACCGCGAGAGACGAATTCTGGTGAGCAGCACTGAGCAGAGGATCGTCGACTGAGTGAATGCGGTGTGACGGCGGAGGAAATTCTGGAACTGGAAGCTAAGAAACAGATTCGCGATTGACGGACTGCAGCTGATGCAGCTGCTGCTGCTGTGGCTGTTGAAGGCGGAGAAGCAGACTCGCTTGCAGCATCGTGCAGCTGAAATTCGCGACTTTTTCCGTAGGGGCGAAAATGTGGCCCCAGACAACTCGCTTGCCGCTGGACGAGCAGGATCGTCGTTGTCGTCGCCTTTTTCTTCTTGGCCAATCACACGGCGAGCCTGCAAGCTATGCGCGTGGGCACGCAACGAGACAGGCACGCGCATACGAATTCCCCGGAGTCTCCTCCCTTTCTCTGAGCCGACAGCTTCGGCGTCCTTGCCATCTCGTCCCTCGGTAGTACATGCCTGTTGGTTGATCATCACCTCTGGCTGCTTCCTTCGCTGTAAGTGCGAGCTGTATCAGCGGTTCAGCATGCGTAAGCACGTAGCCCATTCTACTATGGAGGTCCAGGTGTAATCACGGCTCTTGGGCGTGCGATCGTTGAGGGCTGCATTGGAGCACAATCGGATCAGCCGTTCTCTTCGCCGTTTGCATCGATAAGAAAGTTCGCGCGGGGGTCAAGATTCTGGTGACGATGACGCGCTTCACAATCGCATCCAAAGGGGTCGGTCGCATTCAAATTGTCTCAGCTTCCTTGCTGCTTTGCACAGCAAGGTTCACCGAGATGACGATGATCGACAGCAATGGGCAACGTCTTGCAGCACCGTCCTCGTGGCCTGCGAGAGGATGCTGTCATCTCCGCAAAAGAGTGGGTGAGATCCGATCAATCACCTTTGTGCCCGCACGAAAAGTGTGATCTGGTACACTGTGATGGAGAAATCGGTGTCGGTGTCGAATTTCTGGGTTTGATCGGCCTGAACTCATTTTTCCATTTTTCTTCTCGATTGAGTTGCAAAATAGACCCTGACATCGCTGCTCACCATGGCTCTGATCCGATCCCTGTCCGGAGAAGCTCGAACCTGAGCCTCAGCATCGCCTTTGAACGCAAAGTGCTGACCTGCGATTGTAAGCTGCGCTTTCCAGCTTGAGCTGAACCCTTTCTCGAGTCCGCTAGCGAGCACCGTTGCCGAGCACGCACGCACAGACGGTCTACCGTCAGGTTGGGTATGCCGGCCGGCCCTGCCCCTCCTCAGCATCACGAAGCTCATCTCGACGACGACGACGATGACGACGACAGCCAGGTGGCCAAACTACCTTTACCTCCGAGCAACGTCCTCCGTGTAGCTCCTGGAAGACTCGTAGACGATGTGGATGAGGAAATCTTCCTCCTCTACACTCTTAACGCCAAATCGCAACATGATGGAGGTCTAGGATACGTCAATTCCTCCGACGACAAAATCTATGTCTCCATTGACGGCGATAAGTGGTCGTCTGCACTCTCGGATCGCAACTTGAGCGGAAAGATCATCGTTCCCATCTACCAGCACGTCACCAGTTTGCGATCGAGCAAAGGTGACACGGGAAGCGTACTGTGGAGGTCTACCGTGGAGCTCGCTATCCGGTTCCATCAAGGGACGCTGTTCGATCTGTCGCTCTTGAAGGATGCCTCGGTGCTCGAGCTGGGTGCGGGAACAGCTGCCTTACCTGCCATGGTAGCTTCCCTCGCAAGTTCTTGGCTAGCTACAGACCAAGATCTACTCGAACCGCTCATGCGCAAAAATACGGACGGCTACAACAACGTCACAGTAGCATCGCTCGATTGGTTCGACTTTCTCAACCCTCCATCCGCCCACTCTGCGCAGTTGAGGAAGAAGCACATCCTCGATCATGTATCTCGCCAATCACAAGGTCCAGATGTCATCATCTGCTGCGACTGCATCTACAACCCGGGCTTGTTCGACGCTCTCATCGCCACTCTCAACGTCTTTACCGTCAAGCAGAGGACCGTCGTCCTCGTGTCGTGTGAGATGAGGAGCGACGAAAGTCTGGCTGATTTCTTGACGAGGTGGAAGGCAAGCGACCAAGATTGGCGCATCGTCAGTTTAGAAGAGAGGTTCGAAAAGGGCTTCGTCGCTCTCGCCGCTTGGAAGGCCTGACGACGGACAGACCCAACAGCAACATTTTGCATTCATAATCGCATTCGCATCGCAAAGCAAATCACAAGAATCGTCATGGTCGCAAACGCAAACGAGAAGAGGAACTGTCCGTTGCAATTTCCAATCAATCAGAAATAACCCAGTGGAGACAAAGAAGAGAATGTGTCTGACTTGAAAAACAGAGTGAGGGAAACGAGGGAAAGAGGGAAAAGGGAGACAGGTCCTGCTGGAGATCCGTTTCAGACCGGTGACGAATGGCGACAGAAGCTGTTCGTCTCTCCTTCTGCACATCCGATCAGTTGTTGCCTTGACCGTTCGGCTTGGTGGATGGTGGTCGCGGTGACGGGCTTGCACCGCCAGCTCCGAATTCCGACGGCGTGACACCACCCATCGCCGATTGCGTCATGAATCCGGGATAAGGTGCGCCCATCATGCTCATGTGCGGGCTCGCCATGAACGGCATACTGCCCATCGGCATCCCCATGGTCGATGCCGGGGTGGCACCGGGCGAACCGTGTCCCATCATCGATCCGTGTCCGATCACAGATCCTTCCTGATGAGCCTGCGAGAGCGCCGACATGTACGCCATCTGCGCCGCCTGCATCGCTTGCTGCTGAGCCATCATCGGGTCGAAGCCACCGCCCATACCTCCCATCTGACTGCCAGCGCCCATCTGCGAGCCTGCAAAGCCGCCCATCTGCGGCATACCCATGCCCATCATGCCCATGCCTCCCATTCCGCCCATCATACCGCCCATCATCATCTGCTGGTACAGCATCGGGTTGAAGTAGGCCATCTGCTGCATCTGTTGCATCTGCTGCTGCTGCTGCGCCTGTTGCTGTTGCTGTCGGAGCGCATCTTCCTCGCGCTGGCGTCGCTCGGCTGCGACACGCTCACGCTCACGCTCGGTGAGCGTGGCACCGAAGCCACCGGCGCCCTTGCGATCGCGCTCGTGGGCCGTGATGGCGCCCAAGAGACCCGCCTGAGGAGGAGGAGGCTTGTTGGGCACGTTGACCATGTGGCTGCCCATGGCTCTCGCCTCTGCCTCTTGCGCCTTGGCCGATCGCTCCGCCTTGTCTTGCGCTCCGGCTTGCACCAGACCGTGGGGAGTGAAGACGGTCGTCATGGCGCCAGGCTGCTCTTCCGGCTTGAGCTGCAAGAACGTCTGACGATCGCGCACCACAGGACCCTGAGGCGGTGTGTTGGATCGAGAATCGTCTCCGTGAGCAGCACTGAGGTGGTTGTTGAACATGGATTGGCGCTGATATGCCTGGATGGATGGGTGCGTGGCTACGCCTCCTCGTGCAGGCGATCGACCTGGCGAGTCGGCACGCGAGCCACCCAGCATGCTAGCGCCGTAGCCAGAGGGAGAGCGCGGGAAGTTGCCTCCGGCCACTTGTGATGCTGCGTCGTTGGTGCGGCCAAGGCTGCCAACAGAGTCGGCGAGGTTGACGGGGGATTCCGTGCCTGGGCCACCTCGATTCGAGCTGGCAGCGGAGCGAACAGTGCCGACAGCTGGGGCAAGTTGTGTTGAGTTTCGCGCATTTTCGCGACTCTCATCTTCCTCCTCCTCGTCCTCTTCCTCGTCCTCTTCCTCCTCGCTATCGTCTACCCAACCAGGACGGCGAATACCCTTCGGTTTGGTAACGCCGGCACGACCAGGTCGCGAAAGAGCTTCCTGGTGCGCCTGGGCCTGAAGCTGCGCTGCAGACTTGCGTTCGGCCGCCCTCTTGTTCTGTCCAAAGGTGGAGGGATACTGGCTGGCACCCGGACGCACGCCATAGGTGCTGTCGACGGAGTTCTGCTGCGATATAGCTGCATTCGTTGCAGGTTGCGCCGGTAGCGTCGAAGACGTGGTGGACGAGACAGGGCTACGCTCTGCCGCAACAGGCTTGTGAGAAATCTCGTTGGTTGGCAGAGCCGGCGAAGGGGGTTGTTCCAAAAACGAGTACGCGGCGAGAGCGTCGTCGTTGATGGTGTCGTCCTGCGTCGGGTTGGAGCGTGCGCCAGCCGAGTTGTCGGGCTTGTTCTGCTCAGGCTGAACAGGAAGAGCAGGTGCTTGCTGTGGCTGATCCGAGGACAAGCGCGTGGTGTGTGTGTTCTCCGAGTGAATGGCCGAGGTGGACTCGGAAGCAGGCGCCAGACTCTGAGGGCGAGAAGCCTGAGAGCTTTCCTTTGTGACGACGTGGCGGCTCGGCGCAGACATGACCACAGGCTGCGAGGTGGCGGCAGGAAGCTGATCGGAGATGGAAGCCATGTAGAATAGGGCGCTCTCGTCGTAGTTGGTGGACAGCTCAGAGTCGCGCTTGGTTGAGCGAGGCTGTTCAGAAACGTTCTGATCTGCTCCGCGGCCAGACGGGCCAAACACGGCTGCGGGTCGAGGCGTGGTAGCCGTCGAAGTCTCGGAGGAAGGCGGCATAGCTGGGGCCTTGTCTGTGGGCGAAAGGTAAGCGAGCGAGGATGCCGCAGCGGGTGCAGTCTGAAGCGCAGGTTGCACACCTTGTGAAGGAGGAGGCTGGGTGGTCGAAGGACTAGGCAGGGCACGGATGCTGGACAGTTCTTCTTGATGGCCCCTCGAAATGAAAGGTGTGCTGGACTGTGAAGCAGGCGGGACTTGTGCAGCTTGAGGGACAGTAGCTGCATTGTTGACCGGCGCCGCGGCAACAGGAGCTGCAGGCGTTGACGCAGGGGCCTGCGCGGCTTGCGTGCTGTATGCATCTCGCAGAATTGGTTGCACCGCGTCCGGCTGTCCAGGACGAAGTCCGACAGGTGGGCGCGTTGAGTCGGACTCGAGGGACGCTGCTCGTGCAGACTCTCCATCTGTTGCGTCGCCTCTGACAGGATCTCTGAAGGCCTGTGAGACTCTGCCGATCTGATCGGAAGAGCGCGCCGAGGTATTGGAGCCGTTGGCGACCATGGGAGCACCCGCTGTGGGAGGTTGCTTTTGGGCAGAGGCAAAATCGAGAGGTGGCAGCTGCGAGGCAGATGGAGTTGCGCTGGCTCGGGAAGAGGATCGAGGCTCGTCGTCGTCGTCGGTCTGGGTGACAGCGCTTGCTTGCGGAGCGAGCGCAATCTGCGAGGGTGCTGGGAGCGGCTGAAGGATCTTGGTGCGTTCGCCTCGCATGCGAGCTGCCATGATGCCGTGCAGCGAGGATCGGGTCGTGAGGTGGTCTTCTCGAGCAATCTCGAGGAACTCGGCAAGCTCCCTGTCGAGGAAGAGACGATCCTTGAAAGGACCGATGGGATAGGCAAAGAATGGCGAGATGGGATCGCGCGCCTCCCAAACAAACGTCTCGGGTCGACCGTAGAGTTTGAAGCAGTCCATGAAGGCGATGAGCCACTTCATCATCTCTGCGTTGGCACCTTTGCTGCCGGCGGTCTCGAGCTCGGGCATGAGCATGACCCAGCCTGTACTGCGAACGCGGTGTGTAGCGGAGAGGACGGAGCTTGAGGGGAATACACCCTCAATCTTGAAGAGACTCGAGCCTTCCACGAGCTCGGGGCGGGAAGGATAGACGGCAAAGGCATGAGCAGCATAGATGAGGCTGGCGAAAGGCTTCTTGTCCTTCTTGGATTCGAAGAAGCTGGCCACACCGGGTGCGCCGTTGCTTCCGGGAGGCGGGGGCAATTCCTTGCCGTCGTTGGTGGGAGCTCCTGGCGCGGCGGTGGAGACGCTGTTGACGCTGAGGATGCTGGAGCGATCACCGCCCGAAGAGCCGATCTTCCAGAACTTTTTCTTTGCGCCAAATTCGGACTCGTCAGGTTTGTGATCAGTGAGGACGACCCAGACCTTTTTCCATTCGGTGGAACCCATGAAGCGAGCCTTGACCCAACCTTCCATCTTGCCTTTGACGAGGGGAGACTTGATTGACATTTGGGCGGCACTGACGGACGAAGGGTCCTTGATGGCATCCGGAGTAGCTGAGCCTGGAGAACCGACGGCGCCAAGTCGTGCGCGGATGAGAGCACCGGTGTAGATCTCTTCGAGGCGTACCTTTTCCCACGAGGCGAGGCGAATGGCGTTGATCCAAGCCTGAAGATGGCGGTGACCGAGGTTGAGCCAGCCGATGACGGTGCGATGCTCTGGCTTTTGTCGATGCTCTGGAGCAAGCCACTGCTCGAGCGATTCGGGAGGGAAGGGAGGAGGGTCACGGAAGCAAAAGATGGTTCGGTTGTTGCCTGCCGTGTTGATGGCGAAGGCGTGATGGTAGCGGCCGCGGCTTCCTGGAATGAGTTTGGAGTCCTCGATGAGAAGGCCGATGAAGTCGACAAAGGAGTCGGTGATGTTGATGTAGGTGGGTGGAACCTCTGCGCCACGCTTTGCAGCATCCTGCATCTGCTCGACGTTCCACAGGCTGAGAACGGTTCCAGAGAGCTGAACGAAGCATTCGGTCCAGCGACGCTTCTCATCGGCGACATGGAGAGGCTTTCCATCGGTGCCAAGGTCATCGCGCTTGAGGAGATAGCCTTCCATGTAGAGCTTCTTTTGCTGCGACTCCTGGAGACCAAGTGCGCTGCGCAGATCTTGGCTTTTGAAGGTGAGTGGGGTTTGGGGGGTGGAGCGGATGGATCTGGCAGTGGAACCGGCGGGCGAAGGCGGACGCTGCGACATTGTGGGACTGGAGCTGCCGCCTCCGCCAGCATAGTAGTCGGGATTGTCTAGAGGCTGAAAGGCCGACATGGGACGCATGCTGCCAGAGCGGTTGGAGGATTGTTGTTGCTGCTGTTGTGACTGAGGCTTGAACATCTGGCGTGAAGAGGAAGAGTTGAGCAGCACGCTGGTTGACTGACTGTGAGCATGACTCGGTTGGAAGGGGCGAGATGGAGCCGAGTTGATGGCAGAGCTGGGTGATGGAGCCATCTGACGGCCGTTGAAGCCTTGGACGTTTTGACTTGCGGATGGTGGAAATGCAGAGAAGGCGGAGGCACGATTACCTTGCTGTTCACGCGAAGCAAGCTGATCCGATTCGTAGGTGGGGCTAGAGCCCGACTGACGAAGGTTCTGGGAGGGGAACGAGTTGTTCATGATGGCTGGTCACCTTGACAGGCCTGCAAAGGCATGCACGAGAAGAGCGGAAGGGTGGTGTCGATGGATTGCAGCAGTCCAGTCAAGCTGAGAGTGACCGTGCGTGGAAAGAGTAGAAGCGAACGACGTCCCTATGATTAGATGAAAGGCACGGAGACGAGAAAGGTGAGGTAGGATGAAGGACGTGGTGGAGGCTCGAGCGATGGGATTGGGATTGAGTCAAATGTCAACGGGCTGTGCGACTCTGAGAGGGCGAACGAGAGTTGGTTTCAGCCAGAGTCAGTGTCTCTGTGTAAGTTACCTCTCGAAGTTTCCGTGGTTCGAAAATAGGTTTGCAGCGGAAATCAGAATGACGCCGACGTCGGCTTTGGTTCCAAACGAAACGGCAACAGCACAGCACAACACAGCAAGCGCCCACGCTAGTTACGGTGTTCATCGCACAGCCACCAACATTCAGTGAATTGAGAGTGTTAGGTCGATGGTATCACCGATTTGTCAAAAGTGAATATCGGCGAGATGCGCCCATCTGATCGTGAGATTCGGATTGAACTGTAAATGTGTGTCAGTGTGTCCGCAATCGGCTTTTCTGTTCTTTTCGCAGCAAGCCTCCCTGAGCGCCCAAAAATGTGAGACGTGAAAGCGCCGCGCTGAAATGCAACAACCGGTTCTCGTACTTTTGTCTGCATTCGAGCCACGGCCGCCGCGCATCGCATGCCGCTGTCGCGCTGCTGTCAATCACCGCTCTCCGCTCACTCTTTTCTTCCGGTCCGACCGAGCATTATCGCCGTCTTTATCATCATCATCATCATCATAACTCGGTTCCTCCCTCCTCTCGCATCGCACGGGCATTGCCACCTTTCTGGAAGCCATCAACGTCGATCGACGCTCGAATCTCGCGCAACGTCTGATCGCGGCTAGCTTTCAACACGTCCACCACCCTGGCTGCCGCGGCTGCTCCCATCTGGCCCACCATGGCGGTCCAATCCAAGCTTCGTCAGCAGTCCAGCTGGCTCACGCAGCTCCTCGATCCTCACAACAGGGCCAAGCAAGGTCTTGGTCTCGTCGCTCTCCTCGTCCTCTTCTCCCTCCGCAAGCAGCTCCAGCAGTGGCTCCAGCAGCGCAACGTGGTTAAGCTTGCGCGCGCACGTTCCGGCTCTGTCAATCTCGATGTCGCAGATGCTTTGAAACAGGTCTACCTGCCCAAACCAGACGGTTCTCGCGACTTGCTCGTCCCAAACCGTGGTCGTGTATCCAGGGTGCCCATCAAACCCACAACATCACGCACCTTTGACAACGACTATGCTGCTTTCCGCAAGCTTCCTCCCACTTCCGATGCAAGCGCAGCAAACGCAGGCAAGAAACAGCTCTCACAGCAAGACGCCAGCCGCACGCAGATCGAAGACGCAAAGGCCATGCGCGCAGAGGGCGGTGCTGCCGCTGCCACTGCAAAGAAGGTCGGCGTCAACAAGGAGTTCTTCCGTCAGCTCAAGGCCATCTTCCGCATCCTCATCCCGCGCAGAAACAGCAAGGAGGTCTTCATCTTCCTCCTCCACACATCCTTCCTCGTACTCAGGACCTACCTCTCCATGCTCGTCGCCCGCCTTGACGGTATCATCGTCCGCGACCTCGTTTCCGCCAACGGTCGTGGCTTCCTCCGCGGTCTCGGTCTCTGGTTCTTGCTCTCCATCCCATCCACCTACACAAATTCCATGATCCGCTTCCTCCAGTCCAAACTCGCCATCGGCTTCCGCACGCGCCTCACAAGATACGTTCACGACCTCTACCTCAACGACAAGGCCAACTTCTACCGCATCATCAACCTCGACGGCCGTCTCGATGCAGCAGATCAATACATTACCACCGACATCGCTCGCTTCTGCGAGACCCTCGCAGCCCTCTACTCGAACGTCTCGAAACCCGTGCTGGATCTCATCATCTTCAACTACGCCCTCAGCCGCTCTCTCGGTCCCCTGGGCATCCTTGGCCTCACCACAAACTACCTCTTTACCGGCTGGATCCTTCGACAGGTCACCCCTGCTTTCGGCAAACTGGCTGCCATCGAAGCAAAGCTCGAGGGAGACTTCCGCTCCGCGCACAGTCGACTCATCACGAATGCGGAAGAGATCGCCTTCTACAACGGTGCATCAATCGAAGCTGGCATCCTCAACCGCGCCTATATCCGTCTTGTTCGCCACGTCAACAGCATCTTCAAGATCCGAATCGCATTCAACATGACCGAGGACTTTGTGCTCAAGTACGCCTGGTCCGCTGCAGGGTACGTCATCATCGCCGCACCCTTCCTCTTTGGCCAGAAGAAACCGCAGTCAGAGTCGACCGATGCCGCGCTGCCTGCTGCCAAGCCAACCCAGATCGACAGCACCGTGGCGTCCAAGACAGAGTCGTACATCTCGAATCGTCGTTTGCTGCTCTCTCTCGCCGACGCAGGCAGTCGACTTATGTACAGTTACAAGGAGCTCGCCGAGCTCGCCGGTTTCACGAGTCGTGTCTACACGCTCATCTCGACGCTCCACTTGCTCAACAAGGAGCAGTACCAGGCTATGCCCAGACCCATCGACCTTGCCGCAGACACGCCCTTCTACGACCTCGGCAACATCCAAGGCGAGGTCGTTGTCGGCTCGGATACGGTCGCATTCGACAAGCTGCCCATCGTCGCACCGGCGCCTGGTCTGGAACGCGGTGGCGAAGAGCTCGTCAAGGATCTCACGCTTCGCGTCAAGCCGGGAGAGCACATTCTCATCACCGGCCCCAATGGTGTGGGCAAGACCGCCGTGGCTCGTGTTGTTGCTGGTCTCTGGCCTGTGTTCCAGGGTCGCTTGGAACGACCGTCGATCAACGACATCATGTTCCTACCGCAGCGACCTTATCTGTCGGTGGGCAGCCTTCGCGAGCAGGTCATCTACCCTTACACGTATCCAGAGCATGTGGCATCGGGCAAGACGGACGAGGATCTGCTCGACATTCTCAAGGACGTACATCTGGCCTACCTGCCTAGCCGAGAAGGTGGATGGGAGACACGCAAGGAATGGAAGGACGTGCTTTCGGGAGGTGAGAAGCAACGAATGGGCATGGCGCGTCTGCTGTACCACCGACCCAAGTTTGGCATCCTGGACGAGTGCACTAGTGCCGTATCGACGGATGTGGAAGGGTTGATGTACGCCAAGGCCAAGGAGCTGGGCATCACGCTCATCACGATCTCACACCGACCTTCGCTGTTCAAGTACCACGAGGTGCTGTTGCGTCTGACGGGCGAGAACGGTGCGTGGGAGACCGACTTTATCGGTGCCGAGACGGAGCAGTTGAGCATGGAGCACGAGATTGAGGATCTGGAGAAGAAGATGGCAGAGGTGGAAGGGTGGAAGACGCGCATCGGCGAGATTCAGGAGGAGCTTTCGTTTAGCAAAAAGTAGCGGCATTGTTGTAATCAAACAGGCTTGTAACACACACAAGATGAGAGTAGAAAGGGCTAGCTGATGGTGATGACCTGCCATGTGCAAGCGCCGGCCTTTTCGGCGTTCCATCGGTCTGCGCCGCGAGCTGCAGCACCTGCCAACTCGACCTGCAGTTTAAAGTGACCCTTGCTGAACGAATGGCAAGGCTTGAGTTGAAGGTGCCATTCCATCCAAACAGCGGGACCTGCGCGGTCATTCGCTCCTCCTCCTTTGCGCTGTGGCTCGCCGAGGTCGGCTACGAGCTGCTTGCCTGTGGACTCGTGCGCGATCACGGCTTTGCGCGGATTTGCCTCAGCCCCGGGCGAGACAGCATCGACCTGCAAAGGAAGGGCCGTAAAGCAGCTCCACCGTTTGTCGTCGTGGCCTGAGTAGACGTCGATGGCTGCTAGCCGCAACTCCTGCGGTGAACAAGTGGAAGCATTCGTGTTCGGTGAAGTAGCTTCATCTGTGCAATCAGAAAAAGTCAGAGATGTTACTTGTTCAGCTCGGCAGCTATTGGAGCAAGGAGATGCTGCTTACAGTAGACTTACACTGCAGGCTCAGACCGAGTGTGTGGTAATTGTGATAGACGACATCGGGATACGCTTTGACGTCTGGCTCGACAGTTGCCGGGGAGTCGTGAAGTTGACCGAGCAGATCCTGAACGTTTGTGTGGGTCGAACTTGAGCCAAGCACGCCGACGAGCGCTTCGATCTCGATCATGAATCCTCGAGGCCAAAGTTGACAGCTCAATCTAAGGCGGGATCTTGACGGATCATGCTGTGCGAGAGAGATGACGAGGATGTTGTTGCAAGGCAAGACGAGGTTTGGCACTTTGTGCGAATCCCTTGAACTTTTGTGGAGGCCAAGCAACTTTGTCGGAGTCTATCCGAATTGTGGTTGCCGAATTCCGTGGAGGGATTTGCTGGGAAGTGTTTTGTGCACACGCATCCTCTCCTTCATATCACCAAATCACACAGCTCACCTTGGAGCTCTAGCGCTCAGTCAACGCAGATAGAGCGGCCATGCTGAACGACTGAGACGCTGCTCTCACCTCCTCTCCGTCACTCGCATCACTTGCGCATGCACCAAAGCGCTCTACAGCATGGACGCCTGGTCGAGTCCATGGGGTGACGACCCCGTCCAGCCTGTTGCGTCTACATCCAAGCGCATCGACACGGACGCTACCTCGGCGCTGGAACCGTCATCAAGGCCGCCCGCTTTCTCGTCACTGAGTTCCTTTGATGCCTCCGATCCATGGTCTACCGATGTTGCAACACCGGCCGCCGAGTCAAATCCTTTGCCAGACGCCGATACGTCAGTACCATTAAACGAGCAGGTATCTGTAGCGGCAGACGAAATTGCTTTTTCGAGCAGCCCCTATGCTTCGGCCAGTTGGGGCGATGCGTCCAGTCTTCCAGCGATCAAAACGGACGATGCTCCATCACCGTCTCAAGCCGCTGCCCCTCCGTCTGATCATGACGAACAATCACCAACAGCACCCAGCCGACAGCAGTCACTTTCGTCTTACGATCCTTGGGCAGCCGACTCTAGCTCTACGGGCTGGAATGATCAGCCAGGCTTCGCCTCTTCCGCAACTGTCCGTTCAGATCCAGAGTCACAGTCCACCGCTTGGGGTGCGTCCGAGTTCAGCACTCCTCTACCGAATCGCCCGATACGCGACCTTGCAACCACACAAGGTGCCGAGACCGACGACCAGCAACAAACAGGTGCAGGTGGAAACTTGGATGTATGGGCAGCAGAAGCCTCTTCTCGCGACCAGAAAGCCCGCCATCTGGATCGAGAAGCGATCGACAGACTCAAAGTTGACGCTCGGAAGCTCATAAGTAGCGTCAATACAGAAGAGCGCACGCAAGCCAGCTTTGCAGACCCCAGCATCGGTGAAGCAGCATGGACGGACCTCTTCGGCAGTCAAGGCACCCAGCGTGATAAGCTTCATCTACTACAGTCACCACCCTCATCGCTCATCTCCTCCAACGGCGCGCTGCGTCTGCATGGCCCGCTTCCTACACCCGCGACCTCAGATCGACTACGAAGCTCGATTTCCAACACCGAACATCGCGGCGTAAAGCTGACGTCGCTGGACAACACTTCCAGCTGGCAGAGGGGCTCTCGACCACTCACCAAAGCAGACTGGCTTCCCGACCACATGGCCGGCGAAATTGATGGTCTCTCTCTTTCGAGCACCAACAGCAATGCCGAGCTCTCTGCGCCTGGCACCATGTCTGGGCCTGGTTGGGCGCAGACTTCGAGCAACGAGAACCGATCCACCTCTGGCCCGAGCTTTCTTTCTTCCTTTTTCAAGGGTCGACATCCGAGTGCTGCTGCTACTGCTGCAATCAACTCTCAGGAGAAGGAGTCCAGAAGCTCTTCCTCGTCTTTTGAAGCCGCGGCCCGCACCTCTACCAGTGCACAATTCGAACCGTATCAAGACAACGCGGCAAGCAGATACACCGATGATCCTACAGGTCCTGATCTCATGTCGCTCCAAACGGCCGCTGCAACTCAACCTATTTCCCCACCGAGTGTAGCTCCAGCTGTGGCACCGGCGCAAGGTCCTGGCCTGCTAAGCAGATGGAGGAACAGCGGTCTGTTCAAGTCGACTGGCAAGAAGCAAAATCCGAACTGGGCGTCATCATCTCTACGAGCAGACGATCTGGATTGGCTCGAAGAGCATGAGAGCAACGACTCGAGGACGGAAAGATACCACTACGATGACGAAGATGCCGAAGACTCATTTGCGAGCTTTCAGAATTCTGCTCCACGGCCGGTGTCTGCGCCAGCGCGAAATGTAGCCCCACCAGCCGCCAAAGCAGTCGATCCGTTCGACAACCTGTTCGGACCAGCAGTTCAGACCAGTCTCAACTCCGGCGCAGGCGCATCCGCCACATCGTCGGCACGCTCGAGCCTGTCAGCCGGTCGCATGAGTGGCGAAGGCGGCATGATGACCATCAACACCAACTTGGCACGAGCAAACAGCCTGGCAAGGAAGAGTGCCGCATCACCGCTCCAGCCACCGCCTCAGGCGCAGAACAAGAGGCTGTCGTTTGCGCCACCTCCCCGCGCCAATGCCGGCTCACCTATGCTCGCAAGTCCAGCTAGCACGTCAAGTCAGAGACCGGCGCAAACCATCTCCGATCCTTTTGCCGACTTTCTGAGCGATCCACCTCCGCAGCAGAGTACCGGACCGAATGCTTCCAAGATACCCCCCGGACCGACAAAGCCTAGCGCACCGTCAGCGAATGGCAAAGGAGGTGGTTTGACTGCCGATGATTTGCTGTTCTTTGACAGTCTCTGATGCTTTGTCAGAATGGAATGCAATCCAAAAGTGTTTCGCCGCCCAGCCGTCTGTCAATTCGGCTGACGTGCAGAGGCCAGTCCAGAAATTGTGCGGTGATGTGGTGAAAGATGCGAGGTGTACTGGTACAGTAATCTGAAAGTAGTGACAAAGTTATTTGGATCCTTTTGTTTCCTTGAAGAGGACATGCTTGCGTACTGTGAGCAATCGAGCAATGATGAGATCCGTCAATTGATCCGCCCTGCAAAGTCGACCTCGAGTGGAGAGTGTGATCAAAACTTACCTTTGGGGTCGTACTTCATCATGCTGAGCCTTTCCGCTACTCTTGTTCGGCGTGTTGTGTACATGAAGCCGGTACCCGCCGTCGAAACCAAGCGGGCAATCACCACACTGTTTGCAAGCGACAGAAACGCCAAGATGAGATCATTTGTCAGCAAAGCTTGGCTTAATAAGACAGCTTTCCGCCACGATTGAAGCTTACCGTGCTTTCGACTTGACCGCCATGGTGTGGACCGAATTGTGAAAGGCAGGAGATGGTAGTGGAGAGGAACAATGATGATGAGCAAGAATCAAGTTTCGCATTTTTTGGCAGAACACTCCAATTCAACTGCCGAATTCCGAGCTGTTTTTCGCTTTCTTCTCGAGTGTCACAAACATGAAACCTTCTTTCTCCTCTCGACTTTGACTCTCACTTTTGCTTTCAATTCACTCACGAGCGATTTGCAACACTGTACGACCGTCAAGGTTTCGAGGAGTTGATTGCATGCTCTGTGTACTTGTTTAATCAATCTCAAACCATAAAGGTTCGCTGAAATCTATATCGCGAGCGCAACATTTCGCCAGCGCGTGCGGCCTTGCGCGACTCCTCTACCTCAGCAACGCTCGAAAGGTTGCTGCTCTTGTTCGGCGCATTGGTGGTGGTGTTGTACGTTGCATCCGGAGGTAGCACCTCGAACTGCACTGTGCCGTTGCCTTCGCGGTACGTGCTCTTGGCAGGGCCACTAGTCCTGTACGTGCTGCTTGGAGAGATCTTCTCCTTACCAGTGGCCAGATCTGTACCGTTCAGCACCCGTTCAAACATCTCCAGCGATGCCAGCGGCTGGTAGAATGGTACCTCGTGTCCACTCTCGTAGATACGGACAAACGAGAATCGGCCGCTCTGCTTGACCTGTCCGTGCACCACGCCGTCAGACGTCTCGAGATTTTGGTAGCCAGCCTGGTCGAATCCCTTGTGCTTGACTTGCTCGGCGATTACCTCGCCTCCCAGCCAGTTGCAGTTGTAGTCGGCATCGCCTGCGTACATTACCACCTGCACTCCCTGGTCCAGCAGCGAGCGTACGTCCTCGATCGTAACTTCCTCCCGGCCGTCATCGCCCGTGTTTCCAAATGCATTCGAGACCGTCGACGAGCTCTCGCTGAAGTTCTGGAACGCTCCGATCGCCTGTTGGAACGTAGGCGTGTTGAGGTAGTCCACGTAGAAGCTGTACGGGAACGGATCCGGCGAAAGCTCTCGAATGTCGTACTCGTCACGGTTAGCGTAGTTGTCCAAGATCGACTCGACGTTGTTGGCGCAGAACGTGTCAGCGGTGCTGCACACCTGGTTGGTGCCCGTAGCATAGCAGTCTCGGATCTGATCCAAGCAGTTGCCCGGTCCAAACATGTTGTTGTACATCATTTGCTCCACCGAAGAGTTGAACGGTCGATAGTCGTACGTGTTGCCTGGCGACACGGTGAAGTTGTAGTATGCTGCGTACTGAACTTCGGGCGAGTACCAACCGTTGCCGATCATCACAGATTTGAGCTTGATCTTGTGCGCTTCTGAGGCACCGCGGGCGTTCTGCTCTTCTATGTACTCGTTGAACACTGGTCCGTAGTGACCTCCGTACGATTCGGTTGCAAAGTGGAAGTCCTCGCGAGAGTACTGTGGGAATGCTCCCATAAAGCCTTGCAGCGTCCGGTAGAAGTTCTTGGCCGCCGAAACGGTCGAATTGGCCGTCAGCGTGACGTTGGCTGCCGAATACGTTCCGCACGTGCCGTACGCTTGCGCATACTCTGGGCACTCCTCGCTCGGAAGCGCCACCAGCGAATCCGTGGATGGATCCACATAGCCCGGCACCAGCTTGGTGTACGAGAATCCTGTGGTTGCCGGCTGATCGATGAAGATCATGTTGCTGACGTTGTTCCAGGCATACGGGTTGTTGACTACCGTACCGTTCGAGTCGACATAGCATGGACCAAGCTCTTGGAACAAACCGATCATGGACGACGATCCCGGTCCTCCGTTGATCCACACCGTGAGAGGAGCATCTTCCGGCTTTCCATTGCGTGCCTCGAAGAACCAGAAAAAGATGTGCTCGTCCTCCTCGACGTCGACGTAGCCGGAAAAGCTCTTGACATTGGGATCTGTTTCGCACGTGCCGGTTGGCACTTGCTTGTATCGCACCGGGATGTCTAGGTAGCCTTTCGTGGTCTTGAGATCCGTAGGAGCTTGTACAAATTGAGCGGAGATAGCGTTGAGGAGCAAGAGCGTGGCGGATACCACACCCAGCAGGGATTGCGCGATCATCTTGGCGCTCTATAGTCTACCTGAGCGAGCTCGTTGGCATGTACGCGCCGAACTTGCCAGCTATCAGCCTCTCTTTATACTTTCCGTCGCAGAGCTCGTCCTGCCTCCTTGGTCTGCCGGATCCCGCACTGACCCCTTGTCTCCTGATCAGCCGCGTGAGACTCGTCGATGCATGATGCCGCAGGCAAGCGAGACTAGTGTGTGAGCTCTGCCGCAGGTAATGGTCGGCTGTCTACCTTCCGACATGCGAGACCATCGTGCAAAGACATGTTCGGCTCCTCGCTTATCGGTTCTTCTGAAATTGTTCGGCGACTTTTTCTATTATCGCGGCAAGGATTGCCGGTACGTCCTGATTGGGCGATCTTGTTTGGCTCCGGGCTTCTACTGTACATGCCCACACGACTGCATGCTCTCTTACTCTCTCCCTTCCGATGTCGGCTCGCTGCCACACTCAGGCCAGAGTTTGATGTGCTGTCTCGACCAAGGCCGGCCCTGGACATCACGCGGCAGAGCTCGCACTTGACGCATTCTTCGAAACTTTGTGCGACGTCGTTCGCTGATTCCTTCGGCCCCACTCATTTAAAAGCCATTCACTGATTCTGGCGTGGTCCTGGATGTAACATGTCTTTGTCCGCTTTGTTCATCCCCGTGAGATTGTTCGCCCCATGGACGACGACCAAGATCGCCTAGAACAATGTGTGCTTGTGAGATCCATCTGAAGAGCTCCAGAGTCTCGACCGTTTTTTTACGGCAAATCCGGGTAGCGACACGCAATCGCCAACCGCTTAGTAAATATTGTTGCTTGAAACTTTCTTCCTTGTATTAGCTTTTCCAACGAAAAGATTTGATATGATATCGGTAGCTTCCGACGAGCGCTAACGCGGGGTATTTCGTGTGCCTTTACGGGCGAGGAAACGTGTTGTAGCACGTCAAGCATCTTTCCAGACCAAAAAGGTCTGCTCGCGAGGTGGGTCAATTCTTGAAACCAGTCCCAAACCTGGCTAGCCTACACAATCAATGATGATTGACAATTTTATTTATCCGTCAGTGCCGGCCACGATACTGGCTTCTTTATTCGGTCTGTTTGTCGCGATATTCGCCAGCTGGCGACTTGCCGTTCTACTACCTGCCATCGCTTACTCGTTAATAATCAGACAATATTTGTGCTCATGTCCAATATTTATGGCGATTGTAATTCTGAATAGGCATTCGTACTATCTCTGCCTTTCAAATTCTCTGACAAACGCTTTCGAGTGTAACGAATGATTGCACAAAGCCGGATAGCCATAGATTGCAACAAAGGTCAGTTTGCATGGCTTTAGCCGAGACAAGACTCTTGCCGTCAAAATCATTCATCGTCATCAGAGAGATTGTCATACGACGGATTGCTTGCTGTGACAGATGTTCAGAATACAGGTATTTGAGTCTCACCGGCACTGCCCATGCTATTGAATATTGAGCATTTCTGTCATCGCTGGAATCGAAAGCAAATCACTACCGACAAATCTTTACAGCAGAGGACTAAGATCGACTGATGCGATTCAATTTAATCGCTACCCAACTTTTAGCCATTTGTTGCTATTCCACTTTCTTTTTTACTAAATATACCTTGGCGACAATCTGAGTGAAGCAAATACCAAAATAATATTCTGCATACAAAACTCTGTCGCAATACACATCAATGAATCAGGTGTTCTTGGCCCGACAGTTTGACGGCCAAAGAGTGCCCGAGTGTTTTGCCCCAAACGAACGTGGTTCTTGATTCGATTTTCCCCACATCCGTCGAGGTGTCTGGTCAGCGTTTGCTCAGGTGGAGTCGAGCATTGTTGCAAATCAGGAACAGAAGGGTGCTGGCCGATCTCGCGTCCAAGTGACTGCTCGTCCAGATCATTGGAACCGGGCCTCTGGGCACCGTAAGCGAGCTGATGTTCGGGGCACGTGGCGAGCCTTCCGCGAAGGGTGTCACTTCTTGGTGCAACCGCCGATGCTGATGCTTGCCGCGCGCGTGGGATCGTAGGAGCGCATCAGGTGCGTCAAGAGAGGCTGACACCGTTCGAGGTCGGTTCGACGGGCAGGTCCCAGGATAGGGAAGATAAGCCTCGACTGGAGCTGTCAAACAGCATGCAGCATACGGACCGATGGATCGTCACCATCGCACTGCACAGGAGGGATGACGGCATGCACGCACTCGTATTAGAACATAGACCGGAACAGGATTGCGGAGTGCCCGCTCACGAACCAAGCAGACGCACCCACAGCTTGGTTTATTTACAAGGCATGTGTGATGACGGCGCGTGCATGTGGGTCTGCAGGATTTTCGTGGACCGCTCCTTCGAGCCAACGCGCGAAGCCACGCCGATCTTGGACGATCCGAGGCTTCCTGGCTTGCATGGTGCCAAGGAGGCTTTCTGAAGCCCTCCGTTGGCCAGGTGTCGCAACCCTTCGGACGCTTCGTCGAGAAAATCGGATGTACCGCCCCGGGCGCAGAAGCGTGGGAGGTGACTGATGCTTGCTGGAGCTGCTGGCTGGCTGAGCGTCCCTCGCCAGATGCATGCGGGGGTGGAAATTGGCATACTGCCTCTTGCCAGTCAGACCCGCGAATTCGTGACGCTGATTGTGGAGGCCCGCGCGATGTTGCTGGCCTATCGATTTCGGATCTTCGCGAAGATCACACAAGGCAATCGCAACACTACTCGCAGGACCCGTTCGATTTCAGCGCAAGCGAGATTGCCTCAATCTCGTACATGCTGTTTGATGATTGTACACTGGATTCAGTCACCTGCCCTCTTCGCCTTCTTCTTCCCGCAACGTCTCGATTGCGATCTTGAGACTCTTTCTCCACACCACCTTATCCTTCCTCCTCCTCTCACTACTGGCCCCCGCCATCTCTCCTCCCACCGGATTTTCGCCCTTGATACGTTTCTCAAGCCCTCGTATCTCGGTGCATACCCAATTCGATGTCGTCCACCAAGGTGACTACCAACGGGCACGGCTCTGAGAGCCGCGTCGAGCCAGTCAAGGTGTACGAGCTCGTCCTCGAGCAGGATGGAAGTCCCGACGAGCAGAGGTCCTACATAAGACTTCCTGCTCCCGTGCAGCCCTACGTCCTCCGCTTCTCCATCGAAGCTGGCGCTACGGCATCTAGCGATGCTTACCTGTGGACCAACTATTCCAACAAGCGGAGTACATTTGAGCGTACCTCCTTCGAAAAGACGCCCTTTGCTTCATCCGCTTCTTCGGCAAATCGAGTCGACCTCCTCATCAAATCGGCCGGTGTCTTCGAGTTCTACGTGGAATACACCACCGACGAAAACGACAAGGCAGCTGGTGACCTCTTTGAGAGCAAAGAGCAAAAGCCAGCACGCAAGAGGGGCAAGAGCGGTTACTTCAACGTCGATCCCATCCTCAACGTAGCGGTGCGTAAGCCCATCCTTGGCGATGATGGAAAAGCTCTTTCCTCCAAGCAGGGTGGCGGTGCTATCACGGGCAAGGAAGACTTCCTCGCCCTTGACGGCATCGTCCTCCAGACGCTCATCTCTAAGTGGGCAGGTCCTCTCGCAGAATGGAGCGTCCATCTCGATTCCGCCCGCGATGCCGGATACAACATGATTCACTTCCCGCCACTCAATGTGCGCGGAGCCAGCAACAGCCCTTACTCCATCGGCGACCAGCACGACTTTTCCAACGATCTCTACCCGACGCAGATTCAGGGTCCTGAGCACAAAGCAGAGCGCATCAAGCAGCTCACGGCAGTGTTGAAAGACATGAAGTCCAAGCATGGCCTGCTCAGCATGAGCGACGTCGTCTGGAATCACACTGCACACAACAGCGAATGGCTCAACGACCACCCCGATGCAGCATACAGTCCCGCCAATTCTCCACATCTTCAGCCTGCCGATGAACTCGAAAAGGCACTCTTGAAGCTCAACAGTCGCCTGCAGGACTACGGTATTCCAGAAGAGATCAAATCCGATGCAGACGTCGCCAAGCTCATCGACGCCGTCAAGCAGCACGCTGTCAGCCCCCTCAACCTCTGGCAGTATTATGTCATTGACGTCAAGGCGGCCAAGGAAAGCTTCGAAGCTGCACTTTCTTCCAGCGAAGCTTCTTCCGCCTCCAAGAATGCCACCCAGACCAGTCTCAAGGCTGCCGCCGAAAAGATCCGAGCATCTGCCGTGCAGAATGAATTGACGCTCGCGGGCCGATTCGCCACCACCATTGACGTCAAGGAGGCTCTTCGAGTCTTCCGATCCGATCTCGGTCTGACCGATGCTGAGGAATCGATCAATTCCTTTGCCAAGGTCATCGACGAGGTCAACGCTTCCTACTACTCTACATACGACGATGATGTCAAAGCGATTCTGAGCAACCTCGAGGGTCGTCTCAAGTTCACAAGACTCGACCCTAACGGCCCACAGCTCGGAAAAATTTCGCCCAAAAACCCATTCTTCGAGCCCTACTTCACTAGACTGGATCCCAAGCACCCTAGCGCAGCTGGTCGCGATGCCAAGGAGCTCTCTCTCGCCAACAACGGATGGATTTGGGCAGCCAACCCACTCGAGGATTTTGCCTCGAACAAGTCGCGTGTCTACCTCAGACGTGAGCTCATTGTCTGGGGCGACTGCGTCAAGCTCAGATACGGGTCCGGTCCGCAAGATTCGCCGTACCTGTGGAAGCACATGGAAGAGTACACCAAGCTGCTCGCCTCCAATTTCGATGCTATTCGAATCGACAACTGCCACTCGACGCCGATCCACGTCGGAGAGCACTTCCTCGACATCGCCAGAAGAGTCAACCCAAACCTCTACGTCTGCGCCGAGCTCTTCACAGGTAGCGCCGAGATGGATGTGCACTTTGTCAGCCGTCTCGGTATCAACTCGCTCATCCGTGAAATGGAGAACGGTCATGACCCCAAGGAAGAGAGTCGACTGCTGTACCGATTCGGTGTCAACAAGCCCATCGGATCCATGGACGGTGCCTGTCTCACCACCGCAGCCAAGATCTCGTTGCCCGAGGCCAACTTGAAGGACGCCGACTGCCTCGTGGAGCAGCTGAGCGGCTCCAGCCCCCATGCACTTTTCATGGACGTGACTCACGACAACGAGACGCCCACAATGAAGCGCACCACCGAGGATGCCATCACGATGGGTGCTCTCGTCGCCTTCTCGTGGTCCGCCATCGGAAGCACCAAAGGTTTCGACGATCTCTACCCCAAGACACTCGACGTGGTGCAGGAGAGTCGTCTCTATCGTCCGATCAGCAATCCAGAGGACAGCGGCATCGGCTCCATCAAGCGGGTCGTCAATCATTTGCACGTCGAGATGGTTCGCAGCGGCTACACGGAGGGACACGTCCATCAGGAAAGTGATTACCTGCTGATGCACCGCGTCCATCCGCAGACGCATCGCGGGTTTGTCTGCCTCGCGCACACTGCTTTCCACAAAGGCTCCAAGGACCGCGGACAGGCCGGCCCTTTCAAGCTCGATCGCACGCGCGTCACCTACATCCTCGGCAAATCTCTCGAGGTTACCAGCACCGATGTCGCCAAGGATGACAAGTATCTCGATGGACTTCCTTCCAAGCTCGTCGACCTCGCCGAGCCGGAGGTCCGTGTGACCCAGGACAACGGTCGTCTGCGATACTCCGAGATTGTAGTTCCCGACTTCTTCCCGCCTGGTAGCGTCATGCTCTTCACAACCGAAATGGAGAACATCGACCGTGACATTGACTCTCAGTGTCTCTCGGGAGCAGACGAGGCGATGGCCAACCTCGACCTCGTCGATCTCAATGCGGTACTCTACCGCGCTGATGGCGAGGAGAAGGATGTCACAGAGGGAGGTGATGGTGTCTACACCATTCCGAACAGCGACGCTCTCGTCTACTGTGGTCTCGAAGGTTGGATGGCTATGCTGCGTCCCATTATCCAATCGAACGACCTCGGCCATCCTCTCTGCGCTCATCTTCGTGATGGCACATGGGCTCTCGACTACGTGCACGAAAGGCTCGTCAAGCAGACCAACGTTCTGCCTCGATTGGCCGAGCCGGCCAAGTGGTTGTCGCAGCGCTTCGACCTCATCAGGGACACTGCCCCGAACTTCATGCGTCCCAAGTACTTTGCTCTGGTCATGAAGGCGGCCTACGACGCTGCCGTTCGAAAGGCTCTGTCGCGAATGTCACCTATCATCAAGGACGGTCACGACTTCATCAAGGCGCTTGCCCTCTGCTCTGTGCAGATGAACGGCGTGGTAAAGTCGGCTTCGTTGTGGCCAGACAAGCAGGTAGCTTCCATGGCCGCAGGTTTGCCCTTCTTTGCTGCCTCTTGGGCCAGATTGTGGGGTCGCGATGTCTTCATTTCCCTCCGTGGTCTCTACCTGGTCACTGGAATGTTTGAGCATGCGAGAGAGCACATCCTGTCTTTCGGCTCGACGCTGAAGCATGGCATGATTCCCAATCTGCTCGATTCTGGCAAGACGCCCCGATACAATTGCCGAGATGGCCCTTGGTTCTTTGCTCAAAATGTGCAAGACTACACCAAGATGGTGCCGAACGGTGAAGCCATCTTGAGCGAGAAGGTCGCCCGTCGCTTCCCACTCGACGACGAATGGGTCCCATGGGACGATCCCAAGGCCTATGCCCACAAGAGTTCTGTAGCTGAGCTCATCCAGGAAATCTTGCAACGTCATGCGTCAGGCATTCACTTCCGCGAGTACAATGCTGGACCAGCTATCGACAACGACATGCACACGGAGGGATTCAACATCGATGTCGACGTCGACTGGGAGAGCGGTATTATCTTTGGAGGCAACGAGCACAATTGCGGAACGTGGCAGGACAAGAATGGATCTTCCTCGAAGGCCGGCAATAAAGGTGTTCCAGGTTCTCCTCGTAACGGAGCTGCCATCGAGATCACTGCACTGCTGAAGAGCACCCTCTCTTGGGTCGCCGATTTGCAAAAGAAGGGAGTTTGGAAGGAGGCCAAGGGCGTGGAGGCGACTGTCAAGGGGCAAAAGAAGCTCGTTACTTACGAGGAATGGGCCGAACTGTTGCAAAAGTCGTTCGAGCACGCCTACTACATTCCAGTCGATGCCAGCGAAGATGGCTTGTACGACGTCGACACTAAGCTCGTCAACCGTCGCGGAATCTACAAGGACGTCTACGGCTCGTCCAAGGGTCGCGAATGGGCCGACTATCAGTTCCGCTCCAACTTCCCCATCGCCATGTGCGTTGCACCTGAGCTGTTCAAGCCCGAGCACGCCATGAACGCTCTCAACAAGGCTCGCGAAGTTCTCGTCGGACCTCTCGGTATGAAAACGCTCGATGCGTCTGACTGGAACTACCGTCCAAACTACAACCAGCTCGACACGGACGATCCTGCCACTTCGTGCGGATGGAACTACCACAACGGACCCGAGTGGGTCTGGCTGCGCGGATACTATCTGCGCGCTGTGGCCATCTTTGGCGCAAAGGCAGGTGTCGAGCGCTCGGTGCTCAACCACCGCATCAACAGCATGATGCTCGAGCACCGAAAACACATCCGCACCTCGCCTTGGGCCGGTCTTCCCGAGCTCACCAACGCTGACGGCGCCCACTGCTCGGACTCCTGCGCAACTCAGGCGTGGAGTGCAGCGGCGCTGCTCGATGCCTTGGAGGAGATGGCCAAGTAATGTTGCCTCCGTGAGCTTCTTGCCGTGCATCATATCTTTGATCCCCATAGTGTCGTCAACTCGATCATGTTTTTAGACCAGAACCATAACTTCGCTCAGGAATCGCAATCTTGGTTCCAATGCGTTTGATAACTTACGCCGCGATTGCCTTGACGAAGCAGCACGAAGCACGTGCTAAGATGGATCCCACTGCAGAACTGAGCCGATATTTTTCTCGCACGGGCAGACACAATCGAACGGTCAGTTGCAAGTGTGTCTGTGATTGCTCACGGATCAATTGACGACGTTCGGTGCGTGTCGTTTTTGGCGGCGTACAAGAGTGCCAGAGTTTATGCGTGCGAAGTGCTGTCTTCGGAGACGACAAACTCGTCGAGGACGTCCATAAGTGCTGCTGCGTTGTTTGGGTTGCTCAGCTGATGTGTTCAGAAACATCGGGAGAAGTCAGTGTCGTCGAAGTCCGTCAAGCGAGAAAACGCAGAGAGCACTTACCTTGATAGCGTAGTGGACTGGCTTGCTTTCTTCCAAAGCCACGATGCGAACAAACTTTTCGTGAAGCTCGCACTTCATTCCTTTGAAGAGGGGTACGTTGAGGATGACTCTGAGAATGCCATCTGCCCTCATGACGAGACGTGCGGGACGTTTCTCTGAAGACCTCTTGGGGATGTTGACACGAAGCGTTCCGGTACCTCGCTCTTTCCAAGATTGGTCTTCTGCCATGGTGTATAGCTTGGCACGAATGCTGTGAATGCTTTCCTCGTCCTCCTCGCCAGTTTTTGCTGTTAAAGAAGAAGGAACAAAAAGGTCATGAAATGAGTGGAATGTCACATTAGCGGAAACGGGGTAACCGCGTGTTGCGAGAAACTTACATTCAGCCTCAGGAGTCTCGAGCAGTGGCTTCGTCTTGGAGTCGGAAGCAGCAGAAGCGTCTTTGTCATGGCTGAGGAGTTTCTGTGTGAAGCTTGCCTTGTCGTCGGTGGATTGCGACTTGTCGGAGTCTTTTTCGGAGGCGGCGGCAGGAGAGTCAGCTTTTGGCTTTGCTAGCGGGCTAGCGCCCGCGAAGGCACCAAAACCGAATGACGAGCCCTTGGCGATAGGCTTGGAAGGTGCGGATGAAAGTGGTGAAGCGGAGCCGTTGCCCTCGTGGTGACCGCCGATGCTTGAGCCGAGGGTGCTAGGCTGGATGCCTGCTCCTACAAGAGGTGAAGAGTTTTTAGCGGAGAAAGCAGAGAAGCCGCCTTTGCTGGAGGAAGCGGATGAGGATCCAGAAGAGGAGGGCACGGAGCTGAAGGGTGAAGACTTGGAGCTGAAAGAGGAAAAAGTCGGCTGGGTTCGTGCTGGCGGGTCCTGCAACGGCTTGATAGATTGTGTTTCCGCCACTTTCGGCTCCGATCCCGACGGCGCGGCGGCCTTGGGGACGGCTTCTTCGGAAGATACCTTCTCTTTGGTCGTCACTGAAGAAGTAGTCGAAGCGGGATCCGTTGCAGATACAGCAGACCTGAGCTCGAGCTCCTTTGTGCTCAACTCGTCCACCTTCTTGCGGATCTGGCCGACTTTCTCGGTTTCGGCTACGTGGCTTGCGGTGTCGTCGTCATCTTCCTCCTGGAGGGAGTCCTCGACTCGGTTCTTCTTGGCAGGTATGGCTTCGGTCGCTCGGGAAGGCGTAAGCTGCGAAGGTTCGAGGCTGCCTTCGCGTTCTCTCTTGCGACGCGAAGTGGTGTCGTCTGAAGGTTGGACTGGCTCCTTGGCTGTCACCGCTCTGGAGGTGGAAGCCGCAGGAGGGGACTGCGGAGAGGATGACTGCTGCTGCGGAGATGATGGAGGTCGCGCCTCGCCAGGCTGATCGACTTCTGGCTTGGCGGTTTGAGCCAGCTCAGCTTTCGTTTCTGACATGGCGGCAAGTGCGGAACACAGAAACTTCCGTAGCAGATGCAATCGGTGGTTTCGCGATCAGGGATGATCGTCAGAGAGCAGAGGTAGCGTACCGAACTGTTGCACTGAGCCTGCGGGTATCGAGCGGCGGGTGAAGGTCAGTGTGGAAGTGCGGATAGGATGAGGTCAATGAAGGTGTTGTGCCAAAACGAGGAGTTGAGTGTGTGTGTTTTGTTCTTTGGCACTAGAACGCGCTATTTTCCTCCACTTTGGGCTCGGCTCCGATCGGTGCACCGTGAGAAAGCCAGAGTTGGAATTGGCTGAATTTTGGCTGTGCGTGTGGGAAAGCATTTGGGTCTGGCTTTCTGCTTGGCGCGTGCGTTGGTTTGCTCCCATTTTGAGCAGTTGGACACTGCAGCCCCTAAGCACGCTTCTAATCAGTGCAGCTCATCGGGTCAGCCGAACTGATTGTCACTTCTTCCCTCTCACTATACATCACACGCTCTGCACCACTCATTGGATCACTAGAAGTCAGACAAAGGGCAGCATCTCCGCCTCCAATCGACGCAGGACCCAGAGCATCATCGTCACACATCGAACCTGCCCGCCAAGACTCTACGCTCGAGGCGCAATCCACAGTCACCATGTCGAGCAGACCCATGAACGATGAGGAGGTTCTCTCCGAGATGAAGAAGATGGTAGGTGTTTACCTCACAAGAAAATCGCAGCTACATCGAATACTGCACCGATGTTGATCACCCGGTAAGCTCACCATTCTGACTTGACTTGAATGCATTTCCCTCTATGATCGCAGGTGGCCTTCATCAAACAAGAAGCAGTCGAAAAGGCTCGCGAGATCCAGATCAAGGCCGACGAAGAGTTTGCCATCGAGAAGGCCAAGATCGTTCGTCAGGAGGCTATCAACATTGACGCGCAACACGAAAAGAAGACAAAGCAGGCCGAGACCGCTCAGAAGATGTAAGTGCGATTCGCATCGATCCTCGAGATGCTTTCGAAGATCACTGACCGTTTCCTTCCTTTCTGGCTTTGTTTGCTCTCTACAGTGCTCAGTCGAACCAGACCAACAAGTCACGATTGAAGATCCTCCAAACTCGTGAACAGCACCTCCAGTCTCTGTTTGACGCTGCACGAGAGAAGCTCGACGACATTGCAAAGGATCAGGAAAAGTACAAGTCGCTTTTGGCTCAGCTCATCCTCCAGGGATTGCTTCAACTCATGGAGTCCAAGGTGACCGTCACAGTAAAGTCGAACGACGTGCAGATCGCCCAGGATGCCGCGAAGCAGGCCGAAAGGGACTTTAAGGAGAAATCGGGCAAGTCGACCAGCGTCACTGTTCAGGAAGGTCTCGACAAGGACAGCGCCGGAGGCGTGCTGCTCGCAGGTCACGCTGGAAAGATCACCATCAACAACACGCTCGACGAGCGTCTTCGTCTTCTCGAAGACCGCATGCTTCCCGAGATCCGACTCGATCTGTTCGGTCCCAACCAGAACCGCAAGTGAGTATACTTTGCAGGATGCAAGAGCACATCCGGCAATCCGTTCAAAGGCGTCATCGGTACTAATCATCATCTCTTGACTACTTTCGGCCATCTGCGCAAAACAGGTTCAACACTTAGATGCACCAGCTCCCTATGGATCTGCCTTCCAGCCACGGTGTCGTTTGTCTTCCTGTTCTTGTCTCACATTCATGCCAACCTGATATCCTGCCTCTGATCTTGTGTCCCGCCTTCAAAAGTCTCTTCGAAAGGTTGACATGATGCGTTCGCACGACAGACAGCACAGCGAAAGATGAGCAGCAGGAGAGACCAGTGTTGCTGGAGGGGAAAAACCTAAATGTACAAGAGTGTGCGAAATGAGAGTAGGCGCGCGGGGCTCGTAGCTGCGCATGAGCGACTCTCTTTTGAAATGGAGAATGAACACGACGACATCTGCGGACGATCAAGGGCGCTCTCCACGAGGGAGCGACCACTGACAGCTGAGAATGAGGTTGTCGTAACCACGACCGTCGACCTTTTGCCTTGCGCGGTCGGCATCCTCCCTGTTCTCGAAGCTGACGAAAGCGTAACCCTTGCAGATGCCCGTCTCGCGGTCGCGGCCGACGTATACACGCACGACGCGGCCGAAGCGCATGAAGAGCTCCCTGAGATCGTCGTCGTCGGCGTCTTCGCTAAGGTTGGTGACACGCAGCGTAGGCAAGTCGTCTCTGGACATGCCTCCGAGGCCGCCCATCTTCTCGCCGGGACCCTTTGCGCCACTGCGCATGCTGGGAGGAACGTACTTGCCACCTGCACTCGCAGCGACGGCGGGGTTGGTGGGGTCCATTGCAGCAAGAGGCGTCATGGAACCATCAGCGCCTTCGGGAGTGTCGGCACCAGCACCTGGAATGGCCTCGAGCGTGTCCTTGTAGGGACATTTTGTGGTGAAGTGGTCTCCCTTGCAGAGTCGGCAGACGATACGCTTGTTGGCGAGCTGCTGCTTGATCTTGTCCATGTCGTCGACCTCGGGCTCGGCGGTCTTGTTGCCTGCAGACATCTTAAGGACAACATTCTCGCCGATGGTGGTGGTGGCAGAGTGAGGACCGGCGACCTTGCCCTTCTCCTGGCCAAACTTGGTCCAAGTCTTGCGTTCGGCGACTTCGTGGTTGACCTTTGTCTTTACGAGGGTCCTCTTGACCCTTCGGGTGATCTTGATCTTCTTGCCGTCGGGGTTGGTTCGGTACTCGATGACAACCTTGACACCGTTGCCTTCGTCACGCTCCTCAATACGGGGAGCATCGCCATCTACGGGCTCGTCGAACTCGTCTGCCCAGTTCATGGGCTTGCCGCCTGCAGGCTGGCTGGTGGAAGGTGCCGCAACCGGAGCCATGATGCGTGTGCGTGTAAGTGTGTGCTTGGTGTAGGTACGAGTGTGGCTATTGGGTTGTAATGTGTGATCTACGCAATACTGTGGCTTCTTTGTAGATGGCGCGATGCTGCGATGCTGTGTCGAAGCCGTTATCGAGGATGAAGAGGAAAGAACAAAGCGAGAGATGATGGAAGAGATTCGAGATGGCGCTGCAGCAATTGCAATGCAAAAATGTCAAAGGGGCTCAGTCGCTTGTGCTGCTTTGCTTGCTCAGGCTGAGAGGCGCAGGCGGCTGTCGTTTGAGTCTTCCAGTTTTCCAGGATGGACTGCACTGCAGCGCGCAAAACTGCGCGTTCTGCGAAGAGAGAAAGCGTGTTGGTGAGCGGCAGTAATTTTTGCAATTCTTCTCGCAGGCCAACTTGATTTTCCGTACGAAACTTGTCGGTGCCGAGTTGGCTGAGAAGAAAGGACAAAAAAAGTGGAAAAAGGATGCAACATCAACGTAACTGTTGTACATTCGATCCTCTTCTACCCGAACCATCGTCACTCACTCTTCGGACCACACACACGAGCTTGTCAACCACTGAAAAGCGGAGACTCAGGCGTTGAAAAGAGTATCCCGCCGAACGAAGCCTACTTCCTCAATTCCAATCTGGTGCCAGCTGTCACTCGGGCAAGGCTACCCCGGTTCATCGTTCCAATCATGGCGGCTCGTCGTGCCCAAGCATCGCTTCGGGAGCTAGCACGCAGCTCCCGAACAGCCTCTCAGACTAGCGCAGTAGGATCCTCAAGTCGCGTCACCCTGACACCCACCGCTGCCGTTGTGTCCCCATCTCCGCTCTCCGTGCGACGATTCGCCTCGGCAGCACCCAGCACCGCCTCTTCTTCAACTTCAGCAGCTTCAACCTCGCCCTTGTCTACAAGAGGTGGCAGTCATCGTTCGTCTCCTGCGCTCGGTACCAGCATCACAGGTCAGGACGTTCTCTCGCATTTCTCTTCTCCACCATTCTCCTCAACATCCTCAGATCTGCTCGGTTCCAACCCAGAGCTCGCGCTTCGAGCAGTGACGCACGAATCCTATCTCAATGCACGAGAAGGTCACAACCGCAGACTCGCATTCGTCGGTCGTAGAACGCTCAAGCTCTTTGCGACGCTCTATCTGCACGCTCGCTTGCAAACCACCACCAAAGGCGACGCCGCGCACAACTACATCAACCGTCTGCTCGAATCGCCCACCGGCGTCGACGCCATTCTCACAACACATAGACTCGGCGACAAGGTCGGCAGGCAGCTCGGTCTGGAAAAGGTCATGCGATGGACACCTGCCGTGTCGGATGGTCAGGTTGGGCCTAGGGAGACGGGATTGTTCAAGGTTCGAGGTGTCGCAGTCGAGGCACTGGTAGGTGCCATTTACCATCAGAAGGGCGCCTCGGAAGCGTCGAAATTCTTCCAGAGTTGGATCTTGCCTTCCTTGCTACAGGATGGCTTTCCTTCTCCGGTTCCGGAAGAGCTCAAGCAAGGGATCGCCATACCAGCAGCTCAATCTTGAAAACGTGATTAAGATGCATTCAAACACTTTTTTTCACAACACCTCCGTCTTCGGTCCGCCCGAAAACTTTCGAAAAGCATTGCGCAAACCTTCATGTACTTCTAAGCAGAATCACACAACATTCATCTATGATTTTCTCTTGGTCCGCTGTTGCGACTGTAGTGTCAACCAGCAGTTTCGCATCCCGGTACCCATGGTTTCCGCTTCCACCTGCTCTGCGGTTGCCCATCTTCTGGACGCGGAACAGCCGAGGCTGCTACCAAAGTCTTTCTTCTTTTCCCCTACCGCGGCGGCTGACGGCTGCTTTTGAGACTTGACGAGGGCTGCGTTGGCGGGAAGAACAACTTTGTAGACGTGCATCGTGAGGTGCAGGTGCGAGAAGAGATGCGTGATCGAAGCCAGTTTCGCTTTGGTTTTAGGAACCGTGTTGGGAAGGAGAGAGGAGACGAAGGTATCGATCAGATCGGGGATGGATTCGTCAGGGTGGAGGGTCAGAGTGTCGTCCGAGGTGGATGCGGAAGCAGAGGTGGTCGAGAGCGTGAGCGATGGGAACTGCCACATGCTGGCGAGCAACCCTGTGGACGGTCGTTGTTCGAGCAAGAATTCGCCCGAGGGTCGGAGGATGATGCAGACGAGACATGTTTCGGTACGGATCTTCTTCTTTTCCAGCTTCATGGGGAACTTGGTGATGTGCTTTTCGATCGCTTGTTGCATTGGCAAGGTGGAAGCTGGGGAGGATGTTGGCAGCGGTTTAGGTTTGGAGGAGGGCATGTCGAAGGATAGGGTGGCTTGACGAAGCTTGTTGATAGCCTTTTGATTCGGTTTGTCTTGTAAAGCAGTGTTGGGTGACTCTTCTTCGACGAAAGGTATCGGTTCGCAGTAGGTGCAGAGATCTTCGATATCCACCAACTCCGCCGGCTTCTGCTTCTTCTTGCCCCTGACTGCATCAGCCTCAGCTTCGTGATACGCCCTGCACGACGGCCTGATCCTACACTCTCCACACCCCGGCTTGGTCGGCGTGCACACCGTGCTGCCCAACTCCATCAACGCCTGGTTCCACTCCCCCGGAACCTCGCCCTTCTCCCCCTCCACCTCGTACGCCTTGACCACCAACCTCGCTGCAACGGCCCACATCAAATCCGTCGTCGCCTTTGCCTTTGGATTCGAGTACAACCCCAACTGTCTCGCCAACACTCTGGCCACGTTCCCATCTAGAATAGGCACCGGTTTTCCAAAGACGATCGAACTGATGGCACCTGCAGTGTACGGTCCTACACCCGGAACGTTCTTCTCCAGCTCCTGGGGTGTTTCGGGCAACAACCCATCCATGTCCCGGTCGGCGACGACCTTTTTCGCTGCAGTATGGATCCGTGTCGCTCTACTGTAATACCCCAAACCCCTCCACGAGGAGAGGACGTCCTCCTCGTCAGCTGCTGCAAGAGACTCGATAGTCGGGTACTTGGCCATCCAATTCAACCAGTATTGTTTGACCGTCTCGACGCGGGTCTGTTGAAGCATGATCTCGGATATCCAGACTTGGTACGCTCTGACTTTCAGTGCTGAACGAAGGTCATCGGTGGCGGTGTGGGAGGAAGGGTCGATGTAGGGTGCCCGCCATGGCATGTCTCGTTTCGAGGATATTGAACGATACCATTCGAGGAAGGAGGAGATAGCGGAAGGTTGATCGAGGAGGAGAGGTCTGTGATAGGTGGGGCCGTGTATCCGTGCGGGCAAGGTGGCGTGTGAGGGACCGTGTTGTGCTTGGTCTGACGCATCGAGGACTTGGACGATCTTTTGCGATGATGATGGTGCTGAGGTACCGCCCGAGCGGTTGGCTTTCTTGGTGGGTCTAGAGGCCGAAGCTTCCGGGGAAGGGGACGGTGAAAAGTCGTCGGCGGACGAAGAAGAGGAAGCCCGACGTTTGGTGGAGACGGTCATGATGGTCGTCGTCCTGTAAACGCCAAGCAGGCGACTTCGTGAGGGTGAAAGCAGGGCTTCAATAGCGGAGCTGCGTTGATACGCTCAGCTCAAGGTCGACCGATGAACATAAAGTGGGATGGTGAAGACGAACATCGAGCTCGAACTTGGGGTAGAGAAGTGCACAAAGTGTTGGTCTCGTGGCGGCGTCACCACCAACACCACCGCGTCGCGTAAATTGAGCCCACAGAATTTAGGCTTTCACTCGACACCAAGGTGACCAAGCACCGAGCATACAGCTGGCTCTTTTTCATGATGCATTGAACGACGAAAGTCAGGGTATATATGATGAATGCATGCAGAATCCTACTGTTGACCAAACAGCTCCTCACACCGTAGTTTGGTCTTTGCGATGGCGTTGAGCAGATGCCAGTTCCTCCATTGCGAGGTTTTCGAGGTGCCCGCTGTGGATTCCAGGTAATTCAGCAAGGATCTCCAATCCATGGCGTAATTGTCGCCTCGACCCATCTCTTCTTCCAGCTCTCTTTCGTCCAGCTCGGGGTCCTCGACAGCGACAGCCTCGGAATGAGCGCCGGTAGGTTCTGCCTGCTGCCTGTGTGAGCTTGCGGCTGGAGACGAGACGTCTACCGGCAAATGCTTTGAACCCGAACCTTGCACACCTATCGCTCCCTTCTTGACTCCGGCAATGACCCTTCCCAGGACCGTCTCGACCAACGCTTTCGCCGCCGTCGCACTCTCATCCACCTCCTTGGGATCTACAACGATCCTTTCCAAATGATCTTGACTGATCCTGTGATCCCTCGCCCACTGCGGTGACCGAAACATGGTGTAGTCTGCATCAAATGTACCCTTCACCATTCGCTCCACTATCTCTGCCACTCTCTCGCTTGGTGTTTGCGAGTGCTCCGGTAGTTGAGGAAGCGGCAACGGCCAGCTGTAGCTCCATACGTCTCCGAGGGGGTATCTTTGCTTCAACCTATTGGTTCTGAGTGGGTCGGCGGGAGGCGATCTTGTTGCCGTGGTAGTGCGTTTGCGCTTTGGTCGGGAGGAGATGTTATCAGAATCTTCCTGGGCGTAGCGTGTGAGAGAATTGAAAAGGTTGTAGTGCTTGAGGAGGAAGGAATCGGGTTGGATGGCTTTTCTGCGTGCATGTTTTCGCGCTTTGGCATGAGCAAGGGATGATCGTGGCCGACCCATTGCGATACGATCGCAACACAGGTGACTTTGAGGTCCCCGTCGAGATGAGACCGTTGTCGGCGACTGCGCTTGCAGCACAATGAAGGTGTGAGAGAGAACGAAGTTGTGAAATGGGACTTAGAGCTCGATATTCAGGGTCCAACAGTCAGCCACTCACGGCCGGAAAATCATTTCGGAAAATGGCTCCAGCTCACTGCATGACTGCACCACTGCACCACTGCACTGGCCATCCTCACCATTCTTCTTTCTTCCTTTCCCCATCGCATCACATTCACTCGTCCTTTTCTCGCTGCGGCTTCATCATCGCGACAGCGTGAATCGCAAAGATGATCAGCGACGTGACATTGTCCGCGCTAGCCAACTGGCTCGGCAGTCTCACCATGATCTTGATTGTCTTGTATCATGTACGTGTTCGCTTGCACAGCTTCTGCGCCGTCGTATAACGTGACATTCTGACCTATTGCCTCAACCGATATTCACCTCTCGTCCTTATGCAGGCACTCAGCGTCAACGTCAAGAGGAATCAAGAAACAGCAAGAAGAGGAGTTGCCGATTCAACATAGTCGGACACTCGATACTCAACATCCTCTCCGATGGCTCTTCCATCGGCATCTACAGCTCACATCACTCGTGACGAGCCCTTGTACATTATATCCGGCTCTTGAATCCAGCCAAAACCAGCACTTACCGTTCCGTTTTGCCGTGTATGCATTTTGGTGAGCGTCATACACTTGCTGACTGGGCAAACAGTGCGCCTTGAACGAGCAGATCAGAGAAGACGACGCAAGGAGATCAAGTCGTCGAACAGCGAAACAAAGCACAAGTGGTGATGGGAAGGGCTCCTACATAGACACTTGAAAAGTACTCGACAGCATACGGGGCGAAGCACGTTCACTCGTCCTTCCTGCCTTCACACTGTGCCCGTCACCGATTCGAATCGCACTGACCCGCTGCCCACCAATGTGCAAAGACCTTTCACGACTCCAGACCGCTTCCAGCACAGAACGCATTCACAAGGTCACAGCGAAAATATGAACGCTCCATCTACAGTATCGGCAACACCGATCTCGTTCCGAACAGAAACTTATTGGACTGTTGGTCAGATTCAAGCTGTGTCTCTCTCTCGCGCAGCCTTCGCCCCGTAGTAGATGCTCGAGCGCAAAGGGGAGGGGCCGACCGGGTCACAGATGCACGTAGCCGGATAATTTTTATCGTCGCCTGTGAGGTGAACTGCCTTCCCACTTGACTGATACTGCATACTGTGGTGTCACTGTCGTCGATGACCGTGCGCGACGTCTCGAGGTGTGTGTATGTGGGTCGATGTGATATAGCATTGCGCAGTCGGATTACACTTGGCGGTATGACAACGCTTACTCTTCATCCTCGTCCTCCTCTTCTGCCTCTGCGCTGAAAGCACCTTCCTTAGGAGCCTGTATGATGTCAAAGTAGGGGAAGAAGACAAGTTCTCGGGTGAGTGACTCCGACCAACGGTGCAGTGATAGGTTCCTAGATGGGTGAAACTTACAGCAACCTGTTCGCCTCCAAGTTCAGTAGCAAGGCCGTCTCGGGGATAGGTCTGTTCAGATTGAGAAGGATCGGGAGGTTAGAGGATAGGTCTTGATAGTCTTGCGAAATGCAACATGCAAAGCTCACCCTTGGAAGTGCCGGCTTCTCCGGAGTAGCAGCATAGACTGTCGAACCAAAGAGAACAACTACACCGATGGCAACCAGGAACTGACGCAGCGCCGAAGAAGCAGGTACAGCATGAACGTCGGGTGCCCAGACGGAGAGAACGTCGTCTTGCTCGTGAGGCTGTTTGTGAGCAAAAGTAAGAACGGATCAGTCGAGGTTGTCCTTTGTGTTCGACGTTCAAGTATGATGACTCACGGTCTCTCCAAAGTTACGCTTCTCTTGCGGATCCCACCACTTGGGCGAGTATTTGCGCTGCTGCTGGCTGACGAAAGGAAGGTCCGGGTAGTCGCCCAGCTGAGGGTCCTTGGAAGCAGCCACCCGCGAAGTGGAGAGGTGTCGTTGAACTGGCGCCGATGCGGTTCGCAGGACGGCACTGGAGCGGGATGCTCCCGCAACAGCCTGTCGTAGAAGAGACATGGTGTAGAAGTAGCGGGTCAGGGCGGGTTGACAATGATGGTGTGTGACACAGTGTGCAGTGTTCAGATGCGATGCGATGCGATTGATGCTCATTCCGAAACGTCCAAACCAAACCGTGTGGGATTCGAATTTCGACCTGGATGTTAAGCCGTGATTGGAGAGGTTGGTTGGCTGCGAAAGGTGATCGATATGCCAGAGCTTTGAGAGCGGTGACTGACTGACTGACTGACCGCTCAAGAAGAAAAAGGGCGCGCTTAGACCAACCTGAAGGCGACTTGACTGCCTCGCCTGACTGGCCACCCTCGTTCGCTTCGAAAATGGCCTTTTCGGAAATTCATCTGATTTTCCAAAATTCAAGTCAAGCTGACTGGGTTGAATACAAAATCCACAAGCTAGTGTAGCCTCCTCAGGTTGCTTGGCTCGCCTCGACGCGGTTGCAAAATCCGAGACGTGCAGCAAACACAGAGACAGGCAAAGAGCTGATTTGAGTGGTGCTGAGCTGCTTCCCCTTTTCTGTTTAGCTGGCTAAGGCGCTGGCTGGCTGGCTGAGTGCGTTTCATGAGGTCAGTTACCGTCAACGCCGTATGCCGAGGCTCGCTGCTGCTTCTGGTGTGAGTGGTACTTTCAACACTCGTAGACACCATCCATCTCAACCATCATAATCCTCTGGGTGTGATTGCTTCGGTCGCCTTTTCCAAATATCTAACCTCGACTTGCATTCGCCTCTCAACCACGACTACCTCGTCGTTCCCCCAAAAGCACTTCGCATTCGTCAGTCCACGTCCTTCGAATTCGATTCCTTATCTCTTGGCTCGCCTTCATAGACACGTACTTCGCACAGCCGCCTCCGTCTTCGCATCCTTCGACTGTGACTCCTTCTCGCACCTTGCGCTTTCTTCGTACGCCGAGTGCATTCTCCGCGCAGATCTATACCCTTCTCGAGCACGCTTAGGATCCTTCGAGCCATCATCTCTGGACTTCTTGGCACACCTTGCAGAAACCTTTCTCCTCTGACGAATCCTAGACCTCCTCATCAACACAATCATGGTCGACATCACCGAGCAAGATGCGTGGATCTCGCATCTCAGCGAGTGCAAGCAGCTCTCCGAAAACGACATCAAGCGTCTCTGCGACAAGGCGCGCGAGATCCTGCTCGGCGAATCCAACGTACAACCCGTTCGCTGCCCCGTCACCGTATGTGGTGACATCCACGGCCAATTCCACGACTTGTCAGAGCTCTTCCGCATCGGCGGCAACTCGCCCGATACCAATTACCTCTTCATGGGTGACTATGTCGACCGTGGTTACTACTCGGTCGAGACCGTCACTCTGCTCGTGGCGCTCAAGGTGCGCTACCGTGACCGTGTCACCATCTTGCGCGGCAACCATGAATCGCGACAGATCACCCAGGTCTACGGCTTCTACGACGAGTGCCTCAGGAAGTACGGAAACGCAAACGTGTGGAAGTACTTTACCGACCTTTTCGACTATCTCCCACTGACCGCCTTGATTGATGACCAGGTACGTACAGACGGAGCAACTGCGTCATCACCTTACGATACTGTGTATGCTGACTTTTCTTTGCGTGTCTCTCCACAACAGATCTTCTGTCTGCACGGCGGTCTCTCACCCTCGATCGACACGCTGGATCACATTCGATCCATCGACCGCATTCAAGAAGTGCCGCACGAAGGTCCCATGTGCGACCTGCTCTGGTCTGACCCCGACGACCGATGTGGATGGGGCATCTCACCACGAGGTGCAGGATACACGTTTGGTCAAGACATTTCGGAAGCATTCAATCACAACAACGGCTTGACGCTGGTGGCTCGAGCACATCAACTCGTCATGGACGGATTCAACTGGTCGCAGGAGCGTAACGTCGTCACCATCTTCTCCGCACCCAACTACTGCTACAGGTGCGGCAACCAGGCCGCCATCATGGAGATCGACGAGAACCTCAAGTATACCTTTTTGCAGTTCGACCCTGCTCCGCGTGCGGGCGAACCGTTGGTCTCGAGAAGGGTGCCGGATTACTTTTTGTAAGATTAAGTGTGAATCGAATGTTTGCGAACAACGGAGAGTGGATGTGCGAGTGCGGAGTGCGATCAGCTTGCGTGTCGACGGGCGCTGTGAGAATGATTCGAAGCATCAGACTTGCACGGATGTCTCGCTTTCACGGCTGCCAAACAAGACGCACCACACGCCAAACAGCTCTACGGACCTCTTTGAGCAGCCCAAATGTTTTGACGGTCAGATAGAGAGGGAGATAACGTTGGTACAAGGAGGATTATTGAGCACTTTGCTATTTACAAGATGTAGAGCTTCTAGGATGAAAGCAGGGATGATGTTGGGGGGGGATTTTGAGTTCCGGTTTGTGGATGAGAGTGTCTGTCCATTCACTGTTTGGGTCGGTTCTAGAGGATTTGGACGATCGACCATGCTGGAACGGGTGCCTGTTCAGCAGGACGGAAACTTAATGAGACTTGCCGTTGACTTTTCCGTTGACCTTGCCATTCGCCTTTCCGTTCTGCTTGGCAGCGGCGGCCTTGCGAGCCTTGTCCTTGGCATACGTCCTCTGGTAGAAGGCGATGAACAGGAACAAGTAGCTGGTCAAGCAGATGATGCCCGAGAAGGCCGCATGCTCCTTACCGGCGCAAGTTCCCCAATGAGGAGCGCTGGGGAAATATGTGTAGGCGAAATAGTTGTACGAGGCGAAATAGACGACGAACAAATCCACTACGAATTGGGTGATTTGCGCAGTAGTAACCGACTTCTTCCAGGGGCACGGGATCTTGAGTGACGTGAGCGCGTAGTAGAAGTACATCAGCACGTGCACGGCCAGGTTGAGGCAGATGACGACCCACGAGACCGACGTCTTGCCGTGGAGCTGCGAGAAGCACAGCACAGCGGTAGCCGAGTGATGGTAGACGTGCAGGAACTGAAGAGGCTTCTTCTTGAGGACGAGGAAGACCGTGTCGATGAGCTCCCAGTACTTGAAGTAGTAGTTGATCATGTAGTACGTCTCGAGCTTCATGGTCCACGCGCCCTCACCGCAGATGCCGTAGAAGATGCCGTTGCGACGGACGATGGGGATGATCTCCTCGAGCATCAGCGCGAGCAGCAGACCCGAACCGAACGTGAGCGCCAAGTTGTGCACCAGAAAGGGCAGCTTGATGCTTGTGGTGAGAGGAGCGCGGTTCTTCATGAGTGCCCGACCGCCGAAGATGACGGCGAGGTAGGTGACGACGGCCGCCACCAGGGATGGCAGCGTCGAGATCGGCGACTTGCCCGGAATCCATGCCAGCAGGTGGACCGGAGTCTGTGCCTTGATGTGTGGTGGGATGACGGACACCACCGTGTCGTAGATGACGCTCGAAACCATTCTTGTCTTGATGCCGAGAAGCGCAAAACGGGGAGGAGGAGGAGGATGTAAAAAGAGCGTGGGTGTTCAAGGATGGTGATGGTGTGAAGGCAAGCAGTGACGGTGGGAGGGCAATGTCGGATGAAGCGATGGAAAGTAGCGGCTCGATCCGACGTGACCAGAAGGGCGAGCTGCAAATCCGCCGTCACACCCAGGATGACACAAACGCAACAGAGCGCGAGCGTGTGGGTGTGCATCAAATTAACCTTGATTCGGACACTTTCCTCGCTTGCCTTGAGCTTCTTCTTGACCGCTGCCGCGAACGCGGTCACTGGCTGACGCAGGCCAGAAAAAGATCAACACACACACTCTCTCACAGTGAAAGGATCGGAAGCGCATCCTGCAGCGCGTTTCAAACGCCTCGGACGGGTACTCGGACGACGTGCAGACACGATCGTCTCTGCGTGAACCCTTCCTCTGCAGAGCGTGCCGGATTGGAGAGCAGAGGCAAGGCAGCAAGTCAGCAGATCACAAAGCTGGAGACAGGAACGGCGATACGCTGATCAACTATGCATTCCAAATCCTGGCATCTGCCGTCTCGCCGGTGGCTTTTGACGGTTTGGGTGGATGTCGATTCCCAGCCTCCGCGGCGCTGCTGCCGCCGTGCTGCACTGTGCTTTGCTGGCCGGCTCTGATTTGCCTCACGCTTGTCACTTGTGATTCTTTTTCCCACGCTACAAAGATCGAGATGGATTCCGGTAAAAGAATTTTGCTGATCACAAACAACACCTCACATGACACACCTGTTGTGGCTCTCTCGTGTTTTTGGTTCTACGAAAAGAATGCCTTGTTGTTTGTGATCTGCATCGCGTGCCCCTCCGTCAATCAGCGATGCCGATCTTGTGTTCGCAGACAAGCGAGTCGAGATACTGTAGATGCATCCGCAAAGATGACGGATCGGTCAGAAAAGTGTTGGTTTGCCTTTTACGCGGCTCGCTTCGACGTGTCAAGCAGCTAAGCGAGAGAGCACACGCTCACCGCTAAAGGCGCGGATCGCTCTGTCCGAAACCAGCGTAATGGCCAGCTTGCCGTTGGCTTCGTGGCTGCCCGAATGTTTTGAACCAGCAAAGTTCAACCATTTTGGTTTTTGGTTTTTGGGTCGGATCGGACTTAACTCGGCGCGTTGCCAAACCGGGTCGAGGCAGCATCAGCATCAGCATCAGCAGCGGAATCGAGTCTCGATGGAAGGACAGGTATCGTCAACGTCAGACCTTCACAGCGAGCAGCAGTGTTGGCGCAAGAGAGTCTTTTGCACCATGCTTGGATCATGACGCAACGAGTGGATCTAGACAGCTGCGGCGTAGGTCGATGCATCTGCTGCTGCTACAGGTCGCTCGAGACCTTGATGAGGCTACGAATGGGAATTCCAGTTGCCTGCAGAGGTGGTTTGAATCGCGTTTGCAGCGCGATACGCCGGAATTTGAACAGCCGCCAAGTGTTTGGATCGACGGTGCATGGCCAGCACCGCTTCCTTCTGGTTGCAGAACCTTGTATGACTTCGCCCATGATACAGTACGACACGCGCACCGCATCTCGCTCGTGGCCATACGACCATAAGCCGGTCAGGCATATGAACTGTAAAGGACGTCTTCCCCGGATGTGCATCTTGCCCGAAACCTTTTAGATTGTTAAATCGAAAGACCTGCTTACACAATTGTGAGTAGCTCAGATTATTCTGTTCTTCGAGAAAATGTTCGGCCATGTATGCTAACACTTGGTATATCTTGCGCTTGTGGAAGATGGAAGAAGAAGCACAGCGCGGCGAGCAACACTTTTCCTCGGGAGGAGCGCGCGTCGGTGGCCTTCCTGCCACTTTCACTCGAACGAAAGCAGATTGACTGCTGAGGAGTGCGCATTTCACTCGTGAGAAGAAACCTCAAAAGTCACACTCGAAACAAAGTCACACACACGCACAGCTCAGCTTTTCGACGCTGCTCCTCCCTGTCGACAAGCGATCGTCATCTACTGTTTTCCCCCATCACAGCAGTTTACCTTCAAGATGGCGGAACCACAGATCGCATATGCTCAGGACGAGTACGGTCGTCCCTTCATCGTCGTTCGTGAGCAGGGCAAAAAGACCCGTGCCAACGGCATCCAGGCCATCAAGAACCACATCTCGGCAGCCAAGACGGTCGCCAACATCCTCAAAACTTCGCTCGGTCCACGTGGTCTCGACAAGATCCTCATCAGCCCCGATGGCGACATCCAAGTCACCAACGATGGCGCCACCATCATGAACAACATGGAGCTCGAACACCAGATCGCCAAACTGCTCGTCGAGTTGAGCAAGAGTCAGGACGACGAGATCGGAGACGGAACCACCGGCGTCGTCGTCCTCGCAGGTGCGCTGCTCGAGCAGTCCGAGGCTTTGCTTGACCGAGGCATCCACCCCATTCGTATCGCAGATGGTTTCGAGCGTGCCTGCAACCTCGCAGTCCAGGAGCTTGAAAAGGTCGCCGACGTGGTCGAATTCGACAAGGACAACATCGATGAGCTCATGAAGGTCGCAAAGACGTGCCTCGGCTCCAAGATCGTCTCCAAAGCTTCGGACAAGTTTGCCAAGATCGCCGTCGACTCGGTGCTCTCGGTAGCAGACCTCAAGCGACGCGATGTGGATTTCGAGCTGATCAAAGTCGACGGAAAGGTGGGAGGCGCATTGGAAGACACACAGCTCGTACAGGGCGTCGTCATCGACAAGGACATGTCTCATCCGCAGATGCCTCGTGTCGTCAAAGACGCCAAGATCGCCATCCTCACATGTCCCTTCGAACCACCCCGTCCCAAGACCAAGCACAAGCTCGACATTACCTCGGTGGAAGAGTACCGCAAATTGCAGGACTACGAACGACAGAAGTTCGAAGAGATGATCAAGCGCGTCAAAGACTGTGGAGCCAACCTGGTCGTCTGCCAATGGGGTTTCGATGACGAAGCTAACCACCTCTTGCTGCAACACGAATTGCCCGCCGTCCGATGGGTCGGCGGACCCGAGCTGGAACTCATCGCCATCGCCACCAACGGACGCATCGTGCCACGATTCGAGGATCTATCACCCGAAAAGCTCGGTCGCGCAGGCGTCGTCCGCGAAGTGGGGTTCGGTACCACGCGCGATCGCATGCTCATCATCGAGGAATGCGCCAACACGCGCGCCGTCACCGTCTTTGTCCGAGGCTCCAACAAGATGATCATCGACGAAGCCAAACGCGCGCTGCACGATGCCATCTGCGTGGTGCGAAACCTGGTCGTCGACAACCGAGTCGTGTACGGTGGAGGAGCCGCCGAGATTTGCGCTTCGGTGGCCATCTCCAAGGCGGCGGACGAGATCGCTTCGTTGGAGCAGTACGCGATGCGAGCGTTTGCCTCGGCGTTGGATGCCATCCCGCTGGCGCTGGCCGAGAACTCGGGCTACTCGCCCATCGAGACCTTGGCCGAGGTCAAGTCGAGGCAGGTGACGGAGAAGAACCCCAAGTTGGGCATCGACTGCATGGGCGCGGGGGACAACGACATGAAGAACTGCCGCGTGTTTGACCCGCTGGTTTCCAAGAGGCAGCAGCTGCTGTTGGCGACACAGCTGGTGAGGGCGGTGCTCAAGATCGACGATGTGATCGAACAACATAACATCGAGTAGGATGAGAGCGGGCGCTCATTGTATGATATCATTTTCAGCACTGAAACAAAAAGAAAGAACATTTCTTCTAGCCTTGGCTGTGCGCTTTTCAGTTGTGAGAGAGTGGCATTGATGGGGTTCGTTGGCGATGTGCTGCTGCAGGGTGCATTGCGGACCGGTGTGGCGGTCTCACAGGCGTTATACTCGCGGTCGAGCACCACCAACACACACACACAAGCGCCAGTACACATTCAGAAACAAAGTTCCTTTTCTCGCCAGCGTCCACTCGCTACGATTTGTCTTTCGATTGCTTGGGCGACGCCGATCTCGCTGCTGGTGCTACACTTGAGGACACGTGGGGGAAATCCGCTTTGGTCCACAAGTTCAGTCTGTACAGAGCGACGCCTAGTGGAGCTGTGATGTGACTCTCTTTGACGCGATACACCGGCGAGGTTCCTGTTGCTTGTGGTGAAGGTATGAGTCTTCGTAATGTGTTGTGGAGCTTGTCTGCTTGAGCGGTGTCCTGGAATTGGGGTGTGAATGTTTGTCGTTCACCGGAGTGCTTCGTTTCTCCTGCATCTTGTTGGATGTGGATCGTCCATCCGCTCTCCTCCTTCCCACTACCATCCTCTTCCGTGATCAAATCCAACCGTCTCCTCTCTCGGAACCGCTCCACCAAAACCTCCACCTCCTGCACCACCCTCTCACCCAACTGCCACCACACCAACTCCTCCATTCCCTTCCCCACCATCGCTTTTGAATACACCGCCTTCCATGCACCCTTTTCCACCAACCTCTTGCACACCCTCGGATCGAGTGTTACCCAAACACCTTTGCCTGTTTTCCGCTTCGCTTTCGCCGGATGTAGGATCGAGTCTGGAAGCATAACGATCCGATCTTGTCCTGCTTTTGATGCGGGAGAAGGTGGAAGGGTGATCGGTTTGAGTGCAAACATGAGCGACGTGGGGAGGATTTTGGATGTTACGATGCACTTGCGGAGTGGGTGGGAGAGCATGGAGAGGTGAGGGGAGGATAGCCAGCGGGTTTGGAGGGAGGTGAGGTCGGAACGGAGGGCGGCGGTGAGTGCAGTGGATGTCATGGTGGTGGCTGCGGTGACATTGCGATGTGCTGAACGACGATGCGGGTGTTGGGTGGGGAAGGACGAGGAGGGAAACACAAGAACGGTTGGACCCTGAAGGAAGCTAAAGGTCAAATGGCCCGATCCGAAGCATCCCTCCACACCCGATCTCGTTCGGATTCCGGAAAAAAAACTTGGTGGCGAAGCGCAATGACAATTTATTTTATTTCTATCACCTTCAACCGCCTTCCTCCTCGTGCAGATCCCTCGCAGCTCAGCACAAGATATATAGCCATCTCGACACTCGCCGCTCTCTACAATATCGTCACCACACCACATCGTCCTGCCTCGTCGTCTCAACCCCAATAATGTCGAACGATCGCAACGCTCAAGAGCTCCTCAAATGGGGTCTCGCTAACTCGGCCAACTCGGCCAACCCCTCCTCCTCCTCCTCCTCCTCCACTGCCGTCGCTCCCGTCGCCAACCAGCAATCGATCGACCAGATCTCCGCCGATATCCAAGCCGGTCGACGTCCTGACCTCTCCGATCCGAACCTGTACAACGCCATCATGGGTAAATCCGAAGCTCAGATGATGTCCGAAGAACTCTCAGTCGCCACCAACCCCACCCTGCCTCTCTCGGATCGTCTCACGGCGCTGGACAACTTCGAAATGCTCATCGAGCAGATCGACAACGCCAACAACATCACCTCGCTCAAAATGTGGCAGCCAATCATCTCGCTCCTCACCGCCGCGGAACCGGAGATCCAGACGGCAGCGGCGTGGATCGTGGGTACGGCGGTGCAGAACAACGATAAGGCGCAGATGGCGATTTTGGACTTTGGACCGGTGCAGTCGCTGTTGGAGCTGTCGGGGAGTGGAGTGGAGGAGGTTAGGGCGAAAGCGATGTATGCGTTGAGCGGGTTGTTGAAGCATAACCCGGTGGCTATGGATCAGTTTGACAGGTTGGGTGGGTGGAAGGTGTTGAGGGAGTCGCTGTTGGATCCGAACTTGGGAGTTAGGAGGAAGACTGCTTTCCTCATCAACTCGCTCCTCTTCCAAGATCCGAACACCCTCGATTCCACGTCCACTCCTGACCCGGTCAACAGCACCGCAACCGCCATCGCCCCCATCGCCCCATCCTCACAAGACACCACCTCACCCCCCGTTCCTCTCGAACGCGGCCCCGCAACACAGCTCACCTCCACCCCCCACCCCAACGTCTCCCTCGCTCTCCTCACCTCGCGCATCATCCCCATCCTCATCTCCTCCCTCCTCCCCCACTCCGACCTCCTCCCCCCACCCTCCGGCCCAGATGGAGATACCGACCCGCAAACCGACCTCGATTTCACAGAAAAAGCCGCCACCTCCATCCTCACCTTCACCGCTAAACTTCCACCTACCCCCACACACCTCCTGGACGATCAAACAAGGTCCCTCCTCAAAGAACTACGAGTTCAACTCGAAGGTCCTCCATTGGATGCTGCGGATGGCGCCACTACTAGGTGGCAGGAACTCGGCATCGATCAACCCGACTTCGAGGCGTTCAAGCAGAAAGTTCAGACTCTGTAATTTTCCCGCTAGCAACCATACTGTATCTTGTACACCCTCATCATTGAAACAAAGAGCTATTGATCAGAATGCCCTTCAAAGTGTCCCTCAGTCTGCATCCCCCGATCGTGTCATCACCTCCCCACCCTGTCTGTGTCCACCGTCAACTCTCAAAGCTGAAACTCCACGCGGGGGCAGAAGCCTCACCCGCGCCTACCGCGCGCACCGTCGTCGCCGCGGACGACGAAGACGACTGGAACGGAAGCGCTGGAAGGCAGATCTCGTCAAATGCATCGGCTCGACAAAGCGGGCATGTCTTGGCCGCTTTGAACCACGTCTATTCGTATTAAGTTCAGAAACAAGTCAGCAAATTGCCCTCAAAACCGAGCTGTGTTCTGCAAAGCCAACGACTCACCTTGATGCAGTCAGCGTGGAACGCATGACTGCACTTGTTGATGCTCATGAGCATGTCCGAGTCCAGATAGTCTTCTCGACAGATCGGGCACATGGTGTCTCTGGCCGTCGGCGGCGGCTCCACCTTTTGCTTGCCTTTGCCCTTGCCGACCATGCCGCCAGCATCGTCGCGCTGTCTGCATGAGCCGCCGTCCCACTTGCCATACTCGCACGTGGGCAGCGTATCGATCAAGCTCTGCGGCACGCAGATCTCGGCCGCCCCCAAGCGTTCGCCTAGCTGCATGAGCCCCTCGTACGAGTTGAGCTCCGCCCAGTCTTCGTCAGCGATAAAATTGCGTGCGTCAAAGGCGAGATGCGTGGCGTGTCCAAACATGCTCGAGGTCGAGGCGGGAGCGTGACGAGCCAAAAGCGGCTGTGGATACAAGTGCGAGCCCCCGGACTCGATCGCCATGCGTAGCAGCGGTGCACGAACATCGCCATCCATCCATTCGTCGAGCATGCTGTCGTGGCTCATCAGCCGACCCAGATATTCGAGCGCAGACTCGTCCTCGCTTCTTTCGCGGTACAGCGAGCTGGACGAGCGACCGCGAGAGCTGGCAGAGCCGCCAGTGTGTCGTCCCCCCACGTCGAGTCTTTCGGCAAACGGCTCGAAACGTGTCTGCAAGGCTGAAAGATTGCGCTCAGGGTGCTGGGAAGGCGCACGAAGACCGAAATGCGTCCTCCTCCAAGGGAGCGACGAACTTTGGTAACGAGCTTCATCAGACTGCCGCTCTGAAAGGTGATGCGCATCCCGTCTTGAACCGACGCCGCTCTCTTGTCCAGCTGGGACTGGCGCATTTGAGCTTGAAGTCGAGACGCCTTCGAGCCTTGCCCTGCCGAGAGCACGTCTCTGCAGTCCAAACGGGCGCCGCACCGCGCCAAAGTCATCCGCAACCTCCAACTCGCTCGATTGAGGCTCGGGCAGTCGCGTGCCAGTCTCTGTAAGCTGAAAGCCCTCTGCATGTGACCGCTCAGAGACGCTCGTGACAGCGACACGAAGGGGCGCATCGTTGGAGCGTGTCTCATGCCGGGCGCGATCTGAGAATCTGTGTTCGTGTTCTTGGAGAAGCTCTGACCTCTCGGAAGGATGTGAGGGAGCTGCATACCACCGTGGCTGGCTGTAAAGTGTCCTGCTTGACGGCCGATCAGACGAGGACAGAGCTGGTGTGGGTATGAGGGTTCGTCTGCGGAGGCTTCCGAACGAGAGCGCACGATGAGCATTCCGGTCCGTGTCATCTGTCTCGACAGCCTCGAAGGGAACGGTGAGGGGAGAGGCGGTGCGCACGTACGGCAACTGAGGCGCGTTGCGTTCGGCGGCTGAATTGATGCGTGGTTGCTGATGTTGGGTCGGAAGAGCACCGGCGGCGGGCGACATGATGGCATTACCGTGGGAGCTGTCTGAGCGAGCACTGAGCCTCAGATCGACCGCCCTGGCGAACTCGTCCATGAAAGTGTCGGAAGTGGTGGTGGCGGTTCTGCTGCTGGAACGTTCATCAGAAGGCGCCGTTCGCTGCGGTGCGTCGTTGCGCAGTAGATCAGCGTCGCGGAGGTAGAAGCCTCTTCGGCGGCGAATAGAGCTGCTGGTGCGTTGAGCTCTGGCACTATCGAGGAAGGCGGCTCGACGATACGAGACGTCGGAGCTGGATTGTTCTGCACGATCGAGTGCGTGCAAGGGCTCCGGAGAGACACAAAAGGCGGAATGCGACGCCAGAGAATGGGCGTCACGAGTGCTGCTGTTGACGAGTAGCGATGCACGACGATGTTCAGTTTCGGACGGTGCGAATGTTGCTACTCTAGATGTTCCAGCGCTGTCCATGCTTGCTTGTTCTTGCCCGTCGAGCGCTGCACGAGACTGGAAATCAGGACCTCGTAAACGCAAGGAGCGACGCTTCTTGTTTGCCGTGCTGGTGCTGGATTGAGCCTGTCTCGAGCTCGAGGGGGTCTGAGTCGTTGAGGCTGCAGATGCGTCCTGAGAGTCGTTGGTGAGGGAAAGCGCTGCTGCCGAGCTGGACGCTTGGTCGGTGGGCAGCATGTAGATTTGCTGGCGCGGCGAACTTGAGGGGGAAGAGCCCATCTCACGTATAGAGCGCTTGAGGGAGGACTCTTCATGATGCAAGGATGAGGCTGGTGTTGAGCGCCCACAATATCGATCGTGTCTCGGTGTAGGACTGGCCGCGAAGCTGCGTAGGCTGCGAGGGTGTTGCGCTGATCCAGAAGCATCTGCCGTAACGTCAGACAAGAGCGAGGACGGGGCTAATGCAAGGGAGGTATCGTCGTCGCTGAGAAGCTGCCTGGATTTGCCTTTGCTATGGTGGGGATGCGCCGATCTGCAGGAACAATGAAGGGAGGCGTAGCCTTTTGAAGCGGACTCATCTGAAAGTGGGCGACTGGAGTCAGCAAGATGAATTGCAACGATTTGGCATTCGTCGGCGTCGTCGTCCCAATCATCGCACGCTCGCGCTTTCCCCTTGTCGGGACGATCCAGAGGCGATTGAGAGTTCTCTGTGGAAGACAGACCTGGTTGATCGAGCGATGACGAGCCGGAGCCATCAAAAGCAGCGAGGAGATCCATGGCGGTCAGCTCTGATTGACAAGTCGAGATCGGCGGTCAGGAAACGAAGCAAGCGTCCACAGGTGTGATAGAAGTCGCAAAGCTGAGCGGCAAAGCTCAATGAGGTCGAGGTCTCCAGTAAGATGGCTCGAGTGAAGGTTGATCGATGGAGCAGCAGAAAAGAGGTGACTTGCGAGGATGTGGGTGAGAGGAAGACGTTGCAGTGTGACTCAAGAAAGAGGGTCGTTTGCGACAAGGCGAAGGTCCGAACAGCTTGAAAGTCGAGGTCGAGCAGCAAGCAGGAGCCGGAACCAAGGAGAGGCAAAGTCTCAATCAAACAGCGGCGACAGGAGGATAGGCGGCGAGAGAGCGAAACCACCTCTGAATGCGAGCGGCACAGCTCAGCGCACTTCCGATGACACTTCTCCTCCTGCTCTTCCTCCTCTTCAAAGTCACAGCCGCCACCGCGGACTACAATAGGTTGGCCTGCAATTGCGTTGCTTTGCATCGGATGCGCTCGCATTTTTGTGATTGTCACAGGTTCTGTCCAGGATCGGTATCGGTAACTTACGAGCGAGCCAGGTCCACTTGAGTCACTTATCTTGTCGGTTGCATGCCGTAGCCTCGCAGCTGTGTGCCGCCTTAGCTTTTTTTTTTGGAAAGCGTGTGGGATCAGGGGAATCAGGGTCCACTATGCAGCTCGCCGCATATCTTTCTGCAGCATCCCGCCTCTGAGAGATGCACATGACCAAAAAAGAGACAAAAGTGACGTTGTAAAAGTGGATCGGCTCGGTCGGGTTACGCTTCGCTTTCAGAGCACACGCCGGCGCCATGCCTCGCTTTGCACTTCTTGGTAGGCCTTGTCAAGGGTCCATGAAATCCCACTCACCCTTGAAATCACACGATGCTCGCTTCCCTTTCAAGAACTGAACCACCCATAACCAGCTCTGTCGCCGCTAGATCCGGCTCGGATCGTCTCGGCCCCCGCCGCAAGTGTTTGACATCACCGCTGCGGTCGCGACATGTGTTGCAAATAGAAGGAAGCACATCGTACTTCCGGGTGATAGCTACGCAAGAGTCTGCGAGACCAATTGTAGCAACTTGATCTCCTCATGTTACGGCACGACCAATCGATCAACGGCTGGGCTTGTGCTGACAACAGTACTATCGTAGCCGCCGCTACCGCAGCGATGGTGGGGACGCACCGCTATGGTCACCATTTGAGAATCTCTCCAGACATCGTGTCTACCAACCGCAAGTTAATCAAAACCGTGAATCTCGACACCATCCAAGTTGCATAGCAGGCAGATCTTCCGCATAGGTCCTTTAGCAGCGTGTCGGGCAGGCCAAGGTGTGTCACATTTCTGGACCGACATCTTGACTTTACTTTTGCCTTTCTTTTCTTTCTTTTATTTTACTTTTCTTTTGTTTTTGAATCGAAGATGATGACACTTCGGAAGTCGGACGCGGTGGAGAGGAAAAAGTGGACAAAGTGTCACGGACACCATTTCCAGGACAGCGTCATGCCAATCCAATCCATCCTTTGCGCTCACACATCGCATACCTTTCTCGATCGTTGCAGTTGCATTGTGCGGAATCAGCCTCGCTGCTACTCGTTGCAGACGACAACAAAAACGCTTTCCTTGCGTCTATCCTAGATCGATCGTCGCGTGGACTCCCGCGTCGAGTCAACCTCTTGCGACTCATGCCACGAGCTGGTGCACCTTGATCGACACTTGATGACACCATCGAAATCACAGGTGCATCGCTAAACGTCACTCGACGCCATGGATCAGGACCGTAAGCCCGCCACTGCTGCTGCTGCCGCCTCGCAGCCCGCTTCAGCAACCCCAGTCGTACAGCCTTTGATCTCCTTCTCGACCATAGACGCGCCTTCTCAACGCTTCTACGCCGTCGGTCTCGCGGTCTTCGTTCAGGCATGGAAATACTCCAGCATCATTCGTAGCTGGCTCGGCTCATCATCCTCGACTTCAGTGTCTTCGATAGCGTTGCAAGCCAGCGAGACCACCGTCTCTCTTTCTACAGCATTGTTCCTCAACTTTGCCGTTCTCTTCGTTCTTGCGCGTCTCGGCATTCCGCTCTTGGATCCACGACTGGCATCCGGCAAAACCTCTCCAGTCATCCAAAATGCACAGGCCTCGAAAGCAGTGCTCCAGCCGTCAAAGACGGTCGGTCTCACATATGTGCACTACCTCGCCCTCTTTGTTGCGCTTTCCGCAACCGACGCGACTTTGCTTGGGTCCGCATCCACCAATCCACTGCTCTTGACGCTCAATGGAATGCTCAGCCTGCTTCAGATCGCTGCTTCCACTCTTGGTCTCAACGTGCCGATGACTGGTGCCTTTCCAGACATCCTCAGCCGACAAACCTCCATCAACGAGGGCCACGTTCGCATTCGCGACCTCATCCAACCAAAAAGTCACATCCTCGGTCAACACACGATTCACATCCTCCCTCACAGCACTGCAAAGCTTTTACCCTCGAGCGCCTGCTACTGCGTCGGTCCGCAAACGCCCCAGGTGACCGTTCCTGTGCTGTTCAGCAATGCACACCCTGACCTGCTCCAGTACTCGATCACCGATTTTGCTACGGGTCAACCCAGCTACTACAACGTCAGTGTCGACAACCTCATCCCTTTTGGCGCCTCAAATCGCGACGACAAAGCAGATGAGGCGGACGCCATCAACGCTGCCGTCAGGACGCGCTCCTCCAAGCACAGCAGCCGTCAGGATGATCTCCTCGACGATGAGGATGCGCTCGACGATCCAACCTCCTTGCTCAAAGGTGTCTCATATGCAGAGCGCGCCCGTATTCGTGCAGAACGCCGCTCTCAATCCCTAGGAAAGCGTTCTGCGGCTCTCGACACCCCGACCACAAAGCGTCTGCCGTCCACGCGCGCCAACAAACAGTTGCTCTGGCATCTCCCCATCACGCAGCCCGGCCGTGTCCGTCTCGAGCGCGTCCTCGACAAGTCCCGCAACGACGCTCGCATCTCGGCTTCCGAGGCTCTCATCGTCCAATGCCCATCCACCAAGCTCATCCCAGCTTCCTCGACGCCCGTTGGCCTAACAGATCCGCTCCAGACGCAACACAAGTGTCCAGGAGACCGAGTCGATTTCGCTGCTCGAGTTAGCGGTGTCGCGCCACTCCAACTCGAGTACCGTCGGATCTTTGACCCTTTGCCACCCGTCAGCGGATCCCATCGCCCAAGAGACAACGCACGTCAGGACAACAAGCGCAAAATCTCACGCATTTCGCCGCCTCACCACACCTCGCCTCTCCTCTTGCCCGAGGCAGAGGCGCTTCTGTCGCCAACAGATCGATTGGCTCTTGCACGCGAGCGCACCCGTGTCGCCTCTCGTCGCACTGACGCAGGTAACGAGGACTTTTCGTGGGCCGTCTCGGTCGACGTCGACATGCCGCTCAGCAGCATCGATCTTGACCAATCCGGCAATTACACCTATGCGCTCGAGAGTGTAACCGACGCCTGTGGCAATCGTGTTGCCGTCGATGCGGATCGTCACGGCGCGTTGTCGCTCGCCCAAAAGGCACGTAAAAGGATCAAGGGCGATGGCAAATCGGCTGCGACTTACCATCAGAGTGTCGTCGTGCATTCCCGTCGCAGCGTTGCCTTTGATCCCAGACAGTGTCGACCAGGCCATCCTCTGCCGCTTCTGCGAAATGCTGCAGGCATCGATCTCAAGTTGCTCTCCGCTTTGGACGCCGAGCAGAGTGGTGATTGGGACGTCAAGGTCTCCTTCCAGCCGGACAACGCCGCTGCCAACAGAGGGCTCTGGGCACGCCCATCGGGCAAAGCATCCACGATGCAGCTCGCTTTGCCAGCTCACGGCTCCCAGCTCCCCTTCACTGTCGAGAAACCCGGCACCTACCGCATCGACGAGATCAACGGACCGTTCTGCGCTGGAGAAGTCGGCTCTCCTTGGACATGCGAGGTCGTCGATGTGCCGCCTCCCACAGCGCAGATCAACTTTAGCAGCATCGAGGACCGATGTGCCGGGCCGGTCGGCGTCAAAGCCATGTCAGTGCTCACGGGCAGCCCACCTTTCCAGCTCGAGTACGAAGTGACCAAGCAGGGCCGCCATCCCGAGCACAAGACCCGCACCATCTTCGATCAGACGCGCGACGAGCTCGACTTCAGGCCAGACGTGGATGGTGCCGTGACCTACAAGTTTGTCAAGCTTCACGACAGCAATTACCGCGGCATTCCGCTCGATGGCCCAACCTTTACGCAAGTTTTCCATCCGCTCTCGAGTGCCGAGTTTACTGCGCCGATCCGCGCGCATGACGACCGCGCAGTCATGCAGAGCTGCAGCGGAAAGCAGGCCGAAACCGATGTCCGTTTCAGCGGCGCTGGTCCTTGGGACCTCACCTACGCCGTTCGAGCAGGAGACAGCGTCGAGACGAAGGAGGTGCAAGGCATTACGCAGTCGCCTCACAAGCTCAAGATCGATATTCCAAAGTCGGTCGCTGCTTCTGGTGGGCTTGTCACTGTCAGTTTGGTCAAGATCCGTGATGCGAGGGGATGCGAAAAGTCGCTCGCTACGCGCGATCTCAACGTCGAGGTCCGACGCGTGCAGCCAAGCGTCGGTTTCCTGCCCACCAAAGCAGAGAAGGGTCGTCTCCTGGAGGTGCTGCACGGCAAGGCATCTCACCTTCCCATCCGTCTCAGCGGTCAAGGTCCGTGGCACGTCGACTACTCGTGGAAGGCCCACGAATCAGCTGAAGAGATCGATCTCAACGCATCGTTGAACAGCGTGGATGCAGAGCTGCTCGCCGAACATCCTGGCCTGTACAAGATCAAGCGTATCCGCGATAACTACTGCCCAGGTATCGTGCTGGAGGGTCAGGATGAGTTCACCATCACTGTCCGGCCTCAACCGCATGTCCAGTTCGCCACTGATGCCGGTGTGCCTGCACGCAACGGCAGCCTGGTCCGTGCTCCTGTTTGCCGCGGTAAGCCAGACTCGGTAGACATCGTCATGTCGGGTCAACTCCCCGTGGATGTCGAATACGAACACATCGCACCGTCGTGGAGTGCCAGCAGCGAGGCCGAGGCTGCCGTACCGCTCGCCTCGGCCGCACACGAAGTAGCTTTGCTTGGAAAGCGGCGCAGGACCGCCTTCACCTCGGCACTCAACATGACCAATCTGGAGCTTTCGACGGCGCTGCCAGGTTGGCACACCTACGTGATCGACTCGGTTGGCGATGCGGTCTATGCACCATCGCGCTTGCAAGGCTTCCCTGCCGATTCGCCGAGGCGTCTCGAGCAGATGGTGTTCCCGCTGCCGAGCGCATCGTTTGTCGGTCCCTCGTCGAAGAGCCGAAGACCCTCGCTGTGTGTCGGTGATGGGCTGGATCGATTGAGTGGAAGCCCACCTACACTCAAGCTGCAGGGACAGGCGCCCTTCACGGTCAACTTTGAAGTCTCCACCACGTCGAGCGCTTCGTCTGGGCCTACGTCGCACAAGTTCACTCGAAGCGGTATCAAGTCGAACGAGTACAAGCTCGATCTGAGCACCGACGAGTTTGCGTTCAGCGGCAAAGGTCTTTGGTCGATCCGAGTGCTTGACGTGACCGACGCGAACCAGTGTCACACTGCGACGGTCACAGATAACAAGCGCGCCGGTCAAGACGACAAGTCGTCGTCTTTGGTGATCGAAGTTGCCGAGACGGCGGATATCGCCTCTGTCTCGACACGTGCCGACTACTGCATTGGCGAGAGGGTGGACTTCTCGCTTCAGGGAAGTCCACCTTGGACGGTCTCGTACGACTTCAACGGCAAGTCGGCACAGGCGGCGATTACCAAAGCCGAATTCTCTCGTGTAGCCGAGCGACCAGGTGTGTTGACCATCAAGAGCGTTGCACACCAGCAGAACCAATGTCGACGCGATATCAACGCGCGCGTCTCTCAAGAGATGGTCAAGACCATCCACGATCTGCCCACAGTCCGCATTTCTGAAGGCAACCATTTCGTCGAAGATCTGCGTGAAGGCAACCAAGCCGAGATCATCTTCAACTTCCAGGGAGTTGCGCCGTTCAGTTTCACGTACCAGAGGACCGAACCGGTAGATACGCATTCCAGACCCAAGGTGCTGGAGACGAACACGGTGAGTGGGATCTTGGAGAACAGATACAGCATCTGGGCGGCGGTGGAGGGGACATGGAGCGTGACGTGGCTGCAGGACAGGTGGTGCCAAGTCTCGTTGGATTATCAGAGTGGGGCGGCGACGCCGTTGGGGAAGAGTAGATTGTTGATTCGGAATTAGGAGTGCGCGGTGAGGGATCAGGCGTTGGAGCTTTGGTCAGCACTCGAGATGCATCCTACAATGAATATATAAAATCAAGATCTAGTCAGATCAAGCGCTAGGTAGTCTGTCCGTGTGATGAGCAGAAGCGTCGAGGCCGCTTCAGTATGGGACAAGCACAAGGGAGCGTCTGCAGAGGACCTACAGTCTCGACTGTTTGACAGAACAGCATCGTATTCCTTTCTCCGTGGAGGCGAAAGTGAATTGCCGATTTCCGAATTTCGATTTCGATGTTTCTTGAGCGCTTTTGGACGTTTCCCACCTTGCTCAGCCTTTCCTTAATCCCTCCCTCCCACCACGCTTTCGTCACTCGCTCGTCTCCACCATCGGATCGAGATGCCTCCGAAACGTCCGATCCGCAACGTCTTTGATGACGACGAAGATGACGCTTCTGCATCGAACGGGGCTCCTAATGGGACACCGCCGAAGAAACCTCGTCCCGATTCTTCAAGGCTCGCTATTCATAGTCCAGGTGTTGCACCGCCTGTCGCACAGGCGACAGGGTCGCAGAATGGAGGATCTGCGGGAGGGAACAGTATACAGGCACAGGTGGCAGCCGCCAAAGCGAGAGCGCAGGCTTTGATGAGCGCGATGCAGAACAAGGGGGCCGTTCCGAATGCGACGAGTGCAAGACCTCCACCGGCCACAGCGCCGCCGGCAGCAGCTGCAGCAGCAGGCTCGTCGACGTCGAGATTTGCTCCTGTCACAGCGAGTGGCAGCAATGGGAGACCGACAGCAGCACCGACGATGGGTTCGCCGAACGTGGCGGCGAGACCACCGGCTGGAGGAAGCAGCGCGATTCAAGCGCAACTCGAAGCTGCACGTGCCAGGGTACAAGCTCAAATGGCTGCCCTGAACAGCAAAGCGAGACCGCCAGCACCGCCTCCCGCCACCACTTCAAGTAGCGCATCTCGTCCGATGTCACAACCCACCACCACCAACATCTCATCGCACAATGTCACGACTTCAACTCCTTCTTCATCTTCATCAACGTCGAAAGCACCCACCGGCATCCACCCTCTCCTCCTGTCCAGCTCCCTCCCCTTCAAACCCTCTGACTCCAGCATTGCCTCCACTTCGACCTCGTACGTCAAAGGCAAAGCCTCCTCTACCATCGAATCCAACCCCTATCTCCTCGCCAGTCAAACCCTGACAACGGACGAAGAGAAACCCAAGGCACGATCGATGCACAAAGGCTTTCAATTCCACAAACCGGGTCGACACGTCAAAGAGGCGGAAGAACTGCGTCGCGAGCAGCAGATGGAAGAGTTGAAAAAGAGGATCGAGCAGAGCGCACGGAAAGCCGGATTGCAGGACGAGCTGGCGGAAGAGAAACGGTTGTTGAAACGGCCGCCGCCGGAGATCGAGTGGTGGGACGAGAATTTGCTCGATGCGGGAACGTACGATCCGGTACCTGACTCGCTGTCCGTCGATCAGATGTTGACCTCGCCTCCACAGGGAGTTCTGCTCTTTGGGTCGTCATCCCCCATCGATGGCTACGTGCAACATCCGATCCCCATTCCATCCCCCTCCGACTCGAATACCGTCCAGGCACGTGGACTCATGCTGACCAAACGCGAACAACGCAAGCTTCGACGTCAACGACGTGCCGCTGCACAGCAGGATAAACGCGATCGAATCAAGATGGGCTTACTCCCACCCGAACCACCCAAAGTAAAACTGTCGAACCTGATGCGCGTTTTGACGTCGGAAGCAGTTTCCGATCCGACCAAGATCGAAGCACGCGTTCGACGCGAGATCGCCGCACGCGCCGAAGCGCACGAACGACACAATGCCGACCGCAAACTCACCCCCGATCAACGACGCGAAAAGCTCGAACTGAAAAAATTTCGCCAAGAAGACCAAGGTCTAGCATGTCAGGTGTACAAGGTGAGGCATTTGATCAGTGGAAGGCATAAGTTCAAGGTGAAACGAAATGCGTTGGATCACGCCTTAACGGGTGTGGTGGTGTTTGGGGAGAAGATGGCATTGATTGTAGTCGAGGGAAGTGAAAAGGCGTTGAAGAAGTATAAACGGTTGATGACGGTGAGGATTGATTGGACCGATCCCGGTTCGGAGCGGGAGGAAAGTGAAGACGAGAAAGATCAAGACAAGACACCATCCGCTTTCCAGATCCTCACAACGGGCAAGGAAGATGTCGATTGGTCCACCAACACGTGCGAGTTGATCTTCGAAGGTCCGATCCGCGAGAGGAACTGGAAAGCCTTCCGTGCAAGAGCCGCAGATACGGACCAGGCGGCCAGGGATGCCTTGGGCGAGGCGATGCAGGGTTACTGGGACGTTGCCAAGCGCGTCACGCAGAGTGCGACGGATGCGTTTTGATCGGTTCTTCCCAACCACAACATGAGACGACGAAGGAATGCCAATGCAACAAGCTCAGCGAACGAGGCTCACGGTCGAAGAGGTGTGTGTGTGCAAAAAGGACGAATGTGGCATTGGGGTTGAAGTAGAGAGTGGATTTGTCTATTGTGTCGATGCAGCTGACGATGCTGTCGGTGGTGGCTGCGTAGCGTTCTCAACCCGACCGGCACGCTCGCAACTGCCATCTTTGAGCATATACGCCGGCCTCCAGCGTCCCTTTGCCGTTCCGTCACCCACCACGGCTTCCTCCTTCTTCCCACCCATTCCCTCCTCCTGCTCCTTCTCTCCGTCTTCCACTCTCAACTCTGGATTGGGCAGAGTGTTATACGTCGACCCCAACGAAGTATAACCCTGATCGTACAGCAGGCAGTACGGCACTCCCTGTGCACCGCCCCCCGCCGTCCCCCACTCTTCCGCCAGCTCCCGCCTCCCCATGCCCAACTTGGCTTCGTCAGAGGCGAGATGCGGACACCGCAAGAACTGCCAGACGTCCTGGTAGGTCCAATCCAGGATAGGGTGGATCCGTTCGACGCGAGGCCAGTCCTTGTCCGTCCAGGATCGGGCGGATAGTTGAGGTCCGTGTGGGTCGTCTCGACGCGTGCCGACAAAGATAGCTCTGATGTCGCGTGGTTCCCTGTTCTCGGTGGATTCGAGCGGGTCATCGGAGGTCGAGATGCCGACTTGCTCGCGTCCACCACCATCCAGGTACGTCCGAATGCCCTTCTTCATCCCACCTTCCACCGATATGACTTGCAGGTTGTAGCCGTGCGTCGGAGAGACACAGAATCGAATAAACTTCTCGACCGTAGGGAAGGGCGAGGGACACGTGATGTAGAGCGAAGGTATTGACGGGATCGGTGCCAATTTGTCTTTGCCCGTGTTGAGTCGTCGCAATACAGCGGACAGGATGTGTACGAGGACGGTGCAGTCCTTGCCGCCGTTGAAGCTGAGTGCGCAGTGTTGCTGGCCGACATCCTGTATCACCTCTTCGCACAGCTGTACCGCCGTTTTGACCTTGCGTGAGAGGTCTGGATAACGTTCCGCTGCCGTAGGATCTTCAAAGAGGCTGTAGACTGCATCGATAGAAGCGAGCCATTCGGGTGGTGGTTGTGATTGCGATGCAGAGGTGGAGCTGCCGGATGCTGCTGCGCCCGAAGGCGCCGTGTTGGCGCCGTTGGACGTCATTCCAAGCTGCTGTTGGCGCAGGGAGATGGACGATCGCAGAGATGGTGCGCGCCGTATCTGGACTGCAACAAATGAGAGCAGAGAAGTCCGAACCCAGGCGATATCAGATGCAACGATGAAGCGAGCGGAGGAGAAGATGTGTGGGGGAAGTAAGGATGGTGGTCCAAGCTGCGCGCACTACGTAATAATCTCGGAAAGCGCCAAATGGATTTCCCGAATCCTTCTCCGCGGTCAGTACGCCGCTCGCCCTGGGCCAGGAACGGTCTCAAGAACTCGCTCTGCTGCCGCGATTTTTTCTGTGACTGCAAGAGTGAGAGTGGAGGAAAAAGCAGCCAAAATCCCATTTTTGACGGACAAGCCACGTTTTGGATTCGCTTTCAAAACTTGTTCTTCAGGGTCCAGGCGAAGCGAAAAGACCAGAGTCGATGGCTCTTGTCCTTTCTTCACATCGTCTCCAGCAGCATCATCAGCACAGCTAGGAAGACAAGGGCGCAGCAAAGGCGTCTTCGGGAAGGCCGACTGGGAGCGTGCCGATAAGGCGCAGCGAGCTAAGCCCTACCGCAACGCAGACGCTCTCGGCGTCGAGCCTGTCTCATCCGCACCATGTCCGACGACCCCTTTCGCAACATGACACCCGTCACCGCACGCTCCAGCGTCGTCCCCTCCGAATCCATCACTCTCCGGACCGTTTCTCCCACCAGTCACTTCTCGAGCGGCAACCGCAAACTTCGGCTCCGCATCGTCACCCGACATCCTCTGCCCGAGCATCATTTTCTCGCCCCTTTCGATCCCAACGATTTTCAATGTTTCGCCAAGCTGAAACACTTTGTTCACGCACATCTGGTGGCTCGCTCAAAAGGAGCGGCACAAAGCGGATTGATGGATGGCATCACTCAGGACGCGCTCGAATTCCAAATGGACAGCTTTGAAGTGCCAAACGACCCAGAGATTTTGAGGGATGGTGACACCGTCGAGGTTGTCGTTGACCCGGAGAGTGCGATGCAGGCTGGCCGGAATGGGGAGATTGCGATGATGCAAAGTGAAGCGGATGAACGTGACGAAGACGATTCGCAGGACGAGGACCATGATGATGACAATGCGGACCCGCTCGAATTCAGCGCGGCGGATGCTGAAGAGCGAGATGCTCTTTTGGAGGCGAATCGCCTTGCTGCACTGCTTCGTTCCGGTATCCATAAGATGTCAGACGACCAGTACGACGACTTACCCAGTCGGCTGCATGCAGAGGTTGACGATCTGCCCCGCATGCCTGGACCATCTAACCTCAACTCGGTCCCTGCTCTCAAGACCATCAGGCCTACCGTGTCCAAAACATCCATTCCAGAACGAGCGTCGGTTCCAACGCTACCACTCATGCCCCCGTCGCTAGCGCTTGGTGGAGGTGCGGCATCAGCGATGGCTGCTTTTGAAGCAAAGAGAAAGCAGATGCAGGCGTCATCATCGTCAGCTCAGTCAAGACCACCCCCGCCGATGACGCCCGCAAGAGGCGCTACCGCTTCCGGCAGCAAGAGAAATCTGAAGCGAGATCGGTCGTCTTCTTCGTCGTCGAGCAGCTCAAGCAGCGATAGCAGCTCGGATTCAGAGTCTGACTCTGATTCAGACTCAAACTCGGACTCGACAGATTCCTCGAGCGAATCGGAATCTGAGTCAGATTCTGCATCCTCCGATTCAGATTCTCAGATATCCGACGGCTCTTCCGACTCAGCTCCTTCAGTACAGGCAACACATTCGGATCGACCGCGTCAGATGATCAATGCATCCGCTCAGAGGCCAAAGTCTCCGGCTCCGGTGCCACCTGGTCAGGGTCTCAACCGGACCAAACGACGCAACGCGATGCGGCGAATGAAGGCCAAGGAGCAGCGAGAAACGGAAAACACCCTTAGATTTCTGGAGGCACGAGAACGTGCCGCGTCGCGAGAGAACGGCGAAGACCACGTTGGCGAAGCCGATAGAGTGGGCTGGATTGAGGATCGTGAGCCGGCAATGCTGCAGATCAAAGGCACCAGTGGCCTTGCGCAGAGCAATGGTATCAATGTGTCGAGTGACGGAGACATGCCTCCTGGAGGAGGAAGCTTTGGCATGGAGGAGTCAAGTATCACAACTGAAAGACCAGCCGAGACTAGAAAGAGGAAGCGTACGGATGAGACCGCAGCTACCATCGAGGAGAGCGGCCCTCAAGTGCAACGGTTGGGACCAAGGTGGCAAGACATGCAGCCCGGTCAAGCGCCTTACGGCGGAGCAATTCCAGCCAACGTACTAATCCGACACATCGACTGTCAAGCGTTCTACGACGACCAACTGGCGAAAATGGAAGCCGAAGCGGAGAACACGACGGAAATGCCCTCCGAACAGCACGAGGAAGAGCCAATAGAAGATCGAAGGGAAGAGCAAGAAGCACAATCAGAAGAGCAAGTGGAAGCAGAAGTGGACGCACCACCCCAAGCACATGAGGAAGAACAACCGGAAGATCAGCCACGTCGTCGCCGAAGCGAAAGGATACGCGGCATCCACAGTCAGCGACGGCAAGAACTTGAGGACGCCGCTGAAGCTGACCGAGCTCGCAAAAGGATCAAAATCGAGGAGGTCACCCCGGCGCTCGGGACGCCCGTTCCAGTTGACGGCCCCAACGATATCCGCTTCAGTCCCAAGGATCCTCCTGGAGACAATGAAGATTTCGACATTGACATAATTTGGCAAGAGCTCGTGCTGGGCGACTATCATCCATCAGACATTGCGCTCTCGGAACGAGTTCATGCACCTGTGGTACCATGGTCCGAGCTCAGAGCAGGGGTCGGAATCTTATGGCAGGAACTGGCGTTGCATCCTGAGCGAAACACTCCGGAGATGCTGTGGCACGCTGGCGTTGTAAGCAGTTGCAGGCCTTTGGACGCAGAAGGTAGAAGACATACCAAAGTTGAAGGGATGGGACCATTCGAGGAGAACAAGTGGCGAGACTACGAAGATTACGACTGTCCGCGTTGGAGAGCACACTGGACGACGGAAGAGGAATATCCAGCACTGGTGTATCGCTTCGGTTAAGCTCGACGGACCTACAGGAAGGCGAACACGGATTCTCACACCATTTCTGCACCCTCATAAAGCGAAGCATCTGCGGAAGCAGTCGTCACCAAGGAGAATCTTCTACAATTGAACACGACTATGCAGCACACCTCCTCCTCCTGAGAGGCGAGTGCGTTGCTTACGAAAACAGATAAATTTATGGCGACACTTGTGAGAAACTTGAACCAGACCAACATCATCTTCCTCCGTTCCTCTCTCGACCCATTAGACGCTGATCTGAGCAGCATCCAAATTGAGCGCATGCAGCAGCAGGTTCACGTTGCGAATCCTGATATCCGGGTTGAACTCATCCTGCCTTGCGCCCGGGTTCCTCTTGGCCCACTCGTTGGCACTAATAACATTCTCCAGGATCTTATCCCTCAGCTCCTGGACCAAGACCTGCTGCTGCTCCATGTCGCTACCGATAGCGAGTGCAGCCATGAGGTTCCAACTCGGTTCGTCCTCCAGATCCACATTCCTGTACTTTCCACCTACCGTCTGGGCGCTCAACTGTTGACCCAACCCACTACCCATGTAGTAGCTGACGCCGAAGGGAAGGCTCTGCTTGCTCCTCGTGCTCGGGAATAGCGTGGGGAGCATACCTCTGGCGGTCAACCTGGAGAACAGTAGCGCAAAGATCTGTTTGAACTGTTCCAGCTCGTCCTCGGCCACATCACCCTGCTGCTTGAGCGTCTCCGCTCTGGACAGGAAGATCGTCAGGAACGCCACACCCGGTCTAGTCTGACTCACTTTCACCGGATCGTTCCTCTCGACGAACAAGGCCAACATACCCGAGACGATCCTCATCGGAGCACTGCTCGCCATCGACATCATGCTCGGCACGATTGTCGTAGCAAACGTCTCCGACTGCCTCTCTGCATCCCTCCTCGCCTCGATCTTGCTCGGATCGTCGCTGAGATCGTCCAACAGCGGACCCTTCTGCACCACATCGAGCGACTCGAACGACGCCACCACCATGGTCAACGCCGTCAGCGTCTGCTCCTGCGACAGATGACGCAGTGCACGTGGCAACAGTCGTTTGCCCTTAGCCGAAGATAGGAGGGAGACGAACGGATGAGGGTCGGAGATCTCGAGCGGCTCCAGGACGCGCAGCTCGGTCCACAGCGTGTTGGTGACGGCGGCCTGTTCGGCCTGGTGCGCATCGAAGGCATCCTTGGCCGCACTAGCCGCATCGTCCTCTGGGTTGACATCGGCAGGTGGGGCAGGGGGTGCGTTTCGACGAAGCTGCTCGAGCTGAAGAACGAGGTCGTAGAGCTTTTCGAGAATACGCAGCACCTCATGCTTGGTGAGAGGATCGCGTCGCAGACCGGCGTTATTATTGCCACCGAGCGAGGCACCTTCAAGCGCCTGTCGAACAGCATCCCTGGCATGACCCGCATCTGGAGAAGCATCGCCAGCGGTGCGCTCCTTGTTACCACCGGCCTTGGCAGCGTCGGCCGAAATCTGGAGCATCTGCCTGGGGTTCTTGGTGGAGCTGAGGCTGACCCTACCGAGAGCGCCCTCGAGTGCTGCGCCGGACGCGCTCTTTTCCATCCTCTCCTTGCGACTCTGCACGATGCGCTCGACCTGCTGCTGCATACGGAGCATGGCGTTCTGCTGCTTGTTGAGCTTCTGCTTGCTGCCCTTGCCGCCCTGCTTCTGCTTCTCGTTTGCATTACCGGTGCCGGCGCCAGTGCCGTTGCCGTTGCCGGCAGCAGCAGCGGGAGCAGGCAGAGGAGGCAAACCTGGCCTGCGAGGACCGCCGCGAAGAGCAAAGTAGATGTGCGCGTAGAAATCGTCGGCGTAAGGATCGGCAGTAATCAGCTGCGAGATCTGAATACGCGTGATAAAGTCCTTATCAGAACCAGACATGAGACCGTTGTACTTTGCCATCGCGTTGATCTTGTCCATCCTGCGCTTGCGCTTCGCCTCGAGACGGTCAAAATCGGCCATCTGCGCCTGTGCCTTCTCCATCATGAAGCGGACGGCATCCTGCTCTGCAGAAGGCGCACGCTCGCGCTGAGCAGGGTCGAGGAGGTTGGGGAAGTTCTGTGCGACGGTCTCGAGCGAGTCGAACTGCATGGGAGGTGGAAGCGAGAGGATGGATTGCTGGACGAGGGGCGGCATGGCTTCGAGGAGTGTTCGCATGCGGGCGAAGTGGGCTGCTTGGGCTTGCTGTTGAGCTGCCTGGATGGCGGCAGGGTCGGCGTTGGGGCCGAGAGGCGGAGGGACAGGGCCCATGGGAGGCATGCCGGCGGGAGGACCAGCGGGAGGAGGAGCGATACGCTGGGCCATGGTCTGAGGCGGATGCGGCATGGGCTGCTGAGGCTGAGCAGACTGCGCAGAGGGAGTTCCACCAGCTGCACGACGAGCGCGCAATTCAGCTTCGACTTCTTCAACAGTCATGGGCTTCCTGTCGGTGGAGGGTGGCTGCTGCTGCTGCTGCTGCTGCTTGGCACGCATAGCAAGCATCTCTGCCTCAACTTCCTCGAGCGTCTTTGGCTGAGCACTAGGACGCTGTTGGTGTTGGTGTGGGTGTTGCTGCTGAGGAGGCTGAGGGATAGGAGTCTGCTGCTGAGCACCACGACCAGCACCAAAGCGAGGGACTGGGTCGACGAGGAAATCATCGAGACTGGCAGCAAACTTGTTGGAGGGGTCAAACTTGGTCTTTGGCTGCTGCTGCTGTTGAGAATACTGGCTGTAGTTGGTCTGCTGATGTTGCTGAGGGGCAGGCGCAGGAGCATGACCAAAGTTGAAGTCCTTGCCAACGTCGACATCGCCAAAGGTGTCCTCATTAAAGTCATCGCCCGACTCGTCGAGCTTGTCACCCAGACCGTCGTAGCCGTCCTGGCCCCAGGTGTAGATCTCTACATCCTCCTGAGCGCCAGCGGCGAGCGCTTTGATCTTGGCGTCGAGCGACTCGTCATTGTCAAAGGTGGGATCGAAGGCGTCCTGGGAAGAGTAGTTGGTACGGTTTGCACCACGCTTTTCGCCGGGAAGCGAGGTGTCGAAGCCAAAGAACGACATGGTTGTTACAGCGCCTCTGGGAGGGCGTCAGACCAGGGTTGCCGCTGTCGTCTTGTTGCTCGTGATCGAGATGACGGACAGAGATTACTGATGGTAGGTGGTGGAAACGAGAAGACGTCGGACGGTGCATCGCGCTCAGACGCTTCTGGTCGATTGATGCCCAGTCACGTGTGGCTTTGCTTGCCAAGCGTGGATGGCTGGCTGGCTGCCTGTCTGCCTGTCTGCGATGTGAAATTGTGATCGATCGGCTCTGTCTCCGCTTTCGAAGGAATTCCGTCGGGAGTGCCGCCAGAGAAGCTCTAACATTGCTAGGTTGGGTCCTTGGGTGGAGGTTGCCGCTTCAAAGGAGACCAAACCAGCGTTGTCCCAAGCGTCGATTTCGGCTCACTTGGACGAGTGTTGGTCTGATGCGTGCATCAATCCAATGCAACGCTACGCTGCACTCTGTCACTTGTGTCGCACAGAGCGCTTACATTGCCGCCCACACAACAGCCCCCACGCTCAATTCTAAAAACGCACGCACTTGTCACACGTACACTTACACTTACACTCACACTCACACTCACATTCATATTCAGTCGCATCGAAACACCCAAGCTACGGCATCGTCTCCTACCACATCAAGAGCAGACGTTTCATCTGGCTAGGCACAACTCGGCGGCGTCGTAGCCACCAGCACAGGCGTCTTCTCTCATCTTGCCCTCGATCACGCATCGTCAGCATGGCGCCCAAATCGCTCGTCACCTCATTACGCGACCGCTACCTCTCTACCATCCGCTCGGTGCAGCCGCCATCAAGATGGAAAGTCCTCGTGGTCGACTCCTTCACCAAGGAGCTCCTCCAATCGGTCCTCAAGATGTACGATATCCTCCAGGAGAACGTCGCACAGGTCGACAACATCGAGCTCAACCGTGCTCCTCAGTCGACGCTCGAGGCCTGCTACCTACTCACTCCCACCAGTCAGAATGTCGACCGCATCATCCGAGATCTCGCACCCTCCGAACCCGGCAAGCAGCCAACCTACGCTGCCGGCCACATCTTCTTCGTTGACAGTCTCTCCGATGCGCTCGTGCACAAGCTCACTTCCTCGCCAGCCGAACCCAAGCTCAAACAGCTCCTCGAGCTCTATACCAACTTCTGGCCACTGGAATCTCAGGTCTTCTCCCTCAAATCACCGCACAGCTTCCTCAACCTCTTCCAACCCGTAGGCGGCCTTTATGGTCCAGATCCCATGGAAGCCATGCGTGCCATCCAGGATGAGCTTCAGTTCTCCACACAGGCCATCCTCAATGTCTGCGTCACACTCAACGAGTTCCCCTTAATCCGGTATTACAATCCATCTCATCCACCACTCGGTCCACTTCAGCCGTCCAAGGATGCCGTCAAATCCCAAACAGCTGCTGCCAACATGTACCAGGGTAGCGCACGCATGGCTCGACTAAGAGGAGGCAACAACGACGGCGGTATACCAGGTGCAGGCTCCGAAGGTCCCGCTGTCGGAGAGCATTTCACCAAAAAGCTCGCCCTTAGCGTACAGGCTGCCATCGACCAGTACGTTCGCGACAACGAGCCCAAGGTGGAGACCAGTCGACCTCGCAGCGTCCTCTTCATCACCGACAGGTCCATGGACACCGCCGCTCCTTTCCTCCACGAATTCTCCTACCAAGCCATGTGCAACGACCTGCTGGCCATCCAAGACGGTGTGCGCTACAACTATACCTTCACCACATCCGACGGCGAGCGCGAGGACAAGGAAGCCATCCTCTCCGACGAGGACAATGTCTGGACCGGTATCCGTCACCTCCACATCGCTGAAGCTATCGACAAGCTCACGCGCGACTTCAAGCAGCACGCGGGAGAACAGGGTGCCTTCGCAGACCCCAACTCCTCGCTCAACGACATGCGCGATATGCTCGCCTCGCTCCCGCACATGCAGGAGATGAAGGAGAAGCTCTCGCTCCACCTCACCATGGCGCAGGAGTGCATGAACCGGTTCGAGAAGTCCAAGCTCCCCGCGCAGGCGATGGTGGAGCAGAACTGCGCCACACGCTTGACACCCGAAGGTCAGAAACCCAAGACGTTGGTCGAAGAGATGGTCCCCCTCTTGGACGATAGATCCGTCACGAATACCGACAAGGTACGCATCATCGCGCTGTACATCATGTACTGCGATGGCGTGCCGGATGAGGACAGGAAACGGTTGTTCCAGCACGCGCGGTTGGGGAGGTGGGAGATGGAGGCGGTGGACAACCTGGTGCATCTGGGTGCGCAGGTGGTCAAGGATCCGAGCAGTTCCGGGTGGGATGTGTTTTGGAAGAAGGGCAAGAGGAAGCAGCAGCCGGTGGGTGGCGAGGAGTACGAGCTGAGCAGGTACCAGCCGTTGGTCAAGCTGATGGTGGAGGATCATTTTGCGGGGAGGTTGGAGCAGGCGACGTATCCGTATGTGCGGGATGCGCCGGTGGAGGCGGCGGGTGCGGGTGGGTTGGGGTTGCCGGCGGTTCAGACGTCGGCGTTGGCGAGGGTGGGATTGGGTGCGACGAGCAGCAGCGTTTCGCCGGCGGGAGCGGGAGCGAGAACCCAACCGAGCAGTTTGAGGAGCGCCAAACCGACATGGCATCAGAAGGGACGCGGTGGCAGCAACGTGGGTATCGAGAGGGTGGAGAATCGACAGAGGGTGATGGTGTTCGTAGCGGGTGGAATGACGTACTCGGAGATGAGGAGTGCGTATCAGATGAGCGAGAGATTGGGTAAGGATGTCTACATTGGATCTTCGAATACGTTTACGCCGGAATCGTTTGTCGAGGTGATGAAGCATTTCAGCAAGGCTGGTGCGAGGGATGCTGCCTCGCGTGGCCAACAACACCATCATCATCAGAAACACCATCAGCAGGAGCCGGAGCAGCAGCAGACGAAACTTCCCGCTGGTGCATCGAGACTCTCCAAACCAGCTAACGATCGGAGCGCCATCCGAACCACCTCTCTGCAACACGGTGCGTACCCGGCCTCGCATTCGAACGGCGGTGGGGTGAAGCACACCGGATACGCCGCCTCGCCCGTCTCGCCCGTGGATCAAAGCAGCTACGATCGACGCTTCCAAACGCACCAGCAGACACCGTCGCCGTCGGTGCCACCGGTGTCGGCACAGCACGCGTCGAGCATCCCACCCCACCTAACGGGTAGTGCGCAGGACGGTAGGAGCGCCAGTCCAGCTCCTAGCCAAGCTTCCGATCTCAGCATGAGGTCCAAGGAGAAGAAACGGTTGAAGAACGTTTTCGGTTTCAAGAAGTCGTAACGTTTCGGCAACATGTTGCTAGTCTCATGTGGGGACAATCAAGTCAAAATGATGTTTGGGGGGAAGTCGATCGGGTTGCGTGCGATAGTTTTGACAAAAAGGTGTGCCTGAGGAGGTGTGCGAGAGAAGGAGCAGCATACTCTCGGGGGAGGTGATGGTGAATGAGTGAAGACATCGGTGTGAGGTCGTTGCGTCAATCGTCCGTTCCAATCCCTTCGACTACCCACCACGCATGTGATCGCCTCGTACCACCTTCCGAACAACACCGTCTCTTCCCTCCTCCTCCTTCCCCCCAGTCTTACCACCCTCTAATCCCCAGAATATGCCTGACATCGCTCGCAAACCGCAAACTGTCCAGCACGGGTAACAAATCCAACAGCGCCTCATCGTTCGGGTCACTGGTCCAGCCTTCCACCGGAATCCCATTCTCCCTGTTCAACCTGTAACTAGCCGGACTATTATCCACCAAACAGACCTTACTCAGATCCTCATCGACCACCTTCAAATTCTTAACATAGCTTCCTTTACTAAAACTGCAGCTCTCACGGAAGAGGCGTGCTGAGATCAACCCACGACCTTGGTCCAGCCAGTCGATGACCGGGTCGGCGTACTCCTGAACGGAAGCGGTGAAGACGACGACGGTGTACCAGGAGGAAACTTTGCGCAAAAAGTAGTCGGTCCAGGGACGTTTGTAGACGTGGTAGAGGACGGAGCGTCCGTCGAGGACCACTTCTACCATGTGCGGGCGGATGCGGCGTGGGTTGTCGTTGGCGCGCAGACCGAGGAACGCTCCGGCGGTTTCGAGACCGAGAAACCCCGAGGTGGTGGTTCGTCCGGACGACGAGAGGTGCGAGGGCGAACGCGAGGTCGAGTGGATCAGCGTTTCGTCCAGATCCAGCACGAGGATCTTGGGTGAGTGGTGGATGACGCTGCTAGCAGGTGCGCGTGGTACTTTGCTCGGTAACAGCGACGAAGCTTGTGGGGTGGGCGAAGAGCGAGCGTCGGATGCGGACTCGATCGCCGCCGCTCGTCGTGCAGCCCGCCCCTTGGCAATCCGTGACTGTCGCTCCGCTTCCATCACAGCCTCCTTCTCTGCCATCACCACATCGATCGGTTCGGCTTTGCTGTTGTGCGCCAGCATCGGATCGATCACCTGCGGATTCGGCAGCAGCCTCGACGGCGTCCTCTGCTGCCCCAACGCCAAGGATTTCCAAACGGTCCCCAATGCAGCGGCTTGATCCTCGGTGACAGGTTCCTCCTGAGTCTGGAACGTGTGATCCTTTTCATCCGGCTTTGGCGTGCGCGGACGACTCGCGTTCCCACTCCGTTTTTCGGGATCACGCTGCAGTTCTGTTTTGCTGGCGAATCGCAGCGAAGGTGGACGTTTCGTTCGGGTAGGCGTTGGTTCGTCGCTGTTTGTTTTCTCGAGGATGGGCACCTGTGCTCGTTCGTAGATGGCTTCCACCGCCTCTTCTGCTCGAACAGCTCGACGTCTGCGCAGGAATCGAATGCAGTTGACCGGAGACAGCAGTACGGCGAGAAGGAAATCTCGCAAAGCCAAGAAGGTCCTGCGAATCGCTCGTTTCGCGGACGAGGTTTTGCGTCTTGAGGGGACAGCACCGCGTCGGTTGGCCGTGGCACTGTCGGCGTTCCCGTTGCGGGGAGCGATCCAGCCGCGCGACTCTTCCGTTTCGGATGCACGCGCAGAGGCAACTGCGGACGATCGAGCGGAGCGGCGTTTCCTCGGCTTGGAAGGGGTGAGACTACGATCGACGGCCTGCTCCGAATCTGTGGTACCGAGCGATGAGCTTGAAGAGGACTTTACGGGATCCATCGCCATCGCTGCTACATGTCTTTGCCGCAGAGAACCTCTCCGAGAGGCGGACGGGGTTGTGGTGGCGGCAGTGGACGACTCGGACGGCCTGCGACGATGATTTGTGGGTGTGCTATCGGCATCAACACCAGGGTCCTTCTTCGGCGTTGCCGACGTAGCAGCCGGATCGACCACCGAAGAAGTCGGATCCTCTTGTGCCACCGTCTCGATTGCTTCGGGTTCACCCTTTGCCGCCTCGAGCAGGGTCTCGGAATCGACTTTTTCTTGGTCAAGCTCATCCTGTGCGTCGTTCCCATGGGTATCATGTGATGCGCTCTCCAACTTCGATCGCGAATCAGCGGCTGTGGCCAAAGGGGTAGCGGCGTCATGGGAAACGCTCGAGCCTTCGCCCCAACTGCTATCGGCGCTGCTTTGCGAGATGGTCCTCTGACGCAAGCCGTCGACATCCTCGGGAGCGAAGTCGCCGCCGTCGAACTCGACGATATCCTCGCGCTCCTTCTCGGTCATGAGCTCCGGGTCGTCCTGCCTGTGCATGGATTCTTGCTGACTCGGCCAAGCCTCGGACTGTTGCTCCGGGTTCGTAGCGGTGAGGATGAGCGACCCAGATTGCCCGAAGCGTGAATGACGTTTGGACGACCTGCGTCTTCTGCCTGATTGCGATTCATCCGTGCTGCTCGACCCTCCATCCTTGCTGGATGTGGCACGGTGGTAACCGGAAGAAGCCGTCCTCCTCTCTGTGTCTCTCCTCGGAGCAGTGGAGCTCAAGAGCAAATCATCCAAGCTAGGAACCCTCCTGGTCCTTCTGTACGACGCTCCCTCAGAACCCGACCCAGGGTGAATAGCTTCATCGATCCAACCGGTCAACCCCCACAGACCGCTCCATCTAGCCCTCCTGGTTTGCGGACCATCCGAATCGCTCTCGTCGGTATCCAGGGCAGTAGCGGAGAATATCCCAGCGCCAGCAGGAGTGCTTCCCGTGCGACGGAGCTTGTTCTTGCTGTACAGTGCGAGGTTCGGCTCGCTCTGCTCCTCCTGGGACCATCTTCGCAAGGATGAGGATCCGGATGGTGTGGGAGGCGAAGTGCTGGATGCGCGACGACTCGCAGGGAGAGATGAGTGGGACCGAGATCGTTTGGCGGAGGATGAGGACGGACGTGATGGCGGTCGATCCGTGTTGGGGCCGAAGGATCGGCTGAGGACCGAATCGAGGTAGCTAATCGAATTCATGCTGGTGTGAGCGCTTTTGATGGGCGATGCTGGGGTCTTGTGCCTGTGACTACGCTATGTGACGAGAAAGATACGATGCAAAGAATGCTGTGACGGCCAAAAAGGAGAACTGTTGGCTTAGTTCCAGACATTCATGATTGACCGTCGATAATGTTGTAGTGGGATGAGATCCGATGAGTTGATTACGAGCACGTTTCAATGCGAGACGAGTGGGTGAAGCAGGAGTTGATGATAATCGCCGCCGTCCTTTGCGCCAGGACCAATATTGCGCAGAGGTGCCGACAGCTGTCTATCGAGACTTCGAAGCGGTGGGAGAAGGCGATCGCGATGGAAGCAAGGTGGGGCTTGCTCATCACCATGAACGGATGATCGCTACGGTGAGGGGACCAGGAAAGCGGGACCAACTTGGATTTCACGACATAACTCAAGCTTGACCCAAGACGATCGACTCTCGGGCCAGCTCTAAACACCGCGGCCTACAGCAAAAATCCCCAACCACGTTGAGCAGCGCGCTTTCGCTTGCCCACAACCCCTGCATCCTCAATTCATTTATTTTGCGGAAAAGGACGAGGGCGATTTGTTTTTGCAACAGCAGCCCAAAGAAGCCAGCTCCAAGGATTGACAAAACCCAACAATTTCACGCGGAATAATCTTCATTTTTTACTCCACATATTCCTGCGTCCACGGGAAAAAGGGTGACGCACGAACCCCATCTCCAACACTGGACGGAGAAAGGTGATGACAGCCAAAACCCAACCCAAAAGCTGCCAGAATTTCGCAGTCCGCCGACCGAGCTTTATTCAAAACCGACTTCCGAAATGGGCCGGCCCACACTTCCCACACCTCACCCTCTCTCCATCACGTCTCTCAGCCTTTCCCGGAGAATTGAGCTGGACAGGTCGTAAGGAGACCGTCTCTCTCTCTCTCTCTCTCGCGCGCGCATCGCAGCAATGCTTCAACCAGCAGCCATAACATCGCTGCTTTCGCAGCTCATCAAAGATCCTCCTTCTTCCACCACTGGCGAGACGTCGATTCGTCCACACACTGCGCTGCTCACCTTGCTCGAATCGTCCGAGCTCTACGCCTCCGCTACACGACTCGTGGACGCACCACCCGCGTCCAGATCCGCTGTCGCATCGATACTGGCGAGCACAGCAGCAGCGGCAGGAACGCAACCTCCGGTGCCGACGTACAATGGAAAGGCACCGTTGACGTTGGATGAGCGTGCGGTTTGCTTATCGGCGATCGCGGTGACGTGTTGGAGGGAGGTGGCGGAGGGATCGGCGCAGAGGGGGAATGTGGTGGTAGCAGGTGGGATGGTAAAGGTGAGACGGCATGCGGTGACGGGGATGGTGGGGGAGGAGAGGGAGGTGGTGCCGTTGTTGGTGGAGAGCGATCTAGGGAGGATCTTGGTGATGCCGATTACAGCGGCTGTGCCGACGAATGCGTCGAGGGGGGAGATGGCGCTGGACGAATCGCAGGATGAAGGAGGTTTGGCCTCAGGTGATAGGAACAGACCGTTTATGCTTCTCACGCTCAACGCCGCTGCCGATCCGCCGAGACTACAAGCGACACCGCAGAACACATTGAGTCCGGCATTGGCCTCTTCCACAGCTACCCTCTCCGCCGCCGGTACAAACACCGCCACCCGCTCACGTCTCAGATCCGGCGTCACAACACCCACTTCCGCCAGATCGGATCACACTCCCACGCCGTCTCGCTCACCCGTCTCGGACCACTTCCCCCTCGGCTCGACCAGCGGTCCACCGCAGCACGGTGGCACTTCACCCACGCCCGCCTCGGGAGACGTCGAGCAGGCAGCAGCAGCAAACGCGGCGGAACAGGATGCGGAGGAAGCAAAAATCTGGTCTAGCCTGTATGCGCAAGCCAAGGCGCTGGCTAGGGTGTTGGCTCCGAGTCTGACACAGTGCGGCGTGGGTCAGCATCACGATGACGATCATGGGGACGGTGGGAGGCAGAGTGGCATGGTGAGCGATGACGAGGTTGATTCGTAGAGATGTGGAGCAGGTAGGATGGGCGCGCGTGAGTAAATCAATCTATACCCTCATTGATACGAATAGCTTCGTGATCAGCATTGACTTGTGTCTATTGAACTGTGTGGGCGAGCTGCTGATCCCTGTGGGTCGTACAGCGTCAGAAGAACCATGATGGTCCAAAAAGATATTTCTGTGATCGCGTGTCTGCCGCTGGAAGTTTTCGAGATTTTTTTGACGGGGGGAGCGGAGCAGCCGGACCGGGATATTTGTGTTGTGCTCCACTAACCCCCACTTCGCCGTTGCAAGAACCACGCATGACGCTTCCTGTCCAACACTCGCACTCTTTCTTCCTCAACGCCAGACACCATCAACCTTTCCATTCAGCACCAACATTGATCACCACCACAACTTTTTCGTCCTCGAATTCCTCACAGTGTTGCTACAACTTAGATCTTGAAGCAGAGGAGAAGCAGTCGGAGGGAACAGGGAACAAGAATGACGACATCATCGATTCCAACGCTGCTCATCGTGATGGGAACGTCCGGCTCCGGGAAATCGACGGTAGGATCCGCACTGTCAAGCGCTCTTTCCTGTCCCTTTGTCGATGGAGATGATCTGCATCCACCGAGCAACGTCGAAAAGATGTCCCGGGGTCAGCCTTTGAACGATGCGGACCGGGAACCTTGGTTGCTTCGCATTCGACAAACCGGGTTGCAACTGGCTACCTCCCAAACCGAATCCCCCATCAGTCCCAAAAAGAGCGAGATTGGAAAGGTCGCTGAAGTTCTCGAGACGTCTTCCACGACAAAAACTTCGACCGATCACGTCGTCGCTACCACCCGCGGTCAAGTAGGCGAGAATGAGGTCAAGGGACCCAGTAAGCATCTTGCCGTCATCGCGTGTTCCTCCCTCAAACTCATCTACCGTCGACTACTTCGCGGAACCATTTCTTCTCTACAAGATCCGAAAGCGCTGCAGAGCGAACAGGAACAACCGAAGGATTTGAGGGTAGTGCACGTGTATCTCGATCTAACGCGGGAATTGTTGGAGGAGAGAATGTCGAATCGAAAAGGACACTTTATGAAGCTCGACATGTTGTACAGTCAATTGGATACGCTGCAGGTTCCAGATGAGGAGGCAGAGATGGGCGTGGTGAGGGTAAAGGTGGAGAGGCAGACGACGACGGACGAGATCATCGCGGATGTGGTGGACAAGTTGAAGGACAAGAGCGTGATTTGATCTGCGGCTCAAGTTGCAATCACACATGGGAAGAATACATCGGTCCCGGCTCAAAAGAACACACACACACACACACACACACACATGCAAAGGACCTTGTCACTCGTTGGTGCATTCCACAAGTTTGACATTCAAAAACGTAATCCTTTCCCCCGCTAAGCAGCTTCGGAAGACCCCTCGGCCGCCTTGGCAGCATCCCTCTTGAACTGCTGTACCAGCTCCTCCACCCTCCTCTCCTTGACCTTCCTCTCCTCGGCCAACAGTTCCAGAATCTTACCATGCTTGGCACTCGGCAAACCCTTTGTCTTGACCATAAACCTCGGGAACCTCTCCGCCTCCGCCTTTGCCTCACCTACGATCCCTTCGCTCGCCAACGCATCCAGCTGATGGTACATACCCCTATCCCTGTTGGCGATCTCTTGCTCAAACTGCTCCGTCGACTTCTTACCCCTCCACCTCGTAGTCTTTGTCATCTTGAGGTACACCCTGCTTCGCTCATAATCCAACTCGGACGTCAGCAAGTGCTGCTTGGCAAAATCAGGCGAAATCTCCGGGAACAGGAACGGCTCCAACAGTCCGACTTCGACCTTCTTGTAGGTTCGTCCACGACCGGAGATGACTTTTCCCGTTCGGTTGTCGCGTGTGACGGGGGAGCGGTAGATGGACGAACGGGCCCAGGTGGTTTTGAGACCGTAGATGGAGAGGAGGTAGGAGCGGAGCGCGTGCTTGTGCATCGAGAGGGGTACGCGGAAGGTGGCTTTGAAAGCGTCGTAGTCGGATCCTTCCGGGGTGTGGTTCTTGACGAGCTTGATGATTGTGTTCGGCAGGAAGGTGAGTTCGCCTGCGCGCTCGGGGACAGCGTACCATCGCGGCGAGGGAGAAGCGAGGACGAGCGAGTCCTCGGAATCGTCGAGGTAGACTTGCGATCGATCACGAAGCTTCCAAGCCGCTTTCTCTTCGGCTACACGCTCTTCGGGAGAGAGCTGCTGCCATGCGGCCCAGGCTTCCTGCTCCTCGGCTTGTTGCAGGGCGCGGAAGGCAACCCATCCTGCTTCGTCTCGAGCACCGAGCTTGTCGGGCAGGTGCGAGCTTTCGCCGCCCTGCTGTGGTCGCGGGTAGCCGGACGAGTAGCCTTGCCTCCAGCCGAGCTTGCGGATGCTGTCGAATCGACTGCGCAGCAGTGCACTGGCACGCTGCTCCTGCGACATGCTCTGCCACACACCGCGCAGCGCAAAGTCGACCTGCTGTTCGTAGTCCATCATATCCCAGAGGTCGGCCTGTGAGATGTACTCGGGTAGCTCTTTGGTAGCACCATTGGCTTTGGCGTCGGCAGCCTCGAGCGTCTTACGGTACGACTTGATCTGGCGGTCGATCCATTCCTGTGGTTCGCGGATGGTGGCTTCTTGGCCGACGAGGGTGCGGATCTCTTCCGTGGTGGGCGACCAGAGACGGGAGCGGGCGGATCGGAAACTCTTGACGTCCTCGTAAGTGCGTCTGAGCCAGTCGGGGAAAGTGTTGCTGCGTCGGAAACCGTCTAGCAGCTGCTGAATCTCGGGTGCGCCTGGTTCGAACCAACCCCATTTGAGGAGCAGCTTGGCCTTGTCGGCGTCGGTGGAGGGTTTGGCGCCGCGCTTCTTCCTGCCAGAGGTTGGAAGTTCGCGTTGGGCTGATACAGATGTGAGATCAGCATCGGCGTCGGCAGCTGGAGTGGGGATGGAAGTTTCGACAGCTTGGCGAGAGATGGCGGATAAGGCAAAGCTTCTGCTGGACTGCTGGGAAGAAGCGCTGTTGGAGGCAAGCAGGGCCGAAGCGCTGCGAGCCAGCGGCGAAGGTGCAACGGCGGCCCTCGAGGCGACAGTGGTGGTCGCTGCTCGAAAGGCTGTGCGAGCGATCAGGGCCTGGGAAGGCTGAGCGCTGATCATCTTGGCGGCGACAGAGGATGAGTGAACTGGCGAATTGTACGAAGTGGAAGATGAGCAGGAAGGTCGACGATTGGTGATGGCGAGAGCTGATCAACTTTTTTTTTCCTTCTCGCCGCTTTCTTCCTATCCTTTGTCGTGCGCCTTGGTCGCCTGCTAATTTTTGAAAATAGCTCGATTTCTGGCGATCTTACAACGCGTCGGGCAACTTGAAATTCAACAAGGTCTGGCTTTCGCGCGAGTGGTCCGCCCGACTCGCGAGTGCATCTTGTTCGCCATGCTCGACGAGGTCGACGGTGTGCAACCTGCCTCTGAGGTGCAGCATCCAGGTTGATGCACACGAACGAGCGCACGAAACAAACAAGCGAGGTAGGTGGGTGCAAGGAAGCTCCCAGTCAAGGTTGCATATACGTTCAGGATGGCGGCCTTTTGTTGTCGTAACTTATGAAGCGGACTCACTGCCAACCTTTTGTGTTGAGACGAGTGTCGATAGTGTCCGCGAGATGCTTGTAGGACGCAGGGGCAACGTGCAGCCTACTGCAGTGTCGACGTGCAACAAAGCTCGGGGCCGTGTCTATGCATTGACGATGCTCTCGACGTCAATTACGCCCCAGACCTCACATCGCGGAATCAACGTGGCCCCAAACTGCGAACAATCTCGCTCGTGACCTGTGTGCAATAGCGAACAGAATGAATGCCCGCAAGAACCGCGGGAGCCTCTATCCGTTCAGGAACCTAGAGCAAGCTCATGGCGTTTATCAAACATGACCGCCGGCAAACTCGTTATGGACGTAGGTCTCCAAGTCGACGGCTTCTGTACGCATTTTTGCGGTAAAAGCAGGTCTGGAACCCGGAAGCAGGAGCAAGGGGTAAAGCGCTTCGGTCGCTCGTGGATCTTCCAGAGCGGCATAGCTTTGTCACGGCGAACGGAGCAAGGCGCGAAAAGTTCGACCGTACAGTGGACCGCAATGCGTCTTTTTGGCAAACGCCGACGTCTGCGGCCTGACCTGGCTTTCCTGTCTCCGCAAAAATATGGAGCAAGAGAGCAATGCCGCAAGCAGCGTCCAGGGCGGACGAGCCAAAAGGGTTCTCGAAATTCTAGGCTGTCCGCAAGCGGTTGGAAATAGTTAAATTTAGTTAGAAATATTCTGGTTTGACCAAGGCAAAGTCCAGTCTGCTGCCACGAGACATGAGCGACACGCAACGTACGCGGCGTCAAAACCTCCAGAGCCTTGCTTGCCCCTTTTCACTTGAGATGAGTGGAAACAACAATGCAATGCCACGTTTGAGTCTTTCATTCGGCGCCTAGCTACAGACTGAACTCGGCTTAGGTCTTGGGTTGACATTGTTGTAGAGGTGTTGTGCGAGCGCGTGAGCATAGTTTGAACGACACAAAGGGGCAGTCTGAAGTTTAAGCAGACGGAGAGAGCGCTAAAGGCGAGATCTACAAGCCCGAAATTCCTCACCACTGCAGCTGCAACGCAGGCCGCCCTGTGACGGCGACTGTGCTTGGCCGACTGCGTGTGTTTCCTCGAGAGGTGAGCGTCTTTCGGTCTCGCTTAGGCGCTCGTGTGCAGCGCGAGCTTCTTTTCCGCCCTGGAGCTTCTCCGCCTTGATATGCACTTCCCGCTCTCTCTCTCTCTCTCTCTTCCAAGAGCGTGCAAACACAAGCAGCTCTCGAATCTTGGCTCACCCAGACTCGCCGTCGCCTCTTCGACACCTTCAACCCGCATCGACCGCCGGACACGCCGTCGTCCCACGACATTGCAATCTTGCAACACACACTCGTCGATACGATCACCATCATCACACCTTGACCAAAAGCACTGCTGCCACATTCGCCACTGTCGACTCGGCATTCATCCGACAGCGTTCACTCTGCCGCAATCACCAGCTCGATTCGGTCGTTCGTCACATTCATTGTCGTGTCTTTCCGATTGCATACCCCTGTCCTCTCCAGAATCTCTTCGAAGCTCTTCGGAAGAGGTCCGAGTCACATTGCATATCGTCCGACCCGGGCACCAGTCTTGACGCCCAGAGCAGCAGCAACGGCAGCAGTAGTAGTATCACGTCAGGATCGCATCGCTGCCGACACGGGTGGACAGTACCACAGCGCACAAACACGTCGTACGCGCGTATCTGCGATTCTGTCAGACTGATGCCATCAGCCACCACCGCAACTCGCTCTGCCTGCCAACGTCTGTGACGCGCCTACTGCTCACTACCCTTCACATCTCAGGCTTCGCCTCCATCAGATACCCACGTCTTCCGGAACTCGTTCAATTGCGTCGCCCCCCTCAACCCGTTTGGCAACGACCAGCATTGTCTCCAGGCCCCTTCCTGCGCATCTTGCATAGTCTCATCCTCCACCACCCCCGCATCGTCGCACAGCATCATCCACCATGGGCGCGCTCTGCTGCAAACCCGAGGTCATCGACTTCGACGGCCCCGTCGACCTCTACCACTTCTACCTTCTCCGCGCCGTCGGCAAAGGCGCCTTCGGCAAAGTGCGCGTCGTCCAGCACAAGCAGACAAAAGACCTCTACGCGCTCAAGTACATCAACAAGGCCAAGTGCATCAAGATGCGTGCCGTCTCCAACATCATCCAGGAACGACGCCTGCTCGAAGAGATCGACTCGCCGTTTGTGTGTAATTTGCGCTATGCGTTTCAGGACGACGAAAACATGTTCATGGTGCTCGACCTGATGCTCGGTGGCGATCTGCGGTTTCACCTGGATCGGACGGGGAATATGAGCGAAGAGGTGGTCAGGTTTTATGTAGCGGAGTTGGCGTTGGGGCTGGACTATCTGCATCGGCTGCAGATCGTACATCGGGATCTGAAGCCGGACAACGTGTTGTTGGATGAGAAGGGACATGCGCATCTGACGGACTTCAATATTGCGGTTCACTTTTCACCCAGAAGGCCACTGACGAGTATTGCGGGGTCGATGGCGTACATGGCTCCCGAAGTGTTGACCAAGCGAGGATATTTGTCGTCCGTCGACTGGTGGTCGTTGGGAGTGGTAGCGTACGAACTGCTCTTCGGTCGTCGCCCTTTCCGCGGGAAAACCAACTCCGCGCTGACGCACTCGATCCTCAACGACCGCTGCACCTTCCCCGAAAACGTCGAGACCATCGTCAGCCGCGAAACGGTGAGCTGCATCAAGAGCCTGCTGGAACGCGATCCGCGCAAACGCCTCGGCTGTCGAAGCGGCATCGACGAGTTCAAGGCGCACCCGTGGTTCGCGGGGATGGACTGGGCGGCGATGGAGGCCAAGACGGTGACGCCGCCGTTCGAGCCCGATTCGAAAAAGGCGAATTTCGACGCCACGCACGAGCTCGAGGAGCTGCTGCTGGAGGATAACCCGTTGAAGGCCAAGAAGAGGAGCGGCAATGCGGATCTCGACAGCCTGCCCGTAGAGATGAGGCAGATGGAGGAACACTTTTTGCCGTTCGACCATCTCAAGCAGAGGAGGAAGAGCTACTTCCGAGGGACGAGGAGTGGCGTCCCAGCAACTCAGGCGACAGCCGCAGCAACAGCATCGCCAGCGACAGCAGCCGGTGCGAGCACCGCTGGAGCAACAACAGCACCGTCAGCAGAGCAGGACAGAGTCTCACAGGTATCCAGCATGACGCACACGCTGCAAGATCAACCGCTCTCCGAGACCGCACAACCAGGCACGGAGGTGGGGCGATTGACGCCGATCCCGAGCGAGTTGAGGAGGTCTGCGTCGCCGAGCGGGTCGGGCAGTGGATCCGGGTATGGTGTGGAGAGGTATAGCGAGAAGGATCAGTTGACGGTTCCTGGGGTAGTGGGTGGGCCGAGTGCGCGGCAGTCTTCTCCGTTGCAGCAGCAATTTGGGGTCAGCGGAGGGGAGGAGTTTCAGATGGAGAGCACAAGAGGGGAGCCCAGGTATGCGAGGGGAGAGTATGACGAGAAGTCGGGATTGTAGGTAGGGTTTTGCGTGGCAGCGACACGGGTGTTCGGGAGGCATCACTTTCATTATTTTTTTCGTTCCTTTCAATTCGTTGGTTTCTTAGCGCTGATTTCAATACCCATTCGTTTCATCAGATTCGTTCGATGTGTGCGCTTTCAATATCTTTGGAAAGTGTTGGCGAAAGGAGGAGAGGGTGGTGATGGTTGGATGGTGGAAAGCGTCGACAATGTCGGAGCAGAAATTTGAGCAGACTTTCACAGCGAGTTTGTGTACATGTTGCATTTCGAAACTTCTCATCGCTAGAAACTATCTACACCACCTGCTGAGCCATCCTGTCCAACCTGATCTTTACCGCCATAGCGTGAGCCTGGAGACCCTCACACATTGCCAAATCGATAACGTTCTGACCGAAACCCTTCAGCCCTTGCTTGGTAAGACTCTGCGAAGTGATGCACTTTTCAAACGTGCCCACGTTGACACCGGAGTAGCTCTTGGCGTAGGCTGCGGTGGGTAGGGAGTGGTTTGTACCGGACATGTAGTCTCCGCACGACTCGGGCGACCAACTGCCGACAAACACAGACCCTGCATTTTGGACGAGCTTGACGAGTTCCTCGGGGGACTGGGTTTGGAGGATGAGGTGTTCGGGTGCGTAGGCGTTGGACCAGGACATAGCGGTGGTGCGATCGGGGACGATGACTGTGACGGATTTGTCGATGGCTTGACGGACGACGTCGACGCGAGGGAGCGCGCGGGCTTGCTTGTCGACCTCGGATTCGATGGCATCGAGTTGGGCGGGAGTGAGTGCGATTCCGACCAGTACGACTTGCGAGTCCGGACCGTGCTCGGCTTGCGAGAGCAGATCGGATGCCACGAATGCAGGGTCAGCTTTGCCGTCGGCGATGACGAGAACTTCGGATGGTCCGGCTGGCATGTCAATGGATACGATGGCGTCGGTCTCGTTCTGAACGAGCATCTTGGCTGCTGTGACAAACTGGTTTCCTGGACCGACGATCTTGTCCACCTTGGGACAGGACTCCGTGCCGTAGGCAAGACCGGCGACTGCCTGTGCTCCACCAGCACAAAGGATGGCGGTGGCGTTGACCTTGGATGCGCAGTACAGCACCTCGGGCGAGATGCTTCCGTCCGGTCTCGGTGGGGTGGCAATCACCACCGTCGGGCAGCGTGCCACTTGAGCAGGTACGCCCAACATCAACGCTGTGGAAGGCAACACTGCCGATCCACCAGGAACGTACAATCCAACCGATTCGATAGGTCGTGCAAAACGTCGGCAAACGACACCTGGCATGGTTTCGACCTCGAGCACACCATCTTCGGGTTCCTCGATGCCATCAACGGTGCCGGCAGCTCCGGTCTCCTGGGCTTTTTTGTTGCCGAAGGTGGTCTTTTGAGCCTTGTGGAACTTGTAAATGTTGTCGTAGGCAATGTCGATGGCGACTTTGACTTCGGGCTTGATCTTGGCCATGACCGAGTCGTCGACGAATGGTGGGAGACGGACGGGGTTGGTGAGTTTGGCCTTGTCAAACTTCTCGGTGAGTTCGAGCAGAGCGGCGTCGCCGCGCTCCTTGACAGAGCGAAGGATAGGGCGGCAGATCTCCATGACCTGCTCGGTGCGGAGAGCGGGTCGCTTGAGCAGCTCTTTGCGCTGAATAGCTGAGAGATCCTCGTAGCGGTAGGATTGGATCTTGATGGGTGCAGATGCGTCCTTGACGGGGACAGGAGCAGGGGCGGGAGCAGCCTTGGTTTCGGCGGCCTTCTGCTGCTGGGCGAAGGTAGGTTTGGCATCACCCTTGCGACGCGAGACCTTCTTGGACTTGGCATCCAACGAAGCCTCGATCTCCTCCAGCCCGATGCCGGCGGAAACGCACTTCGTGAGTGCAAAGTAGATGAGATCGGCAGCCTCGAAAGCGACGTGGGTCTTGTCGTCGTTCTTGGCGTCGGCCAACTCGGCGGCTTCCTCGCGCAGCTTGGCGCCCAAGAGGGACGCATCATTGAAGAGGCGAGCGGTGTAGCTGCCGGCGGGAGCCGATTGCTTGCGCTGCTTGAGTGTGGCTTCGAGCTTTGCGAGACCGGTGGCGGAGGAGAAGCATCCCTCGCGATTCTGAAGGTGGCAGAACCCGGATGCCGAGGTGCCACGAGACTGACGAACGGCGAACTGGATAGCGTCCGAGTCGCAGTCCTGTCGGATGCTGACGACTTGCTGGGTGGCACCGCTCGACTCTCCCTTGTGCCATAGGCCTCTGTTGCGGGACTGGTAGTGAGCGGAACCGGTGGCGATCGACTTGCGAATGGACAAGGGAGACGAGTAGACGAGACCGAGCGAGGTGGAGCAGGCGGCCGAGACGACGGTGGTAGCAAAGAGGCCATCGGTGCGGTCCGAGGTCAAGGGAGCGACGAACGCATCGACAATATCGAGCTTTCCCTGCTGCTGCTGGCCCTCTTCTGCGGAGACGGAAAGAACCGAGGAAGGTGCGATGAGGCTGGCAGTAAGCTGAGCGACAGCCTTGACGTCCTGTACAGAGGGAGCACCCGAAGTGGCCAGAACGAAAAGCGACTTGCCGGAGGTTTTCGTCTGAAGCAGATCTGCGGTAGTCTTGATGAGCTGTGACGATGAAGCGATGGCGGATGCGGTGGGAAGGGTGAGTACGGCACCTGCTACCGACTTGAGCACTTCGGGGACGGGAGCGGCACCCGAGGCGGAAAGGTAGATGAAACGGGTCGAGGCGACGGAAGCGTCAAACTGCTGGATCAGCTGCGTGTCGGGAGTGACGATAGCCTCTGCGCCTGCATCGAGGAGATCGGCAGCAGCGTCGTAGCTGAGTGATGGCTCTGCAAGGACGAGGTATGCGATGTTGACGGGAAGCGACGAGACGAGGTCTTGGGGAACAAGAACGGGTGCGATGCGGGCAACAGCGTCAAGGAGGGTGCTATCCTTGACGCTCGCCGCGTCGAGGAGCGGAAGCAAAGGTGTAGTGAGCTGCTGCATGGCGTAGGACGATGCAACAACAACAAAGAGGTGTGGGAGAAGGTGATGATGGTGACGGAGGAAGATCGACAAGTCGATGAGAAGAAATGCAACGCACACTCACGCTTTGCTTTCGTTGACTCGACTTTGCAACCAGGATTAGATAAAGCTGTCTGCCAAAAAAGCCGGCGTACGGCTATCAAAACCTCTTCTACAGTGAGAATGAGCTTTGTTTCTGCTACGCTACACTGTGCTGTTCGCATTTCTTCTTGAGGCGGGAAAAAACGTATCGCCGGTCTTTCCATCAAGAATTTCTTTTCGAGCTGATCTACACGGGGTCTAACAATCTGAGCTTGGAATTCGAAATGACTCGCTGATGCCGGATAAGCTTTTGCAGAGTTCAAATGCGGAATGAGGTCGACGACGCACGGGACTCACGCTGCCGATCTTGCATGTAAGAAGCTTTTTCGTCATGCAGCGCTTGCTGCCCCCCAGTTTTTTTTTTCTTTTTCCTTTTAGCTGAAACTCAGTTCGTCGGGATAAGCGGGGTCGAGCTTCTTTGGCCCTTGCAGCCGTTCGAGGAGAGCTGTCGAACGAGAAGCATCTTCCTTCACTACCATCAAGTTTGTCCCCTCAAGATGCGCGTGTACAACAGCTTCGTCGCCGTAGCCATGGCCGCTGCAGCGGTGACCCGAGCTGCTCAGATCCCCTTTTCGCTCCAGCGTTCTCACCAGCAGCAGCAGCAACCGCAGGAACCTGCCGCTGTGCTCGAGCATCCCCACCTGCCAGCTCACAGCCTGCGCGTCGTCTCCCCGCCTCCCTCCATCTGCGATCCTTCCGTCAAGTCCTACTCGGGCTACCTCGACGTCGACGTCGACCTGCTCTCCAAGCACGGCTCGAAGGACGGTGCCTTCTCCATCAACAAGCACGAGAAGGACGGTCGAACGAAGGGTGCCATCGAGCACTTTTACTTTTGGGCGTTCGAGTCGCGCAACGACCCCAAGACGGACCCGGTCGTGCTGTGGTTGAACGGCGGACCGGGATGCTCTTCGTTCACGGGTCTGCTTATGGAGCTCGGTCCGTGCAATGCCGTCGACCCTGCGAGTAGGGACGGCAAGCCGGGCGCGGAGAAGAACCCGTGGGCGTGGAACAACAATGCCACCATGATCTTCCTCGATCAGCCTGTCGGTGTGGGCTACTCGTACGTCGATTGGGCCAACAAGTCTCGCACGGACAAACCGCCCTCGCGTGTGTTTTCTGCCGAATCCGCCGCCAAGGACGCCTCTGCCTTCCTGCATCTGCTCGCCATGCACATGGGCCAGGACATCTTCAAGGGAGATGGCGACGCATTCACCAGCTTCCACATCGCCGGCGAGAGTTACGCCGGAAGGTACATCCCCCTTCTCGCCAACCAGATCGTAGAGGACAACAAGAAGATCCTCAAACACCCTGAGATGGGGTTGAAACCTTTGCCGCTGGAGAGTGTTTTGATCGGAAACGGAATCACTTCGCCTCAGCATCAGTTCCCCGCGTACGTCGAGTACACCTGTACGCGCAAGTCGGGAGCAAAGAACCCGCTGCTTCCCAAAGACAAGTGCAAGAAGATGAACGAGAGCATCCCGACGTGCCTCACGCTGGTGGAGAAGTGCAATCGCAAAGACAAGCACGGTAAGACGTATGACACTCCTGCCTGTCAAGCTGCTTCCAACTACTGCGAGACCGCGCTCTCCTCTCCCTACGATTCGCTGAAGAAGTCGCCGTACGACTGGCAACACCCTGCCAAGTATGCGGAGGAAGACTGGGTTGCAGCATTCCTCAACGATGCCGACACCAAGACTGCCCTCGGTGTCGATGGCAAGGGTCCTGGTGATAAGCACGACGGCGTATTCGTCGGTTGCTCCGATAGCGTCTACGCCAACTTCGCCGAGACCGGCGATGGATCTCGTAGCAGCACATGGGCTGTCTCCTCCATCCTCTCCGCCTCCGTCCGCGTCCTCACTTACTCCGGTAGACGCGATTTCATCTGCAACTACCTCGGCAACCGTGCTTGGTCCGAAGACCTCGAATGGTCCGGTAAGAGCGACTACAACAAGGTCGAGCTTGTCGATTGGTTCGTCGATGCCGACAAAAAGGTCAAAGGTGGACAGTACAAGAACTGGGGTGATCTGACGTACGCTATTGTGGATGATGCCGGTCACTTTGTACCCCACGACAAGCCTCAGGCTGCACTAGGCATGTTCAACGCCTGGCTGCATGGCGAACACCCGGGACATTTGTAGTAGGGCCAGCTGGGATGGTGGTTTGGAAGAGGGCATCTTGCTGCTCCTTCGTTTAGACATGTCTAGAATGCAGAGCAATTCTTTGTGGTTTTTCGAGCAAGGAATTCGAAAATGCTTCGACCACCCCCCTCAACCAAAACGTCTGCGGTGAATGAGTTCGATCGACTGACTCAACCCACATTGCATCCCCCGACATCTGCGCGGCTGTCCTGCAATCTGAAAAGTGATCTTCGCATCCACCACAGCCAGACTCATCCCGACCCACAAAAGACTCGCTCAGAAGAACACACGCACAGTCAGGAAACCAGCTGATGAAAAAAGATGTTGCAATGCAGGAACGGAAACAAATCCTTTGTGTGTATTTGAGAATATGGTATAAGTGATGTCGAAACGATGCCTAGGCTGCAGCCTTTCTTCTACGTCGCATGAACAGCTTTTCCCTCGCCACTCTTTCTCCCAAACACGGCCTTGATGTGGCTCAAGTGGTGATGCTTGTGCCTCTCGCTCTCGTCGCCTGCGCTCTTGCTTGCTTCCTTGGCTGCGTCAGATGCAGCTTCTCCGCCGACCAATCCAGCAGAGATGCCACCGACAACAGCGGCGAAGAGGCTTGCATCGCCATGCTTCTGGGCGTGTTTCTTCTTCTCCGTCGAGGCGGCGTTGTTGCTGTGCGTGTCGTCGTTGACCACGGTCGTGTCTTCCGAGTCGGACTCTTCCAACTGAGGTGGAAGCTCTGTCTGCGACGTGTAGAATCGCTCCATCTGGCCGTCGTCTCCGCCCGCTGCTTCGTATTGCGGTGTCGAGTTATCAGCCTTGGTAGGACCAGCTTGGGCCAGTGCCACAGCGTCGACCTCATGGAAGCCCGAATCTTGCTTCTTGGGCGCTGTGGAACGACTTGTTTCATCACCGCCCCTGATTACCCACTCGCTAGCCCCGATCTCGGCCCCACACAGGGTCCTGAACCTCTCCAACTGCTCCTCTCTCCTCTTGTTGGTCAGCTCCACCAGCTGGGGCCAGTACTTTTCGTGCTCGTAGGGGAAGTCCAGCAGACCGCCAAAGTCGGACGCCAGCTGCCCATTAGGAACTTCATCCTTGATGGCTTCGTCAAATTTGCATTTGCCCTTGGTCACTGGGTCGATGAAGGGGTAGATGGCGTTCCAGAATGCCTTGAAGATCCAAGGCACATTGATACAGAGGGCGATACCCAGTCGCTCGACGTAGTGGTTCTGCAGGATATAGAGCATGAGCTTCGCGTTGCTGATCGAGGTGGGGTTGCGCTTCTTGCCGCCAAAGTTGATGAGGAGAGCAAGCATCTCGACTCCAGGAGGCATGAGGTCGATAGCACGTTCCAAGATCCACACGGCAAACTGCATCTGGCGGGGAGTCTCTTCGGTGGTGTTGCGCGAAGGGTGCATGTAGTGGAGCGGACGACCCTTGTTATCGTAACCTAGGATGGTCTCCTTGCCCGTCATGGCTTCGGGTTCGAGATCTTCCGCCTTGAGGCTGTCGACGCCGTACTCGCGCCTCCATGCAATGGTATCGGTGAGACGCTTCTTGGCAGATGCAACGTCCCACTTGGTGGCGCGGAGGTAGCGAATCATCGACTCACGCGAGAGGTTGCGCATCTTTTCCCAGTCGTCGAGCGGCTTTTTGGGCGAGTTGGCCTTGAGGCTGGTGGGGAACTCCTTGATCGAGGTGAAATGCTGGAGCATCTGATCGTACTTGTCCTGTTGCGATTCCGAGAGCGCAGCAGGAGGGGAGAGCTTGACACTCGGATCGGGTGCAGCAAAGATATGGTCGAACTTGCGTGGACCTTGGGCAGTGTTGGGTTCGGGCTCGCTGTAGCCGGCCATGGTGGCGCTGGAAGGCATTGCGGGACTCGAGGTGGAGGAGGCAGGCTGAGAGTGGGTGGCTTGCGGGTTGCGTCGGGAGCCAGTGCCCATGACGAACCCGGAGGCGCGATTGAAGAAGGAGGAGCGGGTGCTGGAAGCCCTCGAGTCGGTCTTGCTGAGGTTGTTGGCGTCGAACGACATGATGGAAGGAGGGACGGCTACGAGCGAGCGAGGTAAAGAGGAGGAATAGTTATAGGGAGGACTGAAACCGGGTAGGCAGGACCAGATGCGGCGCAGCAATTGGCTGTTGACGAGACTAAGCAAACGATCAAAGCTCAGCACTAGACAGACGGGACCGCGTGATCTCGTATGGTCTCGGTCGAAGGCGTCGAGGGTCCAGTGATGCAAAAGTTGCACGCAAACGTGTATGCTTCGATGATGCGAGTCTGCAGGTTCGAGCAGCCGGCAGCGGTGGCAGAAATGGAAGTCAACTCCGAAGACGGTCGAGACTTTTGCCAAAAGACAGATGCAAGCTGGATGATCGACCTGCGTGGGACCGGAGTGAAGATAGCGGGTGCTTAACTTGATGAAAGCGTGGGATCAAGGATGGGCGGGCGCCAAGTGGCCGCGAAATGAGATGCGGGATGTGCAGCGTTGTCTGGAGGATAAGTTCCGGCAGAAGCGAGCAGACTATGGATGCTTTCAACGAGACGGGTGCGAACGTGATGGTGGACGATGCGATAGGAGGCAGAATACATATGGAACTTGACTTCCGAAGCAGAGACAAAAGAGTTCGGTCTCAGCACACGATATACCGGCTGCCTATTCAGCCTTCTCCTCGTCCTTTTTCACTCTTTGCCTTGGCCGTCTCGACGCTTCCAGCATCCGGCGTGTCCCTGACAGGTTGCGCAGTTGCGTCGGAGCTAAACCGCTTCACGCCTTTGAACTGTCGCCAAGCCAAGCTGCGCCGTCAAAAGAGGCTCTAAGCGAAAGCGGCCACACAGTACGCTGTACCAGAACGCTGGCGGGCGTCGGCGTGGCCGTGACCGTGGGCGGAAAGCGCAAAGATCATGACTTGGCTCGCCACGGACTTTAGACTCGCCATGCAGCTCCCGTGCTGCAGATTCTGACGTTGCTCCGTGGCGTGGACACAGAGTCTGTGGTCAAGATGAAGCGTAAAGAAAAAGAACCGAAATTTCATCCGCGCGTCGTGCGCCTCTGCTGACGTGCCTGTGGATGTGGGAGCTGTCAAATGCATGCTGACTCGCGCTTCTCTGTGCCTGTCCGCTGACCACAAGCAGTAGACCAGACGGAAACTTTTTCCCGGCGTCGTCACGAGCAGAGCCCAGTTCGAAACACGCTCAAAGTCACCTGGCACAACGGAATCACAGCAGGCACAAACGTGTCATCGCATAGAGCTAACTGTCAGCCACTAGGTCATTGATCCCATTGTACTTCATGCGATACGACGGTGTCTCGCTTTGCAATTGATCGACCGTCTGCGTCACCGGGCTTGTCAAGTCGGTCATGAGTCAGGATTCGATCAAGCGGTTTGCCCATCTTTAACCGCGGGCTTTGCGTCACCGGCCGTCCATACTAGGAGGAAAATCCGAGGCACCTCGAGGCGACACTGAATTTTGAGTGACGAGAAGCTACACTTCCTCGGATCTCACCATCCGCGGGATGCGCGCTTAGCTGCTCGTCCTGCATGTTCGAAGGACTCAGGTTGTATAGTTTGGTAGATCATTGCCGAGCGCCTCTCAGGCCTCTTACTTGGTTCACTAGCCCCGGAAGCAGCTTGTATACTGCGACATGGGAACAGGCGGAAGGGATGGCAGCAAAGCTGACATCGAGGCTGCACAGGATCTTGGCTCTTAACTTTGAGGCCGGTGAGGCTTTTACGGTGGACAGTAGTTAGATCGTGGCTCATGGCGATCAAGAAAAAACGAATGCCTGTTTAAACATCCGGACATTTACGACCTAACAGCTGACGGATGATCAGAAAGATGGCTTCAGAGATCAAGATGCATCGGCGATACTAACTGCCACTTCACGACCTCTAGCCTCGTCAAGGACAGACTGCACGGTCGCTGGTTCCTACAGATGTATGTGCAAGGCGACCCATTGCATGCTCGCAAGGTCCTTGCCGAAGATCAGGACAAGTCTTTCACAGTGTGCCGTACACCCTCGGCAGAAGTGGTGTGTCCGGCGACTTTTGATCAGGAAATCGCTGGCAAGCGTCGACCCCCAATTTTCCGAGGTGCGGTCGCCAGCTGCAGCTGTCGCTTGACAGAACACCGAGGCCCCGACTGTTGCACCCCCAGAACCTCTGCATCGATAGGCCTCTGCAGTTGCTTGAACCCTTCAATTAAGTTACTGGAACAAGCGTCGCTGGCGTTCCGACGCAGGGATGCTCGGGATGACGATCTGATCTGCTCCCGTATATTGCGTCTAATGTGCCGAGGTGCAGCGTGCAAGGTATTCCGCAACGTTGTTTCCTGTACCTACTTGCTCGACTTACTTGCGTAGGGATATCGAATCAGCGTATTGCTTCGTATGTAATGCACAGTGGGCTGTCATGATCCCACTGCATCAGATTTCGTCCGCATCGTCTTCGAGAGATGCTAGCGTGCGGGCCGAGAAAGCTCGCGTGAGGCCATTAGCAGGTCAGTCCAGAGTCCCTTTCTCCAAGCTTCCGATCGATCGACGCACGAGTTTGTCCAGCTCTGCAGCCGGCGATGCACGGCAAGGCGCGCGTGACATTGGGTTTGGCAAGGGTCGTGTGTGTCGGTCGGTGTTGCGAATTTTGCAATTTGGCCAAATTCTTCTGCCGAGAACAACACTCTTCTGCTGTTTGCTTCGGCCTCTGCGAGTGTTGTTGTCGCTGCTGCTGGCTCCTTTTTGCGATCGTCACATGCACCTTCGACATGTCGCATGCCGTCAGTTTTCATGCACCTTGACTGCTGGAGACTCCGCAAGATTGGTTCTTTGGCTTCTGGTTTCGCAGTCCTGGACCTTGCCGGACACCACCTGAGGGTCGGAAGCTGAACCCGATCGACAACCAATGACGGGTGAAGACGCTTGACGAGGAAAGCCACTCTGCAAATGTCAACTGCCATCCGGCGTTCTTCCAGATTCTCCGAGGTCGCTCGCTTCCGTGCCCCTGAATGTTGTTGTTTTTGTTGTTGTGATGTGGTTTCGTGGCAGTGACATGCATCTTCTGCAGCCGCCAGCTCGGTGCTTGTGTGTGGGCCTCCTCCTTCCCACTTGCATATTCCAAGGTGGGTCGAGCTTCATGTTTGTACACAGCTCAGACGCCCAGCACGGATCCTTGTCGCCGACCGCTGGCTCCGCCAAGTTGGCCAAGCCGCCGATCCGCTGTGCATCGAAAAATGACCCAGTCAAAGAGAACGTATGAGACTGTGACATGCGCCGCGATCCGCCCTCCCAAAGTGTGCAGGGTGCGTGGCCACTCTACCTGTGACAAAGCGACCGCCGAGTGAGCAGCCTTCGACCTCCTGCAGGACCTTGGCATAGCCAAAGTAACTTGCAGCAGAGTGCAAAACAATTGTTTTCTCCAACAAACCTTTGCATCCTTCCCACCCTCTGCACCACCATCTCTTCCACCACAACCACATTTCGCTCGTCACCATGTTCAAGTTCACCGTCCTCGTTGCCGCCGTCCTCGCGACCACCTCGGCCGTTTCGGCCGCCATGATCAACACCCCCACCGCCGTCGTGCAGTGCCAGCCCGTCCAGATCTCCTGGACCAATGCTCAGGGACAGGGTAAGTATCGTACAAAGCACGCCGCGATATCAAGTCATGACACTCATAGCTAACCCGCTCCCACGATGCCTCCTTCTCGGTCCACCATTCGATCCTTTGTCACTCATAGTTTACGTCAACGTTCTGCCCAACAAGGAGGTTTCGGCCACCCCGCTCGTCACCTTTGCACCCAAAGCTGCTGGCACCACCAGTCTCGTCTGGGTTCCCAACCTCCCCGCTGGTCAGGTCATCACGCTCTCCGTCTCGGATTCCACTGGTCAGGTCAACTACTCGGACTCTGCCACCGTCCGTGCTGGCTCCGACACATCGTGCCTCAACTCTGGCTCCGCCGCCGCCTCCGGATCCGCTCCCACCACTGGCTCTGGCTCTGGTTCGTCCAGCTCGTCTGGTTCCAGCTCCAGCTCGGCTTCGTCTCCATCCAGCTCCACCAGCGCCGCCAGCTCGTCCCAGAGCTCCTCAAAGAGCTCCAGCGGAGCCACCAGCTTCCGCGCTGACACCGCCGCTTTGGTCGGCTCCGGTCTTGTCGCCGTAGCTGCTGCCGTCTTCGCATAAGCATCTCCCTCTCCACTTTGGCTCCCTTTCGCTACTTCACGATCTCTTTGGCCGCTCGCTCGGCTCCTTAACTCTCGCCGCAGTCGTCGCATTCTCATGGTTGAATTCTTGTTCATATCTCTTCTGCACTAATACACAAGACCCGTCGGACGTTTGGCTATCGAAACGCATCGCCAGATCGTCGTCCGCATCTCCATCGTTGTTAATCATCGTCGTCGGCCGTACTGCTCTGACTCAGTGAGAGGCGACGGTCGAAACAGCTTTATCGCTCTTGTTGCTTCTGGTGCACTCTTCGAGGTGGAGGCGCTCGAGCTCTCGCTGCGCCTCTGCTTCGACGAGGTGTCATGCAGATGGTCCTCAGCACGCCGTCGATCCTCCGCCGAGCTTCCCAAGGATCGATAGAGGGGAAGTGACAGGCGGCTGCCACCGCGACTGGCCTGTGCCAGTCGTGTCGCCGGCAGCGGCCGTCGAAGTGCGGCTGTCAGAGATAGGGTGCCGTCCGCCTCTGTACGAGAGGCTTTCAGCGTCGACCACTCGGGTTCTTTGCCTTTAGGCGACTGCCTCGCTTGAGCTGCAAGAGATGGATAAGTTGCGTCAGACCATGAGTGTTGAATACTGAAGGCGGGAATGGTCGTGCTCACCTGTTGACTTTGTCCTTGCTCGTTTGCTTGCCCCTCGCAGGGCCTTGTACACCACTGCAAGAAAAATTTTCCGGAGAAGGAAAGTGAGACTTGTGCCTGCTCCACTCGAAAGTCAACGTGCCGTCGAACTCACTGTCTGCTTTCGCTTTGTCCTCTTGCGCCTGCCGCGGTGAGCGTGGACGCCTGTAAGATGCCAATTTGGCTCTTTCGAGGTCTGCGGCCGACGATGATGGATCGGCGGGAAGCAGGTCTCCTCGCTGATTCTGCAGGTACATCGACTGATAGGGGTTCAGATAGGAGGGCTGGCGAGGTATTTGCGTGTACTGATGATCATCTGGCGTATGGTCGAAGGCGGGGCGAGACGAGAGTGCATCTGCGGGATCCCAGACATGACTTGCTTCGCCCACGCTGGGAAGAATCATGTAGCCCGCATGAGGACCCGTATGAGGATACAGGGGAGGCGCAGGCCAAGCCCCGTAGTGGTTCGAAGAGTATTGAGCCAGATTGCCAGCAGCATCATAGGCGAAAGCTGGGCTGACAGTCGTGCCAGGACGAGACCGCTCATAGTGACTCTGTGGAGCATACATAGGCACTCTCTGACCGTGATACAAAGGGTTTGCCGGGGGAGGCGCCTCGTGACTGTACATGGATCGCGTCGGGGCCCAACTGGACGTCTCGTAAGAGGTGCTGGCATCGGGCACCAGGCTTTCCATCACGAGGGAAGACGACGATACTTCCGACATGGACCTTGTTGCAGCAATCCGAGCCATCTCGCGATCAAGGCTCTCGTAAAAGTCGTGGTTCCGATCAAACAGCTGTTGCAGCGCTTGTTCGCTCGACGACATCTGCTGTTCGTGTGTCTCCGGGCCGAAAGAGCTGGCTCGATGCCTCGTGTCTGTACTTTCGTGCATGCATGCTGTGCTGAAAGCTTCGACCTCATCGCTGTCTGAAGATATGATTATGATGTCGGAGGGTTCGACAGATGCTCTAGTCGGCGTCTCGGCATGGCGAACTTCATGTAGCGGTACTAAAGGTGTTTGTCTTGGCATCGGAACGTCATCGGAACTATTTCTAGGCCTGATATGACGTTCAGCAGCTCGGATTGTTCCGTCGATGGGATCAAGTGGTGTCTCGCTGGTCCGCGGGAGGGCATCTGTGGCTGCGAGTTCCTCCCGGGCTGTTAGAAGCACAGGTTGACGAGCTTTTCGTACTTGGGCATTGCGAGCCGCGATCGTGCTGTCCAATTCAATGATCGAACGACGATGTCAGCCTTTCCGAAACTTTAAGGAGCTCGAGGCATCCATGGCTCTTATCTGCTCACAAAGGGGTGTCTGTGAAGGTCACTGATTCCTCCTCTACCGATGTTTGAGCCAGCTCCTGGAGAAGCTTCGGTGTCAGTACTGTGCTTGGTGGAGCCATTCAAAGGGCGGCAACAAGGAGCTTGCCTCTCACCGACTGAAGCGGTGCCTTACCGCCGCCGTCGTCACCATCACTGGCCTCATCGCTGTCCGGGAAACGGTCGGCTGCGCAGTAGCCAAGCGAGGTCGACCAGTCTGACATCGAAGCAAAATGTAAGGACGAAGCGGAACGCTTGTTGGGGATCACTCGGAAGCGGCAAACAATCTGGCTGGTGCTCTGTCATTGCGAGAAGCTCGCATGCGACTGCGCTTCACAGCAGACGTGAAGGTCGTCCGTTGCCGCAAGCTCAATTGTCCAAGGAAGACAGGCTGTGAGTCTATGCCAAGGATGGCGTCCTGTGTCGGAATAGCCGCCGCCCAATCTGACGCGTGCAGTCGAGCGTGAGTTGTGTGACAGCTCCGCTTACCAGTTGGCCCGGATTTGCCGACATTTCGACGAGGCGGCACTTTTGGTGTAGGAAATGCGGGGATGAAAGCGAGCTGATGCATGTTTCTACCGTCCCTTAGCTCCGCCGCTACTCTGATCTCGCTGCTGCGAAAGGATCATGCCCCTTCGCAGTGCATCAACTCTTCTGCGCACTTCTACCATCTGGACAAAGTCGGCACTTCCGAGAGTATCTGCACCGTCTTCCTTCCCTAGTTCCTCAGTCAGCGCTCACGTTCCCACGCCATCGCCATTTCGAGAGCAGAATCTGCAACGTCACATTTCCTATAGTCACATCCCTCAGATCGACATGGCCACTCAAGATTCCGCTACGGCCTGGAAGCCGTCCAAGCCGCGTGGAGCGCAACGGACGTCTGATCACAAGACGGGCCCCAAGGGCGAACCCATGACGCCGGTTCCTTCCGCTACGCTGATCGTGCTTTGCCCACGATCGGTCAAGGAGGAGGATGGCCGCCTGCAGTATGACACCTTGATGGTGCAGAGATCAGCCAGGGACGGCTCAAGCTTCCGATCCGCAGTCGTGTTCCCAGGAGGCGCACTCGACCTCGTCGACGAAGCAGAAGTCGAGGCGGCGTTAACATCCGCCTCCGGATCCTCTCCGCAGTCTCGGGGCGACGAGATGGAGAAGTACATGCAATCTCTCAAGCTTTGCGCGCTACGCGAGACCTTCGAGGAGACAGGGCTGCTTCTTCTGCCATCCTCGACACCCAGCCCGTGCGGCCTGCCCACCAGCCGTGCCGTCGGACATCGAGAAGCAGGCCTGTCAGCCGAGGAGTGGGCTCACGCGCGTAACGACGTCCATCACAACGCAGTCGACTTTGGCCCTTTTCTCCGCAGAGTGTCGAGCAAGCTTGGCCTTGGCGGTACACTAGGCACTGGAGAAGCTGCGCTCCCGGAGCTGGCACCGATGGCGCACTACTCGAACTGGATCACACCAAGAAGCGTCGTTCGACCAGCGAAACGTTTCGATGCTCATTTTTTCATCACTGTGCTCGACAGACCAGATGTGTTTGGAGATGAAGAGTCGCTCAACATCTCTGCTGATGGATCAGAGACGCTCTCTCTCCGGCTTCAAACTCCTCGCGAGATCATGTATGCTGGCATCACCGACCAGATCTCCCTCTTCCCACCGCAATTCTATATCCTCGCCGACCTCGAGTCGGCCCTTCGCGCCGCCGACTCGAAAGGTCGTATTCCCATCCTGCCTCTCATCTTCGACTCGACTCAAGCGTCCAGCAACGCCACTCCGGACGCAGAGTTCCGCGTCACACCGGTCGAAGAAGAAAGCCGCGGTCTTCAGGGTCGCAACTACTCGTGGGATCGCAAAGACGTCTCTGCCTCGTCGGCCCCCCTGACATCTTGGGTCTCGGATACCAATCCACCCCTCTCAAAGATCCGAGCCCTGGGCACCGACCCCGACTCGCAGTATCCTTCCGTCACAGCCGTTGAGCCTCGCGCATTCCCCAAATTAGGTGCCATGCTCGACATCAACAAGGAGATCGTTGAGAATCGTAACCGCGGCAAGACAGCCGATAGCGAGGACAGCTTCGTCTTCCCCCTCGTCCTCCCTGGCGATTGGCAGGCATCACCAGCGCAAAAGGAACGCGCTCGAAAGGGCCTTTTCCTGCCAGGAACTGGCGAGCAGAAGGCCAACAACTCGAACGGCTCGACAGTCGGCCCAGAGACAACGTCCACGGATGCGAAACCGCTCAATAGACTCTATGTGTCTCCACGCGCAAAAGAGCAGGGCGGCGGCATGACGGTGCGCGGAGCGGTACGTAAAGGCTTGACGCACTTGCGCGATTTCCAGGTGGGCGTGCTGCTCGCCGAAGCTCCCGCCGATGCGAACGACGACGACGATGCCGCTGGCTCCAAAAGCGGAGCCAAGCTGTAAACAGCCTCGTGCTCACGATCCCTTCACTAATGTAGAAGCTTCACCATGTGCATCACACTTGCCAAACCCCACGCTTCTCTGTAGGAAATCTAAGATGCATTGTCCCAGAACATCCTCTGCACCGCTCTACTGTGGATCGGCGTACCACTTAACCGCAGTCTCCAACAACCCCCTCTCCAAGCCCCTCCACTTCACCCTCAGCTCATCCTCCACCTCCCTCCTCCTCCTATGATCCGCACTCTTGATCCTCGCCTCGAACACCGCCGTCACCGGTCTATGATCGCTGATCGTGCACTCCCACCTCCTGTACTCCAGACACCTGATCCGGTCCTTATGATGGCTCTTGAAAAGAACGCGATCGCACCACGCCGGAATCCTATTCTTCTCGCTCGTATCCCACTCGTGACTGCCCCTATCGTACTTGTACGTCGGCAAGAACCCGATCCCCGGTTCGCTGAAATCCTTCAACCTGAAAGCCGGATTGTGCTTCAACTCCTTCCGCAACTGATCCTGCTCCAACAGCGGCGAGATTTTCCCCGCCACCAACGCTGCGAGAACAGTGTCCCTCGAATGGTCGATCCTGTAATTCAGATCTCCCGAGAAGAACACCAACTCGTGATCCAAGATCATGCTTCCATCGCCACCGCCGATGTACGCAGCAGGATCGGCATGCGGATCGTCAAACACCGCGGGATACTCCAAGATATCCGCCACATCGGCGTTTCTCTGCTTGACGTGTTTCTGACCCGCCGCAAGGTGGGAGTTGACAAAGGCGATCGAAGTATCCTGAACCACGAGCCGCGCGATGACGGCTCCCTTGTTGCCGTACCTTCCGCCCATACCCGTCTTGACCGTACTGATAGCAAGTTCTCGGACGTGCTTGAACTCGGTCTGCTTGACGAATACGCACGTGAACAGCCCTACGAGCGACTCGGACTGCACTAGCAGATACCCGCACGTCGCGGGCATCGCATACCGAACGATCTGGATCAGCTTATCGTACCACGCCCGGTACTGCCGCGACACACGATCGCCCAGATCGTTGGCTTTCCTCTTCCCTCCGCCGAGGAGCAAACTCTTCGCCGTAAGCTTCTTGCTCTCCAGATCGATCAATTCTTGAAACCCAAAGACGATGATATCCGGTGGCCGATCGGCAGGCAAGCTATCAGACCCAACCGAACAGGCATTCCGCAGCATCGTGCCGAACACCTCCATGTTCTCCGCCGAGGTCTCCAGATCGCTCGGTGAAGCCGCGTCCATATTGAACGTAATCGAGAGCGTCTTGATACTTCGATATCTGCAGAACTCCGCCTCCCGTTTCCCCTTCTCCACCTCGATCCAATCAAAGCTCAACGTCCCATCCCACAGATGCACCGCCGCATCCAGTCCACCAGATGCCACCTGCAGCCGTCCAGCTTTCTCGATCCCGTGTTCGTCCACCTTGATCGCCGTGATGGGCTCCTTGTGCGCCGTCCACACCTTGAGCGCCCTCCAAGGAGCGCTTTCAGTGTCAAACACCGAAATGGTACCTGCCCTGGTCGCTACCCAAAGGTACTTGACGACGCCAGCCACAGCCGTCAGACCGTGCGCCCCAAGCTTGCGTACACCCACACATTCGTACGTCTGCCTCGACCAGATCGAAACGTGCCCCGAGTCGTGTCCGAAATACACGAACTGCGGTCGCGAAGGAATAACCGTACCGCCAGTGACCATCCCTACACCCTCGCCCATCTCGGCAGGAATGCTGACGGCTTTGGAAATCGCATTGAACGGCTTGTCGTCTGCGAACGGATTGTAGATTCGGATACGTGGACCCTTGCTGCCAGCGTTATCTTTGCTATTCCGTTGCGCCGACGACCCTGACGAAACCCACAGCTGCTGACCGACGACGCAGGCGTACGAGCCTTTCTCCAGAGCGATGCGCTGTGTGATGGGCTGATTCGACAGGCGCAGCCCTGCCACGGCTGGATCTGGATCGGCACTCGGAAGCCAGATGGAGATCTTGCCACCTTCGTCCAACGCGAGCATCTTGTCGCCGACGCGCTTGAGAAGCTGGATCGGATCCGAGTGGACGTTCTGTCGTGAATGCACAACTTGCGCCTCGGCAATGTCAAGCTCCCAGAGATGACCGTCCTTGGTACCGCACCACAGATATCTACCTTCATCCGGCGTTTCTCCATGCGCGCGTTTCCCAACAGCCGGCAGCGGCAAACAACCGTGGTTCGGGGGTCGAAACTCGAGCGCTGTCAACTTGACTTCCTTGGACAGATGCTCTCCTACCGTGCAGAGTTTCTCGCCCACCCCGGTGGCCGACTCACCAACACGATACACCTTGACCTTGTCTCCGGTACCGGTGACCACCGTATGTCCGCACACGGCGAAGCACTGGAAATTCTGCTTGGCGGAAGTACAGCAATCCGGGTTGAACTTGGGCGCACGACGATTGGCATGCGAGGTATCCGGCAGCCCAGAAGGTGTCATATCGGCGGAAGCGTGAAGCCTGCGCAGACCAGCGGGTGCCTGCAAGGAGGAGGACGGAGAGACAGACGATGCAGCCTCAACGTCGTCTTCCTCGTCCGAGCTGTCTGAGCCGGGACGATTCGAACCGAACAGAGACGAACCCAAGCTGCGACCGTTAGAGCCGGTCGCCCCTATACCTGCATGTCGGATCGGAGGCGGAAGAAACGCAGAAGCTGAGTCGATCTGACTGGGCGAAAGGCTATGAAACGGATGTGCCCGCCTCGCCGATGCAGACGAGACTGGGATCGGCTTTGTTCTGGCTGTGACCGTGTGCGAGCGGTGGACGGCAGCTGCAGACCGTGACGCAGCAGCGCTCCGTTGAGGCGGTGGCATGATGGACGTATTGTTCTGGACTGCACCCGCATCGGCTTCTGAGGGTCGGCGCGCCGGCAATGGAGGGAGTTCCGGTTCCCGCTCTGCAAGCACCGCGCTCAGCAAAGGCAAAGCACCGGTGCTCCTGGAAGCGCTCAGCCTGCGACGTGATGGGTGGTCCGGCGACAGAGCGTCAGAATCTCGGGGCGGCAAATGCGGAGGCGACGCCAAGGACGCGTCTGGCGGAGACAGAGTGATGAAAGACGTGTCTGTTCCCATTGTCGGAATAGCCGGGGCCGAACCTGTGTCCGCATCCATCATGACAGAAGCGATCGATCCAGGCAGGTTCGAGAAACTTTCCGATGAGCCATCCGTCTTGAATGGCCTGGGAGGGACCACCGGTGCATGCTGCTTGAACGGATCGAACGGCTCTGACCCATGATCGACTGTCGGAGAAAGCTGCTCATTGGAGCGAGAGTATTTGAGAAAGTGATTGCCGCCCGTAGCTACTCGACTAGGCATGAGATTGTTGGTGTCAGGAGTGCTCGTGCCGCTTGCGCCACGCTGATGCGAGTGATGATGACCAAACATGCTAGCTAGCGACGCGACACGCGAAGATGAATGTGCGTTGGCTAGACGATCGAGATCGGCCTCATCCAGGATCTGAACGCCGTGCGATTGAGTGGTGGGCTTCGGCGGTCGTGGAGGTGCCATCGTTGGTCTCGCTGGACCTTCGGTGTCTGATGTCGAGGCGGAGGCGGTGGCTGAGGCAGGAAGGCTGGACGCGGCTTCGCGAGCATCAAAGGATCTCGGCGTCAGTAGTCCGGGGACCGCCTCGCCAAACTTGGACGCGGGCACGGCGAGCTGTCTGGAACTGCCCGAGACTTGCCGCGAATGGGGAGCAGGTTTCTCTTTGCTGACAGACTTGCCGAGGTCGGTGGTCGATGTGTTGGCACTGGACGGAACCGATAATGCAGCCAAGTCGGCTACACTGAGCATCGTGGGACCAGCATGAGTATGTTTCGCGGAGCTTGACGACGGTTGGGAAGATGGGACTGTCGTCTGTGCATCGTGCGGCAGGCTCTGAGGTGAGGCAGAAGCGGGCTTCTTGGGTTTCGGCGGAGCAGTGTGACCCATGACGAGCTTCTTCTCTGCTTGTCCGAACGTGTGTGTTGCATTGAGATCTTTCTGTCGTGTATTGACCGAGGAACTTGCTCTTTGCCTGTAGGCTGGACGACTGCCCTCGGAGTGGGAGAGCTGTTCGAACCTGGAACGAAGGTCAGAGACGGCGCCAGGAAGAGCACCGAATTCGTCTGGCTCCTGACCCGACTGTTGGTCCGTCATGGTGTAAAATGTCGATCAACAGGTCGGATCAACCCTCGACACTATCGACCTTCCACTTTGCCAACGATGCTGCCTGTCGAAGATCCAGGATCGACAAGCTTAACGCGAGTCTGCGGAGAAGGGGCACGAAGAGCTTGCCATTGCAGCAGATGCGGGTTTGTCGGTAGCTGCGCGATGAAGATTTGATCTGCGGGGTGATGGTTGAGAGGATGGAGTTGGGACGAGGACCTTGCCTGATTGGGAACGGCACAACAAAGGGACGGAAATGCGACGGTCGGTCCAAGCGCACCGCGGTCAATTTTTTGGAATGCACATCAAAAAGTGGCCGAACAGGTCGGCAGCACGCATGCACTCACGCACGCATGAAAGCGAAGGCATACTTGCCTCTGTTGCCGGAGGCATCCGAAGCCTCATCACGTACGACCTTCAGACGTTTGCATCGGCCCGAGTGTCGATAATCGGTTCCACGTCTCGTCAGGGTCCAACGACCATGTCGCCGAGGTAGCTGAGCCGAGCCTGACGTCTTTCTCTCCGTCGCTCGGTGTTTTTTCAGCCAAAGGTGGCCGGCTGAAAACCCTTGAGCAGGGGCTGTGCAGCCTATTATCGGCTCAGCGTCCATTGCACCCTATCCATCGCTTCGGCACTTCAGCTCCGACAGACAGACTAAGAACAACAACACACGAGCGAAATTATTCCTGCGCTCAGTGAGCCGAGACAACCGAAGCTTCCTTGCAAGTCACGGTGGTGGATGAACCTCGACAGAAAGCCGGTAACACCTCCACAAAGCAGAACGTGACAGATATCGGGCTGCAGCATCCGTGCGTTGCTCACGTTCTTTCCGAGCGCGTATCACTCCCAACACGGTCGTACGAGCCGTGAGCAGCGACTTCTTGACCAAGTGTATCCAAGGCTCGCTCGAATCGTCCGGATCACGCTCACTCAAGTCGTGACAACAATATCGCGGGCACGTATATCCTCTCACATCTCTCATCTGCACTAAGGAATCACCCTCCAAATCCGCAATCATGGTGTTGGCAGCCGTCGCCCAGCTGAAATCCACATCCGTGATCGCCGACAACCTCGCCGCCTCGGTCTCGCTCATTCGATCGGCTGCGCTCGCAGGAGCCAAAGCCATCTTTCTTCCCGAAGCTACCGACTTTATCGCTCCTACAGCTCAAGTTGCCTCGCTCACCCGATCCCAGGACAACGCCACCTTCGTACAGGGAATTCAGTCCGCAGCCAAGGAAGCTGCCATCTGGGTTTCTGTCGGAATACACGAACCACCCTCTGCTCAACAAGACGAAAAGGATTCGGCGGACAACAGGGGACGACTACGATGCTACAACACACAGCTGTTGATTGATCAGACGGGGGCGATTCTGGATCGGTACAGAAAACTACACCTCTTCGACGTGGATATTAAGGGTGGACTTAAGATTCTAGAGAGCGATTCTACTATTAAGGGAAACGAGTTGTTGACACCGAGACAGACGCCGCTCGGTAAGCTAGGTCTGTTGACGTGCTATGATTTGAGGTTCCCCGAACCATCGCTTAGTCTCAGAAGACAGGGCGCCCAGGTGTTGACCTACCCTTCGGCGTTCACCGTCAGAACAGGCGCTGCGCATTGGGAGACCTTGTTGAGAGCAAGAGCGATCGAGACTCAGAGCTACGTACTAGCAGCGGCTCAGGTAGGCGCTCATGATGGAACAAAGAGGGTTTCGTGGGGACACGCTATGATCGTCGATCCGTGGGGTTCCGTGCTCGCTCAATGCCCGTAAGTCTACCGACAGCGTTCCGACAGCGTCAGTTTCAAGTTGCTGACACTTTTCTTCTTTGACCCCCGTGTGGTTGCTCACAGTGACATCCAACCTTATAAACCTACCTTCTGCCTGGCGGATATCGTAAGTCTCCTTCGCGCCAAAAACTCCAACCTCGCCCTCGATCGTATCACTGACAAGAATCTTGCATCCTCTTCTGCATCGCACTGCCACTAAGGACCTCGAATCACTCGAAAACACACGTCAAGAGATGCCGTTGTGGCAACAGCGACGAGACGATCTCTTTCCGGAACTCTAGCACGGCCTGCAAGCACCGCTGTCCCTGCAAAGTCATGGTGGAAAAGTTGTTGCCCAACTTTGTGCTAGATAGAAATACAATGTGAAGGAAAGATACGGACAAGCAAGGGAATGCGAGACAAAGTGCAGGTGTGTTTGCCAACGTGCGTGAAGCGACAGAGACTGGTCCGTCCAAATCACCAGGATTCGTGACGTGGACACAGTCAAGCCTTACGAGTCAGCTAGGACTTCTGCCGTGGCCAGCTCTTGCAATCTCGTCGTCAGCTCTGCGGCATCGAGCTCGAATTTGGGCGAAGCCTTGACGTCCTTGTCGACGTCGAGACGAGTAATGACAAAACCGAGCCATCCTTCGCTACGCTGAGCTGCGCCACCGACAGCGGTCTGCGACGAGCTCTCTGTCAGGGTGCTGTTCTCGCTGTTGAATCGCATGCGTGCGTGGCGAGACTCGTCGTGAGAAGCAGCTTTGACAGGCTTGGCGACTGGTGCACCTTGCTGCGAATGCTCGTGACGTTGCTTAGCTGCACCACCAGCCAACGGAAGCGAGCGGCTGATGCGGCTGAGTGCTGTGGCAAGCGCGTACTGAGCCCACAGCGCACCTGCCAAAGGGAGCGCAGCTTGAACCAAAAAGACGCACATGTACGTCGCCTGATCGCCGAACGATCCGACCGACGACGTGTGTGGATCCGCCGCATGTGGGGACGACGCGAAGAAGCGCGGAGAGGTAAGCACGCCAGCAGCGGCTGTTTCCGTGAAAGTCTGTCGCTGGGAACGGGTATGGTGGAAAGCAGTGCGGCTCAAGCTGTGGAGAGCGGCCAGAGCGATGAGAACCTGACACAGCACGTGTGCTCGAATGAGGCGCGAGGCAAGGTCAATGAGCCAGCGTCTCTGCAGTGCCAATCCCGAGATGCCTCCCAGGGCGAAGACCGACTGTGCCAGCATGAAGGTTGTCAGAGGGAGTGAAGCGGCGTCCGGGTGTAGCGAGGTTTCAAAGGCGCAGACGCCGACGATGACGATGCTCAGCGCTGCCAATCCGACGGCTAGGAGCGGCGTGCGAATCGACAGCGACCGCGCCGACGCGGTGCGTGTGGAATAGAAAGACTCCGACGATCCTCTGTGCGGGTCGCAAGCGGATCCCTTTGAGGGTGCAGGTGCAAGGAGGGAGGGACTCGGATCCATCGAGATGGAGAGGCTACGATGTTTGCGCCACGACTGTACCCGACGGTGGGTCACGGGGGGAGGGTAACGTTGACTCCGGAAGCCGATGCTATGCCGGCCTGTTGCGTCTTGAGGAAGGGGCTCACGGTCTTCGGAGCTGCTCTGTCGAGACAAATTGGGTGACATGGCTTCGGGAGACTCGAAAACAGCCTGGCTGCGCGAAAACGCGGCCGCTGAAGCAGCATCGCCAGAGCCGAAGAGACCCAGAGGATCTCGTTCACCGAAGGCCAGCGCGCGTCGATCGGTGGGAGAGGCGCCTTCGAGATCCGTGTCGTCTTGGTCGTCGACAGCAGCACCGAGGGTGTCCACGTCGAAGATTGAGCGCAGCTCCTGAAGACCGGCTTTGAGATAGGGCGAGGTCGTCGATTGGATGGTCTGATTCAAGGCGCTGAAACTCATCGTGTGCGACAGGGTGTTTGACCATCTCCTCGCCCTTCGAGGCCAGTTTGACGCCGCAGCATCCCCCTTTGTGCTGCACAGATCGGAGGATCCATTGAGCGAAAGGTAGCGCGTGCCGCCCATCAAGTTGGAGCGGTCGGAAGCTGCCGAACGAAGCGAGGTAGAGCGTGACAGCGTCGAGGTCGGGCTGGTGAGGCTTGGTGTGCTGGACAATGATGACGGTGGCTCGTCGGCAGGTGTGTCGATGCGAGGACGTGCGGGCTTGAATTCGCCCTCGGTGGCTTCAGTAGCCTGGCCGCTGGGTGCAAAGAGCAAAGAGGACCCTATCGCGTTGGCAGGGGCGCTTGTGTAAGTCAAATTGCGTGCAGAGTGGAGTCGACGGCTCGATCGCGAGACCGGGCTCAATGGCGGCAGAGTAGAAGTGGATTGTTCTGGGCTGGTTGGTGGTCGCTCTTCGCCGTCAGGAAACACACGGCGCTGGCGAGAATAGGCACGCAGCGTCTCGCCGCGCCTGGAAGGGCTGAGGGCAGGTTCGCGGAGCGCCGTGCGGCTTTCGGGAAATCCGAATGTCTGATCGTACAGATCGATAGGAAGTGCGAGTCCTTTCAATGTCAAAGAGTTGGCAACCGCGGAAGCATTAGGTGGACGAGGACGCGAGTCAGAAGACGAAGCGTGACTGACGGTTTTGCACCTTCGAACGCCAGTCTCGGTGCACCGTGAGCCCGATGAGGGCCCAGCATCGTTCTGGGCCGCCATGTGTAGGCTCATATTGTCGGCGACTTCCGACGAGACGTTGTGAGCAGTTTCTGCGAGGTTGCTGTTGGCCACCGTTCAGAACATAGGCGACGCGGCGGAGGGCCGACGGAGAAAGGTCAGACTGAAGTTGCAAAGAGATTGAGAGGTGAAGCAAGCTAGCACTGTGAGCCCATCTCAAGATGAGCGCGAGCGAGGTGCTGGCAAGGGCAATGATCGTGTGTTGATGGTGGTGAAAGGGCTGGCGTTGGCACAGGTTGCTTCAATGTTCAGAGAGAGAGAGAGAGAGAGGAGGCGGCAAGCGGCTCAAGCTTTTTGACTCGAGATTGCGAGCAGATCCCGAATGACAAAGGGCAGCGTAGAGAGAGGCAGGCTCGCCATGCTGAGCTGAGCCTAAATGACAGAGCAAGCAACACTCTCGCCCGCTTCGAGAGCTCGACCCTGTCAACTCGACGCTTTCAGCAAGCATGAATAGGCTGACCCGGTCAGCAGCGGCAGGCAGGCATGCAGGCAGACGCACGGTGGGGCTGTCCAGGTCGCGGTGGGAGGGCGGGACAGTTTCGGGAACGCATTTCCGCGGCGCCCGACACTGACTCGCTGACTAGCAAATGCTTTTCGCCCATTTTTTAGTCATAAAATTTATTCATATTTGGCATAAGTCACACTTTTCAGGGTTCGAGAGTTGTGAAGCGTCCAGGACTCCGCCAAGCCGCAGACACAGGGCTCGAGGAGTAAGCGGTAAAAGTTTATTAAAAAACGCAATTCTTTGTTCGGAAAGGAAAGAGCGACCGAGCCGGACCTAAAAATCGCTTCAATATGCGCATCATCACCTGAGATTTTCATGCTCACTCAGTCACTCACTCTCAACCACCTAAAAGGCATTTTGCTGCTTGCCAAGGTGCTGCCCGGCAAGACCAAGCTCGCTTACGACTAACTTAATGGCACCCTAAGGGTCGCTCTCGCTTCTTCGTCTTGCCTAGCAGAGGTCGAGATTCTTTCCGCTCAACGCTGAAGAAAGCTCCTCTGGGAAAGAAGACCATCATCCATGACCGCATAGGTCATTGCGGTGGGAGGATGGCACAAGTCCCACCGTCGCCGTTCACCGTCTCGCTGTCGAAACTCTTCCGCGACGAGAGAGGGAGGAGGTCAAGGGTTCAAGAGATACGCTAAATTTTGCGCTGAGCCGCACAGAACCGCTTCTTTGTCTCTCGCGGTCCCTGAGGCTGGATTTCCAACGTTTCCTGTTCAAAGCTTTGCTCTGCCGGATCTACGATGAAAGAATCCCACCGACCCTTTTTCGGGTCAGGATCGGATCACAGGCCTTGCACAACAACAACCCACTGCCGCGTGCCAATGAAGCAGGGATCGCTGAATGGCTCCAATGCTCCCAGAGGCTAGGGCCGCGTTCCCTGCACGTAGTGTACTGCACAGCATTCACAGACCAACACTTCAGGCGGAGATTCAAAAGAGGTGGACAGGATCTCGACTCGTGACTGCTCTGTCGTCAATCATCGGTCGCAATAGACGGAGGAAATCATAAGGTCTGGAATGCGCGTTCGGCCAATTCGATCTCCGCTGCGCCAGCCCCTTGATCGAGCGTCGGCACCATTTCCATGGCATGGCTCGGCTTGCTGAACGCGGGGTATGGATCACGCTCGCTGGATGCTCCGGCACCATCATCTGAACAGGCTCGCGCGATCGAGACGAATCTAGTCTTGCAGTTCTGCGGACCTTGTTGGCCTCGCCATGGCAGAAGGAGGCATCACAGCTACGAGTCGAACGTTTCCATTGTGCAAGCTTTCACCGCTGCAGAATGATGCAAATCGACTGGCGATCCTCGCTCTTGATGAAAAGTGGATGGAGAAAAAATGACGGCTCATCGGCGGATAACGTCTCCTGCGATCCGTCTAGCTTACGCTTGGCGTCATGCGCACCGAACGAACTTCAAAGCCGTCGTCGCAGCTACGATCTTTTTCTCCGAGAAGATGTGCTGACGCTCAACACATTGAACTGCACATTCGACACCACATTTTGGTTTGAAGTTGCCGAAGATTAGGAACATGCAGCGGCAGCCGCTCGAGCGTGTGAGCAAGCGCAGACGTCGATACAGTTGCCGCCTACGCCGAATTGTGCTGGACGCGTCCTGGAGCGCTGCAGACTTCGGCAGCAGCAACAGGCTCAAGGCGCAAAAACTCGGCTACGCTCGCCGCTTCCATTCACATTGCATAGCTGCAAGGAACGGCCAGTCCCAGGTATACTGTACTACGGAATTCCGAACCATGTTTCCCATGCCGAGCAGCTTGGTGCAGCGGAAAAGGTCCGTGGTGATCGCGATGAAGTAACGCACACAGAGCTAAGAATTGGTCGAGCGAAGCGGTTTCTTGGCTGTTATGCTTGGCACGGCGCGATGCATATCTCGCCGACATGTCAAACCAGCAGAGCCAAATGTCGCTCCAAACGAGCCTTGGTGCACCTCATGACGGCCAGTCTCGAGATCGTGACGAGAGGTCACGAGACCTTTACCCTTCGACGACTCGCTCTACGGTAGAGCAAAGCAAGGGTCTCGTGCGTCATCAATTCGGGTTTATGTTGGTTTCTGCTTACCCCGGATACGGAATTTCGAGGAGAGGAATGTTGATCGCGTCGAGTCAGGTGACAAGCGGGTCGAGAAACCAAGCTGCACCATGACCTCTCCGTAATCCAAGCCAACCAGCTTGCCATACAGTTAGTTCAGCTACGGTTGGCGTCCGGCTGCAGGTTGCTGTACTGCCTGTGTCGACGTCACCTCCGCACCCTTCCATACCCTCGGCGCATTTCGGCCCTGTCGCGTCATCGAGGTCATTCATCCGTCCACGTCGACTCACAGCGTTTCATCCCGTCGGGACCCCTCCCAGCTTCAAGCGTCCAAGGTTTCAGCCATTCAGAGGGCTGGAGGAAGTTGAAAAAAAAGAACTGCAGCACCTAGGATTCCCGCGTGGTCCCCCACCGCAGTACTGACTAGGCGATGCCTTGCTTAACTTCGCAGATCGGACGGGATGCGGTGTTTTCAAGGCTCTGTGGCCGCAGATGGAGATGCAATTCAATTTGGGTACTATATATGGCACAAATGTAACAGAAAGAAGCGATCAGGCCTATCATGGCCGGCGGCGATTCGGCTTCTAGGAGCATGTTCGCATCTCTAGGGCAGATGTCTTCGGTAAAGATCTATCACGAAGGCTCACAGACCACACGCAATCGACAATTCGAACCGACAAGAATGGTGGATTCTGTACTATATTGGCATGTCATGGCCGGGGTCCAGCTACGAGAAGAAGGGTCTGCTCGAACGACGATCAGGGGCAGAGCAGCGCTCAACGTCCGATGCGGACCACTTTCTTCCTCTGTCTTCGACCGAGATTCATGGGATTCATGGGATCCTTCTTCTTGGCGGCTGCTTCCTCCTGCGTCTCTTGCTCCTCCTCTTCGTCGTCATCTCCGCCCAGTCCCATGCCACCGAGCATGCCACCGAGACCTCCGAGCGCATCGGCGCCAGGCATTCCCGGCGGCATACCACCCATTGCTTCGGCCAGATTCATGTTGAGAAGTCCGCCTTCGATGGCAGGCGAGTGTGCTGGCAGACGCGCTTCGAGCGTTGGAGGGAAGCGGATGTTGACCAATCGTTGGCGGATCGGGTTGGGGTTGGGATCGCGCTTTGCTTGAACGATCTGCTTGCGCTGTTCCTTGGTCAGGGCCGGCTTGGAAGGTCCAGCGGTGCTGGCCGAGCTGGAGGCAGCCGCAGTAGCTTTCTTCTTGTTCTTCTTGCCTGAACCCGCAGCAGCGCTAGCGGCACCGGACGAACCGGATGCTGCAGCCTTTGCATTCTCGGCGAGAGCCTGCTTCTTCATCGTGGAAGGTCGGACACGTTTCTTGCGCGGTTCGAGCGCAGGTGGCTTCCCGCCGCAGTTGGGCTGGATGGTCTCTGCAATGGCATCGAACAGCTGCTTCTTGTTGGCGAAGCGGCTGCTCATTGGCTCGCCATCGTCATTGAACAGCTGGACCTTGACACGTCCAGGGTTCTCCCAATCCTGAGGGTGCGTCTTGTGCGGCTCCTGAACGTACTTAAGCTGGATGCGACCGACGGCTTTAGCGATCCAGAGCTGGGTGGGGAAAGGGCTCGACTTCTCGTAAGAGACGCGACGGCAGCCTTTGCCGTAATGACGCTTAGCATCAAAGTAGATGGGGTAGACGCTGACCCACTTTTTGTGTTCGCCATCATCCTTGGCCTTGGACCCACTGGCACCGGCAACGTCGAAGCCCGCAGGAGGTCGAGAGGATCCGAAGTCGCCAGAGCCGGGAGCCTGGCCCATCTGCTGCATCATTTTCTGGAAGGCAGCCATCTGGTCGGCCTGCGGAGCAGCACCGGATTGTTGCGCCTGTGAGACAGCGGGCGACGTGACGGTCGGCAGATCGAACTGTTGGACGAGATTGCAATTCGTAGCAATGGTCGTCAGGTGCCTGCTATTTGGCTCAATGTGGTGTGTGCGCTACGCCGTACTTACTTCAAAGTCATCGTCAAAGTCTTCCACAGCTGCTTTGGGCGGCATCTTGAGGGTTGCGAAAGGACTGCGGCGTCCTTCAAAGTCTCAAAGTGGTGAAGGTCCGGTGGAAGGTTGATCGTGTCAATCGTTCGTGATGAACAGTGTGCAGCTGCAGATCCAGCAGCGTTATCGCCACGTGACCCTGGGCTGTCATTTCTACTTTGCCGCCCGAGTGGAATTTCTGCAATGGCGCAGCTGGAAAGGTCAAAGTGTGGAGGCTTGACACTGACCCTGAACGTGCCTGTCTTCCTGACATCTTGCAACCTCATACACTTCTCGTCCTTGCAACCTTCGATGGCCTACTCAAACTGATACGACCACAACGGCTCCCAAAAGTATGCCTCGCAGCTTGAACTAGATGGCATGTCTTTGGCCTGCTTGCGCACTTGGTCTCGAAAACGATTGCTCCCGACCCGGATCGAGAACGCTACCCTTCGGGCCTTTGCAGCACCTGCTACGACTCGCAGCTTGGTCGCATCCTCGATCGTGAGCCAGCTGCGACCCCGAACCGGCACAATGAGCAAAGGCGCGCAGATCCAATTGACGGAGCAAGAGGAAGCCATCTGTCAGCTTCTCGACCAGACGTGCTCCTTCATTCATCGTGAACGACCCAGCATCCCAGAGATAGACTCAACACAGACCAGCGGCGATGGAACCCAGCCCTGCGAGGCCCGCATAGCTGGTGGCTGGGTCCGTGACAAGCTTCTTGCGCGCGACTCCGACGATCTCGACATCTCGCTGTCCACGTTGACCGGAAACGCATTCGCCTTGTATCTCAAGCATTACCTCTCATCGCCCTCCTTCGCGTCCTCATCTCTCGCACGATCGCCCTTCTTCAAAGATGAAGGCTCGGAGATGGGCCGAATTGGCAAGATCGCTGCCAACCCGGAACAGAGCAAGAATCTGGAAACGGCCACAGCGCGCGTTCTCGGTCTCTCGATTGACTTTGTCAACTTGCGCAAAGAGACCTACGATCCAGGCTCGAGAATTCCAAAAATGACGTTTGGCACGCCGAAGGAGGATGCGGAGCGTCGCGATATCACAATCAACTCGCTGCTGTACAATGTGCATACGAGACAGGTGGAGGATCACACCGGTTTGGGACTTCAAGATCTAGCGATCGGGTTGATACGAACACCGCTGCCGCCCCTCACCACTTTCCTGGACGACCCGTTGAGGGTGCTTCGATGCGTCCGGTTCGCGAGTCGCTTTGCGTATGACTTGCACCCTACCATCATTCGCTGCCTGACCGGCGCAAAGGTTGCAGGCAGCATCGTCGACGATGCAGAATCCAGTCTCGCCCAACTTGCGAGTAGCGACGATCCAAGGATATCTGCGCAGGGCAGTGCGGGCGTCGAGAGCGGTAGAGATCAGATCCGTGATGCGCTCGTCAGCAAGGTGTCGCGAGAGCGATTCGGCATCGAGGTCGACAAGATGATAAAGGGTCCGCACCCGTTGCTCGCCTTGTTTCTGCTGCACCGATTGGAGCTTTTCCCGCTCGTCTTCCACCCACCACCTTCTGCGGGCAAGCTCTATGTCGCATCTGCCACCACTCCGAACAGCGAGGTTGGTCAACCTGCCTCAGACTCTGTAGCGCTCAACGCGGCTCGGTTGCTCGACGCCGTGCTCAGCGGCCAAGCGCTCGAAGACGTCACTCCTGACAATCACGCAGTTCCTATGGACACCCTCTACATCGGCGACGGTCGTGATAATGCATCCAAATCCGACCTGTCACGCGCCTTCTCATCCATTCCAGCATCGCCGGTGCCACGGGCAGTCTTCGATGCGCTACCTTCCGATCTGCTCGCCTGCTGGAACGGGACGGCGTTATCATCGGAAGAACGAAGACGACTCTGGATTTCCGTCGCCTTGCTTCCCTTGCGACATTTGATCTACGAAGAAAAGAAGAGCAAGTTCTTCTGGGCTGGTGAGAGCGTCATCGCCAACGGTTTGAAGTTGGGCACCAAAACCTTGAAGGAGCCGGTGGCGTCTCTGCATCGCTGCATGGAGCTAATTCCGTTGGGCCGCAAGGTACTCTCCTCCGAGCACCCGCCAGCGGGAGCAGAAGTCGAAGCGCTGGACAAGTTGCTCAATCTGCCTCCAGGTCTCAGCGTCAAATCACGACTCGGACTCTTGCTTCGCAACCAGCACGCATCCAACCCTCTGCTCCAACTTCGACCGCAACCTGCACTGCTGCTATCGTTCATTTCGGAGCTCCTCGATCTCTGGCAGTGTCACACCGACCATGACACAATTACGCTGGCCGCGGTGCAGCAACAAGCGGTGCAGCTGGCATCCGACTATGCGCGCTTCTGGCAACGCATCCAGCAGTGGAATCTGGTAGAGCGAGCGGAGGAGAAGCCCGTATTGGACGGCAATGCAGTCACCGCTTGCCTCGAATGTCATCCGAGGCTGATCTCGACGGTACAGACATTCGTGCTGGGTTGGCAGTACGACAGAGGGCAATTGGGAGAGGGAGGGGAGGAGGAATGTAAGACTTGGTTGAAGAGCGAATGGGAGAAAGGTGGGATCGTGCCGTTTGATCAGCGACCTGCACCCCCACCGGGGAAAGGAGAAAAAGCGAAGAAGAAGCCTGTGGCTGCAAAGACGGCGGACGAATCGGATCGTAGGAAGCGTCAGAAGAGCGAGTGATCACAGCACAGACCAGAGCAAAACAAACACCTTCAAGAGATACCGTTTGACTTGAAATGTGTAGCTCCTGTGTATTGACTGACGACTGCCGGGTATATAAAGAAACACGCATCATCACATTCCTCTCCAAATCGTCACATCTTCTTCCTTAACCTCGTCTCCCTCCACCTCCCCATCATTCACACCATCGATCTCGTCCTCCAGATCTTCGATCTTCCTCCTACCATGCAGGTTCAAACTCGCCAACGGCAACACCGACCACTTGGGCAGCCACCTGACATCGATATCCCTCCACACCGCCCTCTCATCGTACAGTTCGATGAACTCTTGATCCATGCTTCTACTCTTTGGCCAACTGAATCTCCGGTATTCGTCGAAGATCGTTGTAAGACTCCACTGCTGGAGCTTCCTCAGACAGCCTATGAGACAACCTGTGCGGTGTTTCCCCTTGTTGCAGTGGATCAGGATGGGATGGTTCCGACGGTCGAGGATGGTCATTAGTGCCGCGGTGATCTTGTCCGTGGGGATCGAGACAAAAGGTTCCTTGTTGCCCGGGATGCCGAATTGGAAGAAAGTGATGCCGTTGCTGTCGAGGAAGGTCGAGTTGGTTTCGGGGTATTCTTCGAGGATGAGGGTGAGGACGGATCGCAAGCCGAGCGTGCGGAGGAAGGGAAAGTGTTTCTTCTTGGGGAAGCTGGATCGATAGACGTGCGAGTTGACCATGGCAAAGTTGTCCGGTGGGAGGAGATCCTCTTGAAAATCTGGTGGAGCGTTGTTGGACGTATTCTTGCTGCCATTGGCAAGGGCAATGCTGGACAGTCTGGAAGGAAGGCCGCGGATCGCAGGAGAGGATGTGCCAATGCTGGCAGTCGTATTGGCGGACATGGGGATGGGCTTCATCGTACCTGTAGCTGTTGAATCTATCTGTCTTGAATCTGGTGGAGGATGACCTGCACTGATGTTGGACGCTATTGAGCCTGTCGAGGATATAGTGGAAGTGAGAGGAACTGCCAAGCTTGCGTTGGGCAGCTGACCCCGCGCTACAGCCTCCGAGAGCGAAGCAGGCGAGCCGCTGCTTTGAAATGAAGACTCCATGGTCGATGTGTGAGCCGCCTTTGGCGAGGTGAATCGAGACAGTGGAGCCGACGATGGATTGAAGAATGACGTTGAGGCAGAGGAAGACGTGCTGGGTCTTGAAGAACCATTGAAACTGCTGAGTGATGCCGATGCAAGCGATGCCGAGGTGGCAGGGCGTTTCTTTTTCGTTGACGATGCCGTGAGAGCGCCTACCTTGCTCGACGAAGCATCGTCGGGCACCAGCGGGATTCCAGCCGACCTCAACTGCGGATAGGCCGACAGCTGTGAGAACCAAGGCAGTTCCTCTTCAGCTTGAGTAGCCTCGGAAGAAGCCGATCGAGACTGTGATGCGTTCGAGCTACCATTCGTATCTGACGAGGCGCTCGTTTCGGATTCGGCCGACGTCTCAGCTAGCTTGCTGGCTGTCTCGCGAAGGTTGAGCCCGTTCTGTACTGCCGCGATGGCACCTGATCCTGCTTGAACAGTGACTGACTCGGCTGAGTCGCTCGTATGGAGGCCGCCATACCTATGCGGGACGCTACCAGCATTGTCGGTGGCTGTATACTGGTCCTCTTCGTCGTCCTCTCGAACACGATGCTCGCTGAGAATCCGTTGCAAGAAGGCGTAAGGTCTTGGCTGATCCTGACGAGGAATGGTCGGATTACGACGGCAGTAGAAGTTGGGAATGTCCTCTTCCACTGCAACCCCTGAATCCTTCTTCTTAACTTTGTCCTTTCCCATCGTAGCGTATCGTTGTGAGCGGGGCGGTCCCTCTCGGTGACGCTGATCAGACGATGTCAGATGTCGTATCGAGCTGGAGTGTCGCTCGATCAGACGTTGTGTACCAGCAAAGGTGATGTCGCCCGGGTCCCGGAGTATGTGGAGATGCAGGGTTCGACGTGATGATTTGGATCCAGCATTTCTCAAACGAATTTTCTGTAAATGACGTTCTCAGCCGCTTGCCACCTCTGCTCTGTTTCATCCTACCATCATCGCCGGACTCGATCACCACAGAGTCAAAAGATGGCGCAAGGATTCAAGCCAGCTAAAGCGAAGAAGGCGCAGGCCTCGCCAAAGTCGGGATCCAAGGCGAAGACTGGACCAAAACGTGGTCGTAAGTAGCTCGATAGTGATGTACAGAGCAGGTCCCCTCCGATCCCCAACTGACCATCTTCCTCCCTTGACATTTTGCGGCTACGATGCAGCCCGAGTGATCGCACCAAAGAAGAAAGCAGCAGTGCAAGCTGCCAAGACCAAGCAGAAGCAGACCGCTTCCATCACAGCCAGGATCGAGCAAGAGATGGTCAGCCGAGCTTCGAAAGGTGGCCCGCTCACCATCATGAAGAGGGCCGCAGACGGCGACGCGGACGACAAGAAGAAGAACGTGAACAAGAAATAGACGTCAAGAGCAGCAATTCGCAGAAGAGCCAGCATTCATCTACCGCAAGACCTGGACTGAAACACAGCTCCTCCCCGTTCACCCGGGTAACTTGATTCGCATCGACCCGATCTCATCTTTGTACTTTTAAGGCTTCTACGTGCAGCGAATCATGCCCATCGCAATCTCATTGCTCGATCGTGCTGTCGAAGAGACCCGATGAGGCTCTTGACGTTCCTGTTTGCGTTGGGACACGATGGAAGTCTGCTCCTGTTCAGCATCACAAGGAGGCGAGGTATATCGATGTTAGACCTTGAGAAGATCTGACAGAGATCACGTGATGGACCACGACGCGAAATAAACACTGCCAGACTGCTCAGAAATATTGCAACAGCCAGACGGCACTCTCTTCCTCGCGCAGCCAGCCGTATTATTGAATTGGCTGTTCGCGGCAGCTGACGGCAGCGACACCTGATGTGGTGGACAGGCAAGGGTCTGCGCAGTCGCGCTCTCGCTATTGCTCTCTCCCTCGCTTCAACACGGGTCTCGCTCTTTTTAGCGTGGTCTCTCGACTGTCAGCCAAAAAATCCGACTGAGCTGCTAGACCAACACTCGGAGGAGCAACCAACACATCCAGACACTGCGGATGGCGCCCGCTTTTCGATCGTGATCGTCACCTTCACCATCGCCTTCGACCATCCTATCTTTCGACGTAGTGTACAGTACTGCACCTCTCGCATCTGGCGATCGTTGACGGGCACGCCTTCCTATTTGGCGCCGAGCTCGCCATCAGCGCGCTTACAAAGTACCAGCATTCACCCCAACCGTTTTTCGACCTCTCCATACAGTGACTGAATCAGGATGCCGTCCAGACACTCATCTTCAACCTCTTCGCGCGCACCGCTTGAAGACTCGCGTGCGGCAAATCGTTCCATCTCGACCTCGTTTGCCGGCACCAAAGCCTCGCTGTCCGCCAAATCATCGTCTTCAAGAAAGAGCTCAACAACAGCCTCGTCATCCTCGTCTTCAAAGTCTCGCTCTGCGTCTGGGAAGCACCGCGGACGTTTCGACGATGATGACGATATCGCAGAAGAGGATGAGGACGACGACGACGATGGCGATGACTACGATGAAGAGGATGAGAACCACAACCGTCCCTCCAATGGGCGCAAACCGTCCGGCGCTCTGTCGAAATCCACTTCCAGACCGCCTTCGGCGCCATCCAGTCGTCAGGTGTCAGCATCCAACAACGCCAACCGCTCCGTGCTCGCGCGCTCGAATCCAAACGCGTCCATACTGATGGGCGGTGCTGGCAACACATCCGTTGCATTCCAGGCCTCGCGTGTCGCGGCGCTCGCCAGATCCCACGCCGTCGTCGATGCTTCTTCCATCATGCGTCCGCGTGGTCAGGCCGGACCTCCAGCCGCCAGTGCCGCATCAGCAGCTAGTGATCCCAAAGTTGCGGGCGCTGTCGCTGCCTCCATCAATGTAGACACCTCCAGCTTCGAAGAATGGATGAAGATGGCCACCGACAACAAGATCAACTCGACCAACACCTGGTCCTTTGCCCTCATCGATTACTTCCACGACATGTCGCTCCTCCGCAATGAGAGCGGTGATGGCAGCATCAACTTCCAGAAAGCCTCGTGCACGCTCGACGGATGTGTCAAGGTTTGGACGTCTCGTGTCGACTCGGTCGTTGTAGAGACTGGAAAGCTTCTCTCTGGTCTGCAGGACGACCTGGATCAGGCCACACGCAAAGACAAACGCGGCGGCCAGGAGGGAGAGGATGACGATGCTGACGACGACGATGAGGACGGCAGCGGCAACTCGACGCGAAAGCGAAAGAGGAACAAGGAGGCTACCCTCGCCAAGACGTTTGGTCACATCCAGATCAAGAAATTCGAGCTCGAGTTCACGGTCGATCCGCTCTTCAAGAAGACTTCTGCCGACTTTGACGAGGGCGGCGCCAGCGGCTTGCTTATGAACCATTTGGGCGTCGACTCGTCTATGGCTGTCATCTTTGATGCCAGCGATGTAGCCGGAGTCGGCAGCGAAGAAGATATGGCCAAGATGCTCTCTGTTGGCGAAGACGGCGAGGCAGACGGCGAAGCAGACAGTCCCGCTCCCGCCGCTGCGGAAGAGGACGAAGACGAGTTGATCGACCTGTCCAAGCTCGCCTCCAAATGGCTCGACTCGGACGAGTTTGGCAACGCCGACGGACCTTCCGACGACGTGGCTGCGCTGCTCTCACGCCGGGTCCTGTGCCCTACACTGTGCAACTTCCGCTTCTCCAAGGACGACGACACACCCTTCGGCGTCGGTCTCGACGAATTCAACCAGCAGACCTTCCACACGGCTACGCACGCCGATACCTACTACGACTCGCAGAGTGTCCACGGCTTGCGTGCCGCATCCGAGGAGTTCGACGAGGTAAACCTCCCGATGGACGGAGGAGCCGGCGAGGGCGACTTCTTCGAGACCGACATGGGTGGACCCATGGACGACAACGACGACGACGGCGACGACTTCTTCAATGCACTTGAGGCTGCGCCCGCTTTCCATCATGGCGGTCCCTCCGTGATCGATGGCACTACTGGCAACGTCAACGGATACGGACCCTTTGATCCCTCGGCGGGTCCATCTTCTGAGCTTGTCATGGCGATGGCTTTCAACCCATCAACTGGAATGCCTACTGACGGTGCCGATGGCGAGAATGGCAGCGATCTGTTCGACTACTTTGACCGACGTCTCATGCGCAACTGGGCCGGTCCCGAACACTGGAAGCTTTCTCGTGTAGCTGCCTCGGGTCCTTTGGCTCTCGGCGCGTCGACAGGTGCTGCTGCTCAGGCGGCTGCAGCTGCTCGCAAGGAAAGCAAAAAGAGCAAGGAGCCGTTCGTCATCGATTTCCTCTCTGAAGAGGGTGCGGTCAACGTCAAGGAGATCTTTGAGCCCGCCAAGCAGGCGGCCGCCATCACTCTTCCAGTCAGCGCTCGCAACAAGATGGCGAGTCTGGCCGCCTCGTCATCCGATGCTTACCTGCTGCCGGAGGATCGCCACTTCACATCGAAGCAGCTCTTGCGGCTGTTCCTGAAACCGAGAGTGGCGATCAACATGCGTCACAAGGGGCAGCAGAGCGGTGGTGGATTCGGCGGCGACGAGCAGCTGTGGGCTGACGTTGCGGGCGATGCGGAAGAGGTGGGCGGTGCAGATGGCGGCATGCCCTTTGACACGCAGTTCTTCCACGATGCCGATGACGGCTTCGATGCCAATGGCGGTGGACTGGGTGGTCTCGACGACTCGCCGGAGAATGTCACCGCTGGTGGCGATGCGGAAGACGAGGAGCTTACACAGACGCTGCAAGCGCTCAACCGCGTCAAGCCCGAGTACGTCAACTATGCCAAGAAGGCTAAGAGGGTCGACGTCAAGAAGCTCAAGGAGAACATCTGGAAGGAGCTTGGCATTCTGGGCTCTACCACCGACGACCCGGCAGCGGCTGCAGCGGCTGCTGGCAACGAGGATGGCGACGAGTCCATGGCGTCGACCGTCGCGGATGCGGCTGGCGGCGTCAAGACATTCGAGTCGGTGCTGTCCGGCTTGCAGAAGGCGTATACGCAGGACAGAATGGAAGAGATCTCGACGTCGTTCTGCTTCATCTGCTTGTTGCACCTTGCCAACGAGGAAGGATTGGCCATCGACACTGGTTCGCAGGATAAGATCGAGGCGTTGCGTGCCAAGCGTGGGCGCGACAGCACGACGCCGACGAGAGGCGACGTGGGGGGAGGACTGTTCGGCCGCCTCGCTGCAGGGAGGGTGATGCAGAGTAGCAGCGAGGACGATGATTTGGGAGGAGAGGGTGAAGAGGCGGTGGAGGGTGAGGAAGGGTATGAAGAGGACGAGCTGCGTGTGGGCAGGTTGTCGTCGTTGAGGATTATGAAGGATCCCAAGGCGTATCGATCGGCGTGATCCGGTGCATCTGGACAGTTGTATTTTCGTAGCGCAGTGTTTCTCATGAGTCAAGTGGTGTTGAAAGCGAATGGTGACTTGTTGTAATCTGGACACTGTATCTGTCGAACATGGTATTGTCATTTCGGTCTGGTGCATTCGATTGAGGTGAGGTCAGAAGCCTAAGGGATTCACACTTCCTTCTCCGTCAACCGGCAATCTACCCTGTTCTCTCTGCATCCACCACTCGGTATCCCAACCATCGAACACGAGCGCCAACTCTCTCTTTGCGCTTTCTGGAGAATCGCTTCCATGAAACCCGTTTCTGGTATCACCCAGACCGTATCTGGATCTGAGAGTGTGTGGGGCGGTGTGTTTTCCCATGTAGGCTTTTGTCGGACCGAGTAGGGATCTCCATTCGGCGATGGCGTTGGGACCGTAGAGCGCGAGTGCGAGGGAGGGTCCGGAGATCATGCCGAGAATGAGTCGGTCGTAGTAGAATCGTCCGCGATGTTCGGCGTAGAAGGCGTGCGCGTCGGAGGATGTCCAGAATAAGCGACGGGTGCGGGCGATGGTGAGGTGGGGAGAGGATTTGATGAGTTTGAGGATCGAGGATACGTCTGGTTGATAGGCGCAGACGGATGGTTTGAGAAGGGCTAGCGTTAGTTGCGGCGTGGAAGAAGGCGGAGGAGGAACGGTCGAAAGATGTCTGAAGGGGGTTGATGGGAAAGGTAATGTTGGGTTGCGAGAGGACGATGGAGATGCTGAAAGGATTGATGAGATTGGAGAGGTACGGGAGCTACTACATGCTCGAGTGAGGCTCCAAGCCGAGCGGCCGGAAGACTGTGGTATTGACGTCATCTTGGTTGCTTCTTACCCCGCTTGTCTCCTGAGATGGAGTCCCAATAGCGTTGATGGAGAATGCAAAGGCGGTCAAGATGTCGGACAAGAAGGTGGAGCAATCAATGGTGCAAGGTTGCGGGGGAATGACAGTCGATTACATAATTGCACTGTTGTCGGTTGTCGGAGAACGCGTCCGGAACGCCAATCTGAGCCCCCACGAACCCCGTCAATGATGCACCGGGGTTCCTGCAGGACGTCAATCCATCATCCGCATCCACACTCAATCTTCTCCACCTTCTCTCGTCACCCAATCCTCAGGCTTCAGTCTTCCCGCCTGAGGTCCTGTTCACAACCATGGCGACCACAGCCTCGGTGTACAACACCTCCCGCACAACACGGCAGATCCTCCGTCGGCATCGAAAGGACAAACCTTCACTCATCCTGCACCTGCACAACCACCATTTCCGATTCGAACGTCAGAATGGCATGTTCCTCTTCGACTCACCCGTCAAAGCGTTCTTGGGGTATATCAGAGATCAGAAAGTGCCGGCGGATTTGATCGACGTGTTGACCGAGTCCGGAGTTCAGTTCTTTGAGGGCTGCTTGTTGGTGGATGTCCACGATCACCGTAGTCACGCTGCTGCGAGCGAGTCGATATTGGGCCCGAGAGAGCTGCACAGCATCAGTGCTGCAGGTCAAGGCAGAGACGTCGTCGGCGGGACCGGCGCGGAAGGCTCAGGTGGCCTAGCGTCGAGTCTGTTTTATCTGCAGGAAGGCGGAAGATATGGAGCGCGGAAACTTGTCGGAGGAACGGGATCGTTCGATCCCAGAACAGGTGGGCTGGGTGGAGTGGAGATCTACCGAATCGTGCTGCATCCAACATCAGAAACGCTCTGGGCAGATATCAAGATGCTCGACGATATGGCCGGTGGAATGTGGACCGATCAAGAAGCGCTCGAGGTTGAAGCCAAGATTCTGGCATTGACCGCACCACCGCTCTGCCTTACACCGGATCCGCAGGCCACACGCATCGCCAACCTAATGTTGAGCTCAACAGCGCTGCCGTCAGCATACATCCCTTCGCACGACTCGCCGTATCGATCGGCGAAGAAGCGCAACGCAAACTCGATCGAGGTGGAAAAGGAAGAAGCCAATCGACAGCGTCGCGACAAGATCATGCGGCTCATGCAACACGGACACAAGAGAGGGTTGCCGACAGCACAAGCAGGGATGCCGAATGCGCTGGCCAGGCCAGGCTCCAACACGGTCGAGAGTGGTGGCTCGACGTCGGCGGCAGCGACAGCGTTTGTTCCAACGTTCGACAGGATGACCTTCATCGAGAGGTGGAGAATAGGCAGGAACGCTGCGCTGAACGGAGGCATGGCAGCCGCTCCGCTCGCCGGTGCTGCAGCGAACGGAGCAACCGCGACCAATGGCGCTGCGGCAGGCACCAGCGCGAAAGGTGGAAAGGACGCCGCCAAGGCGAACGACAAGGATGAAGCTGCTGACGCAGCCAACACGTCAACCACCAAAAAGCCACCATCGAAGAAGAAGAAGAAGGCTCAAAGGGAGAAGGAAGAAGCGGAGGCAGCGGCTGCTGCGGAAGCGGCCAAGAAGAAAGCGGAGGAAGAGGCTGCAGCCGCCGCTGCTGCTGCCAAGAAACCCAAGAAGAAGCTCACCAAGAAGGAACGCGAAGAAAAGGAGCGCAAGGAGAAAGAGGAGAAGGAGAAAGCCGAGAAGGAGGAGAAGGAACGCAAGGAGAAGGAGGCCGCTGCAAATGGGAAGGGCTCGAAGCCCAAAAGCAAGAAGAAGCAAAAGGAGGAAGCTGCTGCCGCTGCGGCTGCCGCAGAGGCTGCGAGCAAGAGTCCGGCCAAGAACGCCAAAGACGCACCAGGCAGTCCGGACAAGGACAAGAAGAGCTCACCCAAAAAGACGGCCGCCAAGAAACCTGCCACAGCAGCGGCAGCGACACCAGCTACCTCGGCAGCCACACCTGCAAGCGGCAAGAAAAAGACGCCTGCCAAAAGCGACAAGAAGAACGCCGCATCCAATGCCAACCCTATCGCTGCAGCGGGCGGCGCGAATGGAGTCACCGACACACCGACCTTGCCCAACGCAGCGGTCCAAGGCACGCCCATCCTCGGCAGTGCGACGCCCTCCGTCCAATCCACCCCCACCCCCGCGCACCGAGCCATCCCCTCCCAACCGCAGCAGCAGCAGCAAATGCAGCAACAGCAACAGATGCAACAGCAGCTCACGCAACAGCAGCTGCAACAAGCCGCTCTGGCAGGCATGTTCCCCAACATGGCGAATCAGCTACCCTTCGGAGCAGCGGGTGTTTCGCAACCGGGTGCCAACAACGGCGGTTTTGGCATGCCCATGATGAACGGTGGTTTCCCACCGACCAGCAATCCGCAGGCGACAGCAGCAGCGCTGGCAGCGATGCAAGGTATGGGACTGGGTCAGTTTGGTGGAGCTGGAGCGGGCAACTTTGGAAACGCGGCGCAGATGCAGCAGATGATGCAGATGATGAACGCAGGAGGGATGGTCGGGTTCAACAGCATGCCGTTTGGCGCGCAGCAGGGGCAGCAGGGTCAGGGGCAGCAGGGACAGGCTCAGCAGCAGCAAGGACAAGGTCAAGGGGGCGATATGCCTGTGGGTGTCGGGTTGGCGGGTCTGGCCAATTGGGGCACTGGAAAGTAGAGGAGTGGAGAGGAACGCTGTATCTGTATTTGTAGAGCAGGATTGCGACGAATTGTATCTGTACGTCCTTCTCTGTTGTGCGAGTATGTGATCGAGGGGAAGATAGAATGATACCTCAGCGTGCGGTCGTGCCACCGTCGATAGGCAGAATGCTGCCGGTACACCAAGGCGCATCCCTTGCGAAGAAGCTATCGAGACCAAAAAAGATAACCAAAAAAGTTGAGGTCAGTACGTCTTTTCACTGGCATCACAGCACTTTGATCAGTCACACTCACAGAACACCGTGAGCTACGTCTCTCGCCGACCCTTGATGGGGCCAATATGTTCTTCTCTGATCAGCAATTTCAGGACTGATATCGGCGACCATCGCCGTGCCAGCCAAGTACCCAGGGGCGATAGCGTTGACGTTGATCCTGTGCGGTGCATAGTCACATGCCACCTGACGGGTGAGGTTCACCACCGCACCTTTGCTTGCGCAGTAAGCGGGCTCAGAGGGGCCACCGATGAGTCCGTGGATCGATGCAATCTGGATGATGCTACCTCTTGAGCCGCGTGCGCCCTGGTCACCATCGCGACGGCCGACGGTGGGGATCGGGGAGCCAGCCTGCGAAGCGTAAGGGGCGCGCAAAGGTACACTGGGAGGAACGTCGTTGAAGCTGTCCAACTCCTCCTCGAGATCTGCAGGGAACGGGATAGGCTCCTGCTTGAGCATCTGCTGGACACCAACCTTGGTGCCCAACCAAACACCCTTGATGTTGATCTGCATCATCTTCTCGAGCACATCGACGGACTCGTGCTCGATACCGCCTGAAAAGGCGGTGATGCCCGCATTGTTGACAAGGATGTCGAGTCGAGCGTTTCTGCTGAAGGAGACGCTCTTGTCGATCGCAGTCTTGAAGTCGGCTTCGGAGGTGACGTTGAGCTTTTGGAAGTCGGCGTGCCCGCCGAGGCTGTTGATCAATTCGTGCGTGGGAACATGGCGCGAGCCCTCGGCGCGGACCTTTTGGGCGCCAAGCGGCTCTGGCTGAAGGTCGGTGCAGAGGATGCTGGCACCTGCGCGGGCGAGGTGGAGGGCGGCTTGCCTTCCGATCCCGGAGGAAGAGCCGGTGATGAGGGCGGTCCGGCCGACGAGGCTGAGGGAAGGGGGAAGCGCTTTTGCAAACTTGGCAAAAGACATGGCTCAGTGAGTCGTTGATGAATCAGGGATGGCTATGATCTGGTGGTCAGGAGGGAAGAGGGGGTCGCATTGGCTCAGTCTAGGGATGCTGCCACTCGAAAGATTGTCCAGGCAGGCGGCGATTCCGAACAGCTTCAGTGAGGTTCCCGTCAGTTGAATTGCAGGGGATTAGCGGTAATCGGCTGAGGCGTGACGGTTTCAATGAAGGGAGCTCGTCGGAAGGCTGCGACGCCGTGCGAGGCAGCAGAATCCAGGCACACACCGAGACTGGCCTCCTCGTTGCGAGCAACCAGTTTCGGGAGCTGACGACGTGGGCGCAGAAGGAAAGGGTCGTGGTTATTTCCTCACTCACCCCCGCGTCGGAAGCTTGGCTGGGCCGGTGTCATGTCGCCGACGCCCGTTCGAAAGCACAGCGTAACGGTACAGTCGATTCGGAAAAGTCGCCGACAGGGTCTGCGATGCAGCGTGCATCGCAGCTCGCGCTGCATCGCAGCTCTCTCAGAGCTCATTCTCGATCGCCCCGATTGACTAGAGGGTGGTATCCTTTGTTAATCAACAGTTGTGAGATCGCTCTCGGATGCGAGGGTCAAAAAAGTAAGGGACCAATTTGAATTTTTGGAACGTCTTGAGCGACTGACCAGCGACCGACTGAGCCTCCGTGTGGGCTTTTCTGAACAATCTGAGACGGCGGCATGAGCGTTGGGCCCCCTTCGACGAATCCGAACAATTCAGGTTTGACTCGGCTTCTGCCCCTCTTTTTCCTTCTGCGCCCTCGGAAGCAGGCAGGGCGAGACGAGGCCGCCCATCCAACCACATGGGCGCAATACACAGAGAATACTCCGCGACTGTACTCTCTCACACACGAGTTGCTGCCTTCCGCAGGGTCTTCTCTACGGCATCTGCTGAATAGCGTCTTGTCAATGCTACGTACGCCGCAGGAGTTCGATACTGCATGGTCTGCCCAGCCGACAAACAAAGGGCGCCCAGCGATCGATGGGCTTGCGTCTCTTTCCGATGCGTTGATGGCAAAGTTCATTTCGTCGAAGCAAACTTCGCCGTCCCTGCGGGGAGGAAGCTTCGCAGCCAGCACACGAGAAATGCATTTTAATACTTTTGTTATTATTACACATTAAAGATGGTTGCGGCGGCGGCTCTGTGGTGTCTGTGTCCCATCCTGGACTGCAGCAGCGGCGTCGGTGCAGAGTGTGAGCCTGTGAGCCTGTGTGCGTTGCTGCTCCTTCGAAGTTGGTCGGGTCGGTCCCTAGTGCATGGATTGGCCTTGACACAAACGCGGATCTGTTCCTGCTCACTCTTGACATTAGCCACCACCAACAACCCATCACCTCTCCTTCTCCTTTGCCTCTTCTCGTCTTGACGTTCCTTCCTCGCATCTCTTTTGCTTTCTGTGACACGATCGCGGTCAGCTTTGATTAGTCTCACTCGCTGCAGTCTTTTGTTGCTGCTGCAGTCGACGACGCTGGCTCGGGTCGTTGCATGATCGGTTCTGCTGCTGCAGCATCAGCATCTCCCAGCATAAGCTCGTTGTGCGCCTTCTTTGTCCCACGCTGACACACACACACACACTCGCGCACAAAGCATTGTGATCAGCCCAGCCTTGACGACGTTTGGTATTGCTAATCAAACCCAGCGTGACGAAGTCAGGAAGAGCACCGCGCGCTATCCGGATTTCGCTGTAGCGGCACTACTTGGCCGCATCATCACCGACTTTTGACCTGCCCTTCCGCCAGCCCGGCCGCCCACTTCGCTCGCTAGCAGCTCGTGCCCGATCGCAGATCACTCCCTGCAACCATCCCGCACCCTTGTCATCCGCCGCGCCGGCTCGAAATCCGAATTTTCGTTTTGGCTTGTCCGTTCCTCCCTCTCTCTGACCTCGCCTCGCGCCGCCCTCTCGTCAGCATAGCATCCATCGCATACTCCGCCAAGCAACCAGCAGGCAGCATTCGGACATTTGATTTTAGAATATTTATTCTTCCATAAAATAATCCGCTAGCCTTCGCGTTTTGACAGTCGAAGACGGCGCTTCCGCAGATCTGTCCGCCCTTTTGTTGCTGTTGCCTTGACCGTGACCGTTGGTCGAAACGAGAGGCTTTCTTCACATCCAATTTTCGAGACGGTGGTTTGGACCTGCTCGTTTGCTTCTGGGCTCCGATCTCGACCCGACCCAATTTTAGGCCGCTTATCGCACGGCGTGTCACTCTGTGCCACTCTTTGGCTGCCGCATCACTGCAACACTTTCTGCAACACCACAGCGTGATTGCCTCCAGCCGCACCGCAAATCTCGGATGCGCTCTTCTACACCTCTTCCGACTCCACCATCTCCACAACAAATTCACCCTTCCTTCGCCGTTCCTGAATCTTCCTCCTCGCCTGCTTCATCATCGGTTCCGCAGGTGGTCTCCGCTTGTTCCCGTGCAGATGCGGATGTTCCATCTGCATCACCTCCGCTAGCCGTCGCCTCGACACCTGCTGTAGCGCATCCCTCTTTGTTAACATCAGCGCCTCATGCTACACAGGCGCACCCTGCTTCAAGCATGTCGGACGCGATCGCCGAGTCGCGTGACGATGATCCGTCCGCGGTGATCACCGCATCGACACCAACCAATGGGATGCCCCAAGGTGACTTGATGTCGGCGTCATCCTCCTCCTCCTCCTCGTCGTCATCAGCGCCTGCAGGCCTCGCAGCAGGCCCTTCGATCGAGTCCGCTCCTCGTCCGCATGGTGATCTGACCACAGATCCAGATGCTTCGGCATGGCCGTCGACAAGCGCTAGCTCAGGTGCACAGACCCCTCAACCCACACCGACTGTCAGCACGCTCCAATTCGCTTCCGACGCTCTATCCACCCTCCCACCATCCCACCCAGATGCCGCTGCGGTGCCCACCTCCGCTGCTGAGCTCCTCACCGTCATTCACCGCAAAAACAAAAAGGCGCCCGCTATCCAAAGCCCGCGTCCCGGCAGTTCGGGATCCGCCCGCGCTCGCAGCGCTGCCACCACTCCGGTTCCCACCTCCCTGTTGCTGAGTGTCAAGCACGACTCGTTCGACACCACTGCCCACTCTTCGCGAGCAACCACACCCACGCGCACCCCATCAGGCCGTGCAAAACGTCAAAGACGCGAACGAAACCTCGGCACGCCGAGTGCATCCACTTCTGCCTTGCCTAGCATCGAGCAGAACGATCGTAGAAGATCGGCCAGGGTCGCCAAGGCCGTCACCACTACCACTCCTGACTCGTCTTCGCTCCCGAATCTGGCGCTGTTTGGCTTCTCTCCCTACCTCGAGAATCTAGTCTTCAACGCGAAGGATACCGATCGCCGCACCCGCTCGGGCGGCAGAGGCTTTCGCCCGCCTGTCGAACGTGCTCCTGCCAAAGTCAAGCGCACTGCACCCAAGAACAAAGCGAGGGAGGCCGATCCCGATGGACCCGACGACGAAGCAAAGTCAGAGTAAGTCCCATACGAATTGCGAATGCCGCCTCATTGCATCGTTACTGACTCGCGCCGTGAGCATGCTACTCTTCGCCTCGTTTCTGCAGACTTTATCGTCAGCTATGCATCATATCATACCAATTGCAGGCGCACCTTGACCTTGTACCTCACAAATCGCTCGCAGAACTCAATGCTCGATTCGGTACACCGTCAGCCGACGACGACGACGATGACGAGGCTAACCTAGTTCCTGCAAGCACCGATGCTGCCAATGCAGTTGCCAACCCAGTCGCACTACTCAACCCCAGCCGCGCTGTTACTCCTGCAATCACCATCCAAAAGCATGACCACTATCCCGAACCAAGTGGAAGCATCTCCAGCTACACACAGCATGTCGTTGTCAAAGCAGAACCTCCTGCCTCCCCTTCGCTGTCGACGAGGCAACCCGAACCGTCACGGCCCGCCTACTCGCCCGAGTCCTCACCGGAAGTGGCCCTCATGGACACCGTCAGACCGACGTACAACGGCGTTCCCTCTTATTATCCGCATTCCTCGCAAGGCGTCTACCAGCCCCAGATTCAGCCACAGCACGAGCCCAATGCATGGGCAGCGAAAGTCGATGAACCAGAGGACGAACCCATGTCGCCCATGTTTCGACCTGCTCGTTCCAACATCATGTCGATCTCTGCACTCATGAGCGGGCCCAGTCCTTCGAAAGCCCGGTCTCCCACTCCCGAGCTCATCCAGACGCCCCCGAGGCCAGTTGACGCGCTGCCCATGCTGACGCAGGAATGGACCGAGGACGACGAGATGGCTTCGCGCTTCCTCCAAGCCTGTGCCGAGTCCATCCCCAAGATCGACACAACCGAGCTCGACCGACTCACCCAGATCGCTCAACTCGCCGCGTTTGATCTCGAGATGCTCTCTGCACCATCGTCACCATTGCCATCGACACCGTCGTTGTCGACACCCACCACAGATCAGCAGAAGCACGATGTCAGCGTCAAGTTCGACCCGCGTCAACTCAACCCCCTTGACTCGCTCGACACGCAAGAGCTGTACGATCGAGAGGAAGCAGACTACCTCGAAGAGATGCAGAACAACGACGATCTGTACGAGAACGCTCGTTACCTGGCCAGCTTTGACGAGGTGGTCGATGAGTGGAGAGCGGGCGAGCTGGCACGTCTTCGGTTGCAGCTCGAGATGCGGAAAGCAGAGATCGAGCGTATTTGGACGTGCGATCGCAAGCTGGCGTGGTCGACGTTTGTAGATAGTAGAGCTGGCGGGTTGTATCGCGAAGCGATGGCGAAAGCGAGCCGTGCGAGGTGGCAAGCAGAGATGGAGATGGATCTGCTCGAAGTGCATCGCAGACAGACGCGTGGCTTGCGCAAGCTTACCACAGATTTGTGGTTGCCGAAAGGAGACGAAATGGAGGACGAGGAGATTGCGGATATTTACAAGCGGTACGGTCAATTCGTGTCTGGGGCGAAGTATCCCAAGATGGATGATCCGCTGGTCAGAGCGGACGTGCGAAAGATGCGCAACGCTTTGCGTGCGCACAAAACCCTGGAGCGGGAGCAACAGGCAAAGACGAAGACACAGGCAGACGGAACCGAGGCGACCGAGGCAGCAGGAGCAACAGGAGAAGCTGTGGACGTATTCGCGGACGGTATCTCCTCATACGATTCCGTTTCTGAAGAAGAGTTTGACTCGGAGGAACACGACTCAGACTCCTCGTACGTTTCATCTGACTCAGACATCTCATCGCTGCCCTCGTTCAGCTCGGTGTACAGCTCGCCGGTCGTGCGCAGCATCGCGGACGTCGACATCGGAGTGTCCGATTTGGACGCACTTGCGTCCGAGGTGGCTTCGCTTGCCGACGCCGGGGACGAATCGGACGAAGACGCAGATGAAAGTCTCTGGGCACGTCAGATCCGACTTGCCAATCAGCAAGCCGCACAGGGTTTGGCGGCAGGCACGGCGGACTCTGGTGCTCACACCGTGATCGCCGACAGCCGAGCTCATTCTGCGATGCCGAGTCGAGCCGCAAGCCCGGTTGTTGCGGGTACTGCACCAGCTGCGAAGCGAGACAGAAAGAGGAAGAAGAGGCCGCCTCCTCCCGGCGCGAGGTTGTGGAAGAAGGGTCGCGTCCAGCAAGATTCTGATGCGGTCGAGCTCGAGCAGCAGCAACAGCAGCAGGAGTCGAAGTCAGAGCTTGCATCTCAACCCGGCCCTTATCAGAACGGTATCAACCATCACCACCACCACGATACCAACATGGTTGATGCAGAGACGAATCCAAGTCGAGTTGCCAGTCCCAAGCTGCACTCTGCGAGAGAGTTCCCGGACTACGACTATCGATCGGGAGACCATCGCTTCATGTCCCAACACCACCCGTCGTATGGCAACAACAACAGCTACGGCATGCGGCCCAGCTATCTCCCCGGTAGCGCTGTCGAGGACTACGAGTACGCTCGACCTCTCCACCACGATGCGTACAATTCTGGGCGAATCTATTCCAGCTACGGTGATCCGTACGCTCGGCCCAGTGGACACGGTGGATACCCACACGAGCCGGCAGGATATCTTGGTAGACCGGGCGAAGTGAACCAGCAGTATTCCATGACACCACCGCCGCCGATGATGGATCATATGATGAGTAGGGCGTATGCGTCGTACGAGCATCCAGCGCCACCGCAGCACGCGTATCCGTCTCACCCGCCACCACCGCTGCCCTCGGCGGCACAGCAGAAGAACCAGTGGCAGCAGCCGCCTTACTAGCATGGTTGAGAGCAATTGTACTTGTATTGATAAACTCAATCTCAAAACACGGGTTGAGGTGTGGAAGAGAGTGTGTGGTCGGTAGTGGGAAGATTTGAGGATGAGAGAAGATAGCGTAGGGGTTGATGTGCACGAGACTAGGTTGTGCTCACATCAGTCTTGTGAGATTCAGCCACGGTCATTTTCATTCGGTAAAACGTTTGATTGCCCATGAGATACAAGTTCTAGCAGTGCGAGAGAAACAAGCGTCGAAGAGTCAGTATATCTGTTCCGCTGTGACATTCCGGACGACGACGACCAGATCCCGCACCATGCACGTCTTCTTTCCCGACTCCTCTCCGACTAAGAAGAGAAGGGGGGAAAAGAAGAAGTAAGGGTGGAAGGAAAAAAATCAGACAAGGCTGAAACTTGTAATGGAAATTTGATTGTCCGCAAAGAAATTAGGACTAACGAGATTCCTGATATAGTCAAATATGATGATCATCATTGTGTGTGGGTGGTGGAAGGGAGAGCTCTCTCTTGTGCTTTTGGCGATGTGCGTCCGAACGTTTTGAGCCAGACAGACAGACATGGCGTAAAAAGCGAGAGATCTTCGAAATGCAACCCAGGTTCTTGGCCGCAGGTGACGGACAGAGCGCGTTTGTGTGTGTTTGGGAAGTGCTGGCGAGACTAGTCGTGTTGAGGTAATGGGGAGGTACTTACGGAGAGTCGATGGTGATGGTGAAGAAGAAAGGGAGGGGAGAGGTCGAAGTTGCTCTTTGCACCAAGCGTAGGTTTTTTTCGCTACTTTTTTTGGACTCCAGCTGGCGAGCCGATCTTGAGCTAATTTGCAACAGATCCGATCACGCTATTTTCTCTACGAACAGTTTTGTTACATCGTCGTCAACGAGCATCGTTCAGTTTTCCCGAGGTGCGCCACTGTGACCAAATCCTCTTTGATGGACAACGACACGACACGACAAGACGACTCATGGACAAGATACATTCCGACGGAGCACCTCGCAAGGGTAAAGCCTTCTCTCGGGAAACGTGTCAATGCAATCGAAGTCTATTGAATGAAAGACGATGCGAATGGAACTGTTTGATAGATTGGATGGTAGTCGATAGCAAATGCGGTCTGATCAGAGTCAGACAGGTGCTCTAGCACGACCTGCAGTCTAGTAGTCGTACGCAGCAGTGGGAGTGGTCGGAGTTGCCGGCAAGGAAAGCTTCTTCGGCGACAAGGAACGTGCTCTTGCCAACTGGGCCCTCCTCACTGCTGGACTTGGAGGGATCCTGGCCGCTGAGCCCAAGCTGCCAAGGCTAGTTCGGGTCGATCCTGCGCTCGACAAGCTGCTTCTCTGCGATACGGAAGGAGTGACGTTTTCTTCGCCCGAGATCCTAGCTTTCATCGCAACCACTTCCGTGGTTGCGACATTTGCGGCGGTAGAGAAAGGGTTACGATTTTCATCGACATCCGCGATTGAATCTACTTCTCGACCTCGACCGTGCCGCGCTCCACCACCGCTGGAGGGGTCGAAGGGCGTGCTGGTTGTGGACGAGCGAAGTCTCCGATAAGGTATGGCTTGCTGCGATGCGAGTGCCTGCTTTCGTCGGATTCGTTCTTCGAGCTCGGCGACCTCTTGCGCGGGAGTGCGAGCTTTCAATGGTGAAGGAATGCGCGGTCGATCGCGCGAAGACATGCCTGGACGAGAGGCGTTGAATTTACTCAGCTCTTGTACCTGGTCCACTGCTTGATCCTTCGGGTTAGGAGGAACTGGAACGGCTTCGGATACGGTCGATCGTCGAACGCGTTCCTCCTTCCGTTCAGTGCGAGACTGTGGACGAGAATCCGATGTCGATGGCCGAGCTGTCGACTGACGCTGTCGTCGCGACGCTCCTAGAGGATCGGAGTTGTACGACATTGGTGACTCGGTCGTCGTCCTCGTTGTCGTCGGAAGCGCCGGTACGGGCGGAGGTGAAACGTTCGACCTGGACAAGGTGCTTGGCTTCTTGCGCAGCTCGGCCACGGAAGTACTTTGACGGAGCTTCCTAGGCGAGCCTGATGCCACCGTAGACTCGCTCCTGGCCGAGCTTGGCCTGGTCGGCGCCTCCTCACTGGTCGCTCTCACCGTCGTAGGTGCGACTACCCTTCTGCGCGTCGTAGCTTTGGGCGTCACAACCGTCGCTTCTTTCTCCTCCTGCGCCTTGCGCTGAGCACGAAGGTCTGCTCTGGATGCACGCTTCTTCGGGCTCGCTTTAGGTGTGGCCGACTCGGCCGGCTCCTCGGCAACACTGTAGAAGCTTGTAGCTGCAGAGCTGACACCCTGCAAGCTTGACCTCCTCGAGGCCGGATCGGCTTGCTGTAGCAATTGCGACCAGAAGTATCGGAATTCCAAGCATAGCAAGTCTGTCTGCTTGAGAGCGGTGATGTGACTCGACCTTGCAACAGCTTGCGCAAAGCTGGGGCTGGTAGCAGTCACAGGTGTACTGGCAGGTGTTGTGACGGTGTCAGCGCATTTGTGGCTGAGCTGAACGATCTGATGGATGCCGCCCATGTCGGAGAAGCGTTCTTGTGCGACATCGCTGTCGACGAGAATGCACATGAGTAGATCAAGTGCAAAGCCGGAGGGTAAAGAGAGCGGCGCGTCGGCGGTCGCCTCCGATGAGGATGTTTTAGACGGTGAGGAGGAAGTGGAAGATGCCGACGAAGAAGAGATGCTGGTAGGAGTGGCTGGCGAATGCGGCAAAGCGAACGATGCATTTGTAGGTGATAGATTGGAAGGACTGAGGATGGGTGGGAGAAGCTGTGTGCAATAGTCTGCCAGAACGATCTGTAAGAGCAATTCGAGGGCTGACTTTCGTTGAGTGATGCGCCTGGTTGCTTTGCTGCACAGTGTAAGACCTTGGAGGATGGTGATAGCGATGCAGATCTCGGAGACGCTCGAATGGACTCTTTGGCGCTGTACTTCCGGCATTGCATGCGGACTAGCTCGACCGAGGTTTTGTGACGGGGAAGCTACTTCCAACCCCAGACCTTGAAGCTTTGAGCTCGATGTTGAGAGGTCTCGTGAGCCGAATCCGAACGACAATGAACTCGAAGCAGCTGCTGTGGGCTCTTGCGAGGCCTGATGCAGTTCGTTCTCGCGCTCAAGATCAAGGTGTAGACGGTAGACGTGGGCGAGAAGCACCTCGGCCAGGCTGTACCCGGCAGTGGCTTGCAATGCCCAGAACACTGAGGCTGTCTGATTGACGGGTGGCAGAAAGTCGGCTGTTGCTGATCGTGCTGGGTCTGTGACGGTAACGAGCGTTTTTTCAATGTCGTTGAGGATGTTGATACGCTCGGCCGGGGTGGAGAGCGGGGAGGTGAGCGTGTTCAACCATTCTTCGGCCATACTCTCGAGGTCGAGGGTGCGTGACATTGTATTTGGCCGCGAGGTTCCAGGGCTAAAGTGATCCTGGGCTGTGCCGAAATGCGGTGATAGCTGTCTGCCTGCGCCTCTTGGTGTGTTGGTAGTACTAGATATGACGGGTGGAGACATGATGGCGGGCTGTGTCTATAAGGATGTGTAGACGGGAAAAGGGGAGAGGGAGCAGGACGAGATCAAGAGAAGCGATGTAGACGCTCTCGTCAGGCAGCATTGAGACGAAACGTTTGTGGGGCGTCTAGAAGCCTTGTGCGGGAGAGAGGTACAAGCGCACGAGGTCCTGGCAACAGAAGCAACAGCAGCGCTTAAAGGTTCCGTTGCGGTTGTTGCGAGGGCATGAGTCGGAGCGTGAAGTGTACAGGCTTGTATCGACAGGATGTAAGTGCTCCTGTGTGTAGAGACCGAGGGCTGTAGCGTAAAGGCGACGGACTGTGCTGCAGGAGCTCGGCTGCAGGTGAAGACAGGGACAAGGAAAGGGCGGGAAAGTTCAAGGCACGACGGGCGAAGCAGAGGGGGAGGGATGACGAATTTGTCAGGTGTACGTTCAGCGAGATCTACGTTGCATAGCTCTGCGCACCAGATGCAGAAGGCGAGCACAGTCGAGTATGGTTGCAACGGCTGCAAATGGAAATTTAAGGCTCAGAGAGACATGTCCTCGGACTCCTGCGTTGCAAGGCCGACGTGCTTGTCGCATCTGCAGCGGCTTTCCTTGCGGGCTTGGCGTGGGCATCCGCTCATATCCGATAATACTACAGTACTATTCACTCTCCTCAGTTGAACATAGCGGGACTCGGATCCATGAACGTCGGCAGCGTGCGACGTATCAAGTGATGTTCGAAAGACAAAACGGCGAGCAGTCCAACCATGAATTTGAACACAACACAGCAGCATTGAAATTTCGCAAAACAGTGTACGGCAACGCCGACCGCGCGTTTGGAATTCTGGAGCATCACGTGATCTGAGCTGTTCAGGGTCCAGTTCGCAGAGTGGCGCTTTGACAGTGTCTTGATAAAGATGCAGGCATGCATTCACTCTGTGGATCAGATTCACCAAGACTTCCACCATTTCGTACGAGGACCACTTGCTTGCCCGCCGTAGCCTGAATCAGCCCAATCTCGAGTCTCCTATATCCGCTTTGCAGAGGTCCCTTCGTGTTCACCAAGTAGGCTCGGACGCCGTCACCACAGGACTCGGTTCTCCAACGCTCATCCTCCATGACCACTTCGTCGCGCGCTGCATTCCCGGTCGTCAGCTGCTGAGCTTTTGGCGACGACTGTGACAGCGAGAAACGTAGGCGAACAGAATGCCCACCAAGACTCGCAAAGCAGCCTCATCAAGACCCGCATACTTCCTCGACCAACAGGAAACCTTTTCCATCCACATCTCTTTGTTCCAACCGCATCCAGGTGTCGGCCTCGCTCCCTTCCAGAGCGATAGCAGAATCGCTCTCGATCAGGTCTTCGGCGCTCTTCCGGATACGGCTTTGCAGGGGCAACACGGCCGTGCTGTCCACTCCCAGCGAACCTTTCTCTACACGGACAGGTCGACCAAGTCGTTCGGCTCGCCCATCGATATCCGCTTCGGTCCCCTCCGCATCGACTGGGCGGAACGTGCTTTCAATCACGAAATGTCGCAAGCATCCAGCTCTCAGCATGCCAGCTCAAGCTCTGCATCTGCTAACACTGGCACGAGTATCGCATTCAGCTCCAGCTCGACCAAACCTCCGAGGCGCAAACATGTTTTCCACGCCAAGCAACCACAGGTAGCCTTGCCAGTCGCGAGCTTCGAAAAGACTGACTCTTTTCAAGGTGACACTTCCAGCTCAAACGACCCAAATATACAGCTGGCGTCGTGCACAGAGAAATTTCAGGGCATGACCATTGGCGCTACCGAGGTCGCGTTCGGCATCGTCCACCTCTTTCGAGACAAGCAGGACGCCGGCGCCAAGTCTTCCGCCAGCGCCGAGCGCCAATCGGGGCTCGAGAATCAGATCCCAGAGCAAGATGTCGGCGCAGTCGTGGCAGTCCTCGCAGTACCGTCTCACCTGACCGCCTCTCACTTTCTCTCCTACATCGAGCCCGCCGTTGAGGCAATCACGCATCTACGAATGGTTCGGGACATGCACCCCAATCGATGCATGGTGCTCATACGCTTCCGAGACGCAAAGGATGCCGAAGACTTCCACAAGATGTACAACGGCCAGCCATTCAACGCTATGGATCCTCAAGAGATTTGTCAGGTGGTCTACATCACCTCGCTCACCGTCTCGAAGCACACTTCGCTGCCCTTTAGCTACCCTACGCTCACCAACTCGGATCCTTGGCCGTTACGCCCTCCAACCAATGCCGTCAATCAGCCCGCACACGAACTGCCGACTTGTCCCGTCTGCTTGGAACGTATGGATAGCTCCGTCACGGGTCTCATGACCATCTCGTGTCAGCACACATTTCACTGCTCGTGTCTCTCGAAATGGGGCGAATCGCGGTGTCCCGTGTGCAGGTATTCGCAGACCGGACAGCCATCTGCGCAGCATCGACGCAGAACACCACGATCATCCATGGATCCGTCCACACCCTCCCGCAATGGCAACGGCGGCAGCGTCGACGCATTGGCTGAGGCATCGGACGACGAGAGCGACGCCGACGAGCCTAGCTGCTGTGCTGTGTGCCAGACACAACAGGATCTGTGGGTGTGTCTGGTGTGCGCCTCGGTCGGCTGCGGCCGATACAAGCAAGGCCATGCGCATCGACACTTTTCCGAGACCGGTCACCTGTACAGTTTGGAGCTCGAGACGCAGCGTGTATGGGACTACGCAGGCGACGGCTACGTGCACAGACTCATTCAGAACAAGGCAGACGGCAAGCTGGTCGAGCTGCCCTCGGCATCGTCCGCCAACGCGACCCCAGATCGCTCGAGGACGCTGCCAGCTTCGGCGAGCTATGCTTCCGCCATGTCGACGAGCGGCACCAAGCATTCCGGCCCGCCTGCTATGCTAACGGCAGCAAGGGAAGCGATGGGGCACGTCGGCCCTCACGAGCAGCAACAGCTCGACGAAGGCTACACCACCAGAGGCGAAGGCTCGAGTCGATCGGCGGACGATAAGCTCGAGACGATCGGCATGGAATACTCTTACCTGCTCACCTCTCAGCTCGAATCGCAGCGTCACTTTTACGAAGACAAGCTGGACCAGTTCCAAGCACAACTCGTCTCGCTCACGGGTGAGATGTCGACGCTCTCCCGCAAAGCCCAGCAGATTGACGAGCTATCGGCACGCACCACCGAGCTCGAACGCACCAACGAGCAACTCAAGCGCGACAAGGACAAGAGCGATAAGAAGGCCGAGAGAGCGGTGGAGCTGGCAAGAACGCTGGAACGTGATCTGCATTCGGAACGCTCCATGAACAAGGGTCTGATGGATCGATTGGAGCAGACGAAGGAGAGCGAGCAAGGCCTCCAGGCCCAAGTGACGGATTTGCAGGAGCAGGTGAGCGATCTCATGTTCTTCGTACAGGCGAGGGACAAGCTGGACCAAGAAGGCGGCGATGCTCAGGGAGGCGATGTCGAGGTGAGAGCCAAGCCTACCACCGCCTCGTCTCGCAAGGGCAAGACGCGAAAAAGGTGATGTCAATTCAGCGCGACAGTTCGTCTCTACGCTTCGGCAATGCATTTACCATTATGAAAGCGTATTGCTCGTGATCCTCGTACGTCTTCATCAAACGTGCGATCTGTTGTTCATGTCGAGTACTCTTCGAAAGGCTGCTTTCTACCATGGCATAACGAGACGCTCCAGCGAAGGCACGGGAGATCACGTTGCTGATGACGAGGTCGCAAGAAGATGTATGGCATCGGGTACTGCATCGTGGCCGAAATGGAAAGCACGCCTTGCAGCGAGCGAGAGAAAAAAAAGAAACGTGGGATTTCGCGGTTGTGACGGCAAATGACGTTTTGCTCCGCTCCAAGGGGAAAGGCGTGGAAATCTAGCGAATTTCGGTCCGACTCGCGTTGAGATTGGTCCGTGCCTGAGAAGAAGACCTTGTAAGTCAGGCTGAGTTCAACGGCGACAGCTGTGGAAGCTCGCAAAAATAATCCCGAGTTCAAGCCACAGAAACTGTGAGTGGCGCGGCAAGGCGTCAAGCGCTGACGTGCGAAGACGTAGAATCTTGAGTGGTGGACTGGCTTATGCGTCAGAAGCGAGAAGGGGTCTTCCTCTGCCGACAAAAGCAAGGATATATAAACGACCGCCTTAGAGTCGATCATTCTTGACACCCAACACCCGCAAGTCGCACAATCCTTCGCAACCATGTCGCTCAACAAGACCATCACGCTCAACGACGGCAACAAGATCCCACAGATCGGCCTCGGCACCTGGCTCTCCAAACCCGGAGAGGTGGGCAATGCTGTCGAGATCGCCGTCAAAGCCGGTTACCGTCACCTCGACCTCGCCAAGATCTACCAGAACCAGCCTGAGATCGGCGAGTCGCTCAAGAAGGTGATTCCCTCGGTCGTCAAGCGCGAGGAGCTGTTCATCACCTCGAAGCTGTGGAACAACGCCCACCGAGCAGACAAGGTCGAAGCAGCTTATGACGAGACGCTCAAGGAGCTCGGACTCGACTATCTCGATCTGTACCTCATCCACTGGCCTGTCGCTTTCGCACCTGGTGCCGATCTCGTACCCAAGACCTCGGACGGTTCTCAGACGGTCCTCGACCGCGAGACTTCCATCGTCGACACCTGGAAGGCCCTCATCGCTCTCCAGAAGGCCGGCAAGGTCAAGTCCATCGGCGTGTCGAACTTCACCATCGCCGACCTGGAAGCCATCACCAACGCTACCGGTGTCGCTCCCGCTGTCAACCAGATCGAGGCCCACCCCTTGCTTCCCCAAGATGACCTCGTCGCATACGCCAACAAGCACAACATCCACTTGACGGCATACTCTCCCCTCGGCAACAACCTCAGCGGAAAGACGAAGATCGTCGACTACCCTCAGGTCAGCGAAGTCGCGAAGAAGTACAACGCCGACCCAGCTCAGGTGTTGATCGCCTGGGGTGTCAAACGAGGCTACTCGGTGATCCCCAAGAGTGTCACGGATACGAGGATCAAGAGCAACTTTGATCAGCTCGAGTTGAAGGACGAGGATTACGAGACGGTCACGAGTCTGTACAAGGAGCTCGGCAAGGTGAGGTTCAACATTCCCAAGACGTACCAGCCGTTCTGGGATATCGATATCTTTGGCGAGGAGGCGGAGAAGGGGGCCAAGTACACGGTTAAGAGGGAGTAATTGCGACGGGGTAGTACATGCTGATGCAAGCACAGCGCATTCAAATGAAAACGTGAGGAACAATCCACCTGTCTCAAGAAGCTTCATGTGTGTGTTTGTGTGTCTTGAAGAAGCGATCGTGCTGGTTCGATGTCGAGTGCGAAGGTTCGGTGGAGGTGCGGAAGCTGGGCTGTGCTCCGGACACGCATTGAGGAGTCGGGGAATGCACGTCTGCTCTGATTGCACGGCGCAGACGTGCAGCTGTGGATCCCTCACTCGAAGGTCGACCCTTCCCGTGATTTCACTTTCACACTCTCAAAGACCCACAAAACACAGCCAATACACATGCATCTCGAATCCCGTCCATGTGTTCCCCGAGACAAGAAAGATCGGATGTCTTCCTAAACTTGGCTCGATACCGAGCCCTGCGAAACCCACATCACTCGTACTTGTTCGCCTGGCCCGTTGCCTCCGCCTGCCGCTTCAACGCCTTCGGCGCATCACCCCTCTTCATCACCACCTCGATCAACCTGATCCTGTCCGCCTTCCCAAACTCCTCGCTCTTCAACAACGCATCCAGCTCCTCCTTGGTCTCGACCCTGACGTACTGCTTCCTGCTCAACTTGCTATCCTTCTTGTGACTCTCCGCATCCTTGTTGGCCTTGTCGTTGCCCATAAAGTCCAACGCCTTGCTGAGATCCCACGGTGGGATGTCGTTGTAGCTACGCTGCGGACCGTGGATCTGACGTTCGATCTCGTAGCCGTCGTTGTTCAGGATGAAGAGGTAAGGGCAGAGCGAGTGTTTCATCATGGTGCCGATCTCTTGAGCTGTGAGTTGCAGCGATCCGTCTCCGACGAACAGGTGGGTTCGACCGAACTTGGATTCGCGAGCACCGAGAGCTACGCCAAGGGCAGCTCCGACGGACCACCCGATGGATCCCCAGAGGACTTGCGAGACCCATTTGGAGGAGCGCGGAAGCTTAGCCTCCAGCATCCCGAACGAGGAGGTTCCCGTTTCGACGATGATCTGATCGTTGGGTGCGAAGAACTGACCCAAACGAGGCCAGAACCATTCCTGGGTGATGGTGGAGGACGAGTCTTTGGGAAGAACGTTTTCGAACTTGGGGACGATCTTCTTGGTCTCCTCTCGTCGTTTGTTGCCGTTCGCTTCGAGAAGTGCAGAGAGCTTCGGAAGAAGTCTCTTCATGCCGATGTCCGGGTAGTGAGAGTAACCGATCTTGGTGTAGTCGGAATGCAGCTCGATGGTGCTCGATTTGGGCGTTCGGTAGCTAAAGTTTCCCGTGTTGAAGTCCGACTTCAGGCTTCCGATGGTGATCAGGACGTCCGCGCCTTCAACCACTTCCTTGACCAAGTCGCTGGTAAGGCTTCCGACGTAGATCCCGCCGTACTGTGGGTGGTCCTCGTCAACGATCGTTTTACCCATGGGTGTAGCGAACACGGGAAGGCCCGACTTGTTGACGAGTTCGTTAGTTTCGTCGATGCAGCCGTGACGGGCTGCACATGCGTCGACGAGGATGACTGCCGATGAGGCCGAAGAGATGTGTTGTTCGGCTACGCCGAGAACATACTTTTCCGCGTCAGGGTCGTTCTCTTCCGCGTCGTAGTTCAGAGGAGTCTTGAGCGCAGCCGAAGGGATAGTGGCGTGGACGAGGTCGGTGGGGAGTGCGAGGTAGACGGGCCTGGCAGCTTTCATGGCCTTGACCAGAATCCGATCGATGGCTTCGCCCGCACCTTCCTTGTGTTTGAGGATCGCACTGTCCGCTGAAATCTCCTTCGACATGTTCTCGAACGCCGAGAACCTCCCATCGCCCAAGGTGTGGTGCAGCAGTGAATGCGAGCCCTGGGCAGCAGTGGAGGGAACACCGACGACGTGGATCACGGGAAGACGCTCGGAAAAGCTTCCGGCGATACCGTTGAGCGCGCTCAGTTCTCCGACACCAAACGTGGTGACGACGGCGGCGATGGTGTGTTTGATGCGAGCGTAGCCGTCAGCTGCGTAGGCTGCGTTGAGCTCGTTCGAGTTGCCGATCCAGGTGAGCGAAGGATGGTCTTCGATCAGATCGAGCAGGCCCATGTTGAAGTCTCCGGGCACTCCCTGGACGCTGAGCGAGTCCAGTTGGACAAGTCGCTCCAGCAGGTAGTTACCGATTTTGATGTCCGAGCTATCGTTCGACATTGTGAGGCGTTGTCGAGGGGTGTGCCGGGGGAAGAGAGTTCTGAGGGAGGGGATGATGATAGTTGAGAAGAAGGATGACTTTGTTATCGGGTCGCTGGAGGCGTACGGTTGTGGTGCTTCGGAAACACTCAGTCGAACCGCTTCGGGCCTCAGGCTCGGTCAGAAGAAGGCAGCAAGTTGCACAGCAGACCCTGTCCAGTCAGCCAAAGAGCACGGTTCAACTTCTCGAAAAGTCACGAACGATTTGGTCACCGTGTTCCTGCTCGTCAATCGTTCGCCCATGGGTCTGTAAGCCGGCTCTAATATGGTGATTGCCATCCTTCCACACTTGACCTTCTCAGCAGCTCCCTTGTCAACCTACAACATCCGGCGGTCGGGCGGTCGAGTGAATAGCACCTGTCACGCTGACTCTGTGTACGACGTTGCCTTGCGTCACAAAGCATTTACGAAATTTAAAGATGACAGCCTGCAGCTCTCGGCAGAATTCCGGCGGATGTGGAGGCATTGCTCAGAAATCTTACAATGAAAGGGTTTATTTCCAGATGCTCTTCTCTCTCAGCACTGAGGCTCTCAACGCGATCATTCAGATCGACAGACTGCACACAAGGCGATACTTTGATGCGGCTTGAATGATTCGTTGATGATGAAGAAGGTACAACAAAGATGCTAAATGCGAAAAGAAGAGCAAACGACGGAATGCATAGGTGCGTGGAGAGGGGTATAGGGCTAGCAGCAAGGTCGCAGCTGCTGTCGAGCCTATAGCTTAGTCCTTGTAACCAGCCTGGCGTCTCTGGCCCTTCTGCACGCTCCTGTCCACCTTGAATCCTCTCGCCTTGTAGTACTCCTCCTCCCTGCTGGTGCCGTCCTCGCTGTCCCGGGGGATCTCGCCTCGGACAGCCACACGGATGGCGTGTCGTCGACTAACGCCGACATCCTCGTAAATGGCCGAGTGGATGTTGGTCCTGTTGTCCCAGATGGCAACATCGCCTGCGTTCCACTTGAACCTGACGCTGAAGTCGCTAGCGGATGAGACGTGCTGGGTCAAGAATTGAACCAGGTAGTCCGACTCTGCTTTGGGTACACCTGGGATGTATCGGACGAAACCGGGGTTGAAGAAGAGCGCCTTGTGCTTGGTGACGGGGTGGACGCGGACGAGAGGGTGTTCGGTCTCGACGGGGTCACGACGGACGGTGTTGCCGTGACGTCGTGCTCCGTCTGCCTGGTCGACGGCAGAGTGGATGGCGGTGAGCTGCTCGAGGTACTGACGCAGAGGGTACGAGAGGCGGTCGTAAGCAGCGTAGCCGGAAGCCCAGAGCGTGTCGCCGCCAGCTTCGGGGGAGACGAGAAGCTTGAAAGAAGTGTACGATGGCGGGTTGACCTCGTAAGTCACGTCCGAGTGCCAGAGATCCGAACGCGAGTGTTGAACCGGTCCGCGGTAGATCTTCTCATCCGGAGAGCTCGTTGGATGTGCATAAACAACGTGGACTTCGTCGAGATCACCACGAGCAGGCACACCGGTGGTAGCGTGCTTGTGAAGTGGACCCCAGTATCTACCGAGCGCAAGCTGCTCATCGATGGTCCACTCATCCTGACCGCGAAGGAAGACGACACCTCGCTCTGCTACGAGCAACGCCAGTTCATCCTTCTGCTGATCGGTGAGCTGGCCAAGCTTGATACCTTCGAGCTCGGTACCGATGGTGGCTGTGAGAGGCTTGACAGCCGAAGCAGCGCCGAAGAGCGCCTTCTTTTCGGGATCGGCAAAGAGTGCGCGGTCCGCGGGGGGTTCGATGGGAGTGTACGGTTCCCAGTGGACGTCGGGGAAGGATGGCTTGAACTCGTTGTAAGGGTAGTCGTCCTCCGAAGCGAGAGCGCCTAAATCAAAGTGTTCCGAATTGTAGTTGGCGGTTCGGTTGGTGAGCGATTTGACAGCGTTCTGGGACTTGATCGGCTTGGAGCTCGATGGCGCCGCAGGCGACGAAGCGCGTGGTGAGACTGCGACGGGTGCCATTGTGAAGTTTTTGATGAGGGGGCGAAAGTGTCTGGTTGTAGAGACTATGCGGAACAGGAGAGATTTGCGGAGAAGGGGGTGACGAACGAACAAGAAGGTCAGGTTGGCCTTATATGGGACAGCAACACAAGGCAGATGATTCATGCGCACAGCAGATTGGCAGGCTGCGAACCTAAGCTACGGAGAAAGGACGATAGCGAGCATCGGTCAACGATGTCATGGCTATGCGACTCTTGCGTGACCAGGACACGCCATCGAGTCGCCGACGGTGGGTCCAGCAGAATGAGTACACGCCATGTGAGCTTGCAGAGGACGCGGAGCAAGTAACTCCGAAGCTGCGCTTTTCGACGGCGCAGCAAGAAGATCAATCAAACCCAACTGCTCCTCGTGATCGTATTACGAGTTCGTTGACGCGCATTCGGCTGACGTCGGGCTTCAGACTTGCAAGCGCGAAGCTGACGAGCACGCCTACGAAGTTCAGCAATGGGTCTACAGTCAGCACCAGCACACGACAAGGCTGCCATGAAGGGTTACACTTGCTTCGCTGCAGGTCAAGTGGCAGCGCAGCGACGTGCTTGGTGGATGGCGCAACATGGAAGCCACCCTGCAGGGCTTCGCAGCAGACTGCGGGGGAGGGCCGCTTGCGACATGCAATCACAGAAGCCTCGCTATGAACTATAGAGCCCGACACAGCAGAACGAGATGGTAGACGTGGATGGCGCAACTCGACGTGCAACGGCTATTGCCGAGCGGACAGGGCCTTGCTCAGCGCCATTCGCAAAGGGAGGTCGTGGGATGCCGAGGCTCGACTGCCAGTATGGGGGCATGAAGCGCTGCAAAGACGTGATTGTTGTCCGATTGCGCAACTGCAACCAAGTCTGACGTGCGACAATTCTCCTTTTGGCGGTCCGAATGTAAGATCCTCCGACTCAGCATCGAAAAGAAGGACTACGTTTGTCTGAACACGTGGGCTAACATTTGAAGTTTTATCATCTGTCGGAGCTGAGCTCGAATCGCTTATCTTTCAGCCGTCAATCTAGCGGCCTGTCCACCAGCGCAAATGGAAACAAGGGTCCTCCCAAACGCCGACACTCAACGGCGAGATAAGCTGCAGCACAGCTGCCACGCCTCATGCTCCTTCATTTGTTGTCTCCTGTCCTCGCCTCTCCACCCTTGGCATACAGTAAGAACGACGTCCATACGCAGATCTGCGCCACAAGCCATCACGCGGGCTCAGAAGTTCAATAGCCAGCCCAGTGAACAAGGTGGGCTCGATGTCTTGTGTATATACACGAGATAAGCTCGGGAACGCGATGGACGGGAATCGACACGGGGCGGGCTGGACCGACACAACTCGGCAAGCGTGGGAAGATCGGATTGGGCTGAAAGCACCCACCTTTCCCTTGGCTCGGAAGCTGCGGGTTTGACATCCTTCCACATGTCTCACTCAGTGCTTCCGCTCTCCCTCCCTCCCTCTCTCTCTCTCTCTCTCTCTCTCTCTCTCTCTCTCTCCCGCGCGCTTCAAGACCGGACTGTTTGGAAGTTCAGATCCGCAGGAACCGTGGCAGACGCTCGCTTCGCGCTGCCGGCTTCCTTCCATCAGATGCTGTAGAGCCGACAGGCCAGATGGCGATGTTTGAATCGGCTGTGTCGTTCATGTGAGTGTGAGCGCGACCCTGCATGCTCGGAGGAAGCAACCGCAGGTTGTGTAGAGAGGCAGGACAGAGGCATCTGTCGGTCAGAACGGTCGCGATCGAGGCGACTCTTTGCCGTCTTTCAGCGTCGGTTGTGTCTCGGCATCGTCCGCCCACCTCATATAGCCTGGACGATTCCTGTCGGTCTCGGTCCGTCTCCCCCCTCTCCTCTCCCCTAGGAGACCTCTGCAAGTCGCCGTTCGTCAACGAAGCTCAAGCTTCATATCCTTTCATTTGTCGACGCTCGTCGCCATCGCAGATCACGGATCATGCTCGCCTCTCCATCCGCACACAGTCGCTCCAGTCGTTCCGACGACGAGAGCATCAGGACTTCCGACTCGTCCATCAAGACTCCCGACTCGTCCGTCATCGCCATCTCTCCCCGCGCGGAGCGGCACGTAAAAATGTCGAACGAATACCTGTACATGTTTCCCCCCGTACCCGCTCCGCGCGCTACCGGTGCGGCTTTGCGCGATTTCAACCTACCCAAACCCGTCCCGATGGATCTGGGTGTGATCGACGATGACGCCATGGAGGCTGCCTGGGAGGACGGAAGCTGTGTCGATGGATCCTCTCCTCGATTGAAGCAGGGAGGAAGTTTCAGCGAATCAGTATCCGAAGATCGATTCGAGGTGGACGCCTTGAAAAGGCAGGTGCAGCAGTTGCAGATGGCGTTGCAGTTGCAAGGTCAGCAGCTGGCGTATGTCGAATCGCAACACGGTCATCAGCGTTTTGCCCCACAGCGACCTCCCAAAGCGACATCTCGTCCCAGAGCGTTTCCGGCACAACCGCCTCCGCCCGCTGCAGCTCTGCCACGTCCCACCCATGCCCAACAATCGCACACGGCTGATTCACTGCTGCATCATTACACACAACAAGGTCCAGCGGTAGCGCATCCCTACGCCGACGTAAATCGTCAACGCCCCTTCTCCTCCCCGCAACCCAGTGTCGATTCCGACAAGCTCGAACACATCGACCGCAAGCTCGCAGTGCTCGAACAGCTTATCGAAGCGATGAATGTCCAAGCCCACTCCAATCCTTCTCTCCCGCCTTCTCGTCCAACGACCGCAACAGCAGCACCGCAACAACGCGCTCCGCAACCCACACCCTCACCGGTCCCCGCAACCCCATCTCTCAGACCTAAACTCTCCTCCATCCTCGGGCTCAAGAAACCCGCTTCCACCAACACCCTCACCTACACCCACCGCAACAGCATCAGCGCCATCAGTCTCGGCGGCCAATCCTGCGAGTCCCAAACAACCAGCACGGCTAGAGTCAGTTGGAGTCGTAAGAGGACCGAGAGGGTAGAGCAGCCCAAGGTCAAGGTCAGGCAAGGCCCGGGTCGTGGGCGGATTACGATTCGTGAACCAGTGGTTTAGATGTACACAAGCTTTGAAGGTTCTCACTAGGGTCTATTGAAAGTAATGGGATTTGACGTTTAGATTCAGTAGGAAGACCGTGTGGCGTGGTGCTGGAGACTCATTGTCGAAGTCTCGCCTGGATCTCGGCATACGTCTTATCCTGTTCGTACGCTAGCAGATCCGTCGCTGGGCGGTTGGGTGCTTCACCCGGTACCCAGCCGCCTTCCGGGACGCCGGTTGGGTAGCGTGCTGGTGCCCAACCGCTTTCGTCTCGTGAGCTGAACCTCTCCGCTTCCGTCTTCCCTTCTGCTTTATTGCCACCTCCCTTTCCCTTCTCCTCCAAATCATGCAGCAGCGGCAACCCAGCATCCGGGAACTGCAACGGCGTCGAATGGAACGCGCTCAGCGCCGCCCTGTACTTCTCATCCAGCCCTTCCCGCACAATCCATCTCCTTCCCTTCAACCACTCCTCCACCCTCCTCTTATCCTTCCGCTCCAGTTCCTCCTGGCTCTCTGCTTGGATTGCATCATCCTGAATCGAAACATCACCTTTGCCTTCCAGACTCAAGACCGACCATCCGATCACCATCATCCCCGGTGGTCTCTGTTCACCGCTATTCTCCAACGCTTCCACGATCCCATCCAGCGTGCTAGCTACCATTCTCTGGTCGGAGGAACTGGCACGTTCGATGATGGCGATGGGTGTGTTCGGCGGGAAAACTGCACCTTCACGATCACCGATGCTCTCTTCATCCGTGATGACTCCCGAGGATGTTGATTGGGGTGCACCACCGGTGAGTGTTGCTACAACGGCACGGAGTCGTGCTACACCCATGAGGACGATCAACGTTCGACCCCTGTCGTATCCGGGTAGCTTGACCTTCTTGCCTCCCTTTCCAACACCCGTGCAGAGCACCAGTGAATCGGCTGCACCTCTCTGCGTGACCGGTATGCCCAACATGGCGGGCGCAGCGATGCTGCTGCTGATGCCAGGTACGACCGTACACTCAATCCCCGCGTTCCGAAACGCCAGAACCTCTTCACCCCCTCGACCGTACACAAACGGATCGCCTTGCTTGAGCCTCACCACCGTCTTGCCTTCCTCCAAGGCCGCACGAAGCGCTTTGGCGATCAGCTCCGACTGCGCACCCTCAGCGTTACCAGGGAACTTCTTGGCAATCTCCAGTGGTGTGCTCGCAGGGATCAGCTTGAGAATGGATGCGGGCACGAGCTTGTCCGAGAGAATGAGGTCGGTGGAGGCTGAAGTGAGGAGCTTGTAGGCGAAAGTGGTCAGCAAGCCGGGATGACCGGGACCTGAACCGAGAAGATAGATGTGACCGCGTCCAGCCGAGGCGGGTTGTGGAGGTCGAATGTCGAGCGAGTGTTGAGAGCGAGCGCGATGGGCCACGGATGCGGTTGATGTCCCATTGGCCGATGCTGCGGGGGCATCGTCGTTGCTGCGAATGACTGTAGAGCGGCCTCTGGATGCATCTTGTCCTTGTTCCACTTTGGCAGCCGACGAAGCAGGCTCGGCTGATACCGCGCTTGAATGGGATTGCTCTTCACCATGCGCACGAAGCGCTTCATTCATCTGCTGCTCGCCCAGGTTTCCCAGATATTCGATAGGCCAGTATTCGCTGATCTGAGCGACCCAACGCATTCGACGCTTTGTGCGCTCTTCAGCTTCCAGCAGCTCCTGTTCATGCTTGGCTTGGCGCTGCACGAGTCGAGCGCTGGCGCCGATGCTCTCGATCGGATTCCTCGGTGTGAGCTGAGGCACTGGGCTGTTGAGCGGCGTCGCGTCGAAAGAAAGATCTTCCTCTTCAACCTCGGCTGTTCCGTTCTTGTTTCGGCGTTTGGCACGCTTGCCGGACGGCGCGGTGTCGTTGAGACTGGCTGAGGTACCAGGAGCTTCCGACTGTCTCTTGGCAAGGTCGCGCATCACTCCCACTTTTTCCACGGCATCTCCGACATTGTGCGGCAAGGCCGAGACGATTTCTCGACGGATGCGGCCGGCGAGACGGCAGCCACGGCCGTTGGTTGTGACAGCGACCTGCAGAGAGGACGATGACGGCAGAGCAGAGTTCGACGATGCTGTGTCGTTCTGTGCGACTGGACTTGTACACGGGAAGCGATAGTTGGCGGGAAAGGAAAAGTCACAGAGAAAAGGCTTGTCGGCGACGTTGATAGGAATCCGCCTCCTCCTACAAAGCCGGCTGATCACCTCTGCTCGAGCGTACGATGTGAGGGTAGTCTCAGCGATAGCCTGGTCGTCTCCATCGTCGCCTTCAGTTGTCCTGACTTTCGGCTGGACAAGGGCTTCGTCACCCGAGTGTAGTGTGTCGGTGACGCAAACGGCAAAGATGGCGTTATCATCGCCGTCGAACGAATCGAGTATGCTGTTCCATATTGACTCGACCGATCGCTTCGTCGAAAAGGACCCAGGGTCGACAGTACGATGAATGACCTGATCGGAAGCAATGCGGTGACTGAGCTCTGCACAGGGCTGATTGGACTGGGAGGAGCCGGCTTGCGAGTCAGTGGATGCTGCGACGCTGATGACGACGGGCTTGATGCCAGCCTCGAGGCAGGCAAAGCATCGCGATGCTGCAAGCTTTCCGATTCCTAGCACCAAAGCCACCTTGCCTGCAGGTGGTCGATGCGAGAGCAGTAGGCTGGCGGTTGGATTTGGTTCCGGGAAGTGCATGTTTGTGGAGAAGATTGAAGAGGCTGCCGGAGAAGGCGACGTGAAATTGCCTAGGGTAGCTGCCTCACGTATGAGCGGAAGGAGAGGAGGACCCCCTTGTAAGTAATGACGATCTTCCTGTCGGAATTGGGGGTAAGGGATGTTGCAGTAAGGGGAGAAGGACGGCCCTTGAACCGAATGCTTCAAGTGTTACCTTTTTTGGGAAGGTGCACTTTTTTCTTGGCGGCGAAGCTCGCTGATAAGATTAGCCACGCCACAAACTCGCATCGGCTCAGGCGAATTCGCGGATTGATAATCAACTTGGCTTCCGCAGAAACCGCACCTGCGTCAAACGCAGACGACTCTAGTCGAATCTCATGTGACATGATACCTCTCTCAAACTCGAGGCACCCATACTGCCTACTGCGAGGGAAAAGAGGGCGAGCGATGCACCCAACCCGACCAGGATTCGGTCGATGATGGAGCAGGCGAAGTGTCGCGCTCGTTCGAACAACTTGAACTGGGAGAATCGAGTACACAGTGGGGGCTTTTGAATGTGTAGTTGGTACAGAGTGGTGTGATGGAGAGCTAGTGGTACAATGCAATGCAGAATCTATGTGTAAAAATGGTACAGGAAGACCTTCCCGGAGGCCTGGGGCGTGCTCGGAGCGGCGATATCGAAGTCGCGAAGGTATACTGGACAGAGGAAGGTGGTTGCCCTTGTCATCGTCGGGATGCCGATTGAGCCGGATTCAGATCTTGTATCCAAGCGAAGCCATGCACTCGCGGTGCTTCTTGACGAGCTCTTCGCACTTTCTCGCCGATTCGCCGTCCTCCTCTACGCTGTGACCAAACTTGAAGAAGCAGTCGTCTCGCGCTGATTTTGTCTCCGGGCAGGCACAACATCTGATTGATTGAGAGCGAAGGAGTGAAGTGGAAAACGAGACCGTCAGCATTCGCACCGACGAGGCGACGAGGAACTGCGTTGGAGACAACTTGATGCAGGGTCGGACTTACGGCTTGATGCCCTTTGGGTTGAGGTCGGTAACGAACTTGTTGGTCGTCTGCGGTGATGCGTCAGACATGTTGGAAGTAGCGATGACCAGTCGTGTGAGGCTTGATTGTGTGAGGCTTGGGTAGTGCTAAAGAGCAAGAGTGTTCACAGATGGTGGTGGCAATCAAACTTTCCTTGCAAGGCAAGACCAGGGTCCGGTTCCGGGCGTAGACAGTGGAGGCTGCGCCTGCGTATGTCGGAAGAGGCAGGAATCACGTCGTCGTGCGCTGCTGTGGCGGAATTTTTTGCCATCAAAATCGCTTAAGCTCGATTCTTCTAGACCCGTTTCATAGCCGTGATTTGGATCGGTCGATTCTAACATATGAATTGCCAGATCGGAACCCGATCACTTTCGCAGTGACTGCAAGGTGCGACGCAATTTTCGCGGAAGTTCCACTTTGATGTGCCGTGGTGAAACGCCGCAAGGGTCCTCATTGCACCCACGTCTTGTTCATCCTCGAGGCTCAGTTCTTCTTCCATATCCTTCCTCCTTCACATCAACCAGCCTTTGTTTGCTCGACGTCGAAGCCCTTCCAAGAGCATCTCTGCGCATCTGTCACGCTCTCTGTGACAATCACGTTGATGCCTCTGGCCAACCCATGCCTCTTCTCAGGCTTGTCAGTGCGATCACCTTCCAACAACGTGACCGCTGCTTTGCGACGACTCACCACTTCTAGACATCTGCAACACCCGCATCACGTCAGTACCGCCTCAAGCACATCCGCCATTCGTCTTTCAGGAAGATCCTTCATTTCGACTGTAGCTGTGGGCGCACTAGCCACCTACCTCTCTCGGACTCCCGTACTCCGTCGCCCGTTCACGTCTACCTCCCATCACTCCGCCGCCATTATGCCAGCAGACGGCTCAGCTGCTGCTCCGCTCGTCAATGGCGTCCCTTCTGTACACGACAATTTCGATCTGATCACTCGCTATGACCTCGACTATGCCCCAGGCATGTCGGTCGAAAAGTGGAGGTCCCGCAAGACCGGCCTCACCGTGCTCTGGGCCAACTTTGACTCGCCACTCCTCAACTGCTACATGACGCTTGCCTCGGAGATCTTTGAGGACTCCGGTGTTCCACATACCCTCGAGCATCTCATCTTTCTTGGCTCTGACCTCTACCCTTTCAAAGGTGTCTTGGACACCTTGGCCAACAGGGCCTTCGCCAGCGGCACAAACGCATGGACCGCCAACGACCACACCGCCTACACCCTCACCACCGCCGGCTCGGACGGCTTCCTTCGCATGCTTCCCGTCTATCTCGATCATGTCTTCTTCCCTACTTTGACCAACGAGGGCTTCGTAACCGAGGTCTACCACGTCAACGGCAAAGGTCAGGATGCGGGTGTCGTCTTCAGTGAGATGCAAGGCCGTGAAAACTCGCCCGCCGATCTCATGGAGCTCAAGTCGCAGCGCATGCTCTATCCGACTTCTTCGGCTTACCGTTCCGAGACTGGTGGTCTCATGTCGGCGCTTCGTGTGCTCAACATCGACAAGATTCGCGACTACCACCACCAGTACTACGCCCCTCACAATGCAGCTCTCGTCGTGTGCGGTCCCTTGGCACGAGCTGACCTCCTCAACTCGCTCGCACCCGTCGAGGACCGTCTCGTCACCAAGCGTGATGCCCAGCCTGAAGGACCCCGCGGATGGAAACGCCCTTTCGTCGAGACCGAGTCTGCCGTCCCGCCCACCATCGATGGCTCCAAGACAGAACAACCTGGTCTCGATCCAGCTGATCCGCCTGCTGAAGGTTCGCAACCTGACTCGAAGCGACGACGTGCTTTCATCGATTTTCCAGAGAAGGACGAGAGTGTTGGCGAGATTCAGATCTCGTGGGTCGGTCCCAAGTTCCAGGACTGGATGACTAACGAAGCCGTCAACATCCTCAGCACGTACCTTACCGATTCGCCCGTCTCTGCTATCCAAGAGGCCTTTGTCGAGCGAGACGATCCACTCTGCACTGACGCTTACATCGGGTCATCCGACAAAGCTGGCGCAAGCCTGCTCTCCGCCTACTTCTCCTCCGTCCCCTCTGACCAACTCGACCGTCTCGACCAGCAGGTCGTCGACCTCTTGGCCGGCATTGTTAGGGAAGGAATGGACATGGACAGGATGCACATGGTGATCAAGCGCGACAAGCTCAAGGTGCTTTCGCAGCTCGAGACCAAGCCCGCCGACTCGTTCGCCGATCTTCTCATCACCGATTTTCTCTACGGCGATCGCTCCGGCGATGACCTCCACAAGGCGCTACAGGACATGAAGCGCTACGATGAGCTGCTCTTGTGGAAGAATGAGCAGTGGACAGATTTGCTGCAAAAGTTCTTTGTTGACAACGCGAGACTCGTGGTCATTGGCCGTCCATCCTCGGCGCTCTCGGATAAGCTCAAAGCAGACACCAAGGCGCTCGAGGAGGAGAGGAAGCAGAAGCTAGGAGAGAGGGGGCTAAAGAAACTCGAACATCAGCTTGAAGAAGCCAAGAAGGAGAATGACCGACCGATTCCGGACGAGATGCTGAAACAGTTCAAGATCCCCAGCACCGAGAGTATCAAGTGGATTCCCGTGGGCACAGCCCAGGTGCTGCCGATCCCCAGCAAGCAACAGGCAAACGGCGAGACGACTGTCTACGGTATGCAAGTCTCGACCACCGCCGACGATCTCGACCGCAAGATCCAAGCGCACGTCGATGCGGATCCGGCCACGTTGCCTTACTTTGTGCAGTTCGACCATGTCAGCTCCGCCTTTGTCTCGATCTCGCTCGTCTTTGCCACCACAGACCTGCCCAAAGAGCTGCGTGCGCAGATGCAGCTCTATCTATCAGTTCTCTTCTCGCTCCCCGTCGTCAAACAGGACGGCTCGAACACCGCGTTGACTTACGAAGAGGTGGTCAAAGGCCTGGACGAAGACACGCTCGAGTACGATGTCTCCCTCGGCAGCGGTGGCTTCGGCGAACTCGTCTGTGCCGAGCTCAAGCTCGAACGTGCCAATTACGAAAAGGGAATTGCCTGGCTGCGGGATCTTTTCTTGGGCAGTCAGTTCGCCATCGACAGACTCAAAGTGTCCATCAGCAAGATCATCCAAAGTCTTCCCGAACAAAAGCGAAACGGGCGCGCAATCGCCTCCGCCCTCAGCCGTTCCCTCACCCACGACGGGGACAAGTCAACCAACTTGGCTAACAGCATTTTGAACCTGGTTAAGACGATGCCAGAGCTGCAGGATAAGCTGAACAGCGACCCGGAGAAGGTGGTTGCGGATTTCGAGCGGATTCGATCGACGCTTGTACGACCGGAGAACCTGCGCGTTTCGGTCTCGGGCGATATCTTGGCGTTGGAGCGGCCGAAGAGTGCGTGGTCGGAGCATTTCACTCGGGTCGAGTGGGTGCAAGGATCGCCGAAGGACACTTTGCCGGTTCCGTGGAGCAAGGATATGTTGACGAAGCTGGGGAAGAATCCTTCTCGCAAAGGGTTGATCACCGCTCTGCCGACAGTGGAGAGCTCGTATTCGTATTTCACATCCAAAGGAATTCCGTCGTACACTCATCCTGACGGACCGGCGCTGGTCACCACTATCACGATCCTGAACGCGATGGAGTCGTATCTATGGAGATACATCCGAGGTGCAGGTTTGGCGTACGGTGCCAGTATCGCCTCGAATCCGGAGAGCGAGCTGATCCACTTCAGTCTCTACCGATCGCCCGACTCTGCCAAGGCGTTCCTGGAAGCCAAGAAGGTCATCCAAGCACTGTGCGTCGACAAATCCTCATCTCGATCCGGTGACGATCTGGTGCTGGAGATCGACGAAACAACGCTGGAATCGGCGAAATCTTCGTTGCACTTCAACGTCGCCGAAGCCGAGGGCACGGTCTCGGGTGCTGCTCAGGAGAGCTTCTTCGACCAGGTGTTGAAGCAGGCACCGAAGAACCGCGGCAAGTTGCTGTTGGAGGCGGTGAGGGAGGTCAAGTTGGAGGACGTGCGGGAGTGTTTGAAGAAGTACATTTTGCCGCTGTTTGATGCGGAGACGAGTACGGCTGCGGTGGTGGCGCCGGTGGGGAAGGTGGAGGAGATGAAGAGGAAGTTGGAGGAGGCGGGGTATGCGATGGAGATGGTGGAGATTGATCTGGGCAAGGACGAGGAGGGAAGTGAGGATGGGAGTGAGAGCGGGAGCGGGAGCGGGAGTGACGAGGAGGGGGAGAGCGAGAGCGAGAGTGAGGAGGAGGGTGGACGATAGAGATGCCAACTAGAGATGCAATCGAACGAATGAGAGCGTGCTCTCAGCAGCTTTGATCTGCAATGCGTGTGACGAAAGCATGTGGTGCTTTCGATGTAAGAATCTGAGCAAGTGTGAACACACAGCATCCGATGCTAGGAGGTCTCTCCCCAAGACAGCTCGACCAGACGTTGCTCGACACACAAACACCGCTCCCCCAACAACGGCTTCACCCCCGCTCCGGCACACACACATGTCACACTGCATCGACTCTCACACACACCCATCCTGTCCCAACTTTACTTCAAAAAAACTTCAATTTCCCACAACCCAACCTTGCGATGTTTAAATCATCAACAGACCGACGGTGCCGAGGACGGTAGCGCCCATGACCACATACGCGGTGGAGTAGACGCCCTTGAGGGTGAGTGCATAGCCCCAGTCCCAAGCCAAGTGACGGAGACCGTTGAAGGAGTGGAAGGTGAACGCGAGAGCGAGGGGGACCTTGACGGCAGTCTTGAACCAAGCTGGCAGAGTCGCAACGAAGTCGGTGAGGGAGGCGGAGGAGAGGGCTTCTGCTGAGCCAAAGAGTGGGTACCCCGCATAAGCTGCGAAGTATGCGTACATCACTGTGATCAAACAACCGAATCGAATTCATCAGTACCCGGATCGATTTGTCAGAGGAGGAGTAAAGAGAGTTGGGGGAAACAACTTACAAACGCTCAGACCAGTACCAGTGATACGGTTGATGATCGACAGGTACCACGTGATCTGCGGTTGGTAGATGGTGAAATGCGGACTGGAAGGTCGTGCAGCACGCTGTTTGTTGAGCAGATCCAAGTTCTGCTGCTGAGTCAATTTGGTGGTCGGAGCAGCGGCAGCGACGGCCTTCTGAGTGGAAGTGGAAACCATTCGAGCAGAGGGCAATCGAAGTGCCACGGGTGCGAAGGATCGAAGTCCTACCCGACCCACAGAGCGGGTGCTCGTGCCGAGAGTGAGGTTCAGAAGAGGTCGGGTTGCCAACATGATGGATGAGGTGGGTGGAAGGTGATGGTGAGGAGGGTGGAGATGGTGTGTTTGCAAAAAGATACACCCAGAGAACAAGTTGCGGGGAGCAGCACCGAACAGCGGTCAGAGCGCGCGGAAAAGATCGGCTCTAATCTGGGCTGTAGCTCAAAGCGTGAATGTGAATTTCCAGCGACGCTGCCAAATCGGCGCGTGTGACGGAGCAGCTCACGTCCCTGCCTCCCGAAGCCTCCGATTTGTAATCCTACCCTTCCAGCGGTAATATTCTTCCACCCGCTCGGATTTTCCTCTCGCACGACAGTTATCGCCTTTCCCCACTCCCACAGATCCACACAAACAATGGCACTCGACAATAATGCTGTGCTGCTTCTTGTACATCACAGATATCAACACGAGTTGTTCGAATGAGGAAGAATAAATTGACATTTGACAAGCGGAAAAGTCAAAGACAGAAGCAGTTGATCCGGAATTCGAAGCAACATCACTGACAATGGCTAAAGAACACACACTTTGAGAGAAACAGCATAGTGGTGTATGACGACGACGCAACTGACATCCATGTCCTCGGGTATCTTGATTAAGGGAAGGAGGAAATGAACAAGTCTCGCGCCGTATTCTACCAATCTGCACTCGCCCTTTCAACGACCACCAACACCGTGAAGCTCAGCAGCCTGGCGCGATCGAGCCTGGTCGTTGACCGTCTTCTGGTTTCGCAGTTCATCGATGCGCCTCTTGGCCTCCTCGTAGCCGGTGCGCGTGCTCTCCGTGTGGCGCTTCTTGATGTCTAGGTCCTCGAAGGTCTTGGACAGATCGGCGGCGTACTTCTCGTGCTCGGCCTTGGCCTTGCTCAGCGCCTTGGACGCCTTGTGCTCGTTGGTCTGCGCCTTCTGGTGACGCTTGACCGTCTGGGCCTCGGCGTCGCGCGACTTGCGGAAGAGCTTCTCGGAAGACTTGGCGTCCTTGATGGCACGCTTCAGCGCCTTGTACTCGTCCTTGGCCTCCTTCTTCATGAGCTTGTCCATCTTCTTGATCTCCTTGGGGCTCAGGGCGGATTTGGGAGCCGTGGTGGCGGCGACCGTGGTGGGAGCAGGGTGACCCGAGGTGGCAGCGGGTGCGGCGGCAGCAGCAGCAGCGCCGGCACCACCGGCACCCGTGACGGAAGCAGGAACAATGGTGCCAGGAGGGAAGCTGGGAGCACCGGCTTGAGTGGGAGACGAAGCTACGGCGTTGAGCTGCTGGGGCGGCTGCTGCTGGTGAGGGGCGCTGATGGCACTTCCGGGAGCCGTGCTGGGCTGACCAGCGCTCACAGCCGACGTGGGCTCCTGAGCCGAGGAGTCCTGGTGGTGGTGAGCGGCAGCAGCGGCGGCACCAGCACCGACACCGGCAGCGGGAACGGCAGTGTTGATGTGCGAGACCTCACGAGCCTGCTCGCTGGGCTGGAGCGACTGGATCGTAGAAGTCTGCGGCTCGATCAGGCCAGGCGCGCCGGCCTCCTCGCCACCAGCAGGGGCAGCAGCGGGCTCGACGATGCCGCTAGCGACCGAGGGGTCAGCCTGGTGAGGCACAGCGATGGCACCAGCGCCGGCGCTCAAGCCCGAAGCCTCGGTAGCGTGTGCGCTTTGGAGGTGAGGGTGTGTGACCGGGTCGGTGACCGACGAGTCCAGAGGAGCAGCGGCAGCAGCGTCCTGAGGAAGAATTGCCGAGCCGTTGGCACCACCGTTGGCGAGGGGAGCCGCGCCGTTGGCGCCGTCGGCGACTGGAACAGTGCCGTTGCTCACCTCGGAACCGGCGGCAGGGTGGATGGCCTTGATTTCGGCGACGAGGATCGAGCCGTTACGAGCGAGATCGGTCATGATGATGCGAGAAGAGGTGATGCGGAGGATATGGGTATGTTGCTAGCGGCACGGGTATATAATCGTCAGGCCGGATGTGTGTCTGCAAAGGAAGGGTTCCGTGTTTGCAGAGAGGAGTTGTAGGTTTTCCACGCAGGATAGACGGGTGGATGGATGATATGGAGGGACACGGAAAAGGCGATAGCAGCGACGTACGTCTGCTTATGAGCGAAATCGCTTCGCCTGCAGTGACGTGAAACGCCTTGCTTGGCTCAGGCAGAGATAGTTCGGAATGGCGGAGTGCATGCTGCGCCTTGCCGACTGCGGATGGAAGCAGGCAGAAGCCGTCTTGATGCCACACTGAACACCGAGTGCACGGCAAACGGGAATTGGCTGGCTGCAGCAAAGGGAGCATTCATTCCCTTCGAGACTCGTCGTATGCGTTCATCCGGCATGAACGGCCGAACAAGGCGCTAGAGAGAGCGGCAGAAGCGAGCCAAGCCAAAAGGCGCTCTCATGATCGCAAGCTCAAGCTCTGTGTAGTCCTCTGGGCCAGACCTCAGGAGCGGAGTTCCATGCTTCTGAGCACAACAGCTGCAAAGGCGCTTCTGTCAAAAAAAAAAAATTCAACTCCAGACTCGCTTGGCTGAGCAACTCGGTCCAGCCAAGAACAAGAAAGAAACATGAGGCGGGGTGACGTAGAAAGATCTTCCAACTGCAGCTTTGTTCAATTCAACTTTTGAATCGTCGATTTCAACTTCAAGTGGAGTGACAGCAATACAAATTGGGTCTGTCGCGGTCTCCGCCTCGACCCTCACCACACAGTCGTTGATGTATGCTATGTCGAAGAAGCGATTCAATCGTATACTCACTGCGATTTCAAGAGACTGCTGTTCGTATGGTCATGCTACATGGAAGGCAGAATTAGACAAAGACAAGGGCGTTTGCGGAGCAGAGTCAGCCTTTCAGAGTGCTTGCAATAAATTGCGCGAGCTAAAAATAGCACGTCATGTAGTTAGTCGCTGCAAGCTGTTCTTCCGACAAGTTCTGTTGCAGCTACCCGGCGTGTCGACGAGCCTGGCTGTTGCCATCGTTGTGGTTCTTTCTTCTTGTCCGTCAACGTCGGCTATGCTACCTCCTGTCAGCTGTTGCTCGGCCCAAACTTGTTGGTCTCACCCAAAGCTTGCCCTAAACACGTTGACTCAAGTCTTGATCATGAACTTAGAGTCTTTTCAAGAACAATGCACTTGAGTGCCTCATGCGGTGCACAGGTATAGGCAAGCTGATCATCTTCTTGCATGCTACATGAGGACCAACACTACCAATACATGCTGTTCATATGAGAAAGGTGCCCTACGTTTCTTTGGAAACCATCTTCTCCTCAGTCTCAGCAGCTTGCCAAGCCTTCGTCGACGCAGCATGCTTTCTCGCCAAGTGAACCCTCTTCTTCGCCCGTCTCGCCCTCTGAGCCATCACTAGCGTCTTCCGATCAAAAGTCATCGTCAACCTCGCCTGGTCTCGATCGAATCCTTCCTGGATCCGTCTCTGTTCTTCGCGCAACACCTGCTCGAACTCCTTCTCCGCATTGCTCGCCTTGACAACCCCGCGCTGACCGTTCAACAGCTGAGCGACGAAATCGCTCTCCATCCGTTGCGCCGCCATCATCTCGTTGACCTCCATCCGTCGTTCCGACCTGCGCAGACGTGCTAGGCGTCGACGATAGATCATCATGCTGATCGACGTCGGCTGCACCGGCTTGTATCGCGGCAAGGGCCGGTTAAAGATCGTAGGTGGTAGCAGCGCTCCAGAGTGATGCGCGATTCGGACTGGATACTTCTGCTCATGCACTTTGCGTGCCCAAAACACGTTCCACGATCGTCGATGGTTTCGCTGAGCCAAGGCCTCCTCTTTGACGTAGAGCGCAGAGCAAGCTGCTTCATCTCCACTCTTGGCGAGCTTGAAGGTGCGGACGAGATCGTGCGCTTCTTGAACGAGTCCCGTCACCCTGGCCTGCGAGGTCAAGGGCTTCATCCTCCGCATTATCCGTTTGATCTCTCGCTTCAGCTCGGGACACGACGCCGGACAGTGTCGCAAGAGCGGTCGGTAGACCTGCCAGAGGATCAGCTGTCGATGTGAGGCTTGTCGGAAGAAAGGTCCTCGTTTCTTGCGTGGACGTCGAGGAATGTAAGCTGCGAAAGAGAGTGCATCAAAATTTGCATCGACTGCGATTGTCGCCGGCTCACGCTGCCGCGAGATAGCGGAAGCAGTACAGAAGCCTGCCTTCGATGGAACTGCGTGGGTCGAGCTGATCCGCTTGCCGTTAGCTGTGGACGGTCGGGCACCGCTTCCAGAGCTCATGCTCGTTGTTTGGCCAGTGGCAGCACGACGTCGACGTGCAGGTTTGCTTCCTTCGGCCTCTTCTGCGCAAGTCTGAATCCAAGCGTCCTCATCGAAAGGGCTCGATTGCTTGGGAGCTGCGCTCCGAGCCCTCGTAGAAGCAAAGGCGAGCCCTTGGCTAGGATCCCCTGCCGTCGCCATGCGCGGTCTCGGGCTCCGAACGGGCGGCACGGGAGCATCTGCTGGGCGCTCCGCCATCTTTGCGCGTGTCTCCAAAGCCCTGATCTCGGCCAGCTCCTTCGATGCTTGTGCTTGCAAGAAGTAGAGACCACGCTCGCCGAGTGAGCGATGCACTTGCGTGGAAGGAACGTACGGAGGGAAAGCGCTGTCGCCTGCGTCGCTCTGTGCTGAGTCCACCTGGTCATTCGAGGTGCCATCCTTGTACAGCGACCCTTTCGTCTGCTCCAGAACCTGTTCAATGTCAAGAGCCACACCGACAGGGATTGCCTCAGGATGTGAAGGAGTGACGCATGGGTCGTCGGCCTCTTTACGCAGCACCTTGTCGATGTCGACTTGAGCGAAAAAGGCACACCCAAGCGGCAGGTCGTCCATCTGAAGCTTGAACGCGAACATGGCTCGTGTCCAGATGTTTGCGACCTGCAAGGCCAGCGCCGCCCTGTATCGGTCTTCGTCTTTGACCAAGTAGCGCACTTCGTCGTGCACCGAGAGCATGAACCTGGCGTCGATGCTATACCGTTTCGACAGCCATTCCATCGCAGTGATGAGCAGATGCAAGTAGTCCACACCACTGCTCTGCACTACCCAATTGATTCGACTCGGCATGTACTCTTCGGATAGGCGACCATTGCCAAAGTCGACCTTGCCGAGGTACTTCTTCGTTAGGGCGTTGGTGACGCCGCAGTCAAGGGCAGGCGTCTTGGGGTCGTCAGAGAGCGCGATGCTTTCGAGCTTGTTGAAGACGTAGCTCTCGGTGCCGCCGAACCAGAACTTGGCGCCAAAAAGTTCGTCCGTGTGCGTGTTCTGCCCCTTGGTTGCCATGTAGAGCTCCTTCGCCTTCTGAGTCGCCTCCTCGCTGCTGACGCTGGGATTCGCCTTGAGCAGCAGATGCGTGGCGTGCTTGATTCCCGCGCCGTAGATGCGCGAGTAATTGAAGACTTTTGCTTGATTACGACTGGTTCCCAGGATCGACGCCGTCTTCGAGTGCAAGTCCGTTCCGAGCGCCTTAGTACCTTCGAGCGTCATCCAACCAACCGCTGTGGCACCGTGGATGCCAAACTGCGCATCGCCCATCACACTGCAAATCCAGAGCTCCTCCGAGTCGACGTCCGCTCCCACAAGGCTGTAGCCTGGAGGCGCCTTGACCATGGCTTTGAGTTCGGACCCGACCCGATTCTTCTTCGCGTTGCTGGCGGTGAGCCAGGTGTTCTCGATGGCGCGGCGGGTGACTGTACCCATGCTGACGACCTGTGGTAGGATCAGACCCTTCCTGCGATCTGACTCACCCTGCTTCTCCTGGCGTGCCCCCGAAGCGCCGTGTGGGTAGCGCATTGAGGTGCCGGCCTGGCCGTCCCAGATTACCATCTGCCTGTGAACACGGTCGCGAACGGCGATCCAGTAGCTACACTGCGCATTGAGATCCAAGGCTGTCTTTGCTGCCCTGCGACCGACTTCATCCGGATGCTGGCTCTCTAGCGTGCCATCTTCAAAGTAGGCGATGAACGATTTTGCAAATGGACTGCCCACGTTGGCGCCTTCTCCTTCGCTATGAGGCACCTTGTAGAAGGTGGACGTCCCAAAAGCCTTGACCACAAGAGCAGGAGAGTTCTTGTCGCCCTTGGGCGCACCCTTCCCTTTTGCTTTACCTTTCTTCGACTTGGACGCTTTGCCTTCGACAGGTGCTGCCAAGTGTTGAAGCAAGCCGTCTGCAGTCATTCCGAACGCAAGAGGTGTCTGACGAGTCACAAGCTCTGACTGTTCGGAAGGATCGTGGCGGAATATCCATCCATGTTCTCGACTGCGGTAGAGCGGGCATCCTCTCCAGGAGATCTTCAGCAAGATAGGAGCGATGGCCGACCGAATGGTGACCTGCAGCTCTCCTGTCGCACTCTTGTACAAGTCCCAATACCATTTTGGCCACCAAGCCGGCTCTGCCGATACGTCCGAAGTAGCATCTCCCAGGTTGTCCGCGTCAGCTGATTCCTCGTTTCGGCCGCGTAAGGCGTTGAGCTCTTCGAGGCGAATGTCCTTCAGCGACCAGTCTAGTTGTGCAAGCTGTGCATCTGCTTGGACCTCTTCGTCAGACATTTGCTTGACACTATCGGCGAGTTCCCGCAGTCTACCCTCTGGATCAATGGACGCAGAAGATCCGCCATCGATGATGGCGGACAGGATGGCGATTCCGATCGGCCCAGCGTCGCTTGACATCTTGCTCCCATACTTCTTGAGGGCTGTCGCTGACAAGAGATTGGTTCCGACCAGCAAGGTGCCGTCTTCGAGCTTCCAGCATCGGCCTTCGCTTCGTAGGACGGCCTTGCCGTCGACGCGCAGCCGCAAGAGCTGCTGGGCGATGACGCTCTTCGGCGAGAATCCATCTTTGGTCTTGTTGCGCAAAACTCCATCGCGATACCATGCAGGTAAGGCAAAGTCGGATCGAGGCGCCGTGCTGCCATCTGCGGGTGCGATTTTGGGCTTTTTGGGCTTCTTGGGTGTCCAATCTAGTTGCGAGAACCACGGGTCGTCTTCCCACCAGGCTCGTGCGCGAGCTGGATCTGGAAACACAGGCTCATTTTGCTCCGGATCCGCGATCAGCTGTCGCTCTTCGGAGATCTTGGCCGCCAGACTCCATGGTACATCCTTGGTGCCATCCTCTCGAAGCTTTTCGGCAAGATCCTCGAGACACTTCTGCACTTGGTCGTTGATGCGGTTAAATTGCTCGTCGCAGCGTTGCTGGTAGTCAATCCATTCGTCGTCAACGGGCAGGAAGGTGGAACCGAGGCCAAAGACACCAGCCATGGTCGCCGGATGTGGGCATCGCGCTGCGAAGTCGGGCCAAGTGCGGCGAAAGATCTCGTGCGTCACGACGACGTCCGAAGCACAATAGCTGAGCAGATGCTGTACATCTTGCAGGATTTCTTCGCGGGATGCACCATCGACAAAGACGTCACGCGCCGCTTTGGACACCTTCATTGGGATGCGATGCAGGCGGGCCACGTCGGCGAGCGAGTTCTTGGAGGTCTCCTCCAGCCATTGCGACTCAGACGAGACGGGTGATGAGACGCGAGATGCGAGACCACCACCCTCGTCATCGCTGAAGGGCATGTCGAGTGCCGAAGGGGATGTTGCAGTGTTGTTTCCGCCCGCCACGCCGTCGCCATCCGACGTTGAGCTGGATGTCAGCTGGGCTACATCTACCGCGAGCCCTTCGAGTTTGAGACCTTCGAGCTGGTCCGAGTCGTACTCGAGACCCGAAAGTGCGTTTTCAATGGCTCTGCGTGTCTCTTCCTTGAGCGCTGCCTGCTCGAGCAGCTTCTTGGCACGCTTCTCTGCCTTGGCCTTGTTGTGCTTCATCCATGCTGGACGCTGGGGCGACGAGATGCCTCTGGTTGCGACGTGCAGTGACATGGTGTCAAGCCACCTCGTAGAGCCTAAATCCAGAGAGTACTCCTCCAGAGTTCGAGCACGGTCGTAGGAGACGTTGTGACCTACGACGAGGCGGGCTCGATCTTGATGGCCACTCGGTCCGAGCGGAATGAGATGGTCTTTTCGATCGTGATCAGGGCCACGCTGAAGGAGCCAGGGAGAGAGCCAGCTGTACCAGGCTGTGGGACCAGCAGCAGTCGCCATAACAGCGAAGGGACCTTCTTGCACCATAGTTTCCACGTCAAAGACAAGCATGTCGTCGTCCTCATCTGGATACGAGACGCTGATCCCGGGACCGAGTGCCTGCGCCGAGCCATCATCCGATCGAAGGATCGGATACTTCGTCCATCCCGGCTCTATTGACCACGATGCTGGTTTGAGATGACCAGGCGTACGCAGTGGCGGATCGAGCTTGAGCCATTCGCTGGCTTCGAAGCGAAAGTCGTCGGACGCAGCCTTGTCAAAGCTTACATTCTCGAGCCCCTCTGGTGGCTCTGTCGGATCGATCTCTGCAAGGCGAAAGGCCATACCTAGCCAGGGTTGAGCCACCTCTCGGCCTATGCTCCAGAAATGCTCCGCGAGGTCCTTGCCTTGCAGAGGTGGTAGATCGAACGTGGTCTGTGGAAGCGTGGAGGCGTCTGATGCCTTGAGTCCGTGCTGACTGAGATGATCGCGACATATGTTGAGCGCTTTGGATGCTATTGGCGGCATTGGCGTCATGCTGGGGGGAAACAGCTGCTCGCGCAGCCTATGTGGTAGCAGCTGGACTCCCACCTCATTGCGGGGAATCTCTAGAGTCTTGGAGGAGGATGTACTTGTCTCGATCTTGCCAGACTTTTTGGATGCGTCGTCCCGTATTGGCGGCGCATGATGCGATGGATGTGAGTCGGAGGACGGAAGATCGACGGGTGTTGCAGCATGCCATCGCTTTTGGTGCTGTTGCAGCCGCTGCGGTGTGAGGGAGAGAGGAGATGGCCCTCTCAGGACCGGACTTACCGACGGCAGTCCGGTCCTTTGTAGCGCCCGGATACGGCCAGCTGTCGGCAGCATCGTCGCCATGGTGTCCTGCTAGGATTCTGACCTGAGTTACTGCATCTGCGGTGTGGACGTGGTTGTTGAATTTGTTCGATGTGAAGCAAGTCGTGAGCGCGACATGGCCAGATCACTCCCCCTGAGACGATTCAAGTTGAGTCTCCGTATGCCTGTTGACCGATCCGTGAGTCGATGCTATGAAAGGATGGTGTCTTGAGGCGTCGATGGTCTCCGATACCTTACGGATGAAGACCGACGATGAACAAGTCGGCTTGCAGCTGCAGCGTCGGATTTTCCGAAAGCGGACTGAGCGCAAAGGCAACTCGCCCTTCTCCACTGCAGCACAAGAATTGGCCGATCAGCATTTCAGGGTCCAAGCAAGCAGGAGATCTTCTTAGCCTTGCATGGGAGATTTCACATTGACCAGACGACTCGATACCATCGAAACTCCACCATCACGATGACACACTGCAGCAACTGGGAGCAAGCTCGTACAGGTGGCGTCCTCTTGTCATGACACTAGCTCGAAAAGATGCAGTCCACCGCCGCGGATGTTCTTCGAGCTTCGGACGCTTCCGAGTTCGCCTATCCTACACCCCCTGAGCTCCATGTGACTGCGTGGAACACTCTTCTCCAGACGGCGACAGCCACGAGCCCTCAAATGCCCTTCACAGTCGATGGACCTTCCCAGCCGGAGAGCTTGCGAGATGTTGGGTCTCAGTACCACTCGTCTTCGAATCGCATCGTCTTACCACGTGACGACTTTTACCGCAGAGCCTGCTGGTCGCCCGACGGATCTTTGCTGCTGGCCGTAACAGAGTCGCAGCAGACACACACCTTTGCCTATAGGCATCATCTAGACAGTTTCAAGGGCGACGAGGGGCGCATACTCGAGTTTCGCACGAGGCGCAAGAGCCCTTCGCCTCTTCTCGATGCAATCTGGTACCCTCTTCCTGCCATGGAGGAGCCGACAGACGATCTCACCCAGCCAGCGACTCCCCCTATGCCGTCATGGTGCTACGCCGAATCCCACCGGGATCTCCCGATCCGCCTAACAGGAAGCCAAGACGGTCGCTCGCGTGCCAGCTACTCGATCATGAACCACGTCGAGAAGTTTGTCGGACCTCACTCGCTCGCTTTCAGTCCCGACCTCTCACGGATCTACTGTGGTCTTCATTCCGCTCTTGCTGTGTTTCCCCTGTCTAAGCCGGGGCTCAATACGCATGCATCTATTCCACTCGTCGAAGGCAAGCGCTCTACCGGAGGTCAAAGAGGAATCATCTCAGCTCTGGCAGCTACTGCACATCCCAGCGATCCAACACAAGAGCTCATTGCAGTAGGCACATTCAATGCCACCGTTGCGGTCTACAGCTTCGATCCAACAGAATTTCCAGAGCCAGCAGAACACACAGCGGTGCCGACGGCAGGCAGCGATGGTCATGGGTCTCTCGCTCGCAAATCGTGCCTTGCAGGTTGGAGAGAGGTTGAAGGCGACGGTATCACACAGCTCAAGTTTCACCCGCTCTCGCCATACGTGCTGTTCGTCGCATCAAGGCGTTCGTATCACATCTATGTGTATGACATTCGGTATCTGATGGGCGATACATCCAAGTGGAGTTTCCGGCCGCTAGCTCAACCAGCTGCTGGTGTGCGGACGGCCCACTTGCTTGCCAAGTTGCGCCGACCAGGTGGAGCGAGTCATCAACGGCTCTACTTTGACGTGGATTGGGCGGGTCGCTGGCTCGCATCGGGTGACGAGCAAGGAATGATCAGCCTGTGGCGTATTGACGTCGACCGGTTTACGAATCAGACTAATGGTGATCACGATCAGATCGACGGACCACATGAGGCGGAGTTGCGGCCAGACATGACCTGGAAGGCGCATCAGGACGCCATCGGTTCTGTGACTTTTCACCCGCACGAGCCTTGGCTTGTGTCGGTGTCCGGATCACGGCGCTGGCCCGATACGCAGAGGGAGGGTTGCAGCGACTCGAAGCCAACAGACAGTGGCTCGGACGTGGAAGATGCTTCAAGCCCACGGCGAGCTTGGACGACCAGCGATAGCTCGCTCAAGTTATGGGACCTTTCGCAGCCACCTACGCTTCCCGCCTTGTGACAGGATCTGCCTCGGAGACATCTTCGCAGGCACCGTTCCGCACTGTTTGTAACGGAAGGACTTTACTGGCAACCATCATCCCTTGAACTTTCGACCGCTCTTGACGTCAGCCCGCTTGATCTTGTTCTGCTTCTTTCTGCGTGCGTCTGCGTCCTGCAGACGTCGGACGCGACCTCGCTGCTGCTGACTCGTTTCGCCCACCAGACCGTCTTGTGCGAGCTCCAAGAGGTGCGCCTGCATCTTTTCCAGTGCGTCCTGAACGTTTGCCTCTTGGGTTCGATGTCGCATGCTGGTGATCAGAAGCGAGTGGTCGGAGGCGACGTAGTAAGGCGACTGTTTGGCGATTCGACCGACGAGATCTTTAGTGAGCCATTTGAGCGGATGGGATGCGTCGAGCGATTCGGGCGCGTGGGCTCCAGCTTGAGAGAGGTCGAGTCGAACGTTGGCCTTGGTATTGAGCTTGTTGACGTTCTGTCCGCCGGGACCGGATGAGCGGGAGAAGGTTACGTGGAAGTTGTTTCGTCGAAGGGCGAGGTCGCGGAAGCGTGCCACCCAGCGTCGACGCTCTTCCATTTGCCGCTCGGCTGCTTCGTCATCGCCGTTCTGTTCGCTGCGTAGAGGCCGTGTGGTCGTCAGATTCCTCAGACCGGATGAGAACGTCGGTGTCGATGCAATAGGGTATGGAAGTGTGAGGTTTGGCTTGCTGCACCCGATCGTCGTCCGACATGGCCCTTGCGCCCACAGCTGTAACAGCTGCGGTATGGACCTTGCAGAGCTGGCCCTGATCGACATGTCTTGCGAACTATATCTTTCGCTCCATGTCGATGGGTCGGATCGTGCGGGTCAAGAGGCCCTGATCATGCTAAGTTCGAAACAAGAAGCCGAGAACAACACATCCCCTCTGTCGGAAGAACCGAACAAATACAAAAAAATTGTGGAGTGAAAAAACTGGCCGCGAAATGCGCCGCAGAATTGATTCTACCGAGGTTTTAGACTGAATCAGCGCTCGAGGTCCTCAAGAATCATTGCTTGGATGTACCGTGATCTTCTCTTCGTTGCAACGGATGCCATTCTCAGAGGTGTCTGAACTAACGAATTGAGCCGTGAACGCAGATGGTTCAGGTTCTTGGCCGATCCGTTGTTGGCAGCGAATCACGCAAATAGAAAAGGGGATAGCCGATGCAGCAAACAGGAATCGACCGCCGATCGATCTCTCCGGCGATAAGGCAATGCATCTTCGTCAGGCTGCCGCAAATATCTTGCAACAAGGTTTGGGCTTTCGGCTTGTTCATTTCGGATGCTCCTATCGCGTGCTCGAGGAACCGTCGTCATACAACACTTATGGCAACGTCTTCTGCACTGGCCGAGCCGATCGAAAGATGCCGAGGAACAGGATGAGAAAGCATCGAAAGCACTTCGCCGGGAGATGACGGTCGTTCCTCGTTCCTCGTGCAAGTTGCAAACCAGACCCTTTCTTTCTATTTTATTTTACCGTCGGCTTTTAGCAACAGCATTTGATCATGTCAGTGCAGATCGTGACTTCACTCTGACAAAAAAATATAGAGACCGGAAAGGGCGGAATCCGGTTTGGAATTATTTCTCACTCTGCAGGTCCCGCTTGCAGACGGCGCCTCTTTTCTCCTCGTTCCGTTGCGACATTTCGAATTGGTAGCAAGAATCCGGCCGCTGTGTTCCCTCGTGCTCCATTGGACGAATCGCTGCCTTTCGCCTTCCCCACATCATACCACCAAACCGTCGGGAATCCCATCCTCGCCTCGGCGGACGACGTCGAGAGGAATCGCAGTCCCACATCTTCCCGGACGCGCCGTCTCTGTTGCTGTTACGCTCGTTCCGGCTGCAGCTGGATCGCACAAGCTGCATCCTTGCTCTCGTTGGATTGAATCACTTTTCAAGGACAGGAACAGAATCGTCATTCAGATAAGCGATCGCCCTTGAACCAGGTTGGGAACGTAGCAAGATGGGTCTCCTTTCGCTAGGAACGCCCATGGAGTGGAAGGATGCCCAACCCCTGGCATCCCACGTCCGCAAGCACGGCATCCAGCAGTTCCTTTCGCTGTGGAACAAGATCAAGGATCGACGCGGCGACATTTTGCTGTGGGGAGACGAGATCGAGTACATTGTCGTCTCGTTTGACGAAGAGACGCAGAATGCCAAGCTCTCGCTCAGGCAGGAAGAGATCCTCAAGGTGCTCTCTGCCAGCGACCAGGAAACGCGGGAGTCTGCACCTGGACTGGCCGGGCAGATCCCAACCTTCCACCCCGAGTTCGGCCGCTTCATGCTCGAGTCGACTCCGGGATCCCCATACGGTGCTAGTCCGAAGGAGTTGCGAGGTGTCGAGCGCAACATGCGTCTGCGAAGGCAAATCGCTCGTTCTCACCTCAAGCCCAACGAGCTGCCCATCACACTCACCTCGTACCCTCGACTAGGCGTCACCGATGCACCGTTCACGGAACCTCACTACGAAGCAAAAGGCAACGCCTCTCGGTCTATGTTCTTGCCGGACGAGCTCATCAACCCGCACGCTCGATTTCCCACGTTGGCAGCCAACATCCGCAAACGTAGGGGATCCAAGGTCGCCATCAACATGCCCATCTTCAAGGACGTCAATACACCGTCACCCTTCATCGACCCGAGCATCCCCTGGGATCGTGATCTGTTTCCAGAGGATGCCGAGGCGAAAGCAGGTGCGGCCAAGCCGGATCACATCTACATGGACGCTATGGGATTCGGCATGGGCTGCTGTTGTCTCCAGGTCACCTTCCAAGCATGCTCCGTGCAGGAAGCACGTACGGTCTACGACCAGCTCATTCCCGTCGGACCCCTTCTCCTCGCATTGACAGCTGCATCGCCAGCATACCGCGGCTATCTCGCCGACGTGGACTGCCGATGGAACGTCATCTCGGCCGCCGTCGACGACCGCACACCGCAGGAACGAGGCGAACCTGCACTGCCCCTTCCCGGTCACACACCACGCGGAGGATTGGATCGAGATGCGGAGAAGATCCCCAAATCCAGATACGACTCGGTGGACTCCTACATCTCGCAAGATCCTCTCAACCGTCGCAGTTACAACGACAACCCTCTACCCATCAACGCCGACGTCAAGCAGCAGCTCCGAGAAGCAGGGGTCGACGATCTGCTCTCGGACCACCTCGCACACCTATTCATCCGCGATCCGCTGGTCATCTTCAGCGAGATGGTAGACCAGGACGACGAGACGAGTACGGATCACTTTGAAAACCTGCAGTCGACGAATTGGCAGACGATGCGGTTCAAACCTCCGCCACCGGGCGGAAGGATCGGATGGAGGGTCGAGTTCCGAAGCATGGAGGTGCAGATCACGGACTTCGAGAATGCGGCGTTCTCCGTCTTCATCGTACTGCTGACCAGGGCGATCCTGAGTTTCGGGTTGAACTTCTACATGCCCTTGACGAAGGTCGACGAGAACATGGCTAGGGCGCATGTGAGGGATGCGGTGAATGGGGAGAAGTTTTGGTTTAGGAAGGAGGTGTACAGGACGAGGAATCGCCATGCTTCGCGACAGGCCTCGCGGCAGGTTTCGAGATGTAGCTCGGCGGAGAATCTGCAGGGTGGAACGAGACAAGCCAATGGGATCGTCAATGGAAATGGAAACGGTCGATCAAGTCCGCAGAGCATCGCCTCGTCTTCCGACGGTATCGAGGAAGAGGAGTATGCGGAATACACCATGGACGAGCTCATGAACGGCAAAGGCGACGAGTTCCCCGGCCTAGTCGGTCTCGTGCACAACTACCTCGACAGTCTCAACATCGACGTGGAGACGCGGTGCGAGATGGGATTGTATTTGGAGCTGGTATCGCAGCGTGCGAGCGGCAAGCTGATGACCACGGCGAGTTGGATCAGGCAGTACGTGAGGAACCACAAGGACTACAAGGGCGATTCGGTGGTGAGTCAAAAGATCAATTACGACATGATCAAGCAGCTGGATCTGATCGAAAGGGGAGAGGTTGAGGCGCCGGGCTTCTTGCCGAGAGGATACGCGCAGAGGAGAAAGAGCCAGGAGACCAAGCCCGATCTGAGGGCGTGATTGCGAACACGTACACAAACACATATCCACTATGGGCTCTTTGTTCAGCGTCAAGACGAGAGCAGAGGAGACAACACGATCCTGTATCATTATTCGCGCGGGATGAATGGATGGTCATGCATAGCATACATGGTTTGTGAGCCGGATGGTGACGGATCGCTGTACATTTTCACAGCTGTATGTGCGGTCACGTCAGCCGAATCCTGACTTTCAGCTGTCAAGTCACATAATTTGGGAGGGACGGAGGTGGAGGTTTTTTTTTTGACGTGTGCAGCTGCATGTGCCACGACCCGGCACTCTGAGCCGGTTGGCGAACATCAGAAGGATGACTGTACGCTTGTGCTCGACATCGCAGCTATCTCTACAAACTACCGTGAACGACTTGCGTACCAAGGCTCACCTTTCCACCACCATCCTTCCCTAAGCAAACACCATGGCGCCATCACTCAAGATCTCCGCCGGCCCCTCGGTCGACTCGCTCACCACCGTCGCCGTCAACCACGATGACCAACCCACTACCATCGACACCGACCTCTTCCAAGGACGCATCGCTGTCCGCATCAAAAACTTTACCGGCTCCGATCCTCCCTCGGTCTCCCATCAAAAGGACACTCCGTACTTCGGCTCGAACCACGGCAAGAACCAGAGCTGGAGTATGCAGATCCAAGGACGATTCAAACAGTCCGTCTCTGCCGACGATCTGGTCTTCGGAAATGAATTCGACAAGCCTATCAAAGATCACCTTCCCTACGGAACCAGTGTCGCACTGCAATTCGTCAAGCTCATCGATCCAAATCTGGAGCACGATCTTTACGCGCAGAAACCACATGCTTGGTCTCCCTACCTAGCTACTATGCCTCGAATCAACTCGGTCAAGCTCGACAATTCGGAAGCAGGGTTCGATTCGTGGCCTGCATTCCCCGTTCATCCGACCTACGTCGAGGACGATCTCACCAGTCTCATCCCCACCGACCTCGCAGAGAAGGAAAAGGACACAGTCGCCAACTTCAAAGGCATCGACAAAGCCCACGAATACCGTCAGAGGTTCCTCGGAAACAAATCCCACAGACAACACATTAAGGTCGAGGCAGATCAGCTCATCACAGCCGACTTCTTCAACGGCTTCATCGATTTCAACGATCTCACCCTTCACATTCCTTTCTCGGGAGGATTGAAGTTCGATCTGAAAAAGTACTGGGACGGTCAACCCGTCAGGTACATCTGCAAGGACAAGTCGAGTGGAAATGTTTTCTTTGTTATTCAGTTCGATATCGTCGATCTCAACCAGTGAAGCGTGTAGGATGCAGTGCACAATCGTAGAGAACACTATGTCAGGAATCAGATGACGCGCGAGTGTGAAGGGATCAAGGTGATTGTGTGTGACGCTTGTGGTACAAATACACGTGTGAAGAACAAGCACAGTGAAACAGGGGAGAAAGAGAGTGCGGGTGTTGCAGAGGGGCATGACGCTTACTTGCGATACTGCGGCGGCACGTCTTGACCACCCTCGTCCTTAGTAGGTGCACGACTGTGATAGGCGCGGAAACTGTCTTCCCACTGCACGTATTCGCGCCAGTACTTGTCAAGTGCTTCCTCCTCTGGCGATTTCGCCGGTGTTGCTGCAGCAGGTGCACGACTCTGTGAAGCGATGGGAGAGGCGGCAGCGTGCTGCGAGGTTCCGTTCCGTTGCTGCTGCTGATAGTGGGAGGCGGATGCGGATCGATAGGATGCAGAGTCTGTGGGAGGAGGAGGAGGAGCATCGTCTTCTGGTGGTGGAGGTGGTGGAGCGCCGTCGTCTGTGGGTGGAGCAGGATCGCCGTTGTGCCTAGAGTTGTAGGAGTATGGTTGCTGCTGCTGCTGGTTCCATCCTCCACGCTGTTGATCGTAGCCTGCGTGTTGGTGCTGCTGATGACCACCATATCCGCCTGCTCCGGCGGGACTGCCACCTCGACCGTATCCCTGCGATCGACCGTATCCCCCACCCCTGGGAGCACCGCCATCGTAGCCACCACCATACCCACCCCTTCCACCTCCACCACCGTATCCTTGCCCCATGGCATCGTACGCTTTCTGCCACTCGGCGCGCACCACCTCCATCAAGTCGTCCGCCAACACCTTGGCAGCTTGAATCTGCTCGTCTTCAGGACCAGCGATGGCGATATGCATGGGCTCGTTCAACTCCATCCCCGTATCAGACTCGATGAACCCACTTCCCAGACCCTTGATCTGAACTCTCGTCCCCGTTTCGTTCTGGATGTACTTGACAAACATTCCTCCCGGACCGACGATCTTTGACCTCACGTTGAAGTTGCGTATACTCTCCAGATTGACGGGCACTTTTTCCTCGGGCCATCTACGTCGCTCTCGAGGCGGTGGTCTCTGACTCTCATAATCGAGTCTGCGTTGATGACGATCTTCGACGAGTTGGGGCACTTCCTGTGCCATGAATTCGTTGATCTTTGCGATTCCCGCATCGAGGATCTGTTGGGAGATGGCTTCGACATGGAGGTAGAGTGGCGGGTCTTCCTTTGTAGCGAGGGCCTTGTCGGGGTACCACGTGCCTTTTGTGGTGACGCTCGCACCTGTCTCACGGTGGATCTGTTGTTGGGTTTGACCTTTGGTGAGCATGTAGCGGTTTCGCTGGTCGTTGATCTCTATGTCATGAGTGAACTCTGCATCGTGCGTTTCTCGCTCTTTGCGTTGTGGGTCGGAGGAGGAGGAGGATGCCTCGGCGGGGTTGGAGTTGGGGGCTTTGGTTGCGAATTGAGCGGCAATCTTGGCAGCTGCGGCAGCGGCAGCAGCGGCAGCAGATGTGGATGCGGACGAGGAGGACGAAGCGGAGGCCTGCGGCTCGGCGTTGGGGGAATCCCACCGACTGGACATTGCGCGAAGCTGTTGTTGCAATCGATGAGTGCGGATAGCGCAGGTGGGTAGGTGGTGGATGGCAAGAAGCTGGACCCTGATGTAGCAAATCTTCTTCGATCACGTGTTTTGCAGGAGATCTGGTCTGCTAATTACGGCGTAACAGTTGAACTACGATTTATCACGCAAGATCTCCGATCTGCAAGTTCAAAAGATGTCCGGACCGCGACCGGGATGCTGCAGTTTGGATCTTATCGACCAAAAGCGGGCGGAGATCTCTTGCGGAGATGATCACGCATCAACACAACTCATCAGCGCAAGGAAAGGAGGAATGCGCAATGGATCTGCATTGAGGTTTCAGCCCGGCGACCTTGTTTTGCGAGGTTGTCGATGGAGATGTTTCCTTCTAGATGTGGCAACGTGCCGTCAACATGATTCGGAACTAGCCGTTAGGACAGGCGGACAAGAGATGTGTCAGAGACTCTCACCGGTCCTTTCGCGAACGACGGAGCAACACCTTGTCGTCGGATAAAGGCCGATGACTGATTTGATCTACGATGAGGTAGATGTGCTGACTCGCAGTAAGCGGGAACGGTGTAGAAGCGTTGCGGGAAAAGGCTACGAAATCTTCGGAAACTCTTAACCGCGCTTACACTGGGTGAGTGCGACTAGCCAAGGCGGTCCGAGCGTGCCGTCAGTCAGTCACTTAATCAGTCAGTCAGTCGGTCACTCCACGCTGGAAAGTGGCACGGTCATCTCGAAATTCCGCATCTTCTGCCCCAAATCAGATCCTGATCTGGCATAGCACTCTCTTGGCTTACCCTCTTTCCCTCGCACCATCATCATCCTTCTTCTTGCAACTGCACCTCACCCTGCATAGCAACTCCGCAAATATGGCACACAAGCTCACCTCCTCGCTGCCAGCATGGCAAAAGCTTCAGCAGCTCTACGACACCAAGGGCAAGCAGATCAACCTTGGTCAGGCTTTCAAGGCGGACCCCAAGCGATTCGACAAGTACTCTCGCGAGTGGAACTCCAAGGCCACCGATGCTCGCATCCTCTTCGACTACTCCAAGAATTTGATCGACGATGAGGTGATCGAGCAGCTCCTTGCTCTCGCCGACCAGGCCCAGGTCAAGCAGCAGATCGACGCCATGTTTGCTGGCGAGCACATCAACGCCTCCGAGGACCGCGCCGTGCTTCACGTCGCTCTCCGTGACGTTCCCGGCGATTTCAAGATCAACGAGGCCGGCGTCGATGAGGTCAAGCCCGAGCTCGAGCACATGAAGGCTTTCTCCGAAGCCGTTCGCTCCGGTGCCCACAAAGGTTACACCGGCAAGACTATCAAGAGCATCGTCAACATCGGTATCGGTGGCTCCGATCTCGGTCCCGTCATGGTCACAGAAGCGCTTAAGCCTTACTCCAAGCGCGACCTCGATGCCCACTTTGTCTCCAACATCGACGGCACTCACATGGCCGAGACGCTCCGTGTCTGCGACCCCGAGACCACCCTCTTCATCGTCGCCTCCAAGACCTTCACCACCCAGGAGACCATCACCAACGCCACCACCGCTCGTGACTGGTTCCTCGAACACGCAAAGGACAAAGCTCACGTCGCAAAGCACTTTGTTGCGCTCAGCACCAACGTAAAGGCCGCCACCGAGTTCGGTATCGCAAAAGAGAACATGTTCAAGTTCTGGGACTGGGTCGGAGGCCGATACTCGCTGTGGTCCGCCATCGGTCTCTCTATCGCCATCGTCATCGGCTACGACAACTTCGAGCAGCTCCTCCTCGGTGCTCACGAGATGGATCTGCACTTCAAGAATACCCCTCTCAAGGACAACTTGCCCGCCCTTCTCGCCCTTGTCGGTATCTGGTACATCGACTTCTTCGGTGCCCAGACGCAGGCCATCCTGCCGTACGACCAGTACATGCACAAGTTTGCCGACTACTTCCAGCAGGGTGACATGGAGTCCAACGGCAAGTTCATCACCAAGAACTCGGAGCGCGTCGACTACCAGACCGGTCCCATCATCTGGGGTCAGGCTGGTACCAACGGACAGCATGCCTTTTACCAGCTCATCCACCAGGGAACCAAGCTTATTCCCTCCGACTTTATCGCTCCCGTTCAGACCCAGAACCCCTTGGGCAAGCACCATGAAATCCTCCTCTCCAACTTCTTCGCCCAGCCTGAGGCCCTCGCTTTCGGCAAATCCGAGGCCGAGGTCAAACAGGAGCTCGGCGCTGAGGCCAGCAACGAATTCCTCGTCAAGTCCAAGGTGTTCGAGGGCAACAAACCTACCAACTCGATTATGGTCGAAAAACTCACTCCCGCAACCCTCGGTTCCTTGATCGCCTTGTACGAACACAAGATCGCCGTTCAAGGTTTCGTTTGGAGCATCAACTCTTACGATCAGTACGGTGTAGAATTGGGTGCCGTATTAAGCCATGCAATCCTTCCATCAGAGACTCCGAAAGATGTACTGACTTCCATTGCGTTTTTGCCACTTTTGATCGAACAGGCAAAGGTTCGTGTCGACCCGTGCAATTCTTCCATCAAACTCCGGTTCTGACTGACGTGCTGACTTCCATTGCGCTTTTGCCCTTTTCATTGAACAGTGTTGGCCAAGAAGATTCTTCCCCTGCTCGAAGGTACCGACGCAAGCAAAGTCGACGGTGCAGGTCACGACAGCAGCACCAGCGGACTGATCAAATTCTTCCTCCAGAACCGCAAGTGACTACCAGAAGGCCGAAGTCGAATGTAAATGACGGCGTCCCTGGAAATCAAGTCTTGTTCTCAATATCGATCCGGTCATGATCGTCGACAGTGTGAAGGTGTGTGAGTACTGTAGAGATTTCTGAGTTCCATCAGCATGACCACCGAATGTTCGTGCCGAAGCTCTATTTTCCCCAAAACCGAGAAGCTCACATGTCAAAAAGCGCAACGCGTACGAAAAATACGCGACTGCCCACAACACTCTTGCTCATCTGCAATCTGCAAGCCATCCGCATCTCATCCTGCACGGTCGGCAACGCGATCCCGACTTCACGACTAGCACAGCAGAAAGGTGGTTGGATAAAAAGAAAAGGAATCCTACAGTACAACAGGAAAGACAAACGAGAAAGCAGGGTCGAAAGACAAGATGCCTTCGACAGACACGAGAAGAGAGACTGTTGTTACAAGGTGGATGGAGCTCGCAGATCAGATTTCCGCGGGACGAGTGGAGTTGTAAAGCTCGAGGTCGCGCTTGTATTGCTCGAGGGCCTGCAGCGCGCGCTGCTCGTAGGGAGCCTTCTGCTCCGCCGACATCTGCTTCCATCGCTCACCACCGCGCTTGGAGAACTCGGTGATGTTGGGGATCACGGCCTCGCTGGCGCGCAGGTCGTTGAGGAACTCGAAGAACGCCGAGTTGGGACGCTTGGGCTTGGCCGGGTCGCGCAGGAACGCGGTACCCTTGATGCCCTTCTTCTTCTGCGAGGCGATGTAAGCGTTCTGACGCTTGATGTCTTCGGGCGAGAGGGCAGCCTTCCACTCGGCGAGCGCACGCTCGTACTCCTCCTTCTCCTGCTCGTGCTGCGCCTCGTAGCGCGACTTGAGGTGGGGAGGCAGCTGGGCCCACTCGGCACCGACGGCCTTGGCCATCTTGACAATGTCGACGACCTGGGCGCCAGTCTTGGGCGAAGTCTTTTGGTACTGGGGCTCACCCTTGAGCTGCGCGACGCGCTCCGACATGTAGATCAGGAACGACGATCGCAGGGTGGGCTTGCTGGCCGAGGGAAGCGGGAGCAGCTTGCCGTCGGTGCCGCGTGCCTGCCAGGGCTTCAGCTTCTCCTTCTTGGGAGCCTTGGGCTTGGCGCCAGCCTTCTTGGTGGTGGCATCGGCGACGGCGGCAGTGGCAGCATTGGCCTTGGAGGCACCGGCCTTAGCGGTCTTGGTGGTGGACGAGGCGCGCTTCTTGGTCTCCTTGGGAGCGGCGGTGGTGGCGAAGTTGGCGGCGGCGGCGGCGACGGGAACGGCGTTGCGAGCCAGAGGCTGCTGGTTACGGACGGCTGTCCTCATGATCGTGGGTAGACTGAACATAAAGAAAGCAGGCGGATGCTGCGGATGGAGAAACGGAAAGGGGAAAAGAGGCGCTTCGCGGGGGCAACGGCGGAAGCGGATGGGGTCTTATACTTTGATCGAGAAAGAGGCAGCGGGCCAAGAGAAATGAGGGATTGAGGAGGAGAGGATGAGAGACACAGAGCCAGGCTGGGAAAGTGGGACTGAGGGCGGGAGTGTGCTCGACTGCGAGTGACACTGCCAGGGTATCCGAAAAAGAGGAGGGGGGAGAGAGACCGTGCTGGGCAACTGCAATCTTGTCGTGGGAACGGGAGAGGGATTGAGGACTTGGGCTTGGAAACGGCACAACGCGAGAGGCTGAGGCGAAGTCAGAGAGCAACAGTAGCGAGATTCCAACTGAGTTTTTTTCACAAGGCAGCAGACCAGTCTCGCACCCTCCAAATGGAGACCCTCTTTACCGATGCGGACTTTCGACTTGTGACAAGACACACGCGCTGAGGGGGCGGTGTGTTGCTCTGGGATGAGAGGCAGCACAGCAGTCAAAACTGGAAAGAGGGTTTGCAACGATGAAATCGGTGGGCGTCTCAGCAGAGGAGTCAAGAAAAGGACAGCGGCTCAGCTGTGCCGTTTCCTTGCCTCGAGGAAATTAGATTTTGAAAATGTGACCCTGTCTGGCGCGATCCCACCGGCAGGCAAGCCAGCGCTTTTCGAAGTCGCAGCTACAGATGCAGGCAGGCAAGTTAGAGACACACCAAAAAAATACCGTCCCCTCCGCACCCACACCCACACTGTCCAAGCCGCGACACCGCAATCGAGAGATGCTCCATCATCGCGACCCGATAGGCTCCAGCAATATGGGAGGGAATTCCAAAATAAAGTCAAGTCAAGTCAGTGTGAGAGAGAGCTTGCGATCGTCAGATTTCGTATCGACTCGTCGTTCGGCACACATTCGGCTCACTTTGTGTTGCAACTCTGACCTAGACTGCTTTAATCAAGGGCGGCAGCTCGTCAGTCATTTTGTCAGGAGACAGCGCCAGCGCTAGGAAGCCCAAAGGGCAAGGCAGTGTCGCTGTGTGTGAGGAAATCGCAGCACGGGCGCGCAATGCCGAGGTCGAGAATGTAGCCTGTAACCAGTCTCCCTTTTCAACTATTTCCACTTTGAGAAGGGTTGAGGCTCAGCAAGGGAACATTTGCGAAGACGGAGGCAGCAGCCCACACTCAGAGCTTCGTGAGCAAAGGGCGAGAGCCGTCTTGATGTGAAAAGGAAAGAAATTCGGTGCTCGCGAGCTAGGAGCCTGGAAAATAGGTGACGAGTCCGAAATAAAAAACCACGGGCCAGGGCAAAGATCAAAGTGTGTTCTCAAAGGAAGTTCGTCGACGTAACACAGTTTGATTTCCGAATCGGGCTCCGATACTAGGTACCAGTCCAAGCGTCCGATGAGATTTCTGCAGTGGACCCTGGCGGAGCTGCACGATTCATCTTGCAGTTCTCGACATCGACATCGACGTCGCCAGATCCTCTGCCGGTTCCATACAGCCTCTACTCCTTCGACTAGGATCATTTGAAGGCATGTTAGGGCATGGCGGCGGGATCGAGGAAGCGTAGGCGTCCAGATGGGCGGGCGGCCTCTCCACCTTTGACTGCGTCGCCTCTGCTCACCCGAAACCTTCAGCTGCTCCCAGTCGGCCTCACACAGCTTCCCAACGACGAAACCTTTGTCAACCGGCTGCGACAAGACATCGAAGCTCTTTCATCTGCCTTCGCAGAGGCGTTGCTGCTGACTATAGTCGCCAAAGCAAATGCAGCTTCTCTAGCCGATAGTACAGGCTCAACTTCATCTTCGAGCGTCGGACCTTCTTTAAACATCCCAAGCACAGAAGGATTTGCGGTTTCGCCTTTCTCAGTGTTCGTACACATATGGCGGGAGAAAGGATGGCACTATGTCCAATTTGCCTTCGGAGATCATACGGACAGCAAGCGTGCGATCAGCGATGCCATCTGTCGCGTGCTTCTAGAGGGCCTGGAACCCTACGTGACTGCTCGAAACCGCAGCCATGCGCAAGATCCAGAGCTGCCTCATCAAATGAAGTTGATGAATCTCAAAGACATGTTCAAGACGATGGCCATTCCCTTTGCGCTCTACCTTTTCTGGTCGACGCAGATACACCCTACTTCTGGCATCGGCGTCAAGCATTGCCGGCCGGCCCTGGAGCGGATTCCGATCGAACAGGATTACTATGACCTACTTCTCGATCTCCCCGAGGTAATACTGAGGCACTTGCGGGAGGAAGAAAGGACGAAAAATCTCTCTGATGCCTTGACTGCCGACCTAGTGGAGGTCCTTTGTCGTCTCGTCGGCGAACCATCTCGCAATGACTCGCACTTCGAGGCTCGGCAGCCGCCTTCCCTAGCCCCTTCGGCCAAAGCTGTTGGCAAGAAGCGTAGACAGCCCTGGCAAGACGATGTCAGTGCGGAGAATGGCACAGCGAAGAATGATTCCGATCCAGTCTTTGATATCATTCCATCTTCTTCCCTGGCAACCCGCCTGCCTCGCATCTGGCCGTCTGTTCGGGTCATGTCGTCACAGGAAGCGAACAAGGAGTTCGGTCGGATCGGAACCATTGTTCGCATCTCTCCGAAGGATGGTTCAGCAACCGAAGCCAGCGGAAACGTGGACTCCAGCTCAGCTGCGACAGGTACAAGAGAAGCCATTGTCGGTCTCTCTCGCGGCGATGTTGTCCGCTTGAAAGCCAAGCAGCGCCTTGCCAAGGCCAACATGGATCTTTCCAGGATTCTGGATCAGGACAATCAATCAGCAGGTGCCACTCACCATTCGTCATCATCAGAGGGAAGCGCAGCAACACATCCTCTGACGCTTGCTTCCGCTTCGACATCCGAGGAGACTCCGGCTCAGCCGGTCCGATACGAAATCGATACGCCATCCTGGATCAAGAGCGCCAAGTATACAGCCAAGATGCAACCCTGGTTGGAACAATCTTCCACACCCATACAGCCGTCGCTGCAGCGCATCTTCAAGAACAAGCAGCGTTACAGCGAGGTGCGAGAAAAGATCATGCGTTCCAATGCCCCGATCGATGACGCCGCTGCTGCGGAGATGGCTGACGGGCACGAGAGTGGCACAGATTATGGCAAGTGGATCCTGCAGAGATTTCGAGAGACAAGAAAGGAGATGCAGGCGAATACCGAAGGATCTACGCAGGAGGATGTTTCAGGTTTGCCCAATGTCGACGATCAAGGGACACTAACATTGGATGCGTTGTACAGATTGGCGGCGGAGCGGACGAAGACGATTGCGGTGGAACGTGGGGAGATGCTCAAGAGCGCTAGAGCAAATGGCTCACGTCCCGGTTAGTTCGACTACGTCAGAACAAGTCAGCATTCTTGATCTTGTTCAAGCACAGACGCAAGACAAATTGTGATGGATGCGATTCATTTCAAGCATCCTGTCCCGTCGATTGCGGCTCCTCCTTTGGCCACCAACTAGGAATCCATGGTCTGACCAATAGCGTCGTCTCACCATCTTCCGACAAGACCGACAACTCCAAACCGTCCTCTTTGCCACTCGGATCCGATGCATCAGTCCATCTCTTTACCTGTTCCAATCTTAAACAAGCCAGACCGACATTGTGAATGCCACTGGTGAATTTTCCTGCTGCTTTGCCACGTGCTGGTTTTGCGTCTGCTACTGTTGAGATTGGTTTTGATCTGACTTCGGCGAGATGTGGTGGCAGCTGATGTGTGAATTGACGGTTGACTTCTTCGATCGATCTCGGAGCAGGCGTGCCAGGGAAGTATAGTGATAGCGGAACGATGCGTTTCCTGACTACGCCGGTGTGATGTGTTCTCGCGGTCAGTTCCTGACCTACGTAGCATCCTTTTCGGAAATCAACGCCGTTCATGTAGTCGAGGTTGTTTTCGAGTGGCAAGCTCGTCCCTTCTGGGAAATCAAGTGCTCCTTCGGCAATGCCGTTGATGATTCGATGCAAAGTATATTCCATGTCTTCCACGGCGGAAGCGCCAAAGTCGAGTGAAGTATCGGAGGAAAGAACACCTCGGTATCCTATTGTAGGACATCTCGGATCCAGACTGAGCTTGTCCCCAATCGCTGCTGGTGGCGACTGCGATGTGGACGCAGACCAAGCTTGAACGACACTGTACTGTTCTGATACATCGACGAGTCTGACCTTTGATCGAAGTTTGAACTTTTTGATGAAGCTGAGCAGAGACGGCAGTGTGCGCGAGTCGATGTCGAGCAGCCACCTTGGAGACCCATCTTCCAGAGATGGTTGACGATGGATGAATACGTCGGCGAGCATTCGTCCTTGAGGATTCATGAATCCTGCGTACACCAAGGTTGGAGCGGAGTTGGTCTTGGAAGATTCGAGCGCCTTGACATCGTTGCTGACAAGACCTTGGAGGAGCTTGACTGTGTCTCTTCCGGAGACTTCGAGTACACCGCGATGCGGTACTTTGGCGATCTTCCATGCGGAACTTGTGGCGTCGGTGGAGGAAGCGGAAAGGGAAACAGATGTTGATGAGAAGTTGCAGCGCCGCGCAATAAATGCCGCTCTGTGAAGCGATGTCGGCTTGAGAGCCGCCGAGGATACGAGAGTATGTCTCAGCGAGAACATCGTGAAGTTGATCCGATGAAAGGGTGTATGGTGGGTCAGGAAGATGTGAAAGGGAACATATACTCAGCATTGCGTTTCCTCCACTTCGGAACTCGGCGTTGGTAAAATTCACATTAATGTGCTCTAGGCAGATATAACATGAGTAAATTTTGAGCTTGCAACCTTTTTCAAATGACTGAGACAGCGACTCTGATTCCTGCAGTGGCTTGAGTTCTTCTAAAGAGATTAAAGAAGACGATCTACCAAGCAGACGACCATAGCGAAGATTCTTACGGGAAAGAAACTGGGTGAAGGACGTCCCGCAGTGGAAGCGGCTGCAAGATGCGATTGAGTGAGAGAGGAAGGATGTCCCACGCTAAAGTCAGGCACGGCGCAAGGGGTCTGCAGAACATTCGCTCGCATTGGGCCGCTCCGCGATGCTCGGAGGACAACAGACGTTGCCATCATACATAATAAAAGCGAGACATTTGTCCGAGCGAGTGGTATGGATCCATACAAAAGCCGTGCGCACGTGGGACTGGCGCAATCATCATTGTTTTCGAGGTTGAGGTGTATCTACAGCCAATGTTTTGAACCATGAATGAGCGGTTAGATAGGAAAATGCAGACATGGAGAGCGGGGGCCTAGGCTGAACGCATGCGTACACGATAGAAATTTGAAGAGGCGCTTGTGTGTCTTTATCGGGCAGAGTCTGATTTTGACAGTACAGCGGACATAAGGGGGAGAGTGCCTTGACGGGTAAGCCGAATTTAGACGGCGACTGAAATTGTGGTTGCATCAGTTCTACAGCCTCCAACAGCCAAGGCTCCGTGACCCTGATCGACGAGATGCGCGCGTCGACACGAAAAGAGGTGGCTTGAAGTTGATTCTCGTTCCTGTTTTCTGTGCCTCAGCCAAAAAAAGAAACCTGCCGGGTTGAAACTTCGGATGTCGACTCTGGTTCCGGTGCAAGCAAGCAGACTGTTTGGTCGGATGCGAGTTGCTCCGTAGGCGTGCGTGCGTGCGTGCATTTGCTGCTGCCGCACTCGACTGCAGGCGTCGTCTTCTTTTCACTTTTATTATCGTACTTCGTTGAGCAGCACTCGCCAGGATCTCGTTCGACTACAGTGGGTCTGCGCGAGAGGTGGGCTCTTCTCACGTCTCCCTTGTTGCACAAACAGACACGCCGTTCCAGCCACGGTTTCGGGCGTTACCGCCTCGAACATCGAGGCTCTCTGACTAAGCAGGAAACAGACTGTCCAAGAGATCAACTTATCGCAACCAAGCCGGAAGGCTGCTGGTGGTCTGACGTGCCAAAAATCCTAAGCCTGGCTGAGCTCTGGTGGATAAATGTCAGCTGAGATTGTATCTGGCCGTCTAAGCGAGTCCAATTTGGTGCACCGTTGGACCAGACACCGATGCGTCGTTGGACAGCTGCAGTGCACACTTGCTCTCCGTCTCAACGTCCCCGCGTCGAGCCGCCCTCCGATTTCGATTTTGATTTCGATTCCGTTCAAAGCTTGACTGTCCCTGCTCTTCTGCCCTCTGCTGTGATTTCCAGAAAAATGGTTGTGCAGTTGTGACGCGTCTGCAGCTTGCAAAGCTTGCGCAACTGGAACGCCTGTCTCGAACAAGATTTCACACACAGGTTCCAGTGTCACACACACACATCTCTCCCCGCGCCTCTCTCCCAGCTCTCTCAATTCCGTTTGTGATACTGTCGCTATCGCCACCGCCGACCCTGACGCCGCGCAGATCATCGGCCTTTGGGCGGCGCTGTCTCAAGTCCGTGCATACTGACTGGTCTAGCCCTTTCTGCGACGTCTCAAGCAATCGTCCATCATCCGAGCCCTCCCTCCTTCACTACACCATCCATCATCGTTCTCCCCCCTTTCTCTCCATCGAAACACGCCCTAATCTTTTTCATCGCAATCGTGATGCTATCTTTCGACTTTTTTGCTCGCCAGTGACCACGGATCATCCCGTCTTTTCTGACCATCATCTCGGATCCTTCAGCACTTGGTCGCTTCCAGCAAGAACCATCCGTCTAGCAACTCTTCAATCCACGATCGTTTTCCAAGGATCTGACGGGCGCAATCCTGATCTTTCGTACCACGGGAATCTAGGCAACAACAGGCATTCTCTGGCATACGTGCTCGAGTCTTTCCCCCTTTCGGACGTAGGCACAGCGAGCTATTCTATGGCTTTGCTTGCTGAACGACGTCGTACTTGCCTTCGCTGCCACAAGGCATGACCGTATCCTACACACATTCACCCAGTTTCTCCGCCCACAACTCGGCTAGTCCACCACAATCCCCGGTCACTCCTTCTTCCGCGTTCGGTCCCTCGTCTCGTGCTAGTGGGCCATCGTCGCCGCGCGCTCCCTCGCGTGCTCTCGGTGCGGCTGTCTCGGCCTCGCCGTTTGCCGTGTCCGACTTGGTCGAATCTTCCACCGACTCTGCAACTATCGTCGTTCCCAACGACTGTATGGAAGCTGGCTTTGGCCTCAGAAGAAGTCCTCTCATCCCCAGTGAAGAGATTTTGCACGGATCGCGAACGTCCCAGACCGCCAGCCACATCTCTCTCATCGACGATCCCGAATCCTCCGACGCTCGCTACGAGCCTGCATTCACAGGCGACATCGATCTGCACGAACGATTCGTCTATCGTCGTCCTTACGTCGATCGCGCCGTTTCCCGCTCCAAGCGTCGCAGCCAGCTCATTCTTGAGCAAAAGTACCAACAGCAGCGTCCCGGCCTCTCTTCGGCCGCGTCAACAAACGAGCAAGAGCTTGTTCTATCAGCCCTCACAACCACTTACTCTCCTCGCGCGTCCAGGTCAAGACGTCCGGGCACCGCACCCCATCGCGTTTCTGTCTCTCCGCTCACGCCTGAATCCGCTTCGGGCCGCTTGAGCTCCGTTTCCAGCAGGTCCAACGTCTCCTCGCCCGGCGGATTGCGCGAGCTCGCAACAGGCGCAGCAGCTCAACCCGCTTCCAAGCGTGCCTCCTGGATCCGACAGACCAATCGATCCGAGACCCTCAGCGACTCTCATCACTATCTGAGCACCGCTGGCCTGCTCGAAGCTGCTGTACCCGCCTCGGCAGCCGAGAAAGCTTCGCGTCGTCACAGCAGTTTTCTCACCGGCGACTATCGCTCTGCTTCCCCTATGCCAATTCTTGCCAGCAACAGCTTTGACGTTCCTTCGCAGCACAACGGCACTGCACGTAGCAAGCTCTCGCCATCTCCACGTCTCGGTGCATCTTCCAATAGCCTCGGTGCCGCACCAAACAAGCGTACCTCGATGCTGTCCACAGACTCTTCTGCGACGTCCTCTTCGAAAGAAGGTAGGACATCGGGCGAGAATGTCGAATTCGAGGGCGACGACGCAAAGCACCAAGCTCACAGCTCTGCATCCTCAGGCTGCGGTCACGATGATAGCCCTGCTTCCAAATTGGCCACAACTTCACAACGCAACGGCACGGACGTCTTCACCACGCCACGTTCCAGCTCTGAACACGACAAGAGCGGCGAATCCACTTCTGATGCTCCCACCGAGAAGGACAAGCTGACAACGACGCAACAGGCCAGCGAGTCATCGCACATCCCCTTCGAGTCCCAAGCTACTCCGCTTGGCCATGTGGAGAAGAGCACAGACGCACCTTCCACTGACACGAGTCTCGTGCCGGCTCCTGCCATCACGCCTGCCATGCTCAAGCAAGCGGAAGCTACTGTCGTGCCACACACTCCTCTCCAAGGACGCAACGCCGTCTCTCCAACCGTTAGTCCCTCAAAGTCGTTCCGACCGCTACCGAGCTCCGAAGAATCTGCGCGCGGACCATCTTCTGGACGTTCGCAGGCCTCTTCTGACGCACAATCTGGTTCAAGTCTAGGCAGTCCCTTCGGAACGCTTACCATCCCCAGCAACGCCAGAGCCAACGCCAATGGCCGTCGCGGCTCCGGTACGAGCCGTCGAGACAGCACCACCTCGATCGCCTCAGCGAACAGCTCTACCTCGACCTACCGCATCCGCAGGAAAGCTGTCCCCTCTGACGTCGATGCATCCGAGCGACGCGAAAGCATCGCAAGCGTCAACTATTCCAGTGCGGTCGAATCCTCGCCGCAGCTGAGTCCCGCCAATAGCATGGTCCCATTGCCATCCACCAGGGAAGATGGCATTCAGACGATCCACGCTGCTCGCAGTCAGAATGGCTCCGACTTCATGCGCATGGCTCGTGACGCAACTCAGGCTCATATGCTTGCCAATAGGCGGTCTGGCGACCCAGCTGTCGAGACAAACGCATCGTCTACTGGCTCGGCGACTCGTCAATCTGAGTCAGATATTGGACTGCAGCCAAAGGCAAGCGCCTCCGCTCGCGATCTGTCGTCCTCTGGGGATTTGGGCGTTGGTGCGCCTCCGAGCACCTCGACAGGAGTAGCAGGACCCAGCGCGACTCGCACGCCGTCGCGAGCGACCATCAAAAGGCCTACCACAGCTCCCGTCGCATCCAGCGGCCAATTCCGTTCGGTAAGCGGTGCACAAAAGGGGGTGCTCGAGGTTGAAGGACAGCAGTTCGTCCTGGGTAAGGACGACGCCAAGATTTCCAAGCTCGCGCAGGATCTTTCTCCATCGATTCCTAACTCTGTCCGCTTCATGCAGCATCAGCGCAACGGCAGCTCCAGAGTTGCCTCGGTCGGATCTGCCAAGCGCGAATCGAACCTAGTCGACCCGCCAATCTCGAATGGTATCGTCAAAGCGGCCCGCTCCGACGACACCAGTCAGAAGGTATCGAGCCGTCAAAAAGGCGACGCATCAGCGACGGTAGCGCCCTCCGCATCGGGTGGTTGGGGCCTTGAGCAGGAAATCAAGATTGTCGACCGACTCAGAAGCGCAAACGGCGACGTCGACAACAAGGCTCACAAACCGCGTTCTGCGTCGATGGACAAGAGCCGGAAGACCCTCGATTCTTCTGATAAGGCGAATGCGAATAAGCCCCTCCTGAACGTCATCGACGAGGACGAGTCGGATGAGGTCAAGGCCGCTGCCCGCGAGGCTGGAATTCCCGAGGGCTCTTATGCCATTCATCCCCCGTCGATGCTGCAGCTCTTTGAATCGTCGCAGTGCCTCGTGTACAATCAAGAGGGCGAAGAGGTGCTCTTTGGCGATCTCTTCAAGAAGCGCCGCACTCTTGTCTGCTTCTTGCGTCATTGGTGGTGCGGTTTCTGCCAGCAATTTGCCATGTCGGTGCGCAACATCGATCCGTTGCCGCTCAAGAGGGCCGGCTTGGACTTTATCATTGTCGGTCAGGGCGATTGGCACGTCATCAAAGCTTATCGCGAGGTGATGCAGGTGCAGTATCCGATGTTTGCTGATCCCAAGCGCAACGTCTACCGGGCGCTTGGCATGACGCTACGCACCAATGATGCCAATCCCGTCTGCGCTCGACCGGACTACGCAAGCATGAGCATGACCAAGGGTATTTTGGTTGCCATCAAGAAGGGACTCTTCGACATGCCCATCCGCAACCCGGGTGACATGAAGCTGCTCGGCGGTGACTTTATTCTTGGACCGGGCTTGCAGTGCTCCTTCACGCATCGCATGACCACCGCGGATGGACACATGGATATACCCAGGATCTTGGCGCAGGCAGGTTGCGATCTGTCGCTCAAGACGCCCAAACCCATGTTCACCCTCGATGAGAAGGAGGCTCGATCGGCCATGTTAGCCGGTGGCAACCAGAACCGCCGCCAGGCACGTTCGATCGGCCGATCTCGTGGCAAGAAGTCGGGCGTCAACGATATTGCCACGATGGACTCGAGCTTCGGCAGCGCCACGGATTCTGCGGCAGCCGGCTCGATGACTGCGGTCAACAGCAGCTCGCGCTTCGCCCGGCCTAGCTTGTGGGGCCGCTTCCCTGGTCGCTACAGCAAGTCGCAGGTCTCGCTGCCGAAGTCGGAATCGATGGCGGACGTGAGCAACGACTATTCAACCGCTCGTAGTTTCGCTGCAGGACCGCGATCGGCGTCGGCTATGCGAAAGATCTCGTACGATGACCGGGTCCGCGACTCGATCGACACGCAGCAGACCGACCTCCAGTTCGAGTCGCGCGCCACGTCGTTTGACACGCGAGGGGGTCGACCGAGCGATGTTTCGTCTCGCGGCGGGCTCAACTCTTTGTACAAGGCGCAATCCACGTCGGAGCTGCGCAAGAAGTTCGAGATTGGTGGACTGGGCGCTTTCGGCAGCTTCCGATCCAAACCTCGCAAAAGCGCTTCGGCGGCGAGGATGTCGCTCGAAAGCCACCTTGCTGTACCTAGCGGTGACAAGAGCAGATTGAGTCACAGCGCTTCGAACACGTCGTTGGGGATTGCCAATGCCAAGGATGCTAATGGTGCCATCACGCCAACACAATCAACGTTGAACGTCTCCGAGGCCACAACTGCGACTGGCGACCAAGTCAAAGCCCTGCCGATCGCCCGCGGTAACGCTAGTGCTGCACGCTCAAATGCTGTTGTTGCACCTGCGACCGCGGCCATCGCCGAGCCTGCAGCGGCACGGGCAGCAACAGGATTAGGCATTGATGCGGCTGGCGACCAGGCGACCGAATCAGCCATCCGAGCCGCCAAAGGTTCCGACGACCCTCCGACGCCGATTGAGAAAGACTCACCAGTGGGTAAGAACCTTTCGGCCCCGGGAAGCTTCCTGATGGATCTGGACGTGTATGATTCCTTGTCGCGCCACCCCGAGACGCAGCAGGAGGAGAGCAGGCCGAACCGTGAAAACGGCAAGCTTGGCGTCAGTATCTTCGATGCTGGTCTGTCTCCGAGTCAATTCAGCGACAGTGGATTCACGCAGGAAGCCGCCGATGCCGAAAGCGACACGGAGCCGTCCATGTCAGCGACTCAATCGCCTGCTCGTTCGCAGCGCACGGCTCCCTCAAGCACCAGTGCCAGCCCTGCTCCGGCAGCTGTGGGCCCGAGCACCAGCTCGAGCTTTTACAGCTTCAACACATTCCGTGCCAAACCGCTGGAGCATCTCGTAGAGGAGACGGACGAGGATGCGGACGATTCTCGAGACCAGTTGGAGAACAGCGAGGGTAGTGAAGATGACGAGGACGAGGAGAACGACGAACCGATCCTATTCGAGTAAGGTCGTTCTGGTGGGATCTCAATGTCTTACCGGCTAGGAAGGATTCTTTGTATTATGACAGTTTGTGAGGATGCAGTTGTTGCTAATAATACATATCTTCGTTGATCGCTGTATCAGATGCAAATGCGGTGTGGAATGTGAGAGGCTGTAGTGAGTGGTGTGCTTTCCTGCGTTGTAGGATGTGCATTGTTGCCCCTTTCAATCGCCTGCACAGGTGTTGCCTCGGACCCTGACGATACATCTCTTTTCACGCAGCACAGAAATCGCGAACGCTGATGCTGATGCAGAAATAGCTCAGTCAAGCTGGGGCCGCATTGCTGTACTCTTCACAATACAACAGCAGAGAGGGACGGGACCGATGACGCGTGTCGAGGCAAGCTTCGTGTCGGAAAGTGTTGGTCTCGCTTGCGAAAAAGCCAGATCAGCGTTCGAGAAGCGTGCGCTTTCATGCACGTCGTGCATGCTCCGTTTCTTGGCATTCGGTATCGCCTACGGTGGACATGCAAGAAGCACGAATGTCCCGCTGTCATGTTGCTCCGCATGTGTTGTGGCCGACAGAGAGAAAGTCGCCGCTGATCTGACGTGGATCTCGTGATTGGAGGAACGAGGATGGGATCGGAGTCGGAGAGGATGGAGGGGGATTTGGTGAGCGAATCCTTTATCATCTTTGTGACAGGGTGTTGCATGCATTGGTGCTTCACTTGCAGATCCGAGCTCCGCAACGGCGAAGACGCAAGGCTTGCTGCTCCCGCTCGGGTCTCATGCTACTGCAAGAGAAAGCCTGACAAGCGTTGGTGAGTGTGTGACGACAAAGCGAAAGTCGCAAACAACGCCGTTTTCATAGACCCACAGTATGTGGGAACTTTCCCAAAATGAGCCGGCACTCGACCCTCATCCCTTACTGTATCTGTTTCGAACCGGCGAGGCACAGGCAATCGCTACACCCTCAATACTCCCTCCTTTTATCCTTCATCATCTAATCAACATCTCAGATTGACAGCACTCAACCCTTGAAGGCGTCTCCTCGATGTCGAGCTATCATCGCCCGTTCCGAGGTCAAGCCTCTGCTCCCGCTCCAGGAATACAGCAGAGGCCAGACGAACAAGAGGAAGTCATAGACCCCAATCTCTACGGCCCCTTTGGTCATCGTTATCACGAGAGCATCTCGCAGTCACAAGATCCCACGGTCACAAGCTGGCACGATGTCGAAACATCCGAACAGCATCGTCAGCATCCTCACGTTGCCGCTCACGAAAAGGAGATTCTGCTGCAAGCCATAAGCACTGTTCGACCGGGCTCAAGCGCTAGTCAAGCCGGATTCATCACCCATGCCGTTCCTATGGCCATCGACTATACCCAAGACAGCAGATACACCTTCGAATCGAGCACCGAGAAACAGCCTACGCACAACACCTCCTCCTCCTCCTTCTCCCAATCACATCTGCGTCGTCGTTCCAAAGGCTACCACGCCCGCTCCCACACCGGCAGCCTCTTTGACCTAGTCCACGCCAAAGAGACCTCCAAATCGTCCTCCAAGCCCCACGTCGAAATCCACTCGGATGACCTACCCATCACGCTTCGCCATCTGGTGAAACGACCGCTTATCCGCCAATGGCTACACGGGCCCAAGCTCTATCGCGAAAAGGACGAGCGCAAACCAAGCCAATTCGAACTCGTCTTCGACCTCATCTTCGTTGCTGTTGTCAACAAGCTCGGCCACGCCACTGCGGAAAGCAGCTCAGCCATCAACGCGTTGAAGTTCGTATTGAGCTTCTGGCCGTGCTTCTCGATTTGGACGGATGTGAGGTTGTTTTTGAATACGAGTGGTACGGACGACATGTTGGAGAGGTTGCTGCTGTTGGGCTGGATGATCCTGCTGGGTGGGTACTGTGCGAATATTTCGGCGGTGCAATTGGTGAAGGAGACGCCGGAGCTGTTGGCCTTGTTGAGTGGGGAGGAGGCGAGAGGGGATGCGCCGGCGCAGCAAGAGGCGCACGGAGTTGTGGCTGAGATCGAGCATATCTTCCGACGTGCTTCCTCGGATAGCGGGACGACGGAGCCCGTGGAGCTGGCGGTGCCGGCGTTTGGAGGGTACTGGTTTACCGACGGCTACGATCGTGCGATTCATGCTGCGATCGGGTTCTTTTTGGTGGCAAAGCTTTGGAGATTGGGACTCTACGTCTACTACGGTTTTGCTCTACCCAAGTTTCGAAAAGCGCTCTGGCTCAACGCTCTCGCCTCGTTTGTCATCGCAGGGATCTACATCCCCATCACACTGACGAGTGAACCGTGGCTCATCCTTACGCTCATGTCAACAGGCATCGTCGTCGAGCTTCTCCGCAGCTACGTCGTCGCTGCCGCCATCCAACTCTTTCACGGACGATCGAAGCGTACCGGCAACCACATGTTCATTCCCGCCCAATCCCACGAGCATTCCATCGAGCGATATGTCCTCTTCGTCATCCTGATCGTAGGCGAGTCCATCATCAGCAGCAACTTTACCGCCAGTCTAGGTCATTACGGCGTCAACGACGAATTCGGTCGCGCCGCGTTGGGGATAAGCATCAGCGTGCTGGTGATTTGGATCTACTACGACGCGGACGGAAGTCGTGTCTACCAGCACGCGCTGCGTAGGAACAGCTTCACGAGCATCACCTTCAGTCACATCCACTATCCACTCACTGCGGCGCTCGTGTTGATGGCTACTTCGCTGTCGAGTCTGATCTCCCACGAGCAGATCAAAGGTGGCTATGTGTGGTATTTCGGAGGATCGGCCTCGTGTGTTTTGGTGTGCTTGGGCTTGATCGGCTGTCTGCATAGGAATTTGGACAGGTGGGGATCGAGGTTGGTGCCGAGGTGGATGGTGATTGGGATGAGGTTTGTGCTGGCGGTGGAGTTTGCTTTGTTGCCGCTGAAGGGGGATTGGGACTCGCTGAGTTTGATGAGTGTCGTGGCGGGAAGTTTGGGATTTTTGGTGCTGTTCGAGACGTTGGGTAAGGTGGGCGCTGTAGGGAGGAGATTTGATGCGGACAAGACGCGGGAATTGTACGCAGGTATGGATGCGAGCGGTGAGAAGCGATTGAGATTGGATAAGAGGAGCAGTTGGCATCCCTTTGACGATCTGACCGCAGGGGAGAGGGGTGAGGAGGATGTCGGGATCGAGTCGGAGATCGGACACTTGGAGGAGAGAGACTTGACTCATGGTCAGAAATGGGCGTATGCTGCGTAGGCTCTCTCTCGCCACCCACCATTCGACACACAGCATGCACTCTGTTTCACTTTCCTTTCGCTTCTTCCAGCTACTTCGCTCTTAGAAGCAACTCACACTCATTTGGCATAGACGTGTTTGGCATAGACGTCTTTATCATCGCATCCGCAATCGCATCGCACTGTCGTTTCGTTCCCCATCGTAGATTGCCGTGTGTGCCAAGGGTCGGACGAGGAAGGATCGCCATGATTGACACATGGTCGATGTGGAGGCGATGTGCCGATTCCCGAAAATCCGCTCCGACTTTTTTTCGCTCGGTGGGACCTCATGTCAGAATTTCTTCTGACTTTCGCCTCTTCACTTCCTCACACATCCTGCTGACATGGAAACGACGTTGGCATACTTCGACTAGTTCAAGCATGAGGGTCTCCGCATCCTCGGGCAGGTCCATGCTGGAAAGCACTCGGGTCTTGAACAATCGAGCTGCATCACCAATTTCTCGAAGCATCCACACCTCCCTCCCGACGCACGATGCGTACCGTCCAGCCGACACTCACTCCAGCGACCGTAGCAACAGATCCCAGCGCTCGAAATGGAACAATGAAGCTCAAAAGCAAAGAAGGGTGACCGACACCGTCCTCACAGCGTCCAGGCTGGGGAGGCATGCGGAGTCGATCGACAAAAACACCTCGGACAGATACTCGGGGTGGAAGCCGACGCCGGGTCCGAGCAGTCGTCGTCAGACTGGACGACCAAAGCTATCGCATGATGCAGGCAAGAGTATGATGCGTGCTCTGGAGTCGGAGAATGTTGAGGAGAGGTTGGGTCAGTATTCGTCGGAGGTACTGATGAAGCCGCTGGTAGGGAAGAAGGACACGGACGATGGGTTCGGGGCGGGCAGTGGGTCAAGTGGGGCTTCGATCTCGTCACGCGACTTCATCGCTCCCAGAAGATCGTTGAAGCCTGGAGACTTTGTCGAGCTGCGACGTGCCGGTACCGCTGTGGGAATCGTCCTCCCTCCTCCCGAAGATGCCCTGCGCAGCGACGCAGATGCTTCCACCCCATCCCGAACCAGCACCGGCATGCGCGATCTCTACGTCCTCGTCACCTCCGGTCAAGTCGTCCTCTACAAAGACAACGACGTCATGATCCAGATCCCCCACGTCATCGAGCCCAACCAGATTACCACAGCTGCCGTGCTCAGCAAGCACTATGTCGTCTCCAGCAACAGCCTCGACACGCCGGTCAACAGCGACGGCACCCACGACGCCCACTCCTTCGCATCCACCGCCGAAGGAGACCCCGTCGAAGGAACGGCGATGCAGGAGGAACCGGTCGACATCCCACGCTTCGAAGCCAGAGCTGCAATCTGCAACATCCTCAGGATCCTCGAGAGGCAGAAGGAGAAAGAGTTGCAGCGGCTGCTGCCGAGTTTCCAGTCGCTCTTCTTGGTCGATGCTGCAAAATCGGGGCAGTCGGAAGAGGAGGTGGAAAAGTTGAGAACGCAGAGGATGGATCTACGCACGGGTGCGATCACCACGTTCGAAGCCGCGAGATTAATGCACGAGCTTTCGATACGTCGTGCAGTTCGAAGCGGTAGCGATAAACGGACAGACGTCGGATTGACAGCGAGCACGGTGTATGCCGCGCATACGTTACTCATGTCGCATCCGTCGCACTTTCTGGCGGATGCGTTGTCACATCGTACAAGCCAGCTCTTCACGTGTCGTAGCGATGACGAAAAGGCCAATCTTGCATTGGTTTCCGGGTGGATTGCCGACAGCGCAGGGTCGAAAGGTCAAAGCTACATCAATGACTTTTGCAGCAAAGCGAGCAAGCTTCGTCGACACTTTGACGCGAATCCGCCCGACCCCGCTGGAGACCCACGCTTCGTCGATCCTCCACACTCGAATCCCGATCTGAAAGTTGTATGGACATCGCAAGACAATTCGATCATCGAGTTCCTCCAGGCCAGTCTCGGATCGAGGCGTGAGGTTCAGGAGGACACGCACGCGAGTCTAGCGATGGACATTGTAAAACGTGCTGGGGGACATTTTCGGATGCTTCCGCACCCGGACACGCCGGAGCTGATGGATGTGGAGAAAGCGACGGACATCTTGTTGGTGGAGAACGGTGTGGACGGAGGCAGGGGAGGGCGGTTGGGGAGATCGATTTTGGAGACGGTGGGGACGGATGTGACTGCAGGAGCCGATCTGCAGCACGCGCTCGTGCTGAGGCTCTTGATGTCCATCGGTGCTTTGCCGCCGTGGCAGAATCCGATCCGGTTGGATGCCGGTTTCAGGAGCGCAACGATGGGAGACGATGGGGGTGAACCGGAGAGCGTACTGGCTACATCGGAAGCAAAAGTTGCGAGTGTTGGAGGCGGAGGAGAAGCAGCGGAAACTCTTGCGAAGAAGTTCAGCTTGACGCTGGAAGAGCAAGTGGAAGCCATCCGACATGATTTCGGAAAGGACCACACGGTCTATGTGATCGACGACGAAGGGGCGTTCGAGCTGGACGACGGCATTTCTATCGAACCTGTCGCTGGGAAAGATCAGGCTTGGGTGCACGTCCATATCGCCGATCCTACGGCTTGGATTCAACCCGACGATGCCTTGGGACAGAGGGCGGAACGTCGCTTCCAGACGCTGTACTTTCCAGAGGCTAGGTGGGCCATGTTGCCCGACGAAGTCGTTCGTAGTGGAGTCGGACTGCGCGCCGCCACCGAGGGGGAAAGCAACATCGGTCAACGCGTGATGTCTTTCAGCGCTCTCGTTGATCTTTCTTCGGGTCTGGTGCAAGACACCAAAGTCAGACCTGCCTTCGTGCACGATGTTCGGACCATCTCGTACAACAAGGTCAACTCGATCCTTGCGGACCGCAACAACGCCTCATCCGACCTCTCACTGCTACTTTCGATCGCGACAAAGCTCAGCGAGAACCGTACGCGATCATCCGCATTCTACGCCTACCGACCCAGCTCCTCCGTCAGCGTCTCCCCCCTTCCTCTCCCTCACGTCCCCGTCTCGGCATCGTCGCTCCAAAAGCCTTACTTCTTCGCAGGGTTCCCCACCATCGACGTTTCCGCCAACACTGACCGAACCACCACCTCCGACGGCGTACCCGCACTATCGCAATTTCTCGTCTCGGAACTCATGATCCTCGCTGGTCGAGTTGCTGCCACCTACAGCTCCGACCACAACCTTGCCGCCGCATTTCGATACCAGTTACGACCGGAATCGATCGAAGATGCGCACGAAATCCTCGCTTTGCGTTCGAACCTGCCTTCCGCATCAGGTAGCAGTAGTCTGGTCAGTGAAGAGGGTATAGTGGGACATGGGTTGATACCTTTTGAAACGATTCTAGCGAGGGAACTGTCCATATCGACTAGCGGATACAGTGTCACACCCAAGGAACATTTCTCGCTGGGAATCAGTTCCTCCCGCTCTGAAGTCTTTCAACCACCTACCAGAGATGCGATAACGTCGTCTGGATATCTCCGTTCAACATCACCCCTCCGTCGTTATCCCGACATGCTTTCCCACTGGCAGATCAAATACCACCTCCTCCACGGTAAGCCTCGCTTCGCAGCCATCGATATCGAACGAATCCTACCGCAGCTGGAGAGACAGGAAACCTCGGCAAAACAGTGGATGCGTAGCAGCGAACGGTTCTGGATCCACACGCTGCTGCAACGCAACCTTCTCGCAGGAAAGGATGGAGTGACGGGGAGGAAGATGACCGCGACAGTGGCACTGGCTGAGGTGAGGGTGAACAAGAGCACGTTGGGCGGAAGGGTGAGGGTGAACATCGAGGAGTTGGGTTTGCCGGCAGATTTGGAGTGGGATGCCAGGGAGAGACCGCCGAAGGGCGGGGAGAGGTTCGAGGTGAGACCCGTAGCGGTCGCGATGGCGGGTGTCAGGAGTGGGTTGACGGTGAGCAGGGTCTGATCGCAGATAGAGGGACGATCTGAAAGATCATGACAATGGAACATTGGTGTTCGGCGTCCTTTCCTGTCTCCAGAGCTTCAAATGTGTGTGTGCACAAGCTGCGCGGCTGTTGAGAGACTGACGATATGTGTCGGGAAGAGACTGTGGATTTCGAATATGCGATCGTTTGTGGTGCTCGACATCTAAAGGACTGCGCGAAGGAAAGGGAGCGACGACGAAATGCGAAGACTTCGGTGGGGGGTATACTGCTGCAAGAACGAAGGAGAGTGTCGGCGACTCCATCGAGGAGCTTCCGAGCCGGCAAGACTGACAAATCCAAAAGCCAGATCCTAAACATCGAGCTGCATTCGACCAAAGCGGAGCCACGTCATCAGTCAGTGCCATCTCTTCTCACCCACATCCCTCGCTCTCCACGTCATCGACCACTTACATAGATCAACAACGGTTCTCCCGAACCCTTGATCTCAGGAATGGTGCACTTCAAATCGAAGGCTTTCGCCAACAATACCTTGAAAATCTTCTGTACGTTGATGGCGTGACTTGTGGAGCAAAAGATCAACGGAGCCTTCATGGCCTTGCTGAATCTTCTGGCTTGCTTTGTGATCTCATCCTGTTCCTCTCTCGGTAGTGTGGCATAGTGATCGTATTTGGTGCCAACGAGAAAGGGGATGGCGGTCTTGTTGAAACCCCTTGCTTGTCGATACCACTCCTTGATCGAGTTGAGCGTGGATTTACGTGTGAGGTCGAACATGAACAGGATGGCTACGGCATCGTTGCATACGAGAGGGAGCATGTTGACGAATTCGCGTTGTCCTCCGAGATCCCAGATGCTAAAGGTGATCTCGGTGTTGCGGATCGAGATGGTCTTTTCCATGAAGTTGACTCCAAGCGTCTGGATATAGTCCTCGTTGAAGGAACCTTCGACGTAACGGACCATGAGTGATGTTTTGCCGATCTGAGAGTCGCCTACCATGCCGACTTTGAGGATGACGCTGCTGAGAAGTGAGGTTGAATGCAAGCAAGAGGCGCTGAGCGGGCTGACCTTCTGCGTCTGGTTGGGTTGATGGCTACTCACCTGGATTTGTCATCGCCTCCGCCGCCGGATGCATCATGGCTACTGGACGATGATGCGGCGGAAGCCGACATGTTTGTGACTGCAGTTCAGACGATGGCTGCAGATTAGTTGATGGACAAAACAAAAGCTTGACCGCTTAGTATCGTTCGTAGGCGACGGTCCGTATGCTTTCGACTCGACTCTGGCTGTGTTGGGCTTCCAGATTGAAGACGTGAAAGTGGCGCTGTGACGATGGCGAAGCCGATGCTTGAGCTTGGTGAAGGTCCAATGACGAGTGTTGAAAACGATCAGGATGCTGAGGCAAGAAGGTGAAGAAGCGTGAATGCACAGGCCCTGTGCCTCATCATGCAGCATTCGATACTTTGTCGGCGCTGTGCTCGAGACCAACACTTTCGACACACTCTGTCACCTGTCACTTTATCCCATGGGCGGCGTGTTGCTCGTGTTTGTGCCCTGAAGCAGAGAGGGGTCCTCTTGCTCTACAGTCACACACGCGCGCCGAAAACAAATCGGAATCGCCGATGAGTGTCGCGAGGATCCTGCCGATGAATTCGCGTTGCTTCTCCAGTCGCTGCACAGATATGTCGGTTAATGCCGACCAGGCAACTTTTTGCCTTGATCCTTCCTGCATTCACATCACGCATCCTGTGCACGACGCAGTGTTTCGACACCTCTCGCTACGACACCGCTCATCAGATATCAGAGGACTTGCTCTTCGCATCACGCTGCCGGCCGCATCTCAGACGAATTGGCTGTAAAGGCAATTTAGCTCATCCTTGGCCCCAATCTCAGCAAACCCAAATTCAGTTCATTCCAATCTCATCGCCCTTGTCAGCCCTCGAATTCTGATCTCTTACCCTTTCGATCCGCTGCTTTGGCCTCGCCTTCATAATCATGCCACCGGCCGACTTTGACGCCCTCTCCGACGGTAGCGACCTCACTGGCGAAGATTCCGCCTCCGACCTTCAAGAAGACGACGAAGAAGTCATGGCCTCTGCTCCTCAGACTCCATCCAAGAAGCGCCGTCGCACCACACGCACCATCATGAAAGATGACGAAGAGGACGAGTATGAAGTCGCAGATGCTTTGGCAGACGATGATGGAGACCAATTGGACGATGATGATGAAGATGCTGATGACTTGGACGAAGATGACGAGGAGTACGACGCTCCGTCTACTTCGCGTAGAGGTGCAACGAGGAACTCAGGCCGGAAGTCGGCGAGGAGTGAAGCCGCGACTCCCAAAAGATCGGCTAGGACATCAACACGCGCCACTGCTGCTTCGACGACACCCGCTGCGAGCGCAGGTAAAAAGTCTCTCCGAGTCAAACTCACACGCACACCTCAGGCAACTGTCAAAGAAGACGCTTCCCCCGCTCCAACGGGTCGCGCCTCCAAGACAGCACCCTCTGCGCCTACTCCGCCCGCAACCCGTCGAGCGAAAGACGCATCAAAGGTCAAGTGGAAACCACGCGCTAAGAGCGGCAAAGCTTCGGACTCGGACGAAGACGAAATCCCCGTTCCCGACGATGACGAACTCGAAGACGAGCTCGACGTCTCCCACGCACCCACAGTACTTTCCGCATCCGACGACGAATCCTCTTCCGAGCCGGATGAAGCCACCGCCCTCGAGATGCAAGCCATCATCGGCAAGACAGCCCGTCAACTCGCGCGAGAGGGGGGTGCGGAATCGTCCCACATGGAACTACCCATGTTCGATCCGAACCGCAAGAAGAAGCTCACCGAAAACGAGATCGCACTTCGACGTTCCGAGACCGCCCGCAAGCGCAAGAATCAGGTCGAGAAGAAGCTCGAAGACGACAAAGTGGAGACCATCAACCGTCTCCTCAAGAAGCAGGTGGGCAGGAGTAGGAATAAATTGAGAGCAGGTAGTGAGGATTCCGACGAGGAGGTCGAACAGGCACGAAAGAGGGGCAAGGAAGAGTTGTCCCGAAAAGCGTTGAAGGAGATGCCCGCTCCCTACTTCAGGTTGATCGACAGAGCAGACGGCAAAGTTCTAGGTGTACCCACCGGGCCCGCGACAGTAGAGCAACTGTTGGGCGCCAACTACGTCGAGGTCAACCAGACGCTGATCGCCGAGCTCGACAAGCCGATCCAGACGGAGGAGCTGTCGGAGAAGCAAAGATCGCACGCTCAGAGGGCGAGAAAGCGGCTCGAAGAACAGGCAGAGCGATGGAAACAAGACCACGCTCTCGATCACGTCTGGGGCCAGGAGGGTCTGTACGAGTACAAGCTGCGAACCGTCCTGGGTCAGTCGAGGCAGGACTGGATCGGCTCAAGGCGTCAGCCCACGATTGAACAGCAGCAGGAGACGGAGGAACAGGACGCAGAGGTAGAAGCTGAGGCAGAGGCTGACGAGCAGGACGACGACGCCGAAGACGAGGTTGCAGAAGACGCCGAAGGTGATCAAGATGAACAAGACGTCGACGAGTCTTGAGGATCTCCTGATTCATCTAAAGCCAAACTGATTCGAACACTGTCCGAGGCTTCATCCTTCTGGCAGACTGTGCAGACCTCATCGCTGCAAGCCGACCGATCACATTCACTCTATGTCTGCGAGAGTCAAAATCAGATTCATTCGAGACGATTTGTTTGCGATGATACTACTACAAAAGCCGTTGACGGGAATACCCTGGACCCCTCGAGAGAACTGCGAGCGAGCTGAACAAGGGGTTTGTGGCGGACTGGATACGATATGAGAGAGATGCGAGATGCAGGACGATGAGAGATGATGGTGTTACATGTGCAGAGCTACGAGGTGATTTGCATGAGAGAAAGCGTTGCTTAAGAGTACGTTGTTGGGCATGAGATGGTCATGGAGATCATCGTAAGGTTGTTTGCTTGTCGGGCTGTGGCTGACTGAACAGTCGCAGAGCCAGTGCCAGCCCCTTGCTAGGAGGCACGGTCAAGCGAGGGGAAGAGGAGAGAGCGCAAACGCGCCAACGGCTGGAGAAGCAGTCATCAAAGGACAAGAGAAAACGGAGCCGGTCTCGACGGAGCCAGTAGGTATGGGTTTTCTTGCGTAGCCATGTGCGGAGCCAGGAGCCAGAGACGAGAAGGGAAACACGAAGCTTGGTACGAGAAGCGAGCCACGGCGCGATCACGGTTCGACAAGTCAAAGAGGGGAATGCGGGCAAGCGCATGAGGAGCGGCTGCGTGCAGCAACAACGAGAGAGGCAAGGATCTTACAAGCTCATTGGTCAAGAGCGGATCCGTTGCCACACGTAGCCGCTCCTCATGCACTTGCCGCAACCGCCTTTGCCGACTTCATGGCCTTCGACTTCTTGCCCTTCTTCTCTGTCTCCGAGCGGGGAGGCAGAGCCTCTTCCCAGACCTTCTCGTTGAGGCCCTTGACGTCGCGGACGTGCGAGCGCTTGTCGTCCGATGCGGCACGCATGGTGGCCTCGTAAGCCTCACCACCGAGGATCTTGCGAAGCTCGATCTCGTTCTTCTTCATCCAGAAGGCGGGAGGGAGCGTGCGAACCATCTTCTCGCTTGCGGCGAACACGGCGCGGTGTCGCATAGCGGGGGCTTCTGGGTCGTCGCGGAGATCCGACTGCTTGGTGTTGGGCTGCATAGCATCCTTGCGGTTGTACTCGAGCTTGGCCATACCGGGCGAAAGACACTGGACGAGGTAGAAGATGTTCTCCAATGGCTCAGGAGTGTCAAGGATGACGTTGGGGTCACGCTCGCTGGTCTCGCCGTCGCCGTCGACGCGCACCTTCCAGATGTACTCGTTGTCGAGCTTGTATGAGGGTGCGTTCTCCTTTCGGCGGCGAAGTGTCTTGCGCTGCTTGGCGTCATCGTTCTCCTCGGCCTTATCCTCCTCAGCGGATCGGCTGGATCGGTGGAAGTCGATGAACTTCTTTGGCATTCTGATGTACATGAAGCCATCGTCTGTGAAGGCACCGTGAGGGGCGGTGCGGCGGAGCACGTACATCTCGGTACGGGCCGAGTCGGTGCCCGCCCAGCCGGAAGTCTCGAGCTTCTGACGCTGCTCGAGAATGAAGGGCCTAGCCTTCTCCCAGGACTCGCGAGTCCAGGGCTTGGAGACGTGGTCGAGACGGACCATCTTCTTGGCCTCGTCCATAACCGCATCAGAGCTGTCGAAGATCACGCCGCAGTCCTTGGGGCCCTGTGATAGTGAAAGGCAGAAAGGGGAGTTTGACAATCAGCACTTGGAACGGACAAGAAAGAGTCACGACGACGTTGAGGGGAAGGGTATAACGGATACGTACTGCATTGGTGAGGTCGACAGCCTGCTCCTGGTTCTTGTTGGATTTCTTGCCCATTTTGAAGGGAGATATATGAGGGGGGTGAAGGGGATTGAAGGGGTGGGGGTAGGGGTTAGCCGGATGCTAAGGACGCTTGAGTTGGTAGAAACGCAGCCGATGTGGCTACGAGGAGGTCTGCTGGTGGTGAGGAGCCAAACACGAACGACTAGATACTAGCTCGCTCGTAAGTGATCCTGCTTGACGGTAATCGGGCGGCCGTGTGGTAGATTCAACGGCGGCGAAGGGTTGCGCTGGTGGAGAAGTGTCTTGTCTGCGACGATGGCAATGAGCAAACGCTGCGTCAGTGATTGAGTTGGTTAGCTGGCTTTGGTTGAAGAGCGACTCGAGAGTGTGCTGGAGTATCGATGATTGATCTGATGGGAGAAGGGAGGATGGTTGAATCATCGACGAGCGAAGGTCTTTATACTCCAGGATGAATGCTGCGACGAGGCCATGCTACTGTTTGGCAATGGTCAGCCGCCTGGCATTCGGCCAGAGACCGCACGGTCCATTCGCCTACTTCTGCAGGGCTGACTCGAGCCAGACTCTTTTGCAAAGCGACGTCGAGAAGTGTGGGGTGCAGCGCAAGGCGAGGCACCAGGGTGTCGGCGAGCGCCGTTCAAGCGAACAAAGACGCAGAAGAGCCGCAGGGTCTACGTGGAAAGTCGGCAGCGGTCACACTCACACGAGCACAGCGCAGCACAGCAGAGAGGCAAAGGGGAAAGAGAGACAGCGGACTTTCGGCCACATCCTCTGCAGTAAAGCACAAGATGTGGGGACAGCGCAAGAGCACGGACGGCTCAAGCCGAAAGCTGCAAGTTCGCTGGATCTGGCGCACAGGATCCAGCTACAGTTGCATGTTCAGCCTCAAAAAAGCCTTCACACACAGATCAAAAGCGCCCGAAGGCGTGCAGGCTGAGAGTTATGCTTAGAGAACAAGGCATCGAGGGAGTGTCGACTTGGTGGGTACCAGAGGGAGAGACGCAGGATGACTGTTGAGGTTCTCCGCCTGACAGCACTAGGGCACTCAACGACACTGGTCTGATTAGCTCCTCCTACGGTTGAATTGAGAGCGGGTCATCCCCTGCTGGTTTCCCCTCGCCCGCTCCGCCTATCCTCAACGAAACGATCCTGGGTGCTCCTCTGGGCTCCGCCCCACAAGCAAGCAGCCAGCTTGATTTCTGCAGTAAGCGCCGACACGAAAGGCCGGCCTCAGTGTCAAAAATTGTCATGCTGCCTTACTTGTTGAAGCACCCTGCAGCTGCAATTGTGTGCCTCCCCTACTGTTGCCGGACAGTAGCACCTCGTGGGCCAAAGCACAGCTCAGACGGCTGAGCGGTCGTGACGAGAGTGGACAGCAAGAACATAAATTAGCTCAAGCCGCTCTGTTTCCGCCAAACTTGCTACTGAAGCGTCAACAAGTAGGAAAGGACAGCCATCTCTGTGCGTGCTTGCCTGGGAAAGGCATCTCAAGTCGACGCACAAAAGCTGCTGCATGTGAGAGACTTTGCGGTGCAAAATGCCGTACAGGAGCAGCCGAAGTGTCAGAGCCAAGTCTGCACTGTGTGCCTTTCCTCCATGAATGGGCGAGGCCGACGGAGCCAGATCAGAGCACAAGTCAGTCATCGCCTCGCTTCTGCAATATATTCGTCGCCCTGCTCGCTGTTCTCCCTTCGACTATAAATTGACAGCGCTCGCTCATCATCGACTTCCGCGGGATCCATACATCCTATGCCGTGAGACGTGCTCTGCTTCCAAATCCTGGTATGTTTCCGTGTTCAGCGTCTGTGACGAACCTAGTGGGGTACGCTCAGACTTTCAAGGGCGAGGGCAGGGACGGCGCTTGCCGAAACAGGGTCTCTGGAGCGAGCGGACCATGACAGGCGACTCGACCCGACCCACACTAGAGACCTTTTTGGTCCTGTGACTTTCCCACCATCTAAGCGAGCCTGTATCAGCGCACGCCAGATAAGGCGGAGAGGCGCTTTATTTTGTTTTCGAGCATGGGCTTTTGCGTTGAAAAAAGTGTTGGTCCGCTGACCTGGGCACTTTACCAGTCATCAGCTGCACTACTCCACATCAAAAAAGTGTGGGGTAAAAATGCAGGGTGCACCTTTTTTGCTGGACCGCTGTGTGACGTGCTGCGTAGCAGAGAAAGACCTCATGACCAAACGCGGCCTCAACTCTCGAAACTCCGCCACGGCAACAGCATGCGTTATCTGGCGGACCTAGCCGAAATGTGACTGGAAACGACTCTTTTGGGTTAGTCTCACACGATGCGTTGCGTGCGTGCGTGTCTTGTGACCTCTGCCTTGGCTGGACGGTCGGCTGAACCGTCGCGCCATACGAATCGTGTTGGCCCCTGCATCCGAACTTGCCATGTCTGAACATTTGGAGCGACTCCGTTGACATTGTCTTCCAGCATCACATTTGGTGTGGGTCTCGAATCAAATTCTTCGACTCTCGGTCGAATCTCAGAAAGAATCTATTCGTGTACCTGCCTTGCATGTTGTTGTTGGAGAGGCGGCGGTCGACTTCTTACAGCGAGGGCGAATTAGAGGCAATTGAACCACACAGACTGAGACTCAACAGAGGACGAAGCAATCAGTTACGCTCACGGGCCATCTCGCATCCAATATAGACCAAACGAGCACACGACCTAGACAAAATCAGCAGACAGCAAAACTCCGCAGACAGCAGCTTGACCCACCTCGTGTTGTGCTATCTCAAAAGTTGACCGTCGCTCCGCTCATGGGCCTCAAGCCTCGCTCCAGACTGTCTCAACGTTTGGCTCGCCATATTTTCGGATGTACCGCCGATGCAGCAATCGTCTTGCCTCGCATTGGAATGGCGACAACTCGAGCATATACCAGTTTTCTTTGCCGAACGCAAAGTTGGGTCTATCTTCCTCAACTGGGCCTCAATTCAGGGTCAGAACGGCCTCCACAGAGCACAGTTCTGGTTGCCTTTCCATTAAGATAAGCTCTCGAAAAGGCCACTTCTGTTCGGCTTGACTCGTCCGCAACAGCAACGCGCGCGCACACCTGTCGAGGTGTCGCGCACGGGCTCTTTTCCAAACACGCAGCTATCAGGTTGTGCAAACGACAGCAGCAAGTTTACAGAGCAAGGAGCAGTGATGGTCAGCTTGGAGACGTTGCTGGTAGCGCTGCTGTAAATCTGCGGTGGTCTGCATACTTGAGTCGACCTGGGCTCGCGAAGAGAGATTGGGTGCTGAAGCTGCCAAGTCTGAGCTACTCGTAGTGCTTGTCAGGCTCTTTCAGGCTGATCGTGACCGCTTCAGAGGTCGATAGGTGGATCGCTGTATGACTGGATGCCGCTGTCATCAGAGCTGTCTTGAGCTGCTTGTTAACCTCACAACTGTCCTGATGCAGGACGGCTGAACGCTGAACCTCACAGCAAGACTGTGAGGCGCCCTGAAGCTGCAGCACCCGTGCTCGGATCGATGGAGCCTTCTCGTCCTTTGTCTGTCCGGCCTGAAAGGAAGATTGTTGATAAGTCTGTCCCCAAGCTTGATAGCTGACACCCAAGAGACCCTGATGCATTGTAGCTGGATACCACACATGAGGGAATGGCAAGATTTTTGTGCCTTCGAAACACCCAATGTACGAGTTCTAGTGGGTGGTTCCTTGTCCCCGTCAGGCTCCCCGAAACAAGCGCAGCACCGTCAACGCATCTTTGGATGTTACCTTCGAGGGGTTCGCTAGCATGGACCTGGGTCTCTATCCTCGTCAAGCAGCTCAAGTAGTTAAGGTACCTGCCGCAGCAGCAGGCCTGCCATCAAAGCTACGATGCAGGTGCCCCTCAGACATCTCATCTCCCCACCCAGGTACAGACCAACCTCCTCATCACATGTCTCTCGGCTGTCCTAGTCAATGGAAGATAGATTTATCGAATACACTTGAGCGCAGACGCCGCTGTTAAATACCTCTACAAGATTGCTCCGCTCAGCTTCTTCCGATCGTGGCTTGACGCCCTCTTGCCATCGACTTCTCAGGCTGGAACGGCGCTGCTGGCTCGCGAATCCGCAAAGATGTCCTCGCCACGTGCCTCCTGTCGGTCCTTCTTCTTCTTAATCTGCGCGTACTCTCGCGAGATGTTGGTCGATGTCGTCCATCCGTCTTCGGGAAACAGTTCGAACATCTGCTTGTAGCAAGCTTTGCGGGCATTGATCTCGCTGTACTGCTCGACCGAACCCTCAAGCTTGTACTTTTCGTTACGAAGCTCGCTCATCGCATTCTCGATGGTGATGAGCATGAACACCTCTTCGCGCATCTCTTCGCTCCATTTCCATCGCTTGGTCGGCTCGATGTTCTCGTCTTCGACCTCCTTGGCGCCGTCGACTTCCATCGACTCGTCGGCAGCGGACTTCTCCTTGGGCGGCTTGTCGGCCTGCGCTGCCTCGCCGTCCTTAGGTGCCTCGCCGCGGTCCACCCATGCCTTGTGCGCCGCTTCAAACTCAGCAAGTTGCTGCGGGAAGCTGTCGCGGATCATCTCGCCGAGCTTGTCCAGGTGATCCTGCTTGAGATCTTCAAAGTACTTCATGTGGTGTGGAAAGAACTCGCGCTTGACCAGCTTCATCATGGTGAAGCGGTTGTACGGGAAGATCGTCGGAAGGTGATTGAAAAAGTTGTCGTCGTACTCGCCCAGCATGACGGCCAGTTTGGCCGTCTCGACGAGGGGTGGCTTGAGCGAAGGAGGGAACTTGGTCTTGACGGCGAAGCTCTCCGCATCCACCTCAGCCTTGAGCTCGTCGAATGAAGCTTGAAGACGAGGATCGACGGGCAGGGTGGGGTAACGGTTGTTCTTTTTAGCCATCTTGGAGGAGCCCGAGTCAATGTCATCGACCTTGATGGGCGAGTCGCGAGTGCCTTCCTGCCTGGACGCGTTGGTGAGTGCCGAGGCGGCGCCGACAGAAGGACTGCCAGGATCGCCACTGTTGAGGAGCGAGCCGAGCTGCATCGACGGTGATCCCGTCGGTGGCATCGGAGGCAAAGCCGCGCCCTGCTGTGCCTTGCGGGCCACAAGCCTGTTGAGAGATCCCGCGAAGCCGAATTTGGAATCGCGAATGCTGAGCGGTTTAGGCCTTTCTGAGGGCGGGAGGGGCTGTCCTTTGGCCATGGCTTTGGCCTTGGCGAGCTCGACGGTGCCCTGCGTGACGTAGAAGCCGTCTGCTTTGGGCTTGGCAAAGTGGGTAGGCTCATCGATATTGAGCTCCGAGTCATCGACGAAGGGGTCGCGCACGTCGTACTGCCCGATATCGTACTTGTCGTCGATGGGTCGTCGGCGCTTTTTACTCGCCGCGCTAGCGCCCGAAGGCGCACCAGAGGGCTCGTCGGGACGATATTTGGCAAGAAGCTTGGCAAGTCCTGGCTCGAGATCGCCGGGGATTCCAGCACCGTCTGGCGGCGCGACGACAGGTTCTGGCTCTGCCGGGACAAGCAGTTGCTCCTCGTACCATTTCGCCCATGGATGATCCTCTCCCTTGAGCTTGACCAGCACGAGCTCTGGAACGTTGATGAGATAGCCACTCTGGCGGGCTTCGAGGATGTCTATACGAACCGTGGGTCTTTTAGGTGCTGGCGCCACAGCTTCCGGAAGAGACGGGCTTCGGCGTCGAGAGCGCTTCTTGGGTGCGGCTGCCTTGTCGCCCGACTTGGCTCCATCTTTGGACGAGGGGCCTTCGCCTTTGTCGCCGCCCTCGTCTTCCGACGCGCTACCTGCATCTGTGGTAGCCTTGTCATCATCATCATCATCGTCTTCTTCGTCATCGTCGTCGACATCATCGTCACCATCGGCGTGTCCAGGACCGTTCAGGTTTTGGTCATTCTCTTCGGAGGCATCTACCATAGCTACGTCTTCCTGAACATCCTCTTCTGCGTCATGGAAATGCTGTTCCGACTCTGCCGCTGTCGCTGAAGCTCGTTGTGGCGAAGAGGCATTGGATCGTCGAGGCTCGCGATGGTCGGTGCCGTTGCTTGCGTTTGCTGCCTCTGACGGCAGCTGTAGATTTGATCCGGAAGCATCGGCGCTCGATCGCTTGCGGGGCGAAGTGCGTGGAGAATTGGCATACGGCGAAGAGCCTGGCCCGCTTGGTCCTAGAAGGTTGGCCAGAGAAACACGCGATGCGGCCGAAGATCGAGGCATCTCCTCGTCGTCGATTGCGATCTCTGCCTGAGACGTCTTTGTGTTCATTTTCGGTATGGTTAGCTCGGGGAGTGGTGAGGAAGTGGTATGGTCGCTGCTGCTACTTGAGATGACAATAACATCCGGATGAGTCGAGGGCATACGAGCAGCAAGAGGTCCTAGTTGTTCGTTGTGATGTAGGCGAGTCAGCCGTGCTGCACTAACAACTCGGCTGGTAGCGGCGTCTCGATTTGGGAAGCCGTTGAAGGCGGAAGAGGGCCGATTGACTGATCAGTGGACGACACGAATCGAAGGTCGTAAGCCAGAAGTGTTGTCAATTAGTTAGAACGGGTGTACAAGACGATTGTGAGCAGTCGATGGTATCGAAAGGATGGGTTGCCGATAAAAAGAGCGTGTGGTGGAGACGAAAGGAGCGTTACTGAGCGCCAGAAGGATGCCGTAGGTGTCGCGTGCAGTACCGGCCTAGCCTCTGCGTAGCGTGTGTGACGAGATCAATGCGATTTGCGTGAAGAGTGGCTGTTTGCAAGCCGTGCAAGGGACGGAACAGGAAGATAGGATGTTTCCAGGTGAAAGACAGGAACAACACCACGGCTTTTCGGAGACGACGGAACTGCCGACTTGCTTCTGTAGCTGCGAATAACTCTTGAATCGGGTGCGCGACGTGCACGCATACAGCTCTCACGTTGATGCCTGTGTCGGTTCATACGATTTGCAATTCAACACACTGTACTTCAGGCTGTCTCTGCTCCCATGCACGTTCATTGCGTTCGGAACGCGCACATGGAAGCGTTAGCTAGCGGGTTAGAATCGGCCCTGTCGATTCGCTTCCATCCAACCCAAGAGGCGGAAGAAGCCTTTTCTCAAAAAATTATTTGCGGACACCGCATTAGACTTTCGGAAGGCTGCTTTTCGTGCTACAGACTCGCTTGGCTGACCGTTCCAAATGACCAGCGCCGCTCCAAGGAGTGCTCACTGAGAACGAGCACCAAGGTTGCGCACTCGATGCTTGGGAACCGACCAGTCTGTTCTGCAATGTTGTCCAGTATCATGTTCACACACTGTAACGGTCCGTGAGGTTACTCTAGCAGAGCAGAGTTGCGAAATGCTTGCCCAGAGCGTGGGAAAGCGCTTCTTCGGAGCTTGCCGACCACTAAATAGTAACTTGACTACTAAAGATCTTTCGGACCTTGTTCTAATGACCTCTCCTCAAGCTCATAGCTGCGAATACGTACTTGAGTTGAAGCAGGTCGAAACCTTGGCTTGCCGTACAGCGTACCTCTTACGGTCTCTATCCGACAGGTGCTCTCATCCAATCGCTGACACAATCCGATCTGTATCATGATGATCGCAATGGTTGATCGAGACGTTGACGTCCAATCGTATCGAATTATGATGAAGGAATGCGCTGGCAGTTGATGTGCGTCTTGGACGGGTCCTGTGGCAAGGTACAGAAGAAATTGAGGCTTTGCATTGTCGAGAAGAGGGATTTAGCTGTCAAGAACGCGGTCGAGACCCATGTCAGTCGTGTGTCAGCCGAAAGCCAGACTATCAAGCTAGCTTCTGCCGACGAGCGGAATGTACGCACCTTCCAAAGCGATCTCGGTGCAGGTCAGACGGCCATCCGACTGCTGTGCGCAGAGCTGCGAAACGCCAGACCCTCGCTCGCTGCAGTGTCGCCATCGTGTTCGTGGAAGATTAGATGATTTCGTAGGTGTCAGCGATCTGATCGAGTCGTACAAGGCTAAGGGTAGGTTCTGCACGATGGCAATTTAGGGTCTCGACTCACCCATCCAATGTGAAGACGGCAGCGCCGGTCTGCTGAACGAACTGCCTCGTGTGCTCGTGAGCTGGCGAATTCATTCGATCCGTGAGATTTGATGAGGATCCCGACCTATTGAGACGAAAGGAAGAGAGGCAGAACAATTGTCAGCCGATCAGGTTATGCTTCTCTCATGAGCATAACGACGTTGCCATTGAGTTCTGGTATGTGCCTGGCTGGACGGGATGCTTACATGGTGAATGTGTCTCGCTGCGCTGCTAGCCTGTTCGATCGTGTCTTGAGCTTGGTAGAAGCCGAGGCCAAGTTTGTCTCTCTGGCCTGTCCTGCTTGTGATGGTGCGTTGTCGAGAAGGAGCAATTGAAGAGGGTCCTCGGATGAAGCTTGACGAGCAGGTGTTCCGTGTTTCCTCCACTCTGAGTAACAACGTTACGTCAAAGAGCTGCCGAAGGAGTCGGCTTTCGGGAGAAAGGCGATTTTCGAATGTGAGTTGATCAACGTTAACAGTGCTACGAATCGGCCCCGATCCGACTGAGCACGGCAATGCTTCTCAGAAAATTTCGCAGTTGCTGAGTCGAAAACTTCTCCACCGCCGAAAAAGTTGACGCTGCGCCTTAAATTTTGCCGTTCTTCTCTGCATGTCACACGCCACGACTTCTCATTGACCACCACCAAATCAACGGTCAATCTCGATCCTACACTTGACCGATAGCGACGACATGGAGTATCATCCACCAGCAGCACAGCACATGGTGCTCTGTGCCGATTGTGGTACACCCATCACACCCAACAATGCCAACCTGTGTCTATCATGCTTGAGAAACTCGGTCGACATCACAGAGTCGGTGCCCAAGCAGGCCACCGTCAACTTTTGCAGAAACTGCGAGCGATATCTCAACCCTCCCAACTCGTGGGTGCCTGCTCGTCTCGAATCGAGAGAACTCCTCGCCATTTGTCTCAAGAAGCTCAAAGGTCTCAACAAGGTGCGACTCATCGACGCCGGTTTCATCTGGACAGAACCGCACAGCAAGCGTCTGCGTGTCAAGTTGACAGTTCAAAAGGAGGTCTTCACCTCCACCATCCTCCAGCAGATCTTTGAAGTCGAATTCGTGGTGCAGTACGGCCAGTGCCCAGACTGCACCCGCCTCGCAGCCAAGAACACATGGCGTGCCATGGTCCAGGTCCGTCAAAAGGTTCAACACAAACGTACCTTCCTCTACCTCGAGCAGCTCATCCTCAAACACAACGCGCATCAGAACACCATCTCCATCAACGAGAAGAAGGACGGTCTCGACTTCTTCTACACGCAAAGATCGCACGCCATCAAGATGGTCGAGTTCCTCAACTCGGTCGTCCCCATCAAGACCACCAAGTCGGAACAGGTGATTTCCATGGACGTGCACACCTCCACCACCAACTACAAGTTCACCTACAGTGTCGAGATCGCACCCATCTGCAAGGACGATCTCGTGTGCTTGCCGCCCAAGATGGCCAAGCAGCTCGGCAACATCGGTCAGCTCGTGCTCTGCCACAAGGTGACCAATTCGTTGCGCTTCATCGATCCTATCAGCTTGCAGCTCGCCGAAGTGCCGGCGGAGAAGTACTGGAGGGATCCGCAGCCGCCGCTGGCCACGATTCCGGAGATGATCGAGTTCCTCGTACTCGACATCGAGCCCACCGGACGATACGCTACCAACACGCACGGCGTCCAGAACAGGCGTCTCGAAGAAGCCGACGCCCAAGTGTCGCCTCTCAACGCCACCTCGTTCGGCGAAGCCGACGCAGTCTACCACACCCGCACCCACCTCGGAGCCATCCTGCAGCCAGGAGATACCGTCATGGGCTACCACCTTCGCGTCGCCAACTTCAACTCGGCCACGTGGGACACGTTGCCCGCCGACCGAATGCCCGACGTGGTGCTGGTCAAGAAGTCGTACCCGGAGCGCAAGAAGCGATCCAAGCACCGCATGTGGAAGCTCAAGTCGATGGCCAAGGAGGCGGAGGATCCGTCGGCGGAAGGTGCGGTCGGACGCGGTGCTGTGGGCCGACGAGGTGGGTTGGATTCGCAGCGCGTGGAGCGCGATTATGAGTTGTTCTTGAGGGAGCTCGAGGAGGATGAGGAGATGCGCGGGACTGTTAACCTGTACAGGGATGCGAAGAAGGAGGAGGAGAGGAAGTTGAGGAAGGAGCGCGCGGCGCAGATCAAGGCCGAGAGGGAGGCGGCGTTGGCGAACGGCGGGATGGAGGAGGATGGCGAATTCGATGATGGTGCCACCACGGATGGGGAGAGCGAGTGGGGCGATGATGATGCACCGAGGGTGGGGATGGATGAGTTGTTGGACGATCTGGAGGATATGGCGATTGAGGATTGATCGTCTGCGGAGCCATTCTTGTGTTCTCATGTGTCATTGCATTCGATCGGTTCATCTCAATAGACTCTGCATTCCGAGCATCACTTCACAGTCACGTTCTTTTCCGCAAACTTTGGTGTGACAGCATGCCATTTACAGAGAGCCTTGATCCGTGACGAATGAGCTGTGTGCTTGATTTTGCCTTGAAGTGTGGAACGAAGAAACAAGTATCGAATGTTTGCGTGAGATTGACGAGTTGGGTTGGGTTGAGGCGAGGGACGCTTTGCTGGTCTTGCCAGGGCGATGTATGGGGGGTGGGGTGCTATCTGAAGAGCGGTCGTTGAGCGATTAGATTGTTGCAATGGGTATAGTGCCTCGTCTCCTTTCCTCTTCCTTGCATCACCGAGTCTTCTCATTCCATCATCCGGTTGCATCCCACTTTGTATTCGGGTTAGCCAAAAACTCTTCGTACGCTTGCTTGTTGAAGAAGCTCAACTCCGTCTCGTTCTCGATTCCGATTTCTGCCAACGTCGTGTTCTCCTTTGTCTTTCCCACTCTCTCACCCTCCTTGACGAGTGCTCCCAGATTTGCATCTTCCAAAACCCACTCTGGGCGGTCGAGGTTGATGATCAAATTCGTCGTCTTACTTCCATGCGCCCTGGTGTACAGCTTCAGCGTATCCAACTTGTCAGCATAACTCTTGAACGCTCGGTAGCTCGAATTCGTCTTGACTTCCTGTCGACACTTTTCCTCCAACTCAGCAACGCTCGTCGAAGTCAGATCGATCGATTTGATAACGAAAGCTTTCATGGATCGAAATTCGAACGACTTGATGATACGGATCGTGATGACGGCATCGGTGAGAGGTCGTGCGTTGTTGGTTTCTTTGTTGTCCGAGAAATCCGCTTGCGGGTTGAATGCGTGAAACCCTCCAGGGAGCAGCGTCGACGTCGTCTCTGTCATCTCTGTGATGAGGATATGGAGGTTCGAGAGCGCTGCAATGATGTTGATGGTGGCTGGTCGAGACGCTGATGAAAGAGAATGTCGTTGTTTCACCGTAGTCTTCGCAGAGTTGAGATGGGCTGTTTTGATGAGGGAAATAATTTCCTTCCAGAAAGCTCTAAAATCGTCGGCTCAGGGTGCTGGACCTTTCTCGTCAAGGTCCGGTCGTATGGCTCAGTCCTCAGGTCGAGGCCTAACAAAACGTTGCAAGCTTGAACATTCTCCACATCGACGCGCTCTCTCTCATCTCACACACACGACACCGTTGCAATGCAGAACTATATGAGATTCTATCAAGCAAACATACGCAGTTGGCAGCTCGGGCGTCACCTCGGCACAAACGACAAGGCGAATGAAAAATGAAGTCGATCGAATGCTTTACAGAGTGTTTGTCTTCCCCTGCGACTGTCTAAACATCACCCCCTTGAGCAACGCGCGCTGAAATGTCTTGCAGCAACACCTTTTCTTGCTGAGGGAAGCGGCCCAGCATGGCTTCTAGAGCCAGCAGCTCGGCTGATTTGACGGGCGGCGGCGTCGGCTGCGAGACGACATCCATGCTAACTCGACCAGCGAGCGGAGTCGTCGCGCCGGTCAAGTCCGACCTCGTCGGCATCTGCGACATGCAGCTGTGCGAGAGCGATCCGTTCTCTGGCGTCGAGACTCCATGCGTGGTGAACGTCCCGTCCGAAGTGCTGCCGGAGAGATCGTTGTTTTCGCCCTTTTGCGATGGCACAGCTTCAGTCCAAGCTATCGCGTTGATTCCCAGCCCGGCAACAACGCTTCCGTCTGAAGCAGATCTCCCCTCCTCGTCGGCAGGAGAGGCGTGGACCGATGCGGTACTCTTGCTCAACTCCTTTGAAGGCCGTTGTCTTGGTCCATTGGTGGCAAAGGACGAGGTCACAGGGCTCGGCATCAGGCTGCTCACCCCCACTTCAGGTCGCGAAATCGAGTCGAAGCTTGGTCTGTCCCCTCCTCCGACAGTTGGTCGCAACAATCCACTGAAGGATGGTCGTGCGTCTGTTCCGAAGGACGGCCTTGGCTCGGTAGACATTGAAGGCCGCCAGCTCCAATCGCCAGGAACTTCGTTTCCGTCCACATCGTCGTTGCGATCTACGATGATGACATCCGCTGGTCCGATGCCCTTGTTGCTTTTGTTCTTTCGTCCCAGTCGCCTAAAGGCCTGTCCGACACCGCGACCTGACGGCAAAGGCGGGCTCATGGGACTTGCAACAGGAGCTCGATCGCGATCCTGCGAAAACGAAGATCGGCCACTCCTGGGCGCACCGAAGCCTGTCGGCCGCCATGAAGGCGTCAACTGTTCGCGCATTCCAGGAGTTGCCGGACTCTTGGGTGTCGAAGTCAAGAACGTCGAGGGTGACCTCAAAGACGAGGACAATGCAAGTTGGTCGCTATCGTGCAGATTCGTATCCGACCGCTTTCGCATAGGCCGCAAGATATCGAGACTAGTTTTCCTTGGTCGAGCCTTCTGTGAGGCATCAATCTGCAAGCTCGACGGGGCAGTGTGTTCGCGCAAGTTTCCGCTGATACTTCTGCGCATCGATCTGTGTTCACCAAAGGAGCGAGGGCTGTGAGTGGAAGGCGTCGGCAAAGGCATGGACGCAGACAGTCGCAGCTCGCTGGCCTGATCCGCCTCCGGCATCCATGAGAGACGCTCGCTCAGCTCATCTACGCGCGAGAGCCGGTCGACTGAAGCTTGACCTCGAATGAAGCGTTTCAATGGCGATCTAAAACGCTGCTCGTCGGTCTCAGCGTCCGCCATTTCCTCTGCTGGATCGTCGCTTGTAGAATGCAAAGAAGCGTCGCCGTGATCGGCTACTGGACGGTCACCCTGAGAAGTGGGGAAGGTAGAAAGCACGTCCTGCTGTTCTGATCTGAGTCCAGATTCGATACTCGGTTGGAGGGTGTCGCTCAGCAAAGCTGGACTTAGCGTCTTCCGAATGGTGGTTCGCGACTGAGCGATGTTTGTGGACGCACCTGACGGTGCCATGCCATCGCGAGCACGGGCGGAAGACATCGACGACCTTGGTTCAGCCTGCTCCTCGACCAAGAGAGATGGCGGCGACGTCTGGGAAGGCGGCGGTGCGACGTTATCGAAGACGACATTAGGCTTCTGCTGGGCCTTTTTGCGTCGAAGCAGCCTTCCAATGGTGCCCGAGCTGTGCTCCGAGGGAAAGGTGGAGGAAGATGGTATCGAGGGAGATTCTTCCCAGACCGACCTCGTAGCATTGTTATCCGGTGCTGCAAAGGCGACTGGTATGGCTGGCACTGGGGGAACGTCGTCTAATTGGCCCTTGCTGCCCGAGGAGGAGAGGGTGGTCAGCGACTTGACGCGAGCCCTGAACGGACGCTCTGGCCTTTGGGTCGCCGGACTATCGGTAGAGATGACGCTGAAAGATGGCGACGCCGTGATCGGGAGAGCATGCTCTGACAGAGGATATTGCTGGTAGAGAGTCTGAGCTGATCGCGAAGAGGATTGCGTATCAGACGCCGGCGACGTGGGCAAGTTGACGGCTCTCGACGAGCTCGAACCTTTGAATTTCGTCAGCAGACCTCCAAGCTTGCCACGCGAGCGTTGATGCACAATGGTGGGTGCATGCGACGTGACCGACGTATCGTGGAGGTGGCTCGTGGATTGACTGTAGGTGCTTGCTACACTCTGAGAACCTGTTATGCTGCTCGCCGACGCATCTGGAAGACTTGCATTGGTGTTCCCTGCCCGAGGACTACTCCTCGTTGCTCGGCGGTCCTGCGCGTCCAGATCGAGTGGCTGCAGGGTCTCCTCAAGCTCGTCGTCGGGACAGTCGATGACTCTGCTGAGCGGTCGCGTCCGCCCTGCCATTGTAGCAGTACGCTGGCGAGGGACAAAGGGCTTGGCGAAGCGCGATTCTGAGAAGCTGACACGGCCCTCAGCAATCTGTTCCGTGCCACTCGCCGACGCCGTCGTCGCATGGGGACCAGACGATTTGCCGTTGAGCAAGCCGGCTCGGAAGGGTGAGATGATTGAATCAAGACTGCGTCTGACGACACCCGGACGTCTGTCTGACCTGACAGTAGAGCTGGGGCTCGTGCATGAATAGCCCGGCGGCGACATCTGCGCGAAGCGAGTTTCGGTCTCTGCCTCCATGTCGTCAGACGAATCCATTTCAAACTCGTTGGTGCGAAACTCGTCATCGCGGCGCATCGGAAAGATGTTCAGGTCGACGCTTCGTGGTCCGTCATGACTTTGCCACGCAGCACGAGGGTTGACGGCAGGAGTTTGTGCTGTAGCGGCGGTCTGTTTTGCATTTCGAGCAATGCTCTCTTGTGCGGGGGTTTGCAAAGGAGTCGGCGTGTCAAACTTCCGCTCTGTCGGTAAGGGCGAGCGTACCGGACCTTGCAATGGGCGTGCTGCGAGGTCGGAAGCTTCAGAGCCGAGAAGCTGTCGAATCTTGCTCATTGATTTACGCGGCGCCGCTGTGTACTCTGCGGCATGATGCACGTTTGTCCTCTGCGTAGCCTGCAAGGGAGATGGTGGAGATGCAACTGCGAGCGCTGAAGGCCGCCGTATTCGGAGTGAGTGCGAATCAGCTCTGTCACGTCGAGCCGCGTCGTCCATGCTCGCCCGCCCGACGCGGGCCGACACGTTCAGCGACGAAGTCGAATTCTGCAGAGGCGCCCGATTGCTGCTAGATCTTGAAGCATTTGTTTGGAGCGAACAAGAGTGTCCACCGCCAGTCCGGGGCGGCAAAGGCTGTACGTCTTGCTCGGGCTCTTCGCGGAAGGCGACAGCAGAAGCGTACGGATGAGTTGATCGCAGCGATGAGGGCGCCGAAGGAGACGCCAGAAGATAATTTGAGCGAGCGTGCGTGAGATGGGGATCGCGGTTGTCGCTCGTGTTGCTAGAGGAAGGATGGCCTTGCGTGAACGAAGTCGAGGTGCCAGCTAGATCAGGCATGGACGGCGAGCCAAATGTCGACTGCCAATTGGTTGAGCTCGTGACGCGGGGCGGTGGAATGGGAGGGACAAGCGGCTTCGGAGACCCATGAAGCCTGCGGTTGCGCCGTCGCTGGCCGGAGCTTGTGGCCGAGACCGAACGGAAGGAGCGTAGGGAGCCTTCGAACGAGGCTCGCTTCGAGGAATAGGCTGGGTCATCGTAAATGGGATCATCGGCGTCCGATCCTGTTGCTTCATGAGTCGGTCGATAAGGCAGATCACGGATGCCAACTTTGCGCGACGGAGTCTTCCGGCGTGCGGAAGGGTCTGAGTGGTCGAGAGATCTGCGCAAAGTCGGCGGTGAAACAGGCGAGGAGGAAGCCGGAAGCTTGTCACGACTGTGAGTGCTGGCCACGGACGTGCGCGACGAAGGAATCGAGAGAGACGCGTATCTGTCGTGCCAGGCTGCGTGGTCTGGATGCTTGGGATCGGCGGCTTGAACGATGGCGTCAAAAAGCTCGGATCCTAGGTGAGCCGGCACCGGCTGAGGGGAAGACGAGGGGCCTGGAGTAGACGAGAGGGAGGACGCTGCTGGGACTGTGGAGGAGTGTGCAGAGGGGGGCTGTGTGCTTGTTCCGGCTCTGACCTTCGGCGCCGCCGAAACGTGCTGACGGCCCTGTTCGGCGAGCGAACGGAATTGGTATGGATGGGTCTGCATCAGTGTTGGCATTGCAACGTTGAGGGTTGCAGCCGGATTGACTGCGCAATGACAGGATGCCTGCTTGGAGCTTCCCGCTGGCGGCTGGCAGCGATCTGAAGAGAAGCCAGACGTTTTTGCGTAGCGTCGCAAAGCCAAGTGAGGTTGAGCACAGGCCTCACTCTAAAGGGCTGCTACGTTCGGCAACTAGAGCAATGAGCTGATCATCGACGATGGCTGCCTGTTTGTGGAGGTCGAGGATGGAGAAGATGGAAGCAGGGTGAAGCGTGTTGCGGGCTGCTTGCCAGGCTAAGCTCGCGTGACTGGGCGCTCGATTGAAGGCGACGCCCGGCTCGCTTTCTGAGAAGGTTCGAGATGAAGGGGTCGGAGAAGGTGACGGTTGTATGCGCCAACAATGAAAGGAACAAGAGAAAGATATGAAGGATTGTGATTGTCCCAAGCGACCGTTGTTGAGCGAGCCAGATGCTTTCGAGAGACGAATACGAAAGCAGATGAGCTCACAGCCCAAGTCGAGCAGAGGCGGGTGTGTATGAGGGAGAGAGAGGAAGAGGAGGACGGCAAGTTGCAGCGTGGAGGATGGAGAGGATTGGCGGCAAAGCTGAGGCAGCTAATCAAGAACAGCGACCAACAGTGACTTCTGCACGCCCGACGGGATGCTTCTCAGCCTTCGAGCACATGTGTCACAGCACGCACCGGAAGTGCCGGCTCGACTTGGGGAGGGGATGGGAACGTTGTGGCACACACGCACTACTGCAACAAGGCGGCCATGCAAGAGTCGAGTGCCTTTGTTTCGAGGTGTGACAGTTGATCTCGCTGTCGCCTACCGTAAGCGACACGATGTGGTAAGTGGCAGCCGAAACGAATCGCGGCCAAGAAGTCGGGGCCAGACCTAAGCTGCAACCCAAGGCCGCAAAGCACAAGAAATCTCGACGTTAGCCGAGTTGTACCAAGCGAAGCGAGGCGAGGATAGCGGCAAGCACCGACGCAGACTTGGTGGTGGAATCCGACAGCTGCCCCCAATCGATCCTGCCTTTGGCTCGACAAATGGAAAAGCCGAGGATTTTTTTCAACACCTCGCTACGCCCATCACCTGCATGCATGCTCTTGATTTCTCACCTTCCTGATTTGTCGCCAAGTTTCCAGACCCTTGACGTGCAGCAGAGTACTGGTACACGGTAGCGACAGCAAGCGACTGGCCAAATGAGCATCGGACAAAGATGGGCAGTTCATCGCGAACATGAGATCTCGAACATGTGCACGATGCAGTTTCCGCTTCCCCTTGGAGCAGAGTGATGGGAAAACCCCGGGCCTCCTCATCGGCGGACTCCGCGTCTACTCTCTCACGCACAGACAGCCATGACCATGTGCTGCTTTGTCTGCATATCGGACGTCACCGAAAATCACCCTGAGCCTCACTGGCGTGGTTCCCCGAGCCTCACACACTTGCTGAGCCCGGACAACTGCTGATCAATCTGGTCGCCTGGCCAAGTCCCGCCTGCTCGATGCGCTGCTCTAATTGAGGATAGGCATGGGAAGAAGCAGTTTATCCAAATGAGGTCGGGTCGGCAATGTGAATTTCTCTGCATCTATCATGCAGTCTCGACGTTCGAAGCTTTGTTCACCCTTGCAGATTCGAGCACTGTCGAAGCCTGTCAAGCCACGATTTTCTCTCCAACGCGCTGCTAGCCACATCTCATTCACACTAGACAAAACGTAGCCCGGTATTCCCGAACGCAACCAGAGGTTTATGTGGCTTGCTCGAGTGCATGCAGATCTGAGTCTATCCTCCCAATGAAGATGGAAAGAGGGCATCAAGCACCGACTCGCTTTGACTGAAATCGAGCTGGAAACTCGAGACGTTTGTGACTGAAAGGATGTGTGTGACTTTTTGCAACTGATTTGTTGATGGTTTCACAGTTGGTTGTCCACCCTCGAACTCGTTTTCTGTGGGTCCAAAGTGTCTCAGCCTCGCGGGCTGAAGACGTGCAGCACAGCACATCGCGTTTCACCGTTTGATTTTTTGATTTTTTCATTTATTATTTATTATCTCCTCGATCTGGGGAGAAACGCATTTGACCCTGATTGCCTCGTGCGGGAAGGTCAAATTGGCCGATCGGTCCGCGAAGCTTCCCGTTCGACATGCTGCTTGACGATGGCGACCAAACGGAAGCGCATCTCGTACCTCTCCCCCGCTTGATACACAGCGTCCGAAGCTTGGCATTTCAAATAGGCTGACGTCTGACTTGGTCCTCGGCTGTGCTCCGTCGGGTTCTGCAATGCTGCACAAAGCATCGCCGCTTGAATCGCAAACAATCCCACCCCGCTCTCAACGTAGGTCTCTCGGACCATTTGACAGCCGGACGGGCTATGCATATGCATTCCTGACACTGGACGATACAGTGCCTCCAGCCTTGCACGTCCTCGATTTATCCGGAAAGTTGGATGACGGAGATGAGGGTCTCCTCCAGGCAATCAATCTGCCAACCCCCCGACGAGCGAAGTGTTGCTTTCGAACTGCATTTCCTTTCCGCACGGCGCCCTCTCCGCCAGTTTTCCCTCTTAGTGCAGCTGACGGGGACTCGATCAGACCACGGGCGGCGCAAGTTGCGAAACCTGCTTCACGATCATCGGGCAGAGGACGAGCTCGCTTTTCATTCGACCGATGCGATACGATCCCTACCATCCATCACACGACCCAAGCCATCAGAGGCGAACTTGTCCGTTGTTCATCTCTTGGGGCTGTCAAGGCCCTTCTCATCCCGCAAATCGCCATAATGGCCGCACGAACGAAAGGCGATTCTGCGTAAGAGCGCCCCACGGCTTGAAAGCGTCGCGCTTTTTTCTCGGAAGTCGGAGCAATGCGCGTTGATCACCGCCAAAATTCCAGGAAGCCTTGGTCCAGCCAATCCTCGTGACTGCGACACACGACCAACACACGGCATCGCACGCACAGCACGATGGAGGACGACGAACTTCAAGCAATCCGAGCGGCTCGTATGGCCGAGCTCAGGGGTAGCGGAGGCGGAGCTGGTGGTGCCGGCTCTGCGGGACCGTCTGGTCCTGGTGGTAAGTCTTTCAACGATGAACAGCGCGGCTCAGTCGAGCGTTTGTGATTGTTCTGACCGGTTCATCTGGACATCTTAATGCATGCATCGGCTATCAAAAGGCTTCAGCGGGCAGCAAGGAGCGCCGGGAGGTGCGGGAGCGAAGAATCAAGAAGATCAAGCGGCACAACAGGAAGAAATGAAGCGTCAGATGCTGAGTCGCATTCTTGATGCAGAGGCAAGGGAACGATGTAAGTAACATCTCCATCACTAGCTCAACAAGATCGTTTCCACTGACTCTTGGCGTGTCTTAATTGGACGATATGTAGTGTCAAGGATCGGACTTGTCAAGCCGCAAAAGGCGAGACAGATCACCGACCTGCTCATCCGCATGGCTCAATCTGGTCAGATCCGAGGCAGGATCACCGAGGACCAACTCATCGGTCTGTTGGATCAAGTGGATCAGGCCTCTTCGGCAGACTCGGGCGCAGGCAAGATCACTGTGAGTATCAAAGCCATGTTACATTGCTAATCGGTGCATGAGGCGCTGACTGTTTGACGCCGGCGTTCGAAATCTCACCACAGTTTACCAGGAAGAAGACGGTGCAGGACGACGATGACAGCGACTTTGACTTGTAGCAGCCAACTCGTCAATTGATATCTACGACCACAGAACAGAAAGTCTGGAAAGTCTGAAGACCGACGAGCCCTAAAGGCGGGATGCAACATTGTATTGAAAAGGAGCGGGTATATCTTGTCCTACACATAATTACGTCGCTGCCGATGCGACTGCGGTCGGTGGTGCTGCTCCCGCCGCCGCCGCGCCCGAACTTCCGCCGCCCTTCTGAGTCTTGACATGGAAAGTGCACTGCGGAGCCTGATTCGTCTCCGCTACCACGGAGCTCGGCACATCGAGCTGTGCCAGCGCGCCCTTGACGATCCCCACGGGATACGAGAGGAACACGCGTGCCTCCTTTGCCGTCACCTGCGCACCCTGAGCCGTCGAGACATGTCGCAGCGGTCCAAACTGGTTGTCGTGCAGCACATAGACACCTCTGTGATTCGTCCGCAGGTTGTCGACCTGTTTTCCCCATACCGCTGTCCAGACTTCCTTGCAGATGAACTTGAGCACGTCGAGCGTGTCTGTGAATCTGGCTCGATCGCGCGCTAGAATTTCGGTCATGTGATAGCCAACGTGGTACCCGATGCCTTCGAGCCGTGCTGTCAGCAGTGACTCGATGTCGGTGAGGGTGTCAATCGTGTCAGAGCCAGTGACGGAGCGCACGACTTGGCTGTGCGGAGAAGAGGCGGAGGTGGGTGTCGAGCCTGGTCCGGGTGCGGTTGATGTGGAAGGTGTCTTGGTGAGCGTCGGGAGAATAATACCTGCCCGCTGCAGCTCTTGTCGCGCCCGTGTCTGCTTGCGTGACACAAAGCCCGAGCTGTGGATGAGGGTTGCGACCATTTCGGTGGCCAGAGAGTGCAGGGCTTGACTGTCGACATATTGTGGCGGTGGTGTAGCTAGGTCAAGCACTTCCGGACGAACCAGAGATGCTGATGAGCCGATGTGGGACCCGTCACTGTGGGACGTCGTATTAGCTGGGCTCGACAAGCTTGGCAAAGCGTGCGATGGTCTCGATGTCGACGGGCTCGACGATGACCCAAGCGAAAGCCGTTCGATCGCAGGGGTCGTCGACGGCCCCGCTGAAGCTGTTTTCGACATGTCGACGGAAATGCACTCGGATCGATTCAGCTAGTTTTCCGATAGTGGGTCCCTCCTGTCGTCGTGTTGCTCTCGGAGCACGATGGCGATGGTGTGCTTCGGGTGCGTTGTCGGATGTGGTGGTACACAGGAGCTGTGGTAGATCCGAAGAAAGCGTGTCGGGCCCGTGCAGTCAGCAACGATGGAAGAGGTACGAGGTCTAACACCGTTTCTGCCGTCCTCCACTCTTGATCCAGAAGCACACTCCCATCACGTGAGGCGCGTGGGCTGAGCTTACACGGCGTGTTTTTCTGTGTGAAATGCTTCCCCAGTTTCTTTTTGCCGCTGCAGAACCACACAAACGGCCAATTTCGCATTTTCGTAAAATCGAAGGAACATTATTCTCGTCCAACCAGAAAGCACCATGTCGAGCTGTTGCTGCTGCACAACCAGACCACAGCGCTGAGAGGTCTGAGAAGGAGGTGCTGAGAGAGGTGCGTACGTGTGTGTGTGTATGTGTGTGTGTATGAATTAATGCAAGTCGAGCTGCGTTGCTGATCCGGCAATTGACACGGACCTCGAAGACAGCCAAGCCAAGCCAGAGCTGTGTGTGTACGACTTGAACTTGCTTGTGTGAGCGAAAGTGTAAACTTGGCACTTGCAGACCCTGGCTCACTTCTCTTCTCAACACAAACACATCCTGTACTCTCAGCAGCACGGGCATCCTCGCCACACTCTCGATCCTACACCTCATCACCAGCACGCCCGACGGTACGGCCTAGGAGAGTATCTGCATCACTCGCCACCGCCAACAACAGCATCGCAGCGAGTCCTTCGTCATCGGTTTGACCACTGTGGCGGAACTGGCAACCACCTCGCTCCCCCCGGCTGAGCCTTCTCTACAAACATCGTCTTAACTTGCACCATGACGTCTCAAACATCTGCTTCAGCGGTTGCCGCGACCAGCTCGTCGCAGTCGTTGCTGTTGGGCCCGTTGCAATCATCAACATCGTCCAACGTTCCTATCACCCCCAGCAAGGCAAGGAAACAGGCACAAGCGCAACGCACACGGCTCGTAGCAGTAAGCACACTAGCCACTCCCGCCTCACTGACCATCGATCGTCGACGGCAAACTAACCGAACGACTCGATCACTTCTGTTTGTTCCCACCTTGCAGCTATCCAAGCATCTGATGACAAGATTGCAGTACGCCAACTTCAAGGTCGAGCATGGTTGGGTAAGTTTGCCACCGAGGAGGCTCGCTAAGGGCCCAGACACACCGTACTGACATTGCTTTGGGATGCTCGCATGCCCTCGCCGCTACCACACAGTCAAAACAATCGCTCTCGGAAGTCGAGAATCTCTACTATCGTCAGAACCAGTCCGGAACCAGCATCACCGCCTCGACCGCGGCCCCCAATGCAAGGAAGAGCACTTCGACCTCGCCCAACAACAACAACAACAACACGGCTGCAAAAGCAGCCTCTACGCCCGGCGCTACCACTGCTGCTGGCGGGCAAGCCCAAGGAGGTGTAGGGTCGAGGTTGTTCAAGGAGGCAGCTGTGAAGAAGATCGACATCGAAGGTGGGGACGTCTTTGGCGGATATGGTCTAGCTACACCACCTGCCTCGGCTGGCAGCGTACCTGGTGCGACGTCGTACCTCACAAGCAAGCGTGGTCGATCGGTTTCTTCCACGCCCATCTCGCCACCAAACACCAGCACGAACTCTTCGGCAAGCAAAGCAGGTGACGCACAAAAACGTTCGCCGAACAACGCCGCCAACAACAACAACAACAACAACAATGCTTCGCGATCAGCAGCACAGGCTACCTCGTCGACGGCAAGTGCTGCTGCAGGTGGAGCAACAAGCTATGCAGATTTCTGGAGTCGTGTCGGCAGCTCGACCGTTTCAACAGCCGGTCCGAGATCATCGATCAGTCCGAGCAAGAAGAGAAGCGCGGATCAAGTCGCAGCAGAGTCGAGCGCTGCTGAAGCACCTCAACCTTCTGGCCCTGTGAGCCCGCACAAACGGGTTCGAATGGAACCCGATGCCGATCGGTCCGCTTCGAGCAGTCCTGCGAAAGCGGCGCTCTCCGAACGAGGTCCTAGTTTCGCCGCTAACAGCTCTCGCCGACATTGAATCCAGAATCCCACACCGGATCGCAAATCTCTCTCTCGTATACCAACATCCCTCAACCATGTGATCTTAGCATTCCATTTTCCTAAACCCCCTTCAATGCATGACAAAATCACCCATTCCACCTCACACGACCCTATCAGCGGAAGAACGCATTTGTGTGTATTTCAATTGTAGAAGGGTATACGTTGGACAGCGTATCGGAACTGAGATCAGAAGACGAAAGGGATGATGGCCTTTCTCTTCCGCGGGAACTTGTCTCCGAACGTCTTTTTGTACCACTTGTGACCGTTGGTTGCTCTGGGGGCCATGAGGCAGACGAGCACGAAGGGGAACAGGAACGGCGGTGTAGAGAGCGCTGTTGCGAGCGCATCTTTGGCGGTGAGATGCTTGAATATGGGTAGAGAGTATAGGGCAGCAAAGGCGAAGGAGAACCACTCGAACCACTCGCAGAGGTAGTTGGGGAACGAGATGTACTCGAACAGTGCACCGCGCGGGATGGAGTATTTGCGTGCCGAGCTGCCTTTGCCTACGTTGGTGTCATTAGATGGGGTTTTGGCCCGTTGCGTTTGTTTGTTGGGTCGACGGATGTCCATGAGGATTTCGTCGTGGATGACATTGCCGGCGAATCCGATGGCCCAGCCTGCCAGCCCGAGGTACCAGAGAGGGCTCTTCCAGACCGAGTTGGAGATCAGGCCGGGTGAGCCGACGCCGAGTACATCTGCTGCTCCGGTGGAGACGAGCTTTCGGGCCAGCTCCGATGCAGCTACCGACGACGCTGTGCCGCCGACCTTCGCACCGACGGCGGTGAGAGCAGCCGAAGCGACAGCAGGTTGCGGCAGCGCCGACCAGGGAGTCCTTCCACCAAGCCAGCTACCCATCACAAACCCGTTGATCAGGTTGAACGCCAACGCAGAGAGCGGCACCGAGATGTGCAGAGGTGAGCGCTTCGGCGATCTCAGCGGTTGCAGCACTGCTCGGTGCGAATAGTGAACCAAGAACATCACCACCAGCGCCTGGTTCGCCGACGGCAGAGCGAAGAATTGCTTTATTGACGGCGAGAAGAGGGCCGACAGGGGGGGCAGGATTCCACCGGCCGACGTCGACTTGACCACCGTCGTCGAGAGCGGCTTGGACAACGCTCCGAGCAGCACAAAGATAGGCGAAGGGATCTCCATGATGAACCAGCCCAGGTTGCCGTTGATGTTGAGCAGGCTGTCGAAGGCGAAGCGACCGTGCGGAGCGTTGATAAGCGAGAGCACGGGGATGAGGAACGGCCAAGCTTTAAAGCTCGCCAGCACGATAGAATAGAGTTGAGCTGGTGAGTAGGGTGGACTCGGCAGTGTGCCGAAGCCGATCACGTCCTTGACCCATGTGAAGAATGACATGTTGGCGGTCGCAACGTAGATATTGCACGACGTCGAGCCTAGGTCTGGGAGGACGGTGGTGAAGGTGGTGGTCGTCACGACAGAAGAAGAACAGTGTTCAAAGATCATGTCACTTCGCGGTCTCACTGCATCAGCGCAAGCAGCACAATACCTCCACCTGTCGACTTGACATGGACCCCGCCTTATGCGGGCTGACCAACGACGTTTGTCACGCTGCGCAGCGTCACTTGTAAATAAAATTGGGGATTTTTGGGACTCAATTCCAGTCACAATTTCCAGCTTGACGATTTCCAATTTCTGTCGGCGCTTTTTGGCATGCATCCTGTAAGATCACAGGCAACGATGGCTCACATGATCATGCGAACGGATGTCGCTCGACACAGTCCCTTCCGCATCTCCAAGATTCAGGCTCTTGATCCTGCGCAAGGAATACCGTAGGTGAGCGCGCTCGCTTTATACGGAATACGATGAAGCTGCGTGCGCGAAAGGTGAGCGTTAGTTGCGGCAAAGCATGCGGGAGAATACAAGGCACAAGACACAACAACTGCCGAGTTCATTGTGCGAGGGCGTTGGACCCTGAAATGCGGTCGACAGATAGACACACCCACACAAACGCTTTCTTTGGCACCTCGCGCTCGCGCTTTTTCTCGCACCGACTGAGCACCATCACCATACCTTGGCCCCTTCGCCACGCTCGTCCTTCCCTTCTGGCATTTATCACCGCGGTCCTCATCTCTCGAGGAGAGCTCTGCTTCTTCATCCGTGCAATCACTTTCTTTGCCAGTCACCATCGTTATCGCTTACCCGACCTCTCGCCCTTTCTTTTCCATGAATCGTGCTCCTTCTCGTACTCTAATCTTCGCCCGCAACCTTTCGCTTTCCTCACATCTGGTCTCCTTCTCTCACAGCGGCACTTGCTTTCTTTAATCGGTATATCCTGACCTCTTCCTCAATATCTTCGACCGATCTGTGGACTGTGCAGTGCTAGCGGCATCCACATGGCAAAGTCATCCAAATGTCTCTCTTAGGCGTTGTCCCGCAGCGTTCGGCCGCACGGAGGGCCGAAGACAAACTGCTGCTTAGTCCCAGTCGCAACAAACTCGATCGCGATTCAGCCGACATCTCTGATGCGTCCATTGACGGACGCATCGGACGGCATCGGAGTGCACACTCTTCATCTGCCGTCACGGCAGAATTATCGTCAGCCATCCCAGTATCGTCTGGATCCGCAGAGACCTCTCTAACCGCTTTACGCACCACGTCAAAAAGGGGTGCAGCTCAAGCCGCACAAAACAATATATCACGCTCCTACTTGGAGCTTCCATTGGACGAGCTCATCGCACCGTCGCACAAAAGGTCGCGGCCGTCCACATCTTCCCGAACGAAGGGCTCCACCGAAGACCAAGCTGGTAGAAGCAGACCAAAAACCACATCAAAGGTAGCAGCTTCGTCGCAAGCTGCCAATAGACGCCGTCGTCTGCGGGACGACCAGGGACTTCTGTGGGAAGTTCAGCTTGAGACTTGCCAGGTCTCACGCTATGGCAAATGGCGCAGGTGCGTCTCATGTGTCTCGAAGAAATCAGGTGACACGTGTCGCTTTGCTGGATTCCGCGCCATTCCAGTCAATCCTGACACCGACGAGCCCTGTGTGCCAAGCGAGACGAGCAGCATCAAGCCAGCATTCCTCTCGTCGCCTGATCCAGATGAGGTCATGGACCTCCCCACAGATAGGGCGCTCGCCGCCATCGCGCTAAAAGAGGCCCAGGCCAATGTGGCCAGAGCTCTTCTTCCTGTGCTCGAAGCTGAGCTGCAACACGCTAGACAAGACCGTATACTACGTCGTCCTCGAGAGACGACTTGCCGACAGATGTGCGAGTTCTGCGCCACAAGCATCTTCTCCGCCAGCTATTATTGCTCAAGATGCGGAAGGGAATATTGTCCGGACTGCAAGGACGCAATTCAGCACCCCGATCATTCCGACGTCATCATCGCAAAGCGCTTAGTTCAATGCGATCGGGTTCGCGGCCACAACGTTGACGATCTTGTTCCTCTGACTAGATTCGACGTCAAGCTGCTCGAGGAAGAGGTCGCCGCCATGCGAAACATGCTGGCAGCTGTCTCTGACGATACCGTGGCGAGCACCAACAAAGGCAGCCGCACTGATCCCGCCGGCTCCAGCAATGCCGGTTCTACGTCGTCATCAGGCTCAGAAGATCAGGAGGAGACACCCATCAATTGGAAAGAGATTCCTAATAACCGTGCCGGTCTTGCTGCAGATGCCCTCATAGGGAGCCTCTCGCTGCGCGCCTTTGACGCATCATCCTTCGACACGCATCAGTTCCGCAAGGAGTGGGCGCACGGCGAGCCACTGCTCGTTCGCGACGTCACCGCCCGTATGCAGCATGCTTGGGGTCCCGATACGCTTGCCGCTCGCTACGGCGAAGAGTCGTGCTTCGTTGTCCGCTCCGACACCGACCCTCCACAGACGGAGCAAGTGTCTGTAGGGGAGTTCTTCTCGACATTTGGCCAGGACACTGAAACCAAGCAACAGGTTCTGGGCAAGGGCTCTTGGAAGCTCAAGGATTGGCCGCCTTCCGCCGAGTTCAAGCACGAGTTCCCGGAACTGTATCAGGATTTCAATCGCGCGGTACCTGCTCCAGAGTACACGACGCGCGAAGGCATCCTCAATCTCGGCAGCTGCTATCCAACCGGTGTCATCCAGCCGGACCTCGGGCCCAAGATGTACAATGCCTGGCCGGCGAGCGAGGCGGTTAGAGGGCAGGGCACCACGCGTCTGCATATGGACATCGCCGATGCAGTCAACATCATGCTCTACGCAGCTCCCCTCGCCGGAGACGACGTGGCAGAGGAACACAGGCCAGGAGTCGCTGCGTGGGATATCTTCAGAGCGGAGGACGCAGAAATGCTGCGAGCATTCCTGCGCGAAGAGCACGCAAAGCTCAATTTCCAGGACGATCCGATCCACATCCAGCGCTTCTTCATATCTGCGCCTCAACGGGTGAAGCTCTACCGCAAATACGGCCTCAAGAGCTGGCGGATCTACCAAAAAGCAGGCGAAGCCGTCTTCATCCCGGCGGGCTGCGTCAAAGTCGCCGTCGACTTTGTGTCTCCGCAGAACGTCGAGCGGTGTTTCAAGTTGACCGCCGAGTTTCGGGAGATGGTCAAGGACTACAAGAAGGCCTGGAAGGAGGATGTCTTGTCGCTCAGGACGACGTTGTGGTACGCCTGGTGTACGTACCGAGAGATGGATGACAAGGGACCTAACGTGTGGGCTAAGCAAGCAGCACGGGTCAAGTCGGAGGAGGAGCAACGAATCACCAAGAAGATCCTGCAGGACGCTTGACGGGCTGCTGTGTGACAGGGCATTGCTCGCCCAATTGCGCCAATACTCATGACCATCATTAGTGACCTATCCACCTTTCTTTACATGCATCATATCATTAGCTTTGGTAGACATGGTACCAGGAGGGAAGATGAGTCGTCTGCACGCCGGCCCGAAGGCGATCGGCTGAATAGATCGGGGATGGTGTTGAGGCGTCTGTGCTCAACACGTTCAAGACACCTACAGCAGCGTTGCGTCCAGTTGAAGTGAATGACGTGCGGTCCTTGGCCGAGGAACATCGCGCTAGAGGGTGACGGTTAGGTGTGGTTGCGGTTGTATTGCTTTGCTACATTTGAAATCTGCGTTCTTTTGCTGATTACAGTTCTTGGTGTGTTGGAATTGAAATATGGTTCTGTAGAGGGGTTGGATGTGCTCGAGCCTTCAGCTTTTTTTTTTCTACTGTTCCCTTCAACGTGTTGTTTGTGGAGCAAATTTGCTAGCTGTGTGTGGTCCGTTCGCCACTCCACCATCCCATATAAGCATGTCGATCCTTCGCACATTTCCCCGCCTCACGCTCAAACCCACTTCATCAACACTCATCTCACGATCTACCTTCCATAGTTCAGCCGTCAAAATGGTTCAAATCGAAAAGATCTCCCCCGGTGATGGCAAGACCTTCCCCAAGCCCGGTGACACCGTCACCATGCACTACACGGGAACCCTCGCCAAGGATGGTTCGGAATTCGATTCTTCGCGCAAGCCTGGTCGTGGTGCCTTTGAGACCCAGATCGGCGTAGGCCGCGTCATCCAGGGTTGGGACCAGGGTGTCCCCCAGCTCAGCTTGGGTGAGAGAGCCAAGCTCATCATCCCCAGCGCAGAGGGCTACGGAAGCAGAGGCGCCGGAGGTGTCATCCCTCCCAACGCCGATCTGATCTTCGACGTCGAACTGCTCAAGATCAACGGAAAGAGTGGTAAGTTCGATGGAAGTCGGCAGTGGTTGTAGAGGATGTTTATTGACATGTTTCGGACCTTCACTGTTGGCCTGAAAAACAGCTTAAATCAAAGAGCCGCTCTGTTGTTGGAATTGCAATCGGATCGTTTGTCGTCATATCGTATGGAAGGTAGCTTTTTGTTGTTTCACACAGTCCATTCGGAAATACGCAAATCAATCCCTTCCCCCTCATCTTCATCTCGCTGAGAAGTTGAACCCCGGTCTCTTCAACTCGCTGAGAAGTTGAACCCCGGTTTCCTCATCAGCACCGGGTCAAACACATGAGCATCTCCCACATCCACTAGCTCTGAAGAAGAAAAATTCGCATTTCGATTAAGCAGTCACCACAACCGAGAAAGAACACAACACTGATGAAACAACCCTTCAAGCAGGGTGGAGAGAAAGCCTTCAACAAAGCCTTTCCTACCCACGTTGGGGCCGGCAAGGGTGTATACCGAAGAACGATCGAGTCCGAAAGGGAGAGGCCGGGCACGGGGAGAAAAAAGTACACCAAAGAGGGCAGCACAAAGCGAAGGAGGGGCCGTATCAACGTCGTGTAGATCCACGACTGAGAGATGGGAGAAAGAGGGAGAGCCGGGTCGTCGAAATCTACAAAGGTGGAGATGGCAGCAGCTCGGGAAAGGATTGGCTGCGGGTGTCGGTTGAGCGAGGAGCTTTCGATGACGCCAGTCGAATGGAGGGTGATGAGGGTCGAAGATGCGCAGGTATCGTCTCGGATTCCTACGGCGCAGACGAGATGGCTGCACCTGCCGGAATAATCGAGATGGGTTGTCTTTTGAGGCGCATCAACAAATCTTTTCGGCCCGCCACACTTTCAGACGCATCGTTTACCACGGGAAGTAAGAGGCGAGCTGACCACCGAGCTGAGCACCGTACTGCTGCAAGTTTTGCAGACCGAGGTTCTGGAGGTTCTGCAGGCCGATGCTCTGCAAGCTGGTCTGGAGCGTTTGGATGGCAATGTCGGGGTTGCCGCCCGAGATCCAGGCGAGCGCACCAGCACCGACGGCGCCGGCAGCAGCGACAGCACCGGCTGTGGTGGCGATGGGACGTTTGCGAGCGGCGCGAGTACCTCGTCGGAAGGCACGCACGACCCGACCGGACTCGGCGTAGTCCTCGTCGTCAGCCAAGGGGTCAAGCTCGGCGGTGGGTCGGTCGTTGACCGCGCGGCGCTTCTGACCACGCGTCGAGGGGCTCTTGCTTCCGGCTGCCGACTTCTGGATGCCAGCGGCGAGCGCCTTGGCCTCTGCGATCTGTGCTTCGATCTCGGCCTGCGAGAGAGCGGCGGGGATGCCGTTGGAGGTCTGACCCTCCAGAGTGGACTCGATGTTGACCTTGGAGATGGAGCCGTCGGCGTTCTCGACGCGAGTGACCTTCTGGACGAGCTTGGGCGAAGCTTCGGCGTCGGAAGCAGCAGCAGCAGCGGCCGAAACGCGCTGGCGTTTGCGAGGCGTCTTGATTTCGGCAACGGGGGCCGAAGTGAGGATGGGAACACCGCCGTCTTCCGAGTGCTCAGCGGTGGCGTTGATGAGAGCGCTGGCGTACTTGGCGATGCCGTAGGCCTCGGCGACCTCGGCGGCGTCCTGAGCGGGGATCCAGGTGCCCTGGAGACGGACACCGGTGCTGCCTTCGGGAAGAACACGAATCTGCTTGTCGCCGCTGGCCGACTCGGTGTCGGTGGCGGCATCCTTCTTGGGGGTTTCTGCGGTCTTGCGAGGACGGCCACGCTTCTTGGGAGTCTCGGGGACCTTGACTTCCTCGACGATGTATCCGCCGTTGGCGCGGTTGGTGTCGTACTTGGCGTCGAGGAACTGCATCTCGGCAGCCTCGGCATTGCCGTCGGCGAAGGGGAATGCGAGGCGGAACATGGAGGAGGCGGCCATGGCGTTGGTGTCGAAACGCTTGAGCAGGAAAGCGTGATCCTGGCCATTCACGGTGGGCAGCTTGACACGACCGATGATGATGTTGTGGCCTTCGCGCTTGATGATCTGAAGCTTGACGACGGCCTCGTCAACCTCTTTCAGTCTCGGGTTCTTCTTGGTGGGAAGCTTGGGACGGGCGAGGTCGGGCTTGGCATCTGCGGCGTGCTCAGCAGCGGCAGCAGCTTCCTTCTGCTTTTTGGTCTTGCGGGGAGATGCGGAAGGCGAAGTGGGCGCGGCTGTGGAGGCGTTGGAAGCGACCGACGAGGAACGGGCGCGTCGAGGAGTCGACTTGCGCGTTGGCGTCGACTTGCGTGCGGAAGCGGCGGCGGGCATGGCTACGAGCGGATCAGAGTTCGTCGAGAAGAATGACGCGAATGGGCTGGACACGAGACGCGACGAGGGAGGTCCAACGTCGCACGACCACGGCAGATATAACTGAGTCGAGACGGTAACGGAAAGCGATTCGAAGAAGGAGGTCGTTTGAGAAACGTAAAAAGATAGGGACGAAGGGAGGGCACGGAACGAAGCAGAGATGGTGGTGTGACGACGAAATGAAGTGGGGATGCGGAAGCGTACTGGTACAGTGAGTGTACGGAGTGCGAGGGCGTCGTCCAACACCTGTTTTGTCTTGCAGCTCGTCCAACTCTATATTTTCGTGTCGGACAGATTGGTCGCTCGAGTCGTGAGAGTGGAGTACTGCGCTGTGCTGTAGCATAAATTTCAGGAAAGGGTTCTCACTCTCTGCACGTCACAAGGTGCAGGCTTCTCTGGCGTAGAAACGCGCTTCACCCTCCTCCCAGGGACGAGGTTTGTTTGACTTTCGACAAACCAACACATACACACTGTGCAGTTCCGCACAAGGTTACGCTGTGCGGGCTCAGATGTTACAGCGCGCGAATTCCAGGTCCGCAATTCTGCTCCCCCAAAGTTGAACGCTGTTCTAGCAACAAGGCAACGTTTTCGCAATTGCCAGAACTCGGTTGACTTTCGTACGAATAATATTGCTCAAGATCGTCGCGACGTTCAAAGACGTCACGATCGGGGAGACCAGATCCGCTTGTTCTTCTCCCAATCACAAGATGGAATCGACTTGGCTGATTGGCCACCTCGCCCCTTTCGCCCATCCCGTCGCAGCGTGCAGTCGCAGCTGCATCACTGCACAGCCCGAACAGGGTCTTGCCTCCATAAGATCACCTCCGCATCTGTCGAGGAGTGAAAGGAGTCCCCATCCGTGGCGGCACCGTTTCGCTCACTTGAAGATGCTCGCGGGTCGAGCCGAAGTTGATCCGAACGAGAATCGCTCGACGATCCGATCGCAAGCGGGGAAATGAAGACAGCTCATGAACAACTGTGACTGGCTTGTATGTGTGGGACGGATGATCCGAACGTGCCTTTGTGTTGCAACTGGCAGCACCTGCAACAGCGATCCCAAGGGTCTGTGACCCTGAGCAGAACGTGAGCGCGAGTTTCCGTCTGGGTTGACAGCGCCAGAGCAGTTGGACTGAAAGGACACCGTGATAGCTCAGAGTGCAGCAGGCACTCTAGCTCTCTCCCCGAACGTGCTCGCTGCGATACCTGTATGCCCCCCTTGCACTTTAACCAAAAACGAGATAATTCGCCGTGCCGCTGCCGCTTCCGCTTCCGCTTCCGTGAGGCTGGGCCAACTTACTTTTGCTGCAGGAGGCCAATCTCGGCTCGATCCGCTCAGGGCCTGCCGCCGACTGAACGCGCTTGCGAGGTTGAGCCAACACATTTCAATGCCCTCCGGCTGACCCTTCCTCTCGACCATCATCATCACAATCATCCAAGATTGACGACGACAAACGAGATCATCGCGATTGACGCGATACGTCCCATCTCAACCATCTCGGGCACCCAATCCAGGCGTGTTCGCTGATCCTACCTCTTTCCGCTTCCCCTCCACGGACTGACTTGCGCGATCCACGCGTAGGGTCATCGTCCCGCACCTCTTTCAAAGCTCTTGCTCAGCGCAGTACGCTGGTTCGTCGCAAGCCCATCCTCACGTCGACGACTTCGTTGCCCGTCTGGCCTCTCCTCCAAGCACCGCTCGATTGATCATTCAATCACCTTGATAACAGAGCTAACCTGCCGAGTTCAGACGTGAGTATTTAAGACCTACTTTACCGCATCCACTTTCTATCTCCCACACAGGCGCCCCTTATCCTTTCTGTCTTTGTCGGTCGGTCCGTAGACTTGCCCTGCGCAGCAGAGCACCGAATGTTCGGTGCTTCGGCCCATAAGCAGCGCAGCATTCATGGAAGCGGGTCGGCAAAGGCACAAAGATGCACAGCAGAGGCGCCTCACTGAATTCCATCCTGTATCACTCGTTGTGAGGACGCGCTCGCTCGCTCTCGCTGCAGCCATTTCATCCGAGAATGCAACAGTGCTTGCTGACCCGTATTGTCACGTTCCCGTCTCTATCCTGTTGTTCACCACGCCTCTCGTACTGGATCTGACCCTGCCTTTGCACCGACAACAGCAAACGCAACCATGAAATACCTTGAGTATCCCGAGCTCGAGCTGCTCTCCCGTGCACTCACCTTTGAGTCCGCAGAATGCAAGGTCTTCACCCGCATGGAGGCGTACTCTTGCAAGACCGTCTCCAAAGAGAAGCGTCTCTTCAAGAGTCTCGAGTCTTCGTACCTCCGCTCCGCTTCCACGTCTCCGCCCGACTACCTCGAGGAAGCGCTCGCATCTCCCTTCGGCCGTCTCGACCAGGCCTCGGCCCGCAAGACGCTCTTCTTGCTCATCGCGACGCTCAATGTCGCCTTCCCCGATCACGACTTTAGCGAAGTCAATCCAGCCGATTTCCGCAAGGAGATGAGCCCGGCCATGGTTCTCAATTCGCTCAGCACCACCCTGCTCAGCCTCAAGACATCGTCCAATGCTCCGCGCTCCTACAGTTCCTTCCCTGGCTCGTTTGAGGAACCCAGCTTCGCCCTCGGCACGGCCGGCGAGTCTCCCGGCTCAGCGGGAGCAACCGCATCGCTCCCGCCTCTCATCACTCACCCGGCACTCTCCCACATCCTCGACGACATTATGAACGTCTCCGACTGCGAAGTCTACACATTTCATCCCGACATGGACTCGGACCCGCATGCCAGCGCTGAGCCTGAGGAGGAGGGCGACCTAGCCGATGATGATCTGTACGAGGAAGAGGAGTACTGGGATGACGAAACGCAGGGCATGCGTGGCCGTGAAGACACCCCTCAGGCACGCAACCACGGTCGCGCTGACGACGATGACGAAGAGATGGAAGATGCGCCCATGTTTGACGAGGATGTCTATGGTCACGGCCTCAGCGGCGGCGGCAAGACGGCTCCTCACGCCCTCGCGACCATCGGGCCGGATGGAAACATGGTTCTCTCGCGCGGAAACTTTGAGTTGAAAGGCAGGAGACAGTTCATGGACGACTCGAGCCTCACTTCCTACGATTCCAACTTCAACGACGAGGATGATGAGTTGGACGGCACGGGCGCTGGTCTGCTGTGGTCCACTTTTGCCTTTTTTTACAACCGCAAGATGAAGCGCATCCTCTTCGTCTCGGTATGGAGCCGTAAGAACGCCCGCTTTGGCATGCCCACCTCGTCCTGGGCGTACGCACAACCTCCGCCCGTTCTCAGCGCTTCATTCGGATCGTCGCAGGCTGCCATCGCGCAAAGTGCTGCCTCGGGACGACAACGAGCATCATCCAATGCTTCAAAGAAGCAGGCCGCTGCCATCGTTGCACCCGCTGCTGCCGCCGCTCCCACGCTTGCGAAGCGTGCTATCGCCAGGACCGATTCCACCGGCTCGCTCAAGCGGTCCGGACGACCAGGTCACATTCGCACAGAGTCTGGAAGTCCTGCTCCTTCGCAGCTCTCACCCTTCCCGCACGCTTCGCCACGCGCAGTACGCACAACTGATCCTATGGACAGCGTTGTCGTCGTGGACGGCCGAAGGGCCATCCACTCGCTCGATGCGGCACTCATGAGCGCTAGCGCGCCTGCTGCAGCCAACACGAGCGTCGGTGCTCCCATCGCCACTGCGACGCGTCCTCCACCGACCGCAGCTCGCAGCAAACGTTCTTCTGATACTTCTTCATCCGGCACATTCGACCAGAAGCGTGTCAAGAAACAGTCCGCGTGAGTAGCGACGCTTGACACGTCGTGTCACCCGCGAATCTTCACTTGTTCGAACGCTGTCTATTTCCGTGCTGCACCGACGTCACTTCAACTCTTTGCCGTTACGTTTAGGGGCGCCGGGCTCTTTTGTCAAATTCAGTCATTGTCGACTGCTTGTGTATTTGTATCATCTTCGTGTAATGTTTTGCGAATTGCTATTCCGCTATTCCCTTTCCCAAACGATTTATGCGTGGTTTGAGCCTTTGAAGTGTTGATCTTCGCTCTTTTGCGTCATCTGGCGATGTTTGAAGCTGGACGTGTCGGATTTGAGGGCTTCACGCATGAGCATGGTGGCGTACGATGACGAGGGGAGTTGAAAGTTGAGTGTGAGGGCGGTGAATTTGGACGAAGTGGTGGGATCTTGCTGGGTGGGAGTGGAAGAGGGGAGTGTGGGATTGAGGCAGCGTTCTTCGTCGGTTTGGGTGAGGGGGATGTCGGGGTCGGTGTAGGTGGTGATGGTGTAGGAGAAGTTTCGCGGTTTGACGAGCATGGATCGGTAGGAGCCTTTGAGTTGGTAGTCGGAAATTTTGGAGGAGGTGAGTTGCGTGTGTGTGAGAGAGTCGTTGGCTAGGATGGTGGTGTAGAGGTCCGACATCCAGCCGGAGGGGAGGTCGATGGATGAACCGGGCAGGGGGATGATGACGTCGTAGATCGAGTGTTGGTGGGATCGGATGTCTGATTGAGAGAGGATTTTGATGGGACGCTGCCAGGTGGACAGGGACTTGGTTTTGGAGTTGTTGCGGAGGTCGTCATCGTCGTCGTCGTCACCATCGTTCTCCGCACCATCGGCGTCGGTCTCGTCGGCGACACCATCTGTTTGCCATTCGTCCTCGTTGGTCCTGTCAGCGAATACAATGTCACCCTCCACCGCCTCGCTGCTACCAAACTTGGCTATCCTTTCCGACACCAGCCGGTTCCACACGTACGACTGATACGCATGCACATACATCAACCGCAACGTCCTCGGCACATTGCCAAACGCACCCGTCCAATCTCCCTTCGTCCACCTCGACCCCCGCATCTTGTCCAAAATGTGCTTCTCCGCCACGCAATTCTTCGGGATGGCATAGTATGCTTTGTCCAGCTCGCCATCCTTGTACAGCTGCTTCGCTTTGAGCAGATCGAACGAATCGCCGTCGTCCGCGTCTGGACCGGAAGGCGCACGGGGTTGGAAAAGCAGATCTATGGCGGATTTGAAATCGTTGCGCAGGATGAGGATGCCAATGTGATGGGTGGGGATGGCGCCGGTGCCGAAGCGTTGCATGCCAAAGTAGTTGATGAAGCCACGGTCGCGGAGGACGTCCATGGAGCTGCGAATCGAGGCGGGGAACGACTCGTCGACAGGGTTGGGAGAGGATGGTCGAACGTTGCGAAGGGTGATGGTGAACTCGTTGCCTTTGAGCTGACCGAGCTTGAGGGGTTGCTGGGCGTACTGAAGGTGTCCGATACGAATGCCTCGGTCGGCACGAGCTGTTGTTGCGTCGAGGACGGTCCTGCCTCGACCTTTGCCCTTGCCTTTGGACGCAGACACATCGGCGTTGATGCCATTGACCAGGCGATAGATGTCCTCGAGCGTCTTGCGGTTGCGTTTGAGCGACACTCTCTGAACTGTCACGGCACGCTTGTCCTTTGTACCTGCCACTGCGAGATCCTTGGTAGGTGGTCTGCCTCCTGCTCTTCCTGCAAATCCTCCTCGACCTCTTCCACGACCTCTGCCGCCTCCACCGCCTAGCCTCATGCTCTCAGCCAGCATGCCCATGGCCTCTTGATGGTCGCGGTTCGTCTTGTGCAGCAGAAAATGGATGTACGGCGGCGAGTTCGTCGCCTCTTCCGACAATCCTTCGCCTGCCCTCCTATCAGATCGATTCGCCCACCTCACAGCGATCAGGGTCGATGCAGCGCTACCGTTGCTGCTACTGCCAGCTCCATTGGCGCGGGCATCCTCGTCCTCCTCTGCTGCCCTGGCACCACGCGGTCGAATTTGACACGAATCTGTTGCAAGCTTCCCGCCGAACAGCTCGCGAATCAACTTGTGCACCTTTGTGCGCTGCTCCTTGTCCTCCAGCGGTCTTGTGACGATGCTCGCTGCCGAGACGATTGTCGCGTTGGCTCCGGTAGCCATACTCGTACCCTGCTTTCCCTGGGACCACATTTCCTTGATCCCATCTATCGATTCCGCCGAAAAGAAGTCTTTCAGCTTCTCTTCTGCTTCTGAAGGCCAAGCTGTGTCATCTGTTGGAGCTTGAGCTTGAGCTTCTTCTGTTGCATGTTTTTCCGCTGCCTCTTCTTCATCTGTGGATTTCGAAGCATCCGGTCGCAACTGTGATAGCAGCTGTCCGGGTGGAGGATCGAGCGAAGTGAGTCGACAAACATTCCCGGAAGGATCGATTTCGTTGACCATGAAGTCTGTGAAGCGTTGCTTGATGATGCCCTGGAATCCAGGCAGGTCTGGGTCCATGTAGCCAGTGATCCCTGCGCGAGTTTCGGTCATTCGCGTTTCCGCATCTTGACGGGGTGGCACGGCATCTGGCGATCCGCGGTCCAGTTTGACTCGCTTCGCCGTTGGACTCGAGAGCGCGTTGGAGTCCATGGTCGGGTTTCCTTCCGACATCGATGTTCGGACAGGCTCTCCAAGAAAGGAGGAAACAGACATAGAAAGGGACGTGAGTCTAGGAAGAGAAGCAACCTTTCGGAGGATTTTTTGGCAAGAGAAATCGGCGACTTTTTCCCACAAGTCCCGCAAGCCGAAAAAGCCAAATGGTACCGAAGACGGGCTAACATGATTTGCTTTTACTGTGCCACTGGCTGCCATCATGCGGCCAAGGCTGAGGCAGCTGTCAAGTATCGCAGCCAGAAATTCATGCGCACAAGGCAAATCTCATGTCGTAGCAATCGAATGGTATATTGAGATCGGATGCAACACAGAGAAAGCTTTTTCAAAAGTAACGTAACATGAGTGCATTGACGGGGAGATTGAAAGGCGTGCAGTATACATCGAAGCTGGCCAACCATTTCGGGACAGAAGAAATGAAATCGATCGCATGAAACCTCGTATTGTCTACTGAACGTTGATGGTGGAGACAGCACAGTAGTCGAGGTTGTGGACCGTCGTATCGGGGTTTCCAGCCCAAGTGGGGAAGGGGCGAGCCTTTCCGCTGCCTCCGAAGACGGCGAAAGTGAGGATGAAGACCAGAGTCTGGGTACCTCCGTCGAGGGCGGCCGAAACAATGTAGTTATACTTATTGAACCACCTGGGTCGGTACTTTCGGAGGTAGAACTGGGCGAAGAAGCCAACCAGGAAGTACGAAAGGATCGAGGCGTTGATGCCGACGAAGAGCCAACCAAGGTACCAGGCAATGATCGAGAAGTTGAAGTAGCTCCAAGCGCGGTGTGGCCAGATCTTGTTGCCCAGATACATGGGAATGGGAACGAAGAAACCAATAAGGTAGGCGATCGTCACCCATTGGTACTTGGCACCGATCGAGAACATGTCCTTGGCGATGGACCAGGCGATGGCGAGCGTGTTGAACTGCTGAATGTTCTGTCCCGACCAAATGTTGGTGCCCTGAACTGACTTGAGGATGGTGGCCTGGTTTGCCACGATCTCAGCCATCATAACCCAGTTCATGAGAGCACCGACAAGGCAACCGACGACCTGGACTGTGAAAGTGCACATCGGAGCCAAGTGTGTGTACTGTCCAAGCTTGAGATCCCTGGCCAGGGTGAGACCCATCGACATGGTGTTGTACGTGTAGCACGTAAAGTAAAGGTTGGCGAGCGGACGTCCAGGGAACATGTACCCGGCAAGCATCTGGCAGATGGGCTGCAGGTTGAAACCGAAGCCAGTGATACCTGCCTGAGCTCCAAAGAAGAGCATAAAGACAAATGTGAACACCGTGCTCAAGATGAAGCCCCACCAGGGAAGCGTCGAATGCATGACATAGAGGCAGATGAGACCCACGGCCCAGGAGACGAGGAGAGCACAGACCCACCACCACATCGGTGCCTCCTTGTAGCCGTTGTTCATCATAATCTTGTAGTGGGGATCGCATCGCTCGTCCTCGTTCATCCTCTTTGCCCAGGCATCTTGTTCCTCCTCGGTGCTGGCGCGCCAGAACTTGTACCAGTGAGGGTCGGCGAACAGCTTCTTGAGCTCCGAGGGGTAAGCCCACTCCCAACCGGCCTTGAGGTCATCGTAGTTCCAAAGCATCATGTGAGTGAAGCAAGCCGTGAGACCGACGTTCGAGGAGATGAGGTAGCCGAGGTAGGTAGCAGTGAGCCAGGGGATTCCCTGTGCGTGCAGCGCAGCTTCGTCGATCAGGAACTCCGGAGTCATGATGGCAGTCTGGTTGTAGATAAATGCGTTGGTGCCATTTGATGTTCCATCGAAAAGTTCTTGCGAAAGGAAGGGGAAGTCTTGCGCCCGGAAGATGTTGCCGTAGTAGAGACCCATGAAGAGGATGATGCAGCCGATGTAACCCACGAATGAATTGACCATCGTCTCCAGAGGAAGCCACATGGGAGAACCCAAGGACGCGATGTACTGCCAATCGAAGCAGACCGAAAGGAAACCGAGTCCTTCGTTACCGGAGGCACCACCGAAGAGGTTGGTGAACACGCTGCTGTTCTGGTGGGCCAGACAGAAGATCGAGACACCTTCAAGCACGGGGAAGATGTACTCGGGGAACACCTCCCACACGAACAGGGCGCCGGCGACCATCCAGAAGACCTTCATACGCTTCTTGACGACCGTCTTGGCATCAGCAGCTTTGCTGCCGTGAAAGGTCTCGAGGAGCGAGGTCAAAGGCAGATTGGCGGGCCAAAGCATCTTGACAGGTCGCACAAGCACATTGCGGAGCGTACCAGCGACAGTGAAGCCGAGGAGCTGTGACGAGAGGACCAAGAAGATACCGGCAGCCTTGGAAGGGTATCCTCCGTAGAACAGCTGTTGAGCGGCCAGAGCCTCGGTGGCGAGAGCCGACTGGGTACCAGCTGATGCCATCAAGGTGATAGCAGTGTGCTCTTTCAAGTTGAACGGGTGCGGGTTGAGGAGCTTGCCGATGCGGCCTTTCCTCGGAATGACCGCAGCCATGAATTCACCCAGAGCATAGGCGATGACCGTAAGGAAGACGAGAGAGACATAGATGACCTGAGGCTTGAAGTAAAAGATCTCCTGCAGCACTGAGCCAAAAATTGCAAGACCGAGACCCAGGAACCACATACGGAAGGTCCAAGGGTTCAGGGAAGGGTCGTCCTCAAGCGAAAGTACTTGGGTGACGATATCAGCTGCATTGTGTACAACCTTGCCCTCGTCGGGTTCAGGGATACCTGCAAGCTCAGCCTGTGCACCGTCGCTCTTGAGTACGTAGCCGGCGTTCGAGACTTCGAAGCCGTCCTTCTCAGCGTCGTGCTTGAGCTTGTCGGAGCTCGTGTCCGAGTCGGGGCCTTTCGGCTTGATGTCGATGGTATCCATGTTGCAGCGACGCTACAGCCTGGAAGCGGTCACGAAAGGGGGAAGACTAAAGGAACGTACTTCTTCGGAACGGGACACGTTCAGTATATATCCTGTACCATCGTCCGCTCGGAGCAGACAAGTCAGACGCTGCAGGACAGGCAGATCCGTTGCAAGATTTGTCCGTTTGCCACAGTCAGTCGTCTACTGGATCGGTCAACATACTAGAGCTGTCTCAGGAACAGGCCCGAGACGCACGAACGCATCTCGCGTGCAGCTTCAGGTCTGCAACGCTGCGATAGTCACACAGACATAGAAGGACTGCATGTGCATCCGAGCTCGGGGCGCCGTCTGAAGTAGGACAGAGTGGAACGAGCAGATACGATGGGAATCGAGACCGCATGAGCGATAAGCGAGTGTTCTGCCATCGAAACCATGCCGAAAGCAACGAATCAAAGAGAAGTGAATGCGTCCCCTGCAGTGCGGATACGATGGGTCGCCGGCTCACCACCGACGGCAAAAGCGAGCTGTCGAGATAGGCACAGTCCGCGTGATCGAGGTGAGCACGCAAGGCTGCCGATGCAATGACCTGTTCGGAGCAGGTGCACCCTATCACCTATCGAGTTGGGGCTGGTCTCTGTGAGCTTCGTTCATGCAAGCGATAGTGCGGCTGCAAAGCAAATGGGAAGCTCAGAATTCTTCGCTACCCGGGTGGGGAGGGCGAGCGGACTGGCTGCAGCAGGGCCCCCAACTGCCGTCTGAAGTTTACCACTCCGCCTCCTGCCGCACTTGCCGTGTTCGACGTCGGAAGACTGCGTTCCGTATTCGCCGCTCGAAATATGCGTGGACATCCGTCGGCCACAGCCACCGCCGGCCGTCGACGCCTTCCTCCTTTATCATTGGCCAAGTCATGAGTTTGCCGATGCTCAACACAAATTCGACCAATCACCGACCGACATATTTACCCCGCAGCCCTCGAGATAAGGCGAAAGTTTCAAGCATGTGGGATCTCGCGCCAGCATTCTATGCATTGAAATTCATTCGTGCTGAATCCTCCTCTCACCTCAGGCACAAACGATGCTCCGTTGGTCAGACGTAGGAGTTAAGGGAAAACTTTGATCCTTGCATCTGCGAAATGTCCCAGTCCAAGCATCTCAATGGAAGATCAGGTCCTAGAACCGCAAATCTGTTCGTGTTCATTTCTGGCTGTTCGACAAGACAAGTTTTCCGATTTGAGGAGGAATGGGAAAGCTCGAAGGTGCCGTCAACGTCGACTCGTTGAGGAAGTCTCGGTGCGATAAGGAAAAGATACTTTTATGAGCAAGGAGTCTCAAAGCGTTTGCCATAGAACGGTTGGGCTCAACTCATGAAAGAAAGCTTGGGGTGTTGGCATGCAACCAGTGTGTTCGACGAACGAAGCAGACATCTTTGCAAGGCAAGGCTTCCTGCCCTGATGCCAGCGCCTCGAGTGAGAGGGTTCGTAACCCGAAATTTCGGTCGTGAAGTCCCAAAATCTCACTCAAAACACAATATGGCGGCGTTTGAATTGTGCCGGCGGTCTAGACGGCCGCTCCTCGCCGCTTCTACGCCACGCTTTTCCAGACGGCGGTTCATGCAACATCGGCACAACACTCAACCAATCAGATCATGCGCTTTATCTTGACCTGCCTTTGTGCGCTTGTCGTATCTTTCAACGACGTTGAAGGCGTTGCCACAGCTTTAGTTTCGTATCAGAGATGGCCATGATCCAATGAATCGCATCACGAGACCAGCGCGTTCCTGAGATTCACGCCGTCAAAGGCGACACCGACACCGCTCCTTTGGGCAGATGCTTTGCTGGGCACGCTATCGGTACGGAGCATTGTCTTCCGCAAATTTTCAATGAGGCCATAAAATCCAAGCCGACCTCGAAATTCTATAGCACAGACGAAAAATGAAGTCGCAATTTGATCGTTCTGGTCGTGATCACCAGGTAGCGCGTGCCTCATTGACAAGCCAGTCTTGCAGGAAAGATATATCCAGGCGATCAGATCATCAGATTCGGAAACCTTGCCCTTGCCCCTCATCAGAGGTCTTTCGGCATGGCAACTCTTGTCTTTTCACTCGATTTGACGAACTAAAGCTTCGCCCTGCCCGAGTTGTTCTCACGTCGATCTTCTTAGCAAGACGGGAGTACACAGCAGCTTCTGGCCGTAAGCTCTGCGAGCCGATGATGACCGTGCCTGATCAGCAATCCTGTAGACAGCCTTTGAAGTAGCACAAGCTAGCAAGAAGCAAAGTCGCGTACAGTGTTGCCTCTTCGAAAGAACAGCAGCAAGAAGTTCCTCGAGTTCTCGTCTTTACGACTTGTGGCACACGGTGATAGCCATCGCGAAGGTGTGCTTGTGGTGTGCATTGATAGGAAGGGCGGCAATGTGATCGGGAGATCTCTGCGAAAGGATCGGGATATCTATCGATCTTGCCACCGATCAGGTAATAAAAAATTCATCGGGAGATCATCTTACTTTCACATGCGTTACAGGCAGCCGCAAAGTGACACGTCTCGACTTTTTGTTGGCGCTACACTGTATCACTTTGCCCAAACGTAAGAGGCGGCTGGCGGATAGACGTGTTCACAAGGTAGCGAGCTTCCGCACAAAAAGAAAAGATGCGTTGGCCTGCACGGTTCGCTTCAGGCGTCACGAGTGAAATCCGTCATGGTCTGCATCGGACTTTTAGCAGAATGATTCAGCACGCATCTTCGAGTCTGAGCGAGAGTGAGGTGAGGCGTACGGTGCAAACATGTGATGAATCTGTGCAGCTCGGCGACCTCTCACACCGAGGAGGTATGTTTCCGATACCAGCAAAAGAGAGATCGCGGGCTCGCATATGCGCAAAGGCCATTCGGTGACGACAAGATAGTTTCTCGGAGAATTCGTACGGACCAAGGTGAGGGATCCACGGAAGTAAGTGGCGGCGATATCTGCCGCAAAGTATCCGAAGAAAATCTTGCAATGCGGGGAAGCGGTTGTCAACGCCAAACAAAGAAGGTACGAAACGATTCAGAGTGGGGGCAAAAACGAATAGAGTCACCAGCGGATGAACGACTTCGGGGTGGAATTTCATACACTGTGTGCGGCGTCGTTTCACGGACCCGTGAAGTGATGAGGAGCCGTAGCTGCCAAGGCGCGCGCTGCACACTCAGCTCCTTTTCACAAGAATAATTACATGGCGCAGTGCGACGTCGTGCGGCTGAAGTGGGTGCGGCTGAAGTGCGTGTTGCGGGTTGGCTTCGAGAAGTTTCATCCAGGGTCCACCAACATTTGCGGCTGCCGAGACGGTACAGATTCTTAGAGCTGATTTTTCGCTCGATTACGATGGGTTTCACGCGGCAAGAGTGAAGCGACGAATTTTTCACGCAGCTGGTAGGTATGTGTCACACTCTGCAGTATTGGGCTGAGTCGTTGGCGTTGTCGACCCCGCAGTCGCTATGTTTCAACTTTGCAGCCGCACAGGAGCCGCTCGCAGCAAAGAGCATGTATGGTTGCTGTCAGTAGCTAGAGCAGATACATGTATATAACTTCATGCTCCTCTCGTTACTTCATTCTTTCCCGCCGCCACCTCTTGTTACCCTTCATCACATCGAATTACCGCAACTCCTGCACCTTGTCTGTACGAGATGACGGCATCCGCCTCTTCAAAGCCCACGTCGGCGCCCGCTGCCGCCACCAAAAAGCAGCAACGAACACCGCAGCCGATCCGTCCATCGCAGGGCCCACTCAAGTCAACATGGCACACACCAGAGAACAAGTCATCCTGGGGTCTGTACCACTGGCTCATTCACCTTATCGGTGTGGATCCCATCCCGCAGAATTCGACTGCGCCTATGCACGAGAAGGACGACCCGGTCCCCGTGTGGAACAATGCACAGCTTCACCTGTGGATCGCTATGCGTGTCGTCCCAGCGCTCGCAATCCAGTACGCCTACACACTGTGGGCCGGACGAAACTTTCACCCTATCGCCAACATCTTCTACTGGGGTATCTTCGTCAGTCTCTTTGGCTCCAATCTGCTGAACGTGCTCCGCTCGACCGCCTCCAAGGTCGGCTACCTGCAACCTCAAGCCTCGCGTGACGGAATTCCGGACGTCAAGGTGACGGAGGTGCTCAACTCTTTGCTCATGACTGCCTTCTTCCGACCGGCAGCCGCTACGCTGGTGATCTACAACCGTGACACACCCATGACGCTTTCGCCGTGGCTGCCTCTGATGGTGCCCGCCTTCTCGTTGGCGGTTGATTTCTGGTTCTACTGGTACCACCGCATCATGCACGAGTCGGACGCACTCTGGAAGTTCCACCGCACCCACCACACCGCCAAGCACCCCACGCCCATCCTCACGCTTTATGCCGACATGGAGCAGGAGTGGTTCGACGTTGTCTTCATTCCGCTCCTTGCCTACTTCACTCTGCGACCTTTGGTCGAGATGAGCTACTTTGACTGGATGGTCTGCTGGACCCATGTCATGTTCATCGAGCTCATCGGTCACTCGGGTCTGCGCATCTCCGGAACCTCGCCCGCCTTCGATCTGATCCCGATGAAGAGGTTCGACGTCGACCTCGTGATCGAGGATCACGACAACCACCACTCGCGCGGCTGGAAGAAGTCTGGCAACTACGGAAAGCAGACTCGCGTTTGGGACCGCCTCTTCGGTACCGTTTTGCCTCGTGTCGAGACACCTGACCATCTTATCGACCATTCCGACAAGGTCTGCCTGCCTCAGTTCTAATAGAGATGTGTTTCGCATCCTGTCGCTTAATCTGATCATGTAATTATACCACTGCATTGTTAATTGTTGTCAAATTAGACGATCTTGATAGAGATGTGTGTGACAAGGGGTATCTTTGAATGGCGATGGGTAGTCGAGACATCTAATGATTGTCCGTCTTCTTTTCTTTCTTGTCTCTTTTCTCTTTCCCTTCGGCCCTATCTTTCTTGTCTTTCTTAGCTTTCTTGTCCTTCTTGACTATCTTCTTCGTTTTGATATCAGCATCCGCATCCTTATCCCTTTTCCGCTTCTTGCTCGAGGAGGCTGTCTCTATTGCTTCCGGTGAGACAGCAGTGTCCGCCTTGCTCTTCTTTCCTTTCTTTTCTTTCTTTTCTTCCTTTTCTTTCTTCTCCTTCTTCTCCCTAGGAACCTCTCTTATGCTTTCCTTCTTTGACAAGGACAAAGATGAAGTCTCGGCATCGTCTGATGTGTCTTTCTTCCTCTGCTTGCGGAGAGCTTTCCTTGCCAACTTTCGCGCGAGTTTCTCGGCGTCGACTTCGCGGTCCTTGGACTTGGACTTCGCTTTCGATTCAGGTTTCGATGAGGAAGCCGGTGATAATGCTGAAGGTGTAACGTCAAGCGCAGAGTTGACCTCAGCATCGGCAGCTGCGACCACCTTTGCACCTTTAACCTTGGCAGAAGCAGAGCTCGAAGTCTTTGGTGGATCAACTGGCTCAATTGCGGGTACGATCGGTTTGCCGCGAACAAAGTTGCTCATGAGCGTCTTTCTCGCATGTTCACGTTTGGCCAAGGAAGACAGCGACATGGTGGTCGAGCCTGCGGACCTTTCGCCCATGTTCCATGTTGTTCTGCTAGGGGATGCCTTGGATTTGTCGAGCGTTGGAGTCGAAGCCCCAGACGAAGCAGGGGATGGACCGATAGAGAGACTTTTCGCGCCTGCTGTGAATATGCTGTTCCACCAATCATCGGCGCGGTCTCGATCCTTTCCGATTCCGGAGAGAGTCTTCTTCTGTGTAATGGCGAGGGGCTTCTTGAGACCTTTGCCCGCTTTGCCATCGAGTGGTACTCCAACGCCTTCCCATCCTTGAGACACAAGGAAGTTCGTTGTGTTGAGCGGCATCGTGGCAATCCGCAGCGGCGCGAAAGGATGCGGAGGAGACGGTGCGTGGTAGTGAGAATAGAGTAGGACGAGAAGGATGGTGGCAGGCACCAAGCAGGAAAGCCGAGCTGAAACCCAAAAATTTCAACTTGAGAGAAAAATCAGGGGAGGGTTCTGTCCGAATTCCGAGAACATGCAAGTCCAGGTTGTGGAGTAATTCTTCCGCCTGCTCGTGCACTAGGGAAGTTGAGGTCGTCGGAGACCAACACTTGATTGTTGTGTGTCGGGTCGCTTCCGAATGCATTTCTGTCAGCAGCAGACGCTCTTCTTCTATTACGTTTATACCGATTAGGCAGCTCAAATCGCCTCAGCGGATTGCCTCGCTACTAGTGCAAAGCGAGCTCTGCATCAGCAGACACGGCAAATCCGATGCACTTAGCGACGCCTTGGTTCCAATCTGCTATCGGTACAGCGGGACGCTAAGGTAGCTGCGGACCATCATGACCGTGCCGATGCGGTCAGGTCGTCGACTATGGCTGCCATGGCTCATCCTCGCGATATCCATGATACTGGTCACATACTCGGTCGACTCGTTCATGCGACTTCCGCAGCAACTCGGCATATCGCAACAATGTCGCATGTCTAGGATGTGGCCAGCCTACATCGACCACACCGCGAATCTCGAACCCTTCTCGCCCTCTGGCTTGTGGCGCAAATACCGCCTCTACCTCTATCGCGAACGTCACTTTGAGCCTATGGACCTTCCTACTGGCAGCCCGGCGCTCTTCGTGCCCGGAAACTCGGGATCGTACGGTCAGGTACGAAGCGTAGCATCGAGCGCCTCCCGCCAGTTCTACAAGGAGAATGGCTCGGGAGCGCGCAGGGACGAATGGAAGGACGCCCCTCCCGGTGTCGCACACACGGACTGGTACACCATCGACTTCAACGAAGACTTTTCTGCCTTTAGCGGCTCGACCTTGATTGAGCAGGCCACTTTCATCAACGAGATCGTTGCCTATCTTTCTGATCGATACGCCGCCGCTGCTACACGCAGCTATGCTGCAGGAGAGCGCAACACGACCGTGCCCATCTTGGCCCACAGCATGGGTGGCATTGCCGCTCGTCTCACGGCACACTTGCCCAATCATCCAGTCGGCAAGATCGACACCATCGTCACACTGAGCACACCCCATGCCTATCCACCAGTTCCATTCGATCGCAGCGTCGAGTATGTTTATTCGCTCATCAACTCGCCGATCGTACCTTCAAAGGAGGCTCAGCACGGGCCGCCATTGTTGGTTTCCATTGCAGGTGGATTGCTCGACACACAGCTCCCCTCCGATCCTTCGTCCCTCTCGCTGGCTCGCATCGGCGAGTCCGTACCTGCGTCTCGTATTTCCACGTACACGGGTTCCTTGCCATCGCTATGGTCCTCGGTTGACCACGTCGCCGTCATGTGGTGCGATCAGCTCCGCGAAAAGATTGCGCGCGGGTTTCTCCTCGACATGATGGCCTTTGGGCGCGTATCAGACGAGCGCAATGCGGGCGGGATAAGCGGTCGTTCGAGTGTGCTGCGTCGGCGACGTGAACTATGGAGGCGTGCGCTGAGTATCTTTGGCGTGACAGATGCGGGCAATGGTGACATCGGACCTCTCGAGCTCTTACCTTCGCAAGAATCCATCTTTGACGAGGATCGCGAGACATTCGTCGTCGAGAACGAAACACCGAGCTTCCAACGACCGACAGTTGGTTCGGACTCAGCCCTTTCTACCGACCAGCAAAACCTCATCTTCCACATACCGGCCGACTTGAGCCAGGATGGCAGCGATCTGCACGCTTTCGAGCTCATCACCAACCTATGCGTCGGATGGAACCCTTCTTCGGGGATGGGAGCCCCCATTCCGCAGCCGATCGAACTGGTCGTCCAAACCTGTACCAGCGTTCCGGACTCACACAATCCCATCGGCGGTCAGACCGTCACATGCCAGCTCATCATGCCATGGCAGTGGGAGCTCATCCCGCCAAGCTTTTTGCCCCGTACGGACATTCTCATGCAAGAGTCTTCGGGACACACAGACCCAAATTTCCCCGAGAACAAGCCCTTCCCCAGCGCCGATGAGATCTACCACGTTCCCGGATATGGCTTCCAGCGTTTGCGTCTCGACGCCGACTACCTCAAGCGACAGCGAGTCGACTGGATCCGCGTCGAGCGCAAGACTGCCTCGGGCATCTTTGTCCATCAGCGCGGTCTCAAGAGCTTTGCGCGCGGCGGATGGATGCGCCAGGCTGCCGGTCGAGTGGAGCGGCACGGCAGCGCGTTGCTTCTCACCAATCTTCCGGACTCGGATATACACCAGCACCATCAGGATGCAGGCTTCGCCACCACAGGCGCAATCCCCATCGCCTCCGAATGGAGTCTTAAAGGAATCGGCTCATCATTGCTCGCCCGACGTATTGAAGTCGTACCGAGTCAATGTCTTGTCGGAAATCTAGCCCTGTACACTCTGCTCAGCAACGACGAGAGCCTTCACTCCACGGATCCTTCTTTCTCGCCTTTCATGCACATCTCGGATCGTGCCACAGGTGATTCCCGCTGGTATCCACAGCTTGCCTCACCCGAGCTCATCCGAAAGATCCGCAACCGGACTTATAAGAACGAGCCAGTCACCTTCCCTCTTTCGCTTCATGGAAATGCGCCGTTCATACCTCCAGCGAGGGACAGCCTGGACGAAGTCAGGGTACAGATCTGGACCGATCAAGCGCTCCTGCGTCCGGTGCCAGGCAAGACTCTTGCGTGCAGCTCGCCCATCGACTCGATTCGCTTGTCTGTCGACTGGAAGGCTTCTGCCGGGCTTGTCCTACTTCGCTACCGATTTTTCTTGGCGGCATGGCCTCTGGGTTTATTGGCCTTTTGTCTCGGTCTGTCATGGCTCAAATGGGCTGCAGACCCCGAGCTCATATTCCCGTCTCCTTTGTCCTCGATCACACAGCCAGCGTTCCGCACCCCCATCGTCGGGAACATATGCGATCCTCTCCTCGGCCTCTTGTCTTGCACCACTGTGGCGCTTGTGCTGATCGACAGCGTGCGGCTCATGCTGTACAGAGCAATGCCGAGCGCACAAGCTCAAGGGCCGTCGTCGTCTTTGCTTGGCATGGTCTTGGGACTGAACGAACACTCGTCCTCGGCAGGATTGGTGCCCTGCTTCTTGCTGGTTTCATACGCAGCTCTGCTCATCATTGCCGCAACGATTCAGTGGTCCTTTTCACTTGCAGCAGCCATCATCACAAGGTTTGGGCTGGCTCGCAAGTTTGACTGGATCGGAGCAGCAACCTCAAGCTCGGACCCGCTACGATGGAATCGTCAATCCATTGCGGGGCTGGCGACGCTGCTGCTGTCCGTGGTGCTGTTCGTACCTCATCAATTCGTCTTCCTCATCATGTTCCTCTTGCAGCTTCTCAACACGCTTCGCGCACTGCTTGAGCTACAATCACAACGAGGGGTCGCACAATCGCACGAGTCACGCTATCGTCAACACCTCAGCGTGTTCGTCATCCTTCTCTTTTTGCTCCCTCAGAAGGCAAGCTTCCTGGTCACATGGGTGCGAAATCTAGCTTCGGTGGGCATCAAGACGCCCAAAACAATGGCCGCATGGATGGACCACAATCTCGTAGATGTCGCTCCCATCGTCGTTCTTATTTGGCTCATGGCAGGCGGGCGCATGCTCGAGCCACCTCGGACTGCTCTGGAAGGCAAGGCGATCGCGTTCGGCTTTGGCGTTGTAGGTTGGTATGCGCTGGTATGGGGCATCCGGTACACCTATCGCACCTACGATGCGTTCAATGCACTTTGCGTGCTGCTTGCAGTCTGCCACTGGCGATCAAGGCGAGCTGGCAGTCGCAGTCCCTACAATCGCGATCAACCTGCGCGCCATGGCAACAAGCAATCTGACGAGACTGTGGGAATGCTGGACGACAGCGACCACATGGATGCCGTATCGAAGCACTCCATGACTTCACGAGCGGAAGAATACGAGCTGCATTCTGCATCGCGCTCAGAGCAGCTGCCGATTCACCATCTTGCCTTGCCAGCCTCAATAGCCTCACAGCAGGATGGCCCGCCAACTGCAACATCCAACGCTTCCAATGGCGCTGCCTTTGAAACGACGCCTGAGCCTCGATCTGCAAGCGACAAACTGGATCAGCTGATAGCACAGTATCTGGAAGTACTCGACCGTTATCAAAAAGCTCGGGCTTCCTCTACCAATCTTTTCAGCAGTGGCTACCTCAAGCTCAGTCGTGCCAAGATGGAGTACGGTCCATCCCGACTCAGCAGCAACTCGTACGACTCGCGTCTGCTTGCCGAACTGAATGCTACTGTGGCTGAAAAGCCATCTACAACTGATGCAGCAAGAACCAAGAACATATTTGTCGCAAGATCGCAGCCGGACTACTCACACCTGGAGGAGGACAAAGGAGTTCTGGTCAATGACACGGACGAGAGCAAAGCTGGGAAGGAGGATATCGCGGCCGCAGGGTTGAGGAGAAGAGTTCGCCCTGGAGTGGAGTCAAGCGAGCCAGAAGAGAAACCGTCCGGCTTGCCGAGCACCTCGCCAAGCAACCTCGCGAAAAGAGCGGCGGGGAACCACGCGGTTCCTGCGGTAGGTAAAATCGGCAGAGAAACAATGGCGGACATAAATTCCAAGAAGAACGACGACCAAGGTCTTGGCATCGTCAGCAACGCAGATCACGACAAGGCACAAATTCAAGATGAGACGGTCGGTAAGAGCAGGGCTCAAAGGGCGAAACCGGACGCTCTGTTGCAGTTCGGCGGTCTGCCCTCCACTTCACTCCGAGGTGCACAGGCTGATCTTCGAAAGGCTCTCGACGAAGTTCTTGGGGTCATGCCTGACTCTACCGGGAGTGACAGTGGTGATGGCTTGGTGCAGCTGACACTGCATTTGGAAACGTTGGCGACAGCGATCTCCGAGATGAAGCGGTCTCAAACGTGAAATCCGCAAATTAGAACTAGTAATCCACGAGCTGAGGATTGTGGCAGCTGCATTAGCGTGGGCAGTTTGTTTGCATCTGTACGGTTGCATCGCGTCCACGCGAGGGATTCTGTGTTTGGGACGGACATGGGGTCGAGCAAGATGCAGTTCTGACGCACGAAGCTGCATAGCATCGAGATTTCTGCCTCCGTGTGCGGCCGGCCACTAAACTCTGAAATTCACCGGTCTCGTCTCTGTAGAGTGCCGACGATTACTTCGAGCCGGCCAACGACTTCAAGAGTATGCGCACGACTGACGCAAGAGGGTTTTGACTGCTACCGAGCTCGGTCCGGTGCTCCGACATTGAAACAAGGAGAACGTCTGGACTATGGCAATGGCAAAGGAAGAAAGAATCCGTGGGGATGCCGTACGCTAAGCGAGGCTCGCGGCTACGCAAGCGAGTTTGGCGATGCAAATTGACCGATGGCAGTAAATTCGAGGCTGCATTTGCCGATCGGTCACTTGACCCCCGCACACAAAGTCTCCGAATACCCGGACATTACCCCGCTCTGTCCAAACTCCGAGCCTGGCTGGATACGCATGAGCAGAAGATCTGCTCTATAGGAACACGAGGAGGAGATGTGCCTGCTAGCCTGGGTGCCCAAATTTCGTGGACTGAGATCTGCCGTGCAAGAAAACCTTCTTCCAAAATCGTGTCCGCCGTAGCGAGCTTCGAGTCAGTGCCCCTCAATTGTCATCTTGGATACGCCTTGGAGGGTTTTCAGAATCTATATAACGAGGATGCCATGAGAACCAGTTCACTGCTTCGATAACGAAATTGTCTCCTTTATCGAAGGCCTCCCAGGAATCTTGGAGCCCCTTACGTCAAGATACGATTGACGCCATGTTTGGCATCAACTCAAGCGCCGTGGCCGTTGTACTAGCCTTTGCCTCCGTCCTCGGTACCACCTCAGCCGCTCCATCCACGCCGTACTACTCGACGGCTTCCGAGGACGTCTTTGCACGCGAGAATGGTCGGCACTCCTACACTGGACCTTACACCACGGGAGGTGCTTGGAGCAATGGCTTTGCCAAGGCCAAGGCTCTTCTCGATCAGATGACCGTCGAGGAGAAGGTCAATATCACCACAGGCTACTCGGGAGCCTGTGTTGGCTTCACCGGTACTGCACCACGTATCGGCCTGGAAGCCCTCTGCCTTCAAGATGGTCCTGCAGGTGTCCGACCTGCTCGTCGCGTTTCGCAGTTCCCTGCAGGCGTCACTACGGCCGCTACGTGGGATCGCGACCTGATGGCGCAGCGGGCTGAAGCCGTCGCGGAAGAGTTCCGCGACAAAGGCGTCAACATCTGGCTCGGCCCTGTCACCGGTGGTCCTCTCGGACGAGCACCACGAGGAGGCAGGAACTGGGAGGGATGGAGCCCCGACGAGTACCTCACCGGCGAAGCCTCTTTCATCACTGTCAAGCACGCTCAGAGCAAAGGCGTCGTCACCTGCGCCAAGCACTACATTGCTTACGAGCAGGAGACGTTCCGAAATCCCTACAACCTCACCGAGCCATATGACGTCTTTCCTCCACTCACGCAGATGCCTATCGATTCCGTCATTGACGACCGTACCTTGCACGAGCTCTATCTCTGGTCGTTCGCTGAGGCCGTCCGAGCCGGTACCGGAACCGTAATGTGCTCTTACAACGAGGTCAATGGGACGCATGCGTGCGAAGATCAATATTCTCTCAACAAGCTTCTCAAGGATGAGCTCAACTTCCAAGGAGCTGTCATCTCCGACTGGGGAGGAACGTGGTCAAACGGTCCCTCGGCATTGGGAGGCCTCGACGTATCGATGCCCGGCACTGCATACAATGGGATGTTCGGCGACTTCTTCGGCGAGTCTCTCGAGAAGCTGATCCAGAATGGCTCCGTGCCCGAGGCGAGGCTTGACGATATGGTGCTTCGTATCCTGACCCCTGCCTTTGAGCTGCAGGACGAATCCTACCCAAAACCGTCGTTCGATGTTCGAGACCTGACCCTTCCGACCAATAACGTGCGTGGAAACCATCACGAGGTCATTCACCAGATCGGCGCGGATTCTATCACTCTCGTCAAGAACAAGAACGCTGATGGACGCGGTCTTCCGCTCAAGAGCCTCGAGGAGTTGCAGACGATTGGCGTCATCGGTCAGGACGCTGGTGACAATCTATACGGTGCTACGAGCTGCGGGGAGGACGGCAAGTGCAACATCAACGCCTTCAATGGCACTATGACTATTGGTGGCGGTTCCGGCTGGGCTTTCCCACCTTACGTCATTACCCCAGCTGCTGCGATCCAGGAGTACGTCCGCAACGTCGGACCCGATGTCAACCTTCACCTCGACAACTGGGATCTCGAGGGAGCCAAAGCTCGCGCCAACTCGAGCGATGCAGCTCTCGTCTTTGCAAACGCATATGCTGCCGAGTTCATTGACCGTCAGAACCTCACGCTCTGGGCCAACGCTGACAACCTTATCAAGACGGTAGCTGAAAACAACAACAACACGATCGTCGTCATCCATAGCCCCGGTCAGGTCGATGTGGAGAAGTGGATTGACCATCCGAACGTCACCGCGGTGGTATTTGCGTACCTCCCCGGACAGGAAGGTGGGGCTTCGCTTCCCAAGATGCTGTGGGGTGAGACGAGCCCAAGCGGCAAGCTGCCATTCACCGTTGCCAAGAAAGAGAGCGACTACCCACCAAACACAATCATCGACGATCCGGTCTTGAATCCCACCGCCAGTTTCACCGAAAAGTTGCTAATCGACTACAAGTGGTTCGACTATCACAACATCACCCCTCGCTTCGCTTTTGGTCACGGGCTTTCGTACACTTCCTTCAACTATTCGGACACGCTCAGCGTCACATCGACGCCCAAACAGGATCAGACGTCGATCCAGCAAACGAAAGAAAAGCTCATCAACAGCCAAGCTGGACTTTACGATGTCGCATTGACGCTCGAGACCGAGATCACCAACAGCGGGAGCATGGCCGCCTCCGAAGTTGTACAGCTCTACGTCGGCTTCCCTGCTTCGGCGGACTCGCACGACAACCCACAGCCAATCAAGACGCTTCGCGGCTTCGAAAAGGTCAAGGACGTCAAGGCGGGTGAGACGAGGAAGGTCAGCTTTGAGTTGAGGAACAAGGATATTGCTGTCTGGTCGACATTGAATCAGGGTTGGAAGATCCCGGAAGGGGGCGAGTTGTCGTTCAGTGTTGGCTCAAGCAGTCGGAAGATTCATTCCAAGACCACTTGGGTGTACCGAGGCTAGAAGTAGAGCAACTCAATCTATCGTAGCTACCGCTTTGACAATTGTCACCTTCTGTAGTCGTTGATGAGCTGAAGTCTAGCAAGTCCCTCCGGCAACCGGATCCGTCTCGTCGGCTGTCAAGCGTGCTTCTGACATAGAATCTGCCTCTCTGGAAGTGAGAAGCATCCATGCTGGGCAAGTCCCTCGTGTCCTTCGTGGCTGCAAGAGGGTAGTAGGCATCCTGTTGTCTCTGTCACCACCCTCAGATGAACTTGCCAAGCTGCAATTGCGGCGTCGGGTGACGACTCCAGTTGTGAAGCCAAGCGGACGTCGATCATGTGTTACGCTCAATCCCACCTCATCCCTCACTTGTTCGAGTCATTCGCGGCTATTCCTGGAGAATGTCTCTCGGAGCAATCTCATCATTACGTCAACATTGGCTGCTGCCCTTGGTTCGGTGAGCCATTTCATTGGCTTAATTAGTGGAGCACTGAAGCCGTGTCGACACTCCCACGCCACTTCACGAAAGCGACCCTCGAGAACCACTCTTACGAGATGAGGCCGTCTATGAAGTTCTGCATCCTCTGAGCCGATCCAGAAGATTGGTCCTTGCGACACTGACCGCATTTGAGATAGAGCTCGACCATTCTTCAGCTGCGATACCATCATCGTTCGATCGACAGACCTGCATCGATGCTGAAGCTTTTGGTTCCCATCGGCGTTACCGCTGTTTCTGTTGCCCCTTGTGGCCCCATCAAGTCACCTCATGGTCCGCCAATCACTTCCCTCGAGCACAAAGGCATTTTTCCGGGTGACTCAGCTTCGCCTTATCATGACTTCAAGCTACAGAAACGAGGAGGCACCTTCTCCTCTCTCTGGAAAGGGGAGCATTTCGAGCCTACGACTTCCGAGCCGACCCCGCCCTTCCACCCTTTACTGCCGCTGGATTCAACGCTAGAGTTCTTGAGCATGGGACTTCATGATCCTCAAGCCGTTGAGATCATCGCATTTCACCGGAGGTACGATAAGATCATCGATCCGGCAACTTTGCCTCCACCTCTCGCGGTCAAATTGGCCCGAAAATACGAGGGATACCAACGCTGGTTCCCGCTTAGGGGCGAGGACAATCGCGCCATGCAGGACGATGAGGCTGTCCAGCTTTTCCGTACCGATGTGATGAGGAATCGTTTTGCTTCCATGCGAGACTATCTCGAGTGAGTCTATTGACTGCAAATGTTTAGAGGAAAGACTCTCGAGGAACTCACTTCGCTCTTGCAATTTGCTTACTTCCAGTCTCGTCAAGCAACACGCCGTGGCTTTGCGTCTTGACTCGGTACGGGTCGGGTACCTCGAGGCGCTTCGAACACGTTTCCAGACTACCGCAGACCTGCTGAGCCCTTCTGAGGATAGTGTCAGATTCTCAGCGCGTTTTGGCGATTCGCGAAGGCCTTTGCGGGCGCAGCAGTACGCACAATGGGAGCTCAACAAGAAAGCGGAACGAATCAGACAAAACTTGCCGCGCTTGCGTCAAGATCACGACCTTCTCGTCAAGCTCGAGACGGAATTCGAAGACCTGGTCCGTAAAACGACGCAAGCGGGACCGCATCATGTACGTCGCAACGTGGAAGCGTACGCTGCCAGCAAAGATCTGTGTCGAACAGAGCCTGCCTCGAGCTCGGTCAAGCTAAAGAAGAGGAGGTTTCTTGGCCCCGAGTCTCCTTCATCACAGCAGCAACAAAGCTGGCTGACCCTTGAACAGGCTTGGGAGGCTTGTCGATGACGGCTGACGATCCTGGAGCCCACGCTATCGCCGACTTTCTGCGGAGGCACCAGGAATTGCTCCCTAACACCAATATCGACCCGCACCAGCGAAATTTCCTCATCGAACGATACCAGCAATACCAGCGCACACATCCTCTGCGTGGTTCAACAGTGAACTACGACGACCCTCGCTTTCTTCTTCGCGAAATGACTCTGGCCAGCGGGCGCGATCGGTTACGAGACATCCAGCCGATCATAAACCACATGCTGCAGAATCAAGAGCCTTTGCAGTTGGCAGGAGCCAGAGCTGCCTATCTCGAGGCGGTAAGACAGCGCTTTGGGCACACCGAGGCAGATATGACACCCACCGTCGATGAGCTCATTCAGCTGGCTTCGGCCGACGAGGTCTTATCGCGAATGACGAATTGGGTCCACGACAACTTCGGACATGAGCCTTTGGAGGTCCGCGAACGACTCAGAGCAAGGATGCATCAGCCAATTCATAGTCCTCTCAGATTTATCCAGGATCTTTCTTTGCTCCAGGAAGTTGAGAAAGCCCTCGACGGCTATGTTGCCCGTGCAGGGAACGCTGGAAGACATCTCGACAAGAGACATATACGAGAGTCTGCAATCGAGACGCCTGATTCGCGGAAGCAAGCATCGACGGCGAGAAGCAAGATCGATGTCCTCGTACAGTCCCAATCGACACCCAGTGAGCAGCTGGCCTCGCGCCGAGTCGCTCTCTTCGCTCGGGCAGGCGACCCGAGCAGTAGTCAGCGCGCCATCGCTCCCGATCACCCGTTCACAGAAGCAATTTATGGTCTGTCACTGGAGCTGCACGAGACTGGAGCTTTGCCAATCGCCACATACTGGTCGGTCGAACGGCAACTATTTCCGCCCTCTCTCCGCTCTCGTGAAACACTTCAAGAACTGCAGAGCATCTACGAGCCCTACCAACTTGCTCATCCAGTCCGGGCTAGAGCAGTTGACATCAGAGACGATAGGACCTTTGCCAGCCAGCTGATGGAAGCTGTGGGAAGGGATCGATTCCGGGATATCGATAAGGTTCTCAAGCACCTGATTGATAAGAAAGACGAGCTTGGCCTAGATGATGTTAGAATTGAATATCTGCAGGCTCTGAAAGCTCGCTTCCAATACGCAAGTCGAGTCTTGACGCCGACTACGGACGAGATCCTGGATCGTGGTACCGAGCACATTCAAGCGCTGCGTGACCCACGCGTGGCAACGGACGATATCAAGGCGGTACTGGCGAGGGTCTCGGCATACGTTCGAGTACGTTCAAGAATCAGCGGAGCTAACGCTGTTCGACTCGCGGTGGATTTGGGCCTCCTGGGCCATCTCGAAGAAAGCCTGGATCAGGTCGTTCAAGGAGCCAATCTTCGAATGACGACGGGCCGGCGCTTGATTCGACGCGATGTCACGCAAAGGCTGCCAAAGGAGTCTCTCGAGCGCAGGCGAGCTGTTCCGTCCCAAGTCAGTAACTTACAGCAAAGCTCGACTGGCTTGCCGCAAGCACTACCGGACACGACTGTAATCATTCGCTTCCTGAGCCGTGATCGGCCGCTCTTGCCTCAGCCTGGCTTCACTCCCCATCATTCACAGCAGCTCGTCGACCTCCTTCGCGACCATCGTGAAGAATTCCCCATCCAAGGTCGCGACATGAATCTCCAAGACGGGCGCTGGTTGATGAAGCTGATGTTGAATGACGTGGGTCGCGATCGATTTCGCAAGATGGGGCCCATCCTCTCTCGCATCCTTGCTGATCGAGAAGCCCTGCAGCTCGACCGAAGCCGAGCCATCTTTCTCGAAGCTGCCGTCACGAGGGTGAGAGCTACGCAGCGTCTGTTGAGTCCGACCCTCGATGATCTCGAGCGGGCAAAGCGGTCAGCGCTGATCGGAGCCCCTTCCGAGGACGACTCTCGAGCGATGTTGCAAAGCATTTCTAAAGCAACCGCAGAACGTTCTCACCGCACGATGACCCAAGGCGCTCGATTCTTGCAAGACCTCAAGCTGGTCAAATATCTCGAAACGGAGTTAGCAAACATTCGAGAGCCAATTGAGCAGACCAGACAGGTAGGAAGCCATCTCGTCAAGCGGGATGGATCGCAGGTTTTGTCCGGAAGACAAGCACCGTCGACCGAGGCGGACATGACAGCGATTCTTTCACCGATCGGCATGAACTTACACGATGAGCACGCGCGGACCATTGCAGCCTGGCGTTTGCACGAGAACAGCTTGCTTGCGGGCCGCATCCTCCCCGATGATCTAAGGACGACGTTGCGGGACCACTGGGCTGCCTACCGGTCCAAATTTCAAAATAGACTCAGCTTCTCCGAGGCGCTGCTCTGGCCCGTCCGTCTCTATCATCTCCTCTATACCGACGAAGGAGCACGTTTCAACCAAGCTAACGATGTCATTAGGTACGTCAGGCAGCGAGATGATGTGAGTAGTGGATCCGAATCGACTCATAGGCTGACCGTATCCCCTCGTTCCACCTGACTCGTACGAAAAGCCTTTTGCTCCAGCGCCTTGGCCGGTCGCTGTTGTCTCAGGAGGAGGCCAACTACTTGAGGGCACTTCGAGATCGTTTTGCGGAAATGGATGAGCTGATGAGACCGTTACCGACGACACTTTCTCTTGCCGTGAGGGGCGAGCTTCCGCGTTCCCACCCGATCTATCTGGAGTCCTTGCTCAGGCTTCGCTTGAACCTGCGTAAGGCACGCATTCAAGCCAGATCGCGGGAGGTCGACATCAACTCGAAGCTCCTTTCAGCCTTCGAAGCCGAGATGGACTACCTGCATGACTCGAACTATCTACCTCGGGTAGTCTCACATCTTCGTCACTAACGAGCAAGATCCATCGACAGTTCAATCAGGCTGATATCGTGGCTGTTTCAATGCTATTTCACAGCTTTCTGTCATTGACTGTTATGAGCTTGTAACCCGAGCGGGTTTGCCCTCTTGCCTCGGCACCGACCAATCCTAATCAAGCCATGAAAGCTTGCCCCTTCAATATCTTTTCGATGAGATCCACGCCTCGCACAACTTGTCCGTATCCGTGAGTTCGGCTGACTTGCCTGAGTCTAGGATATCGATCCGGAATACTGTCGTGCCATCTACGATACTGCTCGAGCGACCATACCGTGTCGGGCATGAAAGGATCGAGAAGGTCTCGGTATTTCTCTCGCCTGCTCTCGATCGTGAATGAAAGTTAATCTGCTATGTCAGAGCTCATCCTCAGAGCACTTGGACGGAGAGCTGGTGTGCGTCTCACTTACAGTGTGAAAGCTCCAAGAGCTCGCTTCTTGACAGTGGGCACGTACATGACCGGTCGACCTCTAGGGTCGGTGTGGATGGCAGGCCAGACCTCCCAATTCACGTCAAAGTGGCGACGTAGATCGTCTCGCAACCTTCCAAGCCTTTCCAGCCGCTCTTGACGTACGAATGGCGTTTGCAGATCACCAGAGTCAAAATAAGAGCGAAGGGCAGGACCTCCACCGGATCTTTCTGGAACATTGTCACCGCCAACAACGGTATAAGGGCCTGAATGACCACTGACACTTGTATCCACGGTGGTCGCAAGTGGTCTCGCTTGTGAGCCTTCGTATATGCCTCCAAGCGATAGCTCAGTGTCGGGATCCGATGCTGCCCTCCAACTGTCGCCCAAAGGAGGATCGCCGGCTGAGCGTGCGCTATGAGTCCAAGTCAGCGTCAATATAGCCAGAATGAGGAAGCGCGACATCGACATTGCTGCTTTGGGGAAATATCCAGTAGTCACAGTCTGGACGAGGCTCTTAGGTAGTAGGAAACTGTGAGGGCGACGGTCACTCAACTTAAGGCTTGAGGAAGACTTGGAGACTCAGTTTACCGGTTGCCTGCCGGTTGAGCCGGCACGGTAAGATTTACGATGCGCCACGATATCTCGACGGTACGCCTGCATATGGGAAAGAGAAATGTGGATGAGAGATGTCATTAGATCGACGGCGCCTCACTGCTATCTCAGTTCCGGCGAATTCGGAGGCGAAGAAGGCCGATGGAGGCTACACTGTCAACATCGAGTCTTCCACCTTTGCCGTCCCGCTCAATGGAAGTGTCTAAATAGCAGATTCGAAGTAACGGACAAGTGCGTCAAAGGAGCAATCATGTTCTGATAGCTTGCTCGTACGATCTCAGAGTTCTCTCGATGTTTTCCACCTGATCCTTGACCTCGTTGGATTCATCGTCAATCCTATCTACGGTCCGGCCGACCGGGGCCCGATCGGGAAGGCTGTCATGCCACCGTCGGTACGTCTCGAGCGGCCAGACTGTTCCACTGCCTTTGGCGTCGATTATGTCCTTATACTTGTCTCGGCTGCAAAATTGAACAGACGATAGTGGTCAGGCGCTCTACTGAGCTGGCACAGAATAAGTGTTTGTGGTGGTGACTTACAGCAGAAAAGCTGCCATGGCTCGTTTCTTGATCGTAGGTACATATATTTGGTACCTCCCTTGCGTGATGTGGGCATTTGGCCAGCTTTCCCAAGAAGAATCATAGTACTGTCGGAGATCTTCCCGCAGCTTTCCAATTTGCTTGATACGAGCTTCGCGCTCGAGCTCGGTCTGTCGTTCTGTGGTTCCGAGATGCAGGTTAAGGCTCTCGTCGTTGACCGAAGATGTGCTTGACCACATATGAAGCTCGGTGTCTGGACGACGGCTACCACTAGGGCGGGATGACTCTGCTAGTAAGTTCCTCGAATGGTCTTGGTAGATACGGCCAAGCGACAGGTCGGTGTCGGGTTCTTGCTGTGGTTCGGTTCCCGTGCTGAGTGGCTGAAGCAGAACGGCCAAAATCACGGGTACAGCAGCCGCCAAGAACATGGAAGCCGCATGAGGGGTAAACAGCATCTTCGGGGTCGCTACGTCGTCTTGAAAGTCAAGTCAAACTTCGAGCTGGTGCGCGGGTGGTCAATACAGTTCGTCTGACTGAAGGTTCAATGATCAAAGCTCATCGATAGGGAGAAGCAAGACACAGCTGGATCGCAACTGCTACTAGCTGGTTACCAAGTAACGTGATTCGCCAACAACCGGGTGGGAGGATCTTGACACAGCACTTCGTACGAAATACGAAATGAAGGAGAAGCTCCCACGTCTCTGGTAGTGATAATTCGCTGTGGGACCAGGGCGAAAGTCGCTCGGTCATCTCACGCTACAAAGGGCCGAAACTGCACGAAAAGTGTTCGGTGATCTTCGACACTACGCTCCCACGCTCCGGCAGCAAACAAGATCTCATTCAGCGACGTCTGCAGCAAAGATCGATTATTCAAGTCGCGAGCTCGAGATAGTGAGAGAGACTGTGTATACTCTTTGCGGCCCACCGTTGCACAGTTCGCACGTACTGTTGGCGGATGGCGTGAAAAGACCCGAAGTCGGGACAAATGAAGTGGTGCACGAACAAACAAAGTCGAGTTGAGAGAACTTTGTGCGAACCATCAGGGCAAAGACCCGCCGTGTCATTAAGAGGGTCGATGACGATAACATCAGCTTCACTTTGAAGGGGTCAAGTCACCGGCCTTTTTGTACAAGCAACACTCGGAGATTTCGAACGAGTTTGCTCGCGGTGCTTTTACTGCTTTATGCCGTTCGGTTGTCGTTTCCTGATGGTTTTGGAAGCTCGAATGCCTTTCGAGGTCAAGTGGGAATGTTTCGTAAAAAGAAGAAGTCAGACAAGCTGGATTGGAATAAAAGCGGGAACTCTTTTGTAGGCTAATCATCACCACCTCGATAGTCTCTCTTCCGCCCAAAATTTATCTGACGAGAAGATGAACACGGCTTGCTTTGCTCTCCAGGTGCTCTCCATCTACATTCTGCTTGCTTTCGGACGAGCTCAAGCTTCGTCCCTACAGCAGCGAGATATTGGACACCCCCTCTCGCCCCGAAGTGGCCCTTTGCGGGGACCTATTTTGCATGGCCACCCAGTCCTGCATTGGTGGCCGAATTACTCCCGTTACCAGGGACAACGTTTCACTTCGTTCTCATCGAGGACGGGAAATCGTATTGACGCGGACCGACTCGTCACTTTCCAAAACCAAGTCGCTGCCATGGAGCGCATCCGAGGGTAGACGTCGCGTTCCGATAGAAGTCACAGCCAAAGACGAGGATTCTGATTGCTTGACTTCCTCTTATCGTTTCTACAGTGCTGCTCATCAAAGCGACGATCTGACGCAAGAGGAGAAGCAGAGAATCGCACAGCCTTTTGAAAATTGGAGCTGGCTGCGAGCTACTGAGCCAAATCCGAACAAGCTCACTCTCGCCGGTACTCAATTCCAGCAGGAGGCAAACAAGTTGGAGGAACTTCACAACGTCCTCGCTCGCTTCGCTCCGCACTTCTGATACTGATGATTTCCTGCGTCTTAAACTAGCGGCAATGCTTCAAGGAGGAGAAAGTGAGAAGGAGTGTGTGTTTGCATGTTCGACTTGTCCTTCTCATTTGGACCACTTCCAGTGCCTTCATGTCTACGATAGCACCTTGCTTCACTGGAGCTTTCAAGGTTGCCGCTTGAGCGCTGCTAGGATAGCTTTCACACTGCTCCCATTTTTGTTGCTCGTATTGTTCTCAGCCGTCAGCCATACTAGGTGTATAATTAGCTGGTTTACGCTCACATACGCGGTCAACCTACTCCTGTGGCATGCGTCAGCAACTCGAACAAACAAGAATCATAGTGTCAAATGATTCTTCAACAAGCCGATGAGGAGCAATATGTATCCTTAGGATTATACTACAAGGCTGCAATTCACACGACTGCGAAGCTACCGGCTCTTCCGCTGTCGACGAAAAGTGTTTCGTTGCCACGAGAAGCTCGTGACGTTGTTCCAACCCTCATGAGCTGAAGACACTTTCTCAAACCATGATCCTGATCGTTGCAGTGGAGCCTGGGAAGAAATTCTCGCAACTGGTGGACCGTAGCCTGGGCTTGTCTGCACCGTTGAAGATTGTCCGCAGGCTTGTAGACACCTTTGGTATCGTGTATCAACCGCGAACAGGCAGTCAGGGGTGGAACAAGCGCCGATAGCTCGGACCAGGCGTTCTGTTGATACACCAGTATTCAGTCTGCCGACTCTACGACCTTCAAGAAACGTCTATCTGTTCAAGAGTACATACGAAGCTCGGCTTCTTTGTCTCACTGTCGCTCAAAGCTCCTCTAGCCGTAACATCATTGATACTGCATCCGAAATCGAGTCACCGCATGAAGTCTTGCCATTGCAAAGCTATCAAGTAGAGAATGAAGGTTTGGTTAACCGTTGCGTTTGCAGCAGTTGTCTTCCTAATTTGTCAGTCCGGCGCATCATCTCGACGGCAGAATCTGGTTCATCGAGGCGGAAAATTGTCGCATCTCGTTGGCAGCCCGGTTAGGCAGCCTGGTATTATGGACGCGCAAGACCCTCCGCCTCCGCCGTGGTGGTCAGAGTATGCTCCTTACAGAGGGCAGGGGTACCAACATTTCTTCGACGGCAATCAACTCAATCCGAAGCTTCTCAGGGCCTTCAGAACTCGGCTCCGCGACATGGACAGCGTACGGCGGTGAGTCTGCGATAAAGGTAGCTTGATAATGGCCGGGGAAAGAGATGAGCTGACTTTGAGAATTCCTATCGATGAGCGACTCACAGCTCAGCTCTTCTGCACACTCCGCTCACTCCTATAGAGAGGCAGAGGGTGTCGCAACCCTTTCACAACTATGACTGGCTCACAACTAAAAATTCTCACGAAGAGGATAAGTTGATTGCGACAGAAATGGTGGTACAGGATTGGAGACGCCTGGAGATGCTGCACGGTATCTTGGAACGATACCGTCCAGGCGCTTGACTCTACTTGTCCTGCTACTGAGCGTGTATCGAAGTAATCCCGACTCTGTAGGCAGTGTCAGCCTCGTGGATACTATGACAGCAAAGCACGCTTTCGCGATTGTCTCACAGCTCGCACTGGTAAACGTATACGCAAGTACCGTACAAAGCACTATCTCGAGAAAGAAACCATCTTTGTATCTTTGTGGCATATCGTCAATGCAGACTAAACGCCCGCTCGAGGATCCTCTCGACTTCCTCAGCAAAGATTTTTTCCGCCCTCATGTAGCTCTCGTACCACTTCATCCTGGCGTTCAAGTCGTCGATGTCAACCTTACTCCATGGATGGAACCTCTGCCTAAGCCGAAGGATGTCGTTTGAATCTAGGCGCCTCTGTAAAGCCGGATCGCTCAAGATTCGGCTACGAAATCGTCATGGTACGCGGTAAGTGCGTGATCAGTCAGAGTTTTGAAGATCCGGCCTGAACCGACGAGAGACTCACGCTTTCATCCCATCTAGGTCGCTCACCCTTGAGGAGTACTGGAAGTATCGTGCGAGCCTGGTGTTGTAAGGGAGATGGTCCGCGCGTTGGCCGAGATCAGGCCATGTAACCTCGTGACGAGCTCGATACCAACTCCACCAGGACTCGTATCGCTGAGGAAGCCTTCGATTACGCGATGGATTCTCCGACGGAGGCTGCATGGAATTAGTCGGAAGGTCGTTTCGACTCGCTTTATCCTGGTTCGCCGTGTTGGTCACAATGCGTCTCGTACTAGGCGGCAAAGGTGATTGAGCTGTAGTTGGTCGGGAGGCCCTTTTTCGCGTTCCTTTGGCACCAGCGATGGACAAATCCCTGTCGAGCACTTCCTGTGACGAGCTCCTGGGGAACGACATGGAAGCAGACGCTCTATCCGAAGATGCGAGGCCGTCCATGGGCGAATCCGAAGACGATCGGACTTTCAGCAAGCCCGTAGCATCTGTGCCAGTTAGCGCGGGTGCTGCTGAACACGAAGTTAGCGAACAGAGACACACTACTGATAGGACCAAAACGTTTGATAGCTCCATAGTCAGGATATCGAGGGAGGCAGTCTAGAGGGCCCGAATATGTCGACTTCATACCTGCGATGCCCATCGAAGAAGCCCTATTAAATATAGCCCTGCCCGATATCCCTTGCATTCTGACACCCAATCTAATCGCGAGGTCTACGCAAGCCACTGTCAGGCAGGAAGCTCGGCGACTCGCCCCTTGATGAAATGTGCTTCGAGCCTCGAACCATCAGCATGGTCCTGTGATCCAGTACTGTACAAAGTATCAGTAGCGCTGTCTTCATTAGCACGTTTCAACGACAGTCGACCTCGCTGAGAGGAAGAATGAAAACGCCGCTAAGGCTTGCGCATAGCTGGAATCGGTCTTCGTGCATCACATAGCTCGCAACTCGACTACATTACGCAAAAGGAGAAGTATGCGTGCCTTCAGTCTCTATCATACACAGCCGCAGTAGCGTCTCAACCTCCAAGCCGATTGCAAGATGAGAATATCAGCATTCTCTCTTCTTTTTTTTCATAGTCATTGGCCTCGTGTCAGCCGGTTCGGATGATTACCAGGCCGAATCGAGCCACAGTGCAGTATCTTCACTTAACGTCGGCATCAACCATTCTCCAATCGGACGCAGAGGTGATTGGTGGACTGCCTACTCTTACCATGTTGGACATAGAGTCCCAAGGCTCTTCAATAGTAACAGGATCTTCCCTGGATCCTTGAAACTCTTCAAGGGACGCATACGGAAACTCGACTCAGCTCGAAAGTGAGTCCCTCATCAGCACGTCCATACGTGACATCCATAGAAGCTGACAGCAACAGCATAGCACGCTCTTCATCATGCACTTTGCAGCTACGTTCTAGCTCATGAGCGCGACAGACTGACGCCAGACGAAGTAGAAGTGCTGTCAAAGCCCCTTAACACCTTGCATTGGTCCAAACTCAAGGGTCCGACCGAGAATCCTCATCTGCTTCACCTTTCAGGGGTTTACTACGAGCAGGATTACCCAAAGATGGTAGAGATGGATCGTGTCCTCAGAGAACTCAAGATCCGTCCTTAGTCAGTTTGAAGATGCAAAGCGAGCGATAGGTCGCTTAGTTGATCCCAGCGCACAGCCGGGGGCGACAGGATCCTCTGCGAGACAGTAGCGAAAGTGATCTGTGGACGAGAATGGCTAATCAAAGATAAGCTCAAGAAGCTTCGCCAGAGCTAGGTACTTCTCCCATCGACGACGGCCTTTCAAGGTCGTTGATCACAGGATTGAGCAACATGGAAGGTTGCAACGTGCTTATGCGTCATTGAGTATGCTGAGAGGACACACAGCTTTGTTGTGCAAGGTGTCAGCGAGAAATTGGGACCGCCTTCGAAGCTATCTTCTGCAGCAAGTCTTCGAGCCCGAGGATCGAAAGCCTGTCCTGCTTCGCCTGGCGGATGAGATCCTTGATAGCCTTAGCTGTCAGACCTTTGCGGGCCGTGTACATTCTGATACCGATGCTCCTCCAGTCTCTGAACGGGATGGCTAGGAGGCCTGACTCTGCTCGGCTGAGTTGGTAGCTGCTCGGTTGTGTCATCAGCCAATTGTAAGGCAAATCAGTTTTGTCAGCCTGAGAAGTCTGGTAAAAGTCCACATCGTGGCCATCGATACACAAGTCGATGGGTTTACGTCGACTTACGTCTTGGCTGCTTGCAGTGCTTCGATCCGTGCCTGGATTCGGAGGGACGCTTGTGACATTAAGACGTTCCTAAAGAAGAGTTTTGGCGGACTTTGCTTGAAATAGTTGCTGCGGTAATAGCTCCACGGCGTCAACGATGGTTTGACGTGATCAGTCGGCTGCTTCGGAACCTCGAGATCCTGATTGACGATAGGTGCAGCTTTCAGCACGACACTACCCGAAGTGGAAGGTCCAGAAGTACTGACATCGACGGGTTTGTCATTGCTTTCTAGCTTGATCCACAGTCTCGTCGTTTTCTTCACCCGTGGCTTCGTCCCTGCTTTTGGTGACACGAGGGTACGAGATGTGCCTGGGTCTGGTGCCTTGTCAACGGCAATATGAAGGGTGGTAACAGCCTGTGCCGGGGGAGTGTAGATGCGGAATGCGCCCGCCAGGGGTCGATCAGTCTGACGTCCTTCTATGCCGAAACCTCCAAGGGAAAACGGTCGAAAGAACTTTGTTTTGCTGAGTGGGAATGGGTCAGCTGCAGCATGAGAGACCTTCCCTTCACGAAACTCAGCGCCGTTTGTGCTGGATCTTGAAGATGTCGCGCTTCCCGGAGGTGGCGTGGGCGATAAAGGACGACCGAGACGCAAAGTGGTATCGATGTCCGACCTCTTCTCCAGAGGTGCTGACAGGCATAGTGGCGCTCCAAGAGCGAATAAGGCGAACAAAGCTCTACAAGCGGGTGTCAACTTTGGCACGAACATCTGAAGACCTTGATGAAAGTCCAGCCTCAGGGCCGAACGAATGTTGAATCATCCGAGGACAACTTATATGATGCCCAGTCGCCTGCTGCTGGGAAGGACCGCCTTGCTCGCGCTGCCAAGTTCTCCCATGCGGTGTGCGAGTGTCTCTGGCGTTGTTGAGATTCATATGGCACCGGCAACTTCACTCACCGGGCCGAATCGAGCCTCGAAGAGCAGATGGTGTCATCAATTCGTCAGATTGTGTCGCTGCAGCAGAATCAACACATTGAAGTTTCGAAAGCCCACACTCTCCTTATCAGCGCAAGGCAAGCGTAGAACGTCTGCCCGACAATCCCTACAGTGATCAAGCTTCCTTATCTCAATGACACGGCTATGATTTTCGACACCGAGAGAACTGTCACCAGCCTTCAAGCGTGGTCGTGTGTATCGATGGGTACATTTTTTTGGGCTAGGAATCGCAGATGCTTCTCGATTCAGCAAACGTAGTGGGTAGAAGTATGTGGACACCGAAACGTGCGATGCATTGAAGCTCTTCTCGCTCCCACGATCGTGTCAAGGTGGGGACAGATCGGGTAGATGTGTCGCCAAATCGCGAAGAATCCTCTCCACCTGATTCACGAACACCCCTTCCTGTTCCACCCTCTTAGCCATCTCGTATCGATTGCCCACCTCGGTCCTCAAGGACTGTGGATCCCAAGCGAGGAAAGGTTTGGCGAGCGTGGCACGCTCGGTGTTTGTCAGCACCTTATTGGTCTCGCGATTGCTGGTAATCCATCTGTGATTGAGCAAGAAGACGTGGTCAGCGATGGTGAACGTTACCTGAAGGATGTTGTACAAAGCACTTACTGTTTGAGCCGAGCAAGGCGAGAAACTCGTTCCTGAAAAGAGGTGAAGCGGTCTTGAAGTTCCACGAGTGGTGTCCTGTATACGACGGGTACGGAGGGAAGCTGCTTGTGCGTGTGCGTTCGGGAATAGCTCTGCCACCACTCGGCAATTGGCACTCGGCTGTGTAAGGCACGGAGACGCGGACTGGGCACGGTTTCTGACGAGACCACGGTGAAGATGAAGGCTAGCACCAGGATCCACACAAAAGCAAGGCTGCCAGGGAATCTCATCTCGAGCAACAGTATTAAGGGGGGTTGTCGGGGATGAGCTGATGGGATGGAAATGGAAGGCATTCCACATCCGTCCAATAAATACGTCTCCAATTCCCAATGCTCTGCGCTGTGGTTGGTCAGGTTGTGCAGTAGAGTATAAGGCGTTGCGTTGTAGGAAAGTGAAGCCCTCTGCCGAGGCCGGTGAATAATTGCGGAGCCTCACAAGAAGTTGTTCAGCCGTCGATGTGGACCCTAGTATTTCCGAGATGGGAGGGGAAGTGGCTGCAGCGCCATTGTGTTCGTGTTGGAATCTCGACACCTCGGTCCGCCTTCATCGCGCTTCCTTTCATCGTCATGAGTCGGAGTGCACGCGGTTCACGATTCAGAGGTACAGTGACTATACAGTGGGCCAAAGGCACATTTAATGGATCACCGGATGATGCATTCCATGTCCGGAGCCCGCTCCTTCTTCACAAGTTCAACGAGGCACGTACAATAATGTCCATCTTCCCCCGTGGACGCGCAGTCACAGCGATCTTCGAAACTACACAAGCAGAAAGGTGTGTCACAATGGAGGTCACGAAGGGGGAGTCACGATGGGGGAAAGTGGGTCAAGTGTGGACGAGTTCTGTAGAAACGCCATGGACGACGAGCCACGCCCGTGTCAGACTACGTCCGAAGCCAGGCATAGGAGTGGGCAGGATCAGCTCCGAGCCCGAATTTTACACACGATGTTCCCACAGCGAAACGTCCGGAAGGACACATCTATCACAAACAGCAAAGTGAGTGGCGATTTTGACATAGATTCGCTCCAAGGCCTGCTCGGTACCATTTGTTGAGTCTGTGATTGATTCAAGTAGGTCCCTTGAAAGGTTTCGCTGTGATTTTAGCAGAAGAGAGGGTGTTTCAACGACCGATATCACGCAAAGGCTAGTACCCAAAACTGTGAGCGAGATAGCTTCCCTTTGAAGCGTCGTGGATAGCTCCAGAGTGAAAAGGCGTGATAGGGAGTGCTGCCGCTGTTGCGAGGATGAAGACGAGAGCCATCTTGATGAAACGTCGACCGGTAGATCGAGGACGGAAAGACATAGTAGCGTTTGTGAAAGGCCAAGACGATTAAGACGGATTGGCAGAAAGGACACAGCCTGGAGGAAAGGGTGAACAGACAGGTACAGACAGCGTGTATTTCCGAGATGAAGCTGACGTGGCTAGCTGGGACATCCGGGCTTGTGATGAAGTGAGTTCAAGCTTTGCGGCTCAAGCTTCGTGCAGGCTAGAGTTGCCACCAAAGACAATCAAACCTCAGACTAGCAGGAATATCGACAGACTCTCTGGTTCACTCGCCATCAGAATGTGATCGCAGAACACGGTAAAAATCAATGATAGCGACGATCATGTCAGTTCAAAGGTGGAAACTCTTACCTGGAATGTCCTCTAGACCTTCAGCAAGGTGCTCGCCGGACCCTTGAGCTGCTCCAGGAAAGGCCTCCCACCTCCTAGGAGTGCTGCTCTTCAGATCTGGTCCGAGCTTTCCCTCTTCTCTATCTGAAGCAGACCCGGCTAAGTTCGGAGTGTGTATCCATCTTCTCGGCGTGCTGCTCGCCAGGTCCTCCCTCTCGATCGGAACCTCTTTCCATCCGGACTGTTCATCCAGCTTCTTCTTTCCCTTCAACGTAGCATCCCGAAGCGCGATTTGCCCCGCTATCTCATTCTCCTCCTCGCTTTCTTCCTCTTCTTCTTCCTCCTGCGCCTTTCTTACCTGCTGCAAAAACTGCAAATGGTTCTCCCAGTCCGCGTTGCTTCCCTTTCCCTTCTCATCTTTCGCTGCGTTCTGACTGATTTGTAAAAAAGCTGCCCATTGTCTGTACATGGATTCCTCGAACCACCTCCATTCGGGCGCCAACGCAGCATACCTCAGAGTTGTAGCGATCTGTGTCAACCTAAGTAAGATTGACAGCTCACCCAGCTGCATTTCGCGGCGAAACAGTGCCAAACGGTCCAGCTGTCGGTGTTCTGTCTCTAGGTCGATGGTTTGCGAGAGCATGTTGATGGCGCGGATGAGCTGCTGTTCCTTGAACCATACTTCGAATGGAGGAGGGGCAGGGAAAAGTGATGGGTGATAGCGAAGATGAAGGGTTGACGAGTAGTGCTTTCGTAGCGAAGGCTCTGTCCAGAACTCGGGAGGGCCAAGTGTAGGGTAGTACGGGTGGACGTGTGCACGGGTGTCAAAGTCCGCTTGGACGGCAGTGGGGTAATCGTATGGCTCCAGATATGAGGATCTGGAGAGAAGAGAACGGCCGGCTGGTGGAGGCACAGCCGGGCTAGACCGAGGTGTATTAGCACCAGCAGTGCTACCAATCGAGAACAGGATTAGGACAGAAAGGATGATCATACTGCCTTTGCTTGCGTATAAGTCCCGGATCGAAGGAAACGGTTTAAAGCTCCTCCGATGGTCAAGAAAAGCATGCCGCTCGAGTGCCATTTGGCGCAGCACGTCGTCGGAAAGAAATGTCAGTATGTCGTATGCTGTCTGGTGGTATGATTCTACGACTCGACTCATGATGGTACACCAAGCAAGCTATGGCTTGGTCAGTGTCGGCCACCTGTGCTGGTGCCGACCGTGTGAAAGTGGGTTGATTCGGCTTGCCTTCATCACGCTCACAGGCCGCAAAGATACACGGGCTGCCGCCGGCGTAGCTCCCGTACAGACACACAATGAAATCAATCTCAAGCTCATCCGACTTGTTCGCGGTGCAAGCCAATGGTTGACAACAGCTCAAACGACGAGCGTCGGATCGCTAGAACCCACAAACGACTGCTGCGTCTTCCCACGCGCTTATCACACTTGCTTACAAAGCAATGCTGCAATCACATGTTGGTTGCGGTGGTGTTTCTACGAGACTGTGGATTCTTCTGGTGCCTCACATAGAAACAGCGAGGCGTCGTCGAATGACGAACACCGGTGCTGAGCTGAGGAGGTTGGCGGTTGCCAAGTTGGACAGCCGAGAGCGAGCCGACGCTGGAATTTGTTTGCTGATACCGTAAACGTGTACGCCCGAATTTGTGGCTTAAAGCAACAGCTGCACGGCGTACGTCAGGTTGGCGTTTGGTTGGCGTTTTCACCGATAAGCGAGGCAGCACGCCCGGTACACTGCACCCTGATGTTTGTGCATTCTCCAATTCGCGGTGCCCCTCCATCCGGCAATATAACCCGATTTTGTTCTCTGCTGATATGGCTATCATCCGCATTAGCTTCCCCTCCTTTCACTACCCTACCACCACTCAACATATCCTGCTACCTACACTCTCCATACCAGCTATTGCGTTCTTGCAGCTTACAGCAGGAAGGCGGGACGTCGGTGGCATCGAAGAAGCACGATGAAGAAGACCGCCTCTGGTCACTTTGATCACCTACAAACACCCAGCTTCTCTTTCTACACACCAACACCTTTCCCATCATTCGAACAATTCTGTTTGCCTCCTCGAGATCGTCAGACCCTGGAACAGACTCTGTCGGCTAGCATTGTTTCACTTGCACGAGTCGGATATGTGCTGTTCATCGTAGCACCGATTCATCTCGTCGCTGCATTGGCAAGTCATGCGATTTGGCCGAAACGAAGATGGATCGAGAGACAATGGGGCAGAGGAACGTTTCCGACACGGCTGCCAACATGGGGGCTTGGGCAGACGATCGCAGTGCCATTGGTTGGCAGCTTGTTCTGGGCGTTGGTGTACGGTACGCCGAGAGGGATGGGCTGGGAAGAAGAGAGCACACTACCGAGAGCAAGCAAGTGGCTCTTCGGCAGAGGTCATGAAGGATGGTGTATAGAAGCTGAAGGAGTCACACTGCCTCCTCTGCCTACTGGCTCCGGTCAAAATGGCAATGGTACGGTAACGAAGCCGAGCAGCCACAGCAATGGCAACGGCAATGACAATGACGGCATGCGGAAACGGGCTCCGGCAACGAATGTCGCCGCATTCCGCAATGGAACAGACAAAGGCTTTGTCGACCGGGCAGCAGAGGCCACATCCCTTCACACTTCGACCGACGCCGATACCCTTGGCCGAGCGCCTTCGCCAAAGCCATACGATCCAGAATCCGAGGGCATTCCGTTCAACCTGCTGCGCGGACAAGTCGAGGGATCGCAATTTGGCGTCCAACCCGTACCGGTCGCTGCGTTCTGGCAGTGGAAGTCGCTCGCAGCAGCTGTAGCGCACGGTCAAGTCATCTCTGTGAAGCCGGGTAACGATGTAGCTGGCATCGGCTCCGGACCTGCGATCTCTTCCGATGAGAGGATGGTGCTGTTCTTTGTTGGCGGAGGCTATCATTCCGGTCACGCTCCCCAAGGCCCACTTTCATGGAGTGTCTGCCGTCAAACTTCTTTGCGCGTGCTTGGCGTTAACTTCCGTAAAGCCACTTCTGACAAGAGAGCCTTCCCCGCTGCACTGCAAGACGCACTCGCTGCGTGGGTCTATGTCACCAAACGACTGAACTTCAAGCCGGAAAATGTGATCCTGATGGGCGACTCGGCAGGCGGGGGGCTGGCGTTGAGTCTGCAGCTCTACCTGAGCTCCCTCATGTGGTCCTCGGAAACATCGTTGGGCAGAGCAAAGAAGTTGGTGCTGCACAGTCCGATGACCGACCTCACGCTGTCGACGGATAGCTTTACACAGTACAATGCGGTCGACATCATCTCGCCTTACATGTGTTCTCTGGCAAGAGATAACTACTTGCGACATGTGATGCCCGTCGCTGGTCGCAAGAACGCCTCGGTAGATGACAAGATTACTGGCGAGGCGAATGTCGGCAAAGTTGCAGCAAGGTACGACCTTGATCCATACAGTCTCGCTGTAGAGCAGAGACGGTCGGAAAAGGTGCGTGGCGAAGTGGCGAGGCTGGCGAAGGAGCTACCAGAGACAATCCTGGAGTTGGGCGCTTTCCATCCGCTCTTCTCGCTAGGTTTGGACGCGAGGAAGAACAAGTACCTCGCCCAATGCCTGTTGTTGCTCGAAGCTTCTCCCGAAGCGGATGGCGAGAACACCATGGAGATGTTGGTCACAGCAGGAACCGCCGAGATCTTTCACGATCAGATTAAGCTGTTCGTCCGCAACCTCCACGATTTGCATCAGCAGGACGCCAAGAGCGGAGTCAAGGTCAGTCTCGTAGAGTGCATAGACTGGCACCACGTCTTTGCGTACATGAACTTGCCGGGGAAAGTCAAGGCTCAGGTAGATGATGTAGCAAAGATGTTCATGCTCGCTTGATGTAGGATGAGGAGATGCATAAATTAGATGTCGAGTGGGATAGATTAGATGTGGCGGCAATACAGCCTGTTGAGAGCGCAGATGGAGTCGTGATTCTATTTGTGTGCGAGTCTAGAACAAAAGGCTTTGATTTGAGCGGTTCATGCAGCTACAGCCTCAGAGGTGGTCGCAGACTTCTCCCGCACCACCACGTGGAAGTGGCTCAGACCGGGAACCGTCCGCAATGCTGGAGGGTTGCAGAACCAAGCGGTGACAAACTTGTCCGTCGGCCACTGCTTCTCGATGTACCTTGTGACGTGTCTGGATGCCCATGCGTGTGCCTGACTGATGAGCTGCTTCGACAGACCTGCTTTCCCGGCAGATGGCTGCACCTGATCGTCCTGTTCGTCGAGCTTGGATTGCGAGTACCTTCCGAGGATCTCGGGGATTTGGTTGTCGGATGACGCCGATGGGTAGGTGGGGCCTTCGGGAACGAAGCCGGTGAAACCACGGATGCCGTCCCCTGTGACGCAGTTGTAGAGGTCTTCCCTGGGCGGTTCGTCGAAGGGCGTGTCCGCGGTGGAGAACAAGGACGGGTGCAGGATGGGCAGTTTGGACCAGATAACCCAGTGACTGCTTCCTGCGGGAATGCCATACGGCCAGTCGTTCGGGATCGTCTTGACCAGGCTCTCGCCAGCTTCGCCGTCCGTGTCCGCATCATCGACGAAGTGCCTCAACACAACTCCCGTGCGCAGCGGATGAGGCAGCACCTTCTCCGGCCACGTCTCCTTGACAGCTTCCACGGGCAATCGTGTTCCGTTGGGAGTGCTGACGCCCGAAGCAGAGCCGAGGATGGCGAGCGGATCTTTGGCGGGTCGATCCAGCATGTTCGGCCCAACGGGACCGGTGAGTTCTTCGGCGGGCCATCCGAGGCGTACTGTGCGAATGTAGTTTTCGATTCCATTGTATTTGGCCCTCGCTCCAGGGGCGAACGCTCGGTAGGCGGTGTCGCAGACCGGGTCGCGGAAAAGCTGGTCGAGATCGCCGTGGGAGAGGATGCGGATGACGTAGGACCAAGTCATGAAGGGTGAGGGCCCATCGGCGGGTGGATTGGGGAAGTAGCTGCCGGGTGCGCGGTCGTCGACGTAAGAAGGAAGGTGAAGGGCAACCAACGGATCGCCGTCGGTTGGATACTGGATGGCCCCGGTCTTTTCCGTCATCGTGTCGATCGCTGGTCTATTCGCGAGGAAAGAATCGTGAGCGATTTCAGGATCGAGCAATCCGCGATGATGGTGTTTATGACAAGGAGCGAGTGGATGACGAAGGAAAGGAGCATGAGAACGTCCGAAGGGTAAGAAGGCACTTGTCGGTGTTGCGCCGGTGTTCATCGGAGGCATGCACAGCGGGACGTCCGATTTGGAATTTCTCGGCGTCGCCGGTCTCAACGTGGGACGCCACACAAAAGGGAGTTGGAATATTCAGGCAGACCCTGCAGCTGTGTTTCACATTGTGCCGGCAATCAACCAGCCAAAAACGCTCACTGGGGTCGTGCGTATCAGTCGACTACAGTAGACCGCTGCAAAGTCAGTTCACAGGACACTGTAAAGCACTTGATGCATGTTTCCATTCGTTGACAAAGTGACAAAGGCGCGATCGTAGCATTCCTAGCGACGATGCGAGGGTGATACAGGGACAATCTAAGCTGTATAGTAAGAGGGTATGCTGAAGACGAAGTGCAATACGAGGTGTTGTTGCATGCGGGGCAAACATTCCGTATATGAAAGGGGAGGGCTAACGAGGTGACTTGCGGCACCATCCGATCAGGGCCGATCAAGGTTCATTGGAAAAAAGCATTTTGAGGATCGAGCATCTCATGCCTGGCTCTTGATGATCTTGGCAGCGTACTCGGCAACACCGTAGATGGTGGCCTGGATGTGAGCAGCAATGTGAAGAGGCATGATCGAGGCATCGACCACACGCAGGTTCATGGTGCCGTACACCTTGAGGCTTGGGTCGACGACACCACCCTGGTCGCGGGGAAGCATGGACGCGGTTCCGATGGGGTGGTACTCGGTAACCGAGGTGGTCTTTGTGTAGGTCTCAAGGTCGACGTTGCCGGGCCAGTACTCGCTGTCCACCATGTCGCTGTAGGTCTTGCCGAGACCGATGCGGCGCGTGTAGTTGGTACCGGCAGTGGAGATCTGGACATCGAAGGGGACGCTGAAGTACTTGGTGTCGATAAGAGGGTACTTGGTGGCGTCGTTGGAAGAGATGTGGATGTTGCCACGCGAGAACAAGTGCTGGTTGGCGGCGAGGATGGTGAAGTAGGTCTCGTCCGCCTTAGGAGCGCCAGTGCCAGCAAAGTAGCCGTCGATACCGATGAGCTCCATCTGACCAACCTGGTCAGGGTACTTGGTGAGGAACTCGAGCTGCTTCTTGAGCGTAGCCTTGTAAGGAGCCTGCGACGCAGCGACGTACTTGGATACCTCGGCGATCATAGCCGCGGCGCGCTGCTCACCCACAACACGCGCGAGCGAGACGTAAGAGATCGACGGGACGGTCTCGGTGAGGATCGACGACTGGTTGGCCTTGTAAGCGGCAGCCTGCTCAGAGGCGAAAGTGGCGTTGGAGCGGAGCGAGTCGAGCGTCTGGAAGCCGGGCTTGAGCTTGTACACGGTGGCCGAGTAGGTGTGGTCCTGCATGTTCTCACCGACGTTGGAGTTCTCGTAGAGAACCTTAACGCCAGCCTTGGAAAGCACGCTCTTGGAGCCGATACCGGAGAGCTCGAGGAGCTGAGGAGTGTTGACGGTACCACCCGAGAGGATGACCTCCTTGGTGGCATTGACAGTGTAGGTCTGGCCGTTGCTGATGAACGAAACACCGTTGGCCCAGAGCGAGCCACAGCTTGTGTCGAAGTTGACCTTGGACACGAGCGCGTTGGTCAACACTTCGAGGTTGGGTCGAGCCTGGTTCGGGAAGAGGTAGGCAGGTGCCGAGTAAGAGCGAGTGTAGTTGGTAGGGTTGATGTCCGAAGGCTGCTGCGAGACACCAACATTCTCACCAGCGAGAGGCTGATCGTTCTTGGGGATGCCAAGCGCAAGAAGGGCAGGGATCCATCGACGAACCTGCTGCGAAATGTAGTTGGGGAAAGCGACCTGGATGGGGCCGGACGAACCGTAGTCCGAGGCGACGGGCTTGACACCGAGGAGGTCGGCGTTCTCCTGGCTGGGAGGGTGGAACTTCTCCGACTTCTTCATGGCAGAGTAGAGGTTATTCCAGTTCCATCCGGGGTTGCCAAGCTGCTCCCAGGCGTCGATCTCGTAGCGAGATGATCGGTCCCAGACGTAAAAGTTGAGAGCCGACGAACCACCGAGGACCTTGCCACGGGGCCAGCCGCTAGAGGGAACGCCTTCCTGAGCTACTGTGGTGTAATTCCAGTCATAGATCGTGCCGAGATCGGCACCGAACTGACCGGGAGTGTCGATGATGCCGACGCCAAAGCCATTACCGCCGGCCTCGAGGACACCGACCTTGTACTTGCCGCCCTCGGAAAGACGGGCGGCAAGGGCGAGACCAGCAGTACCGGCACCGACAACGAGATAGTCGAACTTCTTGGACGAGAATTTGCCGGCGTCGCTGGAGATGGATCGGGCGGCAATGTGGGAGTCCTCGGCCATGCGAGCGGCAAACTCGCTACGAGGGCTGACCTTGGACCATGCGATGGGGTTGGCGGCGACGGCGCCGGCCAAAGTGGCGGCAGCAATGAGCGTGGTAGTCTTCATCTTTGAGCTGTGGTTGAGACGACAGTGAATCTAGGTGTTGGCAAGAGCGGCAAAACAGTGCAAGACACGATCAAGTGGAAGGGATCCGAGCCAAGTGTATCGTCGTCCGGAGCAGTACGAGGGCGAGGAGGACGGAAGGTGGGAGCGGGGTGGGATGGGTAGGGGTGGCGGGAACGGTAAGGATCAAGGTGAGGGAAGGAGGGACGGAAGGTGGCCGGTCCAAGTATATGATCCAGTTATAGGTGATTTGAAGGGGCACGAGCAGGCAGGTTAGGGGCAAGCTACAGGTAGGGCACCGTCTTTGGAGGTATACGCACTGTGAGCGGCAAACTTGATTCAGGCGAGCCATCAGGTCCCAGGCACACCGAGGAAGACGTGTCGAGGGTCGAGCCAGGAGCAGCGGAGCGTCCGACGGAAAAGCTCAGGCCGAGAACGATCTGCAGCCTCCGGTGCTTGGGCCGCGAGTGCGAGAACACGTATGAATGGCCGGTCCCACTGTAGGAGCAAAGGAGTGGGGGACAATGTGGGACAAAGTGGCCGTCTTTTCCCGTTGGTAGCGACGAGCACGAGGGCCAGATTGACAGACGGCAACCAATCAAGAGACTTCATCATGCGTTGAGGGTCTTGTGGCAAAGTATTGGAGGAAGCGTTCGGACAGTGTTGACATCTGCAAACGGTCAAAGGCGTCCAAGACGGCGATCAGGGAGCGCGGGTCCAGCCTCTGCCTTAGCGAGACGAGTCCAAAAGCCAAATTGGAAGAAAATTACTTGTCAACAGATGTGGTGAAGTAACTCGCAAGTGGCGCCGCACTCACCCTTTTTTTGATCCTTGTCGGTTAATTTTCAAAAAAAAAAAAGCATTAAGACAATTCTTTAATTCATGTGCAAGAGGCCATTGCGCCAAGCGAGATGCAAGATGTAGAGTAGAGCAGATGCGGCGGAGTACGAGCTGCCGATCCATCTCTACTGTGCAGTGCAAGGCAGACTAGACACATATGGATCGCTGCAGCCCAGAAGCGCCAGAACAATCTGTCACGCATATCTTTGTTGTGAGCAGCGAAAGGCTGAAGAAAGCGTGACCAAGCTGTTGCTTGTCAACCAACATACGCCCGTTGACTTGCGATCACAGCAGCGATATGCCGGAACCGGCTGCTTGCATCGACCGTTGCGTCTTGTGTACCTGTATCTCGATCATCGACGCTTGCTTCGGCATTTGTGCGGGACAACAGATACCGGAAGAGTGGGGGCTTTGTGGGTGGATGATGTGCCATGAACACCAAAGAGAGAACCGTTGTCGTGCTCGGTCCTTTCGCTAGATTCATTAACGCAACCTTTGTCGAAAGGCATGTCGAGCCGTTGTACAGCACGGATTCCAGGCCGAAGAGAGCCGTTCGCCCTACCGGACATTAAGTTGGCGAGGGTCGATATGCACCTCAACAGCAAACAAGCCCATCTCGATGACCAGAGACAGATCTCTACCACCTCTACCCATGACCTGTTGATTTGCAACGCTTCAAGCTGCCCAACGACGGGCGGCAATCACGCAAGACGCAGGCACAACACAATCGCCAGTCGGCATGGCGGCAAGTCGAGGAAACGTTCAGGCACGAAGCTTACATGCAGTGTGCAGACAGCACCAAGGACCTAAGAATTGTAGCAAGAGCCTGACCTTCTTTGGTTTGACGGATTGGAAAAGAGGGTTGCGACCTGTCAATTCCCACCCTTCCAATTAGAAATTGCAGCAGGTCACTCCCGCCGTGCAAGAAACGAAGTGAAAAAATTGAAGAGGTGAGACATTCACCGAGACCTCGACTCGCGCGACCCCAGATTCGTTTCTTCTCACGCTGTCCGAGCCCCGACACTTGCCTCTATTCAAGTCCGCTTCACGTGTCTTCAACTTGTTTGGATCACAGCTGTGGCGATGCTGGAAAGGTGTACAGGAGAATCGTGGCCACCGACTAGACAACTCCACGTCTGCGAAAGCGGCAGCGACTCTTGCACTCTTTAGTTGATGTGGGTCCGATGCAGTGACCATATCTGGTCTTAGAGACATACAAGCCTTGTTCGCTTCGTCCCATGGTGAAAAACAGCACAAAACACAGAGGAACCGAGATTCGGAGCTCGCTTGCATTTCATTTTTTACGGTCCAAGCAAGCGAGGCGGCAACGCTGCTTCCACTTCGCACCCTTGTTTTTGCGACGTTTTGACAGTTTCGAACCAAGAGACGTGCTGGGGAATCTGACCCACATATAGTGTGTGTTTTCGAAAATTGAAAAGAAGAAGAAAAAAAAACCTTTCGCTTCAGCCTTGAGCTGGGAAAATCAAAATGGAAGAATTGAAGACCAACACAGGTTTGGTGGCGATTGCTGGAATTCGATATGTGCACAGACCGACGCGTCGACGCGCAGACCGGTCGAGTGCACTTTTGGACGAGCGGGCGGATCCGTCTTGTGGCGAATGAGTGGCGGCGAACCCTTCACAGCTTCGCAGGAATTTACAGGCCCCTCTTCAACGGCACAACCATCACTGCGGCCTCGACGCCGCCTTCGGAACGGCGATGATTGGGGGACAATCAACAAGTGGCGTTCAGTCCGCTGTACCAAGGCAATCACTCGAGGTGGCGTAAGGGTGCGGAGCAGACTGATAAATCGATACAGCATCCCGGTTGTCCCACTTCCGTCGCCGCAAATCATTCGTTGCTAATGAAATGCAAACCTGCACGCCGGATCAGGCAATCACGACAGGCACGGCAAAAGCAAAGCACAAGCGGGCCGAAGCGCGAGCGGCAGCAAGTCAGAGACACGACCTGCATTGCAACACCAAGACATTGGGAAAGTGTGGGAATCCCCGTTCGCGTTGCAAATTTTTCAAATTGCAATACACGACCGTGCACTGAAACCTTATTTCTGATTGTTATGAAAAGTATTCACAGAAATGGTTTGCATAGGGTAACAACTCTCGAGTTTGCATCTCACAATGCGGTCTAAATTTGTCCACACTAGGATCTTGAACCAGCCTGTGAATGAATGGAGCCCTGTCCGCGGAATACGGTTCACGCGACCTGGAGGTAGGCGAGAATCTCAGGACACCAGCAGGAAGCCATGCTCGTCTGTCCAGACAAACGACAGGGCTTGATCTAGAGCTAGGCAGACGGCCCGACGGAACATCGGACAGAGAGATTTGTGTTGATGCTCCCGTTCAACAGTGCTATGCAGGCCGCCACACTTGGCTGCACATCTTCGATTCGCTACGGCAGCATCCAATTGCGCTGTGCGGTCATGCAACGCTGCAACTCACCTTGCCTCTATTGGCCCTGTCCGCGATGTTGCACATAAGCATCTACAGGATTTGGCACAGACGGATCAGTCTTGGTTTATGTCACTGCTCCGATCGGAGATGCCCCATGACTCCGCAGCATCTCGCAGGACTGTCGATCAAAGAACAGCGAGACAAGAATCTCGGATTGATATTTGGCCCGGTCTGTTTCAAGGCCATCCTAAGCGAGTCGGCGACAAAGACTGACCTAACGGACCCCCTTGCAGCATTTTAGGTGGTAAATGGTATTATAAAATTATTTTGAGTGTCTACTCTTCACATGGTACGCATGATCGCCGAGTCAGTTTCAATCTCAGCTCTGGAAGCTCTTAGTGATTCAAAGCCCCGCCACCCTGTCGGTGGATGGCGGTCGGCGCATGGGTAGAAGTTGTGTTGGGCGTTTGTGTGTCGTTCTCCGCCTTCTTTCTTGGCGGCACACACTGAACGTGCATGCACCGGTGACTGTGTCCGTCATTCCCAGTCCTGTCATCCTTTGTCCAAGACACACCTTCGTACTGTGCCGGCTTTGTCGCCGAGTTCAACAAGCAAACAACGTCGAAGGGTGCTACAAGGAAATCCGAAGTGTTACGCCGGCGTCAGTCCGCATTTATCCAAAATATTGCGAAGCTTTGTTTCGGATCTTGTTAGGTCGAGAACTGTCAAAATCACCTTCCTTTTCTAGCCTCGCCAACACTGTTGTGTGCTGTGCGTGGCCCCTGTCAAAGAAGTTGGATTGATTACCATTTCTCGCGTGGCCAGCTGTCACAATTTCAACTCTTTCAATACTCACTACAGCGGTCAAATACAAAAAGGCATCATCAGGGGCAGCAGAAAGTACGTTTTGACTGTGGACCCTGAACACAAGAAGAGTTTGGTAGAATCCACTTGTTTCACTCTCCGCTTCACTATGCCAGCTCCAACCTCTTCATTTGTGCTACCATTCGTGGACCTCTCCTCTTTGCAGAACCATGTGGAAGAGCACTGAACGGGCACTTGAACAGCTGTAAATCGTCGATGAGCTTGAGGTCGAGCTGGGCCAAAGTTAGAGACTTATTCTCCTGCTGCTCGAAGGGGATGAAGGAGCGGTTTCCGACAAAGTTGAGAAGGTTTTGTTCGACGGTCGACCGCACTCAATGTCAGCGGATCGCATGCAACTCCTATTCTCCGGTGCCTCTAGGCGTCATCGAGTGCTTGGGCCGCTTGCCGTCCCCGTCCTTGTGTGGCTCTTGCTGTTCTTAGAGGCATTGGGCGCGACGCGATCCTCCTTCATCCCATTCTTCACTAACGCGGTCCCGAACGGGCTGCCACACCATCCAGTCCAGCAGTTCGATCCCTACAGGCAACTACACTCATACTCATTCTTGACTCAAACCAGCTCATCATTGTCATGTCTGGCTCATCCGGCCGCTGCTGCTACTAGCACCTACCCCGTTCTGATCAAGGGAGACTGCCGTGCCTGTTGGCCCGGACCGTACACCAGTCATCTCTTCGCAGCGTTTTAAACCTCCCTACAGCCACAACAACGCTTTTGAAGAGCTGTTCTCAGCTGCAGCATCTCTCAGTAGCCCATCATGGTCAACATGACATGTCCGGTCATTCCGGACAAGCCCAACGATCCCAAACCTTTCTTCAACAATGGCAACATCGACTTCAAAGCGCACGACGTTGGATGGCTCGTCTGCGGCATCATGGCTCTTGTCGCGACCATCTCGTCCGCCTGGCTTATATGGAAGCATCTCACCTACTACACCTGTCCACAGCAACAGCGACACATTGTCCGACTCCTCGTCATGGTGCCCATCTACGCCATCGTTTCTTTCATGTCATACCTCTTCTATGAACACGCGCTCTACTACCAAACCATCCGTGACTGCTACGAAGCAGTCCTCGTCACCTCTTTTTTCTACCTTATCCTCGCATACACGGGCGATACTCGCGCGGAACAACACGCCGTATTTCGAAACCTCGAGCTCAAGGATCGATTCTGGGTATGGCCGCTCGGGTCCTGGAAGTACAAACCAGACGGTCTTCACTTCCTATGGCTGATGAAGATCTGCGTGTTGCAGTACGCCATAGTCAGACCGCTGTGTACATTTGTCGCTGTGGGGACAGAGTACTTTGGCTACTACTGCTTGCACAGCTGGATGCCATGGTTCACGCACGTCTGGTGCGCATTCTTCATCAGCATTTCAGTGACGGTGGCCATGTACTGCCTCATTCAGCTCTATATGCCCATCAAGAAGCTGGTCGACCCGTACAAACCCTTGCTCAAATTCCTTTCGATCAAGACCATCGTCTTTCTGACATTCTGGCAAGACGTCATGCTTTCATTCCTTGTCAGCTTCGGCGCGATCAAAGAGACCGAGTACTTTACAGCAGAACAGATCCAGGCAGGCATCAACGCACTGCTGCAATGTTTCTGGATGCTGCTCTTCGGTTTCATCCATATCAAAGCGTTCAGCTATCTTCCCTATCGGCCCGAAGACCGATCGCGCACGACGAGGCGAGGCAAAGCCTTGTTGGACGCCTTAGATTTCCGCGATTGGTTTTTTGAGATGAAGGAAAGTACTCGGTATATGGCTGCACGATCCAAGGGTAGAGATTACACATTGGCCGAGGACCTGCGCGCCAAGCGTCACGAGCATCTTCTCAATGCTTTCGGGAAGTCACGAGCCGCCAATCTCGAGACCGAGATCGATATGGAAAAGGCGGCGATGCCTACGTTCTGGAAAAACCCAGAGGATGCACAGTTCTGGTCGCCGACAAGTGAGACAGCAAGTTCAGTACCAGGCATTCGAAAGGAGATGGACGACGCTTACACCTCGCTACCTCTTTCAGGCGCGAGATCTGGCGCTCGCAATGGTGTCAAGCATCAGCTAGCACCCGCAAGCGATTCTCACACTCAAAGAGCGGCGGAGCTACAACGCCTTGTCCAGGAGCTCGACCTACAGGTTGTCGATCAATCCATCATCGGTTGTGAGACTATCGATTACGGGTACGAGGACGAGAAGTACGAGCGCACCGGTTTGATGCGCCAGCATGTCGAGCAAGCTGTCGCGGGCACAAGTCAGATTGACGATCAGCACCCAGAACTGACCCAATACCACGTACCAACGGTCCAGCTCGCCAACGTGCCATCTCTGGCGTACGAACAGGACACGCACTCGTCTGGCGTGGCCAATACAGGAGGTCTGCAATCGGGAGCCGAAGCGAACGAGTCGCTGATGCACTCCCGTCAGAGATCCAAGACGGAAGCCGGTATCGGCGCTTTTGGGATCGCATCGTGGTTCGGATGGAACGGCAATGCGGCTGTTCAAGAGCAGGCACATGCAAGCTCTGGCACTGCTGCCTACTTGCGGCCCAATGATGCTTACGGTGCTAACGCAGCACCTCGTTCTGCAGATGCACAAGGCACAGGATGGTGGAGAAATTACTGGGAACAGGTGTCCAATGTTGGTACCCGCGAGCCTTCGGTCATTGGCATGGAGGAGGAAGAGGAAAAGCAGCCGCTCAACGAGTCGCGTCCAGCAGTGCTGCGTCAGGTCACAGCCGGGTCGTGGGGAATCGCGAGCACTCCGCAAAGTGACAGCCGTGTCACAGCAGCGGTCGAATTTCGCTCCCCGCCAACACCACCAGCGCTGACGATCAACACCGATTCTCACGCCAATCACGAAGCGAGCATGGATAGCACCTCCTCCCCCTCATCTGGATTCACCCCACACGCCGACTCGCCGCTCTCTCGTCTGATCCAGACGTCACGCGACTCATTCAGCTCGCTCAGTCGTGACGAAGTACAAAAGCAAATTCTCGAATCCTCGTCACCGAGAGGGCACAGGTCAGCAGTGTCTCGCCTTCCATCGTCGCTGCCAGCGTCGACCATCCGAGCAGTACGACCCACGCCGGCACCACGAATGTCATCCTTCGCAGCATCGTCGAAACAGGCCAGCGTCAGCAGAGTCAATTCCACCACGACGCGGTCCGATGGCGTACGTAAGCCAAACTCCGCACCGTCAGCCTACGAATCGGCAGCTGGACAACTCGCGTCCGAGATGTTGTCGACAGACGACTCGACAGGCGGCATACATCCTATCGTCTTTGCCGATGCTCTCGTTGAGAAGCCTGCTATGGAGGAGTCTGATGTCACGATCGTGAAAGCGAAAGCTTTGGCGCCGGCGGTTGGGCCGAAGGGAAAGTTGGTGAATATTGTATTGCCATCGCCTCTGTCGCCTGCTAGATACCCGTACGGACAGGAAGTACAGCAAGGCGCGCCTGCCGGCTCGAAGCCTACTGCAATTGGCTTCAAGTCTGACAGCGCGACAGAGTCGACCAGGGGTTTCGAGCCGAAGGAAGTCAAGCATCAACATCAATCTAGTGCCAGCGGTGGAGGAACGCTCAAGTGGGCAAATCAGCCAGCTAAACCGTCGAAGCCATCCGCCGAGCCTTCGTCCGTCGACACGATCACGAAATTGCCTCAGGGCAAGAACGTGATCACGATCGGAAGCATGAGTTTGGTGCAAGCCAAAGCAGCGCAAGAGAAAGCTGCCGCGGATGCCGCTCAAGCTCAGTCTGCGGTACGTTCGTCGACGGTAGCTCCGTCGCCACTGTCGACTCCATCGACTAAGTCAGCACCACCGAGATCCATTCTCGTCGACAGCAGCTCCAGCAGAGCTGCCGCAAAGCCGCTCCTCCCAGCGCCATCAAAGCTTTCGAATGTCGGAATGAGCGCGGGTGATGATCCGTACGTCGCTGGACGCAGTGCCACCATTGATACCCCTAGGGAGCGAAGTCGGGTGAGCGCACCTGTACGATCTGCTGCGCCGACGGGTGAAAGCATCGTCGCATCTTCGTCAGCACAAACACGGACATCCACGTCGACCGCGTTTGAAGTGGGGAGTATCGTACCACGCGAAGCTGTGGTCCGAGCGAGCATGCCCGCAGGTGGACCGTTAAGAGGATACTACGATTCGATCGGACGCAGCTCGCAGCACCGAGAGATGATGCAAAACCACTCGTTTGTCCCCGTAGTCAATGGTTCCAGACTGCCCATGCTGCCTGCTCATCCTAGCCAGGTACGCGGGAACGGTGTTGCAAATGCTAGACCTGGACCAGGAATCCATCCGCCCCCACAACAAGCTCATCGACAACCACCGCCGCCTTCTGGCTACCACCAGCAACAAAACCATCCCTCACACCGCCATCCGTACCAATACCCTCGCCCAGACCAGACAATCTATCCTCAACAACCACCTTCACAGCAATTACGATACCCACAATCTCAACCACGACCGCGATACCCGCCCCCTCCAAGCCAGTTTCAATTCGAATATTACCGAGATTGATCAGCTTGCCACCCCGCAACTTTCCCGCAACGCTTTATTTTTGGCATCGGCGCCACTCAATCCATCCTATTATGATCGAACGACTTTTTCACGAACAGCTTCTCTACTTTGCAATACTAATGATACATTAGTCTGCTTTCATAGCATTTGTGTGTGTGAACGTGATGGTGAGGGATGACAGCTTGTGATATTTGACGAACAGCATTACTATGGTGCGGGCAATTTTTTGGCTCGTATTTTGTGCATCATTACTCTTAGCTGTATTTTTCCACCACCCAAAATCTGGCCAGCGTTGTCCAAACATCAAATATTTCGCGCCACACTGCCTACCAGCATCGAGGTACAATGCACTCACTCGTCAGTATCAATACTGCCCTCGCAGCTCCTGCACGTGAACCCACTTCCCTGCCCATCACCACCCGCGAAACGAGGCACCTTCTGAAATCCAGCCGTCAAAGAGCGAAGCTCGTCCCTCCTCAGCAGGTCGTCGAACTGGTACATTCGCCTCTGATCGCGTGCGCTAGACTCCACGGCCTTCATTCTGGACCATATCGGACCGTTTCCTGACGCCTCATACTCCTCCTCGTGGTCGAGCGCCAGTTGTGCGTCCCGTTCCTCGATCTCGGAAGTTGCGTAGCCCGAAGTAGGCGATCCGTAGCCGTCGTTCTTGTAGGGATCAGGGCCGTAATCGTCCATCGAATGCAAATTGTTCGCGACGTAGTCGACGTCATCGTCGATATCGTCGTCTTCGTCGTCAATTCCGTCCGCTTCATCTGAAACGTGCGAATCGGTCGTGCTGCTGTCTGCAGCACTGCCAACGTCCATATCTGCGTCCTGGTAAGAATGAGAATCAGCAGACGAAGATTGAGATTCGTCAGGCATGGCGTCTTGGGGAAGGTGAGAGAGTGAATAGGTGCCAATGTGGCGATCGTGTTGATAATCGAGAGTAGTAGGCGTGTTATACATAGGATCCTGTCGCATGGCAGATGAAAAGTTGTGCACGTCGCCTTGCTGTGGAGGTTGGCTTCCGGCCTGCACCACGTCAGTCGCGCCCTCGTTACGTTGCGCTTCGTCATTGCTTGTCGATTCGTAATTAGCGCTTTCGTCGCTCGATGCCGAATCGCTGTCTTGTTCCTCTTGAGACTGTTGATCGTGATCGCGATCCTGATTTTCTTCTTCCGAACCGGTATTTGAGTCAGAGTCGTCGCGGAAACGAAAACGGCTCGGAAAGGGAATGAGAAATCGAGGTCGTGTGCCACCAACCTCGTTGTCCTGTCGTCGGGAGGACGATGAGCACCAATCGTCATCGTCGTCCTCTGGTTGCACGTCTTTTGCGTCAAAGGGTGCGGCTGAGTGTACCTGTATCTCCGATACGATGCCGGCAGTAAAGACCAATGGCAATGTTGGATGGATGAGGGCTGTGTTGATGATGCTGCGGTAGCCGCAAAGCACGTACGCCTGTCGTTGCACTCTGGCGGGACGCACAATGTTGCCGGCACGCAAGATGGATCCGGCAGAATAAGCAATCTCGGACTCATGATCGACCTGGCTTTCGGCGACGCTGTCAGAGTCGGAGTCGCTTTCGTCGTTGCCATTGTGCTCCGCTGGTTGTCCCGTAGTATCATCGTGCAATGCATTGTCCCGTGGCAAATTTGCTGTGGTTTCCAGCTTGACGGCCTGCCGTCTTCGCTCGTCATGCATCTTGGAGGTCTCTTGGATCCACTGATGGCGATTGACAAACTCGCGGCGACGGACAAGCTCATCTCTGTCCGGGAGCTCGAAAAGGTAGGCGCGGAAGTCATCGCTTCCAACGGCGTAGTGAAGCTTGCCTGTGAGCGCTTGCAAGCCGAACGAGCCGTGCTTGATGGTGCAGCATGACGAAAGCTTTTTGGGCGCCGAGGGAGTACCCTGGGGAATTCCTACAAAAGAGTAATAATCTTCTTCGATCGGATCTTCGGCGACGGTCGAATGAAGCGTGGCAAGAGGATCAGGATCGTTGACAGCGTAGATAGTCGGATGATACCGCGAGATGCTCGAGGCCAAAAAGCGACCTTCCGGGTCAAAGCAGATGCTGTTGGTTTCTGCGGCGGCAGCAATAAGGCCACGAGTTGACGAGTTCTGAACGAGGGCAGTGTGGTAGCTGAGAACGGCATCCTTGCTGGTCAAGGGCCGGTCGCGGTCGGAAGAAAAGCACTGACGCACATCATAGAGGCGTGTGCTTCCGGTGATACGTCCACAGGTGGCTGCAGCAAAAGTGTTGCCGTCGGAAGCGTTGGGGTTCCACTGAACAGAAGAGAAGCCAGCGACTACATCGGAGCGTGCTGCAGAGACGCCATCGTGAGGGATGCGGATGTCGATAAGCTTCAGATCTCCACCATCGTCGCAGCTCAGCAACAAATTGGGGTTGGTGGGGTGGGACGAGAGCTCAGGGACAGAGTCGTCATGTGCACCGATCGAGTGTGGATTGAGCGAGGATCTGGATTGCGGTTGCGAAGGAGCTGGACCACGAATGGGCATCTGCGAATGCTCGACATCGTAATAGAGGATCTGGCTGTCGTTGCCGGTGGAAAAGAGAAACTTATTCTCTGCCGACCAGTCGAGAGAGAAGATGTTGGACTGGTGGCCTTTGAGGATCAGGAGCGGCATTGTCTGACCGCAATGTCGGAGATCTACAAACAGGTCGCGCACGTGAATCTTTTTGTCATCGCCTCCACTGGCGAGCCATCTTCCCTGCCCACGCGAGATTGCGAGGGCGTTGACGCACGAAGTATGGCCTGCGAATGATTCTCGATAGCGAAACTGGGATTTCTGCGCATGACGACGATGAGAAAGGTAACGATGATTCATGGATTGACCGAGCGTGTGCTGCGTGCCTGCAAAGGGCAGGTGTGACGCTACAAGGGCGTCATTGGCGAGCCCGGTACGGAGCAGGAAGCGCGAAGAGTCGTGGGGGGTGGCGAGCAATGATGATGGTGTGGTGGAACAACAGTCCGGGTCGATCGTGTCGCCGTGCAGATCTGCGACGGGCGAGCCATGTCGCCAAATGGATACAGCATCATGAACGCGCGCCTTGCCCTGGTTATGGTTACGCTTCGGTCTGCAGGATGGACCACTTGACAGCTGGTCGAGCTCAACGCGATCGGGTATGGGTCTGGCCGGGTGGACACCGTCGCTGTACGTCCGTTTGCGTGTGCCCACCATCGTGTAGTCTCGACGGACTTCTACTTATGAGACATCGGTGTTGGCGTACCAGCTAGCCAGTCTTGACGGTATAGAGTGTGTCGAGCGAGGAAGTGCACGTTAGAACTCGACACAGGGACGACCAATGTAACGATAACCCTTTGAGAAGCGAGCCTGGTCTAAGCTCAGCACCTTCTGAGACTCAAAAATCTCTCAGCCGCGGAAAAAGAAAAAAGCCGGAGAGAGTCCGATCAAACCGCCGCCTTCTCAGACCCAGCAGGCGAAATTTCAGAGCTTCGTGACTCGCTGCCGTCTTGTTCATCTCGAACTGCTCTCGTCACCGTCACAATCCCCCATCGGCTACTCCGTCCTCGTTTGATCACGTCGCTGCTCTCGATCAGAAACGAGCGGGAAGCACGACGGCGGCAATTTTGGCTCACAGCGACATCCTAGAGCTGGAACAGGCTAAATGCAGCTCACATTCTAAGTTCGTTTCGGCTTCCCCGCTCCGCGTACGCCATCCGCTGACTCGACTCGCTCCGGAAAGTCCGGGCAGCTTCCATCGGCTACTCCGCCCTCATCATTAGCATACTGTGACTCGTATTTGTCATCGCCGAGGCAGCCGAGTCAGTTGGCAAGCTCATCTCCATCATGACTTCTCCCGCCACCACCACCGAGCCGCGCGTCGTCAAACGCAAGCGCTCCACTTCGCCCGTCCATCCTTCTCCAAGTAGGACTGGTCAGACACAGCTGCCATCCTTCCATGATACCGGCGCTAAGCCCCACCGACATTCCCAGCCACAGCCGCCGCCACAACACCACCATCATCCGCAGTCGTCACACGCCTCACGTAGCCACAATTACGAAGACGCAGAGCCTTATCCTCGTCCCTTCCATTCGCGCTCCCACTCATCTGCGTACTCACAACATCAGTCCGACTCGGAACGCGACGAAGCAGACCTCGAAGCTGCTCTCTCGCCGCGACAAGCGAGGTCTCCGTATGCCACCAGCGACCTGCGAGGCTCTCCATCCGTTTCCATCGACCTCGCTGCCTCTCCCTCTTCGCGCACTCACCCGCTCATAGCCCCTCGCCCTGCGCCCTCTGCAACCTCTAGCACCTCTTCTGCTGCCGCTGCCTCAAGCATCTCGTCCAGTCGCTATCTCGCTCAGCCTCAGCATGCTGTTGGTCACCCCGCAACGCAGTACTCTGGCCTAGGCCGTCCTTCTTCTCATCGTCCGCGATCGCCAACGAGACAGTCCGCGCAAGCTGACTCCTCTACTCCGGCCCACTCTTCAGCAAAGGCAGCACGCGCCCTGGCTGCACTCGAATCTTCTCATCTCTCGGATCTCAAGAACGACCTTGCATCCATCACCTCTCCTCACCAGCGCGCCTCGTCCAGTTCGACACCTCAGACCCCTTCTTCTGCAAGTCGCAAGGCAAACGATTCCGCAACTGTCACTATGGACGAAGGCTTGGATCCTTCATCCAACGAGCCTTCTGGCACGTCCTCATCCAAGAGAGACTCTCTTCTTACGCCATCTGAGAAACCTCGTGGCGGTCAAGCCTGCCTTGAGTGTCGTCTGGCAAAGGTGCGATGTCTGCCCTCGGACGACTCGGAACATTGTCAGCGATGTCAGCGCTTCAACTTTGAATGCCTGTTTGTACAACACAAGCGTGGCAGGAAGCCAAAGAGCAAGTTGCAGGGTCGCGACCTCACGCTGCTCGCCGAGGCTGCGTACGCCACCAATGCGTCCCCAGTACAACAGAACGAGCGGCCGAGCGCACGCAAATCAGCATCTGCCAGCAGCGGCATTACACCCGATGCAAGATCCTCCAAGCCCAATACTGCTACATCTGCTGCTTCCCCCGGCGTGCGATGGAGTTCGGCACCCGACAGCGCCTTTCCCGCGCCTCCTTATCCGTCCGAACACATTGGCTCAGCAGCACAGCATCAAGGCATGGACCTCGATTTCGACCCCGGACGCGTGGATTCCCCATCTTCTGCCTTCTATGCAAAGAAGCAGCCTCTCTCTGCGTTTGCACCATCGGCCGACAACCGCACCGCTCTCGACCCGAAGAACTTGTTTGGCGTCGATGTCGGACGCATGACTCAAGCCATGCAGCAGGCTATGCGATCGCTCGAAAGAAGACGAGGTGCCCCGTACACGCTTGTCACCAACAATGATATTTCCAACGTCGAAGGCAACGATGACGATGGCGCTAACAGCGATGTGGGTGCAACGCCTCCCCCGCCCGGCACAACCACTGCTGCAGACACGAACGCCGTCAATGAGAGTTTCGAGCTCATCGCCGAGCAGCCCTTGACGCTGCGTGTCATGCTCAAGCCATTCGAGGTGTCGGACCAGCCCGACTGCGAAACGCCTGGCGTTCTGGCTGATGACCGCAATCCGCTTGCAACGCAGCCCACTCAGCCTCAACTCGACGATCCCATCGCTCAAGGCACTCTTACCGAGCCAGCAGCGCGCGCGCTTTTTGACCTTTTCATGCGTCACTGCAACTCCTGGAGTTGCGTCTTTGATCCCTCGCTTCACACTCACGATTTCATCAGGAAACGTTCCTCCTTCCTCTACACGGTATTGCTTTACGTCGGTGCACGTTACTCGACACGCCCAACTGCTCACCATCTCCTCGTGCGCGATCAGCGCAACGAGTATGTTGCCGAGAGCGAATGGGACCTCGCCTACGAGGATCCCCTCACAGACCGCACGGAACGAGCCGCCGATGAATATGCGCGTCAGGTCCGACGTCGCATTCACGATCAGGCGCGACAGCATGCCGCACGTGCCTTTGTCGATGGCGACCGCACCGTGTTGTGCTGCCAGGCATTCTTCATCCTCGCCAGCTGGAAGCCGCTCGACGATGGTCTCAGTGTCATTCAGCTCGGTTACGCATTTCGTCTTGCCATGGATATTCAACTTCACGCAGAGATGCCCAACTGCGTCAAGCCAAACGAGTCCAACCTGGATCAGGCAGGTCAACAGCGTTATAAGGCGGTTCAGAGACGCTTTCGCAACCGACAGCGGACGTTCCTCATGCTTTTCGTTCAGGACAAGTCGCAGCAGATCTCCAACAAGATCACGACTCATTCCATTTCGGCCGACAATGTCCTCATTCGTCGATGCCAGACGTGGTGGAAGCATGACGGCTCGATTCCAACCGATGCATTCGTATGCGCATCCGCCGACATACGTCGCATCCAGGGCAAGTATGTGGAGCTGTACGATCGCATCGAAGCGCTCACCTCTGCTACTTCGGATGGGCCAAGCATCATGATGCCCGCCTTCCTCTCCGACCTGTACGAGTGGAACGCGCGATGGCACGAAGCGCTCGGTCTGCGCGAGGATGTAGACGAAGACGCCCACCTCGACGAGGCCACCGCCTATGATCGTCGATGTCAGCGTCTGTGTCTCAAACTGTGGAAGGACAACATCAAGACATACGTGTCTTCGCTCGTGCTCAAGTCGAGCCTGAAACAGGCAGCTCTGCAGGAACACCAAGAGATTGTCCGCAACCATCATCGACGCTCGACAACTCGCGAGAAGGAAGACCGCGATTCGATCTCGGGCCGATCGCATCTCTCGAGCGGACTCGAGCCTGGCATGGTCAACCTGATGGCGATGCCTGCCTTTTGGCCGTGTGTCGAGGGCGCGAGGGGCGTGCTGGAAGCAGTGTGTGCCTTCCCGCCGGAGAGGCTGCTTTCGGCGCCGGATGCGACCATCATGCAGACGACGCATGCAGCCGTGCTGCTCTGCAGTCTGGCGACCGTCAAGTCGCAACCTCCGCTAGGACCTGGCTATCTGAGGTCCAACATCCAGCTTATCGATCAAACGAGTGCAGCGTTTAGGCGGGCCAGCGTTAAAGAAGAGGACACGGTGCTGCACATTGCCATGTATCTGGAATCGCTGTTGAGGCCGAAGAATGCCGTACCTAGCTCGCAGGACAAGACTGCCGGATGGAGAGCCCACGCCAAAGGCGCTGCCGCGCAAGCGAGCGCCCTTTCATTGGACGATGCAAAGTTGCGTGGGCAGAAATCGGCGTTGGACGGTGGCGCTGGTGCAGCTGACCGCCTAGCATCTAGTGGAGCTGCTCCGGGGCAAGACAATTTGCTCAACGGCGGAGCAGCGATCGGCACGAGCAACGCAAACTCGGCACTTGGCGGGAACGGTTTCGCGCAGTTCACCAATTTCACCCTGCTCTCGAACAACAACGATATGTTCTACTCTGGCAGCAACACGACGCCTTCCGCGCCGAGATGGTTCAACAATGGGTCTTCGTCGACCACGACAAACACGGCGCCTGCTGCAGACAACGCGCTGTTCTTCAACAATGCCGCCAACGAAGCTGGCTTCGACAGGGAAGGGCTTAATGCCATTGCTTCGGCTGCTGCGGCTGCTGCTGCACAGCAGAATGGAGGTACAGAAGCAGGCGAGGTGGATATGACGGGTGTCAATTGGCCTCCTACGATGAACAACGGTGGTGGAAATGGTGCGGCTTCATGGAACACGCTCATGTTTGGCAATTCGAGTAATGGTGGTGGGAATACGACGATGGGCGGGGATGCGTATCAGCAGCCAGTCGGTGGTGCGAGTGGCATGTTTGGAGGACAGACGCAGAACAAAGAACAGCAGGCGGACGAAACGCTACGCATGCTGTTGCGGTTCCTGGATGGATGAGCATCTTGCCCTTTTATTGTATCTGGGAGTGTGGAATTGCACTATTTTAACTTGGACTTGAAAGCTTCGGCATGTGTAGATCGGCTTTTAGACGTAGCTGAAAGGCATAGCATGACCTTCCTGCACCGTAATACCTTTGGTCTGTGTAAACTCCCGTACGCCTTCGACGCCGTTGAACCTGCCGTAGCCGCTGCTCTTCCAGCCGCCGTGGGGCATGACGGGGTCGTCGTGAACGGGTTGAGCGTTGATGTGCACCTGCCCTGCATCGATCCTGTCTGCGACGTGGAGACCGAGCGTGTGGTTCTTGGTGTAGACGCTGGCAGCTAGACCGTACTCGGGAGTGTTTGCGATTTCGACGGCTTGGTCGATCGAGTCGAAGGTGATGAGGGAGAGGACGGGACCGAAGGTTTCTTCGGTGTAGATCTTCATGTCGGGTTTGACGGGGGAGAGGACGATGGGTTGGACGAGGGCGCCGTCGAAGCCTGCCTCTCCGACCACGACTTGAGCACCTTTGGAGACGGCATCCTCGTAGAGCACCTTAAGTCGGTCGGCAGAGGCAGCCGTGAAGAGCGATCGAAGTGCGTGCTTGTCCTCCATGCCTTGGGAGAGCTTTGCGGTGAAAGTCTCGCGATGCGCGTTAAACAGGCTCTGAAGCGTAGATTCGAGCTTGGAAGCGACGGATTTGTGGACGAGGATGTTGTTGACGGCCATGCAGATCTGGTTGCTGTTGAGGTAGCCACCGAAGAGGATGCCGTTGGCGGCGAGGTCGAGGTCGGCGTCCTCGAGGACGATGAGCGGGGCTTTGCCGCCGAGTTCGAGGACGACGGGTTTGAGGTGCTTGGCGGCGGTGGAGGCGATGATGCGACCGACGCGGGTGGAGCCGGTGAAGTTGACCTTGCGGACGCGCGGGTGGGCGATGAGTGCTTCGGTGACTTCGGGTGCATGGGCCGGGTCGACGTGGACGACGTTGAGGACGCCCTTGGGAAGGCCGGCGTCGATGAGGATCTGAGCAACGCTAAGGTGAACGCGAGGAGCAAACTCGGATGTCTTGAGGATGGCAGTGTTACCAGCAGCGATGGGGTAGAGAATGGATCGCAGACCAAGGATGAAGGGAGCGTTCCAAGGTGCGATGCCGAGCACCACTCCATAGGGTTCACGCTTGACGATCTTCATGGCACCGTCGTCGCCGGGTGGCAAGATCTCGCTCTTGAGGGCGTGGGTGACGCTCTCAGCGGCAGACTGGAGATGACCCGAAGCAAGCACGGCGAGCTCAAAGCCAGCCATACCACGCGAGAGCACGGTCTCCTCCATAGTGTTGGCTGCATACTCGGGAACACGCTCGAGAAGGAGCGAGCATGCCTTGAGAAGGATCTCGCGGCGACGCGCGGCGGGTGTTTGGCGCCATCCGGGAAGGGCGGCTTGAGAGGAAGCGACTACGTGCTCGACATCGGAGGCGATGATGCTGTGAACTTTGTGGGTGACGTCGCGGCTGGAAGTGGAGGGTTGATCGGTGCGGTAGACCGAGTAGGTGTGGGATGGAGTGAAGGGAGCATTGTCGACGATGCAAGGGAGGGTTGAGTGGTTGATAAAGTTGGTGGTGGCAGAGTCGCCGTTGGTAGCAGCCATGGTTGCGGTGAAGGAGAGGAGCGGTGTGGATGGTGGTGAGGTGGTGAGAAGAAAGGAGGAAAGGCGGGTGAAAAGGCAAGAGGATGGTGCTCCAAGGAGCTGGCAATAGAGCGAATAAGATATATAGCCGGCAAACACACAGCGAACGGGAAGCGCGCGGGGATGGATGAATGAATGCATGCACAGACGTGCTGACTCTCTGTCGCTCTTCAGGGTCTGGCTCATGTGACGCTGCTTCGGCTGCACTTTCGCCTCTTTACGGGTCAATGCCGAATCAGTAGTCAACAACCCTGAATGAAATGGCGGTCACTCTGAGGCTAACTGAACCCCACACAACCAAACGCTAGGCTCGGATGAGCCGGGTGGGGAGAGCGAGGCTTGTAAACGTGCACTGTGTGGCGACGTTGGCATGTCGAAAGATGAGGAAAAGCCGACAAAACAGGGCGAGTCAGCCCGCTTGCCGTGACTTCCGCTCCCGGGTTAGTGCTCTCTTTGCTCAGCCAAGCCATCCCTTGTTTGCCGATCAGAGCGGCGATTGGGGGTAGAGTGCTTTGACAGCATGCTCATTGAAGTGCTTAGCCGACATCTTGCTCGGATGGCGTTCAGGTCCGCAGAGTCTAACCTTGCACCGTTCGACAGCACCATAAGGTTCAGTTGGCAGGCTTCAGAAAAAAAGGGCGACGCGGATGGTCAAGCTCTAACAGCGTTGCAAAATATACACACGTGATGCCAATGACACGACACCCGATACGGCCGTGTGTATTTGGCGGTGGAAAGTGTTACTTTTCATGCTTTCGGCGCGCATCGTAAAAGTTGTACGGTTGCAGGTGTTGATCTCCAGGGTTGATCATCTTGCTTCGTCACTATCACACATCATCTCAACTCCAGCGCCCACGCTCTCCGATCTCAGCAGCGAGCGCTGACTAACACGATCGATCAGTCACAACTCTAGTTCATAAACTCTTCTACGTCTCTCGGTCATACTCCCAGCACCACACCCTCTCACACTGCCCCAAGCACCCATACATCCCGAATCACCATGGCGACGGCACAAGCGCAAGCGGCGACACGCACGCACCTCACGCTCAAAGGCTCCACCGCGCTCGTCCACGAGTTCTTCAACTACTCTGTCCAATCCATCCTCTACCAACGCGGCATCTACCCCTCGGACGACTTCAAAACCGTGAAAAAGTACGGTCTGCAGATGCTCACCACCACCGACGACGGCCTGATCGAATACCTCTCCACCGCCATGTCCCAACTCCAAACCTGGCTCGAACGTGGCGACGTTACACGACTCGTCGTCGTGATCGTCGAAAAGGACTCCGGCGAAACACGCGAACGATGGCAATTCGACGTAGACGTAATCAACACCCCTCTCCCCGACGAAACCACCCCCACCACCGACAAACCAAAGAAAACAGATGCTCAAGTAAGAGCCGAAATCGCTGCCATCATTAAACAAATCACCGCCTCCTGCACCTTCCTACCCGTCCTAGACGAACCCTGCGCTTTCCAAATCTTGGCTTACACAAATAAAGACGCAGAAGCCCCCGCGGAATGGATCGACTCGGACGCAAGACTCATCGCCGAAGGTCAGGCAGAACAGGTTCGATTGAGGAGTTTCTCAACACACGTTCACAGAGTCGATGCAATGGTCGCATATAGAAGAGATGAAGAGGACGAGTAGAACAAAAAGAGTCAATTGCAAACGATTTGCCTGTTTTTCACACTCGGTGATGCTGGCTGTGTGTAGTGCCACTGCATCTTCAATCCAACTCATCCGGCTCCAACCAATCCCGCCTCTGCCTCTGCGCACCACCACCATCGCCTTCTCCACCTCCACCCCTCGCCCTCGCCTCGGCAGCCCGTCTGAGTGTCTCGCGCATATCCTCCCGACGTCCCGAATGCTCTTGCTCCTGCTCCCTCGACGCAGGCTCGGCGAAATACTCTTCTCGGTCGCTCACGATCGGCGGACTCGAGACGATGCTGTTGATCACCTGCCCATTCGCCCCTGCCGTGTGTGCCGCGGCTGCAGCAGGCGAAGTGTACACCGTCGATGTGATCGTCGTGCTAGCCGGCGGTTGCGGGTGGAACGTCGTCGTCGAAGCGGCTGCAGAGTCGTGCGGAACCTGGACGCCTTGGCCTGAGCTGCGATTGAACATCGCGGTGAAAGGATCGGGCGGTGTTGGCCATCCTCCGGGGACCGCTTCAGATCCCGTCACCGCAGTGCTGCCGCCGTCCGCGTTCGGCTGCTGTGCCGCATTGCCGTTGCTGCTCGATGACTCGTCCTGAGCTTCCCTGGGTTTGGCGATGCTGATCCTACAAACAGGGCAGGTCCCGTTCAGCCTCAACCACGGCACAAGACAGTCAACGTGGAAGATGTGCCCGCACGGCATCGAGATGAGATCGTGCTGCTGGTCGTCCTCGCCTTCCTCCTCCTCGGCGGCTTTCTCTGCGTCGTCCCCGCTTCCCGCCGTCGCTTCCGCTGAAGGGAGAAATTCATCCTTGCACGTTGGGCAGTCCTGATTCCGCGCCTTTTGAATCCTCGCCTTGTCTTGTAATGTAAATCTCTCGAGCTTGTCGATGACGTCTTCGGCTGCAGGCGGAGGAGCGTTGGATCCCTGCGTCTGCTCCATGAGCTGGCTGATAATGTCGTCCAGACCCTGCTGACCTAGGACGTAGTCGCCCCACTGACCGCGAGCACCTCCTGCCCCGCCCTGTGCACCCGCCGCCAAGATGTCGAGCAGAGATCCGCCTTGCGCTCCTGGCTCGCCAAACAGCCCTGTGAACAGATTCCGCAGCGCCGACAGCTCCGGAGGCAAGTCGTTGTTTGGACGGCCGGCTCCTGTTGCTGTGTTGCGACCGCTTGGATCGTTGTTCGGCGACTGTGGAGGCTGATGGTACGTGCCGCGATTGTCGTGATTGAAGTGACGCCCGTCGGCGACACCGCCAGCACCACCCATGCCATCGTCGTGGAAATATGCGTCGGGCCTTGTGGCTGAATCATCGGTGGAATCCGCCCCGCCAAATGCGAAGCGCAGAAAGTTGGACAGTGTCGGGGGTGAGTGAAGATCGTCGTGCGATTGTTGTCGCTGATTCTGATCCGCTTGATGCTGCGCAGTCGTTTGGTAAGGGTCACCACCACCCGTCCCATATTGAACATTCCACTGCAGACCAAAGGGTCCGAATGATGTTGTGCCAGATCGAGTGGTTGATGAAGCATCCTGACTGCGGTCGGTGCTTTCACCACCTGTCGTATATGTCCTCCTGTTTGAGTTGGGCGATGCAGGACCTTGTGAATTGCGCTGTGAGCCAGCAGCCATGGCGGTGAACAGCTGGTTGAGAAGTCCACCTCCGCCCTGTGGACCAGGAAATGCGTGGGCAGGGAGAGGTGCAAATGGATTGTTGAAGGGACTAGCTTCATCGTCGTCATCTTCGTGGAGAAAGGTAGAAGCTGAGCTCTCGTCGATGATCTCGACGAATTGGCCATTGCAGCGTGGGCAGGTGGGATCAGGGGTCATGAGTGGGCGAATCTCGATGCCGCACTCGTGGCAGAATGCCATCTGGTTGACGGAGGTGGATGGCTGCCTTCCGGAGTTCGCGCCGTCTCCGCCGCCGCCTGGGCTTGACGATGATGGATCCATCTCGGAGCGTGTTCACTCTTGTGTGCCGCCAATCCGTTGAGTGAGGTTGATATCGAATCGTCAACAGCGGCGGGCGTCACAGCTCCGGGATAGCGGGGTTGCGCAAACGCGCTGACACTGCGAGGCAACCAAAGCAATGCGAGGGAAGACGATCTGATGCGTGACTCAGTGCGTGATCGGAAGGGCAGTAGCTTGATGGTGGATGAGCAAGGGGAAGTTGGGTGATGATACAGTAAAGTGACAAGCTCCTAATCGTGGGTGCTGAGGCTGTATCAAGCGAGCTGCCAGGCCGCATCCCGCCTCGCCCACGAGTTCCGTGCTGTGCTGCCTGTCCATAGCGTGAAATTAGGCTCTCATTTCGCTCAGCCGAGCAGCACGACATCCCACAAAAAGTGGAGGTCTGTGTGCCAAAAAAAGAAAGGCAGCATTACAGCACATGCATAATCAACGTCCTACTGCCAGCCAGTGACACTCTCACTCGAACCCTCCCAACACCATTGATCAACGTCAGTTGCTTCGAGCGAATCGGGCATGCAGCAATATGCCATCCTGACGCTCATTCGACATGCCGAAACGACAGGCAACCTCAACCGCCTCCTCCAAGGCGTCACCGATTCGCCCGTCACCGTATTCGGCCAAGCTCAGATCGATGCGCTAGCACGGACGTGGTCCACCACTCGGACCGTCACAGCGCAAGGTGCTGCAGATGATGTCAAATTCGTGAAAGAAGCTGTCGTATCGAAACTCGATCTACCTCCGCCGACACTGATCGTCTGCAGTCCTATCGGCAGGGCACGAAAGACCGCGGAGGCTGTCCACCGAGCTTGCACGTCAACCGAACAACAGAGCGCCGGTATCTCCGAGGATGCGATCGCAGAAGGATCTAGAGCCACGCTCGCTTCCGACTTGCATTCGAAGCCAGGCCTGCCGTTGGTAATTGATCCTGGCCTGAAGGAGAAGGATTTCGGATGGAAAGAGTCGACGCGAGGTGGTGTCCATGTAGCCGGCTTTCCCAAAGGTCACGGCAATGGCGAGTCTCGCACCGACTTTGCAGCCAGAGTCTACAAAGTAGGTCTAGAGTGGCTCAATGCTGCCTCTGTTCTGGGCTTTTCACCTTCATCTGAGGCAGACCCCACATCAGTACCGCATATCGTCTTGGTCTCCCACGGAATGTGGATCTCGACCTTCCTGTCGGCACATCCTCCGACCACCATCACGCAGGCAATGGGTCAGCCAACCTACTTGCCGTTCGCTGCCAACACGGGTATGTTCAGTCTCAAAGTTCACCCAAGAACACCAGAGGCTGTCACGACGAGACCTGTGACAGAACTGTTCAAAGCAAACGATATCCGTCACCTGGAACATGTCAAACGGCAAAAGGGAGGGATAGGCCGAGGAGCCTTCGATAGCAAGCAGACCAAGCTCAGCTCTTTCTTTGCCAAGCCGGCGAAAGAAGAGCAAGAGGCATCACCCACCAAGAAGCGCAAGATGTAGCTGCCTGGCCGACTGTACATGTAGTACCATCGTTCAACAGCTCCTTGACAGAGATCTGTGAGGCTTGCTAGAAAGCCGCAGCTGCTGTGCTGAACGAGACAGCTCGAATCCCAAAAAATGGCGTGTAGAGAAAGTATCGCTCGATCTCACAATGTAAACCCGAGAAACGAATCTGCGCGACACGCTCTGTTGATGGTAGAGTCACAGAAGCGTATGCACTCAAAATTTGTTAGTTGCAAAAAAAAGTTTGGAAGAAAGATCAAGGTTCTGACGGCTGAAGTGCTGGACCCTTCTTTTGCTCTGCTCGCTTTTCGTGGTGATAGCAACGCAGAAAAGAGATACGACGACGACGCTCAGCGTTGCTTTGCTTCTTCTCTTTCTTGGACATCGTCCGACACATCCTCTCGCTTCTTCCGATAGAATCCTGTCGGCCGTTTCCCAACCTCAACTCCCCCTGCATCACATCGCCCATCATGACCGAGGCCATTCACTCGCAGTACGACTCGATCCTCATCCTCGACTTTGGCTCGCAGTACTCGCACCTCATCACCCGACGATGCCGTGAACTCAACGTCTACTGCGAGATGCTCCCCTGCACTCAGAAGATCAAGGATCTCGACTGGACGCCCAAGGGTATCATCCTCTCCGGTTCGCCCTACTCGGTGTACGACGAGGTGGCCCCTCGAGTCGACCCTGACGTCTTCACTGCTGGCGTACCCGTTCTCGGAATCTGTTATGGTCTGCAGGAGATCGCATGGAACCACGGCGGTAAGGTCGACCCGCATGACAAGCGCGAGTACGGCCATGCGATGGTCGAGGTGGTCAAGCATGGTGTGCCTCACCTCGATGCGCTCTTCAAGAACTGGGAGGGCAGCGTTCAGGTCTGGATGTCGCACGGCGACCAGCTCTCCAAGGCTCCCGAAGACTTCGTCGTGATCGGCAAGACCCCCACCGCCCCCTTCGCCGCCATGGCTCACAAGAGCAAGCCCATCTACGGCGTACAGTTCCACCCCGAAGTGACCCACTCTCTGCGCGGCGTCGAGCTGTTCGACAGCTTCGTCGACATCTGCGCCTGCCGACGCGACTGGACCATGTCGACGTTCATCGACAAGGAGATCAAGCGCATCCGCGAGATCGTCGGTCCCAAGGGTCAGGTGCTCGGCGCCATCTCGGGCGGTGTCGACTCTTCGGTCGCTGCCAAGCTCATGCACGAGGCCATCGGTGATCGTTTCCACGCCGTCATGGTCGACAACGGTGTGCTGCGCACCAACGAAGCCGCGCAGGTGTACGACATGCTCAGCAAGGATCTCGGCGTCAACTTGACCGTGGTCGATGCTTCCGAACAGTTCCTGTCCAAGTTGAAGGATGTCGAGGATCCGGAGCAGAAGCGAAAGATCATCGGCAACACCTTCATCCACGTGTTCGAAGCCGAGGTCGCCAAGCTCGAGAAGGAGGCCGAGGAGGAGGAGGCGGCGGCGTTGGCTGCTGGGAAATCGCAGGAGGCAAAGGGCAAGTTCGAGTATCTGCTCCAGGGAACCTTGTACCCGGATGTCATCGAGAGCATCTCGTTCAAGGGTCCCTCGGCCACCATCAAGACGCACCACAACGTCGGCGGTCTGTTGGAGGATATGAAGCTCAAACTGATCGAGCCGCTGCGCGAGCTGTTCAAGGACGAAGTTCGCGCGTTGGGTCGACTGCTCGGCATCCCGGCGCACCTGGTCGGACGTCACCCCTTCCCGGGACCTGGTCTGGCGATCCGAATCTTGGGTCCCGTCACCCGCGAACAGGTCAAGATCCTCCAGCACGCCGACAGCATCTACATCGAAGAGATCCGAGCCGCCGGGTTGTACGATCAGATCTCGCAGGCGTTCGCCGTCCTGCTCCCCGTCCGAGCAGTCGGTGTCCAGGGCGACAAGAGGACCTACGACCAGGTGATCGCGCTCCGAGCAGCTGCCACTACCGACTTTATGACCGCCACCTGGTACCCCTTCCCCGCCGAGTTCTTGAGCAAGGTCAGCAACAGGATCACCAACGAGGTGCAGGGCGTCAACAGAGTGGTGCTCGATATCTCGAGCAAGCCGCCGGCGACGATCGAGTGGTTGTAAGAGGTGATTCTCTCCTTTTTCCCATACTGGTGATAACGAATAGAATGTGGTTCTTTGGTACTATTGCGGTTGCAAGAGCTTGACGATTGAGCGAATGAGCGAATGAGCAAATGTCTACCGTCTAAAACACTCGAAAGACATTACAGCTGCCGATCCACCTCTTTGCCAGTCCACCTCTCCCAGTCTCCTTGCGATCCTGACCTCTGCTGCTGTCTCTGCCTCTGTCTCTACTGCCACCTCCTGTCTCTTCTCCTCCTTCTCCGTGCACAAAAACACCTCGACATCGTCCAACAACCTCTGTCTCTTCTCGTCCACCTCCAAATTCAACCCTTTGATATACTTCCTCCCCCCTGGTTTGGTCGAGATCACGACGTTGATCCTGGCGCCTTTGAGGAGCTCCTTCTTGGCTTTGCCGAGTTTGTGGCTTAGATCGTTGGGGCTTACGCTCCAGGTGAGCTGGACTTCTTTGCTGGAACTTCCGCCGCTACTACTGGTAGCGCTCGATGTGGAGGAAGAGGTTTCTTGAGATTTGCGTTTGAGGTTGCGCAGTCGATCGAATTCTTCTTTTTTGTCGATGAGTTTGCAGATCGCGTACTGGACGAGCAGCGATGGATCGACGGGGTGAGCGGGTGGGGACGAGGGGTCGTAGGGGACGGTGGTGCGCGACGGTTGGGCGGGTGCGACTTGTTGCAGGAAGAACTTGGTGCGATCGAGTTTGGACAGGATCTGACGCGTGGGGAAAGGTCCAGCGAGCGAGCCGGTTTTCGGATCGACCAGGCGCACGAGCGGTGAAAGCGGGATGATCGACTCGTCCCGGATCGGACCTTTCGAGGTTGGGGGTCCGGCAGGAGATGATGCGGAAGAAGAGGAAGACGATGACGGCGATGATGATGAAGAGGATGCGAGCCTTGCGGTTGTGGTGGGGAACAGTGTTTTGTGGGGAATGGAATTGAAGGTAGCGAGGGATGATGATGTAAGGCGAGGAACAGATGATGCTGGTGTCGCTGACGATGCTGCGATCAAGGATTGCCCTGCTGTGAAGTGACGTGCGGCCGCTCTCAGCGAAGACGCTGTCTGATATGGTGGCCTCATTCTGATAGTAAGATGTGAGCGTCGTTGATGATAGCGTTGAGAAAGCTGTCAACGTCGTACGCAGAAGCAACATGATCTTCTTGGTGCAACGTCAAACCCGGAAGTCGGGTGCCATTTTTGATGCCAACACATCTGCGCTGTAACATTGACATTAGTCGTCGAAATTTCCCATCGATTCGACGCGTCTCGAAAGACCAACACCATCATCCTCCAACCCCAACACCATCCCTCCCTACGCTCATCACCACCATCGCTCAACAATGTCACGGCCAACATCGTCCCGATCATCGCCCGCTGCACCAGCAGCATCGTCATCGTCCGCTTCTGCTTCCTCCGCCCCCGATCTGACCCTCCCAGATCCACCGCACTCCAACGCATCAGCTGTCGTCTTCTCCCCGACACCCGCATCCACCACCTCTCTCCTCGTCTCCAGTTGGGACCATCACGTCCACCACTACACCATCGACACTGCCCAAATCTCATCCACATCCGCCATCAGGAAGATCCAAACCTTCCCGCACGAAGCACCCGTCCTCGACGTCTGCTACATCACCCCCACCCTCGCAGCCTCTGCTTCGGTGGATCGACGTATTCGACTGCTGGACCTTTCCACCGGCAAGACGCTGATCCTGGGGAAACACGAGGATACGGTAACGAGGGTGAGGTGGTGTGGGTTTTCGCGGATGTTGATCAGCGGATCTGCTGATCGCAGCGTGTGTTTCTGGGAGGTTGATGAGCAAGGTGGTGGTGGTGGTGTGGGTGGGAGGTTGTTGAAAAAGCTTAAAATGCAGGACAAGGTGCTAGCGATGGACGTCTCGCCGCCGTTCGCACAAGCCGTCGGTTCCGACGAAAAGATCTACTCTGCAAGCAAACCAGGCATCCCCACAAAACGCGACTCAACCCCACGCCTCGTCGTAGCTATGGCAGGACGTCACGTGCACGTCTACGACCTGCTCCCCCTCCGCCGTACGATCGACAAGGAACGATCCGGTCAGGAGGTCAAAGCACGAGACTGGGCACCGGATCAGAGGAGGGAGAGTTCGCTCAAGTTCATGGCGAGGGATCTGCGGTGCATGCCCGCGGGCGACGGGTATGCGATGTCGAGCATAGAGGGGAGGATCGCCGTTGAGTTCTTCGATACCAGCGAGGCGGTTCAGAGCGGCAAGTATGCGTTCAAGTGTCACAGGGAGACAATTAAAGAAGGGCAGGAGGTGGATGATATGGGGATCGAGGGGGAGGAAGAGATGGAGAAGCCGTACGATGTGGTCTTTCCCGTTCATGGGATCGCGTTTCATCCCAGGTACGTTTTCCCCGCCCATCAGCTATTCAACCCACACGAACACACAGCTCACAACTGACATCCTCCCCTCTCTGAAAACAGACACGGAACGTTCGCAAGCCTGGGCGGAGACTCGATCGTCAGCGTATGGGACGCCGCCGCCAAGAAACGCATCCGGCAGTACCCAAAATTGTCATCCTGCGTCACGGCAGGTGCGTTCGATCCATCTGGGAGCTTGTTGCTGGTCGCGACGGGGAGCAGCGAGCTGCGCGATGGCGACGAGGTTAAAGTGGAGCTCGTGATCAAGTGCAATGCTTGGAACGAGTGTAAGCCGAGACTCAAGTCTTCCAGCAGCAGCAGCAGCAGCAGCAAGAAGTAGCCTCCCCCGACCCTCAAAACACGCACACGAGGTTCGGTCGCTAGTCTCTTTGTAAAGTCTTTAGAACAGGTGTAATTTGCGAAGGGGATGATTCACTTTTGCGCGGCGGCGATATGAGCAGCATTCGCCTTGGCCGCACACGCCAGACTCTCGCCGAACATCTTCACCAAAAACGCCTCGTCCTCCAACCCCACCGAGACCCTGACCAGGCCTCTCTCGACGCCGAACTCTGCTGCCCAGTCGAGCTCCGTGTAATGCGCCAGGATGGTGTATGGACTAGCTAGCGTCAGATTGGTACCCAGACTGGGACCTTTGGCGCACTGCAACGAGTCGTAGAACGCCTTGCTCGACGCCTCGTTGTGGAACGTAATCGAAAAGAGACCGCCATACCCGCCTCCCGAAGCGTCCTCCTCTTTGCTCGACGCCATCTCCCCGCCGCCCCCGCCGCCGGGCGAGGTGAAGGCGACCTTCCTCCTGCACACGTCGTAGTTCGCCTTGGTCTGGTACTTTGGATAGAACAGATTCTTGACCACACCGGGGAAGCGACCGTGACCCTGCTGTTCGGCGAAGAGCATCGAGGTGACCGCCCGAGTGTTGCTGTCGATCTTGACGATGCGTCGGATGAAGTCGCGCGAGTTGCGCTCCATAAAGATGGCGTCTTCGTCAAAGTACGTGTCTTCGTAGTAGGATTTCAGGGTAGAGAGAAGCGTGGTGTAGTGACGCGAGTGTGGGTTGAGGACCATACTTCCTCCCATGACGTTGGCGTCCCCCGAAAACACCTTGGTGAGGGAAGAGACGAGGATGTCGGCGTAAGGTAGCACTTCGACGTTGACAAAGTTGCCGATGGTCTCGTCGACTACGACGAGGAAGTTGTAACGGTCGGCGAGGGATCGGATGCGTGGAAGGTTGGGTGAGCGCAGCAGTGGGTTCGACGGGAATTCGCAGAATAGCGAGAGGATCGGTGGTGTGGTTGGATCCTGCAATTGAGACTCGAGCAGTTGTTCCAGCGAGTCCAGATCGGAGTCGACGCCGAGACCGTAAAAGTGACAACCAGGACCGAACTTTTGCAGGATCTTGAGGGTGTCGGTGTACGGGAACCCGAAACAAACACTTTTCCCAACCTGACGTGGTTGCAAATCGGAGGTCAGCTGCGGTGCCGCACGCATGGCCAGCTGATGGGCGTGGAAGATGGCACTCATTCCGCAGGGGAAGAGGAAGACGTCGTCTTCGGTGACGCCTGTGCCCGTTCGACCCGTCTCACCGACCTGATCCCCCGGCGTCTCGGTAGCCGAGTGCTCGTTGCGATCCGAGAGCAGAGTCCCGGCGATACGACGACGCAGAGCGAGCTTGGCCGAGGGGGCGGATGTGAGTGGGAGGTTGCGACCGTAGCGTTCTTCGACATAGGTGACGAGGTCGGACGACGCGTTTTCGGAAGTGTCCTGGCCGTTGGGAGTGGCGGTGGCAGGAGTGACACCGGACAGACTGGAGACACTTGCGGAGAGAGCATCGTCGTTGTCTGCGGTGGAGGGACGTTGGAGGATGCCGCTGCTGGAAGGTGTCTGTGGCAGGCTGGAGGTGGGCGAAGGCGTAGCAGTGTTGGTGGAGGCGAGGACGGTGCCAGCGGAGCTGTTGGTGCGGGCGTAGCGGTTGTAGAATCGTTTTCCCGCCGAAGCGGTGGAGGAAGGCTTCTTGTACATGTCGTCGTTCGAAGCGGACAGGCTGGCGGTCGGAACAGCTTCGTTGGTCGAAGTATCCGCGGGCTTGCTCGTGATATCCTGCTCTGCAGCGCCACTCTTCGACTGCTCCAACAGCGAAAGGCAGCGTTCGGCCTGCCTGCTCGAGATTCCGTCACCAGTGTGCTGCCAGTAGGTCTTTGCGAGTGAAAAGACGTCTTGTGGGAAGAAGACAATGAAGATGTAGTGTGCGGTTGTACTGGACGCCTGGAAATGGTTGGTTTCGAGTTGGTCGGAAACGTGTTCTGCGGTGCTGGAGCTCGAGTTGTTCGCATTCGTACCGCTTGCATTGGGCACGGAATGCTCTAGCATCGAGAAGCGGACGATACGGATAGGTAGTGGCTGTGCGCTCTTGGACTGGGAGCGCATAAAGTCACGACACCGTTCAGCAATCCTTGCCGAGGGAAAGAGGATGCAGTCCTCGTTGGGCTTGGCAAACTTCCTGCAGAGCAAGCTGGCGAGTTGCTGAATGGTACGATGGATGAAGAAACGAGGATAGCCGGTCTCCATGGATTTGGAGAGGCGACCCTCTTCGTAGTCGATGTTGTCGCTCCACAGAGGGAGAGACACCGAGACGGCATGGTCGAGGTTGGCGGGGATGGAGGTGCCGACGTCATAGTCCTTTTTGGATGCTGCTGCTCCGCTGGAGGGCGCAGGCGCCTTCGGAAGCGGTACTGGTGTAGCCAACTGCATGTTTCGGAGCCAGAATGACGAGATGATGGTGTTGGGAAGTGTGGCGGCGAAGATGATACTGTGTTGGTGAACCGGGCACTGCACCACACGACGCTGCTCAAAGTGACTCACATGGAAATCTCGGAACATCCGCTTTCTTCTTGTCGTACGTCGGAAAACTCACTGATGTTAGTTCGTGGCGTACGACATCGACTAACCAAAAAGTTGATAGTGGAGCGGAGATAACCGTCGCTGAGCCTCGCACAAATTCTAGATTACCGAGTCACTTTGCCACCATCTGCCACCACCAACCATCACCACCATCACCTTTCACATCGGCAACAAGATGCTTGCGGTACAGCAGCCACCACCGCAACCCGCGCTCACCTCCACAGCGCTACCCGCCGAGTCGATCGCCCGTGCGCTGCCGGACCAAGTCCCCGAGAACGCACCCGAACACTGTCCCGGAACCGAGTCGGAACAGGCAGGCAAAGCAGATGCCTGCGCAGGCTGTCCGAACCAAGATGCTTGTGCATCCGCGCCCAAGGGACCAGATCCGGATCTACCGCTCATCCAGCAGAGAATGTCGAGGATCAAGCACAAGATCTTGATCATGTCCGGTAAAGGTGGGGTTGGCAAGAGCACGTTTACTGCGCAACTGGGGTGGGCGTTCAGTTCGAGGTTCTCAGGACATTTCGAGGATGAAGAAGAGGATATCAAGCATGCGACGAACGGTAGTTCAGCGCAAAAAGAGGAAGCAGAGAAGCAGGTCGCCATCATGGACATTGATATTTGCGGACCTTCGATCCCTACCATTCTGGGTCTGGCAGGGCAGAGCATCCATTCGACATCGCAGGGTTGGTCACCCGTCTACGTCTCTGACAACCTCTGCGCGATGAGCATCGGCTTCCTCCTACCATCCGCTTCATCCGCCGTCATCTGGAGGGGTCCAAAGAAGAACGGTCTCATCAAGCAGTTCCTCAAGGACGTCGACTGGACCGCAGGGCTCGAAGAAGAAGAAGAAGAGCAGGAGCAAAACAAACTTCAACCGGACTCCTCCCAGTCTGCATCACCATCACCACTGATCGACTACATGCTCATCGACACACCTCCAGGTACATCCGACGAACACCTCTCCATCGTCTCCTACCTCAAACAGTCAGGTATCACCGGCGCCATCCTCCTCACAACACCGCAAGAGGTATCGCTGCAAGACGTACGCAAAGAGATCTCGTTCTGTCGTAAGATGGATGTACCCATCCTGGGGATCGTCGAGAATATGGCCGGGTTCGTGTGTCCGAGCTGCACGGGCTACAGCGAGATCTTCTACCCGAGCACCGGTGGTGCAAAGGCGCTGTGCGAGGAGCTAGGGTTGACGTTCTTGGGAAGCATACCGTTGGATCCGAGGATCGGGAAGAGTTGCGATTTGGGTGTTAGCTTCTGCGACGAATACCCGGATAGCCCGGCGACGAAGGCGTATGGAGACGTGATCGATAGGATCAGGGAGCTGGTGGATTGAGGGGCCGCCTGCAAGGAAATACTTTGTTCACACGCACATCATGGTTTATCGGCTTAATAGATGGTTAACATTCGCATACTTGTGGAGACTGCCAGCGTGACTTCATTCGTATCTGTGATCTTAGCTTGAGATGTCGCAAGCTGGTTGAGGGAATGAGATCCGATCCGAAATGCAATTTGCAAGGCAGTGGTGCAGAGAGTACAAACGATTCTTTTCCATCACGTCTAACTAAAACTTCCCAACCCTGTCCGCATCTACGCAGCGGACTTCTTACTCGGCGGACCCTCCCCATCCTCCTCTGCCACCTCATCCTCCTCCGCGATCCCACTCTTCCTCTTCCTCCCACTCCCCACCGCACCCGCAGAAGGCGTCGCCGTCCTACTCGCACTCCTCCTCTTGACACCCACACTCGCCGTCCTCCTCCCATCGCCCGCAACACTGTCCGTCAAACTCTTGGCCGAATAATGACAGCTCGCATGGTAGTACACCTCCGCTCCAGCTGCGTCCTCCACCTTGATCGCGTTCAGCCAGACAAATTCCTCCTCGTCCTCACTCCATTGCGACTTGAACGACTCTTTGCAGATCCCACACGGTTTGGCTGCCAGCTCGGCATCTGTGGGGGCGATGACGAATGTTTTGGCGAACTTTTCCTTGAGCGCCTTGTCCTGTGCTGCGGAGAAGGACTTCCCGTCGCGGTCGGTTGAGTTGCCGCCGGTGGCAGAAGATTTGTGCGAGGGTGCGGAATCGTCAAATCCTCCGCGGATGAAGCTTTCCAGACGATCGAACCAGGATCGTGACTGGCCGCGTGCGGCCGAGTCTTTGGCACGACGATTCTGCGTAAAGTGCCAGTCGAGATGGTCGTCCATTCGTCCTTGGCCCTTGTAGCCGGTGGGATAACGGTTGGCGCACTGTCGGCATTGGAGGGGAAGATGCTTGTGCAAGATCAATTCGTACGAGGCTGGTGGTTCGCGGTTGAATTCGAGTCCAGACGTCTTGATGTCAAGCGCCAGGATGGCGGCTACGTAGTCTTCATCTTGATCCCTCTCGACGGCGGGTGGGGGAGTGGCGGCTGCAGAAGTGGGGTTGGATGAGCCAGGAAGAAGACCTGCTTGCATCAGAGACGCAAAAAGGGAAGCAGCTGCGTTGTTGGCCGGTGGCGCTTGTGAGGGGGTTGCTGTGGGTCCTCCACCGGTCAGCGCGGAGAGGTTTGCCAGCGCTCCCGACAGTCCTTGTGGAACAACAGGCGGCGTCGCCGCAGCAGCAGGTGCTGCAGCTTGTGGCGTGGGTGCTGGAGGAAGCGGCTGACCATGCATAGCAGCCGCATGTCCGGCCGGATTGGATCGCTGCGTCGCTGCCGATAGACTGTCTAGCTGAGCGTGGATCAGAGCCATCTCGTCAGCGGACAAGTTTGCCGTGAGGATGACTTGCTTGAGCTGAGCGAGCGAGTCGACCCTTTCATGCAAGGCTTGGTCGGAAGGGTTAGCAGCGAGCGACTGGCCGTCCACGGCAAGCAATCTGTCGATGTTCTCGATGGCTTTCGACTTGGATCGAGCAGCGTTCGCACGAGGATCTGCAACGCCGGCGGCCACGGGCGCCGCATTGGGTTGAGGCATGCCTTGGCTGCCGAACAAGGCCCTCTCTATACTCCACTGCGCATTGTCGCCAAACAAGGGACGCGCACCAGGGCCGGCGGTCTTCCACGTGCCCAATAGCTCTTCCATGCGCAACTTTGTAGGTTGGTCCACGAGACGATACGATTCGAGAAAGATGGGAACGATGCGGGCGGACCAGAGCTGCGTGTAGGGGTGACCGATGTTCTTGGAGATGGAATCGAGCGTGTAGAGTGCGGGCAAGCGGACAGAAGGATGCGAGTGCATGATGTGGTCGTCGAGGCACTTTGCGACAACGTTGGACATGCGCGTGGCATGGTCGTGTGCGATGACGGTGAGGTTTGTGATGATGGGCTTCGAGTTGAAGGTGAGCGACTTGAGGTGCGAATTGTACATGTCTGCAAAGGCAGCGGGATCCGAGCCAATGTCGACGGGAGGCGGTTGCTGCGGTTGGACAGGGTAGCCATACTGCGGGACTGGTGCGCTGTAGCCTGGCTGAGGAGCACCGTACATTCTCAAGATGGGATTCCAAGGGGTGACCCTCTGTCAAAGAGGCAAGATGCGGGTCAACGAGCGGGGATGCGAGACGATGAAGTGGATCTGGGATGCAATGTGCTGATCTGTGTCACACAAAGAAGCTTGCTTTTGGGACAATGGCAACTTCAAGCGATCTATCTGGCACGAACCAACGATGCAAGAGCGGGCCACGAGCGGAATGAGGAGATGATCTTGTTATGTGTGAGACGACGCTCAAACACAGCTGTTGCAGCAAGCTAGAACGGGGGAGACAGGAAAAGGGGGAGTGATGGATGGGGGAAAAGGAGACGTTGCTCAAAGCCGACAGCTAGCTACTACTACTACTACCGAGAAGCACGAAGCAAAAAAGCGGTCAACGACGTTGTGCACTGTAAATGATACAGCGCCAAAGAGAGTCGTGGGTGCGGATGATGTGGTTGAGAGGAAAGGAGCAAAGTCGCACAGACACGCCGATTTCAGCCATTTTTCCATCGCTTTCGTCCGTCGCACAATTTCCAACTTTTGTTGGCTCGACACACATTTGATCTAACATTTTGCTTCCGTGACGGAAACGGGATCGAGTGTCTTGGCGCATCAAACGGAATCACACCACAAGCCTTGTGGACTCTGTCACTACGCATAGTTAGTTCTACTGAATGGTGAATACCAAAGCATTTGTAACGATCTACTGAGTGGTGAATATCAAAGCATTTATGACGATCTACTGCTTGGCCTGCACATCATGCACACCGTGTTGACCTGCACCACCAAACGGATTCGCCACCAATCCGGGTTGGCTGACATCCTCGTGGCCGGGACCCTTTGCAGCCGCCGAAGTCGAGTTGACCGCCTCGGTAGCTTTTTCCGCGCCCGCATCCGCCCTCGAAGCTGCTGCTTCCGTTGCTGTCGTCGTCGCTTTCGCATTCGGCTTGTCCTTCTTGAAGCTGGAAAGCTTGAAGATGCGGAAAAAGTAGAAGAGCGTGAAGCAAAGCGCAATGTTGAACACGATGTAGATGCAGATGATGCCGATGTCGCGGAACCTGTTTGCAGCGCTCAGCTGGATCGAGCCGAGGTAGTCGTTGCCCAGGCGGAACTGGCAGTAGTCGCACGAGCCGTTGGGGCCGTCGATGTAGTAGCCCGTGCCCAGGTTGGGCCCGTCGAGCGAGGTGACAAAGTTGGCGAGATACGCAGCGCACGATTGGCCGGGTGGAGGCGTGATTCGGTTGTACTCCTGGGGAGCGCAACGCACCGGTTGGTTGTTGAGCACCGCTCCCAGCATTCCTTCCAGCAGGTAGGTGAAGGGTGAGGCGACGAACATCCACGAGCGCCAGAAGTAAGGCAACAGAGGTGGGGGTTGAACTACACCGCAGAACACGATGACGAACGAGAAGAACGTCGAAAAGAGGATCGAGGCGATCATCGGGTTCGGAGACATGGCGGCGATGGCTGCTGCAAACGTCTGGTAGTAGATCTGGAACAGCATGTACAGTCCCCACACCAACACCGCCGTCGAACCCGATGGGAATCCCACCATGAAATACCACGGTGCCCAGAAGAGCGTTCCACCCAGCAAGTTCCACGGAATCTCCACCACCAGCGCCGCCGTCACAGCAACCGGCCAGCTGTACATCTTCGACGGTCGTTCACGCACCTCGTACAGCGCACGGAACTGGATGAACACCGGCTGCAGCTGTTGCGACAGCGACGTGGACAGCACCAACGCCATGAAGATGGCGAAAATCTTGTTCTGCAGCGAAGCAGAGGTTTGGATCTGACCTTGGTTCCAGAACGACGATCCGATGAACAGACCGGCGATGATGTTGAGCATCAGCTTGGACATGATGTACGTCGTGTCTCGCCAGTAGTGCGTGAAAGCGCGGCGCATCACCTGCGTTACCTGGACGCTGAGCGGTTCGGCGTACTCGCGCATCCCCATCGCTTCCTCCTCGGCGGTCGCGTGGTGGTCCGCAGCAGAGGCATCGATTCGTTCGACCTCCGAGATCATCTCCTTGTACAGATGCGAATCGCGGAAGAGCTGATGCCAGTCCTTGTCCGTAGTGGCTGTTGCTCCGGCACCGATCACGTCCAAAATGTACTCGGCGGGGTTCTCGTTCTCGCCGCAACGCTTGTCGGCACGATCGCCAAAGTAATCGAGCAGCTTGGTCGAGTTGCGTCCGATGTCGCCAAAGTACACCGTCTTACCACCCTTTTGCAGCAGGAGCAAGCGGTCGAACTGGTTGAACAGCTCTCCCGACGGCTGGTGGATGGTGCACAGGATAGCTTGACCTGCGTCCGCGAGTTTTCGAAGGAAACGCACCACGCTCCACGCTGCCATGGCGTCCAGTCCGGAAGTCGGTTCGTCGAGGAACAGCAGCAACTTGGGTTTGGCCGCCAACTCGACGCCGATGGTCAGACGCTTGCGCTGCTCCACGTTGAGACCCATACCGACTTCTCCCACAAGTGCTTCGGCCCAGGACTCCATCTCGAGCATGGAGATCACGTTCTCGACGTACGCAAGCTTTTCCGCCTTGGGTGTCTCGCGTGGCTGACGGAGCAGCGCCGAGAACTGGAGAGCTTCGCGGACGGTTTGCGTTCCGAGATGCACATCCTGCTGCTGACAGTATCCCGTGTTGGACTGGAACGACTTGGGCAGAGGAGCGCCGTTGACGCTGAACACGCCTTTGACCACACCCGTATCCGTGCGCTGTGCCAGTACGTTGAGCAGCGTCGTCTTTCCCGCGCCCGACTCTCCCATCAAAGCCGTCATTTTCCCTGGAGCCACAAATCCGCTCACGTCGCTCAGCAGACGACGCGGGTTGCCCTTGATCAGCACATCGTAGTTGACGTTCCTCCATGCAAACACCGAGTTGGACGATTCGAGCTTGCCAACCGCCTTTTCAGCGTGGGCATCTTGCTCGCTGTCGACAACGTCAGCGTGACCAGCGGCATCACCAGCCTCGACGTCGCCCGAGGCTTTCGCCGCCTGCACCACCTCCTTGGGTGCCGCGCCGCGTTTGAAGACCATGACGCCACCAGAAGCGCTCGGATCCTTTTGGAACTCCGAGGCGACGCTGTAGATGAACAGGAAGAAGAACCAGAACCCAAAGATGATGCCGGCATTGCGACCGGCGTTGGACCAGCTGTAGTTGAACGATTGCGCAAGGTAGTCGGATCCGATGATGATGTCCTGGCCTGGTTGAGCCGATGCGACTGCACACGTCTTGTACTCGTTCGAGACGTCTGCGTAGGCCTGACCGATGGGGATGAAGTTAGCGCAGGGGACGTTGAGCGTTCTGAACTCGTTGGTGAGCAGGATTTCGAACGCAAACGCGACGGGGTTGCAGTACGAAAGCCACTTCCACCAGACCACCATCGACGGCCGTGGGATCACGTATCCGGTGTAAAGCGCGAAATCGATGATCGCAAGTCCTCCGATCATGGTCGCTAGAGACTCGGACTTGGTCGCTGCCGAGAGCATGCGGAAGAAGGCGACCATCGTAAAAGTGATGAGCGCCGTAGTGCTGTAGAACACGAAGAACTGACCGGCCGTGTACTGGAGCCCGACCATGAAGTAGAGAACGATATCGAACGTGGTCAGCGTCAAGAGACGGATCGGCATGTCGAGCAGCGTGTTGGCCAGTGCATCGCTGAACGGATGGATCATGGCAAAGCGTCGATGACGGATGACGATGGGTCTCTGCGCGTACCCAGCCGTGATCTCGGACATGGCGGTGAAGGAGTTGTACAGCAGGGCGAAGAAGAGCACACCGCCTCGCGAGAAGAAACCCGAGGTATTCTTGGGCATGAGCAGAAACACGGACCCGATGATGACCGCTTGGAACATGGAAGCGGCGGCGATGATGACTTGGGTGAGGATGTCACCCCAGGTGATCTGGGCTCTCCTTTTGATGGCGAGTCGGATCTGCATGGGGAGAGAGATGATGTAGGGGCTTCCCTTTCGCGTTCCTTTTGCCTTTTCTTCGCGAGCGACGGCCTTGTAGTGCTTGACGGCTGCGTCGTCGACGTTGGACTTGAGCTCTTGCAGGTACGCCTCGACCTCTTGGCGGTTCTTCTGACCTTCGGGTGAGTTCTGCCAGTACCGCGCCATCTCTTCGGCTGTGCGGGGTGCTCGGTTCTCATAGCCTTCGCGCAGTTTGCGACCGTGCGCATCGGTACACGCCACGAGGTAATCGGCGGTCGTTTGCCTTTCCTGCGGAATGTAGCCCATCTCTCGGAAGTACTGCGGAGCTTCGGAAGTGGGACCAAAGTAGACCTGTCTGCCTTCGTTGATGACGAGCACCTTGTCAAAGAGCTGGGTGAGACCTTCTCCTGCCTGATAGATGGAAGCTACGGTGGTAGTGTTGGCGATGTCGGTCGAAACACGAAGCGACTTGACAAACTCGAGCGCAGTGCTCGAATCGAGACCTCGCGACGAGTTGTCAAACAGCGCGATCTTGGCTCTGGAAGCAAAAGTTTCGGCGACACTGACTCGTTTCCTTTCACCTCCTGAAACACCACGGACAAAGTCGTTACCCACCTTGGTGTTGTAGGTGTGACGAAGGCCGAGGATGGTAGCAAAAACTTCGACGAGCGTCTTGATGTAGCCATCGCGCGTCTGGGTGTCTTGGCTCTCGAGGAGGTTGAGTCGACGACGAGCTTGGGGCGCTCGAGTGGCGACGGCGAAGGCAAGCGTCTGCCAGACAGTGAGCGAGGGGAAGTGGATGTCGTCTTCCTGACAGTAGACGACGTCGCCTCGAAGACGCTTGTCGATGACGGTGTGGTCCATTCCTTGGTAGAGAAGCGTTCCGGTGATGTCCTGGAACCCGTCCCTGTAGGAGGCGAGGGTCTTGAGGAATGAAGTGCACCCGGCACCTGGACGTCCTAGGACGAGCAGCATCTCGCCGGGTTTGACGCAGCCTTCAAAGTTGTCGATAATGGTCTTGACGGGTGGATGAAGCAATGTCTTGATGTTCTTGAGCGCTTCGACGGGCTTGAGTGGGAGGGAGCCAACGGTGTCGCCGAGAGCATAGCCAGTTCCGAGACCGGTGACGGTGAGGTTCTGCCACACGAGACCCATCTGCCGCGTCTCGTTGCCGGCACCTTCGGCTTGCTGCATGACGAGACGGAGGAAACGCTCGAGCTCGAATTTGCCATCCTTGTCGAAAGGATCGAAGCCGATCGCAGCCTCTCCGCCGTCGGTGGTGCGGGAGCGAGCACGCATGGATTGCTCGGTAAGACGACGGGTGAGTTCAGCCATGCCTTGAGGGTCGAACGAGGAGAGGGGGACGCTACCTCGACCGCTCTTGATGCGTTGGACGGGAGGCATCTCTGGCGACGAAGATGCCTCGTTCGAGCCTTTGCTAGACGGTTGAGCATCGCCTCCGTTGGATGCAGAAGACGGAGCATCGGAGGTGGCTTTACTGGCACCAGCAGCATCGGCGTCAGCGCCGTTGTGGAGCTCGCGTTCGTCGACAGCTGCGGTAGAGATGGCCGGAGCTGGTTGTGCAGCCGGCATACTGCCCTCCATTTTGAGACAAGCCTGTCTATCTGCGCGCAAAACGACGGGAACACGCAGTACAGTTGGGGCAAATGGACAAGATGGTGGAAGGAAGAGAAAGGCAATCAGCAACCTTCGGAGACACTCGATTGGGACTGCTTCCTAGCACTGTTGGCATCACAAGGCGGCAACCGAAACAGCGGCGAGCAAAGGCTGAACTTTCACCTGTTGCTCTATTCGAACAAGACCCTTGAGTTCATGCAACGCAAGCAGTAGCTCAACCATAACACAAAGAAACACGCTTCATGCTCGGCTCAGCGAATGCAAAAAAACGTGGTGAGTCTCGGCTTCGGATGACTTGCCATATTTGTGCATGCGTGGCTTTTGTTGCACCGACGTCAGAGTGGAACCTTGGCGCTGGTGAACCGCTTTTGGACAGAATGAGTTTGCTCCTGTCGTGCAACGCCGACGCGCGGCGCTGTTTTGGACTCAATTAGCAAATTCCTTCGGAAGTTTCGAATGGCCAACCAAGAAAAAAAATGCAGGGCATTCGGCGCTTGGTTACCACCACCACAGCGCGCGACTCGCCGGAACGGAATTGGCCGTCTCCGCGGACCACGCCTCTGACCTTTTTGGATACCGTCGCCGCGGGCCGCTTCCATCCTCGGTCTTCTGTTGCTCTCGATCGATCTCATCTGCAACCCTCGCAGCTAGTGTTGGTGCACACTGCATGCTTTGCGACCGGTAGATCGGCTCACGCACAAGTGGTTCTCTCGAACAGCGCTCAAGCTTCAGAAGTAGGATCTGGGTTTTATATTGATGTTTCGCTCTAGGCTTTCCTTCCCGGGGCTGACATTTGCAATCACTTCTTCCAGTCAGCTCGCTTCTCCAGCTCGAGCAAGCTGTCGAGCGACTGCTTGAGCGTGGTCTGCCAATCCTTGAAGTTGAGGCCCAGCTTGGTCTGAGCAGGTTTGGTGTCCAGAGTGGCGATGGTATCCAGATCGCGCAGATTCGTGACCGCCTCCTTCCAGCCCTTCGGCAGACGATCTTGCAACTCGGGGTACTGTTCGCTGATAAACTTGACCGCATGAGCCCACGTGAACTTTCCTCCGCACAGCAGGTATCGCTCGCCCATACCACCATCCTTTTCGGTCGCGGCAACGTGTGCGTCGCCGACATCCCGAGCATGGCAGAAGAGCGGAAGACGGTCCTCTGGCATCGAGTCGGCGGACGAGACGAGGTTGTAGATGGTTTTGCTCGAGGTGTTGAGGTTGGAGAGTCGGACGGCTGGCTGCAAGGTGGGGCCGTAGATCATGGGCGGATTGACGGACGCAATTTCGAAGTGGGGTTTCTCGTTGGATACGTAGTCCCAAGCTGCTTGCTCTGCGAGCTTCTTGCTGACAGAGTAGGAGAATGCACCTGCGCCGCCGGCTTCGATCGCATCTTGGTAGGTGGACGGATTCCAGTGCTCGGCGGTGTACGTGAAGCCGGGACGGTTGGGTCCGCCCTCTTTGAAGCTGGTGACAGCGGCGAAGGAGGAGGTGATGACGATCTTCTTGACGCTCTTCTCGTGTTTGGCGAAGCGCAGCAGATTCAGAGTACCTTCGACGGCGGGGATCAGCAGATCGCGCTCTGCGTCCTGCACGTTGAGTTGGTAGGGGGAAGCGACGTGGTGGATGATTTCGACACCTCGAACAGCGGGTAGGAGGTCAGATGTGGCAGTGTCGGCGACTTCGACGAACTCGACTCGTTCGCGATCTTGCGCGCTCAGACGAGAGAGGATCTCGTCCTTCTTGTTGACGGATCGAAGCGTTCCTCGAACCTTGTAGTTGGCAGGAGAGGCGAGAACAGCATCGAGCACGTGGGCGGCTAGAAAGCCAGTGACGCCCGTGATGAGTACCAAGGGACCAGACATTGCAAAACGAAGTTGCTCAGAAGTTAAGGTCGAGGGCAACAAGAAAGAAGGTCAAGATGCTGAGTCGAGACGATACCAACCGGATGTCCGGCCTTTCATTATCGCCGCTCGAGCCACCTGCATTTTGCGGAGCGGAATCCACGAGTGGAGAACGAACGGCTTCAGCCTAACACCACACCTATTTAAAAAAAATCTGGCATCACGAACGACATCGACAATGTGACCTGATGAATGTCTATTGAAAGCTATGGTACATGTGCGTCGACTGTGAATGTGTTGACTCGCAGATTGGAATCAGAGCTCCATGCGGGGTCCAGATGCGACTCCGTCGTTGGTAGCGGACCAATCGTCGAAGTCGCCTGGCTGACGCTGCTGGGCCAGATGGTCGTTCCAGCGCTTTTCTGCCGTCGTCGTGGTTCGTGGTGTCCTGCCCCAATTGCTCCAATTGGCAACTGCTCTTGCAGTATCGCCTGCCCATCCGACACCGGTGATGCCCAAGGCGGGAGCGACCACCACCCTGGCAAAGATCTCTCCAAATCCCAGCATGACACCGTTGAGGAAAGGCAAGCCGAGATTGATAAACACGGAGCCAGAGATGAGCGCCAATCGACGCGAGAGAGGGATGGAGGAGTACGGGTTGAAGGCGGCTAGTGTGAGTGAGCCAGTCGGTGGATAGTTTGACTTTGATTGCTCTTCTTCCTCCTGCGATTCGCCTTGGTTCTCTGAATCGGAAGCATCCGAGTCGTGGTCTGGGCCTGCTAGTTCAGGGGGTGGCGATCCTTCCTTCTCGTCGTACTCATCCTGCTCGGATGAGTTGCGTTTGTCCTTGTGACGAGGAAAGATCCTCGGCATGCCCGAAGCGGATACGGTCGGGATCGCTTCGTTGCCATCCCTCGCTGACGTTCGCGGAGCGTGCTTGTGCTCGTGTGACGACGACATCTTGTGGACTACTTGGGCAGGTCGAGAACAGAAATGATGCTGTTGGCCAGTGGATCCTGCTTCTGATCTTCGGAAGGGGCCGACGCTGAGAACGCTTGGGTAAGGTGAGAAGACGAAGGAACGATGGGTTTCTCGATCGGTTGCAGACGTGGTTTGGCGACGGGAGGGTACGAATCAGCCTGGAAGATGTCGCTCGTATGATTCGATTGTTGGCGTTGTGTTTCGTCGTGAGGCACAGCCTGCATGCTGTGATGCTCGTGGGTGGTGGTCGAGAAGCAGCCTCGGCGAGTGAGCATGACAATCGAGCCGCCAGGGTCCAAACCGCTTTCTCACGCTCCGTATGCCCCTCTCACCGTTCCGGCGCGGATCCGACTGTGGACTTGGCTCGGTGTGGAGGGAATACTTGCGAACGTGTTAGGTCCAATACGGCTGCAAGTCGCGTAAAAAAGATCAACACGGCGCGGTAAAGTGACACAAACTTGGATTTCGCATTGGGCTCTCTCTTGTCATCCTCACACCATCCCAACCTCGCATCACCGCATAGCCAGGCAACGATTGCCGCTCACTCGACCGGACATGGTGCCACTCGACACCGCCTCCAGTCCAGGCTTCCCTTTCGGCAGTCCGCGACCACGTCAGATCACCAAGCTAGCCGTAGCAGGCCCTTCCGGCTCCCGATCTGCTCCTCAATCACCACACACTCCCACCAACCTCGCACAGCCACTCCCCTCCGCTCTCGGCGCATTCAACCCAGATGGAAGCCTCAGCGTCGTTCGCAATGACGACGATGCAAACAACAGCGGGCTGCTCGACCTGAGTCCTGCTCTGTCCAGAGCCATCAAGTCGAGACCCAACTTCGCCGGCTCGCCTTCCGCGAAACGTCAGCGCGTCGCCTCCCACACGTCTAGGCTCGACTCGATCGCTGATGAAGACGATAGCGGTGTCAGCGCACATCACGCGCTCCCGAGGCGTCGTACGGTCGCCAAGTCGAGGCTAAGCAGCCATGCTACATTTGGGCCCGTGGTGCAGTCGTCGCAGCCATCCGAAGATTACCTGCATTCCGACCCGGGGCTAGCCAACGGGCTTGGTGCGTCTTCGGATATCGAGGCAGACATTCACAGGGAAGTAGCATCGACCTCGAAGCAGCCATCTGTGCACAGCGTCGGCCAGGCACTGGATTCTGGTGACGATCCAGATGTTGACGAAGAGGAAGAAGAAGAAACTTCGACATTGACAAGGCTGCGCCGATGGAGACAGGATGCCATGCAGCAGCACCTCTACGACACGGCCATCTTTTGGGGATCCAAAGTGCTTTCCCTCGAGACCACAGCTGCCGCTTTCAACGACGCCTACCACCTCGCCCAGTGCTACTTCTACACGCATCAGTATGCTCGAGCTGAACAGCTGCTCACCTCGCCCTTGCGAACAGGTGCATCTCGCTCCCGCAATCCAACTAGATCTGCTGGCCAAACGACGTCCACGCATGCTGACTCCGCCCCTTACTCGGCCAAGCACACCGGCGCAGAAGGCTTCCTCGCCTCTGAAAACGTGCAGGAAGACGAGGATGCGCTGCAGGAGGTGCTCCAGCGCACGCGATCCTCCTCCATCTTGCCTGCTAGCATCATGGCTCGATCCACGACGAAGGACAGCATGTATTCGGCCGCCTCTTCCGCCACGGGCAAACGCAAGAACCGCGACTTTAACGTCACAGCTACGGGCACGGGGTCGTCGGAAACCGAGAGCAGTGGGAGGGATGCAGAGTCTGATGAAGAGTTTCTCAAGGATGCTTCCGCCGAACGCGATGGGTCTGTGGTTCTGCGCGATGCAGCTCCGACGACTTGGCGCCAGTCGAAAGCTGCCGCGGCTTCAAAGGCAACCGCCAACGGTGTTGATCTGCAGGACGATCTGGATCAGGTCAAGAACAGCAGCATAGCACCTGCACACGGTCCGATCCTGGTGAACCACAGTCTGGCATGTCGGTACCTCGCTGCGCAGTGTCAAGTCCGGCTTGCCAAGTACCACGAAGCGCTCGACCTTCTCGGCGAGACGGAACACTGGGGCACCTCGGCGAGCAACAAACGGCCGTCGAACGATGGAGGTATCAAGCTCGGTTCTTCCGTCGCCTTTCTGCGGGGACAGATCCACCTTCGCTTGGATGATCTGCCACGCGCGCGCGATTCGTTCATGGCGGCGCTGGCGCTGGATGTGAAGAACTACGAGGCGTTTTCCGCGCTGATCGATGGAGAGATGTTGGGGGTGCGGGAGCAGTGGACGTTTGTGCAGGGGTTGGAGTATGCGGCGCAGGCGGGGGAGGGGGAGGGAGCGGTGGAGGATCACGAGCTGGTGAGGCTGCTGTACACGACGCAGCTGTCGAAGCAGGGCAAAGGGTTGGTGGAGACGACGGCGGTGGCGAGGAGGAGGTTGGTGGAGGAGTACGGACTGGGAGATGATCCGGATGTACTGCACGGATTGGCGTCGGAGTTGTTTGCGAGGTTGAGGTTCAGCGATGCGTTTATCGTGACGAGCAGGATCTTGGAATTGTCGGCGGATCATACGGCGACGTTGCCCATCCACATTGCGTGCACGTACCATCTCAAGAACCTCAGACCGGCGCTGTTCATGTTGGCGCATAGGTTGACGGAGCTGCAGCCGGAGTTGGCGGTGTCGTGGTATGCGGTGGGGACGTGGTATGCTGCGACGAGGAGGTGGGCGGAGGCGAGGCGGTATTTCAGCAAAGCGTCGTTGTTGGATCCGAGGTTTGCGCCGGGTTGGATCGCGTTTGGACACACTTTTGCGCTGGAGGGGGAGAGCGATCAGGCGATCATCGCGTACTCAACCGCTGCGAGGCTGTTCCCCCAGTCGCATCTGCCCAAATTGTTCGTCGGCATGGAACATCTGCACCAAGACAACCTTTCCCTGGCGAGGTTATCGCTGGAAGGATCTGCAGCAATCTTCGCCTCCGATCCGCTACTCGCCAACGAACGCGGTATCGTAGCCTTCCAAACCGGCGATCTTTCTTCCGCATCCGAGTTCTTCTCCACAGCAATCTCGCTGGCAAAGGAAACCCAACATCCGGCGTCGAGTTGGAAATCGACGTACCTCAACCTCGGACTTTCCCTGATGCGAATGTCGCGCGACGACGAGGCAAAGTCTGCGCTCGAGACGGTCGTCGAACTGGATCCGCACAGTCACCAGGCGTATCTGTGTTTGGGAATGCTGGCTCACAAGCAAGGAGAGCTGGATGATGCAGTGGCACTGTACCACTCGGCATTGTCGATTTGTCCGAGAGACGCGTATGCCACGGAGTTGTTGGATTTCGTGTTGGAGGAGAAGGTGCAGTATGGGGTGGGGAGGTTTGCGAAGTTTGATCCGCAGGAGAGGATGAGGAAGAAGGACGGAAAGGGAAAGGGGAAGGGTAGGGAGGTGGACGAAGGGATGGCGATGGTGAATGGTGACGAGGAGGGTGATGGGTTGACGACGATCCCGGAAAACTCGGCTTCGATGGGTTTTGATGCGTCGCAGCAGAGCGTTGGACAGCAGCAGCAGCACCGGCCGCCGGTGAGAGGGCAAGCGGATCGCTCGTTGTCGTATCAAGATCAAGCTTCGATGAGATTCGCTTCGGTGAGGATGCCTCAGGGGGATACGTCAGCTATCACGGCGGCCGAGATGAGTCTCGACAACTCGTCGGCAACCGGTGGCGGTACAATCCAGAATCAGAGCGCGGATGAAGAGCCAGAGCGTCAGGATCAGAGCAGCGTGCTGATGGACGAATCCACGTCCTAGTCTCAGCCAGAAGTTGCATTACACAGTGTTCGATCCGAATGTCGACTCGCGGCAGCAAACCGCCACCAAACCAATTCAGAATCGGGAATGAACCGCTGTCCCTAACCCTCCCTCATCCACACCAGACGCACATGAAACAAAATCATCTCGATTGCTGAAAAAGGCGTGTCTACATCGTCACATCATCACGATCTCAATTGTTGACCCTCACCTCTGCCTGCGCTTTCCCCTCCCTACTCTTATCCACCAAACTCTTGAACTGCTCGAAGAACAAGAAGAGCAGCGTCGTCTGCGGCTGCAGACGCAACCACGCCGGCGTCCAACCTCTGAAGAAGACCGTGGGACCATCCTTGGCGAGGGCATCCCTGATGACTCCGGCAACACCGACGTTGCCGGCACCCTTTTTGAGGTTCTGGACGCGCGACTTGACCACGTCGATGGGGGTGCAGAGCGTAGTGCTGAGCGTACCGGCGCAGAAGCTGGCCGCGGTCTGGAGTACGGGACCGTCGGGGACGACGTCTAGCTTTTGGAGGATTCCCTTGAACAGGTCGTACGAGCCGAGCTGGGAGATGTTCATGACGACGGATCTAAAGACGTTCGGAGAGAGGCCACGGAAGAGCGTACCTGCACCGTCGTCCTTGACGATCCTGACGAGGCCGTCGATGCAGTTCTTGTACCCATAGCGCGCGTCCTTGGGCAGGTTGAGGTCGGAACACATCCTCACCAGCACGATCTCCGCTGGGTTCCCCACCACGCCCGCGACGGCACCCGCAGTTCCGGAGCACAGCGCGAGCTCCGAGGTCGTAGGCGCCTTGCCCGAGGCAGCGGTGACGCGCGTTTTCATGTCTTCGTACACGGCGAAACGGGTAACCGAGTAGGTGAATTGACGCAGGAGCGTGGCGGTGAGACCGTGCCAGAGCGAGGTGACGCCTTCGGAGCGGACCGAGAGGATGATGGTGCGGAACATGCCCTGTTTGACGGTGGCTGTTTGCAGGCGGTACTTGGTGAGATCGAGCGGGTGGGTGATGGATGCTGCGCAGCAGCCGGCGGCACCTGATGGGAGAGATTCGAAAGTAAAGTAAAGCAGAGGTCAGTGAGTTGTCAGAGCTTCTTGACAGGTATAAGCAGATGGGAGTGGGGAACGCGGAGTCGGAAAACACGTACCTCCGAGCCAGAAGGGATAGGTCTTGGGAGTAGCCTTGTTGCCGGAAGACGAGCTGGCAGCAGCACCGGCACCCGCACCGGCAAGAGCGCCCTTGGCGGCGTTGAAGGTGCCGGCGTTGGCGCCAGAACTAGAGGGAATGCGGAGGGTCGACATTGTGCAGTATGGAGCGGAGGGTGGATGCACCTGCCTGAACGTTATAAGCTATTCAGACCAACGTAGCTGCGACGTTTGCGGAACAGCGATTAAAACGCCGGGATGGTGTATGCCGGAAGAGGACAAGAAGAGACGAGTGCCAAAGGAAGAAGGAGTCACAAGGTGGGACGGAGGAAGGGACGAGCCGAGACACGCGTTTATCAAGCAATCTGGAGGCGCTGCTTCCAAACGTCGAAACGGCGGCAACAAGGACCGCAGATGGCGACAGGGTCGAGGACGGCACTATCCGAGTCAGAAGACCTTCGCACGCCGGTAGATGGTGGCGTGCAGGGGCGCATGCGTGTGTGCAAGATGCCGCGCTACAGTCACGTCAAGGGAAAACTCGGAACAGACTGGAGCGAGCGAACGGAGCCATCCAGTCAGCCAACAGAAGGATGAATCACAAGATCGGCGGGCGGAAGCAACACAACCACAATCAGGCGAATCCTCCGACCAGATCAACAGAGACAGAAGCAGTGTGTCGTTCCCGCGACCGGCTCACCCGACTTTGCCGCCATTGCATCGATACGACTTGTCTTTACAAACACGACTCTCATCGTCACACCGCAACCATTTGTCACCATCTCTTGGCTGTGTTCGAGATCACAACGATATCAAGCCTGCAAGTCACCACCCTCGTCCGCACCGTCATATCTCACCGCGAGATCTCTGAACAGCATCCGAGCATCTACAGTCTGCCGTGTTGACTCCTTGACCCGCGTGACCACTTCTCAGCACTATCTCCGCACCTCTCGCTCGCTAGAAGCACGAGCCACGCAAGAGAGCGCTTACCCTCTCTTATCTTCAACGAGAGGGTTTCTGACCCTGCAGAAGCGCGCATCCCAAAAAACAAAAATGCGGGGTAAAAGTAAGAAAAGAGCGTTCAAAAAGCTGCAGGGTCCTGAAGCCGAGCTACGAGAGCGAGCTGGACTGTGCACTTTTTGTCGTAAGTGTTTCCGATCTCACAATCGAGATGCGAACCACCACGTTTGTGGTTGTGTAAGAGCTTAACAGAGGTGTCGAAATTTCGTCAGAAAAGGGGGTTCACGGAAAAAAGAGAACGTTACGCCTCGGATTCCAGAGGTATATGTATTCCACACGATCCATCTCCATGACGTTGTTGAGGGATACGGAAAGATCCGCTCTAGGTTCCGCAAGCGTTGGTCTGTTGTCTGTAATCGATGGCAAGCTGTCAAAGATTTGACGATGATGACGAGACAAGCGTGTGGTCATGACGACCAAAAAAAGGTGGCTCTGAACTTGGAGTCGGTGTAAATCCGCCATATCCCGCAAGTGCCTGCTCTGCACACAGCATACAACACGTGTCTTCAAAGCCGCAGCAGCAACAGCAACGAACAAGCTGCCCACAGGCGGGACGAACGATCCAGAGACACACACTTGGGCGACAACTCTGATGAATCTAGAAATCTTGTCTTGAGAACCTTGACAACGGGAAGACTTTGGCGCTCGGCAGACTCCGCGCTTAACGGCCCAAGTGGGGGTTTAAAGCTCGGCATCCATCACCGACTCCATCCCGACATCCTCTCGCAGGCCCAAGGCGCCGAGGAGGTTGTTCATGGTCATGTCCGCCATCGCCTGACGTGTTTCAGTGGTGCCGCTGCCGATGTGTGGGAGAAGGGCGACTTTGTCCCTGCAGTCCGCGGCGAGCAGAGGATGGTCCGCGTGGATGACTGGAGTCTCGAACGGAAAAGAAAATAATCAAGAGGAACGTGGGTCAGTGGCTCAGGTTGGCGGCCAAGTCGGCGTATCGGAAACAGCGGATGTGAAGGCAACAGTGTCCTCGCCATGCGATTTGCGATGAACGGTTTGGATGAACTCCGAGGTGACTTGCAACGACGTACACGGCTCGGATCTTGCCGTGTTCCCGAAGGCTTTTTCCGTGGGTTTCCGCAGTAAAACTCACCTGGTTCTCCTTCGATGACATCCAGTCCAGCTCCGGCGATCTTGTCGTTACGAAGAGCCTCGACTAGTGCTGATGTGTCGACGGTCCCACCCCGAGAGGCGTTGATGATGTACGCCGATGGCCTGGCAAGCGGAAACAGGGCGTGTCGTCAGTCGTCAGCAATCGGGGCGATCTTCCTCCTGATCAGCCTTGGGACACAGAACTGTACCTACTTCATGGCATCCAAGAACTCCTTGTTGACAACGTGCTTCGTGCTCGGATTCAGATCCACCAGCACAAACACCACGTCCGCCTGCCTCGCCATCTCGAATTTATCCGCCACATTCTCCACCTTGATCCTGTCGACCGGGAACGCGTCTTGCATCAACGAAGAAAAGTACTCGTCGTCCCGCTGAAACGGTCTCGCCTTTGACGTGGTATACACCATCCGAGCTGGTTTGAAAGGTACGAGAAGCTTGCACAAGGATTGGGAGATGTTTCCGAATCCCAAGAAACCGATGGTCTTGCCTCGCAATTGAGGGCCCATGAAGCAGGTCGGTGTCCAGGGGTTGTGAGGCCATTCGCCTTCGCGGACCGTTCGAGTTGCGACTGGAACTTGACGTGTCACCATGAGGGTGAGTAGCAGGCAGAGTTCAGCGACAGCGTCATCGAGCACGCGAGGCGTGTTGCCGATACGAACGCTGCGTTGCTTGCAGAGCGGCAGGTCGATGTGGTCGTAGCCGACGGACATGGTCGAGATCACCTTGAGGGATGGACCTGCTGCATCGAGGAATTCGGCATCGACCTTGTCGGAGAGGCAGATGACGGCGCCGGAGATGGTGTTGTCGCGCAGGTTGGAGAGTACCCAGTCGCGCGACGGTGCTTGTTCGCCTTCGTGGTCAGGTCGAGTGATGAGTTCGACTTTGCCGGCTGCTTCGGCTCGACGCAGTACCGAAGTGGGCATGGTCCGGCATACTAGGATCTTCGGCACCGCCATCGTCCAATCGAAAGGATTTCAGCGAATCGGTAAGGAAGATTCAAAGCGATGATGATGATGTTGAGCGAGAAGAAAGCGATGTCGAAAGGACCCCCACGTCGAGATTTGTGTGGAGAAAGGTGAGCGTGGGCGGCGTCCGTGCGGCTTTTCAATTTTTTGGTTCGGAACAACGCCGTCATATGCATCTTGACGATCCCATGCTCGACTCGTTTAACCTTCCCGTCGAAAATATCGTTTCACGCTCTCACGAACCTCGACGAGCACAACCTTTCGTTCAATACTCGCCAAGCGAACGGCATCGATGCAACACTCAGCCCCGCCGTCGAGGCGCAATTGGTCCACCCCGGCCCGAGCAGCTTACCGCGAACTTGTCGCTGTCCTCGTCATCCTCATCAAACCTCAAACCACCTCCGACGAGCAGCGCTTCTCCACGCTCCAAGCCCTCCGTCAGCGACACGATCGTGCATTCGACAACTGGCTACCACACATCACGCTCATCCCACCGTTCATCCTCACCGTCCCCTCTTCTGCCTCTGAGGAAACACAACCCATCGAATCCCTGCACAGCTCCACGCTGTCCTCACTCGTTTCCGCCATCCGCGAAGTCTGCCGCCACCACCCCTCTCACTCCCTCCTCCTCGACCAAATCTCCACCTTCCCGCTCCGAACCAACACCAACGTGCACCTCCGTCCCTACCCCACCAACTTCACCGACCGATTCGCCCCCGCCTCCTCCTCCCGCAGAACTGCCGACGACGACAGCACACACATCGTAACCCTCCGCTCCCACCTCTGCAAATCCCTCCACCCACTCCTAACCTCCCCCGCCATTCGAAGCAACACCCCAAACCAGGTGTTCAAACCACACGTCAGCGTAGGTCAAACAACCTCACCCAAAGCTACCTGGCATCTATGCACCGAAGCCGAACAACTGTTGAAACCTACTCAAGCTCAACAACCACCAGGCATGTTGTGTCGCGTAGACGCCATTCAACTCATGATCAAGCGAAAGGGCGATGAAGGCGCCTACCGCATTCACACAGAGATCCCTCTCTCAAGCAAAGTCTAATTTCATGCACCGATCCCGCATCATCGCGTCGCAGCCCTAGCAGCAGCCACCGCCATCGCCTCCTCCCTGTTCAACCGCTCAATCTCCTTCCACGGCCTCTCATCCATCATCCAGTACACGAACGGACCGTTGGGACTCTCCTCCTCGTGCAGCGCGTCCGTCCAAATCCCAAAGATCGGCGCACGCGTACCCGGTGGTCCCGGCTGAATACCTTCCAGCTGCCACCGATCCTCCCCCTCGTACACGTGCGTCAAGGACCAGTGCAACCCTTCGATCTTCTTCTTCCCCCGCGGACACCTCCACATGACCTCATCCATGTCCTCCTCCCTCGCATACACCGGTCGTACCTTGCCATGCACCCCTCCGCGCGGCATGGGCGCTTCGTTGCCCCAGTACGTCACCGTCGTGCCTCGGAAGAAGAGCGTCGGATACTCGTCATCGTCCGCCTGCCCTTCCTCCGCTTCGTTGTACAACGGCTGCTGCGATTTGGGCAGCAACTCGAGCCGAAGCTGCAAGCAGTCGCCCACGGCTTCTTCCAGCCCAGCCAGGTTCGGTTTCGGCAGCTGATCCAGTTGGTTGATCCGCATCGACGCTTTGCCATTGGCTCCATTGCTGGCAGAGGCAGAAGCTTCGGCGTTAACCAAAGCCTGTCTGCGCCGCCGCGCTAGGCGTACGTTGTAGTCGACGAAGTGCGAAAAGTCCAAAAAGCTGTACGTGCCGCCCCAGAAGCTTTCGCATCGTGCCCAGTCGTGCGGCTTTTCGTCGTCCTGTGTCGATGCAGAGCCATTGGGTCGAGGCGGCGATGATGGCCACTTGCCAGAGCTTTGGTCGGTGGCACTGTCGACGTGAACCTCGGGCAAAGGACTCGGCAGTGATGAGATCCAACCGGTAGGAAACTCGAGGAACTCGCGCTTCTCCATCGGATCTTTGGTGAGCAGGCCGGCTTCATCGTATATCTTGGGTATCTTGATGCCAAAGCCCCAATTCTCGAGCCAGATGGCTTCCTTCAAATTGGCATACATGACCACCATGATGGCTTCGACCAACTCCCAGTGGATCGCCTTCGTGCGCAAGCTCACACCTTTCTTCCCATCGTCCGCATCGGAAGCTTCTCGCTGCGCGTCGTGTTGTTGTAGCAGGGGCTTGATCTCGTCGTTGGCATGGCAGCCGCGATAGCCGCCAGCTGCGGCCATGGGTCGGAACATGCCAAAGTGTCCGAGCCCATCGTCATCGTCGTCCACGTCGGCGTAGTCATCCCAGTCGTTGGCATCTCCGTCAAAGTCATCATCGTCTTCGTTGTCCACGTCATCGTCCTCCTCGCCGTCCAGTTCGACGACGACCGGGTCGTCGTGGTCCGGGATGGCGTCTTCGTCTTCGTCATCTGTCATATCGGCATCGTGTCCGCTGGTGACACGCATAGTCTCTGCAAGCATGCCTGGTCGGACAAATCGGACGTTGAGTGAGCCTGTAGCAACAAAGTCGACCGTGCCCCCGACTGTGACCTGAATGTTGTGGCTGCCGGTGATGATGCCGATGGGAAGATCGCCTTCGTAAGTGAATGTCCGCGTTTCGGCATCGTAGGTGCCGTGGTCGGGAGGCTGAAATGGCGTGCGATCTGTACGACGTTGACCCGATCCATCGTCTTGATCGTGCTCGCCGTCCGAGGCTTCCCAGCTCGTGCTTTGATGGGAGTTGATGGGGTTGCCGTATCGATCAGCGACTTGAAACGTGCGCCTGGTGCCGCCGTTGCGGCTTACTTCGATCTCGATAGGAATGGGATCGTCCGGGACGTCGTCGTCGCTTAGCTCAGTAGCTTCGCGTAGCGCGTCGTCATCGCCGTCTTCGCTGCCTTGGCCCGTTACGGCATCGGCCATACTGGCATCCTCGTCACCATCGCTATCATTAGCTGCGTCGTCCTCATCCTCGTCGTCTTGATCGTCGGCTTGTGGGTCCAAAGGTCGACGCCAGGCGTGAAGAGGGCCGTAGCCGTTGGACCAGCCGTAGTAGCCAGAGTCGTACACTCTCTGCCTCATGCGCGCTCGGACCTCGTCCTCCTCGTCTGGCGCGTTGCAGAACCCAAAACTTGGACCGAACACACGAGGTCGATGGCGCAGCATGGCTGCTGGCGGTTCGTCAAAGCTCTCGTCGTCGTCAAAGTCGTCATCATCGTCATCGTCGTCATTTTCCTCCTCGTCTTGTTGATCTTGGCCCTCGCCCTCATCTGCTTGATTGGCATCAGTCTCTTGTGCTCGTGGCGCCTCGAGATTCTGTGCAGCGTCTTGGGTTGACGCTTGCGCTGCGCCCTCGTTAGCTAGACCGTCTCTGCTGGATTGACCGGGGATTTCCTGAGGGCTCTCCGTGAGGCGCGTCTTTTGAGAGTCCTTCCACGCGCGGATGCCGTGCAAGCAATGGATGCGCGCGGCGAGACGCACCTGAGGCTGCACAAGTGCTTCAATGTCGAGACCGGCATCGACGAGCGGATGGAGAGGTTCGGGATAGATGAGTTTGAGCAGGCGAGCGGAGCGTCTGCGTACCGAGTCGGGACGATCAGCATTGGACTTGGACGAGGATCGACGACGCGAGGAAGCAGCTGCAGCTGCGGAAGTCGAAGGCCCACTTTGGTCGTTCTGTTCTGAGGAGCCATTGGCAGCGGAGACACGTCGGCGCTTGCGATCTTGAGGCGAAGTGGAGCGTTTGGAGGAGATCTGAGCGGCAGCTTCGTTTTTGAACTCGTCTAGGCTGTGCATGATGGAGCGAGGGAAGACCCACTGAGCCCATGTGGCTTGACCGGACGAGAGGATCGAATCGCTGAGCCAGACTGTGTTGAGACACTGGTCGGGACTTTGTGGCGGTACTGCTGTATCAATGACGGAGAGCAGCGCAGTGAGGACGGCGTTGAAGTTCAACGAGATGGGTGTGTGGTTGCTCGGATCTCCAGCGTAGAGCCTGGCAGCACGGTCTCTGAGTTGGACGAGGGCCATGACGTTGGATACGGCGTGCGTTTCGGGTGACGAGGCAGCGTTCTGTTGGTCGTGCGAGTCGTTCTGAGTGGTTGAGGACTGGGGAGCATCCCAGAGGCTGGGTAGATTGTCAAAACGTTGGAGATAGAGCTGCTTCCAAAGGTGAAGATCGCCTGTCTTCAATTCGCCGTATACGCGATTTCGAGCGAGCTTGCAGGTCTGCGAGAAGTGTTCGATGCACAAAGGCGGTAGAGAGAGCAAGATGTTGTGTATGAGCTCAGTAGGCAGGCCGAGCAGGCCGCCGGTGCGGCGCTGCTCGTGCTGTTGGCCCTCGTCGTGCGCCTGCACTTGAGCCATGACTGCAGTCGCTCGAGCGTGAGTGGTGGACGCAAAAAGGATGGTGCAAAAGACGAGCTGTCGGAACAGGAAGAGGAAGAGGAGATGAAGCGAAGTCGGTGGGATGACGACGACGATGGTGACAACCGCGCACCACGCACCACGATCGGCTAACTTCCGAGTTTGCGCAGCAGCAGCTCGAGTCGAGTTAACTTAGCCGCAGATCAGGACCCTGAACGTCGGTCATGAATCAGCACGCACGCAGCGGTACACCAACAGCACAGCGCAGCACAGCAAGTGCACCCTGAAGTCACTCGGCAGCGCGCACGGCAGATCCGACGGTCTCGCTCCTCTCTCGTCGCACCCTGAGCCGAATTACGGGAAAAATCTGCTAAAATGTGTTACATCGACAACGTTCTGAGACGCTTTCGTCTGTCAACTCCGTTCCGGCTTTCCGGCGTGCATGGCCCGTGAACCGGTAAGGGTGCGTGTCACGTTCCCCACACTTTTGTGCCTGTCAGCATGTCCCTTCCCTTGTCATCCCGCCACGAACAACCGAGTCGCCATCAGAACATTCACATCATGTTGGACGTCACAGCTTCTCGATTCTACACCACGCCGCTCACAACACCACCTTCCAACCCGGATGCAATGCCCACCCAGCGCAGATACCACTACCTCGACTACCGTCCGCCTGCCGGTGTTCCCGAGACAGCCACGCTGCTTCTCCTCCACGGTTTCCCAGACTTCTCGCACGGATGGCGCAGTGTCATCGCACCGCTCCGGCTCGCCGGCTTCCGTCTGATCGTTCCTGACCTGTTGGGCTACGGGCTGAGCTCGGCGCCACCTACTTCTTCTGCAACGGCACCTGCCGGAACGCCTTCACGCCTCGCCGAGTATGGTGGTCGTGCCATCTCGATCGACCTCAACGGCTTGCTCGACCATGCACAGGCTGCAAAGGGATCTGAATACGGCGCAGAGCATCTCACTTCGGATGGCAAGAAAGGCCGTGTTATCGTACTGTGTCACGACTGGGGATCGTGGCTTGGGTGGAGGTTCGCACAGTGGTATCCAGACAGAGTCATGGGCGTCTGCGGTCTCTGCGTTCCCTTCCAAGCACCCACCTCCAAACCTATCCCCATCGATATGGTGCTCAAGAGTGTTCCCAGCTTCGGCTACCAGAAGTTCTTCTCCGAGGAACGCAGCACCAAGATCATCGAGCAGCATCTCGATCGTTTCCTCGCCATCATCTATATGATCCCCGGTCTGTTTTCAGCCGACTCGGCCAACGAAGAGGAGGTGCGAGATTGGCATCTCGAAGGAAAGCTCGAGCGACTGCTCACCATGCCCGAGTTCTCGGACATCCCGCTCAAGTACCTCGGACGCAGCATCCTCGACAAGCAGCAGCTGGACGAGTACATCACCGTCTTCCGCAGTCGTGGCATGGAAGGTCCTCTCAGCTGGTACCGTACGCGCGAGATCAACTGGCAAGAGGACAGAGCTTTGACCTCCAAGACTTTGCCGGAATCGTTGCCGGCCTTGCTGATCATGCCCAAGGACGATGTAGCTGTGCCGCCAGCGTTGGGTAAGACCATGAAGAAGCACGTACCCCAGACCGAGTTCGTCGAGGTGGCGGGAAGCGGTCACTGGGTTCAGAACGAGGTGCCTGGTGTGGTGGTGCAGACGTTCAAACAGTGGGTGGAGAGAAGCGTCTTGCCCAACGAGAAGAAGGGAAGTGGCATGCTGGGTTGGCTTCGAAGCAAGCTGTGAGCTTTGCTGCATGTCTGTACACTAGTTTGCTTGGTCAACGCTTTCGCTCTGTTTTGTTGTATCCTTGATCCCAGTCTTGAGCCCGGGAGAATGTCTTTGTCGCAGTCAATGCCTCCATGTGACCGCAAAGAGATTGCCGGCCAGATGGTTACACTTTCTCGAAGCCTTTTCGAGGCTCGTTGCCCGATATGGAATGATAGGCACATCTTCGGACGATTACACAAGCCTTGAAAGCGTAAACTTCACCGACAACGGAAGTCGGCAAGACAATGACAATGCAGAACCAGCGGGGAGAAGGGCAACGCAACTTCGGTCGAAGCTTCCAGTCAGCGTGCGAAAACAAAGTGTGGGGAAAAGTCGCATCCTGATGCTAAGAAAGGAAACGATCTCGACAAACTCGGCAATCCGCTCTGCTTCGGCAATCGCTTGCGTTTTGCATGCAAGCGTGCATGACCATTGCCTGTCATCCGTCTTGCGTTGGGACGTTGAGACCTGACACGAGCCCCCGGCCGGCTCATGTCGATCCGAGCCGCTAGACGAGCTGTTGCCTTTCCTCCCCCGCATATCTGACCATTTGGTGCAACGCATCCAGAACTCGGAGAGATTTGTATTTCATGGTCCGACTTTGCCGCACTGGAAGTCAATTCGTCCGTCCGTCGGTCGGTCGGTGATCCGCAACTCGCTCTCCAGTGTCGACGAGGTGTGGCTGCAATGTCAGGACGCATGTCATTCCGCGGAGTGTCTAATGCTTTGCCATGGCGAGAAAGCGTGTCGCACGTCGGCTTTCTTCTCAAAGTACGCTTTGACGTTTGACGCTCGAGCCAGGCGTGATCTGAGCCAAGCGAACTTCGGCTTCGAAGATCGTGAGCGTCCTCATCTCTCTCCGCACTCACCATTCACTCTCCGGGACGGGTGTCATCACGACCTGTAAAGCCGATCCGCTTGAGCAACACTGCCACCCAGATCTTCTGCTCGCCGCACCCTGCCTTGCCGCCTCTGCCCCGTGTTTGGCATTCGCTTGGAACGATTCCGCCGTCTTTGCTTGCTGCAACGCTTTCCGTTTCCTTTCGCGTACTCTTTACAGAAAGCCCTGCAACGGTGCTTGTACAGCAGCGGCTAGCCTTGGGCCCCTGGCCGCTCTTGTCCTCGTGTCGGTTGTATGAGCGGGCTCTCCAACCAAGATGGCCAGATTGGAAAGCATAAGAGCCAGCCGCGAAACGTCACCTCTTCTCCCCACATCATCATCCCGCAATCCCTCTTCCTACTTGTCCACTCAAGACACTGACCTCGAAAAGATGACTACCGTCTCGAGACGTACCAAACCTATCGCTCTGCTCGGCAGTGCCGGTCTCTGCCTACTGCTCGTCTGCCTCTGTGCTTTCAGCCGCAATGCCGACGCCGCTTCCATCGCCCGCTCCTTGATCGGACTCGACTCTCACCTGGAACCTCGTGCAGTCAGCACAAACTATGCCTACCAGCGGATGATCGCCAACATCGGAGGAGCGTCCTCCACGGCAGGCGGCAACCAGGTCCCCAACGTGCAAACCGGCGCCGTGATCGCATCGCCCTCCACTGCCGGTCCCAACTACTTCTACTCGTGGATCCGCGACGCTGCGCTGACCATGAAGGTGGTCGTGTCTCAGTCGACGCTCGACCGCACGCTGATGACCAACTACGCCAACGCGGAGAAGGTGCATCAGCAGAACGCGGCTCAGTCGAGCTCGAGTCAGGGCGAGCCCAAGTTCAACGTCGACGGATCGCTATTCACCGGTCCCTGGGGGAGGCCGCAGAACGACGGTCCCGCACTGAGGGCTTCGACACTCATGGCGTTTGCAAAGAGGATCGGTTTGAGCGACTCTTTCACCACAGGTACCCTTTACAAGTCCGACCTGAGCGCAGGGAGCTTGATCAAGACGGACCTGGAGTACGTCGCTCACCACTGGCAGGATTCCAGCTTTGATCTGTGGGAGGAAGTTCAAGCAACCCACTTCTTCACGCTCGTAGTTCAGTACCGATCCATGGTCGACGGTGCCAAGTTCGCCACTGCCATGAACGACCCCGGCGCGGCCAGTTACTACAACCAACAGGCTTCCGCCATCCTCTCGAAGCTGCAGAGCTTTTGGGATTCGGCCAACAACCGTATCCAAGCCTACCAGGGTGTTTCCAACCGCAACGGGATCGACTGCTCCGTCCTCCTCGGTGCACTCAAGGGTTGGGATACCACCGACACGTCGGCCGCTGTCAACTCTACCCTCTTCGGTCCTGCATCCGATAGACTCCTCGCCACCCACAAAGCTTACGTCGATTCGTTCCGTTCCCTCTATGCTATCAACAACAACGCTGCTGCCCCTGCTGCTGTCGGAACCGGTCGCTACCCCTCCGATGTGTACGACGGCGATGGAACGTCCCAGGGCAACCCCTGGTACATCTGCACCCTCGCTGCCGCCGAAGTGCTAAACACTGCGGTCAGCGTCGCTTCAACCCGTGGAAATCTCGCGGTGAGCAGCACATCTCTGCCCTTCTACAAGCAATTCTCCAGCTCAGCTACCACGGGAACGTTCGCCTCCGGTAGCAGTCAGTACAACGCCCTAACGAGCGGGATGAAGGCTATGGCCAACGGATTTGTCGATATCGTCAACCAACACGCCTGGGGAAACGGCAGTCTGAACGAGGAGTTCAACCGGGATAACGGTTACAACCAGGGCGCGAGGGATTTGACCTGGAGCTATGCGGCGTTCGTGAGCAACGATATGGCGAGTCAGGGCAAGTTCTTGTACAACTAGATGGCCAGAGCAGAGCGGCGTTTTTCGTCAAAGCACAAACGAAAGCATGGTATCAAGTCTAGACGTCAAGTACACGATGACGAGCGATCGAGAGACAGTGGGCGATCCGAACACCTGTGTTTAACGAACCTCATGTGTGTCACGCCTGATCGTGGCAGTGACAAGCTCGCCATACCAAGTCACACACCCATCACACTGAGCGAGCTTGCTGCCGGATAGAGCTCCGAGAAAGTGTTCGTTACAATCACACTGTTGTACATCAGCCATCACCCGTAAATCGACCTCTCGACCTGTCTAAACGGCCTCCTCTTTCCCCTCCCCAGCTTCCTGCTCACCCTACTCGCCACTCCACCAATCCACCTCGCCACCACTGCCACGCCGAAAACTTCAAACGCCATCCCCACCACCGCCTGCGCCATCACCACCCCAAAGATCACCCAACTGAAGCTCGCTGGCATGTCCACAAACCCAAACAGCCCGAAGAACGGTCCTCCCGTCAAGAACAAAAAGTAAAACGCAAACACCGCCAGCACCACCAGTGCCGTCGCCAAAATCCAGTTGTACCACAGCAGCTGTCGGTGTGGTGGACCTAGACTGAACGCAAACCCTGCGATGATGTAGGTGAACACCGAGGTGCGGAAGAGAGCCGTGTTGTCCATGTCGTTGAGTGTGAGGTCTTCCGGGTCGAATTCGGGTGGTTGATACCACGACTTGCTGTGCAGCACGAGGTAGATGATCGTCTGAGCAATGTAGCCGAACGCTGCTTGAGCGAGCATCGAGATGATGGGTTTGGCGCTCGAGAGGCGCATTTCCGGTACTACTTTCCAGAGCTTTTTCGCGGGCTTCGAGTTGGCCAATCCTACGGCAACGGGAAGAATGCAGAAGATGTCGATGAAGAGATACTCTGCGTTGTCCAACGACGTGGCTTTCCCATAGAGCAAAAGTACGGTAAAGTACTCGGAGAGGGAATACACCGACATGAAGAGGAACATGGCGAATGAGACCGTGAGCGTGGAACGACCTTCTCGAATCAGGTGGATGATGGCGGAGATGTCTTTGATCTTGGACGTGAACGGTGCCGCGACAGAGGCTTCTGCTTCTGACAGCGAAAGACCCACGTCGGCGGATTTGAGGGCTCCGCAATCGTTCGCGCCATCACCGGTCATTGCGACGACGTAGCCGAGGGTTTGCAGCCGTTCAACAAGCTCCTGCTTTTGCTCCGGTGAGAATCGACCGAAAACTTTGCAATGCACCAGAACTCGCGAGATCGTCTCGGGTGAGCACGTCTCGAGGAGCGTGCGAAGAATCTCTCCCGAAACTGCAAGTTCGACGTCCTTGAGCGGAGCGGTAGGCGAATCGAGCGTGTACGCATCCAACTTGCGCGACGCATCGTCGACGCTGACCCACTCAATCGCGCCTTTCTCCTTCGATTCAATCCTCGGACTGAAAACTTCAGCTTGAGCGGAGAGTATACCGCACTCTTTCGCCACTGAAACGGCCGTCAGAACGGAATCTCCTGTGCACATCTTGATGGGCAACTGTGCGTCATCCCTGATCGTAGCGATGGACGCCGTGGTGGCTGCTTTGAGTTTATTTTCGAAGATGATCAGACCCAAGAATTCGAGCTCGGATTCGACGTGGGTGCGGGTGAGCTGCTGCGCGCCATTCCATCCCAGTGCGTCGACAGCTTTTCCGGCAACGGCGAGCACGCGGAATCCAGCGCGCGTGCAACGATCGAGCACAGCGTGGTAGTCGCTAGGTAGGGAGGAGGAGGAACACAACGAAGAAATGGATTCGGCGGCACCTTTGCAGTAGATTTGAGCAGATCGCGACTGATGACGCTTGACGACAACGCTCATCCGGCGGAGCGAGGCGGTGAACTCGAACGTCCGGATGACGGCGAGCGACGGATGAGAATCGTGCGAGTGGATAATGGGGACCCGGGCGAGGGTGCCGTCCTTTGTCGTGGGTTGACGTGGATCAGCCTCAGCAGCTGACTCTTTGATGAGATGGATAGGTGCGAGTGACGAATCGTCCTCGAGCTTTCGCTCGGTCCACTCGAGCATCTTCACTTCCAGAGGTTCACCGATGGGCTCTCCATCCAGCAAGTTCAAATCGTGCGCTGTAGCCATTGCCTCGAGCAGGCTGAGCTCACCCTCAGCTCCGCACCGCTCTGGTCGCTGAACGAGGTCTGTGAAGTTGCCATCCTTGACCATGCGAACACCCATGACGTCCAATCCCTCCTCGGTCAATGTGCCCGTCTTGTCAAACACGAACATGTTGACCATGCCCGCCACGTTGATCCTCTGCGGACTAAGACAGAAGATCTGACCTCGCTTAAGCCTTGCGATCGAAAAGGTGATGCAGATTGACAAAGTCGCCGGTAGTGCAGGAGGAACGGCGATGGTGAGCACGTCGAGCGATCGAAGCGCAATCTCATCGCTGCTGACGCCGATGATCTTGAAGTAGATGATTGTTGCAACCATTCCAATGATGGCGATGATGAAGAGGTTGCCGATGAACATAAAAGCATCGCGGTAGAATTTGTGACTAATGGGTCGTGGGAAGAGCATCTGGCGGACGAGAGAGCCTTTGGCAGTCGAAAATCCAGTTCGAATCACGAGGGCTCGGGTGGCTCGGGTGTCGTTGCTGCCTGGTCGTACTCGGACGAGTTTAGTGCCAGAGTAGAGGATATGTTTGTCGAGTCGAGAGAGATCTTTCCCAGCGGCCAGGACGGTGGCGAGATCGTCTTTGGAGATGGGAGCCTTAACAACGGGGACCGACTCGCCGGTCATCATGGACTCGTTGACGATGCAGTCGCCTTCCAACAGCACCATGTCGCAAGGCAGCGTTTCGACGAGCCGGTGACCGTAGTTGGGCGCGTCCTTGTCGGTATCGTAGATAGCACCGAGATCGACAATGTCACCTGGAACGAGCGCTTCGCTGTTGAGCACCTCGTAGCTGGAACCAGCAATGGCAAGTCTCGAGTTGGGGAGTTGCTTCTCCTCATCATCGTCCGTGTCTCCAGCAGGGCTCTTCTCGTCGATAGGGGAGGGAGTATCTGCTGGAGAGGATCTCAAGGCAGAGACATGGCAGCTGAAGCGGCTCATCTTTTTGAGCTTTTCAATGGCGGCTTTCGTGGTGACAGTAGTGGCAACGATACCGATGACGGAAACGACGGCGATTACGATGGCGTAGGGCACATATTCGTCGTTGCACCAGAGGATGATCGAGTAAATTTGGAAGATGTAGAATGGGTGGAGGACTTCCTCGATGAGAAGATCAAAGACCGACTTGCCCTTGACGACGACCTGGTTATGGCCGAAGAGGGCCTGCCTGTCTCGAATATCTTGAGCGGCAAGACCTGTGGAAGCGAGGCTGTGATCGGGAGCAACGATGTCTGAACCGAGGGTCGAGCTCCACGAGGGATCGTGCCACGAAGCGAGGAGGTAGAATCTGCCGGACAAGGGGTGGAGGAGCAAGGTGGTTGCTCTGTACTCGAGGACGTCGACGTAGCTGAGTGACTGCGGGTCATTTGTGTGTTGGATTGTAGACGAGACAGAACCGTTGACTGCAGCGGCAGCCTCTTGTGGAGATCGATACGGCTCTCTCAGTGTGGATGGAAACACCTGGCGGAAGGGAATAGGCGAAGGGAAGGTGACCCGCTTGAGAGGTAGGATGTCGACCTCGCCATGCTTGCTCTTGATGCGGATGAGTTTGTTCTTATTGTTGGCGGCTTTGTTCTGTTTAAGAGTGGAAGGAGTCGTGTTGAATCGGACCCAGAATTTGTTGTTGGTCCAGTTGTCTGCAATGAACAAAATGCCAGCAGTTATGATGCAAAGCAAGTACCAGAGGGTCATGAGGAAGAGCTGTCGGCGGTAGAAGCGGAGGTGAAGCTGAATGTCCTCGTCTGCCAAGTAGATGGACTGACGAGTCTCCTGATGTTTGGAGGTCGAGGCATCGTCGTCGTGGGAGGCAGTGATGGAAATGCGCGAATCGCGCTTGGCTTGTTGAGCCAGCTCCTGCAACTCGGGTCGTGGAGGGAGGTGATGATCTGGAAGCTCGTCAATGGAACCGTTATCTGTGATGGTAGCAGGAGCGGTGTCCTTGGATGAGCGTGATGGTTGGTGGTCGGCCTCCAGCTCGTTCTGCTTTGAAAAATTCGTTTCGTGAACAGGTTCGAGAAGGACGAACGCCGCGAGAGGAGCCTTGATGGCGCCATCGGGAGGGCAAGGTTCGAGCGGGCTGGTGTTGGACATGATTGCTGCCCTTGCGTGGTGAGGATAGGAGGCGTAGCGTAGGTGATCGTGGTGTTGGTGACAGTGACCAAGTCGAAGCAACCACGAATCGTTCGGACCAAAGTCGTGCGAGCAGACACTCAAATTCTCATTGTTCGGCAAATTGGCGAATTCTGGCTTTTTATGCTTCCCCTGCACTGTACTGCATCTGCTGCTTATCGTAAAACCCGCGACGGCATCCCAAGTGCTTCCATCGTATTCAAGCCTAAAAGTTTTCTTTTTGGTGTCCCTACTCAACGGGGTTTCCGAGGTATTTTTGCCCCGTTCCCGTTGGTTCGAGAAGCCACGCTCGCAAGTTTGACAGAAGCCGCCCTCTCGAAAGATTTCATTTTAGCCGACGCTCCGATAAGCGCGCCCGAATTTCATTTGAAAATAAGGGTCGGCCTCGGTCTAACAAACACACAATCGATCGGAAAGCCCAGCTAGGGTCGCCGATCTTTTGCATTCGGATGATCAAGGAGATGGAGGCCTCACCGATGGAACGCGGAGTTCTGCGGATCAGGGCGACACTGAACGTGGAGGATGCGGGGAAGAAGTCGCCGCCGCACTTGCATGGCGGAGCCTCCGAAGGTCTTGGCGCTTTGGAAAGCTGGGAAGGCCAAAGCTTGGCATTGGGCGCAGTTGCTAAAGAGTGTGCGCCGTCGCGTTGCAGCCGGGACATTTCCCAAGCACAGCGACGATGTCCGGCCACGCGACGAAATGAGGCGTCGATTATGCACTCTGCAGGCACGCGAAAGAAGACGGTCAACATGACAGCCAAGCCTTGGCGAACAAGTACAGAGTAATCGGAGCACAGCATTCCAGCCGAGGCTAGGCACAGCAGCTAGCTACTGCGCACCGTCACACTGGATGCGCTCTTGCAAGCATACGTGTGCAGTCCCGCTTGCAAGTAACACGGAAAGAAAGTGACCGTCACGCTCAGCTTTGATGTTGGCGCGCCACGATCGCCATCTCTTTGCTGACTGCCAGCGAGTCGTGTCGGAGAGCAGAACGAGAAGCGAGGATCGAGCAAGGCGCGATAAGGCGCACTGTGAGTTCCCGCCTTGTGCAAGACATATTGCTTTTCGGATCGACATGACCCAGCTGAGCTGGAAATGCTCACGAGGACAATTGCGAACCCAGACAGGGGTGGGCAGAAACGCAGGTAGCCGCTGGACGACTGTCTGCTCTGCATTGTCCGGATTTGCGCCTCCGACAGTCTGTCTCTTGAAGGGCCAAGATGTGAAGCGGCTCAGGAACACGCCAGCTCACCACAACAAGACTTGCCCTCGTTGTCATCACCAGCGCGTAGTCATTTGCCAATGCTTTCAATGACGTCCATGTAGAGACACGGACGATCCCAGCGTAGATTATTGGTCCTAAGAAACGCAGCAGCTGCGTCCCAGATTGCTTGCGAGATGCTGCACGAGGGAAGAACTCAACAGTAGCCACGATGCGAGGCGGGAGTGTCCGCTGCGATCTGACGGGCGGCTGTCATGCGAGGGAGAGTGCATGCAGCTTCGGAACCACAGCAGTCGCAAGTCCAGCCGACCATTAGTGCCCCTCTCTCTCTCTTTCTCTCTCTGAACTAGCTCCGAATGAGCTAGGCGCACATGAATACACTCCGCAGTCACACGACTTTCCAATTGCAAATGGCTTGAAGGGCCCCGAGTGTGACAAAAGGCGAGGCACAGCACAAGCCGATGACCAAGATGAGCTATTTTCGACCGTCTAAAATTGTTTACTCGGGTTTGCCGCGCAATCACAAGCCGTCATTTTCATGCAGGCCTGCATCTGCATCTTGCGCCCTCACGGCCACTTATCACACTTCTGCTTGTCTGTTGGTTCCCGTCGCTCGCCTGCATCGGCCAACCCGCTTACCCGCTTGTCTCAGCTGGTTGCGCTTCCTCTTTGCGTCTGCCAGTCGGCTCCCCCCCGCCATCCCTTGGCGTCGTCGGTGACTCTTTCTCGCCTCCCTGTCACTGTCGCTCTGTCCCGGTCCACACCGCCTCGCTCCGGACAGCGCTGCTCTCCATTGCCTCTCTGTATAGCCCATCGCATCCTTTCCGTTGAACCATCATCACTACCCATCTTCCACCGACACAACTTACTCATCACGCCCACACAACCTTCCATAGCAAAGCGATTGACACTTTCCCTCGATCCTCATCTAGTGCGCACCATGCATGCAACCGAAAGGAGTCGCAACTCCACCTGTTCCACAGACAATGGATCCTCCCACTCACACGACCACGCTCGCCTCACGCACGTAGTCTCGAACCTCTCCATCGTGTCCGACTCTCCCAAGCACAAGCAGGTCGAGTCCGGCGTCTCTGTCTCCACGTCCGATGCAAACCACGACTTCGCCACCCAGTCCTTCTCGCAAATGCAGCCGCAGCTCGCTCCAACGTCCTCCTCGTCCCCATCTTGCGACAAGCAGCTTTCCGCGGCAGCAACTGTGCATCTCAACACGCTCTTGACCACGGGCCAGCGCAAGTCATGGAAATTCGCTCCCAATGACACCATCGACGTGGTCCGATCACATATCTGGAACAAATGGCCTGCATCCTGGCCCCAGCCAAGACCAGAATCGGCCGCTTACCTCAGGCTGCTCCACCTCGGTCACATTCTCGATGATCCCAAGCTCACGCTCGCATCACGAGGCTGCAAGCCTGGCGCCACCACCGTAGTGCACATCATCATTCGATCCATTCCTCCACCATCAGAGCCGGTCAAAGTCGAGCAGGAAGCGCCCGTCAAGACCGCACAGCCAGCACGACCGCCTTCGCGCAATCACCAGCAGGAGGACACGCCCGGTTGCAGCTGCGTCATCTGCTGAACAGCACAAGCATTCGTCATCAATCGCTTTTTTTCGCTTCTCTGGATTTCGCCACGTTCGTCGTATTCGCAAGCATTCCCTCTCGGCTCTCCCGCTGTGGTCACGGTCAAGCTCACTTCTCGCACGTCTCGTCAGCATCGCCTTCTTGTCATCCTGTCAAGGTTTTCATATCCGTACTCCCTGTTCGATGTAAGCACTCGGCTTCGCTTTGGCACCTCGTCGACGCACTTCGGTCCCTTGCAAATCCAGCAAATTCCGATTCCTCCCCTCTGTATTAGTATCGGACAGCCTCATCTCTCGTCGTAATCGTGTAATCCATCGTCACAAGTCTGTTGCACAGTCAATGGTACGAGTTTAAGATCATGCAACGATGCGGTTTGATCATCAGAGAGTCATGCTGAGCAATGTGAGCCTACTCGAGCTCGCCATAGTCTTCGTCCTCCTCCTCCTCTTCATCCTCCTCTGCCTCCTCGATGACGAGACCATCGTCATCTTCCTCGTCTTCGTCATCCTCATCGTCGTCATCGCCGTCGAGCAAACCCTCGAGATCGGCAAGATCCAACCCTTTCTCCTGGGCATCCGTGAGGGCGCGTTCCAAGGCCTTGAGTTCGGCGTCCTCCGCTTCTACGTCCACCTCGCTTTCTTCCTCCTCCTCCTCATCATCATCCTCGTCGGCGCTGTCGAGGACGTCTACCTCGTCTTCTTGTTCTTGTTGTTCGGCGTTGTCGTGGGTGGATGGAGCGATGCCTACGGCGGTCAAGCAGGTGAGTCGTGTACCTTTGGTGTCGAAGTGAGCGTTGCTTTCGACAGAGACGATGGAGGAAGCGTATTCGGAGCGAGTGCGTGGTGTGGAAGAGAGGGAGGTGATGATGGAGGAGAGATCGAAGGTTCGGATCAGTCCGTCGGAGGAGATGGTGATGGCGACGTAGGATGTGGTGCTTTGCCCGCCGCGGGGGAGGAGGACGGGGAGGACGATGACGGATCGAACGCGATTCTTGTGCCCTACCAATCGACCTACTTCCACGAGCGGTGTGAGGTCTTCTTCATCCTCTTCATCGTCGCTGTCCTCATCATCTTCCTCCGCAACCTTGGCATCCTTGGACTCTTCAACGACACTAGCGTCAAGATCAAACACCTTGACAATCCCGTCCTCCAAACCAGCAAAGAACAGCTCCCTCTCCCTACCCTCTCCATCCTTGACTCGGAAGAAACACACATCGCCGATGCGTTTCTTCTCCTCCACCTCGGCCAACTTGCTCATATCCGTACCAAAGATCATCGCCTGCCTGTACGCCAGCACCACAAACCTCTTGCCTGTGGTATCCCAACGAACGAGGTCGGCTTCGATTCCGATACGTGTACTCGCCGCTGCTTGACCACGCATGAGATCCCACATTCGGATGGTACGGTCGGACCCGACGCTGAGTGCCAGTCTCCCCGTCGGGTGGGGTGCAGCGCTGTTGATGCGGCCGATGTGACCTTTGAGCGTTCGCAGCAACGCCCAGTCGCGGGTGCGGTAGAGGTTGATGTTGGAATCAGCAGAGGTGGTGAGCAGGTAGGTTCGGGAGGCAAAGGTGAGCGAAGTGATGGTGCCTTCGTGACCCGTCAGTTGGCCTACCTCTCGACGTTTGCGCAGGTCCCACACTTTGACGATCTCGTCGGTTCCGCCTGTAGCGAGCCACTTCGAATCGGATCCGGCGGTTGCCACCGTTCGGATGGAGGAGATGTGTGCGGGGAAGGTGAAGATCGGTTTGAGAGTGATGTCGAAGGCGGTGGATGAAGATGCGCCGGAAGAGGCTTCGACGGATGCTTCCAGACCGTACAGAAGACGCTCGTACGATCCGGCTACGATTCGGAAGGTAGAAGTGGGTGTGGGAGGTTTGATGAGGATGGCCGGTGGTTGCGCTGCTGTTTTTGATGGTGCTTTGCCTTTTTGCTGCTTCTTCAACGCCTGCTTCTCGGCAGCTTCCTCAGCTCGTCGTGCAGCGTTCGCCGCCTCCTTCTCCTTCAGCGCAGCCGCTTTCTTGGCCTGAATGAACTCGTGCTTAGTTTTGGGTTTAGGGTCATCTTTGGATCGTGTAAGTTGTGGCTGGGTAGGCTTCTTTGGTTGCGAAGCTGCTTCTTGATCCGAACGTTGCTTCTTGGCGGATTTGCGATAGACGGTGGCGCCCGGTCCGCTGCCGTTGCGGTGCGAGCTGCTAGAGCCGTCGTTGCTGGATCTGGATCGCTTCGGAGTCGGCATCTTGTATCTAAATGATGCTTTTGAAAGGGATGCAGTAGGTGGACGGATCGCACGGTGAAGAGGAGCAAGAAGAATGACTTTGCGAAGGCTCCTTTTGGTGGAAAATTTCCATTTCGTCCAACTTTTTTTTTCGGAATTCGGGCGGCGGCTTGGCATTTGCAACTCTAACACACTCCATTGTATATTCTTGACCGACTCGTCCCCCTGTCCGGCAGTCTGGGTCGATCCTAACCAGCTGTGAGGAGGCAGAGGTGCACGAGCTGTCCCATTGCATGGTGACGCTGATCTGGTCTGCGAAGCGATCGTAGGTCCGGTCTGAATGCTCACGGTTCGGATCAATGGCAGCATCGAAAACTTCTGATATGAACGAGGACAACAACACAAAAGTGAGCGCAGAAAAAGCGGCACTAAAAAGAAGTCGAGAAAACACCGTAGCACGGCTCGAGTGCCTCCTCACGTGGCTCACTGCGGCTCAACGCAGGCCAGCCACATCGGCTCAGAGCCGACAGATACAGTGTAGATGGCTGAGACCGTCCGTTGCTTCAGGTCGATCAAAGAGCTTTTGGCTTACGCTTACACTGCATTGCGGGACTGTCAGATGCAATGGAAAGGCCCCCTTTTTGCAGCGCTTGCATATGCACATGCGCGTCTGGCGGTGAGCTTGCTGCTTCGCTTGTGCGTGTGTATGTTTTGGATTGTTTTTGTCTCAATTAGCCATTCAAAGCTGCACCCTGGAGCTTCTTTTTCTTCTTGGAAGACTTGCAAAGCAACAACAACACTTTTTGAACCCCCTTTTTTGCCAATATACAAAATAAGCGTATCAATTCAAAGCAGGGCAACGAGCGAGGGTGGATTGGTATCAGATGCACACACGCATGTCGTGCGCTCGCTTGCATCTGCGCTGCTTCGGTGCTTTGCTGTGCTGTCGATCTCGTGTGCGCCAAGCGACGGCGGCAATTTGCCCCGTCGTGTCGGTACACGGTAGCTTGCGTCTGACTCAACCAACTTGCAAGGTCGCTGTGTTGTTATAACGCACCTCTGCTTAGGTAGCCATGCTTCGAGGCGGCGGCGGCAGCAGCAGCAGCAACAGCAACAGCAGCAACGCACGATGTTCGTGCCCTTCTCTTGGCTCGGATTCGACGTCGATTCCAGCCAGTTCAGATAACCGTATCGTTATTGGTAAATCTTCTGAAGGGCCAAACTTGTCCGGTTATCTTCAGCGATTGGATCGTGAATGACTGTTGTGTCAGAAAGGGAGCATGATGTGCGCCACAATAGCCTTGACGGCGTTTGAATGGATGTGTGCGCTACCTGCTTCGTCTGTGCTGAGCCTTCCGAGCGTCGAGAGCGCTCCTGACAAACACACTCTGGAACGCCGAGCAGAAAGCTCCTCCGTCTCCTTGCTCTTGGCACATGCGACTATCCCTCAGAGCAAATTCCCATTCGGACCCTTTTCCCATATCGACTCGCCATCACCATCATCGCCGGGTCCGACACTCAAATCTTCCTTTCTTCCGTTCAACGATTCATCCTTCCCGCCATCCTTGCATTGCCCCTCGATCTCTCTCTGTGCGCTGCGCCAGCGACCATCCCCGATACCGCTCGCTCACCTTCCTTAGATTCGGTCTCGTCGCCTCCTTTCCTCGCCGTCTCGCATAGCCGTGTCCTTTGCTCGTCGCTTCATTCATTCATTCAGTCACAGTCTTTTCTCGTTCGCCCACATCGCAACGTTTCTCATACTTGTCTCGCACCTTCTTCCTCCACTGCGGATCGCTCGACTCTCTACTTCATCTGGACCTCCGGCGCTGCTCCATCTCTTCTCTCGGGACCCCTCCGCATGCTCACCACATCGGAAGCTCCGAGCTGCAGCAGTAGATCGGACCTCTTAGGACAGCGGGTCACCCGATCAGAAACTGGCTCTCGCACAGCGCGACTCGATGCGAGCCACGACAATCGGTCACCGCGCCCCCGTGTAGACCGACGACCCATCTTCGCTTGGTCACTAGCACGCTTCAGCTGTCGCTGCCGCTGCTGAGCGCCCGACCCTCTGACTCGGCATGTCGACCTCAATGCAGACGCAAACGCAGCCCAGCGGCTTGCCGCGTCCAGTCATCGAGACTTACGATCTTGCAAGCTCCTCTTCCTCCCGATTCAGAAGCTCGTATCGCAACGAGGACGATCTATTCGACACGCTCTTTCCGCAGCCACCTCCTCGATCTCGCATTCAGGCAGCACGTCTGGCACGCCCCTCGCTGCCCTTGCTGAGACCATCCGCGCAACCCGATTCCGCAGATTCGTCGCGCTCCACCACACAGCCGCTGTCGGCCTCAAACTCGATCGGGTCCGTCAACTCGCTGTCCTCCTACCCGTCGTCCACCTCATCCCTCTCACTGCTCAACAGCCTGCAGCCGTACAAGCAGACCTCCATCGACAGCTCAATAGACTACTACAGCCCTGCCGTCAGCGACGTCAACAGCGCAGAGACGGATCCCAGCATTTCAAGTGGGCGGACCCACTCGCAGTCCTCCGACTTGGACGTTCACGATCAAGCTGGCCCCTTTACTCCCATCACGCCCGGCGATCCCCCGCAGGCGTGGAGGCCCAAGGAGCTCAATCTCGTTCGCAGGCGTCAAGTCACAGCTCCAGCCGAGACCACGCTGCCGCCTCATGCCGCATCCGCCATTAGCGGTGATCGAAATGCGCTCCTCATCGGACTCGGACTCGGCGGTCTTGATGATGTTACCTCTGCACCACCGTCAGCAACCTTTTCCACCGCTTCTAAGTTGCCAGCCGACAAGCTCACACAGCCCTCACATCCCAGAGGCTTCTTGCTCCCTAGATCGCCTCAGCTCGGCTCCACTGCCGCCTTCAGCCACGACTCTGCTGCTCCGCAGGGTCCAAAGCAACTTCTTCTCGTCTCTTCTGGCGGTCCACCAGCCGTACGGCGCTTTCCCGGTCGCAGACCCAGCGAGCATCTGCACGAAGCTTTCGTGTCCACTGTGCCTGCTCCACCGTCTGAATCCTCGTCCTCCCGCTGCAACACGCCTCAGATGCGTTCCGCCATCCCCGTCTTGCCAAGTGGGCCGGCCTTTGTTGCGGGTCGACCTATCTCCCCCGACCCCTCGACGCTGGCGTACACCGACAGACATGCTGGGCTATCAGCGCAAGAGTTCCTGGCGCAGATTGCATCGACACCGCAGTACCAGGCAAGCGAACTTTTCGAGGCAGCAGCCTTCAGTCCTGCTTCCGCTTCGCTCGCCTCTCCACCTCAACCAGAGCAAGAACTCGCACTGGAACACCACGACAATCGAAATGCTGCCGATGGCATGTCAGACAGCACGCCCACCTTGACAGCCACTCCAGGATCCTCGGTGCTCACTGCCAAAGCGCCTGGCTTTTCGGGGACGCAGCGGTCCAGGGCAACTTCTCTGAGCAGGCGCAAGGCTCCACCGTCTCCGCTCGTTCTCACCTCTTCGCCAGCTACCAGTAACTCGGACACGCTACCCGGTTCGGCAGATGGCCGGCGTCGGCGCTCGCTCACAGCAACCATCGCTCCCAGATCTCCCCTCTCTGCGCCGCATTCCGCCCATCTCGCCGGATCTTCGTCTCCGTCCGCCTCGAACGACCAGGAGAGAGACAGTGCGTCATGCTATGCTGAGCCCCTTCGCACGGCCTATTACGATTTCGATACGGAGGAAGACTCGGACCAGGACCGGTCATTGTCTCGACCTGCCATCAGATCTTGCGACGAGTCGGCCGCGAGCGTGCCACCGTCGGCCGGCACAACCAGCTCCCGTCGCAGAGCATCTGGCTCAGCTGCATCGCCACCACTCGCGCCAGGCGCAATGCCTGACCGCAACATACCCGACTCGCCTTACTCTACCCTCAGCAGCCGAGTCACCTCGCTCAGAAGCGATGCACTACAGCGTCAAAGCTCTGCATCCGGTTCGGCAGCCGCATTCGAGTTTGACGATCTCGAGACCGAATCGGCCGGCGATGGTCTCTGTCTCCAGACAATGATGGGTTTTCTTCAACGGCAAGACTCACAGGGACCTGCCGATTTCTCGCGCACAGAAGACGACGCTGCGGAGCTATCGCAAGAAGGACTTGGCACGGCGACCCCAGCCGACTCGGTCGCCAAGCAAGCCGCAATCTCGCGCTCCACGCAAGCGCCCTCGCCGCGCGCGGCAATGTCGCTGATCCAGGAACAGGCCATCCTCGCGGAGACGCCTCCACCAGCCAGTGCGATCCAAGATATTCCGACTTTCAACCTGGCCATCTTCGGTCCGAGTCAGTCCAACGAAACAAAGCAAATGCCTGCATTTCCAGCGTCCGGCATCGTCGCACCGCAGATCGCCAAAGAAGTTCCGGTCGTCCGCCCTCGCAAGCAGAGCATCGTACCGGCTCCGCCTTCCTTTGCCATCCACGATGCGTCGCGACGCGAGACGCAATCGCAAGAGCCGGTACAGCTCCTCCCCGCCATCTCCAACAGCATCGACGTCCGTCCCGTTGCTATGGCTCGCGCCAACAGCAACGAGCTAGGCAACAGCCGCTGGAGCTCAGGCTCCGAATCTGACGGCCAGTCAGCCTTGTCGACTCGGGCAGGTCGCAAATCGCTTTCTAAGGGAAGAAAAAGCTTCTCTGCCAGCCGCAAAAACAGCGTGGCAAATGCCAACGAGCTCGTCAATGGCCCAAGCAACACCAGGGAAGTCGCAGGTGAGGTCGGAAAGATGCCTCTGAGGCGGTCAAGCAAGGCTCGTCTCTCGGCTCAGGAAGAAACCACAGCACAGACACTGTCAGCACCATCGAAGCCTTCCTCCTCCACCGTATCAAAGCGTCTGCGATTGAACGGCCTTGCTTCTCTGCGAAAGAAGAGCTTTTCGAATCTGAGCGGCCAATCGGCATCGCCTTCCACGCCCTCAAGCTCGCGAACGCCTCACTCTGCCGCCCCGTCTCCGTTTGGGCAAGCGGAGTTTCCTTTTCCGCCATCGGCTCCAACTCAGATCATCAGCGCGCCAATGCCTCCCGTCGTGTCCAGTCGAGCAACGAACGACGCTGGACGCAACAACCTCTCCATCAAGACGGCCTTCGCGTCCGCGTTCCCGACTTCAGCTCAGGCTTCACACCAATCGCCTTGGACACCAGTCCCAGCGCCTGGCTCTTCGTTGTCCAGCCACTCATCTGGACCTCTAACAACGCAGCAGATCCTAGCTCAAGCTCGCAGCAACGTCTGGCCGGAAAATTACATCGGCACCGGAGTCAGCTCAGCCGGCATGTCATCACCTTACCTCGCTGCGTCGAATGATACCTTCAACTGCAACTTTGCGCCTTCGAGACTCGCTCCTATCCCGCCTGATTCAGCTCCTGCCTCACGTGCGGGCTGGTCATCGGCCCCCGTCACACCACCGATGCCTCAAAGCTCGAGGTGGCCGGTATATGCTTCGCCGGAGAAGTCGCTGCCGTCCACGCCTTCGGCTGAGGATGCGCCAATGGCGCGGACTCGTTCGCACACGACCGAGATCGCTCAGCCCAAGAATCTGCGTCACATTAGAAAGTCGTCGTCCAATACGACTCTGGGCAGGATGCGCCGGGAAACTCCGTCCGATGTCTTCAAGCCGAGCGAAGCAAAGGCGACGGCTGTCCACGATGCAGACCGTACGGCGTCTTCCTCGCATCCAGACTTGTCTGTTGTGCACGAGGAGAAGCTGCCGACCGTGTGCGAACCCGAAACGCAGGGCATAGCGGCTGTCCATGAGGGCGAAGCTTCGATGAACGTCGACAAGCTCGCAGCCTTAAATCCTGTCCTAGTGGACCGGAGGCAGGCCAAGCTTAAGAAGGCTCTCCGCATCCGTAAGCAGAACGATCGCTTTCCGCGACGCACTTCGTGGACCGAGTACGGCCTGCAATGGGTCGCAGAGCAAGGCGCCATGGCGTTCGATACATTGGCCTCCGAGGGTTTGCCCTCTACAGCCATCCTGGCCGCATCTGGCGGTCCTTCCAGCCAATCACGCCGTATTATGAATACTGAAAGCAGGGGCGGAGGGGGAGGAGGAGGCGATGATTCGGACGCAAGCGATACGGATGACTACGGGTCTAGCGACGGTGGCGGCGGCGGTGACAGTGGAGGCTTCGGAGGCTCGGGAGGCGCCGGTGGCGGCAAACATCCAGGTGCGGGACGTGACGATGTGAACGATTCGGATCACGACGACGAAGACGAGAATGAGCACGAGGAAGAGCCCGAAGAAGACCAATTCGCAAACGCCATGACCGACGACGATTCGGAAGACGACTACGGTCGCGTGGAGCCTCCAGCAGCCTCTCGTTCCAATCGAAGCGGTCTTCAACCTGCGGTTCCCGCCCGAAACGCCTCGATGCCGCCTTCAGCCGCGCAAACTGACAACGCCACAGATTCTGACTCTTCGGATGACCGACCTTTGGGCCAGCTCGTGGGCGATCCCAAAGCCCTTCAGAAGGCGTTGCGAGCACAAGAGCGCAGGCGTCATTTTGACATGGCGGCCCAAGCCCTCGAAGGGAAAGGCGGCTCGAGCGCAACTGCATCCGCAAGTGGTCATGCTCGTCAGATTCCACGACCTCAAGGCCGTAGTCAAGCCAATGATGCGGCAATCAGCCCAAACGAGCTAGCTCAGAAGCTCAACAAGGTCCAAGTGCGTCGCGAGCGCGCGCTTGCGCAGGATCCCTCGTTGGTGCAGCGGTCGCAAACGGTTGCGCGCCCGGATGTCGGACGCTCTGCAGCCGCCGTGTCTAGATCCAAGTCGGTACGAACAGCTCCCGCCGAGCGACACGTGCATCCAGGCATGCGTGCGAGGACACCATCGGAAGCTGCGCTGCGTGTCAAGGCTGCAGCCCAGGCCATGCCGCAGGGACCATCACCCATCAGCCCCATGGGTGCAGGCGGCGCCAAGATGCCAGAGCTCCCGCCTCATGCCATCGCAACCGTCGTCGCAGCCCAAAAGGCAATGGCACACGCACAAGCCAATCCAACACCTGCCGCCCTGGCTCAGGCACAAGCATTGGCGACAAGTGCCACCGCTGCTCTGAACGCGGCTACGGCCCAAGTCAAGAGGGGAGGAGCATCGCCCATTTCTCCCAACTTCAGTCAGGGCGAGTCAGTCGGACATGCCGCCACCTCTCCTCATCTGCCAGACAATGCCGAGATGCCTGGCGCCAGGTACCGCGCGGATTCTCGAGGCCACGCTGTGCCGGTCGCGTCTTCAGGCGGCACGATTGCTGGTGCGCCTGCCGTGGCGTCCGCTCACCAGCCAGGTATGCTTCAACGCCTCCAGTCGCGATCCGTTTCGCGCAACCAGGCACCGCTGACCATCAACACGGCTGCAGCGCCGCCGATGCCCGACTTGGCAAGACCCAGTACTGCATCGAAGGACTCGCCAGCATCGAACTCACCACACAGCGTTCACACTGCCACGTTTGCGGCGCTATCGCAAGCCGCGATGCATCACGGACGCCCGTCGACCGAGTCTTCGAGCGCGCACGGCGATGGTCAGATGGCGCGTGGTCCTGCGGCGACGTCAGCCTCTGCGCTTTCCGCCAACGAGAGCAACGCCGGTCTTGGCATTACGCCGGCTGAGGCCAGACAACCGCACAAGGTGTTCATCCTTTCGAGACAGCGCTTCACTGTGGTCGAGGTGCCGGTGTCCGCGCGGGCCAGAGATCTCGCTCTCGAGGTGATTGAACGCGAGCGACTGCCTATGGACGATAGCAAGGGTGGCTGGGTGGTCTTTGACTGCTCAGCTCAGTTGGGCATCGAGCGTCCTCTGCGCGAGTACGAGATGGTCACAGAGGTGATGAATGTGCGCGCGCATCCAAAAACCGACTACTTTCTCATCAAGCGCACCGAGCTGTCCTCGTACCTGTCGATCCGCTCCGTACCGTCGAGTTCGCCGGCACTCGCCGGCTGGGTCTACGTGCAGGATCGCAAGAAGAAGTGGAACAAACGCTGGCTCGAACTGCGCGACCATGCGCTCTACCATGCCAAGAACGAGAAGGGCAAGGACGAGGTGTCGATCTGTCAGATCTCGACATTCGACGTATACCTGGTCGACAGCTCGGCAATCAAGATGCCCAAGGCCAATGGATTCGCGCTGCGATCTCAGGATCCCATCACCATGTTTGAGAAGCCAGAGCAGGACTACATGCACTACTTTTGCCTGACGGATCCGGCGGCGCATCGCGATTGGGTGCGTGCCATCCTCAACGTACGCACATACATCTTGAAACAGGAGAAGGCGGTGCTCTTCCAGATCGAGTCTCCATTAAGCAGCCAAGATGCTGCCGTGGCGAGCGGAGGACTTTCGAGGAAGAACACTTCACGCCGCGCTAACGGTCGGGCGGGAGCCGTCGCCGCCGACACGAGCGTCAGCAGCTCTGCTGCGCCAGCACAACCAGCGCCGCTGATTGACAGCAGCGCCTTTGCGGGACCTTTCGCCAAGGGAAGCCTGCTGGCCGACAAGGCTATCAGCGACGCTAAAGAGGCGCTTCGAGGGCACGCCGGTGTTTCGCCCCCCACAGGAGCTTTGCACGAGATGAGCCTGGTGGATCGCAATGCGCTGCGTGCGAACGAAAAACGTCGCCGCGACGAGGCGATCGAGCGTCAGCGTAGGATGAGGGCCGATGGACAGCCTCTGATCGATCTTGCGCGAAGGTAGCGAGCTATGCTGTCGAGCTGCAAACGTCGGAAACGTTCAGAGATATCGTTCCCCCCATCCGGACTCGGGTTGTATGTTCTCACTGAACACACGTCACCATCTGAAATGTATTTTTAAGGCAAGGATACCTGTCCTCACATCACAATGTGTTTGTGCTAATGGTGTTGAGAATTCGCTCACAATGCTTGCTCGACATCTTAGGTCAACGACATCGCTGGTGACGGCGAAGAGCCATGAAGTGAGCGACTGCACGTCGATAAATGCGATGCCGGCCGGCAAATTCTAAATCTGAATTTGAGGCTGAGTCAAGTTTGGCTGAGGTATGCAGCCAGCCAGTTGAATGTGGAGCACGGCCCGCGAGCTGGTTGTGCATTTCTCAAGCCTTCCTGTCGATGTGGCATCTTTCCATCTCACCATCGCCACTCCGAAATCCACCACAGCAGCCCCAACTTGCTTCGCTGCCGTAGTTCCGACCTGAACCTATGGATCGCGTGCTGTTTTGAACCTCGATCAGGCCCTCAGAGGCTAGGAATAAAAGGAGCTTTGCTGTTTGAGTGAATCCACCTCACCGACCGGCGGAAACGAAACTGGCCCGAGCTTAGAGACTGCACGTTCATCACTTCGTTTCAAGGCCGACGAATCAGTAAAGCGATATGTCGGGTAACGACCATGGCTCGAGCTCTCGCCCTCGTCTGACGGTCAGGCTGCGACCCAACTCGAACGCGGCGAGCAATGGCTCCAACACTCCGACCTCCGCCGCAGCTTCCCGAGCGCAAAGCTCTCGCAGCACGCCTGCGCCGAACTGCGATTACGACGACGACGAAGACGACGATGGAGAGCAGGCATTTGCCATGGATGACGGCTTTGTTTCCGAGGATTCGGGTGACGACTACGGCAGCAGCAGCAAGGGAAAAGGCAAGGCCAAGGCGTCGAACAAAGGGAAAAGCATTGATGCTACACGAGCAGCACCCGCCAATGCGATCGCTCGACAGCATCCTTTGTCAGGTGCTGCGCCTCGCTTCAATGGTCCAGCCATGGACGAAGACGACGAGCAGGCACGCTACGAATCCGGAGAACTGCGCTTCCACACGCGCGACTTTACGAAGATGCCACTAAAGCTGGACCATTCAAGCAGACCCCTCTGGATCTCGCCCGATGATGGTCATATCATCCTAGAAGGCTTCAGCCCACTCGCCGAGCAGGCACAAGACTTTCTGATCGCCATCGCCGAGCCAGTCAGCCGACCAGCCTACATTCACGAATACAAGCTTACACCTTACTCGCTCTACGCCGCAGTCTCCGTCGGACTGCAACCCAACGATATCATCGAGGTGCTCAATCGCCTCTCCAAGGTGCCCGTGCCCGATGCCGTGCTCGACTTCATTCGCGAATACACGGCAAGTTTCGGAAAGATCAAACTCGTGCTCAAGCAGAACAAGTACTTTGTCGAGAGCGCACATCCCGAAATCCTCCAGACACTCCTCCAAGATAGCATCATCGGCGCAGCGCGAGTGCGGGAAGATCCAAATGCCGCCAAGTCTGGACGAATGGAGGTGCTCGGCAAGACGCAAGCACCCACTCGTGGTGATCTTGTGATTCCAGGTACCGAAAGCGCAGCAAGAAAGGCGCGACAGGCTGCTGCTGCTGCCGCTGGTCAGAAGCCCGGTGCCGTGAACGCATCAGGCGCAGGCGCCTCTGGTCCTCCGCCCGAGAATGCAGAGGCTGCACGCAGAGAGGACGAGGCAGATCTCTTTTCGGCGATCATCGGCGTCGACGAGGCGGACGAGCTGGACGAGGACGACACGGTGCACAGCTTCGAAATCACCGAAGAGTACATCGAGCAGGTCAAGAAGCGCTGCAACGAGATCGGCTACCCCATGCTAGAAGAGTACGACTTCCGCAACGATCAGCTGAATGCCGACCTTGAGATCGACCTCAAACCCATCACACATATCAGACCCTACCAAGAGAAGAGTCTAGCCAAGATGTTCGGTAATGGTCGTGCCAGGAGCGGCATCATCGTGCTGCCGTGCGGTGCTGGAAAGACGCTCGTCGGCATCACCGCTGCCTGCACCATCAAGAAGAGCTGTCTGGTGCTATGCACCAGCAGTGTCAGTGTCATGCAATGGCGACAGCAATTCCTGCAGTGGAGCAACATCCAGGACAACCAGATCAGCGTGTTCACCGCCGATCAGAAGGAGAAGTTCTCGGGCGCATCCGGTATCGTCGTATCGACCTACTCGATGGTGGCCAACACGGGCAAGCGTTCTCACACGTCGCAGAAGATGATGAACTTCCTCGAGAGTCGAGAGTGGGGATTCATCCTGCTGGATGAGGTGCACGTGGTACCTGCGAGCATGTTCCGACGAGTCTTGACCAAGATCAAAGCGCACTCGAAGCTCGGTTTGACCGCGACGCTGGTGCGTGAGGACGAAAAGATCGACGAGCTCAACTTCCTCGTGGGACCCAAGCTCTACGAGGCCAATTGGATGGATCTGGCTGCCAAGGGTCACATCGCCACGGTGCAGTGTGCCGAGGTGTGGTGTCCCATGACGCCGGAGTTCTACCGCGAATATCTGCGCGAGAAGAGCCGCAAGAAGATGCTTCTCTACTGCATGAACCCAAACAAGTTCCAGGCGTGCCAGTTCCTCATCGACTATCACGAGAATCGAGGAGACAAGATCATTGTGTTTTCGGACAATGTCTTTGCTCTGGTGGCGTATGCTCACAAACTCAAGAAACCTTTTATTCACGGCGGCACGGCGCATCTGGAGCGGATGCGTATCTTGCAGAACTTCCAACACAATCCGTTGGTCAACACCATCTTCCTGTCGAAGGTGGGCGATACGTCGATCGATCTGCCCGAGGCGACGTGTTTGATCCAGATCTCGTCGCACTTTGGCTCGCGAAGGCAGGAAGCGCAGAGGCTGGGACGCATCTTGCGAGCCAAGAGGAGGAACGACGAGGGGTTCAATGCGTTCTTCTACAGTCTCGTCAGCAAGGACACTGCCGAGATGTTCTACTCGACCAAACGACAGCAGTTTTTGATCGATCAGGGGTACGCTTTCAGGGTGATAACGCATCTGGTGGGGATGCAGGATATGCCCGGGTTGGTGTACAAGAGTCAGGCGGAGCAGATCGAGTTGTTGCAGAGCGTGTTGATTGCGAACGAGTCGGATGCGGATTTGGGATCGGATCTGCCTGGAGGGGGTGGTGGTGGCGGCGGATTCGGAGGCGGTGGAGGAGGTGGAAGAGGTGGAGGTGGTGGCGGAGGTGGCGGAGGTGGAGGAGGAGGAGGACCGTCGATGGGTGGTGGATCGGCTGGAAAGGCAGCGAGGACGACGGGCTCGTTGAACGCGCTGAGTGGTGCACAGCACATGTCGTACATCGAGCGGAATAGGTCGGTGAACAAATCGTTGAACAGGGAGCAGGGGGGTAGACACAAGATGTTCCAGAAACGCGCGGATAAGGCCAAGCGCAAGAACATGGATGATGATTAGCAGCGCCGTAATGTCAGAAGCAGCTGTTGGGGATTCGAGAAGGTGTGTGAGGTGCGCTGATGGCGAGGGGTATAGATTGAACATTTGAGTGGAGTATTGTACAGTGATTTTCGCTGGTGTGGGGTTAGGAAGGGGTATCCGATGAGAGAGGGTTTGGGAGTTGCTATGCTATGACACACGCTGATGTTGAACGACTTCTGCCAACGTTTGCAGCGACAGTTGCGATTTCGACGAAGACCTCCTGTACGCCTCTGTTCTTCTTTGCTGAGCATTCGAGGTACCTTGCGGCTTTGATTCTTTTCGCCACGGTTACGCCATGCTCGTACGTCAACAGTTGCTTCTTTTCCTGTGCGTGTTGGTCACGAAGATCGCACTTGAGGGCGACGAGGACGATTCTGGCGGTGGGAGAGTATTCGCGAATCTCTGGCATCCAACGAGACTCGATGTTTTCGAGGGAGACGGGGTTGTCGGTGCTGAAGCAGAGGAGGATGACGTGGGTATCGGCGTAGGAGAGCGAGCGGAGTTTGTCGAATTCTTCCTGACCAGCGGTGTCCCAGAGGGTTAGGTGGACCGAGCCGAGGGGGAGAGGTTGGGTGTGCGTGTAGTTTTCGAATACCGTCGGTTCGTATGTTTGCGGAAACTCCTGCTTGATGTATACGAACAGCAGGCTGGTTTTTCCGCATGCTCCATCGCCCAACACCAACACTTTGCGGCTGATCCCTCGACTCGAAGGTCCCGCACCTGCATCGCTGCCGCTCGGAAGTAGCCCACACAGCGTCATTGAGCGTATTTGCCGTTCGATGCAACCGAAGAGATGGGGAAAGTGTTTTCGCGCAAACCGTTCGTAGAGGAGTGTGAACGTTGACCGGGTAAAAACAGTGTCTTTTCGAGCTCGTAGTGGGTAATCGACGATCCTGACGGTTAGAGAGATGGTAGTGGTGCTGCACGAACTCGAAAGTGGAGTTGGTGTTGTTTGGCGCGACGCCTAAAGAGAAATCAAAGAGCACATGGGAAAAACAAATCTCATGCATACACCAGCAGCAGCAGCACGCGAGCTCTGGAAAAGTGTTGTTCTCTTCCCGAACTGCTCGCGCGCGCGCATCTCCATGGAATCCTCAATCAACGCAGCTGCGCTTCTCTGCCCAACGCTGTGCTACGTCACCGCTCCATCTCTCTTGCATTTTCGCATACACTGCCAATTCTTCCACGTATTGATTTGACCTTCATTCTCCGCACGCCACTCTTCTCGGACAATGATTCGACGGTAACGATGGTATGCTATGCTAATGATGGAACGATAATGGTGTGAAGGTATCAAAACATGCTTGCTTAACAGCAAAGGGGAAGATGGAAGATCGAGCAATCCTGAAAGAATCGTCAAATGATACCGTTGGCAGTGGCGTTCATGACTCGACTGATGAACAGATACGCCAGCACCGCGAGCACCACGAGCGAGCTGCGCAGTCCAAACAGATCTCGACGTCGATTCGGATGGTTGTTGTGTGGTATTGGTGCTTCGTCTGCTCGTCTGGTCGCATTCAGCCTAGTGCCACTCGGGGATGTAGTTGCTGAGCGGTTGCCCTGTGTCGATGTCGCAGCTGCAGCTTCTGACGGTGCTGCTGTTCGATTTCTTAAGCCTGTTCATAGTGTAGATATGCAGAAGATGTTGGAATAAAGAGTGTCAGTGATGCTGGAGCAACGCAAAGAAAGACCTCTCTGCAATACAATCGGTCCTTCAAGAAGATGAGCCGCCGCGCATTTCGGAGTAAAGAAGCTGCACGACGTCTGTGTCCAACGCACCCTGCGATGAAGCAGAACCCGATGCCGGTGACGAGACAAGGGTATCGGATCCCACCTTTTCAGTCTTGCTCGAGCTGCCACTAGCGTCTCCATCTGCGGGCTTCTTGTCTCCCATATTGGGCAGATCCTTGAGCTCCGCATCGGCGTATTCGGGAAAGATCTGACAAAACTTCTTCTGAGTGAGGTTGAACTCATGCGACTGCGCAGCCAGCTTTCGACGATCGGCGTCCGAGGCGGTGACCGAGCCAGTGGTCATCTCGTCGGAGCACATGAAAGAAAGCAGACCGATCAGGATGGTCGAGGTGTTCCAGCCGGGCTGCCAGGTGTGAGGGTGGTAGTCGCTCATCGAGGTGCAGATCTTGGTGTTGGGCGCGAAGCGTCCGCTGGGCGTCTGCATCTTGATGCCGGGAGGCTTGAACGGGAACTCGGGTGGGAAGAGGAGCTGGCCATGGTATTCACCGCCTGCGTACGGAGTGTCGGGAGGGCCTCGAAGGATGTAGTGCCTGCGATAGCAAAGGGTAGAAGATGCAGCGAGTCAGCAAGGTTGCCGTCGGATTGTTTGGATCGGACAAGCGAGAGATGACCTACCATTCAAGGATGTTGTCCTCACGAGGTCGGGCGTAAACGAGCGGCGGGGGATCCTTGTCCATGAGTTGCGCCTCCTTGGTGAGCTGTCGATGCGCAAAGAGACGGAGTAATGAAAGGGTAAATATCATGTCAGCAGATCCGATGGCCCAGCTGCTGTCACAAGACGAATCCGGGCGGTCCGCACTTACGCGCTTGATCGCGGCCTTGCTCGCCATGGTCGTCGGTTACCGCGAGGCTGCTATCCAGTGTGCTCTTTGGTCACTGTCCAAGATTGTGTTGCTGCTTGAGATGGCTTAATGGTCGAACTAGACAGATGAAGGCGATGTGAAAGTCAGAGATAGGTGTATGGATGATGGGATGAGGTCAACGACATCTGTGGTGTGACTGCATAGAGCGAGGGAGAGGACTGAGCTTGGTTTTGACTTGATAAGTGGAGCCTTTCGGAAAATGCAGTCCGCAAGCCGCTGTGCCTTGAAATCACACTTGTGCCTGCTTCCACGCATGACGCTGTTGACGCTACTCTAACATTCTGGGCGTTCCAAAAGAAATCGAAATCGAGAATATGGTCCCAACCCGGGAATCGAACCCCGATAAGATCTGAGCAGAAGTTGCCGACAGAACGGGGCGAGCCAGCGCGCCTTTCACGAGGGTTGACGGCACAGGTTACCACCCTCCGTCTGCAGGAAAGCGTGGAAGGATCAAGTGGGAGCCGTTGCAATCGCCGCGCTCTGACCTGTCTGTGTGCCTCTACAAGCGCGGCTTGCAAACAAAATCAGAGTGTGGGGTAACTTTGTCGTGTTTGCCGCTTGATGTTGGAGACCACCCTTGGGCCACGGAAACGGTCTCATCCTTTCCTCACTCGTCGACATCTTCTTGCTTCCTTCTCCCCCTCGTCATCGGACAAGGCCGCTCGCAAACACCTTCTGAATTGACCGCATCCCGAAGCCTTTCAACATGTCGGCCGTCACATTCGAAACCAAGTCGTCGTCCGCGTCGAGCAGCACCTCGTCGCTCGTACGCCAAAAGCGTCAGGTGGACCCGAACGTGCTGGCAGCCATCAAACGTGCGACGCCGCCCAAACCCAAGATCTTGATCCCGCTGCTGCGACTGTTGCTTTTCCAGCTCTACTTTTTGCCCACATCGTTCATCGCCATCCCGCTATACATGCTGCGATGCATCGTGCCGCGCTTCCGACTCAACCGAAACTGGAGCTTCATCTCGGCTGTGTACATCATGGTGGTGCGACGTGTGATGCGCAATCTTATCCGCTTCGGCGTACAGCCCATTGCTCCCCGCAAAGGCGGTCTTCGCGACCGCAACACGCTCGTCGCTACCGTTGCATCCTGCCTCAACCTCTCGGGGCCCGGTGGATCAGTGGTGCTTGCCAAGGAAAACATCAAGGCACTCAAGCTCAACGCTACGCACGGCCGACCCGACAAGGTGTGGATCCCTCCTGCCGGTCCCGAGTACCTCGACGGCATCCTCGCTGTCAAGGCTGGTCCCAACGACCGACGCAAGATCGTGACCGATGTCTACACCGGTCCGCCGCTGCTCGATGCAAAGTGGCTCAAATGGAGCATTCGTGCGCTCTGGTTCACCCACAAGCCCCAAATTGTGCCATCGCAGCCTCGCTCCAAGAACAAGCCCACCAGACCCGTCATGTGCTACTTCCACGGTGGCGCCGGCGTCACCTTCAATGCCGGCGATCTGCACATGGGCCAAAACCTCGCAAAGACTTTTGCTCGCCACGCCGGCATCGACGTCTTCTCGGTCGACTACAACCTGGCTCCGTTCGCGCCTTCGCCGGTGCAGCTCTACCAGGCTCTGTCCGGCTACCTGTACCTCGTCGACGAGCTTGGGTACGCCCCCGAGCAGATCTACATTGGCGGTGACAGCCACGGCTCGTGGTTGACGCTGCAGCTCGAGCGATACCTCCGTTCGTACAAGCATCTCCTCTTCGAGAACGCCGAATCGGTCAAGATTCCAGGCTTGGTGCTGCTCTCACCATGGATCGCGCCTGAAGACTTGTCCTTCAGGAGCCGCGAGCGCAACGTCGGACAGGACATCATTGATCTCTCCTACGAGGACTGGGGCGTGTCGGCGCAGGGGCTCAACAAGCTCCCCTTTCCGTTGTCGGACCCGTGGAACACGCACGCCAACAAGTCGCCTGCCGAGTGTGCTGCATTGCCACCTTGCTTCATCGCCAATGGAGGTAGCGAGACGCTGGTCGACGAGGGACAGCACTTTGCCAACATGTTGCGAAAGGCAAAGGGACTGCCCTCGTCCACTTCGAACCAGAGGATCATTCTGAGTCCCGGCGAGCTCAACTGCAAGGTGGTGCACCACGTCTACCCACACCAGGTCCACGATTACTTTACCGTCGACACCGAGATCTCCAAGGCTGCCAAGGTGTACAAGCAGATTGGCACCTGGATCAAGTTTACACAGACGCTTCTCTGAGCCGATTCCGTCATTGTTGCTCGTCGTAATACTATTCAGTCATTCGTTTTCCCGATGAGGCTGCAAGCGATGTGATTTTCGTGACTCGTATTCGTTGAGTACAGAGTACAGATTGAACTCATGAGTCGTCATCATCGTCTGATTCGTACTTTTGCTTGAACTCGACTCTTCGTACTGCATGATTGTGTAGGCGTTGCTTCTTGGCGTCAGGCCCCTCGTCCGGCCTATCTGGACCAGATCTCGCTGCGACTACTTTTGATACGTCTCTGCCTTTGGCAGCTGCCTGTGCTTTCAAGGCAGCGAGCCTCTTCTTTTCGCGCTTGGCACGGTTCTTGTCTGTTTTAGCCTCGTCCTTGCCTTGCATCTGAGCGCGTTTCCGATCAAATTCTTCCTGTTCCGTCAGCTTTTGAGAGAAACAAGTATAGGATGGTCAGTAGACTGCGTTTGCGTGCTATCCATCGATTGCATGCCAAAGCTAGTGTATCATGCCACGTACCTTTTTGTTCTGTTCTTCCATCAGCTGGATGCGTTCGTATTCTCGCCGACGCTGCTGCTTGTACACATGGAACTCGCCTGAGCCGGCGCCCGCACTAGACCCCGTGACGTTCTTCATGACATCTCGTGGCGCTCGTATCGACTTTTCCTTGGGACCCTCGGGGATGCGGATCTCCTTGTCCGGGTTGGCGAGCAGCTTTGAGATAGCCTGTGCTTGCCTCTCGTGCGGCGACAGCTTGCCTTTCTTGGCTGACGCGGGCACATCGGAAGTCATGAGCGCATTTCGTGACGAAGATACTTCGTTCGACTGTGGTGACAGCGACATGCTGGTTCACGAGTGTTTGCGGATGCTTCCGACAGGATGTGAAAGTAAAGACGAAGGGCAGCAAGCAGGCAGCGACTTTCGAGAAAAGTCGACACGCTCCTCCACTCGGCAGATGCGGATCACCCGAATTCCGTGTTCCAGTTGCGTTTGGAAAACAAGCACAGACCACGCCCACCTCCGTTCGCCATGCTCGTCTTCTCCCTCACACACTTTCACTTACCCTTGGATCCTCACCTATCGCAGACCTCATAGGACAACTCGACTATCGAGTCGTGTTGCGAGCCGTCTTCGATGGTGCAACCAAATCATCCGACCACCGAGTGGACAAGTCTACAGGACATCTTCTATCGACGTACGGAGCTCTATGCACTCAATTGGGGCATCGAAAATCTCGCCGACTATGTCGTCGCAGCATCCAGCAACGGTGGACTTGTCGCGCTCATCCGCGATCCAACACGGCTGGTCTCGTTAGGCAAAGCCTCGCTCCTCAAACCCAAGATTCTCGTCTACACAGCAGCCGGACAGCTCATTGAGAGCATACCCTGGGATCACTCCCTTCGCATCATCGCGCTTGGCTTCAACGCGTTGGAGCAGCTCGTCGTGGTGCTCGAAGAAGGCAATGTTCGTCTCTACACCCTTCTCTCACCGTGCCCCGCTACGGTCGACTCAGCTCCCAGCACATCCACTTCACGCAATGGACCCGTACCTGTCGAAGCCACCTCTAGCTCCTTCTACACGCAGCATTCGTTGGGCACAGAGGCTACAGAGACGGGCGTTGTCGATGCTCGAATATGGGCGGGTGGTCTTGTTGCATACGTCGGCGCACGGCGCTTTGTGGAATGGCGCTTCCCAGGGCTCGATGCGGATGCAGAATCAAACGAGTATGCTGGCGCCGTCAGCCTCAGCGGAGGAGGCGATTACGGCTATGCCCTCCCGTCTCTGGAAGATGACACCGTTCGATCCTCGCCTCCAGAACTCCTCCCTCCTCATGACACCTCGTCCTCTCATTTGACAGATTCATCGCCCTCATCATGGGCCCTTGTCCCGCCAAACGTGTCTCAATCCGGACGCACAACCGTGCTCATCGCACAAGGACCCACACTTCTCTCGCTCACGCGCTCGACTGCAGGGCCTTCTTCCATCGATACGGCCTGTCAGGACATGCGCCTCTCTCGCGGCCCTTTTCACGTCATCCGTCCTTCTCCAAATGGCAAACTACTTGCCCTCATGACCGCAGATCTCGTCCTCTGGGTGGTCAGCTCCGATTTCTCTCGCAGCCTCAGCGAGTTTGACATCCGAGCGAGCCAAGCTTATCAGGATGCGACCGCGATCGACGACCCTTTTCGCTCCGTTAATCATGACCACACATCTTCCGACCCAAGCACCATCAGTAAAGGCGGTATCGGCGGCAGTGGCGTACGTGAAGTACAGTGGTGCGGCAACAACACCATCGCTCTCGCTTTCAACGACGAAGTCGTCATGGTAGGGCCGTTTGGAGACTCGATTCGGTATCCTTACTCTGGACCGACGCACCTTGTCAGCGAAGTCGACGGCGTTCGCATCATCGCTTCCGATCGACACGAGTTCCTCCAAAAAGTCTCGGACGTCTCCAATCGCGTCTTTCGTCCAGGCTCCAACGATCCCGCTGCATTGCTCTTCGAAGCAGCCGAGCAGTTCAGCGCAAAGAGCAGTCGAGCCGACGAAGGTATACGCGCTATCCGCAGCAGCCTTCCCGATGCCGTCGATTGCTGCCTACGCGCTGCCGCCTACGAGTGGGACTTAACGTGGCAGAAACGTTTGCTCAAGGCCGCTTCCTTCGGAAAGAGCTTTATCGAGCTGTACGACCCCACTGCCTTTGTCGAGATGGCCAGGACGCTGCGGGTACTCAATGCCGCTCGCAATTATCAGATCGGCATCCCCATCTCGTATGAGCAGTACGTTGCTGCAGGTCCAACCGCACTACTGTCGCGCTTGACGGCACAGAATCATCACTTTTTATCGCTCAAAATCGCCCGCTACCTGCACATCCGGCCCGACCCCATCCTCAAACATTGGGCGAGGGCAAAGATTGCGCGCACCGGTCCTGCACTTGGAGGCTCGACATCCGCCATTTCCGCGGCCGAGGAGCGTCTGTGTGCAGACATTGTCCACAAATTCCGCATCGCGACGTCGCTCAATGAGCGGGTGGGCGAGCTCGGCGGTTCCGACGATGACAATATTGCAGCCGGTGCATTTGGCGGTGGTACGGAGGATGCCGCTTCGACCAAGCGTGATGGCTCGATATCTGGAGATAGAGGCGCGTCGGTCAGCTTCGCCGAAGTTGCGTGGACAGCGTGGAAGGCAGGGCGCGGCAACTTGGCGACTCGCTTGCTCGACCACGAGGCTCGCGCGATCGACCAGGTTCCTCTGTTGCTCAACATGCGCGAAGACAAGCTTGCGTTGGTCAAAGCCATCGAATCTGGAGACACTGATCTCATCTATCACGTCCTGCTGCGACTCAAGAACCAACTCTCGAGAGGCGACTTTTTCCGGATTGTTCAAGCGCCCGTGTCAGATGCGATGGTGCCGGCTGCGGGCAACGACCGCACACGTAGCGCTTCCAAAGTGGCTTCGACACGACAGTACCTGTCGCTAGCATCCAACCTGCTCGAAGCCTATGCAAAGGAGGTGGATCGAGACCTACTCAAGGACTTCTACTATCAGGATGATCGCAGGACCGACTCTGCCATCTTGGCGCTGCAAGAAGCCAACGCAATACAGGGCGTCACAGAGAGCGAAATGCCGGACAAGATCTTCAAACTCAAGACGGCCATGAAGTTCTTCAGCGAGGACAAGGAACGAGTCTTGGAGGCCAAACTCGTCGACGAACAGATCCGACTCCTAGCCTTCCAGCAAGCGCTCGAAAAGGAAGATGGACATCGGAGTCAATTCACCCACCTATCGCTCAACGAGACCATCCGGCAACTCCTGTTCCGCAGCATGAACAAAAAGGCGGAAAAGTTGCGGTCCGACTTCAAGGTACCGGACAAGAGGTTTTGGAACATCAAACTCGACACGCTGGCGCAGAGCAAAGATTGGGATGGATTGTGGGCTTTCGCCAACTCAAAACGGTCGCCGATCGGGTACACCCCCTTCATCGTCAAGCTGGTGGAGCAAAATCACGTGCAGGAGTCGATGAGGTTCGTCCCCAAGATCCAAGACAAGACGGATCGGAATGCGTTCAACGCGTACTTGGCGAGGTTGCCGAGCCAGGCGATTGCCAATCAGCTGATGGACCGGTTCAACGAGTAGATCGGGCTGCAGCCGCTTGGCGGGTCCTTCGATCATGTCATGTCCCTACCTACCTGCTGATACAAACTACACTCGTTCACCCGCTCGCCCGCCCGAGAATCCCAAACCTTGTGTCGTCATTGACCGACCAGAAAGGAGCCCTTCGTAGCGAGACAAGCATCGCATCGCAGAGCATTGGGTGAATTGAGAAGCGTGCACACCTGGCACGACCATTTTCCCTTCCGTGAGGATGAATCCGATGCATCCTTCTTCGGTTCCCTTTTGGGCGCAGCTGCCGGCTTGACGTCCTCTTCGTCGGATGAGACCAGCTCTATAGGGTCGTCCTTCGAGTTGAGTAATGTTGTCGGGGATCGAGCCGCAGAAGGCCCAGAAGTGGCAGTTGAGTGGCCAGTCGGCAGGGAAGCGATCGAGCAGAAATCTTGCCAGTCTTCGCTGGTTGAGCGGAGCGTGCCGCCCTGCTTGAGCTGATGCTGACGGTACAGTCGCGATCGATCGAGGCGCTGCTGTTGAGACTCTGTGCTAGCGATGGTGGAATGGTCGGGCTCCTGCTTGACCCGGACGGTGCCATCATTCGAGGAGCTGGAGGCTCCGGATGGTCCTTTCATGTGCCTGTCAGCTTCGTCCGATGAGGAATCGTCGAGCCGAATGACAAGTCCTCCTTCCTTGCTGTCCTCGTCGTCTTCGTCTTCGGTATCGGACTCGTCTTCGGTGCCTTCCCCGTCTTCCTCCTTGACACGATCCGATCCGCTGCCAGACGTGGCCGGACTTCCTGGGTCCGGGTTCTGAGGCCAGAAAGAGTCAAGGCCGGGTGCAGGCTTGATGTCGATGTCCTCGCTCTTCGTCGCCGTAAGACGACGCAAAGCAGCCTGTGCTCTCAGCTCGCGCGCTGATGCGGTCTGTGTTCGCTTTCGAAACGTCGAGTTGGCGTCGTCCCTGTAAGAGGCACTCGATGCTGATGCGGTGGGGATGTGGTTGTTGCCATCGACGCGGGAACCTCGACCGGGCAGCGATGCTTGCACTCGTCTTCCACCTTTGGTATTGGGTGCGGTCTGTGCTCCCGTGTGAAGGCTGGGCCCTTTGAAGCCACGCCCGCGAGAGCGCGTGTTGGCTCCGGTGCGACGACGTTTCACACTTCGCCCTTTGCTCGACTTGCTCCGATATGCCCCACCGCAGGAATACTCGGGCAAACCCTGAAGCGAGCTGATACCACTTCCAGCCACAAAGGCGTTGTCCTCGAGACGCTGACCGGCGGACCAGAATCCGTCGCCGTAGTAGCCTCGAGCCTGCAGTTCGCGACACTCGTTGCGCAGTTCGCGATCGAGCTTGCCGTGCTGAGAAGGGATGTGGTTCATGTACTTGATATGCGCAAGCTCGTGGCAAAACACCATGAGCACCCACTGAAGAGGAGCAAAGGAGCCATCTTGACGCCGTAGAACCAGTTCGACGGTCTCTCCGTTGTTCCAGTTGCGTCCTGCAAACTCGCGATTCCATTCAAATTCTTCGAGCGAGTTGATCTGAAATCCATGCTGTTTCATTACCGGCTGCACTTGAGCTGCGAGCTGTTGCAGGCGATGATGTGCCTGATCCGTGTTGGCATATCGAGGAAGTGCGGTGATGTAGTTGATGTGCTTGTTGCGAGAAGTGTCGGAGTCGTTGAGGCGGAGATGCACCATGGTTCTCGTGCCAACTCGCTCCCGTTTCCCTTGCAGGCTCAGCTGAGATGCATTTGCATGGCTGCCTGTAGCCAATATGCTTCCGCGCTGCTATCCGTTGGACCGCCAGAGGGCAGCTGGACATGTCAAGGACGAGGCAAAGGACGTTTTTGACGGCAAGAAAGTCTACAGCATTCGGCCTCCACTCCGAGAACTGAGCTTTGGGAAGAAATGTGGAGAAGGCTGGCCTAGCAGATCGGCTCGGCCACATCGGGATCGGCGATCGTACTCTACTGCTCAATTCTTGATCGGCAACTGGATCACCGCCCTCTGAATGCTGTTTTTGCCTGTCGCTCGATGCGATCAAGCGCCACGAGCAGCCCGACAGGAAGCGAAGGCATGCGGTGGCAGATGGTGGAACGCCCTGCAGATATGCGGTCTTAGAAGCTTTAGCGTGGGATCTAGCGATGCCGGTCGGGGTCTAGGCAAGCGAGCAGCGAGGGCTTCGAGTCGGAGTTTGTAATCTTGGTTGTCCTCTTCCTCTTGCTCTCGTCAACGCAAGAAATTGTGGCTGATGCATGCCTGAACTTGCTCATTTACTCCTTCATACGGTGCTGAACGATGCTGTCATTCCGAGACCCGTGGAACCATCAAACTTCAGCTACGGGACTCGGCCTGATCGTAGGTCACAATTACCCAGCAGGAAGGTCTGACTTTTGATCCGAGCTAAAAATACTACTATAGACGGTCGTCTTTGATGCTTCAGAACGAACCTCGCTTGTTCAGGTCGGCGGTGTTCTTGCCGTCCTGGATATACTTTCATCTTGGCGTCTGGCCCATGTGCCTTGATAGAGATCTTGCGGAAGGACAGCGATGACGCGTCAGAGGCATCGTTCGGATGACCGACGTCGCAATCGTGACCACGACAACGATTGCCGAGCAGCCGCAAACGGCTATCTTCCGTCGCACTTTGTTCAGTATCCCACGGCGTTGACATACACCAGAAGCGAGTTCAGACGCCTATCCTACAGGCGTGAGATAGCGTGTGGCTGCGAGGACGCCGCACAGAAGCAAAGGCCGTGAATGGCTTCTTAATCAGCGCCGTCGAAGAGAACGGCTCAAACGGGGCTTGTGGTGGTATGGACAAGACAGGTTATCGAAAGCCGGGTCAGGAGCGAGCTCTCGCCCACTTAGGACGATGCGTGCGTGGATCCGCCTTGTGGCTCAGAGTGGCGGGCGCGCAAAAACATTTTTGAGCAACTCGCTCTTCTGGCTCGCTTAGCCCCCCGCATACAGTTGCCGCGAGCTAATAAGCCAAGCCGAGGACAACACCGCACTCGATCTCGCCTCCCAGCATACCTCGCTACCTTGCTCGCCTCCGGGATTCTGATGTCGTTCGCGCGACATCGCAAAGCATGCTGAATGAGCTTGCTCTGGATTTGCCAGCCAATCAATTTCGCGCAAGAAGAAGCTCGGTGACACCATTTTGAGTCGTTTTCTGATTCTGCCGTGCACCGCAGAAGGTGGCCGATGGAAGACGGTATCCAGATGTCGGCACGACAACCTCGGACCCTTGCAGAAGCGAGATCGAACATCAAAGCGGTTCTCACGCGTCTTGGGGGCCCTTTCACGGGCGACAACAAAGTGGGACCCGAATCGAACACGGTGTCTTGTCTCTGATCCGCTTTCGCTCCTTTCAGTGTAGTTCAGTACTTGATCTGCAGCTAGAATACCAAGATCCGTGCATGCGAAGATGAAAGAGAGCGAAAGGAAGGGACATTGGCTCAAGGCGAGACGTTGTGTACTGTGCACCGTAAATACAGTACACTGTAGGGCCGGATTCCAACCCCAAAACTGCACGAACTGCATGCATATCGACTTCCGCTTTCCCTTTTTGACCTACCACCTGACAGCGGCATGCGTCGTTCTGTCAGCTGCGCGCGCATCCCAGTCTCGCATGGTGCTGCCGACGACCGCAATGGCAATTTGGAAGCATGGATTGTGCTCAGCCGATGCACAGCGATGTTCGGCGAACGTGTTGAATCGCCTACACAAGGTTCAAGGCTGACTCGGGCCCTTGCCGAAGACACGAAGAAAAAGTGGGAAGGACGAGGCTGTGCTCTTCATTGGCGCCGCTCCACGCACGGCCTTTGTAGTCACCGCACCCAACTAAGCGAGGTAGAGTCCCTGCATCTTGACGCCTCTTTTTTCCCTCGTCGATTCACGCTGTCAGGCATCGAGCGGCGTTCATTCATCGAAATCCACAAGAGCCAAGAGGTGTTTAATCAAATATATTTTCTATAAAAAGCTAGAGAAGCAATGGATGAGAGTCGGAATTCCAGACTTGTAATTCCAACAAGAAACAACAGATCCCTGGAACGAGCGATTCCCCGACGTGGGCCACCTGCTCGCTTCCAGATCATGACGATCGATTCGAATCCGATCTGAGACGCTTCTTTTTCTTTTCCCCCTCTCCCTTGCAAGCCCGCCGTGTCGCCAAGCCACAAACGTTGCTGCCGCCGCTGCCTTTCCACTCGCTAGCAGTCGATCCTCGCGCGTAGGAACGCTTGCACAAAACGCTCAGTCACATTGCGAAGACGGGCCTGCGAACAAGTGTTTACTGTATCTTGATCTTATACTTGATGCTGTTATGACATGGTCACGTCAAGCCGCGTCGCTCCTGCTACCAGCATCAGGGTTGTTAGGATGCCAGCAAACTTCACGTCGTGTCGAACCAAATCGGTCGAGCAGCTCGGAACAGGCTGATCCATCGTACAAGTACAACTTTCTTCTATTAATGACTAGGAACGCAAGCAGATGTTTGACGCGCGGTGTTCCTGCTGTTCTCACTGTTCTCACAATTCGAGTTTCTTCCCTTCCGCTTCTGTTCGACGTGCAAGCAGAGGATGCCAGCGTCGTGAGACCTGTGTGGCCTTGGTTACCACTCGGCAACTGAGAAGCTACATATTCCACGGCTTCGGCTCACTTTCCCCTTGTCGGCTTGTTCGCTTGTTCAGTTGGCCAGATGTGAAAGCCAGACCGCTTATCACCATGGTGCATCAACCTCTTGATCACGCTACGGTCCAGAATCGGTCTCGCTGGGGGTTTTGCCGGCACCAGCAGCTCCCTTTTTATTTTTTTTCTCCCCTTAAAAATCGTGATCTTTAGGCTGTCAATTTTCAATCAGTAGATAAAAATTCTCCTTCTTCCGCCTTCACATGCGCCTCGCTTGGTCTCGCTTAAACTTGAATCCAAGAAGACGAAAAAGGGGGAATCCCCCCCCCACTACGCGACGGCTGAATACCGCTCCAGCCGACACGCCCAGCTGCTTAGGCGAGAAGAATAGAGTCGGCACGAGCGTCACCATCACATAACTCAACATCACCATCATCGAGACTCGAAAGAGAGTAGAGAATCAAACGCATATGTGCGTGGACATGAGGGTACGAATCGAGCATGTACCAGACTCAATCCAGCTGAAAAATGCTTTGCTCATCGAGCTTGTCACAGTCAGTCTGTCAGCATCAATCCAAGGTGTCGAATTTCTTGAATCGGCCTTCGAAAAGCGAATGAAAAGGGCCTAGAAGTCCGAATTGGGAAACCGCGCTTGGTAGAAGCACAGTCGACCCTGAGCTTGTTGCACGAGCCCGCCAGCTGCGCACCTAGTCCCTCCTCCGTTTCGTTGATCCTTGTCGATGCTGCGGACACCTGCTGATGCAGTAATCTTGTGGCGTTCGAACGCTGCAGCATACGAAGATATCCGAGTCGAAGCGCAAAACGATCGCGGCAAGGTCTGCACCGAGGGGCAAAACACAGCTGACACGAGGAACACTGACGCACCTTTCTTTAGTCTCACAGCGTGGAAATCCATCTCGGTGATTCTACAGAAAGAAATAATAAACGTAGACAAAAAGAAAATGATCGAGACTCGGGAGCACGGACTGCAATAAGGGAAGCATGAAATTCGATAGCGAAGAGTTTCCAACGCAACCCAAGATCTTCGCTCCCACGATCTCGCCGCTGCTATATTACCCGGATTGCATCACATTACTGAACAATGAAATGCGATCTGCACTGGCTCGGCTTCTCTATTCACCCGCATCAACGAGCCGCTTGTTGTCTAGACCATCTAAGAATTAGTGTGGAGCCATTGAAGTGAGTCCCGCGGTGCAGCGTGCAGCGTCACCTGCATAAAAGTTACGCTAGTACCGGGGCGGCTGCGAACTGATACAGTGCAGTACATGCAGCAACCGAAAGTCCGCTGCAAAGGCACACATGTCACTGCATCATGTGTGTCGTCGGTCTTTTCCTCCCACCCTGCGTGCGTCTCGTGTCTCATAAGTTGATACTGATACAGGTGACATCAACATCGTAGATCTCCTCTACAGTTGGAGAGGAGTCCGCTTCCATGCTTTGCTTACGGCGACATCTCTCCCCATCTGAGTCGAACATCCAACTTCACTTCAAACAACGCAGTGTAGTATTATGAGAAGTAAAAAAAAAACAGGCAAACAAAGAAGCGTCATGAGTTAACAATTCGAAGAGCTAGATCGAGAAATACGTTTGAAAAAGAAAAGAAAATTGGGTCGTTGCACAGTCGAGACGGTTGCGTTCGTTTCGGCGAGCGTTCACGCTGTGCAGTAAAAAGCTCTTCAACTCAGTTCCGGCCTTTTCCTGACCCTGTGCTTTAAATTTATCTCTTGTTGTCAACAACAAACATCCCGTCTCGAGCCGATCTGGCTGTTGAGTCCTTTCGGAAAGTATGTGGCAACTCAAAAGCACCGGGTCAACCTGCTCGATGCACGCTGGAGCATGTGCACACCACCCAGACGCTTTTCGACTGATTCGATTCTCCGACCCCGGAGCCACCGCTTACATGCATTCGAGATGGAAAAGGCTTCTGGCGGCGCAACCATGGTTTCTATGTGCATGGTCGCAAGCCACCCTCGTGAAGCCCTTGCAGAGCAGGTCCGCTTCGCTCAACCGTCGTGGCGCACTAAACCATAGCTCCAAACGAGAGAACAACGCCACGATGACACATGGGCAGCTCGCATCTACTTGGATGCGCTCAGATGAACCGAGTGTGTGTGATTGATGTTTGAGCCGCTGGTTCGCATCCCGATGTAACGTCGCCTGGCCTCATCGTGCTCATGCCAAGCCTGTGTCGCATTGTCGCCTCTGTTCTGCCTCTCTCCTCCTCCTTCTCTTCCCTCATCCCATAGCTCGCTCCTGTACCTCGCACTCGCAGTCACGGAGCTTGATTGACCCCTTGCGATCCGACCACAACTTCACCTTGATCCCGTGAATGTGTCTGGACTCCATCCCCGCTATCTTCTCTTCTTGTTCGTCTTCGGCATCCATCGATGTTCAGGCCCTCCAACATCGTGCTCATACGTGTCTTCCACACTGGTCACCACGACAGCCATCGATAGCAACCAGTCGCTACTCGCATTCTTCACAGCCGTCGCCCGCTTCCTTCTTCACAGCCAACCCATTCCTCCTCGCTCGTGGGCGGGTTCGGATTCCATCTTGCTCGCGAAGCAGCCGCGTTTGATACCGACCCGTCACCCAGCCTCGCCATTAGGACGCAGCTCACGAACGCGGCTCAGCCGTCCTGTTTCACACGATCAGCCTCATTCGTTTGCCGTCCAAGCTTCGCCTCGCCATTGACTTTGACAACTCTGCTCTTCAACACCTCTGTCTCACTGCGTCATCTCACTGCTGCCGCCTGACTGACTGCTACAACTGCACGCACCTCTAGAAGTGTTTCTCATACCACATCTCGTCCGGAGCCTCCGACTCTGTTGTCCTCCAAGAGGGTTCTCGTCGCTGCCTCTCTTTCTCTTTTCACTGGCGCTCTCGATATCGGCTAGGTCGTATTCGGCAAGCGTGGCTCAAAGATTTCATCTCGGACGTTGCTCTAAGCACCATCATCGATGAGTTTAGCATCAATCGATGATCGCTCACTCTGATATCGAGGGGCGACAAATCGGCATCAAAGGCGCACCGAAACGACACTCCGAGTTCACTCAACCTACGCCTAGCATCGAATGTCGGCCTGTGACTACATATCGACGGTACCGGAATCACCTTGCGTTTCGAAACGCACCCCACGGACCCTTCACCCTTCAGAAAGTTATCCAGTGGATCCCCGCAGTGATCGCTCCGTTCGTGATCCTCGAATCTTCTCGCCTTCCACTTCGACCTTGCGAGGCACGAGCGCTTCGCAACAGTTCTCAAATCACATTCCTTCTGATGACAAAGCTCCTTTGAGACCAACGCGCAACGTCCAACCTCAACATACGTCGGAGGACGCGATTGCCAGCATGGACCACCGGCCAAAGCAAGCCAAAGTAACGCTACCGCCTCTTTCAGCGCTCACCACCTCGATCGACTTTGAACGGAATCGCGCGCATTCATTGATTCATGATCGCGGTCACAACCTCTCGCCGATCTTTGCTTCGCGCGACATGGTTGACAGAGACGTCGGGCGAAGGAGCTCTGTCAACGACACCCGAGAGGCTCCCGCGCACAATGATGGCTCTCGGTCAACAGATCGCAGCATACCGCGAGAGCCTCATCGTGCCTCTGCCGCCGGATCTCTTTCGCTCCCGTCTTCATTCATGGCGTCCACTTCTCATCAAAATCCCACAGACGATCCGCCAACACCGAGGCTAGCAGAGGCCTCGGTGCGTGTCATCACCGAAGCAACAAGACCTCGCTCTCACTCGTCGCCACATAAAAATCGGATGCAGAATCTGTCCAGGAGGTCATCTCTTGCCGATGCCTCTCAAGTCGACCGACTGCTTGACAGCCTTCTCTACGTTCAAGACATCAATCGCCGCCTCGGACTCGACGTTTCAAATCCTGCATCGCCATCCATCTTTCGGAATGCAGATGCCGCCGAGCGACTGCGCAACAAGCTTCTCGATGAGCTCGACAGCATGTCGCTCTTCTCTCGGTCTCGCGCAGAATCCGTCGCAAGCTATGTCGGTGTCGCAGGGTACATGGCACCCTACCGGGAAGCGTCAACACGAAACGCGGTCCAAGAATCGCCCATCAGGACCATAGCGCCGCTTGCCGCGGTCGCCGCAGCTGGTCAAGCTGGCTACGCAGCGTGGCCCCCAGCTGATTCTCTTGAAAGGACGCATTCGTCCATCGATCGGCTCACTCTGGACGACCAAGTGCCTCGCGTATCTGACCATCACTCTCGGCCAAGCGCATACGGGTCGGAACGTGTGGGTGCCCCAAGCGGCCCACAGGCGATGAGTCGCAACGGCTTTGCGCCACAGCCAACCCACTCCGATCGCTCGCACCGCCCAATTTCGAGAGCTATTTCTTTTGAGCAGCTGCGCGCCCTCCCGGACCAGCAGCACCACGCACATCTCCACGAGCGCGCACCTGCCGGATCTTCTCGCTACGGGGATGCACCTCTTTTTGCTCACGAACATACGTCGCATCATCCCTACAGCCAGGTAGGGCCACGAGCACCGCCCATGCACTTTGCGGATGCTCAACATCAGCACCAGATGGATATCTTCGATCGCAGACGTCTGGCTAGCAAAGGCATGAAAAGAGTCCGAAAGCGCAAGAACGAGCACCACCAAGAATGCTTGGGATGCCAGGCAAAGGAAACGCCAGAATGGAGAAAGGGGCCCATGGGTCCTCGAACGCTCTGCAACGCTTGCGGTTTGCTCTATGCCAAACTCACCAAGCGCAAGCAGCAGGAAGCTGAAGCTGCTGCTAGAGCCAGCGGCAAAACCGCTCAAGAGATTGTTAGGGAACGAGAGGAGTCTCCTGGAGCCAAGCAGGCGAGCCTGGAAGCTCTTCGAGCCGAGCTCAATTTGGCCAACGGCCTGCGCAACCGCCCCAGCTCGGCATCCGCATCGACCGGCGATACCTTGTTGCACAATGAGTCTCCATCGGCCGCAGCCTATCATGCTGGCAGGGTGTATGACGGCAGGCATCCCGATGGACCATCAAACCAGCCCTGGCCCTCTCGACGTGCGGAAGACTTCGAAATGCTTGCTCATCCGACTCACGGTCACCGCTCTACCATCACCAGTCCAGGCCGGTCCAATTCCCTCGGTCATGTTCACAACCTCGAGCAATCCACGGCAAAGCAGTTCGAACGCATTTCTGAGTCATCTGCCGGGTATGCGCTCCCCACGCCCCCACGACCGATTTCAAGAGAGGATAACTCGGCGTCGCGTTCATTGGCGCAGCAGCCGGGTCGCAGACGGTCCTCCACCCTGCAGTCATCTCGAGCAGCTCCCTCCCGCTACAACCCTGCTTCTTATCACGATCGGCCCATATCACCGAGTACGCCCAGCTCTCAATCTTATGCCCAACACGGTTCAAGCGTGCAGCGAAGGCCTCATCCTTATATGTAATTTTAGCCGCGTCGACAGCAATGGACTTTCGCGTTGATCCAGTGTGTGCAAAGTTTGACTCCCCCATCTATTCGCCGCAGCAGAGCAATTTAGCGGGGAGCGAGCGCTTTCCACACGAGGTCCATGCCTTCACACAGAAGTTGAGTCTTGTCCTATACTTATCTAAACTCATCGAGATGTAGGGTAACAAAGCGCTCGGCGAATTGGGACGCCGATGCACGCCGTACGTGGACCTGATTCCGAGGTCGACAAGCTCGAGGAAGCTTCCCAACGGAAGCAAAGGCAAAGACTTGGAGCGACCAGCCAAAACCTGTCGCGCCTGACATGTATCGAAGAATGACATTCGGACCTTTCCGTCAGCTCTGGGTCGGGAGGCTTCGAGATCGAACAAACGGTCAGCCACAAAATGTCGGATCTAAGCGACGGAAAGAGGCGGCCAATGTACCAGCTATTCGCCAGATGCTAGGTTGCCCGACGACATTCGAGCTCAACTACGGATGAAACCCCGCTGTCTGTGTGGGGAGGTTGAGCAACTTCAGATACCTTCTTAAGCGAGCAAGTGGGGGGGAACACGGGGCAATGCGTGCATGTTCCAGAAATCGGGACAGTGAGGACCGAGCAAGCAGAACATGCGGGTGAACATTGGGGTCAGAAACAGAGAGTCAAGGGCGGCAACGTCCATGAGAAAGGCGGCGGTCCAAGACTCGACGACGGAGCGTGCTCGGACCGGCGATCAGCAAGTCTGCCCACGCTGATCTACCTCTGGCACGCTTCGTAGAAGTGAGAATGCAGCGCGGAGGCCCAGTGGAGTTCAACGTGGGAGAGAATGTGGGAGAGGATTAAGAAAGGGACGAACGGGAGCACTGTCGCTGTCGAAATCGGTGTCCTGCGGTCGAACGCTGCTTGACATGCGGTATGTGCGGTCAGCGGGAGGCAGCGTCCAAGGAAACCGGCGCTTTCTTCTCTGACAAAGGGAGCTTCCATGCGAACGAACGGTCCGTGGTTTGCGCTCACATTCGGTTGACGAGGGAATGGATGCATCTTGAGCGGTCAACTGTCCACCTTTTTTCGATGCCAAGACTTTCGGAGTGTGAAATGTCACATGGGCGCGTCCAGCGAGCGGAAAAAGGAATCGGCAACTCCACGACATTCTGTCGATTTGCGCGCCCCAGCGTCGCCACGCCGTCAACTGGGAATTGGGACTCGCACCCTTCGTCGCCAGTAATCGTGCACAGCGTGCTGACTCCTGATGTGTGCCTCGCGTCAACGGAAAGAGTCGTAGGGTACGGATTACTCCGGAAGCGAGCCGTGCTGCCATCCAAATTGGTTTAACCGCACATGAGATGGATTCCCGCTCCAGAGACTTGCGCTGTGGCCCATGCTTGTTGTCGCTCTTGCGCTGCGGTTCGAACAAGGCGCTACGACACGCAGCCCCTCGCAGAGCGGGGCTCCATCTGCAGGAACGCGGTCTAGCGCAAGTGAGCTGCAGCTGTGCGACTCGACATCTCACTTGGGCATTGCTGCGGTCATGCCAGCGATCGTCTGCTTTCGAGGCCTCTGGAAACTCGTCTGACCAATTGCGTGGGGCTCCGCTCTTCCTCAAAGCGAGCCAGACTGAAGGAGTCGCCACATAAATACTCGACGTCGCGCTGCTCGTTGAAACTATCTGTCTCAAGCTCAAGCAGACCCCTCCCCATCTTGGCTAGCATTTCCCTCCATCTTCCTTACCATTGCTCTACGTTATGCTGCTTTCCCATCTAAAAGATACTCCTCGTGAGGCACGAGGCTGGCGTCTGTGGTTCAGCGCCTGGGCAGTCGGCGCTCTGGGTATCTCACGAGGTCTTGATGAAGGTATCATCTCAGGCGTGCTCAAGCAGCACAGCTTCATCAAAACCTTCGGCTTCGACGACAATTCGCCTCAGGAGGCTACCATCGCATCTCAGCTTCAACTCGGATCGGTGGCTGGCTCGGCTATCGCGTTCTTCTTGTGTGACCGTCTCGGACGTCTCCGTACCGCGATGCTCGCTTGTCTCCTCTGGATCATGGGCACCGCCATCTGGATGACTTCGGCTGGCATCCACGGCACTCATCAACCAGGCAACTACCATCAGCTACTTGCTGGCCGCTTCCTAGCGGGGTTGGGTGTCGGATTCACGCCCGTCGTGGCACCGGTTTACCTAGCCGAGATCGCGCCCAAAGCCGTTAGAGGGCTGTGTGTCTGCATCTTCAGTGGCAGCGTGTACATTGGTAAGTACCGACCTCAATCGACCCTGCAAGGCCTTTCAGTGTTGACCCATCGCGGAAAAAGGGAACAACGACCGCTGACCTACTTTTCATACTATATGGGCAAACAGGTATCTTGCTTGGTTACTTTAGCAACTACGGCTCTAGCATCCATTATACTGACGCGAAACAATGGACGATTCCGGCGAGCACCAACTTCATCTTTGCCGGTCTCACCTTCGTCGCCTGCTTCTTTGCCCAGGAGTCGCCTCGTTGGCTGATCAAGAAAGGTCGATACGAAGAAGGTCGCAAGGCGCTGAGCTATCTGCGCAACCTCGATGTGGATCACCCTTTCGTTGCCGAGGAGATTGAGGTTATGGAGCAACAGATCCAAGCGGAGAAGCAGGCGCTCGAGGGACTCAACTTCTTCCAGATCCTCAAGAAGCTCGTGACCAACAAGAATAACCAGTACATTCTCTTCCTCGGTCTCGGTATCCAGGTGCTCGGTCAGCTCAGCGGCGGTGGTGTCTACACAATCTTTGCGCCCAAGATCTTTGGGCTGCTCGGAGTTCCCGGCGGGCAGAGGACCAAGTTCTTGACTACCGGTATTTTCGGTATCGTCAAGTTGCTGTCGTCTCTGGCTGCTGCCTTCTTCTTGGTCGACATGCTAGGCCGTAAGACGGCGGTCACGACCGGTCTTTTGCTGCAGAGCATCTGCTCGCTGTATCTCGCCCTGTTTCTCAAATTTACAGCAGGAGTCACCAAAGCTACCGAGACGCACTCGGACAAGTCTGCTGCCACGGGCGCCATCTTTTTCTTCTACCTCTCGGGTCTTGCCTGGGCTATCGGTGTCAACTCGGTGCAGTATCTCACCCAGACAGAGATGTTCGACATCACGGTTCGTGCGCTCGGTGTTGCCGTCGTTTCTCTGGTCCACTTTGCCATGCAGTACGCCGCCACGCGCACGCTCAACCCGATGCTCCAGGCCTGGGGCAACTTTGGCACCTTCTTGTTCTACGCCATGATCGCGCTCACAGGCTGCCTGTTTGTCTTCTTCTTCATGCCAGAGACTGCAGGCTTGCAGCTCGAAGATATCCACAAGCTCTTCGAAAAACCCTGGTACGCTATCGGCTGGACGCAGAATCGCCCCGCCAACAGGCGCAAGGCTTCTTCAGAGGCCGCGATGGTCGAGGAGTCCGAGGCGGCCGCCGACTTGTCATACGACGGTCAGAAGAAGTCCATCGACCTGACCACTGAAGACAAAAAATAGTAACAGCAGCGTTGTTGTGTCGGTCATCGTTCTTGCTTCCTCAGCTCTTAGAAATGATACACAATTTGTCTCTTCTCGTTGCCACCCAGATGCTCTCTCTCTCTCTCTCTTTCTCTTGGCTGTTTGAGATATTTGAGGTGGCAACGGTTTGACAGGTGCCAACCAGAACACGGGATCTATGTTCTATTAATCTATGTAACATCATGCAGTAAAAAGGTCGCGAAAATCAGGACCCAATAATCCACATCAATGCGCAAAATGCTCGGCCACCGAATCAGGATCAATCTTCTTCATTCTCTCCCGGTCTCGCCCAACGTAGGTGCAATACAACTGTAGACTGTAAATCAAAAAAAGTGTGCGGTGCGAGCAGGGTTCGAACCTGCGCTCGCATTGCGAATTAGTTAATCAGCTCATCGCACGACCGTTGAATTGTAATTCAAGACTAACCCCTTAACCACTCGGGCATCGCACCCACAGAGTGACCGGCTAGAATATGGATTGTGATTATATTACGGCGTGCGCATCTTGGCTGTCATCTTAAATCGGGTGTGACCCGAAACGTCCGAAGGAATGCTGTGCTTGAGGAACGTGGTTGGACCTCCAAAATCACTTACTGTTCAAGGCAACAATGGAAACGGGCATGATTCTTCATTGCCGTCGTTTCCAGCCGTAGAGTACAGATGCAGTGCAGAGCTTGGAGACATGTGCCAGGTCGTGCCGTCATATGCGGAGAGGGCGAGCGACGACGACATCCGTCTAAACTTGCCAAATGCACGACCGCGGACTGCCGTCCTTCTCTGTGGCAAGCAGCAATGAGGCAGGTCAAGCTAGCCGGCTCGCTATGCACAGACACGGGTCCAACTTCGATGATGTCAAGGAAAAAGATGCGCTCGAGTATGAGCGTCACGTTTTGATGCTATTGCAGACGAGCGAATAGCACGGGAGGTGCATGTTTTGTACAATCTTATGGTTTGTGATGCAGTGTGCGGGTGATACGGACGAAAAGCTCGGGGGCAGCGATCCGTCCAAGTAGGCGCGAAGGAAAAGTGTCGATGATGGAGGTAGAGGGAGTGGCAGACGAGACGGCGGGAAGAAAAGGGGATGTCACCTGGAGCTGCGTTCGACATTTAGCGCATGATGATGCCGTCGAATCGCTGCTTGAACCAGGCGGCGGTCTCCTCCTTCTTGACGCGGTGGGGGGCACCGACACGGGCGACACGCTGCTTGCGGCGTGCGACACGGGCGCCGGCACGGGTCATGCAGACGAAGAAGTCCATACCGAAAATGCCGATCGAGGGGTCGTACTTGATACCCAAGTCAATGTGCTCGGTGATACCGAAACCGAAGTTGCCAGTGTCCGAGAAGTTGCGGCGGCGGAGCTCGTACTCCTTGACCTTGAGACCACGCTCGATGATCTCCTCGGCCTTGGGGCCGCGGATGGTGACGTGGCAAGCGATCTTCTCGTTACGGCGGATACCGAAACCACGGAGGGTGTAGCGGGCCTTGCTGGTAACAGGAGTCTGACCGGTCAGCTGCTCGAGCACCTTGGTGGCACGGGTCAGTCTGTCACCAGACTCGCCGACCGAGATGTTGACGACGAGCTTGTCGACCTTGAGCTCCTGTGGATGATTTACAGATTGCGTCGGGAGGTATGTAAGAAGGTCAGTGGATTCGTTCAGGGGAATGCGTCGCCTTTGCCATCTGTCAGAAGTAGTTGCCGTATTGTCGAGTTGCGCTGTCGTCATCGCGGCTAAACAACATTCGAGATCTGACTGTCTTCGGACGTCGTCTATGTCGCGGAAGATGCTGCAGAGCGATGTTGTGTGTCGAGTGGTATGGCTGCACTGGGCCAAGACGGCAAGTCAAAGGGAGAGACCAAATGTCGTGTTGGGGCTGCGGATGTCGGAATCCGATTTGGCAAGCAAGGTACACTGATCCGACCCTCTCTCGATTCTGACCGTCATTCTTCCGCCTGAAGTGCAATGCTGAATCCGTGTCAGGTCTTCACCGGAGTAGCTTGCGTCGACCGCCACGAAGATTTGCCTACACGAATGCTAGCGATCCCGCAACTTTCACGCACGCCCGCATAACGGGACCGTGGACTGCCCATGCCTAGCGCCCTCACTTGGAACCAACGTGCCCAGCTACCTGGCGGTTGAGCCACGCGGAACTTGCGCCTTGAACTGTCCTCATGTTCTGCCTAGCCTGCATAACAATATGATGTAGCGCTGATGAAGGCTCCAGCGCTTGGCTGAATACCGGAGAGATGGAAGATATTTGTCTCTGTGGTGTGCTGCTGAAAATTGCTGCTGGTCGAAGACAGTAGTGCGGTTGTAAAGCGGCGCGTGACGGTGGAGCTGCGAATGCTGCGCACAAGCTACAGGGCGCAGCTGGAGAAGACCCATCCGAAGGTGTGCTGCAAATAACAGATGCTGGTGATGTGGCGAGGATGATGTTTGCGGGATGACAACGAAAGCGCAACCGATTGTTTGCAGTTCTGCTTGTCTGCAGGTCCTATGCGGCGTCATGCTATAGAGGAGTCGATCGGTGTCGGAGGTGCATGGCTGCGCATTAGATACTAACCTTCATAGGGTTGATAGCCTTGCTAGATTCCGCCATCTTGAATATTGGATACGACGGTGATGATCTTGATGGATGATCGTGACGAAGAGGGTAAAGTCAAGTCGAATTCGAGGTTTGCGCTGCCCACACACTCCAGCGCCAGCTCGAGAGCCTTGCAGTCGCTTGTGCCGCTCGAGTGCCTTGCTTGGATTCGAGATGCAGTTCTCGCACACTCACTCTCACCACTTGCGAGACTCGGACGGTTGCAGTCCAAGACTGGCTCTCCTTCAGTGCCCGCACGGCGGCTCTGCCATTCGGGGCGCACTTTTCCTTCTGACCTATCGAAATTCGGCCGATCCGCAGAAATAGCACGTGACCTGTTTTCGTTTTTCGTGAATCACGGAAAACAGCAAATGTGCGCGCCGTAACATGAACACTCACATTTTTCTGCCAATCAAGAGACCAGAATCGGCCCGATCGTCTCTTGCATCACCAGACGATTCAAAGCAACACAAACAACGCCACACGAACACGCCCTCTACGGCCTCCTTTCATGTGCAAAGCCGCTGCTGATGTGTTGTTAGCGCCGTCCGCATTGCGAGGATGGTGCCGTTGGTAGAGCCGGTCGTTGCATCGTCGATATGCGCCGCTCACGGACTCACTACAGCATCCGTTCAGGAGGTTTCACCAGGCTCACACACACTAGATCGACGGGGTGCGAGCGGGGCGTCAGAGACCGTCAGATGAGGCGAGACAAGTAGAGGAGGCACGGCACGGCATTCCACTCTCCGACGGTGACGAGCAGGTTTGAGGTTACTCAATGCGCGTGTGGAGGCCCAACAGCGTAGTGTCGATCTCCTCCGCGCATGGCAAGGCGTAATTCCGACAGGTCAAGCTCATCACACCGACTCTGGAAGCCAGGCGCGCTAGGGATGGCCAAAACCGGCTAGGGGTTCAGGGCGTTCCGCCGATCTCGCAGGCGGAAGACAAGCACCGTGCGCCTTTGGAACGGGACAAAGCTGAACGAGAAGATGACGGGGTTTACACCTGAACCTCTCCAGCAGTGTTGCGTGTTTGGGCAGTGTTGCGTGTTTTGACAAGTCGACCAATGAGCGTTGACGCTCAACGCAACATTCGAGCTGTGCCGTCGGCGCCGAGAAACGTCTTCAACCATGGATAGGACCAGTTTTAGCAGATCAAGTGGAAGGTCAAAGGGTGCAGATCAGTCTTGCCGGATGTGTTTCGGGAAGCGCCCGTCTGACTTGTCCCGCATTCCCCTTTTTTCGGGCCAGCAGACCGAGCTCTAATAACCGTCTGAGCGGGAGCGGCCTGCAGCGAGACCACTGATAGCATGGACGAGCCGATTGACCTTGCGTCGATTGCAGCTGCCACAAGCACAAGATCAACTGTCCTGTTCTCGGTCGGGCAAGGTCCGAATGGCGGTGGGATCGGATCAAAACGTGCTTCGTCTTCGACATCGAAGTCAACAGAGTTTGTGACGGCTAGAGATTCGCCGCCGCATTCGCCTGCTACTGTAACGAGCTTTTTCCTCTCCTGCATGGAGGGAACGCGGATTTCCCTCGTGGCGACGCCGTATCGGCCTTGACGGTCTCGTGACGGTGACGGAGTCTCGATGGACGCAGCCATTCCAAGCGCCGTGTGGACCGATCGCCTGACCCTGCCTCTGCTTCTGCCGCCAGGATATGTTGTGTTCTTGTCAGCCAGGTCACACTCTCTCCTATTTTCGCACTGTGCAAGCCATGCTTTCTTGAACTTGTTATCGCAACCGCGCACACGAACTGCACCACGTCTCCGTGATTCCCTATCACGCTTCGGCTTCAACAACGTAGCCCGAAACTGGCCTGCACACCAGATATGCACTCTGGCAGACGAAGTCAAAGCGAGTCCTGTGCCGCTCGAGTTTCTGCGATAGGATCACCGTCGACCGCAGGCCAATCGTTGGTGAAACCACTCAAGGATAGTGGCTGCCCGCTCGCTCTCCGATCTGGCGCTTTGGACGGGTTCAGCACGCAAGCGGGAAGGCTTGACTGAGACCTCGAGCCGTGCCAGGAAGAACCGACACAGGCACGCGTGAGGGCAGTGTGAATCTCTCTCGAGCTTGCAACACTCTGGCACACTGCGATTGCGCCAGAGTTTCGACTGTGACAGTAAATCGAAATTAGTTCAAAAAGAAACATATTTGGCACATTCGTTATACGAGACTGTCGAGGGACATGTACGCCAGCCCTGAACCCAAGTTCAAATTCGTTCCAAGAGAACACCACAAAAATAAAAACAATAATGTACAAACACACGGGAGCGCCTGGCTGCAGTGAGCAATCGCCGACTGTGTCTCTCCACACAAGAGCGGCAGCCAGAACAGCACCCACCCCGCCCGTCTCGAGACGGTCGTCTTCGTTTGCACCAACACGCTTGGATCTACATTATGACCTTGAGCAGACAGACCTTAAGCAGTCAAAAGTGGGAGCTCCGTATCACAGGCAGCCGATCGTGCAGACGGACGAGGAAACACGGATCGTCGCCAGGAACGAGGGGAAGAGGGCAAGACGTGAGAACCGATGGTGAGGCGAGCCAAGCGAAATCGAGTTTTACCTGTAATCGTACACAGCCAAGAAAGCCAGGAAGCAACACACTTTTTTGGGCGCTGCACACGGCAGCAGCAGCTGTCTAGGAGCGCAGCGCAGAGTCAGCCCGGCACAGCCGTTTTGGCAACACACCGTCACTCTGCGTGAACCGCTTGCATCGCCGTTTCCCATCGAGACGGCCAACAACACCTCACGAGATCGCCCTCCCGTCGCTTACGCTTCGGAATCCTCACCATGGCTTGTCACTGAACCGCCCTGCACCACCCTGGAGCTCTTGAGTTGACCAACGTACGACTTGCCGCTACCGTTCGCACCATCCCCGCTTCGACCATCTCGTCAGCGACATTTCCTGCTCTGTACTCGTCGACCCTTTCGACCATCGCTGGCTCGTCCATTTGCCTCACCACCAACATCACCACTCTTCCAGGTTCGTTCCGACGCTCCGTCATCTTGTCAGCCCGCGATTTATTGCTCGACAGAATCCATCCCTCCCACCTTCATTCTCTCTCGCGCTGCTATGCATTTGCTCCTATAGCGTTTGGCTTGTTGGAGCACCTCACGTCACCACTCTACCTCGCCTCTCCCACCATTCCGCCGCCTGTCCGAAGGCCAACGACATCGCCAAACTCACCAACGTCCCAGCGCTACCACCGCTCTCTCGCAGCTAGCATCTACGTCTCAGCACCTTCGGCTGATGCAATGTCGAATTGCTCCTCTGCATCGCACTAGACGCGTATACAGTACGATCTTCCCCCTTTTCTAGTCATCAACCATGTCCTCCGTCGCTGCATCGCATCCCGAGTCGGCGTTGTCGCCGTCTTCGGGATCCGACGACACAGCCGCCTCGAGCGGTGCGATAGAACCTCCCGATAGTATCCAGGCTGTGTCTGCAGGCCTACGCAGCCTCACTATTTCTGCCTCGCAGCCTCCGGCAACCAACATGCGCGATATTTCTCACTTGCACAACAAGCCCGGCCCTTCCTTCCCGACCTCAGCATTTGCATATCAGCTTACCGATCGCCACACAAGCCATGCTCCGTCAGCTCCCATCGCAACGTCTTCCAGCTACTCGACAAGCCCCGCTAGCCGCTATGGCCGCCACTTTTCCATGTCCAACTCCAGCTCCGTCGATTCGCAACTCAACTACGATCCCTACCTCGCTGTGCCAGCCAGTCCGAGCATGAGCGAGGGTCTCACCGACAGTCCCGGCAGTGTCTCGAGCATGAACAGCTTCCGACGCGGCGACCTCGCCGACATTGAGGATCTCGACCTCGAACCCGAGCTCGAGACCGTCAGCGAATGCGACGAAGAGTCGAGCAGTCTTTGCTCGTTGGATATCGGCATCGATCTTGACTCTGACTCTGAACGCGCTAGCTCTCACGGAGGCGACATTGATCATCTGGCCATCGGACCGGCTTCTTCTCAATTCTCCCGAAGATCCGGATCCCAGCCGACCGCGGCATCCGACTACGCCCGCCGCAAGCGAAGCGAATGGCTGCTCAACAACTACGCCAACAAGATTGCCGCCCGCCGTCCTCGTCGTGTCAAGAAGGGCCGCATCTCCGAGATTGTCGAAGAAGGAGGCGAGTGCATCAACACCACCGTCATGCCAAAGCCTCCCTGTTTTGCTTCAGGTGCTTCGGACTGGTCGTGCGATGTTTCGGGACCTCCCATCGCTCCGCCGCGCAGCGTCAGCCCTTCCGACTCGGTCCCGGCCATCCCTTCGCCTCTGTGCTCCTGCGTCAGCGCCGACGCTGCTCCCGCTACAACCGCGCCAGGACTCGAGGAGAGCGTCGAAACCATCCAAGGTGATTTACCCGCTACCACGGTCTCAGCTCCCAGTCCGTCCAGCGCTATCGTGGACCAAGGTTCTTCCACCCTCGTCGATACAACGCAGGCGTCGAAGAGCGGCGATGCAGCGCCATCAGGTGAGACGGAGCTCAAGTCATCGCCTCCTCGTCCTTCGCGCACGTCGAGTCGTCGCAATTCATCGCCCGTCAAGTTGCGCCCGTGTTTTCGACGTCAGTCTTCCCACCAGTCGGGCGCTTCGACACGAGAGTCGTCGTGCGAGCGTGATCCACCTCGTGGTCGATCTGTTCGCTTCAGCAGCCGACCGCCGCAGGAGATGCGAACTCACAGCCCGGTCGAATACGATCGCAAGAGTTGTCCGGTCAACAACCGACTCAGCCCTGCCGATGTGGAGGAGCTGAGGACCATGAAGATGGAGATGGGTCTCTTGGAAGCTAGGTGGGCCGCCGTGGCCGCATGCAAGCCGAAGAAGGTGCTAGGTACCGAAGGCACCACCAAGCCCGAGAACCACAGTGCCTACAATGCCGGCGTCGCTGCCATGTCTGCCTCACGCGAGCGGACGCCAGCGTGCGGCGCCGAATCCGATTCGACGCTAGGACCCGGCTCGACGACGAGCCCTTCTTCTCGATTGCGCCAGCAAAAGGAACGCGAACGCCAGCAGGAACGTCAGCGCAACCTGCCACACTATCTGCGCAACCGCCCTGGCGTCTCTCAGGCACAGTCTGAGCCGCTGTCGTCCGAGGCACTTTCGATACGCAGCAAGTTTGGACACGCGCCTCCGCCGCCGCTGCCGGGAATGTCTGCGCCTCGCGCCCCGTCCGCATCACCGAGTCGCTCGACCTCGGTTCCACCGCGCAATCGCTCTGCGGCAGAAGACGGCCCCGCTTCTCGCCGCCTGAGCTGCCAATCCATGCCTTCGTCAGGCATGGCCGCACGCGCAACAGCAGAGATCCCGGTCCCCTTGCTGACACAGACAAGCCCCTCGCCTCCACCTTCGCCGCATTCGACCCTCAACAAGGATGCGCCTCGTTCGATTGGACTGTCGGAACGCGGCAGGAGTAGCGGGCCGCGCCCTGCGCTTCCGTGCTCTTCGCCTTGGTCCAGTGGTACCAATTCGGCCACCTCTTCGATCTATTCGAGCACGTACTTTCCCAGCGCATCGACATCACCAACGCCATGCGTCAGCTACCCAGGCAGCAACGGCTACGACAGCCCTGCTTCGGAATTCTACGAAAGTGGTAGCGAGTACGACATGGTGTGTTAAGAACGCCGTCCACACAGCCTTTTCTCTCCCTGTCCCTGTCCCTGTCCCTGTCCCTGTCCCTGTCCCTGTCCCTGTCCCTGTCCCTGTCCCTGTCCCTCCCCCTGTCCCTCTAGTCCTCCTACTCCTACTCCAACGTGGCTCCAGTCACTACTTGCGGCGCGATGCACTCTACGGACGTTTATTCCTCTTCGCAAAGCCCACACGATGATCCCGTTCCGCCTTTGTCACACCGTGGCACTTTTGCTCTTTGTTGGTCAATCCCTTGTCACCCTTTTCACTGTTTGTTTTGCATTTCTCTTCATTCTCTATCCATGTTCGGTCTTCTGTACAATATCGCATCTCGTTCTCGGCTTATCTTTTATCCTAGTAGTCTTTGTCTCATCCGGCCCTGAATCGTGTGTGTGTGTGCACGCGTCGCGTTAATGTCCTCCACGACGGCGAGGAGAAGCGCTCAAAAAATCTACGCTACTGACAGCAGAAATCATATAATAAATAGCGAGTCTCGGAATGAAATGCCTGTGTCGATCGAAATTGCAAAATATTTCTCCGAACCTTTGTCGAGGAATTCAGAATTACAAGCCTCCTGGAAAATTCGAATTTCGCGTTAGGATTTCAGGAGGCATCAGAGCAGCGGACCGTGTCGCTCCAAGCAGCGCGCTGACCTCAGGCCCTCATGCCTCTCGCAAGTTGAAGAAGTGAAAAAGGTGAAGGCTCTGTGGGCGGTGGTGGCGTGAAATTTTTTGACCTTTCTTCGTTTCCGTGTTTTTTAGCAGCTCGACACAGCACGGCAGTGTAGAAGTGACTGACAGCGCCAAAAAAGTCAAGATTGCGGGTAGTGCAGCAGTGTCAGATTTGCCTTCGGTGTCTGAGCTTGTCCCCTGATGGACGTGTGGCTCAGTCAAATGAAAATCGATCGCAGTGTACTGTAGCAGAGCGCGACACACTCTGCTGCTCACAACTGAGACTGCGGTGTGGGCGACCCAAGCTCTCACACTCCAGACAACTCTTCGTCGACTCAGCCAAGGCTCGAGGCGAATAAAATAGAATCAGGTCTTAGTGCGTTCCTTTTCCACCACCACCCCATCCATCACTATCATGACTTACGAAAACAATACACACCAGCAGAACGGTGCTGGCACCGCTGACATCGAGTCGAAGTTCGCCAACATGTCGGTCCAGAACGGCGCCGCTGGCGGTGCTCCTCGAAAGGCCTACGTTCCACCTCACCTTCGTGGCCAGCAGCAGCAGCCTGCCTCGCTCAACTCTTCCGCCGCTACATTCAGCCCTCGCGCTCCTGCCGCCTTCAACGGTAACGGTCACCACGCCGCTCACGATGCTCCTGCTGCTCCTGCTGCCTTCCAGAGCTTCAACCGAGGTGCACCTCGCGGTGGCGCCGGTGGCTGGGATGCCCCGGCCTCTGGCGGTTACGGCGGAGCTCGCAGCGGTGGCGGATACGGCGGTGGACGCAACGACGGCTTTGGCCAGTGGAAAGACGGTCAGCACGTTCCCGGCCCCCACAACGCTCGTCTCCAGAAGGAGCTCTTCGGTGAGGAGGGCGACGGTCTTCACCAGAGCATGGGCATCAACTTTGACAAGTACGGCGACATCCCCGTCGAAGCCAGCGGTCGCGACGTTCCCGAGCCTGTCCTCACCTTCACATCGCCTCCCATTGACCCTCACCTTCTCGACAACATCAAGCTCGCCCGCTACACCAACCCTACTCCTGTTCAAAAGTACTCGATCCCCATCGTCGAGCTTGGCCGCGATCTTATGGGCTGTGCCCAGACTGGTTCCGGTAAGACGGGTGGTTTCCTCTTCCCCATCCTTTCGGCCCTCTTCACCCACGGCCCGCCTCCTCCTCCCGCCGAGATGTCGCAGGGCGGCTACGGTCGCAGAAAGGCGTTCCCCAGCACCCTCATCCTCGCCCCCACGCGTGAGCTCGTCTCGCAGATCTACGAAGAGGCTCGCAAGTTCACCTACCGTTCCTGGGTCAAGCCTGCCGTCGTCTATGGTGGCGCGGACATCGGCACTCAGCTCCGCCAGATCGAGCGTGGTTGCGACCTGCTCGCCGCTACGCCCGGTCGTCTGGTCGACTTGATGGAACGAGGCCGCATCGGCCTCAGCAACGTCCGTTTCCTCGTGCTCGACGAGGCCGATCGCATGCTCGACATGGGTTTCGAGCCCCAGATCCGTCGCATCGTCGAAGGCGAGGATATGCCCGGCGTGATGGACCGTCAGACGCTCATGTTCTCTGCCACCTTCCCCCGCGACATTCAGCTGCTCGCCAAGGACTTCCTGAAGGAGTACGTCTTCCTCTCGGTCGGCCGTGTCGGATCCACTTCGGAGAACATCACGCAAAAGATTGAATACGTCGAAGACGAAGACAAGCGCTCCGTCCTCCTCGACGTCCTCGCTTCGATGCCTAGCGGCGGTCTCACCCTCATCTTTGTCGAGACCAAGCGCATGGCCGATATGCTTAGCGACTTCCTCCTCCGCTCCAACATTGGCGCCACCTCGATCCACGGCGACCGCACCCAGCGCGAGCGTGAGCGCGCCCTCGAGCTCTTCAAGACCGGCAAAACACCCATCATGGTTGCCACTGCCGTCGCCGCCCGTGGTCTCGATATCCCCAACGTCACCCACGTCGTCAACTACGATCTTCCTTCGGACGTCGACGACTACGTCCACCGTATCGGTCGTACCGGTCGTGCCGGAAACACCGGTCACGCCACCGCCTTCTTCAACCGAGGCAACAAGAACATTGTGCGCGATCTGCTCGAACTGCTCAAGGAGGCCAACCAGGAGGTCCCCCAGTGGCTCGAGGCGGTCGCCCGCGAGAGCATGTTTGGTGGCGGCGGTGGTGGTCGTGGTGGCCGTGGTCGCGGACGCGGTCGTGGCGGCGCCTCGTCGATCGGCAGCCGTGACGCACGCTTCCAAAACGGTCCCTCCTCAGGCGGCGGACGCGGCTTCGGTGGCGGATTTGGCGGCGGAATGGGCGGCGGTTACGGCGGCGGTGGTGGCTTTGGCGGCGCTGCTGCTTACGGCGGACCTCCCCCGGCCAGCAACGGCGGCAGCTACGGCGGCAACTCGTCGTGGTGGTAAATCGCTGCGCGCCACATAGCAGCAGCCTTCGACGACGCTCGACGCGTCCCTCGTCGTCCAAATTTCTCGTTTTCGTCTGGCCCTCTGATGTCTTCGTGGCCTCTTCTCTCAACGCACGATCATCGTGATTTCTTCTCACAAAAGCATAGCGGACAATTTCTCTCGTCTTTCCTCTTCATTCTTCGATTCTTCGTTGCCATCCCGTTGCCTGCCTTCTCCTCCCTTCTCGGGTCGACGCCGTGGCACTCGATGGCAAACTCTATTCCGACACAAGCATTTGCATGGTCTCTTTCTTAGCCGGCAGCGCATCGAGGCGCTGCTTGGCTTGATCCTTTGTCCCATTTGGTCATCCACCATACGTGACCACGACTCGACTCTTACGAGTGGTTCTCAACTGGTTTCGTTAATCTGCATCCACCTTTGCATCACTTATAGAGTCACGCACACATTCAAGATACCATGCAAGCAATCGTTTTCCTCGCAAGTAGTACGGCCCCATCTCGCAGATTTCGTTCGCATCGCCTCGGTTCGATGCGCATCTCCACGTTTGTCATCATCTTGGTCTTGACCAAGTCATGGCTCCCCTCCCGGTCTGCACGGATAGGTTCGTCCTACGATCGACTCGAGTCGATGTATCCGACGCCAACACAAAAAGCATCGTGACCTGTCTTCGACTCTGGTCCACCCGATACCCTCTTCTTTCTTCTTCCTCCCACCAAAATTGTCTGCTTGACTTCTCTTGCGTTTCGACACTCATCGTCGACACGCCAATTCATTGTCACGTTCAGCATCGTGTGTATTTGTAGCGGCCATCATTCATTTCTTCGGGCTCTGGAAGATGACCGCCCGGTCGTCGTCATCGACAGAGCCTGCCTTTTCACTTGTAGATATTTTTCGTCAACTGCATTCACTGTCTATATCAGAACCCTTAGAACCTTTTTAGCCTGTGCGGCCTCTTTGTGTTCAAGAGGAAATAGAGGAAACAGATAGAGAGAGGGGGGGTGAGGCCGGAGAAGGAATGGTAGAGGGAGCGAAAGAATGAGCTTGAGGCAATATAGGGAGCAGCCTCCTCCACGCCTAGGCCGGGGGAACCACCCGCTCCACTGTAGCCTGCCCAATTTTTGCCGCCCCATGCCGGCTGGCCTCCACAACCAAATTTTCGGGACGACATGCGTGGAAGCACAGGTCAAAGAAGTGGCTTTCGGCAACCGTTGGTAGCCGAGCGCGCTTTCTCACCTGGGTGAGTGACAGACAGCTACTGGAGCACTTGTTGGCTAGAAAGCGCAACTTGTTGCTCAACCACATCGCCGTCCACGTTGCTCTAGACAAACAAGGGCCACCAGCGCCTAACTTCACATCTATCTTGTCGTCACGGGCAGCAAACATGGCTATCATTGTGCACCACCTCAACGACTCGCGCAGTCAGCGCGTCCTCTGGCTGCTCGAGGAGATGGGCATCGACTACGAGATCAAGCACTACGCTCGAACCGCGCAGGGCACAGCTCCTCCTGAGCTTCTCGAAGTCCACCCTACCGGCAAGTCGCCGCTAATCACAGACACTAACAACGGTAGGAACAAAGTCGTCGCCGAGTCCGGTGCCATCGTCGAGTACCTCATCCGCCACTATGGCGAGGGCAGGTTCGTACCTGCCGACCCGGAGCGCATCGACGACGACATCTTTTGGAACCATTTCGCAGAAGGCTCTCTGATGCCGACACTTGTCATGAAGCTTGTCTTCAGCATGATCCCTTCCAAGATGCCCTTCTTTGTGCGTCCCATCGGGAACGCCATCGTGAGCAACGTCAACGCCTCGTTTCTGGACCCGGATCTGAAGCGCAAGTCCGACTTTATCGCCGACGAACTCGTCAAGAAATGCGATGCCGGCAACGCCTGGTTAGCCGGTGGTGACAAGGACGGCAACCCTACCGCTGCCGATTTCCAGATGGCCTTCCCGCTCGAGGCTGCCATGTCTGGCCGCATCTCGAATCTTCCCGAACCCATCAAGACTTACGTCGCAAAGATCCACGCCCGCCCCGCATTCAAGCGTGGCCTCGAGAAGGGTGGTCCTTACAAGTACGCTTGAATGCAACACACCTTTTCGGATTTATTGGAGATGACTGCTGCTGGCAATTGAGTCTCCTTTGAATGTTGCAGCCTGCCAGACCGGATTGGTTGAGTACGATTTCGATCTGGGAAAGGAAAGCCGCGCCGATGACCTATGTGTCCCAGAAGTAACGACCGTGTTTGCGTTACCATCGATTTCAAATTGCTACTATCCGCAGCTTCGCGAAGGCATGAGAGCTAGCCATTATCTACAAAGTTCGCAATCGGGATGGTTCGGCAGAATGGCGAGGTGGCCTACCGATCATGCTCCCCTCTTATTCAGTGTAGATTTCGACAGTGGCCTGTGAGGTAACCTCGCTTTCCGATGGAGCATCGGTCGAAGCTCCCATCTATTTGCAGCTTGCCTCCTCACGGAACATAACCTTGTCAACACTGGGTTTCGGGCAGATGTGTGTCAGCAGCCACTGTCAACAGACTATTGCGTCTTGTGTCGGCAAGCTTACACGGTCCTTGGCTTTCCATGGCACGGGCCTTTCCATGGCACGATCAACGCTTGCCAGGCTTGCCAGCAGGGCCCCGCATCCTCGGTGACACAGCGCAAGCGTGTCTTGAGTAGAGGTAGAAGCAGATGTAGGAACCCTTGGTAATTTGACTCTCGTGCTTGACATAGCCACGTTACCTTTGGTTGCCCGAGGTCGGCTCAATTCAACAACAGAGTAGCACGACTGATTACTACAATAAATTATACCGGCTAAGCACAAGATCAAGAAGCGTCCATTACGATGTCATCCGATAAAAGGATTACTAGTAAACAAGCGGGGATTACGCATTGAACTTAGACGACCACCATCATCCGCGTATCTATAGTAGTAAAGGCGTGCCACCCCGCTCTACCGCCATGTCGAAGTCATCTCCGGCCGGACTGCCTGACATGCTGCCAGAGGCAAGATCCCGGTTGTCGCAACCAACGCAATTAAAGCCGGTCTCTTGGAAAGTCAGATTGGGCTTTGCTGTCCTGATTGCATTTGCATGGCTGTGCTTCAAGACGCATGTTCATCGCGCTGTCACGCACGAAGCTGCCAACATAGCATCAGCTTACCCGCCTCATCACGGGTGGGGGCCCTTTCCCCATTCAGACGATCCCTTCCATTTTCTGCCTTGCACAGATAAGACCTCACCACCACGCCTTGACGATCCGCATCCACTCAAATCTTGGAAGCAACTCTACGAGTCTGACCCGGGTCGATGGCTCCGCGGCACCACAAAGAGGCAGGCCCTCTACCTCTGCGGCTGGCTAGACGTGCCTCTCGACTACACAAACGCGTCCGATACACGTATCGCATGTCTTGCCGTCACTCGGTTTCAGCTTGATCCCTTCCCCTCCAACCGTACTTTGGTGATACAACCAGGTGGCCCAGGTGGATCAGGCACGTAGTGGGTGTTGTCTGAAGGCGAACTGATCTCCAACGAGCGCTCAAATGGGACCTGTGATGTTTTTGGATGGGATCCACGTGGTGTCCCGGCTTCTCAGCCCTCTATCTCGTGCTTTCCTCACGACGCCGACCGAGATCGCTGGAAACTGCTCACGAGTCGCTCCTACAAGGAAGGCGATCCGCAGCAAAACATGCTCGTGGCAGATGCTATGAACGAAGCTGTGTTCAAAGCATGCAAAGTCAAGTACGGAGACGTTGCTGGCATGCTCACCACCACTTTTGTCGCCCGTGACCTCGAACAGATCCGACAAGCCATGGCAGAGGACCAGCTGAACGGCTATTTCGTCAGTTATGGCACACTCATTGGCCAGATCTACATCAACATGTTTCCTGACAGAGTTGGCAGGCTCGTTCTCGATGGTGCCATCTATTCGCGCTCTTACAGGCTATTGGCCGCCTTCGGATCTGCAGGACTCGACAACGTCACAGATAGTTTCCATGATGGATTTCTCGGAGAATGCGTTGCTGCAGGACCGGACAAGTGTGCTCTTGCGCAACCTCTTCGGCCAAGCGACCCTTTACCCACAAAGCAAGACCTCATCGACACTATGCAGCATTTGCTCGCCCAACTTATCCAACGTCCTGTTCCTGGATACATCAACAGTTCAGGCCCTGTCATTGTTACCTACTCTCAGCTTACCACGCTTCTCCTCATGGCAGTGCAGGACCCTTTCGCCTGGGGCGACTCCGCAACTGCATTGCACGATCTGCTCCTTGGCAACGCCACGCTGGTTTCCCAACTCCTAGATACGTGGGATTTCGACCCCTCGCTGCCCACTTCAACACCGGCAGATCACGCGCAGGTGGAGATGATCATGCTTGTTGTTTGCTCAGATCAGTACGATAGCCCTTTGCCTGCTGGATACGATGTCGAAACCAACGGGGAATTGTGGTATCTTGACCTATGGAGGCGAATGACCGACCAAGCCGAGATTGGTGCCGATCGCAACTTCTTGCTGATGCTTGCCTGCCGTCATTGGAACTCGACTTTCGATGCTCCAAAGGAAGTGTATCGCGGGGACTTGAACCACACGCTGTCCAATCCCGTGCTTTTGATCGGAACAACGTACGACCCAGCTACACCTCTGCGAAACTCCAGGATGTTGTTGAAGGAGATGGATGACAACGCAAGGCTGATTGCGCACCATGGGTATGGTCACTTATCTGATGACAAGAGTTCCTGCACCAACGACATCATTCGATCCTATCTGGTGAATGGTACAGTACCCGAGCAGCCAGAAATGCCGTGCTTTGCCGATCAGAAGCCATACAGCCACACATAAACCGTAGGAGGGCTTAGCAGACTCGAGCTGCCCGCTTAGAAATCTTGTTGATTGTAAAACTCCTGGCACGCACAAACGCTCACTGACCATGAAATAAAGCGTAAGCGCCCCCCGCACATCACTCTGCGAAAACCGGATGCGTAATTGAACAGTGACAATTAAAAAATCCAGAAGCCGACCAGCGAACCCGGAAGTGGTAAGAGTTAGTTGGTGGTTGGATTTTGCCAGACTTTTTGTGAACGAACATGTACATCAGACATTACGATGTCGGAAGGGTCGAAAAAACGTAGAAAACGCCAGCCGACAGCCTGTGCTCGCTGTCGCCGGCTCAAGCGCCGATGTGGTCAAGAGCGTCCCTGTCACGGATGCCGGCTTGCCGACCAAGAATGTCGGATGCTCGATGACCGTTGCACGGTTGTGGATCAAGTGATTCAAACCTGTCTCACCGAACAGGATCTCGATGCCGATCTTCACCTTTGCGACCCAGGGCGGGACTCAGAAGCCGGAGCTGCCTGATCTACAGTGCCTTCGCAACTTCTACCACTTCTCCATGACACCCACTTCGTCAGTATCTTGATGGACACGTGGTTCGTCAGACTGGACTACATGTACGATTCGTGCCGGGGCATTCGACTGCACGATTTGTGGTTATTGGGATCACTTGCTGGCGAGGAGCTGAAAAGCTTGGCTCCACTGATCGCCGCTATCCTGGCTTTGACCTGCCAGCTGATGCCGGAGAAGCTTGACGCGGCACTATCATCTAGTTCAATGCCTTCGTGCTCTGCTCCGAGTCTTTCGCTCACAGCATTCCGATGGGCAAAAGATGCGTCAGACAAGTTTTTCGATACCTGGCGCCACAGTAAAGCGATCGACCACGATGTTGTCGGAGCCTTGCACACGTCTCTGCTTCTCGCAGCCTTCCTGAAAATGCCGACAGGTTGACGCAGTATCGTATGCGATTGTCCCAGGACATAGCTTTTCTGCAGTGCATCGGATTGCCCAGCTGCAAGAGTCGACCGCTAGCACAAGCGCCAATCGAGGTCGTCTCAGGACTACAGCGCCTTTGGTGGGCGACGAACTCCGACATGAATTCGGTTGTGGCTAACGCGACTTTCGAGGCCTCGCGCCCCACTCATTTTATTCCCGCTGTGTTCAATATTCAGGGTTCCAACATCACAGTCGTCATCGAGAACAAGACTGTTGCTTCGTTCTCACAGAGCGACTTCACTTTCGGTTCCTTTGGTCTGGGCGCTCCGTTTGCGCATGCAGCCGTGTTCAAAAATCTCAGGGTCACTGACCTGACTTCTGGCACGGTGGTCTACGAGAATGCCCTGACGAATCAGACTCTTTTGGATGACTTCCTGATGGGCGCTAATCCCCTGAGCACCATTGTCGATGGTTCTCGCCGTGACCGCATCGCTTACAATGGCGATCTGGACGTCTCTATTGGCGTCAACTTAGCCAGCACATATGCCACGGAATTTGTCGATGGCTCTCTGGATCTACTTGGATCGTACCAGCTCACCATCGGTCCTTTCATCCCCACGGCCAAGATCCAGCAGTCTCCTCTCCCTTCCACACTTCCTATCAACGTCACTGGGCTGATCGGATATTCCTTCAATTTGGTCTGTGCTATGGCTCAGGCTCACTATTATAGCGGCAACCAGACAATCGCGGTAAAGTGGGCGCCCGCTATCATGTCCATGCTTGACTGGGCTGACTCGAAACTCCAGGACGGCCTTTTCACACTCAACGACTCATCCCTGGTAGGTGACTGGAATTACTATGATCCTCCTCAGACCGGCGCCAGCGCCAAATTCAACAGCCTCTATGCATATTCCTTGCAGCAGAGCACCCCGCTGCTCAAAGCTGCTGGCGTTAACACCACGGTGTACGAGGCCCGATTGTCCAATTTACGCAAGGCTATTAACGACCGCCTGTGGAACTCGACGCTGAACGCCTACGCCTTGTCCTCTGAGATCACTGACGGATTCGCCCAAGATGCACAGGCTTTCGCCATCCTTGCCGGCGTCCCTCAATCCAACGGCATCACTCCAGCAGCGATCTTAAAAACGATGGAGCAGGAGCTCCTTGTAGAAGCTGGTCCTCTGGCTTTCTCGCCTGAGACTGTAGCTCACGGCTTTGCTCGCAAGATCAGTCCCTACGTTTCTTGCTACCATCTCCGTGCGGCTCTCGAGGTCGGAGATGGAAGCACCGCAAAGAAACTGCTCAAGAATCTCTGGGCTCCTATGGCCAACCCCGCCAACAAGAACTACACGAACTGCATGTGGGAAGTCGTAAATCCCGATGGTACACCTGGTCTTGGTCAAGGTACTTCCCTTTGCCATGGCTGGGGTGCTGGACCTACTTCCGAGCTCAACAAGTACGTCCTTGGCGTCACACCCACTGCTCCTGGATTCGAAACCTGGCAGGTGAAGCCCGTCACACTCGAGCTGGCGTCAGCCACAGGCCGTCAACCAACGCCGAGGGGCACGATCCACGTAGCCTGGAGCTTCAAACACAGACTGCTTCGAATGGAGGTCGAGGGTCCGGAAGGTGGACAGCTTTATCTGCCCGGCTCGCTGCGAACGGACGCGGACCGTTCGACATTCAAGGTCAACGGCAAGAGGGTCGCAGCCAAGGAATTCCCGATCAGCGTGTCCGGACACACGGTCATCCAGCAACAAAAGAAGTGGTGACTTGTTTTGAGCCGCTAAGAGGTAAATCCTCCTATAATTCTCCGATTTGTAAAACGCCTCCAGCCAGGGGACAAACGAGGGGGACCTCGCGCCCGTCCAGCTTCTCCCAGCATCGAACAATTTCTCCAGTGGCCGGGTTTCATCGCGAAAAGCAATAAAATTCACGCGCCGCATCGCTGTGGTGTGAGAAGGCTCTGAGATGAGTCGATAGAGACCAGGACTGGCACTATATTTGTCAGCCCGTAGCTCATGGCGAAGATCGAGTGCGCCGATTGCATTCGAAAGAGACAGACGGTGGTCGGTGATTTTTAAGTATCTGTCGTCTCAAATGGACTTACGGCTGCCGCTGTCCCACAGAGATTAGGCGTGTGGCCAACAAGTGTGCGGGCGTCCGTCATTATGCTAACCGTAGCCCATGGTCACTGTCGGCACCGACCATAACAATCTTTTTTGCCTGGCCAGTCGAATTGCTGAATCGTTCGTTGGTGTTCAAGCAAATACAACCCCTTTTTGCTCAGTAGATTACCGCTGAGCTTGTGTCGTCGGTCTGTCTTGGCATGCTGTCTGTACAACAAACTTTCCGCTCTTTCCTCATCATCGCGACACGGAGCCTACATCGTCAAGCTCACGTATCTGAACGCAGGCGCGAGAAATTGCACTACAAGTATTTTCAGATGCGAAAGATGATTCAACCAGAATGGGGCTACGTGTGAAACAGCATGAACAGTCTGGATGATTCGTGGGATCATCGATAATCAAAAACTTTCTACTACAAAATGAGAGTTGCGACGGGAAGGAGCTAAGCGTATTTGGCTTGATTGGGATCGTCGATGCTGAAAGTCAGCGGCCTTTCTTGGGCTTGGAAACCATTCTGACCGAAGGTAACGGATGGCGCAACACAAAGGTAGTGAACGGGACACTGTATAATTGGGTACAGG